AACCGATCGCTAAGACTCCCAATGCACCTGCACTATAAATGATCTTTGCATAAATTATCCTTTCTATATACCTTCATCAAAATTAATTGACTCGTATATATTATATAGATATAAAAAGTAAACCACTCATAAAGTAATAAAAATTATTTTCCTATAAAAATACACACTGAATTATAATAATTATCCGTATGTACATATACCATTTTAAAACAAACCCAAATTGATTCGTCCTTTATATTTGCATGTCATTTATTTCAATATTGATTTAAGTCTAGCCTCCCTAAAAAAAGTCTTATTTGCTTTTTGCCTTTTCATTCTACCTTGTCATTCAAACACGTATATCACACAATCCGTCTCGACGACGACGACGACGACGACGGATCCACTATCAAGAATTCTTTGCTTCTGATGGTCTTCTTTTTTACGTTTCTCTGAAATGACATCTGTACTAACAAGCATTCACCCTTTTTGAGATTCTTGAATTTCTTTAATAAACCTGACACTCAATATAAATGATAAGCAAAAAATAAAATACCAATATATCTTCTTATAGGAATATCAAAAAAAAAAGTTTGAATTTTTTTATAAAAAACATAAACACAGAAAATTAAAAGACATTAAAATAATAAGCGTTGCAGCTTATTTTAATACCTTATAATTTTCTGTGAAAAAGAGATTATTTGAAATATTTAGTTAAATCAAATACATTTTTTCCATTATTTTGTCTATATCCTTTTCTTGCAATTTATAAAAGTTTCTAAATTTCAAGTGCGTGTGATAAGCCATATATAAGAAAATATATATATCCCAATTCTCATAGGAGAAACCGCGAAATAGGAAACTCCTTGGACAAAAATATACTTGAATCTCAAGAGATATAAAAATATATCGATGATTCGTGACAGTTTGTTAAGAGAATTCTCTATATAAGTTACACACACATACAGTGAGAGATACTCTTTCCGGAAAGGATGCGGATGGACGCAGACAGACAGACGGACAAGTCAGACAGGATATACGAATATACAGAGACAGGTGGCCGGCTTACGTTGACTCAAGTGGGCAGGAAGGAGAACATCGGAATGAAGTGCTCGAGAAAACAAGAGGGAAAGGTTGGACAATACAGATAGTTTTGCGTGTCCATCTATATGCGTGTGTTGCGATTTCCCGCAGGCCCGTCTGTCTGTGCGGTCATGCATGCCACTTACGCTATTGTTCCTCCCCCCATTTTCACACACATGTATATACATATATAAACACGAAAGTGATCATTCCCGCGTGATCCGTGTACTATAAACTATATATGTATAAACAAAATTCATATATCCGATTGCACATTGCGTAAAACAAAATTTATTTTTTTTATTCGAAGATAGTAATTTCCTTTTTTTGTTTAGTTATAACCTTATAATTGTTATGCTAAAATATATTGCAGTAAACAATTAATTATACTTGTAGTTATAATTATATTTGAGGATTCGAAATTTAATCATCATTCTTAAACGCCTTGCTAGTATGTTCGCAAATAGATATTCTGCAGGGGTCGGGAAATTGCAATAATATTGTTCGAAATTAATTTTAATAAATTCCGTATTTTACGTAAAACACGTTTATGGGAAATTTTTTTCTTTTTTTTTTTTTTTAATAAATTGCAATTTTCTAAAATGTGTTTTATTTTGTTTCTATAAGGGATATATTTTTTAGGATCATATATACATTTCTTTTTATGTGTATAGCAATTAAACGTAGAAAAAAAAATTTCCTGTTCAATGTACCAAAACGTTTATACGACATTTATAGGCCCCAATTGTGGTTTTTATATAAACAGCACTCTTGTTTGGGAATTACAAATTCGAATTAAGGGAAAAAAGTATTTGATTCAAGTAAAGATTTATTTGACAATAGTCGCAATTACGAGATAGTTGACTCATTTTCTAAATTTAAGTTCACACTGAAAAAATTGTATATTCAATCAAGAAAATGATTTTCTTGAATCATTAATAATTTTAAATATTTGGATTTTTAATTTCCCTACAACATTATATTTTGTATTGAGTTTGCTACAATAAATGATATGAATCATTATTCTATATAACCATTAAAAGGGTCAAGTGAGAAACTGCTTTTTAATGATACAAAAATATATAAACGTGATATATATATATACGAATTGAATGGAAGCAAGAAGGGTGTGGGGGCAGACTATGACGTCATCTAGCGGTCCATTCGTCGGACGACGAAATGGGGTTGTTACGTAACGTTTCAATGTCACGGCCGCCTCAGCCTCAACCACATTACCTTTCTCTCCCCTTTTGCTCGTCTTTCCACTTCAACCCCTCAAATACCCAACCCTCTCTATCCTCCAGAATGTTTCTCTCCCTCCCCCCCTCCTGTTTCTTCCTCTTCCTACCCTTTCAATCTCAAATCGACTTTTCTCCTCAGATATCTGACAGGCTCAGGGCCGCAGACAACCAAATGACAACTGAACGTTACTTTTATTTTTACGATAATTACAAATAAATATAAAATTTATATCCGTTTATAATTTATAACCAAAACACAATTGCTGAATCATCTAAACATTTGGTAAAGCATACTTGTTCTACTTTAATGAAATTGCAAATGTTCGAACAAACGGCAGAAAGATTTCGGCGTGATTTTTAAAATTCCCCAATCATGATTTTCTGGAGAATTTCTGATTGGTTAATTTTAAAAATAGCGTTAAATTCTGTCTGCCGATTGTTGGTTCGGTCATTTGCAATTTTGGATAAATGTACATTCGATGTACATAAGAATTCAATTAAGTAAAAAATTCGTTTAAAAAGTCAATTCTGATTCTAATTCAAAAAATGTATTATTTCATAATTTAAAGGTATAATGAGAATCCTGCACATCTATATTGGAATTTCATCATAGTAAATCCAACATAACAAGCTTGTTCTCATTGAGAGGTCTGAGACTACGTTACCAAAGTTCTCGTCGTCTGGAGTACTGACGAGTTTTTGGGTATGAAAAGGAGTCGGTGGAAGACCTTGTTGCGTAAGGGGTTGAGAGAAGGGGAGACTCAGACGACGCAATGAAGGAGGAAGAAAGAAGAGATGAAATTGTCGGTGCGGGATGCTGCCGGAGAGAAGATGAAGTGAAAAAGGGGGTGGAAGAGAAAGGGGAGCACAACAGTCGATGATGTGCTTCGAAGAGTGCAGATGTACTTTATTCCAGAATTTCACAAAGCATTTGAATTTCCCCTGTACTTAACATGTACATCAATCGTTCATTAGGAGTAGAACCTGTTCAGCATTTCCAAATTTCCGTCTTTTAAATTATACGACTTCTTTTTTTACAAATTAAGATTCAAATAGAAAAAAAGAAACTTGAACCTATCCAATGTGTCTCTAATTTTGTATATTCTTAATTAAAAAAATAATCTATTTTTATTTATTAAGGCGAAAAGATTTTTTTTCAGCGACTAATTGCAGGGGTATAAATATAGAAATACAAGCAAGGGAAAAATGGCGTTGGTCCTTATTGCAAGAGTTGAGGACATTTTTATTCTCGGGGTGAGCTTAATTTCGCACGTACAAAATACCACACGTGTGAATATGCATGACCGTCGCGACATCGTAAAACCCGAAATTCAGAGAGTGATGTGTCGTGTTGACTTTATTTTGTTTCTGTGACTTTTTAACTCGTACTTTCAACCTTTGCTCTCTCTCTCTCTTTTTCCGGTGCACTATGGTGTAAACCTATTAAAATGCTACGACCGCGAACGTCTGCCCACCTTCCGGGTTTCCTTTCATATAAAAATTTCTTTCCTTTCTTATTATTATTATTTTTCTCATATTTCATGCAAGTAATTATAATTCTGCTCTTTTATAAACAATTTTAATATGTTTTTTTTCTGTCTATGCTAATAACAAAGAACAAGAAAGTATTTTAAATACAATCTTTCCTTTAATATAAATTGTTACTCAAATATTTTCAAATATATTAAAAATTATAAAAACACATTTTTAATAGATACGATAATATTTATCCTAAACGAAACATTTTTTTTTGAATGGTTGTAAAAGCGTTGATCTGCATGTTTACGAGATGTGAGAGCTTTTCATGTTTCGTGTGTGCCACATCTCAAGTGATACTTGAAACTCAACACGGAGAGTTTGTGCCTCGGTATACCGAAGAGTAAAGTCTAGGCTTTTCCGCTTGGTAAATAATACACGTCCTGACGCCATGCCACCTCACCCCACCCACGTCTCTTTTCTTTTTTTTTTTTTTTTTGAACTCAGCTTCACGAAAACCATCCACGAGACCATCGCATTTCTCGGACGGGCAAGAACTTTTCAGACGAAGAGAAGATTGCATTGCAGCCCGCAGCTGAAAGGTTGCACACCTACTTTTGGTTAGATCGAAACTTTTCCAAACTTATATATTTATCTGCAATGAGGTTCGAGACTATTTTTCTTTTCCTCGAAAGTGAAAAAGTCACAGAATTTTTCTTTATAGATTATAAAATCTCGATTCTATGGCTAATGAATATTTTAAATAAAGTTTTTTTTTCTTTCTTTATATAACATTTTTTTAAACTGATTATCGAGCCTAATAAAATAACAATTCAAATTCATTAATAATTTTGTTTCTATATAAAATAAAAAAAAAGTATAGATAATTTATATAATAAGATTTAAAGATAATGCACATTACATAAAGTATCGATTTTAAAATCATAAAAACAATTATGAAACACAAAATAGCTGTGACAATTAAAAAAAGATAAAAAAAAAACAATAGTACATGAATTTGGACAGCAGATGACAATTTTCAAGCAAAAAAATAACCAAGTTTTACGAGAGGAAAAACATCATACCAGATATATTTTATCAGCGATTTTCCACTATATGATTGCAATGAAAAATCCAGGAATAAAACTACTTGTTTTTTTTCAATACACTTTTTTCATTTAAATAGGATGACAGCATAGTTTTCAGGATAAAGATAGGTCATTTATAGATACCTAGTTGCAAACAGTGACTTCAGTGTTACTTTGAATGCTCAAGCTTACACTTCCAGGTAATGAAATAGAAAATAGTTTCAATGTCATGCTATATCACGATATTAAAAGACAATAATAACGTGAGAAAATTAAATCGTACGACATAAGTAAGTAAAATTCCTTTAAAGTAATTTGCCAAATCCAAAAATTTACTATTTTAAAAAATTTAATAATTATAAAATATATATTATGTAAATTTCTCTATATTTCATTAATTTTTAATTATTTAATTATTTCAAAATAGACACTAAATATCATTTTCATTTTATAATAAAAATATTCCAATGTTCGTTGCATTAATTATTTTTTAGAAAAATTAAAAAAAAACATTAATATATTCATTTTAAAAGTAAGATTCTGCATTAAATTTAACTAATTCATAAAGATAACTGAAATGAATTAATTGTATTTTATAGAATTAATTTTTATAAAATTTATTTAAGTCCCTATTGCGGATATTCAAAAATTTTTATTAATACCTATTATTGTTAATAGCATATAAACTTGATCTTGAAAGTATAGATAAAACATCCAATTACGTAACAAAGCGGAAAAACGTACTTATATAATTATTTATTGATGACGGCAATTGACATGGACGAGTCATTCTTTGAGAAAATTTTACAAACACATGAAAAGAATAATAAAATAAAAGTCTTGGAAGTAAGCCAAAATTTAGCCACTGCTAAAGGTGATAATTATTTAAGCAATATTTACAGAGTCATTGTAAAATACAATAAAGACAATGGAAAATTTAAAGCAAATGAAGAAATTAGTTTAATTGTTAAATCAAAAACTGATAAATTTGTATTTGGAGAAATAAGTACAAGTCACTTTTTTAAAAATGAAATATATGTTTTTGAAAAATTACTTCCAAAAATTGAAAAATATATTGGCTGCTCAATTGCACCATTTCATTATCTTTCAAATGAAAATGAACAATATATAATTATGGAAGACCTTGGAAGAGAAGGATATGCAATGGGAAATAAACTCAAAGGTGTTTCTTATGAACATTGTCTCAAAATTATTGAAAAAGTAGCGAAATTTCATGCTGGATCTGTTGCCCTTTATGAAAAAGTAAATATATATACGTATATATATTTTTCAACTATTTATTAAATATAATTCTCAAAACATTTTGGAGCAATAAGAACAATTTTTTCTTTTTTTTTATAAAACAAGTTAATATCTTTTTATTTGTATGATGAAGTTTGAAAATTTTACTACAGGAACCAAATTTACTGGAAAATTTCGATAGTATCTCTAATCATCAACAATTGGCAGATGATTACTTTAATTTTGTGAAAAATTCTCTAATCAATTTAAGTGACAATATTGAAAAGATGTGGAAGGACAAAGAATACCAGATTATCGCGTCAAAATTAAGGAATTTAATTGACCAAATAAAGGATAAATTAATTGCAGCCTTTAAACATGATGCTGATGAATTCTGCGTATTAAATCATGGTGACTTGTGGGTGAATAACGTGATGCTTAAAAATAATAAAGATGGCAAACCAAGTGATGTAATCTTAGTAAGATATAGCTAACTATTCAATAACACTTATTTTTAACAATTTAATAATTCATACAAAAGAAAACCAGAAAGATAAAATTTGAAACGAAAAATTGTTACAGGTTGATTATCAGATAGTATCTTACACATCGCCAGCGATTGATGTACAACACTTTTTGGCAATGTGTCCAGAATTTGAATTAAAGGGAGTAAAAGATGAAGAATTTTTAGAGATTTATTTAACAATATTGACAAAAACAATGAAAAAAATAGGTTGCAAAACAAATGCTCCAACGATGGAACAACTTAAAAGTTCCATTTATAAGCGAAGAATTTATTCAATTTTAACTGGATTGATCTACACACCAGGCATATTAACAAATAAAATTGATGAAACTACACTCGATTTAAACGTCTTTGATGTACCTGCAGCAGTGGAAACAGTAGAAAAAATGTCAAAACTTTATTTACATAAAGGATATTTTGACTAGAAATTTTATTATTATAGGATCATTGAATTTTTAATAGAATATAATTTTTTAATAATTTATGCAAATTTTAAATAATATATAAATTAATGAAAAGATTCCATTTTTATACATTGTTAACTAATTTTGAGTAACAAATCAAATATCGATATATTAATATATTTTATAATAAATTAGTAGTAAAAAATTATTATTCATAAATTTAACATTTTTTTGTTGTTGTTTTATTAATGAATTTTAATGATATGTTGACATTGTGATATTATGTAATTTATTGTTCCAAAGCTAATTAAATAGATGCACTATTATTAACTGATATCAAATCTTGATCTAATCAGATGAATAATTGCAAAATAAAAAGTCCTAAATTGATTTATGTCAAGTATACAAGTAATTTTAAATTTCTGTTATGTAATAATAATGTAAATAATAATATAAATAATAATAATAATTCTTTTTGAATCAAAATGTATTTTACTATATAAATTTGTAAAAAACAAAAATTTATTCCAACTTAATTTTAAAGAAAAAAAAATTTGAATTAGTGAAAATTATTATCAATTAAAATTTTGAAAATATTATAAATTTCTACATTCAAAATTTATTGATAGAAAAATTTTTGGAAAACTGTCAGTATTTGTCACTTTTTAATAAATGAATAATTTACATTAAAATTTAATAAATAATACTTTAATAATAAAATTTCTCGTCTTTTTAATACTAACTTTTATGTAAAATTTCAATACAGATTCCTGCAATACACAAATAGTAAACTATGATGCGCAACTCATTAAAATTAAAAAATTCAAGTTACCTAATTAAGTTCGATACTAAATCTTTACATTTTTATGGGACCAGCAATTTTTTTTTTGTAAATGTTATTTTTTACACATTTTTTTAAAAAATATTTTTAAATTATTTTATTTCCAAACAAAGATTTTACAATCTGTGACATTTGAATATGAAATAAATTAAAAAAAAGAAAGTATATAAGTGATAAAAAAAAGTGTCAATTATCTGAGTAGAGGGAGATAGATTAGTTTGACTGAAGCAATGAAACAATCACTCTACATACAGTTATCCGTCAAGAAGAGTTTCAGTAATACTTCAACTATAAAATTGATTGTTTCTAAATATTCGGAATAAAATAATTTAATTAAATATAATAATTTAACAGATAGAAAATTTGTAAAGCAAGAAAAACGCTATTATTCAAGGTAGATAAAATATTTTCCATTTTTATTTGCTTCAAAATAAATTTTATTTATGCCAAATAAAATTTTTATTTGAAACAAAAATAGTTGAGATAAATATATTTTTTAATACAAATAAATTGTATTTAGTTCAAAAATAAATTTTTTTTTTAATAATTGTAGAAAATTCAAAAAGAGAAATGGATATCGAAATTGTCAATAAATCTTTTTGTGAACGTATTCTACAACAACATCAAAAGAACAAAAAAATAAAAGTATTGGAATTATCAAAAGAATTGGCTACATCTAAAGGGGATAATTTTTTAAGTGAAATTTACCGAATTTTTATCAAGTACACAAACAGTAAAAATGGTAACGCAAAAATAAACGAGGAAACAAGTATAATTTTAAAAATCAAACTTGCCAATCTTTCAATTGGAGCAGAAGCTATTGACGAAGTATTTTATACTGAATCAAATGTTTTTAAAAATATACTTTCAAAAATTGAAAAATACACTGACTGTTCAATTGGTCCATTTCTTTATGAAGTTAATGAAAATTCAAATTATATAGTTATGGAAGATCTCGGACGTTTAAGATACGCTATTCAAGATAAATCAAAAGGTCTAACGTTTCAGCAGTGTCTAAAAGCTATTGAAAAAATGGCTAAATTTCACGCAGGATCAGTACGAATTGCCGAAACGGTAAGAAATTTCAAAATATTATATTGAAAAAAAATACAATTTTTATTTGTTTTTATTTTTAATTAAAAATTAATTTTAGGAGCCTGAATTATTACAATGTTATGATCAAATTTGCCCATGGGACGTTTTTCCAAAAACTTTCTATAAATTTATGACCGATTCATTGATAACAATAAGCAAACAAATTGAGGAAAAATTTAAAGAAGATGAATATCAAAAAATTGCTTGTAAATTAAAAAAAATGTCTAATAATTTCGAGACAAAAGTACTTTCTGTTTTTAAACATAGCGATAGTGAATTTTGTGTATTAAATCATGGTGACTTTTGGATTAATAATGTAATGCTACAAACAAATGAAAAAGGAGAAACCACCGATGCACGAATGGTAAAAAAAAATTAATGTTAAATTACAATTCCATATTTAGAATAAAAAATATCCTAAAATTGCTTTTTTTTAAATTGTACTATATTCATAGCAAAAACTAATCATTAAGTTAAAAATTTAAATTATAAAATTTTTTTCAGGTTGATTTTCAATTAGTAACCTACACATCACCTGCTATCGATTTATCACACTTTTTAGCAATGTGTCCGGAAATGTTAATAAAAGGAGATAAAGATGAATACTTTCTTGAAAAATATCTGGCAACATTAACAAAAACAATGGAGAAAATAGGTTGTAAAACAAAACCACCTACTAAACAAGAATTAGAAGAATCAATGAAAAAAAGAGGAGTTCATTCAATTGTCACGGGAATAATTTTTTATCCCCGATTACAAGCTGATAAAGAAGATATAGAAGACTTTGTAGATGTAATGTCAGAAGGCGAAACTAAACTCGATCTTTTTAAATATCCATTAGCTGTCAATATAATTCGAAAATTTTCTCGAATTATCAATGACAAAGGTTATCTTGAATGTTAAATTTTTTTCATTTTAGTTCATTTATATCTTTATTAATTTTTGAAAAAAAAACTCAATAATTTATGTTTCAATAAAATATCAATATCCATTTCAAATTAAATTTAAAATCCATTTTTCCGAATTATCATTATGATTTTAATTAAATTTTAATTCACATAATTAAATCAGTTGTATTTTAAATTTTACTTGGAAATAATTTTCTAAAACAAAATTTATGAATTTAACTAATCTGTAAAACAATAAATAATAGTATTTTTTAAAGATACTTGATGTAAAATTATTGTACTCCAGTTAACCTCCATAATGATAAATGACGTCACCAAATATGTATTCAGCTATAGATATATATATACCCAATTCCTCAAACTAAGATAAAAACCACGGTCTACTTTTTACGTAAATTCATAACCAAATTATTCTCAAATAAATCAAATTCATTAAAGGTAATTTATAAAATATTTTCTATTTCTTTATAAAGAAATAGAATTTCGTACTATTTCATTTACTTAAAAACAAATAATTACCAGTTAAATTCATTTTTAGGTTATTTTATTCTGCTATCATAAAAATTAAAATATATTTTCAGATAAAAAGTGACATTTTTCATAGAATTTTTTTTAATAATAGTAAAAATAACGAGAAATATTTTTTAAAAAATTCAATTTCGAGAAAATCATGAATGTATGTGATGATAAATCTTTCTATGAACGTATTCTACAATCATATAAGAAAAATAACAAAATAAAAGTATTGGAAGTTTCAAAAGAATTGGCTACTTCTAAAGGTGATAATTTTCTTAGTAAAATTTATAGAATATTTATTAAGTATACCAACAATGAACACGACAATATAAATACAATTGAAGAGACGAGTTTAATATTTAAAATGAAACTTGACAATGTATCACTATCAGAAACTATAAATAAAGCATTTAGTATTGAATCAAATGTTTTTAAAAATATATTGACAAAAATTGAAAATTACGTTCAATGTTCAATTGCTCCTCATTTTTATTACACTGATGATGATTCAAATTATATAGTCATGGAAGATCTCGTAAGATCAGGATATATTATTGAAAATAAACTCAAGGGTCTAAATTTTCAACAGTGTCATAAAGTTATTGAAAAAATGGCTAAATTTCATGCAGGATCAGTCCTTATTGCCGAAACGGTAAGAAATTTCAAAATATATTTTAACATAAACATATTAAAAAAATATATATTAAAAGAGTTTAAGAATTTTTTTTTAAAATTATCTTTACAGGAACCCAAATTATTACAACGCTATGACAATATTTGCGCATGGGAAATATTTCCAGAAGGTTTTTTCAAATTTATAAAAAATTCATTGATAAGTATAAGTAAAAATATTGCAGAAAAATGGAAAGAAGAAGAAGAATATCAAAAAATTGCTTGTAAATTGAAAAAATTAATTGATAATTTAGAGACAAAAGTTATTTCTGCATTTAAACATCGTGATGATGAATTTTGTGTATTAAATCATGGTGACTTTTGGATTAATAATGTTATGATGCATCATGATAATGAAAAAGAAGATTCCATTGATGCACGCATGGTAAATAATATAAAAAATTAAACCCTAAAGTGCAATTGAAAAAAAATAATTCCTAATTAAAAAAATTGTTGAAAATGAATGTCTTTTTTCAGATCGATTTTCAATTAGTGATGTACACCTCACCTGCTATTGATTTACAGCATTTTTTTTCAATGTGTCCTGAATTAGAAATAAAAGAAAATAAATATGAATATTTTCTTGAAATTTATTTGACAATATTAACAAAAACAATGGAGAAAATAGGTTGTAAAACAAAAGCACCGACAATGGAAGAAATAAATGAAGCAATGAGAATAAGGGGAGTGCATTCAGTTGTCACTGGATTAATTTTTTATCCCGGTGTACATGCTAATAGTGAAAATATAGAAGATTTTACAGAAGTAATGTCAGAAGGTGAAACTAACGTGGATGTTTTTAGATGTTCTTCAGCAGTTGAAATAGTACAAAAATTCTCTCGAATTATCAATGATAAAGGTTATCTCGACTAAATATATATCTTGGTTATTATTTCATTTAAATAAAAATTATTTTAATCAAAAATATAGTTAAACAAATTTTCTAACCAAAAAAATTAGACTTGAAAAAAAGATCTAATAAATATCAAGATTGCAAAAGTGTCGTTATAAAATGTAAATATTTGACGAAAAATTCTTCGATATCAAATCGCAAGTGTAAATATTGAATACGATGAAAATTCAGTAGTTATATTTGCATTTTGTAAAGGAAATTGTTGCATTTTGACATTGATTGATCTACAATCTATATTACATAATCGTTTTAGAAAAGTTAATACAGTGTTGCACCCTTGCAACATCCGTCAAATCACCCATGAAAAAAATATACCGCAAAGCATTAAGAGGATGACCCTCGATCTACGTTTTCATTGAAATGTAATTTAATTTTCAAAAAAAAAAAATATTTTTTTCGGAGAAACGAATAATTATTCAAAACTATTTCTGGCATAAGAATAGAAAAAAAACCCTCAAAATTCCAATCAAAAACAAAATTTTCTAAAAAAAATCAGAAATAGAGAACAATAATTTTTATTCTCAACTCCGCTAAGTAGACAAATAATTACTTTTTAATTATTACAAGACTTTGGTGAAAATACTCCTTTTAAAAGACAGAAAAAGCATTACAATTCTGTTGATCGTCTGTGATAGCAACGAGTGCATCAAACATGGCGACCAAGCAGACAAAACAAAAATCCAGAGTGGCTAGACCAGACGAGGACTAGACGACCTCGTTGCTGGGGGTGGGGGGGGTGGCAACCGCGGGGGCGGTTCAGATCAAGGGGTTGGCGCGACCCGGCACTGGGAGGTGGCAGATTACGGAGCCTCCGACATTCACGGTAACCAAACCCAATGGAATTTGATCATAGAAAGCTTTTTCTTTATTTTTTTTTTCGTTTTACTTTACGTTCAGCACCTTTGACTCAACCCCTGTATATAGTTAATTCATAAAAATTAAAACTGGGTCTGTATTCATTACACGGACGGAAAATTTTTCTTCATGACAATGTCTTTTTGAATTAATTAAAATATATTTTTATTTATTTTGTACTTACTGAAAAAAAAAATTTATTTGATTCAAATACTTGATTACTTTGACCCTATTATCAAATAAATATTTACTTAAACCAAGTAATTTTTATTTAAACTAAATAAATTGTATTTGAACCAATAATTTTTGTATTTGAAACAAATACCATCTCAAATAATAATTATTTGTTACAAATAAACATTTATTTGATAATAAAGATTATTTGAATCGAATAAATTTTTTTTCAGTGTGCCAAAATCTTTCGAAAATCACATTTTTTTATATTATAATTTATTAGACAAAATTGTTTTAATAAATCGATTTTAAACAATTATAAAAATTTTTTTTGTAGAATACAAATTATTTTACTTTAAAACACGCAATTTTCATCAGATTTTTCGGCAATGTCTATAAAATTATAGCGCAGACAGAGCACCTCATTCATTTTAATTCACGAAGCAATAAGAAACGTTTTTGACTAATAGGGACTACGCTTTATTCATTTTTTTTCTCCGCCTACATTGTTATCTTCTTTTCCACTTTACTGCCTTTATATTCATTCTTAAACCACCCCCCCCCCCCCTCCTCAAATTGTCGTAATCTCTTTATATAAGACACCTCGTATAAATCCATTTTGCCATAATTCAAAAGTGCTTTTAAAAACAATTCACTTTTTTTTACCAAGAAAAATGAAAAAAAAAAATAAAAATGTTTAATCTTGTATTTATGTACTTAGATTTTATATGATTTTAAATTAAATAAAAATATTGTAAAAATAATTTCAATTTAAAATTAATCCGATTTTAATAATAATCCCTTTTTCCCTGTCACATCGATGACTCATTGACATTTGATGCATGCGAGCATTCTGGTACATGAATTTGATCAAAGTGTTTGATCGTCAGACCTCGTGTGTATATATATACGAACTTTGAGCACGCATCGTCAAGAGAAATTAACTTTTGTCCGCACCCTCGAAATTACTCGGTCACGCGTAACAGTTTCATCGCCCTTTTCGTCAACCCCATGATTTTACTCATTTCCTAAGCGTACTTTCACAGTTTGGTAAACTCATTCGTTGGTATAGACCAGCCGATATTCACTTACAGTTAATTTTGCGTGGAGTGACGTAGATTAAAAACTTTTACCATTATAGAATTTTCAGTAGGAAATTGTTATTAACGAGCTTATGCCTCGAAATTTTATAATTTCATCAATTTTCTAAATTATTTGAGGGGTGCATTTTTTTCAAAATATAATTTTCTGAATTCAAAAATTATAGAGGAGATAAAAAAATGAAAAATATTTTTTTTTTAGAGATAAAATCTAAATTTTTGACTTAATATATTTTTTTCCTGATAATTTTCAAGGGAATTTATATACTGAGATAATAGTAATTGGCCAATCAGTGCGCGAGTATACTCCGCTAGTTTCCAAAGCGCGAGAGAATTGAACCATATTTCCTGGATTCTGTCGCGACGGGAACCGATAAATACAGACTTTGCGAGTGGCAAACCTACCTCCCTCATACCCCTTTTGTGGTATCTCGAACGGCTTAATGGCAACGTTAACTACCGTATTATTTAACGGGGATTTATGCATTGCAGTCAGACGATTAAAACGACGCCACAAGAAACCCGGCAACTAGAGGTGAAAAACGTTTGAGAAAGAGAAATGAAAGTGTATATGTATGCGTTGATATAACTTGGAAGGTGAAAAAAGTCACGGATGCTGAACAAGATTCTTTTGATCACTACACATGAAAAATTATATAAAAAAGAAATCCTTTTATAAAGAATATTTTTGTAAAGAAGAAATTAAAATTAGTAAAAGCTACAAACACGCATTCATTTTTAAGACCATTTTCCCCCCAAAAAAAGATTGTAGAAAAATATTTTCTATAGTCAAATCCCGAATTTTTTGAGTTAATATACTTTTATAACCTCAAAATTGTTTTCAGAGAATTCAATTAATTTTTTTTTTTTTTTAAATAAAAAATTATTTAAATTTATATAAATATCCTCGAAACAATAATTATTCATAATTTTTATAAGGATATTTCTTTATAAACTCAAATTATTCCCGAATTTTTTGAGTTGATGAACTTGCATAACCTCAAAATCGCTTTCAGAGAATTAATCATTTTTATGATTTCTATTCACTTTTTCTTTTACTTCTTAAATAATAAATTCATTTTTATAAATAAAAAAATATTTAAAACTCAATAAAAATCCTCGAAATAATAATTATTCATAATTTGCATATGGATTTTTACGATTGTCAATTATCATTTTTTCGATGTGAAAAAATTTTCTCATTTTTTTAATATGAGAAAATTTTTCCATTTTTTTTTTTTATTACGTTTGGTCGAATAAACCAAAAAATAAAATAATTCAAATATTTTAAATAATGAAAATTTTCATAAAATAAAATAAGAAATTAATGATTTACCTTGTAGATGCAATTTTATAAAGATTAGAAGTGATTTACCTTGAACACTCTGCGCTTCATCGATGATTTTCCCATGTTTCCAAACACTTATTCATTTTCACACGAGTCACCTATAAAGAAAAACAAAAAAAAATTTAATAATATTGATTAATTAATTAATATTACATTAATAACTTATTATTTATTCACGTCAAATGAGCTTCGGCAACAAATTTATTAGAATTAACATCATGCGACATCTGTCGGACACTACATAAAGCATATGGAAGTGAAAAATGGCGGGAGAAATGGGAATTATTGCTGAATTTTTCACAATCGCGACGCCATCTTTAATTTGTCGATTGTTAAAATTATCTAAACTTTTATCATATTTACGACTCATATACAGTATTTCACAATACTAAAATAAATTGTACCAAAAATGATAAAAATAAGCAACTCGACATTGACAAAAAATCTATGCAATGCTTTGCAAATACTGATATAAGCAATAAAAAACACAATATATCACAAAATTTTTATAAAATATTGTTTAAAACTGCTATTTATTAAGAAATATTTATAATTTAATCGATAAAAGTGGAAATATTTACCATTATTTGTTGTAAAACAGGAGCTCCAAAATATCGTTAACACTCAGGAGACGCCATATTGAATTTGTCAAGCGCCGATTTTTCCCAGCAATAAAATTACGATTATGTCTCGAATTTCACATTTCTACATAAAATTTTACGATAATATTGTTTACAACTATGTTTTATTCAATAAATAATATAGATTGATGCAAAAAGATGCTAAAAATATACGATAATTAGTTAAAAATGAAGAGCGACTAAAACACACTATCGACGCTAACACTGCTCCATGGAATGACTGTGAGCCGGCAGGTTGGCCAACCTTGTAAAAAATTTTTTCTATAATATTCATTTAATTCTTTTATTACAATAAATTAACGAACAGAAACTAAATAAATAATCTTATAATCCAATTATTTTAGTAAATTGTGTCATTTTTTGTTGAAAATATGGAAAATTATATGAGAATTACAGGAAACGTAATTTTAGTTAGCAGGGTTACCAATGTTGGCACTTTTCGCGGCAAATATTAATAATTCAAAATTTACCCACACAGATTTAAACAATGTTTAATTTAATTAAAATAAATCAATAAAAATTAAAAAAGAATATTAATTAACTAATAATAATACATTAATTAATTATAATTAAGTTTAAGAGATTATTCAATCAATTTTAATTTTTTAAGTAATATTAATTATTAATAAAAATAATGGTTATTATAATGACATTGATATAATAGAATTACTATTCTAAATAGTAAATTAATTAACATGCAGTAATTGATTATGTTTAATAGCTTTTTCAATAAATTTTATTTTTTTAATTAATATTATTTATTAATAGAAATAATAATTATTATAATTACCTTATTAATATAATATTATTAATTAATTCCTATTCTAAAAAGTAACTTAATTAATAAGCAGTAATTGATTAATTAAGTTAAATAGTTTTTCAATCAATTTTAATTTTTTAAATAATAATATTAATTATTAATAAAAATAATGGTTATTATAATTACCTTATCGATATAATTTTTGTAAATGGTATTTCGATGAATTTATTTAATACCTAATAAAATTTTTTTTAAATAATAAATATAATAAAGTAACAATAAAAATTAATTTCGAATTTATCGAAATAACATAGATGATAATAATAATAGGAAAAAAAAGAAATATTATTTTTAAAAATATGTAATATAAAATAATAAAGTATAAAAGAACATTCTTTTTTAAATTAATTTTATAATTTGTAAAATAATTGTAAAATAAAAATTTATTAAGTATAGACATTTTTTACCTTAAAAATTAAAAATTACTAACTAAAATGCTATTTAGTATATTATCTTGTATGATTGGAAAAAAGAGATTAAAAAATTAGATAAAAATGTAAAAAATTTTATAATGTTCCAAATATTATTTTTTATACGTAATCTGAATATGACAATTGCGGACACATTATGATGAGTATCAAAATGGTACAGCAAAGATAGGCAAAAATTCTTTTTATTCTTTTTTTTTAAGAGAAAATGCGGTTCTCTCTCTCTCGACTACTATTGGGGATTTGCATCTCATGACGCGCCGCTGCCGAATGGAACGAATAAGAGACGCATTTGGGGGATGAAGAAGGACAGAAGTAAAGCCGATAGTTATAGTCGAGCTCTCAGAACGACAAAGACAGAGAGAATATGGTCGATGTGTCTAGCCTAGAGCCCAGCCCGGCTGGTTCGTTGGTTGGTTGGTCGGGTGCCTGGCTGACTGAACCTGGAGCATGTCTAGCTCACACAAACTTCGTCTAGACACTCATGCGCCTTCAACGAGAAAGACCATAGTGTGGTTCGGCACTACGCTTGTAATTTACAGCACACCTCATCGCAACTACATCCTCTCCTTCAACTACACACCGACTATATATACAGATACCTTTCGGTATACAATCGTCTCTTTTTCTACCTTTTAAGATTCTCTCATCCTTCAAAAAAAAAAATAAAAGAAAAGAAAAACTCAGTCCTTGTCCATAGAAAACTCTCCCAACACTTTTTCACTCCATCAAATTTTTTTCAACACTCCGGCAATTTTCCAAGATTATAACAAAAAATTTAAACACTTGCGAATTTAAAATACAAAAAATCAATATCTCAAAAATTTATAATATCCAATTTAGCCAAATTTTCTCAACAATTTAATTTTTATTTAATTTGTTCCAAAAGAAATTTGATTTAATAAAATTTTCAAATCTATAGAAATTCTGCTAAATAGAAATTCAGTTTAATAAAATTTCCTATAAATAAAAATTGTTTAATAACAATTAAAACTTAATATTAATATTCAGCTGAATAAAAATTATGAATTTTGATTCGCATTCGACTAATTAGTATTTTCATGAGTCTCGTTTCGCTTTTTTGTAACTTTAGGGAATTAAAAAAGAAAAAAAAGAGAAATTCTCTTTGTTAAAAGATCTGTTAAACATTAGGATAGAGGGGTAATCCTGGTAACGTGACCTCTTAAGCGAGATTGAAGGAGGCGTAATTCCCTTAAAGGAATCAGTCATTTATCAAAAGCCCTAGGCGAGTGAGAAAGGAATGAAGATGAGAATTTGATGAAGGGTGCAGCGGGGAGAGAAGAGAGAGACGACGACTAAACGGGCTGACGCTTTAAGCGATGTAAGTTACAGAAACTTCGCCTCCAACTGGTCTCGGGTGCAGATAAGTCGTAATCTCGCCTCCTCTCTGAATTCAAACTCTGTCTCCAATTTATCCTTGCTTCGTAACTTGAATCACGCTTGCGCGCGATTACACATCCAAAGGATACAGAGACGAAACTCCAACATTCCTATAAAGACGAGGGCGCACTGTATCGTTGACTGATTATTTTCTGCAGAGTTCATTGCTTCTCAAAAAGTATTTTCTTCTCATAAAACAATGTTTTTATTTCCAATTTTCAATTCTGTAGAGAAAAACAATATATTAAAAATTCTTTCTTTTAAAATTTCAATTCTTTTTAAATAAAAAATGATTAGAGACAATAATAATTTATTCATAAAGAAAAAGGGAATTTTTTTTTACCAAATGATGCATGGAGGAGTCTCTTCCATCCTCGCGTTAAGAGAGATGGATGGTGAAGCGTCTTTCGCACTGGTTGCTTAAAAGCTCTATAACTCTCCTGCTGTCTGAGTTTGTACTTTCTTTGCCCGCGAGACATCGAGTTCCGTTGAATTAATCTACTTCCAGTGAGAAGACCCTTTTTGAGGGCAAGGTTTCCTTCTTCGTCTCTCTATATATGTATATAGCAACCAAGACTTCCGCAGCTTTATCGAGCAAACAGACGCGGTTGATGTACTAAACTCAAACCTCGTTCTCATTCTTTTCACCTCAAAAGAACAAAACAGGTTTCTTGTCTTTTTTTTTTTTAAATCTAAGTGATAATTACGAACAAAATTTCAATGGGATTCACGGAGAAACGAGAATGCGTTGGGGAGGAAAAATTAGCGAAAAAAGAACCAAGACGACAGGATCGACGTGAGAAAAGAGGATATTTTACCGAGGGTCCTGTCACCCTCGACAATATTCGGTAATAAATTACATTTTTTTTTTGACGTATTTTCTAAATTAAATTTTTCATAAAATTTACTTTTATCTTAATTTTTATTGATTATTGAAATTAATTTTTAAATATAAAATTTCTATCTCTTATATCGATATTCTTAATTATAAAACTATAAATCTGTACATTCTTCGATTTTCTTTTCTTTTATCCACAAAGTTAGATAAACTTTTAAAATTGAAAAAATAATGTAATCTCTCAATGAAAAATTAAATTATCTACAAAAATTAATATTATAAAAAAAATCAAAAGTATAAAAACTTATATATTTTTTTTTGATATCTTATAAATTTCTTTTTTCACAAATATATCAAGTAAAGAAGTGATAAATCGAGAGAAGAAGACACAAGAGGATTGGTTGAAAAAATACAATTACCTAAGTGGAGAATATTTTAAGCAGGTTGGTAACCACGATTCGTATTCGTTGTGTTTCGTTTGGGACACTGCATACGAATTTTATTCGTGTGTCATTGACCGCAGGTACTTGTTGAAGAATGCAAAAAAGCAGGACTCCCATGTAATACATTTGAGAGAAAAATATCGGCAAATTTCATGAAAAAATCTCCTATTTCTTTACAATCATCGGCACCAATTCCAAAAACAAGTTCAGCAGTCATTGGTTGGAGATCGTCAATTTCGGAAAATAATTTGGAATTTCTTGGTCCATTTTATGTATCGCCAATAACAACAATTGAACCACCATTGAAGTCTGATGAATTTCGAGTTGTAAAACAAAGATTTATCATTCTTGGATGAACTCAAATTATATTTACAACGTTACTCCATAAAATCCAAATCTTTCAATAATGGAGTAGCGCGCTTTATTAATTCTTGATATTCACATTTTTTTACATTGTAGCAGTATTTGTTTCCTCTTTGATATTTTCTTTATGAATTATTATTTAAATGCCAAAACTCTTTTTCTTTAAAGTTGGTGGCAATTTTTCAGTCAATGATATCGGATTAACCTCTACAGCAACCATTTCTTCATCATTCAACCAATCCAAATGGACCAAATGCTAAAATATCAATTAAAATTGTAAATTATTTAATTTATAAACTTGATATTAATTTTATTTTCAAAATTTATTAGTAAATAAAATACATTCTTTACCTTATATTTTTTAATGATTTGAAACATATGATGAGACTGTGTACTAAGACCAGAATTTGAGTCATCTCGTGAATCACCATTTTCTAATTTTGCAATTTTCACCTTATTATTAGGCAATTCATTCTTTTTATTGAGAACAAAAACTGAAGTATCGTCATGCATAATTATAACATTTTCATTTTTAGGATTAAAAATTATATTGGTGATTGGAAAGGGTCTCGAAAGCCATTGTAATGGTAGACAATTTTGTAAATTCTTGGAAAATTCCGTATACTTTCGAGATGGAATGTTGTATTCAATAATCTGCAAAAAAAATAAAATTGAAAAATTAAATTTTGTGAATTATTTTAAATGTCTCTCGAAGAAATATTTTTAAATCAGTGACCATTTCTTGGAAAGCAGTAAAACATGATGACGTGAAAGGAATAATTAATATCAACATGATCAGAATTCCAAGGGCTAAGTGGATGGGATTTGAAAATTAAAATAATTTACGTGTATTTTTATCATTAAGTATTTTTTAGAAATTTAAATAAAATTATAAAAATTGCCTTTTTTAATTTATCATAAATCATAGAATTTTATATTGTCAAAATAATTTCCAAATAAAAATCCATAAGGTGGGGATAAAAGGGATCAATGTTGTCTTATATAAAGTTGGATTTTTCTCTAATAGCGCATTAAAGTTTTAATAATTTTTTTTTAATGACCAACGACGATAAATAGAGAAAATTTAATATGATCATCGAGAAATGAAAGCGCAACGCTTTATAGTTTTTAATTCATCCTCTCTAAAGAGATAATCTAGATGGGAAGATTAAGGAAGTAATTTTGTTGGAGGTTTTCTTCGTATAAGATGAAATTGTACCTGGATAGATATTATGAATCTTTATCACCGATCTCATCAGACTGATGTATCTGTTTTACGACGCTACATATTTCATAAAAATGAATTACATAACTTTATGAAGAAAATTTTATTATTAAAATAAACCTTTTTTAATGAAACAAAAAAATAAAATAATCTTTCGAATTAATTAAAATTTTTGTAATTTCAAATATTTTTAAATATAAAAATTTTAAGGTTTTGTAAAAATGAAAAAAATCTCACCTTGTGATCGGCATAGACGACAACTAAATTGAGAGTATCTTCTTGAACAGACATAGCAGTAACAGGACAACTGTATTTAGGTAATGACCAGGGTTTAAGTGATTCCCTCGTGAGATCTCCATCCACGTGATAAACGACGATTCGACTCTCATCAGAGCAAATGAGATATCTTCTATCTGGTGAGAAGCAAACTAATCCAACACGATGAATAAATTCACTATCAGTTTGAAATGCACCAAAATATCTTAATCGACTTTTCTTTTCAATCTCATAAAATGTTACAGTATTTACATTACCATTGTTATCAATAGTTACAATTCGTTTTGAATCCGGACTGAAGAGAATTTTTTGTACCTTATTTAATGGAACATCCGTATCATTTCTACACAAACTGGCATTTCCATCGACAACGTCAAAATTAAAAATTCTCAAATGACTATCAGTTGAGTAGACAATAATTTTCGATGTTTTATTCACAGCACAAGTGACAATATTTTCCTCATCTTTTGTTTTTAACGTGAGTAATTTAACAGGCTCCTCTTTCAATTGATGTAAAGTACCAATTGGCACTAAATCTTGTGAATTTTTACTCTCACCCAATCGCCATAATTCTAGAAAATTACTATATCTTAAGAGAATGCATCGTGATTTTTTACACACACTCACGCAAGGCGTTTGCAATAATGGTGGATATTTAACAAGAAATTTAGGCGGATAACTCGATTGTGCCAAATAACCATCAACACCAGCTGAATATAATTTTCCATTAGCTTCAATTAATGCTCGAACATCGTGTACATGTAATCGTCTCTCAGTACCTCGTACCCATTGTGTTCTACCTTTAGAAATGACTTTTGAAAAAATTCTAATAACAGGATCAACACCCGCACAATAAAACATATTCATATCGTTTGACATACTAAGAGCAAGAATATCGGCCGTATGACTTTCGTATGATTCAATTAATGTACCAACATTAGGATCCCATATACAAATAACACCACGAGAATCACCTGAGACAATTGTATTTTCATCAGTCACTTCTAAACACCAGACAATAGTTTCCTTTTTCGCTTCTTTTCTCGATGTCGTCATTTTATGAATTGCATGTCCAGTTATTGAATTCCAAACTCTCACTGTATCGGAAGATCCAGTAAATATCATATCACCTGAATTATCCCATTTTAAACAGAGAATTCTTCCTTTCTGCTTATCGAAAATTCTTTCATAAAGTAAAGAATCCGATGTTATGAAAAATGTATTTATATAACCATCTTCTGTACCAATTGCCATTCGTGTTTTATCACGATTAACGTCCATACACCATGCAGCACCTCCAGTTACAGCTATTTCATATTTTGAGCCTAATTTTATTAAATCATATTCTACAATCATTCCACGGAGACCAGTCGAAAATAGACGTGAACCAACCCAGAGAATTGCTTCTATTGAATAGTCACAATGTCCTGGAATTGTTGATAAAATAAAAGGCGCATTTTCCACGTGCCATATCTCTATAGTGTTGTCATCTCTAAAAAAAAAAGTAAAACAATTCAATAATGGAAATTTAATTCAACACATGTCGAATCTAAATATTCCCTTAGGATAAAAACGTGTCAATTCTTTAAAATATATTAACAAAGGGAAAAGATTTATAATTAAAAAAAAAAATGTAAAATTTCAACATAAAAAATTTATAACTTATAAAAACCAGTAATTTTCTGTTGTGTAAAATAAACATTAAACATTTGTTATTATTATCTTTCACAAATAATAAAATAAAAAAACATTCTTAATTTAGAATTTTTTAAGAATTAAAAGAACAAAATTTTTGAAAACTAACCTCGTGAGTGCTAACTTCTTAACATCCTGACCATAACACAAACATGTTACTGCTTTTGGTTCTAGATTATAAAATCTAACGTTGTGAATTCTACAAGTAGACATTCTTAATATTAAATATTTAAAATCATTAAAAACAATAAATAAAAATTATTAATTTTCACTTTTGAAACAACCACAACTGTCACTGCACGTGGTTTAAAAGTAAGTTAAGGTTAGTTAGTATCTTGAAAAATTCTCGTTTGGTGGCGCTAATAAATGCACGAAATTTGAAATTCTAAACATACAACCTCTGTTATTTCAATATAGAATTTTTCAATAAATAAAAATTCTTTGCGATTATTGTAAATTTACAAAAATGTAATTTAGAATGATTTCAGTAAATTATTTTCAAGTATAATTAATTTTATAATTAATTTATTAAAATTTTTTATAAAAATCACTTGATAAGACGATGAAAATATTTACATTTAAATTATTATTTTTGCAATTTATTCATCATTTTAGAAAGCAGAGGGAAAATAAATGTCTTATTGTTGGTCTACCATGTGGACAATTCCAAGGATTTTTCATTGTTGACATTTGATTTATAATTTTACGCATTTCAATTAAATTTAGAGTTTTTCCAATCATAATTGCGCTTCGGCATGCTCTTGAAGCCAACATATCTCTTATTCTACTTGGTCGTGGTATTTGTGAAATTCCACTATCTCTATGACCTTCCTCTTTAATCATAAAAATTAATTCCTCAATGTCACGTTCATCAAATTGCCATCCACCACTAACTGGCATTCCAGTTAATTTTACTCGATGACCCTGGTTAGCTGATTATTTTCGTTTAAATATAAACACCCTTCACGTATATTTAATAATCTATAGATAATTCTGATAGGATTACTATTTTAATAAAGCAACAGTTTACCGTAGCAATTTGTAAAATTTATAATCAAATCCTATCAGAATTATAATAAACTTGTTCAGAAATAATCATGTTGACTGAGAATTTTAAAAATTCGTATAAGTCTGGATAATTATTTCTGAAATTACCATTTAGAAAATAGAAATATATATTTACCTTCAGAATTTATTATAAATGAAAATCCATTATCTTCAAAGATACTCTGATTGTCAATTAAAATTCCTTCATTTAGAGTTGCAAGATTTAAAAGTTTCGGAGCAATTAATATTTGTGTTTTTAATTTAGTTTCATTGCTTAATTTTTCAAATTGAAATTTCTCATCACTGGCATGTTGATCAATGATAAATAAATCGGAGTCAAGTTTAGCCACTATGAATCCTAAATTAAATTGTCCTATAATTTGCATCTGAAATAAAAAAAAATTACAATTAATTAAACATTTTTAAATAATTTCTAAATAAAAAAAACGTTATTACATTTACAAAAGATTCCATTGTTAATTCTTTTTCAAGTTCCTTTTCAGCATCTTCATTTTTTTCAGTAAGTTGTGTTTTATATTTCATTCTTTTTTGTTTTTTTTCATTTGATTCTACTTTTTTTTGCCCTTGTAATTTTAATTGAATTCTTTTCAAATTAGTATTCATTTTCATAGTTGTTGAATTTCTTACTACAATTATCTCTAATTCTTTTACATCAATTACTTTCTTTTTTTCTTCTAATTGGTTTTCTTCATTCTTCTTATTTTGTTTCGTAATATTAAAATCATTTAAATTTCTCTCCTCTCTGTTTAAATTTAAAAATTGTCTCTTTGGCATTGGATAAAAATCTTTGACAGGTGAAATGTTTCTTTTACTTTTTTCCTTTTTTATTAAACTACTATCAGTTAAGAGAGTAAATATTTTTTGTGCTTTATCCCATTCTCTTGTTATATTCATTTTGATTGTAGCAAAAATCAATTGTTCTTGAGTGAAAAATACTTTTCTTTTATCTGGAGTGACATTAACGTCAGCACACTCTTGTTTTAGTTTTAAATTAAGAAAAACAAATGGATATTGTTTATTATTGTAATTATGATATGTTTGATTGATGAGCCTGCTGACTTTTAAAAGATCACAAGGTCGACCATTTACATAAAGAAATTGTCTGTCAGGACAAGAACGACCTGAAGTATGATTACAACTGCTTACATAAAATTCCCATGTGAAATCAACCTGAATATCTAATGGCAATTTATATTTTTCTAAAATTTCTTCATTAGGAGATTCCATTATAATTTCTATTAAACCATCTATGGCTTTAATACCAAATACCGATTTGACATTTTCGAGAACTTTATTTGTTTTATTTGTTGATACTATAAGATTTTGAGGTTTATTTCCCACAGAATTGGTGAATTTTATTTTAACACCGACAGAGACTAGACAATAACTGTATAATACTTGAATAACACGTGCAAATTCTTTTTTGATATTCCTTTCAAATTCTTTTAATCTAACCGGTAGGGTTTTAAAAATATTTTTTACGTGAACAGTTGTACCATCCTTTGGAGGACTTTCTTCTTTATTAATTAGTATTCCATTTCTGTCAAACGTAAGTTTAAAAGTATGCTCACTAGTTGAATGTTTTGTGATAATAGTAACATCTCCAAGAGCACACAATGAACTTAATGCTTCACCTCGAAAACCAAAAGTACCAATGCTCATGAGATCTGTAAAATTTTTCAATTTCGACGTATGATGCTTCAGACCTGTAAAATAAATAGACACAAGACTAGACTTATCTTTTTGGATAAAAGAAGAAAATTTTTAAATAATTAGAAAGATTAATAATAAATACATAATTCTTCAAAGTCGCTTTCCAAAACTCCTGAACCATTGTCACAAATTGTAATATTTGATTTTCCATAATCTGTAAGTTTAACTTCAATAATTGTAGCACCACTATCCAAACTATTTTCTACCAATTCTTTTACAGCAGTTGCAAGATCAAAAACCACCTAGAAAATATTTAAAATTTCTATTTAAATTCTTAATAAAACAAATTATACGCACAATATTAAATATATAACAAATTAGAACTTTTTATTTGCAAAATTTTATTTACCTGGCCGGAACATATTTGATGAACTGCTTCTTTATTGATAGTTCTAATTTTTTTAGAAGCAGCAGTTGTGCTTTCGGGTTCATTCATCATTTTTATTATTGTAATTATGTCATATTATTTGTAATTATTGTTTTTCTTGATTTAAAAATTTTAAACAGCTTGCGTTGTCAATAACATAAAGCTTTCTCGACAATAAACAATATGAATTATTTAGGTTGCGTCCACAATGGGCTAAGGCTTCATTCATAGAAATTTCACATTTCGAATCTTCTACCTTCCAAATTCCAATTCTGGATTCACCTTTATAAAAAGAGAGAGAAAGAGGGAGATTATAAAGAGAGAGAAAGATATACTAATGTATACATACTACTGTATACACATAAACAACAATAGTATATGTTGCGACAATCAAGAGGTTAATTAAAGGTGTAATGTAATCAAAAATTCCAGCACGTTATCGTTGTATCGAATGTACAGTAGTTTAATTGAATGACAAAGTCCTTTAAAAGAGTTTGACTGTATTATAATATTGTAATGTATTCAGTATTTTGTCAAAATACTTTATTTTATTGTACGGTGTGCTCTTAATTTTCACCATGTGATTATTTCAAAAATTTGCAAATGTTTACGTAAGGCTAATAGTGATTTATGATGTAATCAAAAAATTATCTTTTTTCCTCATCATTATTCGCAGAAAATAATCTCAGTAAGTATATATATATAAGATTTTCTTATATATTTTTCACACGCAGTTAGTGAATTTAGGGCATGATTTTCTAAATCAGGTCAATTTTTAACATACCTATTATAAATTAATATTATATTTTATCTATAATTATGTTGTTAAAAAAATTTTGTTTTTATTATAATGAAGATAAGATTTTTATTATCTTTTATTCAATAATCAATTGAAACATTATTGTGTCGCACTTATAAAAGTTCATAAGTCAATTTTTTCTTTTTTTTAACATACGGAAAAATGGACGAAACTTATAATTATTCAATTATATTTAAATATGTTTAATATTCATTATTCTCTTATGTTAATTTATTCATTTGATTTTTGTGAATAAATAAAAGTATTGATTGTATTGATTTAATATTTACTAATTTTATATTTTTAAATTCCCTTTTTTTACAGAAAAATGACTGTAAAATTGTTTTTTCTCCTTGGAGTTCTTCTTTTGGGAACAACAAGAATTTTTGCTTGGAAAATTAATCTAAATACAAGTACAATCAAAGTACATATGGATAGTACAGTACCTGTTGAATTTATCACTGATTTACCTGCAACTAGTACTTCAAAAGTAGAAATAACGGCTAAAAGTTCTGATGAAAATATTGCAACTATTAAACTTCCAACTTTTCATTATGATAAAATAATAAATGGAGAATGGAAAGATTTTATTAACGTCACAGGTGTATTTTTAGGAAAAGCGAAAATATCTATTACCATTCAACACAATGAGGTAAATGATTAAAAAATAATAATCAAAACAATATTAAAAAAATTATCTTAAATTTTTGATGGTTTCTCTTAGGAAATTGTCAGTTCAAATAAATCCAATGTTATTGTTACACGAAGAGAGAGAATAATCGATACTATTTTCACTGCAAGTGTCGCTATACTTGTTTCAATTTTATATATTAATTTTGGATGTGCCATGGATTGGGATCTGTGTAAAAAAACTTTAAGAAGACCAATTGGACCGGGAATTGGTTTTATTTGTCAATTTCTTTTTATGCCATTGGTAATTAATATTGTATTTTTGCTATTGCTCTTATCTCTTTTTGAATTGCAATTTGATTATCGTTTTATTTTTAGATTAGCTATGTTATTGGTTATATTCTTTTTCCTGACTATCCTGAAATGCAATTAGGAATATTTTTTACTGGTATTAGTCCAAGTGGTGGAGCTTCGAATATTTGGACATTAATGCTTGGCGGAAATTTAAATCTCTCAATAACAATGACTACTTTATGTACTTTAGGAGCTTTTGGTAATTATAAATTTAATGTATATTTTTTTTCTAATTAATAGACGATATATATATATTTCTTTTCATTGTTTTAGCATTTATTCCATTTTGGTTGTTTACATTGGGTAAACATATTTTTGATAGAGGTACATTAAAAGTTCCATATTCAAATATTGCAACTTATGCAATTGCTCTTGTTGTACCACTGGGAATTGGATTTCTTTTGCAAAGAAAAATGCCGAGATTTAGTAAAATGATGGTTCGAATTATGAAACCATTTTCTGTTATTTTAATCATATTTATCATTATTTTTGCAATCGTCACGAATCTTTATCTGTTCAAATTGTTCTCGTGGAAGGTAATTAAATTTTTTTAAAAATATATTTAACGTTTTGACAGCAAAAGAATCTATAATTACACTATAATTGAAAATATAATTTTCTTTTTAATTAGATAATTCTTTCTGGCTTGGGACTTCCATGGCTTGGATATATTCTTGGTCTTTCTATGGCATTATTATTTAGGCAGCCAGGTCCGGATGTTCGTGCCATTTCAATTGAAACAGGAATTCAAAACACTGGAATTTCCATATTTCTGTTAAGGTTTGGCCTTGAGCAACCAGAAGCAGATCTTACAACAGGTAAGTTTTTTATTTTACTAATATACGATTTAGGATTTATCTTATTTTTTCTTTATCAATTTCAGTCGCTCCTGTCTCCTGTGCAATAATGACACCTATTCCTTTAATTATATTGTATATAATTAAATTAATTTTGGATCGCAGAAAAGAAAAATTGGCAGCATCCATGGAGAAGCTGCAAAATTCTGCTCCTGCCATCACAACACTTTCATAAGTACATATGCTCAAAGTTTTTATTAAAAAAAGTAAGCTATTTATTATCTAATTGGTTATTAAGGTATAATTATTTATATTCTAAAAAGAAATTTCCAAAAAGTAAACTTCCAAAATACTACATTATTCTCCAAAAAAAAAAATGTAGTATTTAAAAAATATTATGCTGTTAACGATTTATTATTTAATATTATGTAAATGGTTTTTGTTTTATTTTTTATATTTTTAAAGGTAAAAAAATGTGTAGTATTTAAATTTTCAAATAGAATATTTATTAAATTTTAAAGTTAAAAATAGGTATTACTTTTAAAAATCTTGTTAACGTTTAAAAATTGTGTAGGTATCAGATGTTAAATAATTAATTGGTAAAAAAAGTGATGGGTCCATATTGGAAAATTATCATTTTGTTAATAATAATTGTTAGATAATCTGTTGTTATATGTGATATCAATAAGATGAATAGAATTATAAATATTTGTAATATACTTAATATAGAAAAATGGTCACAAAATGTTATATACGAGATTAACTGTTTTATTTTTTTCATTTAACATGTTTTTTATAGTTTAAGTATGAATTATTTAAACTTCTATTGCATTTTTAAAGTGTGAAATTTTTTTTTGTATAAAATGTTGTACAAATTGAAGATATATTAAATGTTAGTGATATATAAAAATGTATACTTTTTTTAATTAACTTTCAATGCACAATAATAAAAAAACAAAAGATGTATAAATTTATATTTATAAATATAAATAATATTTATGATAAAAATAGTTTTATTTAAAAATTGGTTCTACTTCCCGCGCTCACAACCAGTTTAATAATAAAGTGTGGACGAATCCTAATAAGTATCTGAATAATCTGAAATTAGTCAACTAAAAACGGACAGAAGTATAAAGCTACTTCTACAACAAAATTTTTTTCGTCAACATGAACAAAACATGCGCGCGCATCTTTTTAATTTGTTCACGTCGACAGTCCATGGAAACAGATGAAAAAAAAGTCGTTGTAGAAGCAGCTTAAGGCCATAAACCAAACCAAACCAAACCAAACCAATTGTGTCTTAAAATGGAAGAAAATGGCATGTGAGATAGTGGATTTCAGTCATTTCATTAAAGAAATGTTTGATTCATTAAGATCACTAGAATGGGTGGTTGCATAGGCATAACGAGAGGCAGAAATGCCTCTGTTGACTCTGCCAATTCCACAAGGACAAATTCAGGTAAGAATTTCAAGATACTTAATCAGCGTTATTAACCTTGGATATTTAACTCACCTATTTATTTTAGATTTATTTAAATATCCATCTATTCCTCTTTGCTCTCTCTCTCTCTCTTTTTTTTGTTTACTCATTTAAATCTGACATTTAAAATTAACAGCATTATGTTAATTTACTTGTTGACTTTAATTCTAGCACAAAAGTTGAATTTGTAAACATTTGCTTTTACAAATCTAAAACGATAAAATGTATGTACACATATAAAACTTAATTTAACGTGCGTATTATAATTTACGCTATGTATTATTTAACTCCTTGAAATTGCTTTTGTATAATGATTTATTTTTAGTTATGCACAAGTTATGCCTATACAAGTTTTTCCTTCAATCTTTATTGCTGATCTTTGAACGCAAAACTTGCATTTATTTCAAAGTCAGCATTTGATTATCGAATGACAATGAGAATAAAGTTTCACAAACAGCTGTTTTCTGCATGTTCACGTATATAATTATAATAAAACTTAAATATATAGGAAATGTCCGAAATATATATATTTCATTTTTTTTTAATTTCACACAGTATATATAATTATTTTTTTTCTAATTAGTAAATAATGTAATTTTATCGTTAACATTTAAAAATCAATTACACTTTTTGTGTACGATATCTAAGGTTGAATAATTAAAATGACTAATTAGTTTGTTTTAAATAAGTGAAGAAAAAAAAAATATCAATTAGTTGTATAAGATATGTGAGTGTAAATTTTTAAGGAATTTATATTTAAATTTCTTTTAGGAAATTCAAGAAAAAATCATCCACTATGTCACGAAGTTATTAGATGGAAATCAGATGTTCCTTTAACAGAGGGACAATTGAGAAGTAAACGAGATGAATTTTGGGATACTGCACCGGCTTTTGATGGCCGAAAAGAAATATGGGATGCACTTAGAGCTGGGGCAACAGCAGCCGAAGCACAAGATTATCAATTAGCACAAGCTATTCTCGATGGAGCTAATATTTCTGTGCCTAATGGATTTTTGACTGAATGTTACGATGAATTAGGAACACGGTATCAAGTTCCCATCTATTGTTTATCTTATCCAATCAATATTGTCAAAGAAGATTGTGGCAGAGATTCTCCTGCTGATTGCTCAGGTAATATTTATTTTGATTTTTTATTTTTCGAAAAAGTTAAACTTATTCTAAATAATATTTATATTGATAATATTTCTAAGAATTATTCTTATCAAAGAATAAATAAATAAAATGGATTTGAAACCTGATTGTAATTATAAGGAAAAATAATGTTAATTTTAGAACCTGTTGATGGAGGTACTGAAATGACGTTGAAACTTAGGTTATCTACTACAATGGGTGATGTTAAACTACCTGTTTACAGTAAAGACACGATTGGTGTTGCGAAGAAAAAATTACAGGTTTGTATTAATGAATTATTCTCAATTCTATTTTCCCTCATTTTAGTTTTATCGTTCTTTCAATCCTGTAATCAAATTTTGATTATCACTAATGTTTTATTTTTAATTAATTATTTATAATTTATATTTTCGAATCACGTGACAATTGGATTTAGTATATTTGTTTTCCTGATTTATTTAAAAAAAAAAAAAATGTTTATTAAAACCAAATAAAATAATTAATTTTTCTCGGATAGAGTCAAGAAGGTTTAGAACCATCGCGACAAAGGTGGTTTTTCGGTGGTAAATTGATGGGCGACAAAATGCACATCGAAGAAGCGAAGATTCAACCTGGTTACGTAATACAGGTGATCGTAAATCCAGAAAAAACAGATGACAGTCCAACAAAGACCAGTTGAATGCAAATTCAATCGATTTTCATACTTTTATCTATTATGACAAGCACATTCCTTTAAATTTTAGTATCAATAAAACAAAAACTTATCAATTTTTGCAGAAAAAAAACTTGAAGAGCATTTCTCTTTTAATTATTTTATTTCTCTACTTTAATAAACAAAAAAAAACAACTGTTTTTTTATCCTGCACTCTGCATAATGTTTCAACATATCGTCACAAAGTGTACTAAGTCCTAATAATTCTTTTATTTTAATTTATTTTTAATATAATTCTTTTATTATTCAAGATATTTATATATTATGAATAAAAAAAAAACATATACAGTCTTAAAAAGCATAATATGAAAAAATTTATATTATAAAAGAATAAAAAAAAAATTGTATTATAAGAAATACGATGTAAAAAAAATATTATTGAATTGATAATTCATTGGGTTGTGAGTAAATGAGGAATGTGCTGGTTATTGAATTAAAGTAAAAAAGAAAAGAAAAACAAGAAACGCTATAACACTCGACGTGTTCAGGGGTATATACACTGTATGTATATATATGTGCCATTCCAGGAGTTTTTTAGCACTTTTCGGAGTAACCTTTCCAAATTAAATGAAACATTTTTTTAATAATATTTATTAATATAAAGGTCCAAAAAAATCACTTTTTAAGTAAAAACAATTGTTTATTTAAAAAATACAACAATAAATAATGCAAAAAATTCACTTTTTTCCTGCAACTACAAATAAATTGGTTTAAAGATCAAAATTTTCCTTATTTTTCAAGCTTTAATACCGCACAAGAAACATAGAGTCCGAGAAAATATTCAACTCACAATTTTTTAAACAATGTTTGTTTACTTTTTTGTATTTTATTTACTGTGAAACGTCTGCTAAAGCTGCGCGCGACGTTTGGAAGTTGTCGCTTTCTTTATTGAGCAGAAGCTCATTACACTAGCGTAGTAAAAAACATGTTGTTTGAAAAATGAGGTTATGTTGTCATTAAACGAAACGTAAAAATTTCTGGTTATCACATTGAATGGTTTTTAATTATCTACTTTGCAGTAAAAAATCATAAAAAGCATTTTTGAAGGATGAAAAACCTCACTTTTCACACAACATGTTTTTTACTACGCTAGTGTAATGAGCTTCTGCTCAATAAGGAAAGCGACAACTTCCAAACGTCGCGCGCAGCTTTAGCAGACGTTTCACAGTAAATAAAATACAAAAAAGTAAACAAACATTGTTTAAAAAATTGTGAGTTGAATATTTTCTCGGACTCAATGTTTCTTGTGCGGTATTAAAGCTTGAAAGATAAGGAAAATTTTGATCTTTAAACCAATTTATTTGGAGTTGCAGGAAAAAAGTGAATTTTTTGCATTATTTATTGTTGTATTTTTTAAATAAACAATTGTTTTTACTTAAAAAGTGATTTTTTTGGACCTTTATATTAATAAATATTATTAAAAAAATGTTTCATTTAATTTGGAAAGGTTACTCCGAAAAGTGCTAAAAAACTCCTGGAATGGCACATATATATTATACTTGCTACCATTTTATTTTGTTAACTCGTTTTGATTTTAATGAACTCGTCCTGTAAAAAGGAAATTTAGTGCTAACATTTACATCGTAATTGCATTAAACGACTGAGCCTAAATAAACCAGCCTAAAACGCTATAATTGCTTCTAACGAGTCAGACTAGAGAAAATAACAGTCTCCTAAGTCGTCAACGGAATTACAAGATTAAAAAGATTTTTCTTTTTGTAATTTCTAAATGAAATTTACACCAAAATCAAAAGCGAAAATGCAGTGGCTCGTTTATAAAAATACGCGCGTCAATATTATTTTTATTATAATATTATTATTTTATTATTATTATTATTATTATTAATATTATTATTATTATTATCTACTGAAAATGAGAAACTTCAGTTTATTTATGAAAAACTATATCATGAGCTACAAATGTATTATATTCTACATGTGATGTTATTTAAAATAAGTGACTTTGCATGTCACAAATTTAAAGGGTGGTCCAAAAATTGAAATTCGATTGTAAATTTAAATAAAAAATGTTTTTTTTATTCATGAAATATTTAAAAGAAAGGACATTTTTTTATGTACCCTTTATGAGGGTATTAAATAACTTTATAAATTAATCTCTTTAATAATTTTTTTTGGTAAAATTATTTAAATTATAATAAAAATAAAAACAAAAGTCTAATTAATGACAATAAATTATTTTAATTAAATTTTTTTAGTTTTTCAAATTATTTCTAGGATTAAGGAAAAAAAATTAATAATACAAAGGAATTTATAAATATGAATTAGTGAAACTAAATAATAATTATTGTTTATCCAATTTGGAAAAAATATCACGTAAAAATTGGAAACGATTTCTTTGGACCATCTTTAAAAAAAAACGAGGAAGACACTTCTACGTGTATGTATATAAACATTATTCTTAAATAATTTTTGTAATGTCTTGTCGAAATGTTTTTTTTTTTTATTTTTGAAAAATAAAATGAAAGAGTTTGAGAGAAGCGTCGCGAAGATGTGGGAGACTTACGTCGTGATGTGTGTTATAGCAATATATTTATATATATAGAATATTATACTGGATCTACTTATAAAAACATGAAAATAATGTAATTGGTGGCAATTTTAAAAGAAAAACACAGCCACGGAAAGATTTGATAAATTTGGGATCAACTTCCGAACAGCAGTTCGCATAAAAAAAAAGCTCAATCAATTCTTACTTTACATATAATAATAAAAAAATAAAGAAAAAAAATTCACGAGATAACGGAGACATTAGACATTATATAGAGTTGCATTTATGTAATTTAATGAATTCATTATTTTGAGTTAGTCTCGTTTTTCGATGCTGTGCTCGAAAAGATTGATGACGCAATTACGCTGTTGTTTTTAGACTGATCTAATTGAAATTACAAGAAATATATATAAATATATATTAACTTTACTACTTAATTATTTCAATGTTTAAAGCAAAAAGAAAAGCAAAATAATAATAAAATGGTTGTTAAAGCAGCCATTTTTTTTTTTTTTTTGACTGAACAGTCTTACAAAATAGAGAAGTGCTTAAGTGTAGTTGTATCTGTATTAAGACGCTTGCTTGGAGAAATTTCTCTACGGAAATCGTCCCACAGTCACTAGTATCCTCGACAAAAACTAATGTTCAATTACTCTTATTAATATTTTTATTTAAAAAAAAAAAAAAAAGATTTAAGGTACCTGCGGCAATCTTTGCCAAAAATTAATATTAAATAAAAAAAATTTCAACAAACAAACTTTTTTATTATAAATATATTTTTAACTATCCAATATCTTTTAATCTCTCCAATTTTTTTTTTAAAAGTTACAAAATATTTTTTTCTTTTTTTTCAGAAGAGGCAAGAAATAAATTTAATAAATAAAAAAAATATATTCAAATTTTTTAATTTTTAGCAGAGAGACTCGCAGGTGGACTTTTTCTTTAATATTGCACATTATTTAAACAATTTCTATATTAAGCTTTTTGCTATAAAAAAAATGATTTTAAAAAAACTGTGTACAGTATTCATAAAGATATTTGAAAAAATGAAAATATTCAAGATTTTAATTAAGATATGAATGCATAATATATAAATATTTTTGCCTTTGATAATTTTAAAAACTATTTCCTATTACAATAATGTAACTTTAATTGGATCTTAAATTTTTTATAAGACACCAATAAAGTTACAATTATTTTTTATTCTCGTTTGACTGTATGGTGTGATTTACCGTTTGCCTCTTTATTTATTTTTTTTTTTAATACTCATAATATATACTGGTATCACTTTTGTAAAGTGCGACATGTTCTCAATGTCTCCAGGAATGCTTGTAAATAAATAAATAAATAATAAAAGTGCAATTTAAAAAAAAAAATGAGTGAAAAAAAGAAGCTATTACTCGTTACATTATATGAAAAATCAAAATTTGACTGATTGACAAAGCGTTTATATAACTGCCACTTAGATAAAAAAAAAAAGAAAAACTCGACACATTTTTCATCAACGTACATGTAGATGGAATTGAATAAAAACGAAAGAAAACAAAAATTCATCTTAATTAGATAGCAATAAAAATTTAAATAAAATTTCCAAATATTATCTGAGATAATAAAAATATTATTTTTTAAAAAATTAGACTTATTAATACAAAAAAAAATATTTGAATTTAAATAAAATTGGCGATTTCAAAAGAAAATGAATGTCGTGACTATTAGTCAGTAAATTTGGAGACATTAAAACACACTAATCACGTTTGATAATATTACAAAAGAAAAATTTCCAACTGTATTATAAATGCATTAAATATTCAAGAGTGATCACAATACACTAATCTGATAAAAGTTGAATAAAAAAAAAAATAATTTTTATAAGTGACAATTATTATAAAACAACTTAATGTCAAATAAAAATCATATAAATAGTAATAAATCACTTTATTTTGTTACCTTTAAAAATTCTTAGCGATTTACTTTTTTTCTTTTATTTTTATATTATTAAATGCTAAAAATGGAATTTCCTGTTATGTACCTAAATTAATTTTTTAATTTATTTTTATATAAAATGTAAAATTGTTTTTAATTAAACAAAATTTTTATTTTATTACTTTTTTCAAATACTTAAGCTCGTGACAGAGCCATATCATGGAACTTAAAAGTAAAAGACTACCAGATTGATGTAATGCCGCAAGAGTTACCGGTACATGATGCACTAAAGTCGAAATACCTAATATTACTTGTAAATATCCTGCACATAATGCAACTTTTATTGCCAAAGATGCTCTACCAGGTAATTTGTATTTTCTGGACATTATTGCCATTAAAGTCACTAAACTTATAGTTGTTATCCCCTGGAAATTATATTTCGAGTAAGAAAAGTAAAAAAAACTTTTCCTTATATGTTTTTTTTTTTAAAGAACTATTTTAATTTAAATGTCAGATTAACTCAAAATTCTGGGAATTAAAATTAATACGCAAAAATCATAAATATACTATTGAAATATAATAATAAAAAAAACATACCAGTATTCTGTGATCAAACTGCACTGTCGTTGGATTTTCCGTGAAATTTCTTAATGTCGGATAAAGAGCAAAAATATCATCTGGAATCCATTTATCAGCCATTTTAGGAAATGTATTGTAAATTAATCCAGCATCCATACCGGCGACAAATGCACCTGACAATGCTGTGATAAAAACCAATCCCTTTGTTCCATGTACCATTATTCTAAATCTCTTTAAGGCCTTAATTAAATTCTGTCTAATCATTGACGATCCAAAATAATCGATATTAAGTTTTTTCGCTGGTAAAATATGATCCAATGCATTATAAAGTAAACCAGTAAATAAAATAAATGCTAATCCCAAATGTGATGCTAAACGATATTGTGAAACTCTTGGTACATCCGATGGTCCATGAAAACGATCTTCAAGTCCCGATTTCACCATATACCATCCCAATAATCCTTGCATACCAATAAGAGAACCAAGTGCCAAAACACGTGTTTTCATTCCCGATTTTAACATTCCTTTACTCCAAAAATAAGCCGCAGGAACAATAAATGTAAAACCTATTAAACGACCCCACATTCTATGTGCGTATTCCATCCACCAAATTCGTTTAAATTCCTCTATAGTCATATTCGCATTGTTTCTGAAAAAGAATATTAATTCAAAAATAAATAATAATAAATAATTCAAAAGATAAAATTCATCTTCATGGAAATTAAATAAACGCAAAATTGAAATTACATTTTATATTCTGGAAATGTTTTGTATTTTTCGAATTCTTCGATCCAACCAGCTTCTGTAGTTGGCATTTTTTCTCCAAGTAATTTCCATGTAACCATGGATAGTCCAGACTCAGTGAGCCTTGTGACACCTCCTAAATTTGGAAAAGGCAAACAAAAAAAGAAAAAACATGTATTTATTTTACAATATCATTTTATTTATCAAAATTTATCACCTTCTTTCAATAAATATCAATTTGAAATTCTTTAGTGTAAAACAAAATTTTTTAATTAAAAAGTTCATTGTAAAAACGAGTTTCTTTTTTAAAATTGTATTTCTAATAATAATTTCGAAAAAATGTATAGAATAAATATATTTTAATAATAATATTGAAATAATTATTAAATTATAATTTTCCAAAAAAATATTCTAATTTGCCAGTTTTTGCAATGACTGATTTATCGTCTTTTATAAAATATATTATTGATATATTAATATAACTAAAATATATATATTAACTATTATTGTACCTTAATTGTTACATTTACTAACATTGAAAATTTTTTAACTTTTATTTATATTATAATAGTAATCGATTGTAACAATTTTTTTATATACCTATTTTCCGTAAGTCATATCGGTAACAAATTCTATAATTTTTCGAATGTAACCATAAAGCACGAAATAATAAAGCGTACCTAACACAACGGCTACAAAAACCATTCCACTACATGTAAATAACCATGAGCCAACGATTTTTTGCGATTTAAGATTTGGTTTTGTTCCGAACTGCGACGCAATTGTGCCATTTCTTCGAAATAAATTTATCTGCAGAGAATAATATTAATATAAAATAATTCATAATAAATATAATAAAAATCGCTTATTTATAATAATAATGAGACAATATTCTTGGAAAATTAATTTTAATTATAACTTATTAATTTTATCCTTTGTAGGAACAATTTATTTGTAATTATAGAATTTTTTTTTTTAATTATAACAAAATATTTTTTTGAGTATTAATTTTTGAAATAAAAAAATACCTTTTGAGAACTAGAGCCGTTCTTATGAATTAGTCCTTGTAAAAATGTGCATTTATTAGATACTGTTGGATAATTATAACGAGTAACATTTAAAAATGTTTTGTTACGATCAATTGTTCGCACGCACTGCCTTGTCACTAAACTCAACATGACTTTTCAATTTTTCCTGTGAAAAATAAATTATTTAAGAACATAATGATATATAATGTTTAGATAAATTTAAAAATACCAAAAATAAAATAATAATAATAAAACCAATAATAAAAAAAAGTTTCGTTAAGAATAATTGAAACACAATCGTTTTAAAAAATAATTGAAAATTTATTTCATTATCATTAATTCTTCGGGTATTTTCAAAACTTCTTACAGTTGTAACATAATATTTACAAATACAATAATTGTTTTCTATAAAATGTATAAAAATTATTAAACATAACCAAAAAAATAATAACATGTCAAAACATTATCTAAAATTACATTCTGAGAATAAATTTATCTGAAACTTTTAATGAATTCATTTAATTTGAATTTCAATTTTACGAAAAATGTTACAATTAATGGCTAATAATCATTAAATTATGTTATTTTTAAATGAAAATAAAAAAACTTACATCAACAGTGCATGTTGTTTTCAAAAACTGGAGCAAATGTCATATTAAGGTACATTCACAATATCCGTAAAATTGTGTTAGAAAGAGAGAAAAGATTTTTTTGTCCAATTTTTATCTCTTTTTCACTTCTACCAACTATGAAAATAAATCGATTTATATCGACAGTTGATGTGGGGTCGCCTTAATAAAAGGCGCCACCTGCTAAATTTTTCAGATAGTATTTGACAGTTCCAGTGATTCTATTTGTATTGTAATAAATATTGTAAATTATCAAAAAAAATTTCTCTAATTCTACAAGTTTCAATGTAAAATGAATAGATAAGTTTTAAGAGGTTAAACATACAAGTGAATGTGTGATTCATTACCATTTTGAAACTGAAGAATATACATGTCATTGTAGATTGTTGTAGTGCTCGCAGGTAAATAAAACAATAATATTAATGTTTTTACTTTTTGATAATAGTCAATAATATTTTGAAAATGATTTATTCAAGTTGAAATGCAAACAAGGTGAAAGAGCGTACATGATGTTAATAACCTGACAAAAGAGAAAGAGAGAGAAAAAAAATGAGAGGAATTATGAATGTTGTAAAGACACTCGTAGGGTTTCTCAATGAGTATGCCCGCGGTTTAACATTTACTATTATTACACTCTTCTTGCTCTCTTACTGCCTTCATCCTGACAGATTTGCAGCTCACTATAGTTTTATTCAAACCAAAGATATTTATATTGAAATGGAAAGATCATTTTTGCCTCGTGATAATTCTTGTGATCTTATTGTCACTGGTAAAACACAATTACTTTATCCGAATGAACATCCACGAGAAGATCCTGCAGCTTTAGCGAGACGTTTAGAAATTTTACCCGGTGGACAATGGAAACCACAAAATTGTCATTCATTATTTAATGTGGCAATTATTTTACCATATCGAAATAGACCAACACAACTTGCAATATTTATGAATTTCATTCATCCATTTCTTCAATCACAAAATTTAGACTATAGAATATTTGTCATTGAACAAAGTCCAACGAGGGAATTTAATAGAGCAAAATTATTTAATGTCGGCTATGTTGAGGCGACAAAAATCAATGACTTTCATTGCTTCATCTTCCAGGATATTGATCTTATTCCACAAAATCCGGACAATATTTATGCTTGCACAAAAATGCCAAGACACATGAGCTCTAGTGTTAATACATTTAGATATAATTTGCCGTATAATGGATTATTTGGTGGTGCAATTGCTTTAACTAGTAAACAATTTAAAACGGCAAATGGATTTGCAAATTTTTTTTACGGCTGGGGTGGGGAGGATGATGATTTCTACGAAAGATTGCAAAACAGAGGACTCACGGTTTGTTGAAAATATTATCTATAATTGTTAAATTACAAAAAAAAAGGAAAATAATTACGAAAACATATTTTTTGTTTCTGATATCTTAAATACTTAAATTTTATTACTCTTTCTCTCTGTAATCTTATCTAATCGTAAAACTTTTAGAGTGCTTTTATTAAATTTTATCTAAAATCATTTCAGATTACAAGATTCGGACCAGATGTAGCTCAATATTATATGCTTACTCACAAAAAAGAAAAGCCAAGTGTTGCACGTTATGAAAATTTAGAAAGTGGATCACGCAAATACGACAGTGATGGTCTTAATAGTCTCGAATATAAAGTTCTTGATCACGAGCTACGTCCCCTTTATTTTTGGATATTAGCGGATGTTTAAAAAGGTAGATTTCAATGTTGCTTCAGGCTCTGAACATTTTAAAATTAGTCGAAAATTTTTCATTCTTAAACTTAAATAAGTTCTAAAATAAAAAACATTTCTTTCTTTAAATGAATAATAATAATACTCTGAATAATAAGTATTTACATTCGTTATCTATTCTTATTTAAATACTTTTTAAATGGCGATAAACGATAGTCGTTTAATATTGTTTAAGGTCATATAAAAAGTAACAAAATTAAGCCTACATTGTTCAGTATTTTAGAATATTAATGAAGATTTATTTAAGATTGTGAATTTAGTTAGTTTTTTAATTAGTTTTCTTAATTCTCCATTTATGTACATAAAATTGAAATTATACTAATTTATATAAAACTAAGAAATAATATCTCGAATGATTATTCATTTAAATTTTATTACAAACGAAAAGCATAATTTGTTCATTTATGAATTATTTATTTATGAAATATTTACAAAAAAAAAAATAATTTTATATTTACTTGAAGTTTTAAACGAAAGTACTACAAAGATGTTTTTTAAATCCGTTAAATTAATATTTATTACTATTTAATTGAAAAACATTGATCTACACTAACGTTTAAAACTTCAGAGTGATTTTTTATGCCAAGAAGAACATTTTTATGTTTGATCTCAAATGCGACAAATAGACTTTAATAAATTATTAATAGATGTATGTATTATTAAAATCAATTACTCGTGTAGTGTTAAAATTCTTTATAAAAAAAAAACTAAATTATCATCTGTTTAATTAATATGAAAATATTTATTGAAAAATATTAGTAATTTTCTTTTATATTTTTACAATAAATTAAAAAGTACAACTTATAAACATAAGTTTATAACTCAAAAAAAGAAGCTTTGAACAATTTTTTGATATGTTCTAACTAAATTATAATTAATAATAATAATTAAGAAAATATCTAAATTAATTAAATTAATTTAAAAAAGTGCCGTTAACAATTAATTAATAAATATTAATATTTAATATTTTTAAACTTATTTTTCAGAATAAAAAATTATTTTTTGTGTAGAAAATGAAAATACCTTTTAAATATTTTTTAGGTAATGTAAATTTTTTTTATTAATATTAAAAAAGATAAAATATTGGTTATAAATTTCTTTGCAAAAAAAGAGGAATAATTTTTTAATTTAAATTTCCAACTAAAAAAAAATCTATCACTATCAAAAAAAATTACTTTAATAAAAAATATATATTTTTAATAATATATAATACACGTGTATTTAGAATTTGAAACGATGATGCCATATCTTTTATCGTAAGCTAAATATTTTAATATTTATTTATGTACAAAAAAATAATATTTATTTAATTTATAATACCTCGAGACAAGCAAATAAATTAAAACACGAATTTGCCTGAGTGATTTCTAGTTGTATTCGAAAAAAAATTGTAGTGATAAATAGAAATACAATAGACAGTAGTTTTCAAGAATGATGTGTGCAATATCAAATAATAAAGATATGTATGAATGTTAACAATAAAAAAAAAAAATAAAAATAAAGTTCGATTTATACCAAAAGACATTGTCTTATATTATATCTCATCTCATACTAATGGTCAATTTAAAACTCTTTAATTTATGTTCAAAATAATTTTTTTCTAAATTATTCCTTTAAAACAAAGAATCTCCAATTTTGATTCACTTTTATAAATTAAAATTTCATTTTAACTTAACGTTACAATTATTTGCATTTCTATTCGTTTTATTTGCAATGCAGCATATATCTTGTTTTAAAGTAGCATTTATTCGTTTGGTACTGAAGCACTTTTGCTCAGTTTACTTTGAGATTTTCATCTGAAATCAGTGTTGCGAAGAAGATAGTTTTTTTTTCATAATAATGATATTAAACAATTCAAATCATATAATGTGAGTAATGATCATCTTTTTAAATAGTATTTTTTTAAAAAAAAAGGATTAATATTTTAGATTTAATTTAATTTAGATTTTAGAAAAATATCAAAACTTTTATAAATTAGGGAATATTAACCAAAAATCATAATTTTTTAAATTAAAAACGACAGTAAATAATTAATTTTTACTAAATTAGTAATAAATTTAATTTAAAAAACAATATTTATTTTGTACTATTTTAATTTTTGTTGAAAAATTAATATTTCTTTTGTATGAACTATTTTTTTATTTTTTGCAAAAAATTTAAATGACGTGTGGAAGAAGAATTATTTACAGAAAAATTTAGAATTCACAAGATAATTGCTTTCTAAACTATAGTTTCTTTAACTTTTTAAAATGTAACCCAAACTGTTGTTATCGCAATTGTAAATAAACGATTAAAATCCTCTAAAGTAAATTAAAGAAGACTGATTATGGAGAGGAAAAATTTCATGAGATGCAGTTGAATTAATTTAAAAAATTAATTAACAATTTAATAATTTACTATTTTTAGTGTTTAAAAAAGAATTCAGCTTGTTTTTGTAAATAAATAAATTTTAAATTTTATTAAAAATTTGTAACTATTATTGCAGTATATTATTATTATTTTTATCGATGAAATTGAAACACTTGTGTGGAATTCATGTTTGTGAATTAGAAGCCACAAAATTAACAGATGTTTTTCCTCTTTGTCGATTTAAAAAAGATCATTTAATTTGTCACGGTGGAATTGAATCATGGAAATTTGGGTAAATATTTAAATTATAATGTATAATTTACTATTTAATATAAAAAATTTTATATTTCCTAAAGTTTTGTTTGAATTTAGATCAAAAAATTTACACAGTTTAACATTGTGCGATTGGCCGGAAATAAATTTTGATTCAGAGAGAATTTTACAATATTTTCCATCTCTGAAAAATTTGTCTATTATTAATGGTAGTATTATAAATATTTCCAGTCCTTTTCCAGTGGAATGCCAAAAAATAGAGGTAATTTAATAATAATTTCATTTTCTTTTAAGTATTAAAACTATTATTTAATACAATAAAAAGAAAATTGTAATTTAGTTATATTAAATAAATTTTTAATTAATTAAATTTATAATTAAACATAATATTAAATATTTTAAAAATAGAGACTAGAAATTATTGGAACGAAATTACAACAATTTCAAGAGGGAATTTTTAAAAATTTATCATCACTTCAAATTTTAGATTTAAGATATAATAGTCTAAATGAAATAAATCCGGAAATTTTCAATTTATCATCTTTACAGTTCATTTACCTGTTTGGTGAGCTCACGTACGCATTTTCTTTATTATTTTCATAATTAAAAAATTAAAATTTAGAAAATACCATTTAATTCGTTTTTTTTGAAATTTAAATGATTTGAGTTTGTTATTCGCTTTCTATTTTTTTTATTGTATTTATTTTTTTTCGCATTATATTTTATTATATTTTTGTGTATTTACCTGAAAATAGAGTAGAAATAAGCAAATTTAAATGTATTTCTTCTTGAAGGAAATCCTTGGAAATGTAGAAAGGAAATGTCATGGATTCTTGAATCAGGAAATTATTCCATTGCTAATAAAATTGATGATAAATTTGATTTACAATGCTCAGCTCCATACGATGGACGACCACTTGTTCCGGTGGTAGAAATATTAGTAGTAAGCTCTCTTCCTGAAATATTATTCAAAATTAGAAATTATTTTGTTAAAATAATAGTAAAAAGTAGATTTTTAAATTAATTTTCTTTTTCTTATAAAAATAGGCTCTAAATGATGAATGTAAACAAACTGTTTGTGAATGTCAATTGACTTATGTTTACGGACGAGTAGACAGGCAAATTCAAAAGCAATTAATGGCTTTTGTTTCTGTTAATTGTAGTAATCGAGGATTAACAGAAATGCCACCATTTTTACCGGCCAACACGACAGTTCTTCAACTTTCGGAAAATGAGGTATAAATTTATAAAGAATAAGCAAATAAATAATTTTCCAAAAAAATTTTTTCAGCTATTATTTTTCATATTGGAAAAGACTATTGATTTTAAATTGTTTTTAAATGTTTCGAATTTTTTTTAAATTTAGATTACGGACTTGACACCTTTGAAGGCAAATCCTGTTTATAAGCGAGTTTTAGATCTTTATTTGGATTTTAATTTAGTGGAGACTGTTAGTCTTCTCGATGGATCATATTGGCTGGAAAACTTTCGACTTCTTAGCCTCCGCAATAATAAATTAACAGATGTTCGTTAATTACGATGTATTATAATATTATCATTATTATATATTGGAATATCTTTCATTACTAAATATTATTTATTTATTTTATTATACTCTAAAAAAATCTACTAATTTTTGTATTTTCAAATTTAACTTTTTTTTTGTATTTCAGCTACCAACTTATGCCCTAGAGCATGTTTTACCTCATAGTATAAATTCAGCTCGTTTATATCTTGGTAATAATCCATGGAGATGCGATTGTTTGTTTACTCCAGGATTTCAGGTAGAAAAAAATTGATAAAAGTTTTCATAATTTACTAATTCAAACTTATGCCAAGTTTTTTTTTCAATTAAAAGAGTTTTTGTTTTGATAATTTGAAAAAATGGCTAATAATTCTTAAAATATTTTAGGATTTTTTAATTCGATTTGCAAATTTAGTAAAAGACATCAATGATATTCGTTGTTCGGGTGATGCAAGTGAAAATTCCCATAAACAGGTATAATGTAGAAATAATTAAAATATTCTATTAAATTTCTGTTATTTCAATAATATATATAATTATATTGATTTTTTTTTTTGCCTAGATTCGAGAACTGAAAAGAACTGAAATTTGCATTTCACCGGACTATAATTACTGGTTGCCTTTGGACATTTTAAACATTATACTTGCATTGTTAATATTTCTTGTCATTGGAAAATTATTGTATGATTATTGGTGTTTCAAAAGAACTGGAAAACTACCTTGGATAGTAACGAAAATACCTTAATGTCTTTATTTATATTAAAAATTATTACCTTTTATTTTGTAGTTTAAAGTTGATTTTCATTATTATTATTATTATTATTATTTCACCAATAAAATAATTTCCTTGTTAAGTTCTACTTATAAATTTTTTTTTTATTTTTCCCCAAATCGTTAAGTTTCTATTAAAAAAATAAGGTAGTAAAATTAATATAAATTAATAATTTCATTAAAATTTTGTAAATTAATGGTAAAAAAAGAAAATTCATTTAAAATCAAAGACTGTACCTTCCTGGAGAAAACAACTTTCATTTGATTCAGAAGAATCGCCAACAACCTTAGCCCAAGAATCAATGCTCATATTTTCGGAAATTTTCATTTCTTGTAAATTCTCATTTGACTCTGAATTAGATTTCGAGTTTTCTTCACAATTTTCCATCAACATACTTTCCTCACTTTTTTTTATCGTCTCAACTACTCTCGTCAAAAAAGAAAGAGATTCGTCTGTTTCAATTTCTTCATCATCATTCTTTGACATTTCAACTAATTCATTTGTTCTCTCTGAGAATTTAGATTCATTCAATGATGCAGAAAGATTAAATTTTCTTTATTCATTATTTCATTAATAATGAATTTTATTTATTAAACATATTTCAATAATATTGTTTTCTCGTCACCTTTTACAAGTTCCTGTGTGTTATTAGATAAATTTATTCCTTCTTCGGAATCTTTTTTTGATACCAAAATATTTGACGTGTTACATTTTAAATTCTCCTGAAAATTAAAAGCACCTTTTTAAATCAAATTATTTAACACAGAATTTTTTTTATATCTAATAATTAATAATTTTTTAATTATAAATAAAAGCACATACATCTGATATAATTTCTGAAGAGTTATCCAAATTTACATTCGAAGATTCATCCACTGATGAGTGAACTTCCAAATTTAACAATAAAAATTAAATTTTAAAATTAATAAACCAATATTTATTAATTTCAAATGGAAATTACAAATAGGATGTTAATGAAAAAATTAAATGCAATAAAGAAATATTAAAAATAAAACTTAAAAATATTTACCAATCTCAAGATTGTTGGATAATTGTAATTGATCAAGAAGATCTTCTGCCTGATCAAGAACAGATTCCATTTCACATAAAAGTGGTGCAACTTTTGGATATTTCTTGTTAATAACCTCCCATACTTTCTCAAAATCTTCAAGATTCATTATCGATCTGGGAGGCGAAATTTTCGTGTAATTAGATTCAGACATTTTTTTTTATTTACTCTTATCCCTCTTATCTTATTTTATTGCAGTTTGACAGATTTGAGGTTATAAACAAAAACAGTTTTTATTTATGAAGGTGTGTTCACACGTTACAATTTTTGACATTTATTCGCTTTGGAGCACTTTTAGAGGCAAATTTAAAATTATTTCTTGTTATACATATATATTTTTAAAAAACTCAAATTTTTAAACATATATATATATATATAATTATATATAACTTGAACATTTTATTAATTTATTTTTTATATTTACCATTATATGTGTTTAATGTTTTTGTCATAGGTAACTTTTATTCAAATAAACTCGATTTTTCTTAAAAATGTGTTTTCTTTTATTTATCTTAAAAATACCAAAACATGCGAAGTTTTTGAATTCGATGAGGTATGAAATCACTGTGTTCAATTAAAAAAAAAAAAAAGCTATATTGTTTAACATGTTCTCTTAGTCTTAGCTCATTTTTAAAATTAAAATAAACTTCTTACAAATGTTTTTTTGTAAAGACTTAACCAGTCCAATGAAATTGTAAGGAGGAATATTTTTTACGCCTATTCACGCAATTGTATCAGAGAACTAAATAACAATATTGTTGAAAACAAAAATTTTTTTTTTTTAATTATAATTAGTTACTCTGATTTAGATTTAGTTTCTTCCTTAAAATGTAAAAAGATGAATGAAAACAGAAACACTCCTGCCATCATTGAGAAAGCGCTAACATAATATGGATAGGCACTGAGTATAAATCGTTCATATTGTGTATGTTGTAAAGGTCGAACAGAAACCTGTGTTGTACTATACAAATGTGTTAATCCAATGCGCGTATAGTCAACTTTAAATTGATAAACACCATATACATCAGGAATAGTAAATCTTGCTTCATATCGACCATTACCCACTGGTTTCATGAGCGTTCTTACAAATGGATCAATTCTTACAAATTCCAATTGCACATCATTTGCTTCATAAGGAATCCAATCTTTTCCAGATAATTCTTCAATGTTTACGGAATAAACAACATCGTCCATTATAGTATAGGATGCAGGTGGTTGTATTTCACCAACACGATGATGATCTACTCCAGAGACTCGAATAACTCCCTTCTTTTTAAAGACCCAATTAGCCATGGCTTTTGCAACAACTTCATTGCCTGATAAGTCATACTTTTGTCCTCCTAAATAATAATATAAATATTAGTCAACTCTTTTCTTCTATTTAAAAAATTCAAAACTAGTTTTACTTTTGAAACTAATGTACAAGAGCAAACAAAAATTTTATTGTATTACATATAATGTAAAATATAGTACTACCTAATGATTTTTTCACAGAACTTGTGAAAGCTTCATCACTGAAGAAGTATAAAGAACCAGAAAACAAAACTCTAGCATTGTTCCTAGCTTGAAGAGCTGCAATTAACAATGTATTTTTTCCAACAGCATGAGGATATTCTTTAACTGATTGTTCTGAATGATAGGAATACGCTGAACTTGATGCCGTAAGTAATCTAAGAATTAATGGATTATCAGGATCAGCAATCAATCCAGTTCCTTGATAAAGTAGAGGAGGAATCGATTTACTTCCAACAATTACTGGAGCATCTATTAAATTTGATGAATCTGCTACAATTGTTGTGTGATGTCCAATGTCTGATACATCATAATTCATATGATCAATTACTGTAGCGCCTTCTTCATCAATTTCAAAACCACATTCAGATGCTAATTCTCGTAATGCATCACCAGACTGTGATGATCCCGCAACTAATACATTACCACCTCCATCAATGAAATCAGTTATTGCATCAACATTTAACGAACCTCCAAATTCTTCAACGGAAGGTGCAAAAATAATTAAATGCTTGTACAAATATTCTCCATACTTAGATAAAAGTAAATTAGAATCGTCGGCTAATTTAAAAGAGAGATTATAATCGTTTTCTGAAACAAATCAAAAAAATTACTTTTTATAAACTAATATTGTATGTGTATTTAAAATGGTTTAATTCAATAAAATTATGTTTTATTATTAATATTATTTATAGTTAGACAGTATAGTTTAAACTGTACATGAAGAAGCATTTTTTCTTACCTTGTAAAAATTTAAAAAACAATGAGTGTGTTTCTTTTATTGCTAAATTATCCAGCAAAACCAAAGTAGGTCCATCGGCTTTTGCCCAAGCAAAAATATAAAATAAAAATAAACAAATACTTCTTGCCGAATTCATATTTCTAACGCCGAAACAAGTTTGCCACGAGTTAACATCAACGTGGGTTGACGTGGGTGATGAGACTACAACACATTCGTACCCAGGGTTGGGAATTATGGAATTACGGTTGGTTTCCATTGTCTCCAGAAATGTCCAGTGGAGACAATGGAAACCAACCATAAAAAACATTCTTTATTTCACTCACTCTTATGCGTTACCATGACAACCATACTTAAGTAATTGAGCTGTGTCCGCACCCTAAACGTTGTGAAGTCACCTATTTTTTTTGTGTGATATAGGTTATGTTTTCAGTTTCGTTTTGATCTCTTCGAAAAAACGATCAACACTAGGTTGTTAATTCATCGTCATTATTATGGTGACGTTGAGATTTAGTGAAGAAAATTTTCAACTATGATGTATTATTAATAAGGTAATTTTAAATATTATTCTCCAAATTATTAATAGATATACAATACCGGCAATAATTATTAGTTCCTTAAAAAAAATTCTTTCTTTTATATTTTGACAAATAATAAAGTTAGATATATTTATTAAAAAATCATTATAGAGCTTATAAAACTACCCCTAAAATAATTAATTTAATTCAATATTTTTTAAACATTGTATTGTATTTTAATAACGAATATTTTTACAGTTGATCATAATTTATTTTCAATTTGGAAATTTTACCTTTGGATCAGTCACATGATAATTAACAAAATGAAGGGCTTCTTTGGAAATTTATTGAGTTTTGTTTCAGTCACGATAATTTTAATACCATTTTGTATCGCTGAAGATATTTTAGGATGTGGAGGATTTATAAAAAGTCATACTGACATAGATTTCACTCAAATTCGTGTAAAATTGTAAGTAATTTTAATTTTTTAATTTAATTTCCTAGTCATTTAGTAAATAATTTAATAAAAATTATTTAGATTCACAAAAACAGGAAGTGTAAAAGATTATACCGAAGCAGCTCCTAACAGTGGATATTATTTTTTACCTCTCTATGATAAAGGAGAATATGTTTTAAAGGTAATTATTTTTAATACAAGTTACATTATTATTCAATTGTAAATGTCTAGTAATTATGTTTATTTTTTGATAAGGTTGAACCACCTCAAGGTTGGAGTTTTGAACCAACAGAAGTTGTACTAAATGTTGATGGATCTACGGATATTTGTAGTCAAGGAAAAGATATAAATTTTGTTTTTAAAGGATTTGGAATTACAGGCAGAGTAAGAAGACAAATTTTTTTCTTTTTACTTTTATTTATGTGATATAAAACAAAATTTTTAATATTGATAAATTGCACAGGTAATTAGTAAAGGTTCTGACTCTGGACCAAAAGGAGTAACAATTTCTTTATACAAAGATAGCGATAAAAGATCACCTTTTAGTTCAACTATTACTTCTCAAGACGGAAGTTTTTATTTTACTCCAATTCAACCTGGAAATTATGTTCTAACTGCTAGTCACCCACAGTAAGTAATTTAGATTAAATATGTACTGTACTGATGACAAATTTATTTCAAAAATATTTTTTATTTACTAGATGGATTATAGAAAAGAATACAGTAACGGTTATTGTACAAGAAGGAAATACAAAGCTTCCCGATGATAGTTTAATAGTTTTTGGATACGATGTTAGTGGCTTAGTTTTAAGTGACGATGAACCCGTCAGTGGAGTATCATTTCTTCTTTTTGGGGTAAAATATTTTTCTTTTTAATTATTATAAACTGTATTTTTCAATTATTTAAGCATAAAATTGTATTTTACAGAATGGTCATGTAAAAAATTGTGAAACAGGTTTTATAAAAGAATGGACATCTGAAAAACCATTGTGTCATGTTAATTCGGATGAAAACGGTAAATTTACATTTCCGTCAGTTTCCCATGGAGATTATAAAATTGTACCTCTTTATGCTGGAACTCGTACCAAATTTGACGTGCAACCATCTGAATTACGATTTAAAGTTAATCACGATAGTTTAATATTATCTCAGAATTTCAAAGTAACAGGATTTACAGTTAGTGGTTTGGTATTGGAATCTACTCAAGGAAAACCACTAGTTGGAGCTAAAGTTTTTTTATCTGGAAAAGAAGTTGCTGTTACTGATAAAACTGGAAAATACAAAGTAGATAATATCAAGTCGGGTCAATATCTTTTAAAAGCTGAAAGTCGTAAGTTTAAATAATGTAAAATCTATTAATGTTATAATCAATTATATATGGAAATAATATGTTTCTCTCGCCTCACAGAAAACGTAAAATTTGAAGAGAAGCTCGTTAAAGTTTCTCCAAGCTCTTCAGAAATGCCTGTAATAAATCCGTCATCATATAAAGTCAGTGGAAAAGTAACTTTGTCTGCAAAAAATGTACTTCATTATCGTAAAATTTCAATTAAAAGTGCTGCTTTACATTTTTATACTGAAGTTGAAGTTGATCCCAACAGTGGAGACTTTCATGTTTTTCTTGCACCTGCTAAATATCAACTAAATGTTGTTGTTACAGAAGAAGAAAATAACAAAGGATTACAGTATGTTAAATTTATTTTTTACTGACTTTATTGATTTTTTTAAATACTTTTAATACCTTATTATTTTGTTAACAGATTTTTCCCTTTGCAACAAACAATTACTGTATCGTCAAAGTCTCTTGATAACATTAATTTTTTGCAACTGAAAGCAACATTGAAAGGTCGAATCAAATGTTTAGAAAATACAGATTGCAATCAGGCATCTATTACTTTAAAAGTTCTCGATGGAGTAACTGTAAAAACTGTACAAGTAAAAGGTGAATAATTTATTTTTTGATTAAATTATTTGATATTTTGTGTGTGTACATAAATGTAAAAATTTTTTTCTAGACGCAAGTGGAATGTATGAATTCTCTGATGTATTGCCTGGTCAATATGAAGTTTTAATTGACACTGATGTCTTCTGTTGGGAAAATTCTACTCACAAAATAATGGTAACTTCAGAACAAGCAGAAATTAGTCTTTTCCGACAGACTGGATTTTCTGTCACATTCATTTCATCTCACGATACTGACGTTGAATATTCAATTCCTGGAGAAACAACCAAAAAAATGTTGATGTTAAGTAAGGGAAGTTCAAGGCATTGTGTACCAAAAACTGGTGAATATGAATTTATTCCAAAGAGTTGTCATAGTTTCACAAAAGCATCATACAAGTGGGATACCAAAAATCGAATGCCTATTATTCTCACATCTGCCAAACATAAACATAGTGGAAACATCATCAGTTCAGTTACTTTAAATGACATTAGAGTGACAATTGAAAATGATGTTGGAGACCCTCTTACGTAAGTAATAAAAAAATAAAAACCAACACAGAATTATGCATAAATGCTATAATTTGAAAAATTGATTTTTTTATAGACTTGGACCTTTAAAGTACGTTAAAGAAAACAACGCATATAAATACACTTTTGAATTCGATGCCATTGCTGATAATTCATATGTTATTGTGCCAAAATCTGAAATAATGTTATTCAATCCTCCTTCGTTAAGAATTTTAGGAGAAAATGACTGTAATAATAATGTTGCTTCATTTAATGGTGAATTAGGAAAGGTTTGTTAATTTAGTTTTCTTTTTAATAATAATAATGATAGATTAGTTTTTTAATTAATTTAATTTTAATTGCAGATTATTAGTGGTTCAATAGTACCTAAATTGGAAGGAGTAACAGTAGAAATTTTTGGTAAAGATAAACAAATTCCTTTACATACTTTAGTTACTCAAAATGATGGACAATACAGAATTGGTCCACTTAATGGAGACATAGACTACAGGTATTTTTAGCAATATCAGTATTGATGACAAAAGTGAAAATAGTTTCTTAATGAATTTCATATTATGTATTTTAATGTTTCAGCGTAATTGCCACTATGGAAGGATATATTGTAACCGGTCCTGATGCAAAAGGAGTATTCTTAGCTCATAAATTGGCAGAAATTGATGTCGAAGTTTCTGACCAAGTAGATAAAAAAGCATTACAGGTAATTATAGTATAAAGGTTTTTCTGCAAATATATATACTTAATCGAAATTTTTCTATACATTCAGGGTGTTCTCTTATCATTGTCGGGAGATCAAAGTTATAGAAAAAATAGCATCACAAATGAAAATGGTCAAATGACATTTAAATCTCTTTCTCCTGGAGAATATTATCTACGTCCTATGATGAAGGAATACAAATTTAATCCTGCTTCAAAAGTAATCAATGTTGAAGAAGGCTTGACGGTTAAAGTGAAACTTTCAGGAAATAGAGTCGCTTTCAGTGCTTATGGAGCAGTTACTTCATTGAATGGAGAATCAGAAGCGGGTCTTTTTGTTGAGGCTCAAGGACAATCAAATTGTTCCAATTTTCTGGAGGAGGCAACAACAGAAGAAAACGGCAATTTTCGCATTAGAGGCCTCCAACCTTCTGTAAATTATTTATTTATTAACTTTGTAATTTTTCTTTTCACTATTATAAAATGCAACTTGAAATGATTTAATTTTTTGCAGTGTATATACGCAATTCGTTTGAAGCATGGGGTAGAAGCTAATGCAAATATTCAACGAGTATTACCAAGTTCAATAGCCGTTCAAGCCACTGAGGACGTTCATAATCTTCGATTAATTGCTTTTCATCCAATATCACGTACAGATGTTTCTGTATATGTTGTTTCAGCTCAACCTGATCATTATCGGTCCTTAAGAGTAAAACTTTGCAGAGAAGATATACCCGATTCTCCAATTCACGTTGCAAAAATAGATAACAATCAAAAAATAAATAACAACTATAATGCAGGATTCTTGATACATTTCCCCCCTCTGCAATCGGATAATAAAAGATATTTTGTCCAATTGGAATCTTCTTTATCTCAATTCTCGCACAAGTTTACAACTATTCCCATTTATTTTGAGGCCAATTCATCATTCAAACATGTTAAATTAAGATTTGATGCAGAAAGAAAAAGCGATCAAGGAGATATCAATCAATCATCTGTTATTGCACTACCATTTATAATTCTGGTTGCACTTGCATTTTTTAATAGAGAAAAATTGTGGAGCTGGTTGAATAATGTCACGGAAAAATGGTCAAAACATGTTCCAGCATCTAGGACTCAAGTGCAAGTCATTCCTATTGATCCAAGAGCTGATGACATAATTGTTGAGCAAATAATGAATATTAATAAACGAAAAATTAAAGTTCGTAAAACTTAAATTTTTCATTACTGAAATATGTACATATAATTATAATTTAAAAATTGAATAAATAAAAATAAAAATTTGTAAAATACAATATTCAAGTTTACATTACTTAAAATTATCATTTGCCAAAAATTATAATTTAATGTTTTGTTAACGATTAATAATTTATGTTTTTAAAATTAAGTTTAAAAAGGGTAAGATTAGAGTACTCACAATAAAAGTTGAGTCATTATTTTTATTTAGATAATAACATTTATTTTTTTGGTAAATTTATAAGTGTGAATTAAGTGTTAGCCAAAATCTCTTTTTGAATTAAACAATATATATTTTGAAACATTATTCTAACGTATTGTAAAAAAATTTAATTTCTAATTTTATATCTATATATCTATTTTCTTTTTAAAATTATTATTAATTAAATGACAAGTTACATTTGTAATTTAAATACAGGGATCACAGTCGGTCCCTTTTTTTTACACCAAATCTCCTTTTTCTCCTTTTATTAAAAAAAATCATCTAAAATACCTAAAATCATGAATTTTCACCCCATTTACATCTTTATTCAATTAATGACTATTTTTTATATCACATTTATGTATAAGTAAAAACTATTCATTTATAACTTTTAAATAGCACGTTTAATGCAAAATAAATTTTAGAAAATATTGTCAGTCCCTATATGTATAATTCTAATTTTAAAATTGTATACGAATCATTTACAAAACATTTCAAAAAAAAAATATGGTACAATGTTTTTAAAAAATAAATAAAAACTTTCGAAAAATATTAAAAAAATCTAATCACATTAAAACAGATGTATAAAAAAGAAATACACCTTTTTCTAAAGTAAGAATTGATTGATTGAATCCCTTTTACGATTAAATAAAAAATCCACTGTGATCCCTGAAAATATAATATTTTTAAAAAATTTCAAAATGACCTAACTTATTTTTATTTGTGTAAATTTAGATACTTGATTTAAAAACAAGTAATATCTTTAGCGTTAAGTTTTGGTGGTGAAGTCTTACTGTCGCAGTCCAAGTCCATACCATATGGTACTGAATTTGACATAGTCTTATCACTTTGGTTGTCTTCTTCATTAAGAATGTTACACATTATACGATCATCGTAAAGGGAAAATCTAGCTGCTGTTTGAGAAGACCGTCCTCGTACTTTTCTAACCGATGGAGGTAAATCACCAGGTGTTTTTATCCGCATATTTGGATCCTTTAAAATATTGACACTTGAACCAACGTTAAAAACTTGATTAAATTTATTTATACTTTTTTGTTTTGTCAAATTATTTTCGCTCTTTTTATTCCTCAATGGAACAAGCGGTAATGTTGATGGTCTTTCACAGGGAACTGTGCTGTCGTTGCTGCACTTTTGATTTCCAACTTGACTTGTATTTTTGTCGTTTTTATCGAGAAAACTAGCCGAAGCTGAACTTATTTCATTAACATATTTTCCTCTTGATGAAAGCGTTACATTTGTTTCGACTTTAGATTGCACTTTTTGTTTCATGAGTAAATTTGACTTTGAGTCTTCTCGGTCTATTTGACATTTACTGTGAGAATACAATTTGCTATTAGAAAGCAAATTTTTAAAAGTAGACCAACCCGCAAAGCCCTTTTTACGTGGACTTTCTTGAGTAGAGGATTCGTAAACGTTGGTTTGTTTCAATTTATTATAAGACGGTCCTCCACTTTCAGAAATAACATTTTGAACGTAAGGAATAGGAGTTGCTGGTCTTATTTGAATTACTTGACTTGTATTTTGAGCTAGAAAATCTTGTGGTATAAGAACCTGTGTCTCGGCAGTTAATCTGTATTGATCGCTGGTTGAATGTTTCGATGATTTATCTATCAAAATGTTGCCATTGCAAGCAAGTTGTTCCATGGAATTCGATTGAACCATGAGATTGCGCTCCATGCAGGGATTTCTACCCTGATAAGGTTGAAGAGTTTGTGTATGTGAATACAATACCATTTCGTTGGAATTTTTACCTACGAAAATATTTAAACGTTTATTTTAAGAATTTATTCTCATAACTTATTATTTCATACTTACAGTGTTCGTAAGTGATATTATCCATCGGTGATAACGTGACTAAATTGACATCGACATTATCGTCTTGAAATGTATGATGTGTTGATTGTGCAGTATTAGGGTGATGAGTTTCAGTATAAAGACTATTTGTAGTTGAAGGCACAAGTCCACAGTGAGAATTCATCATTGGGCTTCCATCAGTAAAGTACACTGTCACTGAAAAAATAAAACAAAAAACATTATCTAATTAAAACAAAAAAAAAAACAACTCAATAATACCTCGATGTGATTGCAGTTCTGTTAATCTTTCTTCTATGCATAAGGCAGTAAGGCGAGCTTCTGCATCTGCATCCCAACAATCCTCCATCGTTTCTTTTATCAAACGAACTCCTGATTTGTCAACCAAATTTCCTTCTAACAAGGGTCTGGCCTTGTTCCGAGAAACAAGAATTTGCATTTGTTCAAATGTAGGATGCAATCCTGAAATATTATTTTATGAATTTATTTAATGAATTTATCCAACTATAAAAGTGAAATAAAAGAAAAAAATACCATACCAATTTCTTTTTCAAAAGGAAGTTTATATGACGGTATTTCAGAGCCAGATACATAAATATCAGAACAACGAGATACAATTTCCCATAATACCAAGCCAATTGCATATATGTCAATTTGTTTTAGAGAGCTTTCGCAGTCTCTTAAATTTACAGCCCCTTCTAGTACTTCTGGAGCCATGTACCTAAGCGTTCCTACCTAAAATTGAAAAGAAATAAATTAATTAAATCTGTTTAAATTATATTATAAATTGTAATACTTACGTCATTAATGGACTTGGTTTCAGCATGTTGTTCTTCTCCATTCACATAATACTTTGAACCGGAGATTTGAACTGCCAATCCAAGATCACATATGCAACAAGTTCCATCGGCTTTGATCAAAATATTTCTTGAATTGATATCTCTGTGCGCTATACAAGGTTTTATTTTACCTGTAATAATTAAATTCGTATTATAATTTGCTAAAAATGAATTTTTTTAAATATGCACAATAAGTATTTTTAAATTAATACTTTACCATTCTTGTGATGATCTGTATGTAAATAAGCAAGACCTTTAACAATTGAGAGACTCATTTTACAAAACATTAGCCAATCAACAGTATGAGATCGCAAAAAATCCACTAAAGTTCCACCAGATGCAAAACTCAAGACTAAAAGATATTCTATATTGCCTTCTAAATTAATTCTTTCATCAGCACCTATAAGTGTTAAATTATTAAATATTTCTTTGAAACACAAAAAAGTTAAATTAATTAAATCATAAAATATTAAGTACCATAGTATTTTAATAATGAAGGATGCTCCATGAAAGGAAGGCAATAAGTATCCTTCTCATTTTGAAAATAATGTTTGTAATGCGCTGGATAAATTTTAACAGCAACATCTTGATCTCCAATGCTACCTTTCCATACCGAACCATATCGACCTTGACCTTTGTAATATTATATTCATTTAGATTTTTTTTTTATAATACTAAAGATAATTTGTGTCAAAAATATTTTTTTAAAGAAAATAATAATATTACTTACCAACAATTGTTGCTAGCTTTAGATTATCAAATGTGTAGGTACCAGTTCTAAAAGCTGAACTATCTGAGTATTGATCACAGTATGGTATAGAATTTCTAAATCTCAGTGCTCTATTTTTTTTATATACTTTACATATGAAAACACTTATAGAGCATATTATAATTAAAGTGCAGGATAAAATAGTTACGGTAACTAATATCCATTTTTTAGAGTTTGACTGTTCCGAATAATCCGTTGCTGTAAAATAAAAACATAAATTCAGTATTTATAAATATTCGTATTACAGTATTTCAATTAAACTGATAATAATAAAATAATTTATACTTGTTGAAATAGGTTGGAAAACATTATTTTGACCATGATCTGTTATATTGATGTTACAATAGTCCTCACGACAACAGCAAAATTTTGTATTATTTAACGCTTTTGTTGATTGTTCAAAAGCCACGCATTCTTTTGTTCCACATTCTTGATATCCAGATTGTTTCCAGCAGCCTAATTTACAAAATAGAATATTTTTTTCAATGAAAAATGAAAATATTACCCTACGAGCATTTAATATTGTTAAATTGCTTTATTAAATGAATTTCATTTTTCTTTCAATTTAATCTTGAGAAAAATTGTTAATCCTACCATTTTGTGATTTTATGACTCGTCAGTATTGTTTACATTTAAAGAAATTCAAGACAGCTGATCACGTGTACTATGTTTGCACGGGGTTCAAAGTTCTTTAACTAATAAGCCGCTGATATAATTGGTAATCAAAATGTAAACGTAAAAACTATTTACTATCATTAATTACAAATTCAGTTTAATTATAGACTTTTTCACAAAAACTCATTTTTATAAATTAACATTACTTTCTTAATAGTGAAAACTGTAAAATCCAGCATCAAATTTTATTAACATAAAAAATAACTTGCCTTGCATAATAATAGTTATTTCAGTACCATTTCCAGTCTTATTTTCTTTCCATAAGGTATAACAAAAATTTTCACATTTTTCAAATTTTATTTCATTGTGTCTCTGAAATTAAATATTTAATTAAATATTTATAAAAATGGAAATTAAAAATTAAAATTTAAATAAAATAATACCTGATAACCAGCATCATCATTGTTATTCGAATCATTTTCAATTACATTTTTATAATTTTCTTTTGAAAAATTTTCTGTAATTTTCTTTCGACTGACACATATTCTGTTTGCAATAATACATTGAACCAGTAATATTACTAATATCGTCAAAACAATAACTCTCATTGTGACACTTGAGACTCTTAAGGAATCCACTTCAAACAAGGCCTTCTTTTTTATTGACTGACATTTCTCACCATAAGACCTTGCTTTTGAAACAGAAGAGATCTATATTCATCTTTATAAATGTAAATCATATTTTATATTATTTAGTTAGATGAGAAATCTATTTTTAAATTATTACTTTTATAAATTTTATGTTTTAATTTTTTACATAAATAAAAACTATAAGAAATGATATCTATTTTTATTAATATTACAATTTTATTACCTTTAACAAGAACGTTCCAAAGTACACAAAAAAATTATATATAACATCAGACTTTGATGTTAATATCTCATGTCTTTAGGCTTGATTTTTCCAATTTATTCCATTTTTAAAGTGTAATTAAACTTTTGAATTCACTTATATGTGTATTTTAACTGAAGTTTTCAATCTCTAGAAAAATAAAACAATTATACATTATTTATCAATAGGAGTCTTCCTTTCTTATTAAGTTGACATTGATAAAATCACGCACTTACACAATTGTTTGCAATTTGATGCATTAAAATGAATAAATAGCAATATGTATATACTATTAAGAATTAAAAAAGTTAAAACTTTTTGGAGCCGGCGTCAAAAATGAAAAGCGTAACCAAGACAAAAGGTTGAAGTAATGCGTTAACATAAATATTCTGTGTGTCACACACTATACTTGTGATGTATTTAACAACGCATTATGTATTTTTCACAAATAACTTTCTCTGTATATGAATTGTATTCAATTATTATTACTTATTTATACAGAAATAGTCTAATTTGAAGAAAAATATTCAAAAATTTGTTTCTAATAATACGAATATGTCAGAGCAGTAATTATGTGATGAGATTTAAGGCCTATGCAGAATAGAATTCTTAAAATCACAAACGAGATAAGTTAGAGAAGGATAGAGTTATTGTTCTTTTCTGTCCTTTTTGGGGAGTTACACAAAACATCCGAAATATGAAATCTGTCCATTTTATTTTATTTTCAAACTGTCACACTTTAGAGTTTCTTCGTTAGTTTTTTATAATTATTTACACGAATTTACGTCACAAAACTAAACAAAACGTATCGCTTTCCAACCCTGAGGTGACATGCTCTATGGCGTTCCTTGTCATAACTCATGTCTGTCGATTAATAATTAATTGATTAATTCTTTCATAAATCAGTATTTGGTGGTGATTAACAGTGATAATGGCATCAATATTATGTAGTATTGTAAAATACCATTCAGAACAAAAGAATTACAGATGCGGTTATTGTAAGAATCCAAATAGTAACTTCAGTCATGGTATGTTTTAAAATTTATTGTTCTATTAATTTTATAATAAAATTTTAATTTATTTACGTTTTTATATATAGAAATAACAATATTTTCAGTAAAATATTTTTATTTTCAATTGCATTTGAAATATTTTATGTTTTGTTTTATTTTTCTACAGGAATGTGGGCTCATACATTAACTGTACAAGATTATCAAAATTTAATTGATAGAGGATGGAGAAGAAGTGGTAGTTATTTGTATAAACCTGTAATGAATAAAATTTGTTGTCCAGCCTATACAATAAGGTGCAGTATTAATATGCATTTAACTTTCCAAATAGTACAAAGTTGACAGCCTTGAGACAATATTTCACTAAATATTAACCTTAAAATATCTTAGTCAAAATAATTCATATTTAAGAATATTATTCAAATTAAAATAATAACAAAAATTTAATGACAGATGTGATGCATTAAACTTCAAAATTTCCAAGTCGCAAAAGAAAATACTTAAAAGAATGTCCAACTTTCTAAAAAATAAATTAAGTAAAGAAGAAAAAATGTCTCATACCAATACAGATATTATTCATCAAAATAAATTATGTAAGTTAACTGAATCTTTTTTTTTTTTAATTATTTTATTTCTTAAAAGTCTCATAAATAAATATTCTTACAGCAGAAATGCCTTATAAAGAGTTTGAAACAATAGATGATGCTAATAGATGTAAAATGAATATAACTTCTGTGTCTTGTCACGTTAAAAAAAAGTTAATAGCAACAGAGATTGGTAAGGATTTTTTAAATACAGAAATCAAAGGATTAAAAGACAATATTCCATCAAGTTCAAGCAGTGAACAATTATTAGCTGCTAAAGATATAAAATCAAATAAAAATAAATTTGTGTCTTGTAAAAACACTCAACAAAAAAAAGCAAAAATTTTACGCTTAGAAAGAAAACAAAATAAATTATTAGCACAAGGAAAAACTAATACTGAAATTGAAGCTATTTTATCTCAGCCAAAACAACAACAAAATTGTGACAAAAATTTGGAACAATTTTTCAATGAATTAAATAGTGAAATGAACAAATTGGAGGTACAACATTATATGAGTCAACTTTTTTCATTACAAATATATATTTTACTAATTCATAAATTTAATAGAAAAATGTATTTAACAGTTGAAATTACATCGAGTAATGTCGGATGAGTTTCTTAAAAGCCTTGATGAAAGTGCAAATCTTTACAAAAAATATCAAATGGCTATTCATAATGATGATCCAGAAGACTGTGATAAATCATCATTCTTTAGGTTTCTTGTCAAGAATTCTTTACAGGTACATTTTTGTTTTGTAAATGGCAAAGTTTTATAAATAATTTTGAAAAATAATAATTGAAGAATTTTTTAAGGAATGGTGTCCAGAAAATGGTCCATTACAAGGATATGGTTCCTTTCATGATCAATATTGGTTAAATGGAAAATTAATTGCCGTAGGTGTAATAGACATTTTACCTTCATGTATTTCTAGTGTTTATTTTTATTACGATCCTGAATATTCTCATCTTTCTCTCGGAACATTTAGGTAATTTATTTATTTATTATTATTAAAACAACTGTAATTTAATACCTTCTTGAGAATAAATATGAAAAAATGTTAATTACAGTTCATTACGGGAGATTTTTCTAACCAGACAGTTAAGTAAGACTGTACCGAATCTTAAATATTATTACATGGGATTTTACATACACATATGTCCAAAAATGAGGTATAAATCGAAAATGGTTCCATCAAAACTTCTTTGTCCGGAAACATATGTGTGGTGTGACATTGAAAAATGTTTACCGAAATTGGATATTAATAAGTACAGTAGACTTAATGAGGATTTAGAAGCAACTAATGAAGATAGTATTATTAACATAGACGAGGTAACAAAACTATAATAAGTAAAAAAAAATTGCACACCTTGAAAAACTTATTGATTTGCATATTTTCATAGGTTTTAATTCTATATCGAGAACAAGCAATGTTGTATAAAACATACAAGAGAATGTTGTCTACAATTAAAGATGAACATGAAGTCTCAGAGTATGCTTCCCTAGTTGGAATGAAATGTGCCACGAGCATTCTTTTGTATCGTAATTAGTAATTAATATTATAATATAAAGAATAATAATAATATTATATGCAAAACATTATAATTTTATATCCTTACCTGTTGGGTAATTGCGACTATTTGAAGGTATGTTTTTTTTCTAATTACAAAATATAATTACTGTTGATAAAATATTTTATTTATTATAAATAAAATTATTGATGAGAAAAATTAATGAAATTTAAATTGAACCGCGCCATTTAGTATCGGTGAATATGCGCTTTGAGAGTCAGTAATGACGTCATTCTAGTCACGTCATCTATTCTGCAGCAGTAGCAGTTTTGTATACAATAAAGAAAATAATTATAAATTTAAAAAAATTAATTTTACTTGTTGAAGTTAGTGTCTATTACATTATACAGAAGAATTTAATTTTTCTGAAATTATCAGTTTCCGGCTAGTGAGTGGTAATACAATTACTATTTCTCATAGTATATATTTTTTTTATTACCGAGTAATGTCAAAATATTTTCCCTCCCTCGTCCAAACGAGTACCTACTTGTACAAATATATTTGATTTCACTTTTTAATTTAGTTTTGAAAATTTTGTTCTTTAAAATTAATCATTTAAAATTATAAAAATTTCAATTGATTAATTAACTATTTACAATAATTTCAACAATTACTATAAAAAAGGAGACATTTTATATTTACAATTAATTGCAGTTTATAGAACTCTTAATCTAATCAGATTCAGGAAGAGAGGCCGCTCAGCGACATGTACGTAACATTATTTCTCGTTATCTCTCATATGAGAAAGAAATTATATACAATCAGATAAATACATGTTCCGTTCAGAAAGGAATACTAATAATTTTTTTATTACATTTTATTTCAATTTTTGTATTATTTAAAATATGCAAATATGCAAATATCATAATCATCATAATGAGATATAACATTTGAATATAGCAGAATTAATCGTCAAATGCAAAGTTCAAAGTTCGTATATCAGGTGACGTACATGCAGTGAATGCTTATGAAACGTTTTGTATTCTTCATATTAGATCGATTTATTTTTATCTAAACATTGGAATAGACGACAAATTATAACAAAATGACGGAAAAAAATGGTAATCTAATAATGGCTGAATCCCTAAAACAACAGGTAAATAGTAATTTTTGTATTTGATTATATTAAAGAGACGAAATTTATTATTTTCCTTTGTTTTGTGATTTTAGGGAATAAAGTACGTTTTTGGTATAATGGGTCATCCAGTAATTGAACTAGCATTAAACATACAATCAGTTGGTATTCAATATTTAGGATTCAGGAATGAACAAGCAGCATGTTATGCTGCTCAAGCTTATGGCTATTTGACAAGTAATGTATAATAAATTATTTTTTGACACTAATTTTAATCTAACCATTTTTTGTGAATATAAATTTTTTTTTTTTCAAATAAGGGAAACCAGCTGCTGTCTTATGCGTATCGGGACCTGGATTACTACATGTCGTTGGAGGTATGGCGAATGCACAAATTAACTGTTGGTATGTTTTAAATTCTTTTTAAATGAAAATTCACGTGTTTCTCAATTTTTCGGAATTATCTGTTTTAAAAAATAAGTTTTATTTAATTGTGAATATTATTTACAGGCCACTTGTAGTATTGGGAGGATCGTGTCCAACTGATCATGAAGGTATTGGTGGATTTCAAGAATGTCCCCAAGTGGAAGCGTGTCGACCCTACTGTAAATATGCAGCGCGACCTCCAACTGCAAATTTAATACCCTCACATGTTGAAAAGGCAGTTAGACTTGCAACATATGGTAGACCAGGTAAATATAATTTTCTGTATTTTTCATTAATATTATGTCTATTTTTAATTTTTATATAAAATTAATATTATTTTAAAGGTGCAGTATATATCGACTTACCCGCCACTTTGCTTCAACAAAAAGTTGATGAGCATAATATAGTAAAAGTTTCACAGTGCCCACCACCTCCTCTTATATATCCTCAACTGGAATTAATTGAGAATGCCGTTGCCTTAATTACTAATGCTAAAAGACCTTTGGTAATTATCGGAAAAGGTGCGTAACTCTTTTTTTTACACAAACAATAATAAAAATTAATTAAATTAAATTATTCAGGAGCTGCATATAGTCGTTCAGAGAAACAGATAAGAGAATTGATTACATCAAGTGGTTTACCCTTTCTTCCTACTCCAATGGGTAAAGGAATTGTACCCGATGAAGATGTAAATTGTGTATCAAGTGCTAGAACAGCAGTTTTGCAAAATTCTGATCTTATATTACTGTTGGGTGCTAGATTAAATTGGATGTTACACTTTGGACGTCCACCAAGGTTTCAAAGTGATGTCAAAATTATTCAAGTAATTTCAATTTTTATTCCCAATTCTGGTATTTGAATTTATACCTTTTAATACAGTGGCAATACAAAAATAATTTGCAAATTATTTACAGATAGATATTTGTGCCGAAGAATTACACAATTCCGTTCCAGCAAGGGTGGCTATTCAATCTGATATTGCTCCAGCTGTAGAAGGGATAACTATTCTTCTTAAGAAGAAAAATTACCATATGAGTAAGAGTAATCCTTGGTGGAGGAACATTATTTCGTCCGGTGAAAAAAATAAAGAAATTATTCAAGTAGGTGATATTTTAAAAAATATTGCTAATTTTTGCAAAAATGCAAAATATTTTATAAATTTCAAATTTTTTTTTCAGAAACTAGCTTTAGACACGTCAGTTCCTTTGAACTATTATGCAGTCTTCAGAGAAATTCAAAATATGATACCAAAAGGTATTTTTTGCTTTTTTATTGAATTTTCAAAATTTATTATATTATTATCAATAATATTGATGTGTTCTATTTGTAGATAGTATAATTTGTTCAGAAGGAGCCAATACTATGGACATTGGTCGAACAATGTTACTTAATAATTTACCACGGCATAGATTGGATGCTGGGACTTTTGGCACTATGGGTGTTGGACTAGGTTTCGCAATAGCTGCTGCTCTTTATTGCAAAGATAATGCTCCTCATAAGAAAGTGATTTGCATTGAGGGTGATAGTGCTTTTGGTTTTTCTGGTATGGAGATAGAGACAATGTACAGGTACATTTTTCAAAATTATAATTTATTATTGGATCAATTTTGATATAAATTAAAAATTAATTTTCTTTTCTCAAAGAATCTTCAACTTAAAAAAATTAGTTTTTAAATTATTAAAATTTTTCTTGTCTTATATTTTAGATATAAGTTGCCAATTATTATTATTGTGATAAATAATAATGGCATTTATGGAGGATTGGATACTGAAACTTTTCGACAAATTCAACAGAGTGGAACACCAACTCAAGTGTATGCATTTGAAATTTTTAATAATTTATAATTCAATGATAAGGGTAATTTAATTTGAATAATTTATAGAATTCCTCCGTTTGCATTAACATGTGAAGTACATTACGAAAAAATAATGGAAATGTTTGGGAAAAAGGGTCACTATTGCACAACAATTAAACAGATTCAACAATCATTGAAAGATGCATTTCAAGTCAGTATTTCGTTGTTTAAATATAATATAATTATTAAACATGTTTTGTACAAAAATTATTTTTAATTTCAGATTAAGGATGAACCATCATTGATAAACATTATGATTAATCCTCAAGCTGATAGGAAAGAACAAAAATTTGCTTGGTTAACGGAATCAAAACTTTAGAGATTGGTATTAATTTTAATAAACAGAGGTAAATTTATGAAAATTTTTATTAAAATTTATTTATTTAATTATTTATTATTTTCGCATTACCAAACTGAACATTTTTTTGTCGGATTCATTGGTGTTCCAAGTGGGCAATTAAAAACTTGTGCGAAATCTCTTGTATTTGAAAGGGAGCCTATTACTCGAAATTTACCTGGCGAGTGAACGGCGGTCTTCAATTTATTTTTAGTAGCTTCTGGCCTCATTGAACTACACCATATTTGTGCAAAGTTTAAGAAAAATAATTGTTTCCCTGTTGCGTTAATACCTGGAAGATTTTCTTTCTCATCTCCATTTGTTTTTAACCACTTCTCATAAGCCCTGAAAGCTTGTTTAATCCCACCATTGTCAGCAATATTTTCCCCTTGAGTGTTGATTCCATCTATCTGCATATCAACTTCTGATACTCTATATTTACTATACTGATCTGAAAATGAAATATATACTTAGTATTTTTTCATCATCATCATTAACAAAAATAATCTCACCAATTAGACATTGGGCTCTTCGATGAAATTCTTTAATAGCTTCGTCTTTCCACCATCTATGTAAATTTCCATCTTTATTAAATAATCGTCCTTTGTCATCAAAGCCGTGTGTTATTTCATGACCAATGACAACTCCAATTCCTCCATAATTTAAACTTCTAGGAAAATATGTGTGATAAAATGGTGGTTGTAGAATTCCCGCAGGAAATACTTCGAAAAGAAAAATTTTAATGTAGAACTGCTTATATAATTATAATATTATAATTTTAATTTTTTTTTTAAACTCACTTATTTGATTCTTATTTCTGCTGTAAAATGCATTAACAACCGCTGGAGCAGTGGTCCAAAGAGATTTATTAACGGCACGTCCAAGGCGATCCTGTTCAATTTTTGTTAAATGATGTAGAATATTCAGTGTATTTTCAAAATATTTTTCTGGTTCAATTGCAACCTAAAATTTTTAATAAAAGTAAGGGAATCAAAAATATGGACATATTTCAAAAATTTATTACATTTTTATAAACTTCATTAAGTAATTTCGGTTCTAAAATAAAATCAGGATATCCAATTCGTAGGAGCATTGCATCCACTTTTTTACTTGCGATTCCCTTTGTTCTACCATCAATCCAAATAGTTTTGTTTAATAATTCTTTGAAGGATTTTTGTATTTCTCGTGTTATCAAAAGAGTCTTTCAAGAGAAAAAATATAATTATATAATGAATATAATTTTTAGTTAGTTTTCAATTTAAAAATAATCCATAATAACTTACATCATTTTTGCTAATCTCATTAAAATATTTTTTTACAAACATCGAGCCAACAACCATTCCCATATTTGAATTTACTTGAGCAACACAATTCTTCCATCTTGGTGGAGCCTGTTCTCGACCATAGAGAATGTTATAAAACTTTTGTTTTGCTTCTTGAAAACGATCATCTAGATTATTCACTCTGTGCCTCACAAATCGCCATAAAAGATAATTTGAAATTGTTCTAAAAATTATACAATAATTCATATTTAATTTTAATTATGATATTTATATGCACCTACCTTGGTGAAGTTTTAGAGAGAAGATTAACTAAATTCTGCATATATTGAAGAGCAAATATAACAACTGGTTCAGAAGTACGTGCAGTACGAGCCAAAACAATTGATAAATATTGATGCCAATCTATTTGTGGAATAATTGTTTTCAATTCTCCAACACTCATCTTTTTATAAAGATCAGAAACATTCTTTCGTTCATCTGGCGATAAAGTGATCTATATTTAAAAAAAAATACATTTAAAATTGTATAAATGTTACAATTATGTAATATTTTTTATAATTACTTTTGCTAGTTTTCTTTCAAACTTAATCAATTCTTCCGCTTGCTTTTGAGTATCGTTTAAAGATGATCCCAACAAAGTGGCAATTTTAATCATGTAAGCTTTATATGCATTAAGATATATTGCATTTGAAGGTTGGAGAAAGTAATCTCTGGTTGGTAAACCCAATGATGTTTGATCAAACTACAATATAATAGAATATAATAATTAAATAAATTTATTTATTTGAAAAAACTTACTTGTATGATATATTGATCGCTATTTTTTATGTCAGGTCCCACCCAATAGGAAATAAGAATATCGTTATTGAAGAGACGTAATTGTGCCGCTAATTGAAGCCAGTTAAAATTGTTTCCATTCCAATTTGGATGCAATATTGGCCAACCACCAAAATCGTCTAAAATTTCAAGTAATGGTTTTTCCAGTCTTTTCATCAAAATATCTAAATTATAAATGTAATGTTAAATTGACATTCTGTTTATTATAAAATAGTAATATATGGTCTCTCACCGTAATTCATGCAACTTTGATAAAGATGCTTAGCTTTCACAACGGCATCGTTGGGGTCTTTATAATGTTGAAGAATAGGTTCTTCTAATAAATTTTTTAATACTATATCCAAGGATTCTCTTAATATTTCAAAAGTATCGTATCCTGCTTTGTCTTTTGGAATTGGATTATGTTTTGCCCAATTGCCACAAGCATATTGATAAAAATCGTCACATGGATTAACAGTTTTGTCCATGTATTTCATCATTATTTTTGCTATATAAAAATATTTTTTTTTCAGATAACTTATTTTTGCTGTCTTCAAGATATACATACCTTGGATTTTTCGAATTCTATCATCAGAATTTTCTTTGCTGTTCCAAAAACTGCCAATTTTATCATTCAAGTTGAAAGTATGCGCATCATCATCATCATCATGATCATCTTCATCATCATCATCATCATCATCACCATCATCATCTTCATCATCATCAGCAGTTTCGCTTTCTATCTCAAGTGATTTATTTATATCCTTTTCGATTGAATCCGACAATTGCCAATGCATCTGTGATTTTGGCAAATTACCTATTGTTGCCTCTATTGCTCTATAACGTGCAAAAAGCCGGAAATCACCAACGACGCGAAAGTAAAAGGCAATTATTTTTGCTATGGTACTAAGTGAATAGAAATTTTAACGGCAGAAATCCAGGTTTACAAAATTTCAATTCGAGTTTTTAATTCGAATCGTCTCAAAATTCGAATTTATTAAAAATTAAAATATATTGCTATTAATAAATATATTTTTGAAGATACAAAGGGGGATTTGAATATGTAAAATCGCGAAAAAGATCATTTAATTTAACGGTACCATTAGGCTGACCCAACCACGCAATATCTACTTCGAGTTGCGTGGTTATTGACTCGCTGTAAATTTTATTTTTAAAAAATTCCTTTATTTTACGTTATAATAATTTTGGTCCAACACCATAGCATTTTCGGCTCTTTTTTTATAAATTATAATTATTAATATTTGCAGAGACTCATTTTATATGTATACCTGGTTTATTTCTCTTTTATTTCGATGCACATATTTAGTCTTAATAAATGAATTTGATGAGGCGAATGTAACTCGATCCTCTTCTACTGTTAAGTTCTCTAAATGTTGGCTTGTAAATTTTGCTGAAATTATTTATTACTACTTATTCATAATATGCAAAATTCTTATTTGGTGAAAAAGGTACTTTTATGCACATACCTTAAAAAAGTACAACTTTGTCGACATAATTTATATTACACAACAAATTAAACAAATTTTCGCCTATTAATTTCATGAAATTTGAAATTAGAAAAAAAAATTTTGTAAAAAAAGAATCAATTGCAACAAGTTAAACGTTATACTTACCGTGTTGCATTTTCTTTAAAATTTCAATTTTATTATTTCTGCATTCATTTGTTTTCTAAAATTTATTCTATTACGTACTTTTTTCAGTTGTTTGATGATGTGAAAATGTACCAATCACTGTCGATCGAGATAGAGCAATAAAAATTATAATTATTGGTAAAATTACTGCTGGTATAAGAAGCATACATTTTATCCAAGCTCGACAAAATTTATTCCTTCCCACGCACCACCTAAAATATCAGATTTTGTGAATCATTATTTTCGATAAAGAATTTTTATTTTTCTATTTTCAAATGAATGAAAATTATTTCAACTATTAAATTGGCATACTTCAATCTGCCCGTGTCCTTGTTGATATCCAATCTACAGGAGGGACAACCACTTGCATAACACTCCTCGTCACTAATTTGACTTAATTGATCTCCACTCCTCATCGTTTCTATATATATGTTTATTTAATTCAGAACAGAAATTATAAAAAATAAATAAACGTAGTTTTTTGTGAATTTCGTGACCATGAAACAAGTCAAAAGATCGGCTATTTCAAAATGATCCATTTACTCCCACACACACAATTAATCGTTTAAATTTCTACGCAGTCTAGGTCATATACGAGCTAAAATCATTTTAAAAATTGTACAATAAATTTTATGCTTTATAATTGAATGTGCAAAAACCTTTGAATTATAATTTTAATAATAAATTTATTTGCAATTTTCAAACACTGAAGAAATACATTTTTTTTTAAAAAATGATCTTAATTTCTTTAGAGTGAGAAAATACAAATAGAAACATGCAAAAAGAAATTTATTTATATACTAAAAATTTGCATATTCTTTATATAATAAAATTCATACATAAAGAGATATTAACAGTAAAGATTTTGTTAATTAAATCATCATTCATTATCTAAAAAAAAAGCAGTTTCTCAAATTTAAAAGTTAAAAACCTATATTTTATTAATGTATATTTGGAAAAAATAAATTTATATTTATAAACTAACTTACTTACTTAATATTGTCTGAGGTTATTATAATAATAAAGAAATCACTAAAAAAGTTGAGAAAGAAAAAAAGGAAGATATTTGACTGTATCTAGGGCAAATCTGAATGTCAATCTGGGTGATTCGAACGACTCCACTGATGTAGACTCCAAATTGCTGCAGAGTGGTGTGCTGAAAAATGATTATGTTTTACATTCGTCTCATCAAGGTATATTTTTGCCTTTACTATATATTCTTACTTCTTTTACTCCGTTATTCATTAATTATAAATTAAAATTTTTTAACATTTTTGTAAACTATATGAATTAATTTTCAATTACGAAAATTAACTTAGATTATTACCTATAATATTTTGTTATTTAATTTATTTTTTATTTGTTAATTTAAAAATTGACATTTCATTCATGTACAGTAAAACGCAGCGGATGAACTTGTCGCACTCATTTGTTTCCATTATGTATAGATATGAGGACGACAGGGCGCTTAAATTATTATTAAGTAGAGCTAAGTAATTTAAATAAGCTGAAAATTATATAAATGATATAAAATTTGAATATAAATTTTTTTCCAATTGGAAATAAGAATATAGTTATTAAATAACAATTACTGAAAATAAAGCATTTCTTGTATAATAATTACAAAAAATAATTTATTAATTATTTTACTTGCGAAATGCTTTTATTATAATTTTGACATATATAATTTTATCAAGAGATTTAATTAAAACACATACATATCTAATATTATTTTTAAGAGTAAATAATATAAATTATAATTTATAATATACATTTAATTATTATTTCCTGTATTGTGATATTTATATTTTTTATTTATGTGTTCCGATGTTAAGTATCTAGTATTCTATTTTTCACTCGCCAATTTGTGGAGAAAATGGAACTCCAAAATATCTTCTTCATCTGTAAAAGACGAAATTAAAAATTCCATAAATTTGCTATTTAAAAATCATAAGCTGTAAAACTTTCAGTAACTGTGAATTACATTAAAATTTTATAAATATGACAAATATTTTTTCATTTTATGATTTCGGTGCTAGATACACAATCCATGCAAGTGAAAGTTATTAAAAAAAAAAAAAGTTCAAATTTATTTTTTTGGCTTTTCTATCATTGGTGTAAAATATGAAACTTTATATATAGGTACAGCTAAAAATGAACTTTATTAATTTTTTAGTTATGATAAATACATACATTTTGAAGGTATGAAACTTTTTTGAAAATAAATTACAGAAGAAAAGTATTTCTTTCGTAGTTTGTTATTTTTTACAAGTCACTGTTTATCTTATTTGTTATTTTAAGTCCATTGCAGTGGACTTTGGGTTTGTTAAAATTAAAACCTTTCTAAAAAATAAAAAACTTGTAATTATTTAATTATTTTTTTTTATAAAACATAAATAAATATGTAAAAATTACTAAAATTTGATCTGATATTTCTTGCAAGCAAGCATAATTCCCTTCTTATTTGAAATTTTTTTTTTTGGTTTTTTATCATAGTTTTTTGATGTATTCTTATACTCAGAATAAACAAATTATTTTGGTCACATTTTTAATAGATTTAAAAATATTAATCATAGAAGAGAGCATAAAAAATATAATTGTTTAAAAAAAAGTATAAAGTTAATAAAAAAAAAAAAGAATATGTATCTTACGTACAAAATTTGTTCAACCCCCATCATAGAAAAATATTCTACCCACCCTAAAAATATTAAGTAATGACCCTTTGAATATATAAAAAAGAAAATGACCAAAATTTTTTGCTTATTATTAAAAAAAAGAAGAATTGTCATATAAAAACACCATTTATAAATAATATGCTGCAAGTGTACTTGAAAGTTAATATTTCTTCTGAAAATTTAAAATTCTATGCACTACATTTTAAATCTATTAACTTACTGCTTCTTGCCGAGTCGAATTATTTTCAATTTGAATCGAACACAGCTCTAATATGTATACATATGTATGTAAACGATTAATGCATGTATTATTATACGTAATAATTATAATAAACCCTGATCAAAAATGTCCAAAGGACCAATAAAAATATACTTCCTATTTATCCCAATGTATATATATAAAACAGTACTTTTGCTTAATGCTCGTTTATATTCTAAATTACAGTTTACTATTTTAACAAGTCGTTACAGTCGCACTGATTTTTTCTATTATATTTTTACGCATTTACTAACGCGTTAAAGACGACAGTGAATTGATATATTTCAGAAAGCGGTTGCTGAGAAACTGTAATATATTATATATCAACATTTTCTACTTAAATGCTAATGAAAAATAAGTAATACAACGCAAAAAGAAAAATAGTTACATTCATCAAAAAAGGCATTTTTGAGCTCAGTCCTTTTATAAATGTTCAGTTTTGCAAAGTGCGAATTACATTCCGTGAAAAGTTTGGACAATTATCAAGGATAACTTATCTTCCAATGAAAGTGAAATTTTACAATATTATTGTAAAAAAAATCTTCTGCATGAGCTTTTAAAAATCATTTACAAATTATGTTGTATTACTAATTATCGAAAATTGTTCCTTGCTTACACATTTTGCAAAGATTTAAATCGATTGCAAAATTTAATTTAATTTTTAATTAATTACTTATATTCATAAAAATGCAACCGCACTAAAATATTTCACAAAAATTTTTTCGAAATCTCGTATCCGTTTCTTAAAGTATTAATTACAAATGAACATAATATACGAAGATTTAACAATAATTACTTAACTATGCATTTAGACATTACACTGTTAAAAAAAAAACCACACAAACAAATTTGGATAATTCTATGTATATCCAAACCTAATTGCGTTTTTGTTTTTATCCTTGGACGTTAAATTGTTTTTTTTTTCATGTTTTGAAGCTCTTTACATTTATGTATTATGTATTATTCGAAGTTGTAAAATTTCACAAAAACAGTAAATATCAAGCATTGAATTTTTAAAGTAGATACTTATATGTACTATTAATATAATCTAAAAATATAACTCATTTTGTGTGAACATTCAAATTATATAGAACGTTTAAACAAAAGAATTTAAACAATTAAATTATTAAAAACAAAAAAAGATAACAAATATTGTAACATTCAATTATAAAAATTAAAAAACATTGCAGGATATTTTCAAATAATAAAAAATAATATAAAAACATTTGAATCGAATTTTCACACAGATATAATTTCTTTAATTAAAAATTGCAAATAATAATAATAATAATAATAAAAAAAAAGTAAAACGCATAAAAATAAACAGTAAAGAATATCATTAAAATATATTTGCTCATACATTTCCAACTTGTACGTATTTCGTCAAAAAATTATTTGACTTACCTTATTTAACTTAACAAGAAAATAAATGTGTTTTCCTTTACAATAGTCCACCACAAATTCATGCAAACAGCTCATAATAGAAAAAGAATTCAAAATGCAAATTTTATGATTCCAAGACGGTGTACAATACTTTTCGTAACTTTAATCTTAAAAAATCTTTAAATGGCACATTCAGTATTAGTACAATATATAACTATATACATGTCCCTTTCTGAGGAGCATCTCATTAAACAGAGTTGGAAATTTACCTACAAATAAAAGTATTGAAAAAATTTATTATAAATAATAAAAAAATAATTCCCTTTTTTTAATCATGTCAAAAAGTTTTAAAATGATTTTGTAAAAGAAAAAGTAATCAAAATGAACACAATGTTAAAAAACAAATGTTATTTATTTAATTATATATTTTTCCATCTTATGGTACAGTAAATGGAAAAAATATTTTAAATCATAAATCTTGAATTACTTTTATCTAAATCCTTTTATTCTATTTTTATTTCTTGCTATTTAATAGTTAATTTTAAATATTCATATTTTTAATTGACATGAAGTGTAAATTTTTGTTTAATTAAAAAAAAAAAATTAATTGATAATCGTATCATTAATTATTATTAGATATATTTTCAACTCTGGAATTGTAGAAATATGTGAAGATCTGATTACGTACGTTTCGAACGATTCATCATTGAGTTTGCGAAGATGATTAAGTTTATGTTCATGTACTTATAATAGAAATATCGTGGTGTTGTGTCAACAAATTCTTCTTACTATTGAAGTTGACGAATCGTTCGTTTGATATTTGATAAATATCTTGAAGACTTTAAAAAAATAGCTGCCCCATTGTCGTAGATAATCCTAAAATCAATGGAAACCAATGGAACAATGTTAATGTCAACTATCTGAGTTTTAAGCAACAAGTTTCAGAAAAAAATAGTTCATGCACCTTCTTATCATGTTTTCATTTTTATATAAAATATTCTCTATTAAAGAGCCGTGTTATTTACAATAAATCATGCGTGTGCGTGTTGACAACTATATAGAATAAAAACAAATATAATATTATTTTCAATAGAAATGTCACTTGAGGAATTACCAAAAAGTGATAATATTACCTCAATTACTAAACACGATGTGACTTACATTACGTGTTATTTCATTATAAAAATATTTTCCATTAGTTCAACTAAACTATCATCTTTAAAAACATTGCAATAAAGTAATTTAAACATCTGCTGATCTTTATATTCTATAAATGGAAATTTAACCCTTCGTCTGTAAACGTGGGTCATTAACGTTCGACTGTTTTTAATGTGCTCAAAAAAAATTCATGGTACTTTTTACAACCCTTAACTTCTTATAAAAATGCTAAAAAAATTTATTTATTTTTTTGTAAACAAATGGAGAAATGACCCACGTTCACAGACGAAGGGTTAAGGTAGAAATGTATGTATGTATGTATGTATGTATGTATGTATGTATGTATGTTTAAAGTAATTTACTATCGAGCCTTAATTTTTATTTCGATAGTGTCGCATGCATAAAACAGTATTTTGAAAATCTACATAGAAATAGTAACCTAAAATGCTGAATAAAGAGAGAAAAATCTTATCCATGTTTGATGTGCTAGCTTTAAAAAAAAATAAATGATTTTTACTAGTACGTCAAACACAAAACGAATGCAAAGCTGACAATAAATTCTGCTGAGATCAGCTGTAAAAATATACGAAATATATTATTTTTATAAATAAAGTAATAGAAAATTATTATTTTTTCAGTGATCTCATATGAATTAATGTCTCAGTTGTTGAAAAGACAGACCCACATCTACATGACATCAACAAAAAATTCACAAGGATTGCCCATCGCAATGCGAAATGACTGTCTACTACCGGATAAGTCTTGCTGATTTGACTGAATCCCCGATCCAGTTCCTGTTTGCACTGATTGCTCAGAACCACTGGATCGACTGCGACTGCCATTAGATCTCTTCCCATTAGAACCATTTCCATTACCTGAATTCTGTTTTGGCATTACTGGCACAGATGGCATTTGAAGTTCTGATTCGGATGCTGATGAACAGGATTTGAGATCATGAATTGGTTCCTTGCAAATATGTTCGCTACCTGCACTACTGCCGCCTGGAACCAAAAACATTTATTTATTATATCATGTTTAGAATTAAATTTTAAAAATATTTACCTGATCCACTGTGAATACTTTCATCCCGATGATATCCATAAACAGTGGGCTCACTGGTAAAGTTAAATGGCATTGGACTGTAGCCTGTTGTTGAATGAGGAGCATATGTTCCTGAATAAGGCATATCCCAAGAACTAGGTGGTGGCAATGGACCAACTGTGTCACAGTCAAGTTTCAAATTATTTATAGCTGAACACAAATCGCCAAATATATAATAACACTGTTCAGAAAAAGTTATTTTATTGACAGTGTGTCTGATGAAGCCAGCTTTCAGCATCAATGAAGCATACTTTCTGGCGTCGCGTCGATCTATGAAACCTTCTACATGTGTGTGAAGCCAATCAACTACATCAGCTCCAATAAATGCATTTGGAATGGTGATCTTTAACCACATACGATCTCGAATCTCTAATCCTGAATCAGGCCGTGCCATTGCTCGTACTATAGTTGGCATATCCGTATTTATCGTTAAATGTATATCTTCTAAAGTTCCTGAAATCGTTCGAGATTTAGTTCTTAAAGAAAAGGACGCATTAATAATTGAGAAAATAAAACTCACGCTCCGTATCTGGTAATGTGCTTGCAAGACTACTGGAAGTGGAAGTTAAAGTTGTTGCACTTGGTGGTCGGGGAGGAAATCCCTCGCCTCTAATTGCAGCAGTGTGAGCTACCCAAGCACCGGGATCTATCGGTCGAACGGGTTCAGTTCTTGGGATGGTGAAATATCCCTTTGGATTAGGATCCCAACATTTGGCAACCACTAATTTTATCGGACTACAAATAAGAAATAAATTAAACTCAAGTTGTTTTACATTAATAAAAATAAATTTCTTACCCAGGCTTTTGGACTACTTCTCTTAAAACTCTGACAGCCTCATCGTTGGACATATTTTCAAAATTAATATCATTCACTTGAAGAATCATGTCACCAGGCTCTATTCGTCCGTCTAAGGCAACTGCTCCACTGGAAAGAATAAATAAATAAATTTTTAATTTCTTCTTCTTTTTACTGTTTATGATAAATTTAATTCCTATCACTCTGTGCCAAATGTTATTTTACAGAGATTATTATATTGAATTGATCTTTGGAAAATAAATGAAATTTACCCTTTCATTATTGAGCCAACGTAAATACCCCCATCTCCACCTTTATTGCTTTGTCCTACAATACTGATTCCAAGAAAATTGACTGTATCCATATTAAGAGAAACTGTTATTATATTTAAAGACATTGTGCTATCTGTAATACTACTGATTGATGATGCTCTTGACATTGGTGGTAATCTATGACGACGCCTTCTTTGAGGTCTGCGACGATCTAATAAAATAAATTTACAATTTATGCTTTCATAAAAAAAAGCTTCCAGACTAATTTCAAACAAAAATGTTACCTATGGTTGTTCTATCGATTGTACTACTCATATTGGTGTGACGACCTCCAGTTGTCGATGTAATACGACTACTTGCATCGTCGTCTGATTCCAAAAATGTTGAAGTTTCTAAATCAGAACTGAGAATTGATGCACTTTCATAACCATGACCAGAGCGATGTTTAGAATGACCATTTATACGAAGTCCTAAAAAAGAATTAATTTAAATAAGTTTCATATTGTTCTCGCCTATATAAAAAAAAAACATACCATTATATTTGTGGTATTTTTCGTATTTGTCTGCATGATGCCTCGAAGTTTTATGCAAATGATGACCTTGACGACTACTTATTATACTCTCTGTTTCCGTTAGTGTGTCATCGTGAGAAAGAGAAAGCGGACCACGAGTTGTAAGTCCAGGAGCTCCATGAACATGATCAACATGATCATGCTTCTGCTCTCCATGTGCTACTGATTCTGTGCACTGCGATGTACCATCTGACACGTTACTTCCCTCAGCTGATACCAACTATCATTAAGTAAAATCATTCGTTTTTAATAAATATACTACTAAAATTGCAAGAATTCAATTATTTTCATGCAAAAAAAAATATTTTTCTATAATAAAAAATTGAATTGTTTTTAATTTACCCATGAAACGACACGGCCATTAAAACAAGGAAGATGAGCATCATCATCGACAATTTCTTCTTTTACCACCCTACAAAATAAAATATAAATAAATCTTCAAAATCATTGTTATTTTTAGTAAAAACTACTCTATGTAAAATTTGATAACATATTTTTCTGAAAACATTCTTTATTGACGTTTTTTGTGCGAGAATAAAATTTTTTATTTGTTTAAGAATTAATATTCATTAAATATTGATAAATTGAATATTATAAAAAATGTCATTCAATGAAAAATCCATTTGGTGAATGTTTATTTAATTACTAAACAAAAGAGTTAATTTTTAAACCAACTAATAAATTAAAATAAATTTGTCATTAAAATCAAAATGCATCGATGGGAAAAATTATATATACATACCCAAAATCATCATCCATTGATTTAAAGAAAAATTTATAATTAGGGCGATTTAAACTAGCTTTAAAGTCAGCCAGTGTTACCCTCTCGGGAACAATGCTCAACTTGACTAAATATGGGGTCTCTTCATCATCAATATGATATATGATCTTTGTCTCTTCCATTCTTGACTCTTTTTGTTGTGCGTCCATTTACAAAAAATTCGTATCTCAATATTCTTTGAGAACCAACACTTTTGAACCAATATGGCGAGTCGCACAAGACGAGAAGCTTACGCGCTCGCAAAACTTGACGTTTCAAAAAATCATATTTCTCCTTTTATTATTAACACACTATTAACTTTTTTGATATTCGATTTCTTAAATTAGTTAAAATTAATAACTACATTTTGCACATTATGAAAGTTGTTTTGACAAAAAGAGAAACACAAAAAATGTCCGCTGTTAAGAAAACTTGGGTTAATTTATGTAAATGTTTATCAACTCGTATAATTCACTAATTCATTAAAATCATTGATAATCAATAATTTACTTTGTTAAAAAAACTGACAATAAATCAACACTATTTTAAAAATCTTCCTTTTGTAACTATTGTGATTGTGAAATAAATCCAGAGAAAATTCAGCTTCAGCTTCCTTCTAAAACCACTAAAGATTTACGATACCTAGAACTGTAATAGAAGTTGAATCATGAGTGTCAACCTTAAACTGAAGGTAAAACATCTGAAATGTGAACTATCTGGACAATTATATTACATTTAGGGCCAGTTTCACCAACGGTCGGTTAACCTCGGATCAACTAACCTAGTTCATCTCTTGATCGTCAGAGTTGATCGCTCGTACGTTTCACCAGTCTAATCGTAGTTTAAGGTGATCGCGTTTAGTTAATCCATACTTCCTAGCATTCCCTAGCCGTTTTGCCGCCTGAATTCAGTTTTGTGTTTATACAGTGTAACATTGTATAATTATATTTTTTGTTAAAATAATGAATTTTAAAGTTCCAATGGATAAAAAAATCAGGACTAGAGAGCCCAATTTGCTCAGTAGCGAGCGAGAGGCTCTGCTGACGATAATCCAGGATCATCGTCATATAATAGATTGTAGGAAAACTGATGGTGTCAGTTTAGACAGGAAGAAAGAGGAATGGAGAAAGATATGTGATAGATTTAATGTGATATCGGGCATACATCATCGAGAAGCTAGTTTTCTCAAACAGTCGTGGGAAAATATTAAAAAGAGAGTCAAGAAAGATGCTGCAGAAAGAAAACTGCAAACCTTCAAAACAGGTTTGTACATTTCATAACCTCAAAGTTACACGTTAGATTTGTTTACTAATTGCAATAGAAATTGACACTTCTGAATATAAACAAACATACTGAATAAATTAAAAAGAAATAAAAACTGATATGTTTCGGAAATTAATTAATATCATTAATAATAATTAATACCTTTCTTTGTGTTTTTGCAAAATGAAAGTTTTTGTTTTATTTATTATATACACTTGATTCAGACGAATGTGTTTTATAATTAAAATTGTAATTAATTTAAATCTAAAGTGTACTGAAAGTATAAACAGTATAAAAATTGTTCTTTAATTTGACTTTTATGTAAAATAAAATATGTTACATAAAATTATTAGGATGGTTTAAATGCAGAATAACATGAAATCACAGGGTTTTTTGTAATAAATATTTTGCTTATGTATGTATGTATATTTAATAACCTCAAAGTTACAGGAAATACTAAAGTAAAATTTTTTTCAATGTAGGTGGTGGTCCCTTTAATAAACCTAAAGAAGATCCTGAAAGTGACAGAGTTCTCGGTTTGCTGCAAGCAACAGCTTCAGGATTCAACAACACCTATGATGGAGATTCTTCATTTTTAACGTCACCTTGTAAGTTTTCAACCTAACCTCGTTATTCACAAAAACAAATAGATAAAAAAAAAGAAATAGATTTATTAAAAATATTTTGTATTTTATTATGAATAATTATAAAAATTAATTTATGTTATGTAGTCAAGTCTAATGCCGAAATATTGGACCCATCTGCATTTGAAGATGATGAAATGCAAGAAAGCAACGCAGATGGCGAAAAAGATGAAGAGGTAATGACAAAATATAGTCATGAAATGAAACGTTTGACTTTTGACAAGAAATAATATCTAATCTTTGTTTCCAGACTGAAACTGTGAAGGATTGGTCTCGATACACCCCCCAGATGCTACGACAACCGATTAGCCAGGCTCTGAAAGTTGATTCTACAAATGACAAGCAATATCATGGTAAGATTAATAAAAGGAAAGAAATCGTATAATTTACAAATAATCTTTATTATAATCAATAATATCGAATCTGGTAAACCTAATTTTAAAAAAATTGGCTTACGTTTCAGAGTATGTACCATCTGAGGAAACCACACAATCAACCACACTATCAACACCGGAAGCAGGAAAAAAAATGTCGTTCATTTCTGAAAGAATGAGCAGAAGGAGGCCGGTGCTTCCGAAAAAAGTAGTTGATCCATCCACGAATGAGGCTAAAATAAAAACTTTAGAAAGTACCTTAAGAATCGCCGAGGAGCAACACGAGTTGAATATGCTGCACATAAAAGAGGAGCACAGCCTTAAAATGCAGATCCTACAAGAGCATTTATGTCAGGAAAAATTGAAAACTCGCATCCTGAATGCAGAGATGTATGAAAAATGCGATAAGTCGGACATAGAATGGCTAGATCCAAACATGGAATAGTCAATGAATTCAGTTTGGAGTAAAAGAAACAGACTTTATATCTGTTTCTTTTTCTCCAAAATAAATTTTCCTGTCGAAAATTTGTGTACCCAAGGTGTGAACGTTTTGTGACTTAAATTGTGTGATAAATAAAGCAATAGAAAAAGTTATCAAATGGCATTTTATTTAATAATCCGGTTCTTAAATTTACATTACCCGTTGAATGACTATTTAATTATTATTATTAGCCACAAAATTATAAGAAAAATATTCTTTATATTTACAATTAGTATTTCATATTATGGGCTTCATATGAAATTTTGAAAATCCAAATTAAATTCGATTAATGTTACAATCACTTGGAAGTTCGTAAATGTTATGTACAATTCTTGCGGTACTCCTTAAAAGCACGGATTTACGATAACGTTTAACATTATCGTGCTCTTTCATTATTTCTTGCCATTCTGAAAAAATTTATATATTTTACTACAGATTTTTTCCTTTTGCAGTACAAAAATATATATAAAAAATTTATAATACCTTCCAAAGTAATTTTCTACAAGATTTAGTCTGTCTTGGTGGTTTTGATGAACCCTTCTTCCTCCTTCAGCTTGAACGAGATTACCCATCTCACCCTGTTGCATTAACACATCCCACGGAGCAGGAATATTTAGGTCTGGATCATCACGTGGTAATCCTTCACCTGCTCTCCTCAAGATATTGTGTAATACAGCTGTAGCAACTATAATTGGAAAGGTTTTCTCCCAATGAACTTGCATTCCTAATGCCATTGCTGGAAATCGACGTTTCCAAATTCCAAATGTCCTTTCAATTGGATTCCTTGTTCGTATTTGAGACTCATTGTATAATTGCTCCTGAGGAGTTCTTGCAGTATCCAAGGGGGTCATCATGTATGATCGACATGCATAACCAGAATCTCCAACGAGCACACTATTTTCAAATCTTCCTTCCTCAAATAAGGCCCGGCGATAGCAGTTGTTAAAAATTGTACTGTCATGTGAACTTCCAGGCCACCTCGCCACAATATCCAAGAATTCTAAATTCGAATTACAAATCGCCTGAACATTCAGTGAAAAATATCCTTTGCGATTCCGAAATATTTCTGCATTCTGACCACCTATTACAAACAATTCCAGAAGCATGTTAAAAAATTTTTTTAAATTAGCACACTGCAAAATGTTGAAGTATTCAATTAATAAAAAAAATTTATTTTAAAGATAGATGTTTATAGAAAACAAAAATACATTTCTTTGCATTTTCTTCTAAACAAATACTTATATTTCGAAAACAGTAAACTTTTTTGAAAGTTCAACAAGTTAATGTTGTAAAGAATTTATTTTTTATTAAAATAAGCCACTATTAGTGAGTTGATAAAAATTTACCTGGAGATTTTATTTTGATGTGGGTACAGTCAATTGCGCCTATCACTTTTGGGAAACTTGCAATCCTATAAAATCCAGCTTGAGTCCTCATTATCTCGTTGTTTCTTTCGGGAAATACAATATGTGTTTTGTAGAGAGAGGCTATTGCACCACTTACTCGATGCACAATTCTATGAGCCGTAGACTTACTGAAGCCACCAAAATCAGCTGCGGATAGCTGATCTGAACCAGTCGCATAGAATCGCAAAGCACACAGTAATTGATTCATCGGAGACACAGCATGATTCCTGATATAACGGAAAATGTAAATAATTTACATATATATGTAAATATATAAATTCTAAAAATACTTTAAAATTGTTACAAACATTATAATGAATTAATTTATGGCAATTTATGGTAAATGTTAAAACAGAAATTGGAAAAAAATATACGTTTTAAAGAAGAACTAATAAAGTTTGCTTAAAATTGCAATTAAACATTTATACAGAAATACGCACTAATATCAATAAAATTATTCATAAAAAAATAATACATTTTTAGGTTAGGAACAAGTTCCCTCATTTTCCTCATTTATCCGCTTGAATTAATTATCATACACTTTATGGATAAATACCTGTCAGTTGGAAATTCCAATTTATCTTCTATTTGCGATAAAACATCTAGAGCAGACTCCTTGGAAAGTCTAAATCGAGTTTCAAAATCTAAATCGTCAAAATCATCAAAATGTTGACTTCGCTCACGAATCCACCTTGGTCGACGCACAGGAACGTTATCTTCATCACTAGACGAATCAAATGCTACATCAAACAATCTCCGGACAGCCATTTTTATATAAATATATTTGTTTCTGAACTGCACTGCACTTTTCACACCAAAATATTATAACAAACAAAAGTACACAAGAGAATAACAAAAACGAAAGGCGGAATGACAGGTCGGAAGTCTTCGTGCTTAGGTTCGGAAGAGTTCGGCAAATTAAACATGGATCAACTCTCTTAAACCGCCAAAATCGACCGTTTAAGAAATGAACTTAGGGCGGTATTCATAGTTCCGACTTAAGCAAGGACTTAAGAGTTGCTTGATCAAGATGGTCTTATTCGAATGAGTCGAGCTTAAGACCATATATATTCATAGTCAGAAATAAGCAATTGCTTGGTAAAGGAAATGCAGCTTAAGAATTTCTTGACCAAGCAAATGCTTAAGATGATCTTATTGAACGATCGGCTTTTTCCGTAAATATTCTCTTGAATCCACCAATAAGAAATGGTTTTGAAAATTCGCCTCAATGCGCCAAGGAATATTTATACCTGCGTTGTTTTCAATTTGAGTTTTTCGTTTCAGCGTTTGAACGAACAGTTCATTCTGTTATTATAATTGTTTTTATAGTAAATAATAATTACAAATATAAATATAAATTTTGTGTATAAGGTTAAAAACTGTTTTATTGTGAACAAGTGATTTAATTATGTAAGTATATTTTTAATGTCATTTATAAAATTTTTGTGTGTAATCATTTGAAAAAGTAAATTTGTAAAATATTTTTTTTTATTAAATGTTTGTAATAAAAAACAGTAATAAAACAAAATTCAAAAATATGAACCTGTGAATATATTTAATATTGCTTAAAAGTAAAAATTTTTAATAATCAACGAATGAAATATATTTAAAATTTAATAAATAATGATACATAATAGTGAAATATTCACAATAATTATCAATATATTAACATTAATATTTTTAAAATTAGGCGTACAATTTGTAGAACACAATTTATTTTTCCTTTTTCAATTTAAAAAGACTGGTAATTTTGTTTATATCTTATCTTTATTGTCAGAAAAGTAATGAATTATGAAAATAATAAATAGAAGCAAAGTTGAAAATTTGTTATAAACGAATAAACTTTATTTTGTTCTAAGAAATATAATTTTTCTAAAATAATTTCTTTAAGGTTAAATATATATTTTAATTTTTGAAAGTAAAATCATTCTTACTTCTTACTGCTTTCAATGAGATGAGCAAAATGTATGTAACATCTGGATTTTATTGGGGGTAGGATTAAGTCCCTTAACGCGAGCAATATCTCAATATTTTCAGAAAAAAAGTACCCGCAATAAAAGTAAAAGGATACAAAAATGACTACCTGAAAGGAGAAAAAGTGAAATGTTTTTAATCCTGCTGAAATATATTTAGATAAATTTTTCTCCATTATTAAGATATGGAAAAATTATTTGAAATATTGTTATAGATTTTTAAAAAATTATGTGATTTTAATTTTTAATTATTAAATTTTTTTAATAAAAAAATCTTTTCATTATTATTAAATTTTTTTAAAAAACCAAATTATACAATTTATAAATGCATACAAATTTTTTAATTTTCAAAATTTGTAAAAAATAAAAAAAAAATTAATAACAACTTCTAAAACAATAATTTTTGTCAATTTTCAGAATATATGCGATTAGATGATATAAATGTATACACTTTCGTTTTTAAAAAAGTGCTGTACGCTAAAAAATTTTAATTGTTTATAAACATAAAATAACTACTTTCATACATAAATTCTTTTTTCTTGTAGAAATAAATGTATCCAAATAAATCTTCTTCTTTCAGTCCCTTAAATTATATATTAAAATCAAAAGATAATGGAATATAAAATTTGTAAACAATAAATAATTAAATTATTATAAATAATACTAAATTTTAATACTAATTAATTAAACTTTTTTTTAGTAATAAAATGTCTAAAAAGCATTACACCAATACGGAAAGAAAACTTTTCCTGGAAATTATCAAAAGATTTTCCCATGTTATTGAAAATCGCAAAAGCGATTGTTCCACCTTGAAAGCTAAAGAGGCTGCGTGGAGTGAAATCGAGGAAAAATACAATGGCTCAGTACTTATTGCAGAGCAGGTAAAAATAATTAATTGTGCTAAACAAATTAAATGTTTAAAGTTTGAAATTTCTAAAAAAAATTTTTTTTGCAGAGGTCGGTTAAACAGTTAAAAAAAATGTGGAGCAACATGAAGCTGCAGCAGAGAAATGCTTTAACTCAGGAAAAGCAAGATGTAATGGCAACGGGAAACTTAAATGTTCCAATAAATGTTGCTGAAGTGGACCCAGATATAGCCGCTATAGTTCCTGATTTAATGGCCACTGCGCCATCATATTTTTCATCAAACTTCTCGGAAGATTTAATAAATGGTAATGTATTTTTCGGGTTGTAAGTTTAAAATAGATATACTATTAATAATTTATAATCTAATCATTTTTGTATTTTAGAACGTCGAGAAGCAGTTTTTGATGATGAAGAAGTATCAACAGAGTCCCTCAGAAATGTTGTAACTTCTAATTCTGAGATTCAGGAATCAGAGGTTTCATTCCTTTTGAACACGGCATCTTCTGTGATTGATGTTAAAAAGAGACGTTTTCAAGAAGATGAAATTAATTGTTCACAAACATCGACTCCTTTGTCTGTGAAAAGGAGGTGCATGAGCATGCTCGACTATGAAAAATTGGACATAGTGCGCTCTACAGCAAGTAGTAAAGTAGACAAGCAAAAGCTTGATAAGGAGACGAAAAAGACTGAGCGTTTGTTGAATATAATGAAAAAAGAGGAAGAGCTGCTTTCGTTAAAATTGGAGCACCAAATTAGAAAACAGAAGTTAGAAATGGAGCATTTAAAAAAAATCCACGAATTAGAAATTCGTAAAGCCGAAGCAGAAGCTCAATTGGCGGAAATGCGGTTAACACAGGCAATAGAGCTTACACCATTGTGAATTGAGATGTATTGTTTATGCTTCGAGTTTTTAACTTATGTTATTTTTTTAAAAACCTTATTTCCTATTCTTTTAAATTATTTTATTCCAAAGCTAGTACAATTAACAGTATTAAGTGAACATTTTATATTTTAGTAGACAATTTATTACACAAGATTTTATACTATTTTTAGATTTATTTATATTTAACTATATATTTATACATTCCATTATATTATGAATTATATTTTATTATATCATATTATATTTAATTTTATATTTACATTTAAGATTATTAAACAAATTTTTATTCTGAAGTGAAATGAAGTAAAGCTGTAAAAATATTATCAATGTTATTTATTGTGAAGAAAAGATTTTATTGAAATATGTACATAAAATATTTTAATGTAATGGTTTTTCTTTTTAAAATATGATATTGAAATAAATAATTTTTTATTCCAAATTATTACTTATTATCCATTGAATAAACGGTGAATTAGTAACTGACGTGCGACTTCTCCATCCATATTTATATTTTCTGCATTAGGTACAGGAACTTCTTCATATTCTTGTAAGTCATCATCTTCTAATATGTCATTGAAACGTAATGCCATATTATGCAAAACAGCACATGCAACAACAGTTGTTGTTGAACAAATAAGCTTAGTTGACATTCCCCGTGCCAAACATGGAAATCTTCGCTTCCATACACCAAAAGTTCGCTCAACAATTATTCTCGTTCGTATTTGAATTTCATTATACCTGAAACAATTTAATATTACACAAATGTCAAGTTTTATCTTCAGCAAATTAACTTATATTGATGTGAAAACAATTTAAATACTTACATGATTTCTTCTTCAGTATGAGGATTTCTGAGAGGTGTCATAAGAAAAGGCAAACAGGGATATCCTTTATCACCTACAATAATCCCATCTAATTGTCCTTGAATATAACGCATGTGAATTAACGAATTCTGAAATATACGGCTGTCATGTGCTCTACCTGGCCATTCCGGAACAATGTCGAGAAACTCCATTCGGGGTCCAACAACAGCCTACAAAAAATTGTACAATAATATAAAAACTATTCACAATTTTTGTCAAAAATAAATTTTCTACTAATATTAAAAAAAATCCTCACAGTCATCATTAGTATACCTACTTGTACATTAAGTGAAAAATAACCTTTTCTATTTCTAAACATTTCCTCAATCTGGTTAAACCTTGTGCCGACTAACTTAACGTGAGTGCAATCAATCGCTCCATCAACACGAGGAAGTCCTATTGCTCCATGCCCTCTTCCTAAAACGTTAAACAAACGATGATTCTCATTTCGGGCATCACCAGTTGCTGGTATTTTAATATATAAATTAATGAGACTGGCAAGCAACGTGGCGACACGAAAAACAATTCTTGAGACAGTTGATTGAGAAATCTTCATAGTGTCGGCAAGAACAAGCTGCGAAAATATAACATTAAATAAATTTTTAAATTTTACACTCCTATCACATAAAAGAATATTTATAACTTTCGAAAAAAAATTTGCCAACAAAATTCAACAAGTAGAATTATAGAAAATCTTTTATAGAGTAAAATAATCTATATATTATTTTTAAAAAATTTGATGTAATTTTTAAGAAAAAACACAAAATGTTAATTTTTGTTTTATTATTTAACAATAAATTTTGTTTCAAAATTGTACAAATGTTATTTAAAATTAGATAAAATCAATTTCAAATATATTTTCAGTTCTGTTAAAAACTACTTTTAGCTTTGAGGTTATACTAATAAGTCAAACATATTCAAGTTTAACAAATGTAAAGGTTACAGATTCTTTTTAATTTCTAATAATAAAAGTTACTTATTTTTATTATATAGCGCAAAATCTGTAAAAAAAATTAGAATCGTTGATTTTTCATACAAGGAATATTCTATTTGGAATAGTATATGGGTCTATATATAAATAAAAATTTTAAATTACCTGAAAACTTGAAGTTGCGAAATATCGTAAACAGAGAAGTAGTTGGAGTTGTGGTGCAATGGGTAAACCACGATTATTATGTTTAATTAGCCCTGCCTGTATTTCAGGCAAAATACCAACTAACACAGAATCTTTTGAAAAACGATAACGTCTCTGAAACTCCCACTCATCTATTTCAAAAGGATTTTCCGCATCTCGAATGTATCGTTTTGCACGTCTTATATTGTTCGGACCATCTTCATTATCAATATTATCCTCAATGTCACTTAAATAATCTATTATATCCATAGTTAACACTTTTTTCACTATAAATACACTAATAAGTTATTGCTTAAGTCAACTAAAACGTTGACTTTAAATCATAACCTCATTTCGTTCAAATAAGTTCACCGGTAATGTCAAATAAGAAAATCCTATTTGACTATGAATACTTGGCACTCTTAAGATGGGACTCTGCATCTCAAAATCAAAAGCATTTACTTCTTTAAGCAAATGCTTAAGTTGCGGCTTAAGTCAATCCACAATGCGCGACTATGAATCTAGGTGTCAGCTTAAGTCGCTGCTTAAGAAATAAGTATCGACTATGAATACCGCCCTAGTTCAGCCGAGTTGAACGTAGTTTTGTAGATGGTGAAACGTGCGCGGAGACTTGATCTCGTTCAACCTCTACTATGAACGCGTTCAATGCTTGAACTCAGTTGGTGAAACTGGCCCTTAAAAGTCATTCTGGACAAAAATATTTAAATGTTATTTAAATTTAAATTTTTAAAATATAAATAATTAGTACAAATGTTTTGAAAAATTTGTTTTCAAGCCTTTATTTTTTAAATTCTTAGTTTTTAAATTTATATGTATGGAAAACTAATTGTTGTCAATAAATATATTTAAATACATATATAATAAATGTTTGTTTTTTTATTTATATTGCTTTATACCTACTTACAATTAGATAATTTAAATTATTATTCTTTTGATTTACAAGAATAAATATAAGTAAAATGTTTAAACTAATAATTGATCATATTGGTAATATAAATTATTTTATTTTAAGTCATCTGACGAAGTATTAATTTATTTTGTATCATACTAAAGCCTAAGTTAATTTTTAAAATTCAATACGTATTTAACATTTTTTATTTATAACTAACACGTAAATTGGAATAGATCGCAATTTCAATATTTTTATCTACATTTTAAATATATATATTTTTTTATAGAGTATAATTTATTTTTGAAAATTTATATATACGTAAATTTATTAATATATATATATAAGGAACAAATGAGAATTTTTAATTAATTAAATTAAATTTAATTAATATTACTACTAATAATTTCTACATAAGCTTTGGGAATTTTCCCTCGTTGACTGCCTCTAAATCCCATTAAATAATCTTCGTCTCCAACAATTACAGAGATAGAAATTACCTATAAAAAAAATGTAAAAAACTTTTCAATAGTAAATATTTTTGAAAAATACAGAACTACATTTAAAAAAAGCTCGCATAACTAAAATCATTGAGTAAAAGAAAAATATCGTTAAAATTGCTTGTATTTATTGAAATGAATAAATTTAAATATAATATGTACACATATATATTCACAATTATAAATATGTAATTAAAATAATTTGTTAAATAATGAAAAATTCGAAATAAACTAATTAAAATTACAGAGTATCATAACAATTTATAAATTCTAAAGTTCAAAGAATTAAAAAATTTAAAGAATTTTAATTTTATTCATTTTTTGCAAAAGAAAATCGCTGAACTTCAAAATTTATTCTTTCTACAATACATGCTCAATTCCTTATCTAGATACTTAAACTAAAAACAAAAGCGTATAATTGAAAGTACTCAAAGCATGCGACACGTTATGATGCCTTATGATCTTTAAAAAATTTTCATATTTTTATCTATTATTTTGTTCATTTTAATTAAAAACTAAAAATAATTCAATGGAAATTATTTTTCATAATGTGTCACAATAATGTTTGTGCTCTTTCTTATTTAATATAGTGAAGTAATTATTAAATAATGTTTTCTATATAAAATATTCGTACAGTATTATAAAAACTTGTGAAGAATTGCAATTGAATTATATAATTATATATTGTAAATGCGATTAGATTCTTGTACTTAAATCTTATACATTAAAATTGTAAAAATTGTACATTAAAATTTTTTTCAGAAATGGTACGTGCTTAAAAATCTCTCATTTTGTGAAAATTTTTCTCTTATAAAATATAAAATGTACAATATTAATTTAAATTATATAATTAATTATTAATATAAATTATACAAATTAAATTTTCATTTATAAATTAGATTATATCGAATTATTCTTAATTTTCGTAATCAAGGCTTTTTATAAATTGTGCAATATTTCACATATTGATTTTTCAAACAATTACATCATTTTCAATAGTTTACAGAATTGATTATTGATTGTGTTAAGCTATTGATTTCTATTTTTGTAAAATATATTTATTCAACTGTATTTGTTTAATTATATTATTGCATTCTCATCTTTTGCATTGCACATATAATTTGTTTCTATAAATGGAAAATACACTTAACACATATTCTCAATTGTATACACAAAATAAATTAAAATAAAAACTCTTAATCTAATCGTAAAAAAAAGTGCGCCCACATAACAATAATACATTTAAAAAAACGAATTAACTTATAAATTAATAATCAACTTATACACTATAGTAAAAATTCACATAAAAAAAGAAATATGAATGATTTTGAAAAACTAGCAGCAACTAATATATATATATATATATAATTTTATAATTATATATGTCTATATAAAAAAACTATAATTACTTCATGCCTCGTGCAGAACGATTGAAATTATATAAAAAATCAATTTATATTATAATAGTCGTTGATAAATAGTCGATTCATTTTTTTTTTTTTGAATTTTTCCTTTTTCAAAAACAATAAACAATAAAAATGAAAGACTTTTATAATAAAGAAATAGATTTTGATACATATTTAAGAAAATAGTCCGATTCTATTTCTTAATGAAAATCACGAAATCGAATGACAAAATTTAAACATAATCCATTAATGTTTAAAATAAAAAAAAAATAACAATTTGATATAGGAACTAAAGAAAATAAATTCGTGCTTCGAAATATAAGAATAATATAGAAAATATTGGCCAGATTTCCAATTAGATTTCAAATTTCGTTACCTCGTCTTGCTCGAGGTTTAATTCATTGGAATCTCTCGCAGTATAATCGCATACAACTCGGGCTCGATCTTGTCCATTTTCCATAGGTGCAGATGATGTTGACTGAGTGGATGAATGGAAAGAACACCCAGACAAACTGATAGGAAGAAACTTTTAATTGAATCATTCTGTGTAGAGTATACAACTCCAAAATTGAACAGACTCTTCCTCAAGTTTTTCAAAATTAAGAAAATGTATGAGTATTTCTTTTGTGTTTTAACATTTATAATAGACATTATAATTATTTATTTATATGTATATATATATATATATATGTGCAAAATGTAGGAATCGTGACGTATGAATTAAAAAAATTTCTTAGAAAATTATTTTATGCTAAACACTTAAAAGAATTGAGATCTGTCCAACAAATGAAGAATCATGAATGAATAAAATATAATAATAAATAAACAGTGTCAATAAATTAAAAATGATGGAATTTAGAATAGAAAATAAAAAGACAATTAAATAATATTCAATAAATTTTTTTAAATTTAATAAAACAATTTAAAATTAAATATTATTTTTTTATATCAATTAAAAAATTTGTCTGTACTAAACTAGATAGACAAATTGAAGGATAAGATAAAGATAGAAAATAGTTTAGATATTTTTAATAAAATTACTTTAAATATTAATCAACTAACTACACAGATTTCACAGTTAATTATTAAAAAGCAGATTTTAAAAATATTTTGGAATATATTCTAAAAAAGAGTCTTTAATCTTTTCAGCCACGACATTTTTTAAACAATTCAATTAATAATTTTTGATTCGAAATTTACTTTTCGATTGTAAAAATTTTTTTTGGCAAATAAATTTTTCAAAAATTTGCTTTTTAAGAAAAACAAAAGAACAAGTTATGAAGAAAAAATACCCCAGCCATAAAACCAGAACCATGCAACGTGAAATGATCGAACTAATATCCCAAAACTAAAACTCCCAGTGAGACATGAAAATTATTTTATATATATGTATAATATATAAAGGATGGAAATAATTTATTTTAACATAAAATATGCGTAAACACGTACAGCGTACAATGAAGTTAATACAACTAAATAGTTCAAGTTATATAGGCAACATCAGAATTTAATTAAACAGTAATATATTATGCAATATTTAAAAGCGATTATATATCTATTGAGCTGGTACCATATTGACAATTGTTTCGTTTACATGTTATTTACTTTTTTTTGTTTATTTATATTTTTAATGACTACCATTATTATCTCGACATAATTTTTTGCAATTTGAAAGAACAATTAACGTTACAGTTTTGTTAGTGCAGAAAAAAGATATCGTGCAAGACTAAACTTTAGTAATATTGGTGTCAAATGTAGCTGTAACATAGGGGGTTCCAGCTAGAGGCTGATGAGTAGGCGAATTTTGGGAAAGTGTAGGCGAGGGATTTAGCTCGATCACTTCCTCGCTGTTGACTCGCAGCAGAGGACTTGGTTGACGTGCCCTGCAATTCCAATCGCACCAAGCAAAGATAGACAGTTAACAGAGATACCCAAAATTAGAAGAAGAAACTTTCAAACTTCATTATGGCATTTCAAACAATATTTTTTTTATAGATAATTAATTTTTTACTTCAGTTAAGATTCAAATTTTAATAAAGCAAAAAAGCTTTATTTTTTGAAATAAAATCTCCAAATAAACAAAAAAAGAAAAATTGATTTAATTTTCCGATTTTAAATAAAGTATAAAATTCCATATTCTCAATTACAAAATTGTTAGATATCCCATTAGAGTTATGTGATATAAAAGCACTGCAAACTTAGAAAAAAGAAAACAAAAGCAAATCTGCCACCAAAAATAAACCTCAACCCATGCAAAGTAATAGAGTTCTAAAAATTTTTCCAGCTCAAGTAATTATTATTTCTTTCCTCTGAATAAATTAAAAAACATATTAAAAAATATTTTTAAAAAATGCTTTTAAAACTCTAATACATTTCTTAGTTTTTAAGATTGCAAGCACAGAAAAGAGGAAATTTATCTACCATAATAAAAGTGGAAAAATGAGGCAAAAAGCACAAAAAATTGATCGACAACATACAAACTATGAACCACTCAGTGACACAAATGTGCAAATTTTATTTTAATCATTCTTTATGAAAATAAGAATTTTTTTAATGGAAATAATTTTTAAAACTAAATGATAAAAATTCTTTTTAAAAACAATTAAATGTTTTCCACTTATTTCACATCGTTATAAAGTTTCTCAATAATGCCTTTCTTCAATCGCAAATACAAATTCCTTTCTTTTATCAAATTTTTTAGCAAATAAAGTAGAGAATAATTTTTTTTTTGTTAATCACTGGGGACACATGATCATTGCGAATGAGTAATGGTTCTAAGCTTCTTTTTTTTCTCTAAAATAAATTTATACGTCCCGAGAGCGACGCTAAAAATTCTAAAAAATCATTACTCACTCGATCACCAGTCAAGAGTGGGAAAGCTGCGTAATGGAATGTCAAAACAGAGAAAAAAATTGTAATAAACTTTTTTTTTGTTGTTGTCGTTGTTGAAAAAGGGGATAGAATGATGCAAAAGATGATGGAGAGGAAAAAAACTCCTTCTTATCCTTTTTTTTTATGCGGAATAAATTTTGTTTTACTTTACCCAGCGAGTTCTCGTTGTAATTCCTGCATAGTTGCGTGACATTGAGCATAATGACGAGTTTGAGCTTCAGCTAATTCATGTAAACAACGTAAATGCCCCGCTTGTGAACTAGAAACTCCTTCCAATAGTAATTTTGTAATTTCAGCTTGACGATCAAATTCCGATTGAGCTACCCTCAATTCCCTCTCGGCCTTGTGTATTTCATTTTGGAGAAAACAAAAATTCAAATTTTATTATAAATTCTCAACAATGAGAAATAAATTACAAATAATATTTATAAACAAAGCTGGAAAAAATTTTAAAGCAAAAAAAGAAAACTCAATTCCTGCACGAAATTAAGGGACTGTAATCTTAAATTAAAATTAAATAAAAAGTGAGATGTATAAAAATTCAATCCAAAAAAAAAAGAAATCGTGATACTATGATAATTTCCAATTTTTTTATATTTTGATATTAATACCTGATCGAGCAAGACTTCAGGCGAAACGCCGCTCTCCTATATTATGCAGCAATGGGGGCGAAACAAACCTCAGAGTAAACGTACACAACACTTAAATGAATAATATAAATAAGAGAAATTTTTTTGAAAAACTTACATTTTGCTGACCCAACATGCTTCTTGCTTTTCTGACACGATTTTTGCATGCGTCCAAATCCAGTCTTTAAAAAATGTCCAGAAAATCATTTTTTAAATTAATATTAAAATTCAATCTTTATTTAAATTAATTTTAATAAATTTTTACCGTTTTGTTTCTAAAATAGCCATCTCTTTGCTAATTGTTTTCATTTCGCCTTCCAAAAACTTCCTCAATGGTTGAATATAACAATTAGCTGCCGTTCCGATAAAGTCTCTTTCAATTTGACCCAGTTTTTGTTGACACTGACCAACTTTGATTAAAGCACTGCCTAAAATCATAATTAAGGAAAATAATGTTAAGGAACATTAATATAGTTGAATTCATAAATAATTAAAATTGTTCAAAGAATTAAAAAATAAAATCTCAAGAAAATTGTACAATCTAACCGTAAGCAATTCCAGGTCCGAAATCATTTCCAGAATCGATCATATCCTGTCCAAGATATTCCAAATTACTAAGTCTATTTGGTTTCCTTTTGTCGATTTTCTCAAAAACAAAATCTTCGATTCTATTACCTATAGGAAAAATTATAAAATATTTTTAATAATATCAATACTAATTAAAACTAATGGTTTTTAAAAAACACTGCTCCTAATATTATTTTTCTAAATTAATACCAGGATTTGGAGTAAGTACAGCTTCCATATTTTTAAGAATCTTTTCCGTCCAAGTTTTTGACATATTTGCTCGTTCTGCTAAATGTTCAAAGTGCGCATCTAGTTCTGTTTTCTCAGAAGTTCCAATTTTTTCTTCTGTAAGCTGTAAACAATTTAAAAATTAATGTAAATTAATTAATTAATTTTCTCACGTTCTCGATAAAAGTGAAGAATATTAATAAGAGAATGTAAACAATTAAATTTGACGAATTAAATAAATGAGGAACATGACAATTCCTTTTTAATACTAAAAAATCGCCAAAGGATTTCAAAATTTAATAAGAATATATAAAATTAATAATATGTAAATTTAAAAAAGTAATATGATAAATCATTTAATTTAATAAAGGAGAGTTATACATTTCAACAAAGCAAAAATGTCAGAAGTGACGATAACACTTAAACACCCACACACAAATTTTAATTAAAAATGCAACGCTTAATATGATGATATTGAAAATATTTACCTGTACAACTCTACTAAGGGCTGCTCCCGCATCTTTCACCATCTTTTTTACATTAAAATCCATTTTAAAATAATAATTTTAATTTTTTATCCGAACAAAATCCACCCCGTTTTTGTTGTGTTTAAATGGCCTCTTGTAAATACAAACAACCAGTATTTAGAAATAATAAAATAAAGTGATATGTTTATATTTAACTAATAATGCAAATAAACATTAATTTTGAAAGAAAAAGTGTTCACAGAAATTAATAATATCGAATGAAAAAGACATCTACGACATTAATCATTGACATTGCACTGACTCAAGGCAAGGCAGCCAATTCACAAAATAACCAAAATAATAAAAGAAAACACTAGAATTTTAATTTAGTACTTTTTTTATTTCCTAGAAAATTTGTGAATGCACCTTTAAGATGAGTAAATCTCTGAGCTACATTCCCATCCCTGGGCAAGTGGACGTCAAAACAAAACGTGAAATAAATAAATAAACACAAATAAATTTATTATTTAGGAACTTAATTATTATATGTATATTTAGCATGAGTGGAGAAAAACGAGAACACAGTGATAGTGAAGAAGAATGGATTGGTCCATTACCATCAGAAGCTGCACCGTTAAAGAAAAAAAGAAGTTTGTTTTCATAACCTCACTAATATTATTTTTATTGTCAATCTTTAATTTAATGTCATAATATTTTAATTATTATAAATTAAATTAATCAAAATTATTTATTTTAACATTATCCCCTTTTATTTAAATATAACAACTTTTTCTATTTTAAACAATTTAGTTTTGGAATACGAGAGGGTTTATGTGGACAATTTACCATGCAGTGAAACATACGAAAAGAGCTATATGCACAAAGATGTAATTACTCACGTTTTGTTGACAAAGTAAGTTATTTATCTAGTTACTGAATTATAAATTTTGCCCCTAATTACAATAATCTAATTAATTAATTAATTTTTTATTTTCAGTAGAACCAATTTCGTCATAACTGGTAGTTGTGATGGTAGTATCAAATTTTGGAAGAAACAAGAAGAATTAATAGAATTCGTAAAACATTATCGTGCTCACTATAGATCAAACATTGTTGCATTAAGTGCAAGCGGTAATGGAGTTCACGCTTGTACAATTAGTAATGACAAAACAATGAAAGTTTTTGACGTCATAAATTTTGGTATGAGCTTAAGGAAGAAAGAATAATTTTTTCATCTAATTTTATCCTTTTATTATTATTATTATTATTATTATTATTATTTCTTTACAGATATGATTAATATATTAAATTTAAACTATATACCTTCATGTGCCGAATGGATTTATTCTGATGGAGATGCTATTCCCGCAATTGCAGTATCAGATCAAGATTCAAATAAAATTTTTATTTACGATGGTGTAGGAAATTCTGAACCACTGCATATTTTTGAAAAACTTCACACAAAACCTGTCGTAACGTTGAAGGTATTTTATTTTTAGTGTAAAAATACAAATCGCACACATTTTCATAATAATAATTTTTCACTATATTTATTTTTAGTATAACACCGTTTACGAAACTTGTATATCAGTTGATAAAGCCGGAATTCTTGAATATTGGACAGGACCAAAATTGGAGTACAAATTTCCGAAATGTGTTAAATTTGTCTCGAAATTAGATACGGATTTATTTGAATTTGCTAAAAATAAAACATATCCATGTGGTTTGGCGATATCTCCAGATGGGAAGAAATTTGCTTCGCTCAATAGAGATAGACGGGTTCGAATATTTCATTTTCTCACCGGTAAATTATACCGAGTATTTGACGAAAGTCTTCAAAGGTACACGGAACTTCAACAGACAACACTGCAATTACCAAACATGGAGTTTGGTCGTCGGTAAAATTTAATTTTTTTATTATTTAATATTTCTTAAAGTTGAAACGACATATTTTAATTAGGAAATTATTTTTAGAATGGCTGTTGAAAGAGAGCTGGATAAAACAGAGGCGAACCTCGGAAATATTGTATTCGATGAATCTGGCTATATTGTTTTATATAGTACAATGCTTGGAATTAAACTCGTGAATATTTACACCAATCGATGCATTAGAATTTTGGCAAAACCAGAGAATATTCGTCCTATGCAGTTGGCGCTTTTTCAAGTATATATAATAACTTTTTTAATTTATTTTTGAAATTTTCGTCTAATTCTTTATTTTTTAAAAACAGGGAAGAGCCAAAAAACCAGTGGGTGCTGTAAGTGTGGAAATGGAAGCTTCGGAAAATTGCACATTAGAATTGAATAAACCAGATCCAACTTTATTTTGTACGGCTTTGAAGAAAAGTCGTTTTTATTTGTTTACAAGACGTGAACCCGAGGATACAAAGAGTCAAGATTGTGATCGTGATGTCTTCAATGAAAAACCATCGAAGGAGGATATTATATCGGCAACAGAGGCGACTAATATGCAAAGAATATACGATAACGCTATTGTTCACACAACAATGGGCGATATTCATTTGAACTTTTTCAGTAAAGATGTACCAAAAACGGTTGAAAATTTTTGTGTTCACTCGAAAAATGGTTATTACAATAATCACATATTTCATCGGGTCATGAAAACATTTATGATTCAAACTGGAGATCCAACTGGAACAGGAACTGGTGGTGAAAGTATATGGGGTGGCGAATTTGAGGATGAATTTAAACCACATTTAAAGCACGATAGACCTTATACGCTTAGTATGGCAAATGCAGGACCCAATACAAATGGAAGTCAATTTTTTATCACACTCACACCAACGGTAAATTTATTTCCCTTTTTATTTTATTATTTAGTCCTATTTACTTATTTTACCTATTTTTTAATATCTTTCATTTAAATTTATTTTCAGTCGTGGCTTGATAACAAACACACGGTTTTCGGCAGAGTTGTAAAAGGAATGGAAGTTGTACAGAATATTAGTCAAGTAAAAACAAATCCTAAAACAGACAAACCTTACGATGACATTAGAATAGTCAGTATTACTGTAAAATAAAATTCTGTGAGTAAAATACAATTTACATTTTTATATCTGTGTCATTCAATAGCTTGAATTTTTCAAATGATGTTAATTGGAATTTATTGATCCTTACTATTAATAGTACTTATTTTTAAATACTTTCTAAAATAAAAATGATTATTATTTCCTAGAAAAGTTATTTTAATTTAATACTAAATTAATATGACAAAATTATAAATATAATTATTTATAAAGCCAGGGTGTCTAAAATATTTACAAGGAATAAGGAAACGCAACTCTATAATTAATGTATTCTTTATAATTTTAGGAAAGGTAGTTACATTAATATTTTTTTCCACACATGTATGTTATATAATACAATGGATATGAAATTATATTTATACATATGTATTTATATAATTAGATGGTTTTTTTTTTATTTTGTAGCTATGTTTTGTTCGCGTTTTTTTTTTTAATTTACATCATTGCTCACATTTCATGAAAATCAGAGAATTACATATAAATATAAAATATTTAATCCAAAAAAAGAGAATTAAATTTCAACTTGCATTTTAAAAACGTAATTTCTAAAGATATATTTGTTTCGCGTTACTTTTGTAACTTATTTGATTATCTAAAAGTTTAAAATTCTTTTACAATAATAATAGGTAATAATTTTTTTTGCAATTTTGTATTCTATTTTTGGTCCTCGTTCAATGGAAAGTAAGTATATGTATCACAACAAAATTTTTTTGTATATGTTTTACAAGAATTTGTTATTATTATCATAATTTTTGTTCAATATAATGACATATTATAAAGATTTTTTTCTTCACTAAAATACATTTTTCATTTTTAATTTGATTTTTGTTTTTCGATTAAATAAATTTTTAGAAAAAAAATATCCTCAAATCAATAGAATAATTAATTTGTGGAATTTAAAGAATTCTGTGTCAATATATACTCGAAAATCGTCAATGGAAATAAAATTATAAAATACAATACAACTTGATTATAAAGTTTTTTGAAGAAAAAAAAGAAAGTCAAGTACCTAAGACAAAAGGGCTCTTAGAAAAAACGATGACTACGTTCCGGTCGCAACAATGGTTAATGAACCGATCGTTTCCTAGATTACAATCTTGACCAACTTTTTTCCTATTTTTTTCGGTTCTAAATAAAAAATATGAAATTTCCCAACATTAAAGATAAAAAAAAGAGATAATTTCTTCAGAAAAAATTGAACTTTAATTATAATGAAAAAAAATTATTTTATTTTATTATAATAACAATAATAATAATTATTATTATTAGTAAATTATTATAAATATTAATTATACTTTTTTGATATGACTTTTTAATAACGATTTTTTGAATTTATCGAATTAGTTGTATTTCGGTAACGATTATTGAAAATTAAATATAATATGTACATTTTTTATTATATGAAGCTAATATAAATTTTCAATAATTCTAATCTATATTTACAAAATTAATATCATGTTTAATATTTTATGAATAATATAGCGTTAATTCCATTATTCATTATGTAGTTGAATTAAAAATTTATAATGGATCAATTTAATTTAAAAAATTGTAACTATAAAAAATATTTTAAAAACATTTTAAAATAACGCTATAAACGGATCAATAATTTTTCTTCAAATTTCGATAAATATTCACTTTTTAGTAATACTAGAAAAACATCTTATACTTATTATTTGTAATAAATTTTTTACCTAAATACATTTTTAAAATTTAATTCGTTGTTCGGAAGCAACAAAAATTATATATATTTATATTATAATTATTACGATTTAGAAATAAAAATAAATATTTACCTAAATTTAAAAAAATTATTTCAGTGTAGGTATAATAAAAATATTGAGTTTAAAAAAAAATTATCAGTTGAAATTTATAATATTTTTGAATGGAATTCGAGACAATAACACATATGAAAAATATTATATATACAATTCCCAGCATTGCAACTCCTACAGTAGTTTATTCCTTTTATAGAGAATTTTTTGCGTTTTAAAAAGTAAAGTGTTTCTGTTATTATAAGAATATAGTTTATAGCGCTTCACTTTCGAACCAAATAGTTTATTATTATTTAATACGATTTTAATAATGATTGTTTAATATGGAATATATATATATATATATGAAAGTTAAAATCAATTAATAAAAAAAACTGTTGGTAATTAATATTTTTTATAAAATAAAATTTGTTATTTAATAAACGAGTGAATGAGGATTTTCTTGGAAATTTGTTATAAGATAAAAAGATTTTCACAACTTTTGGTTTTTCTCTTAAAACCTAAAAGATGTTTAAGAATTTTTTTTCTATTTTTGCTTCTTCGTCTTCTTGTCGCTTGGTCCCGATCGCGTTGTGGATTCAATTTAATTTGAGCCAATATTCCTACTAGAAGCTCGTCAACGTGATGAGCTAAACCCGATGAAGTTTCGATGAATTTGCAGCCGCAGCTGTTTGCAATCCTTCGCCCCACTATATCGATTTTATCAAACAAAATGTGTTTTAAAAAGCCAGTACTTTAATTATAATTATGCCTTCATCAATATATTCGTAAAATTATTTAACTTGTAATTACATTAAAATATTTTTTTTTCTGAATGAATTAAAAAAAGAAAAGATATGTTTAGTAAAAATGTTTCTGTTTTTATGACTTACTCATAGAAGGAACTTCACGTTTCCTCTCGAGATCAACCTTATTCCCCACGAGAATGACACCATGTGAAGCCATGTAATCGCTTTTCCATAAATGTAGTAAAGTCTCTTCAGCGAATTTCAAACTTCTCCTGTCAACTACCGAGTAGACGACAACATACACATCAGGATTGTACGTGGAACAGAATGTTTCAACCTTAAAAAAAAATCATCAGACATACATTAAATTTTTTTTTATTATTATTATTTTATTTTTTTTTATAAAATCTATGAAATTATAATATTTCTAAAAAAAATTTAACAGAAAATTGTTTTAAAATTTTTTTCTGCTAATATTTTTCCCCTCGAATCTCTTTCACATTTTTTTTATAAACCATTTTTCTTTACCCACTCATCTCATTTCCTTTCATGAAAAATCCTTTTACGTTTTCTTATCCTGTTTTTAAATTTTATTCCTTTCGCCTGTTAACAAAAATATTTTCTATTCTAAAAAAAAGGTATAACCAAAATATACGCACTCATATATAAATAAAAATATATATAGCACAGATGATAAATTATTTTTTAAGTACAATCGATTATAAAAGCATCTCTAATCTTTTGGTAACTGAGAAAAAGTGGATGATATAAGTCTGTATATAAGAAAAGACACTAAGCACTTTTACTTCGCAAAAGGTGAGATAATAAATGAAATTTTCTTTTGTCTGAAAATGTGTTGAAAAGATAAGGACAGAAATGAAATTTCTCAGAGAAAAATGAGAAAATCTTTCTTTTATTTAATGAACAAAACTTGTAATAATACGCACAATAATTAAAAATATGGGTGAAAAATGACTTTAGACCTTTATCTGAAAATTCAGTTGTATTAAAAAAGAAAACACTTATTGAGAATCCACTGAAATATAGGTACTAATTGATATTAATTTTTGAACATTCGTTCGATATTAACAGCAATCGATATCATCCTAAACGATTGATTATAAAATAATTGTTGTTAACTTTGTAATCAACTTTTAAAAAACAATTAAGTTTTATTTTTATGCTGTCGCTGATTAAACAGCACCTCTATTAGAAATGATAAAAATATAATAATAAATGTGGACTCACCGACATTTCAGAGGCTGGATGATCAATTATCTCTAGTTCTGTCTCTTGGCCATCGATCATTACAGACACACTTTTCTGACCATATTCATCATCTGTAACAAAAATTTCATAATCTCTTTTGAAAAATTATATAGCTGAGATATATTTTTATATTTTTTAATACTCAATTAAATAATAATGTAGATAATAATGTAATTTAATATTTTTATAATTATTTCAATTTTTCAAAAATGTCCCTTTCAATTGAATTGAAAATATATGGAGATTGTTACAAGTATTAAAGCTGATAGGTATATTTTCAAGGACTGGAAATTCGAGAATATCAAAGAAATTTGAAACAAACTTTTAAATCAGTTTTGCCAAAGAGGGATCAAATATATTCAATAAATAAAATTTAAAGTTTTCCAAACAAAAAGTTTCTATTTTACTGTTAGAAATCTATAGTGAAAAATTTTATTAACTTTTTGTGTACTATCTAGATATTTATTAATTTCTCATATTATAATTTTAATTCTGCCTAGAAATTTAATAATAATAATTAAATAAATTATTATCTTATTTAAAATAATTAACTTCAAAAGAGAAAAAATCAATGAATGAACAATATTTATTTAACTTGAATGATTTTATTTTTCATCTTTTTCTTCTCAAATCAGTGAAAATATATTTGCTTTATTCTTTTATCAGAAAAATTCAAAAAAAAAAGTATTCCAGAAAATGCAATAAAAATTTACTATTATATGTGAAGAGTATTTCTTTTTATAGGACAAGTGATGGACATTTAATTTAGTTGCTAGAGAAAAATGTCGGTCAAGTGAAGCAAAAAAAGAGAATATATACTGAACGAAATGGAGAAGACATTTTCATCCTCATTAAGGAAAAAACTGTCAATTTTTAACATTATTTTCCAACCTTTATTTAAAAGACTAATTTCCATTTAACAAAAAAAAAAAAAGAAACTAAATCAGTTTGTCATATAAAGTAAAGAAGTAAAACTAGTTTTCATTTTTTTTTTAATAGATCCAATACTAAAGACAAATTTATTTTATTCTTTTTAATTTATTTAAAAATATCAAAAATATTGCAATCTAACCAGTTATTCTTTTCTCTCACTTTCTTCAACTTTTTATTAATTATATTTTCTTCTAACCACGAACGAAATCACGAGTTGTGACAAAAAATAATAAGTTTTTCATAAGAAATATTTTTAAAAAAAATGTCTAATATATGCTTCTGTTTTGATAGTTACGTGCAAATCCTCTATAGACAATAAGTTTTTACGATTGGAAAAGATGAGTTTTTATTATTCCAGAAAGACTCGCAGAAAATCATTTGCATAATGTACAATTTCCTTTGCAATGTCTTTTATATCGCGAGAGGAAAATGCGAATGTAAATATGCATTTAAACAAAATCATTAGATTTTTTATGAATCCAATAAACATATATTTCATTTGTATAGACTTTGTCTTGATATTTTTTATCACAGAAAATTCTTTCTGCTTTCTTTCTTCTTTTTGCTCTAAAATTTAAAATACGAAACAGTAAATTGAAATTTTTTATAATTTATAATATTTTATTTGGTGCAATTGTAATATTTACCGAGAGATGCGTCATAGGCACAGATGTAATCACTCGTTGTAAATTGAGCGGTAAGGGCGGTTTTTCCAACCCCAGATGCTCCGAGCATGCCCACCTTGTAAGTAGGCACTTGACTGCTGCTTAGCTCCTCTTCTCCTTCAATGCCAGAAAGTTGAGAAGCTAAACTGCGGCAAAAGGGGAAAAAAACAAAAACTCGAGTAAAATGTCTCATCACGTAATTTATGGTTCAATATAAATGAAAATAGAAAAATTTTCTTTTATTTTTTTTTTTAGAGATTAAAATAAATTATTTTCATTGCAAAAATCATATAAATAAAACATAAAAGATAGCAGTATCATCTGATTTCAGAATGTTTCTTTTTATACACGTGCACATTCAATATGCTTAGCGCGTAGTTGTGTTTACAGAAACTTATTTTACGAGGGAGTTGCTGTGCTTTTACTTTTGGCGAGATTAGCCAGGATCCTCCAAGGAGTTCAGTACGTGATCGTCGAAAGAAAAAAAAAAGACTATTCACGTTATACAGCAACTTTTTTCTCGACTCTAAAAACATGAGCTCGATAAAAAGAGAAACTTTTTCCAAACCTGATTATTTTATTTTATATCTACTACTTTTTTTGTTTTATTTGAATTACCTTAAGAGTCTAGCATCTCTTGTACTACTGCAACTGGTACCAGAAGACGTGACGCTGTTGATACTTCTGCTTCGTCGACTTTTCAGAGAGTCACCAAGATTGTAAACCCCATTGGCAGTTATGGAAAACGAGCGCAGCCTGTAATATTCCAAACCATCTTCAGTTTCACCGTCGTCACCGGCTGTATTTCGTTTCATATCCACAAGCATTGGCTGCAAACAAATTTTATTTATCTTATTAAAACATTTTCTAATTTCTGTATTTGAAAAAATAATAATTATTTGATAAAAATAAATATTTATTTGATAATAGTCAAGTAATCGAGTATTTACAAAAAGTTTCTTAATTTTTGACATACAAAAAGAATTTATTTTACATGAAATATTATTAATATGACAAAATTTCTCAAGAATTTCTAAATTATTTCGTATTCACATATTTCATTTCTGAGAGCTTTTCTCACAGCTGGTAAGGACACAAAAAACATATCATCATGCAAATTTTATTTCTTTAGACTCGCCAAGAAAAATGGTTACTTTTTGCTCTCTTTTTCATTTGTAAGTTATAAAAATTCTCTCGGAAAAATTATATTCAATTATTATTAAAAGAATAAATTCTCTATTTTTTTTTATAATGATAAAAAAAAAAATTACAAAGAAATTTGACAAGATATAATAAAAAAAAATTCACATGTGGTCTCTAATTACGTTAAAAGTGAGCTAAAAATAAATTGCGGTTTTAAAAGTAAATGACAAGCAGACTCATAAGTGTGGATTAGGGTCATAGGGAATCCTGACACATGTACTCTCATTTAATCAGCTCACAAGTAGTATTCGATCCAAATGTGCAATTTTCTGTGACAACATCATCACCATCATCTAAATTGATCACATTTATTAATTTTAAATCACGTTATTATAAAATTGCTATTGCATTCTATAAAAGCAATTAAAAAACAAATTTACAAATATACAATCAATATGAAAAACTAAATTGAAATTTTAATAATTAAAAACAAAAAAACTTTTATTTATTCTTTTTTTTTTAATTCTGACAGTTGACGTTTCAGAAAAGAAATTCTTTTTCTTTTAAATTTTCATAAAATCAATAACACAAGAAAATTTGCGAAATCGGTGAAATGTTTATATGCCCTTTACCGGACATAAGTGCAATTTTACGAGATTATTTCGTGAAAGTTGTGTCGTTTCCGGAAAAGGGATATAAAAGAAACTTTTCCCCTTTTTATTTCTAATAAAAACAACTTTCCCCTAATCTTAATCAAGAAAAATGTCGTGTCCGTCATTTGGCGATTTGGGAAAAGAAGCAAAAGACGTTTATCGCAGTGGATTTCATTTGGGATTAGTAAATTTCTCCATAACTTCGATTCTCAAAAATATTAACATTGGTGGAAATTTGAAACATAATTTGGATGAAAATTTGGTTAGTTTCTTTTTTTAATAAATTTAAAAATAATAATAATTAATTACATTTTGCTTTTTAATTTCAATGTGATTTTATTATTTTCCCTTGTATTTTGAAATTCTTGTGAATTTGAATTTCACTTTTCTTGTACAAGATGAAACATTTTGCAGTTGATAAAATACTTGGCCTTCAGTAATAAATTGCAAAATAGAATTTCCTATTGGAAATTGCACACAATGTGAGAAGAGTGCCAAAGTCTTATCAGATATACAGAGGGGATGGTTAAGACCCTTGAAATTTCTTTTAACCCATTTTCTATTCTCAGAAAAGAAAATGGCTTCAAGATCATAAATGAAAATTCACTTAAAATTTCTTTATTTAACGCAAAATTTAAAAATAATAATAATTTTCTAAATATTACTAAAATTAATAATTTTTTATAGAGCAGTGGAGTGGGATTTATAGGATTTGAATCAGAAAATTTTGGAAAAACAATTGGAAAATATACGAATGGCGGCGTTTTTAGTTTGCAATACTTTTTAAAAAAAAATTTATTCGAAAATGTCGATATCAACGGCATATTTTCTTATAATACCGAATCATCGGAATCATCACTTCAAGTTAATTCCAATTATACCACAGATAATTTTCATGGAAATTTATCATTAAGTTAGTATGAAATTTCGAAAAAAATAAATCTCTTGAATTAATTTTTGAAAAAAGCATTCTTTCTTATATGAAATATAAAAAATGTGATAACTACAGTACTGCCGTAGCTAATTGTTTCGAGCTGAATTCGAGAGCAACTGTCGATGTCGTTTATCGAATTAAGGATATATTTGTCGGATATCAAACTGGATTTGACACAGCATCAAATAAATTTACAAGAAATGATCTTGGTCTCGGTTTTGCTGTCAACGATATGGGATTTCATTTTCGTTGTAATTCCATTCCCACTGAATTTGGACTTTCAGTTCATCGCAAAGGTATAATCAGCATAAAAAAAATAAATATTTAATAAATTAATAAATGCGATTTTATTATTTTCTAGTGGCTAATAATTGGGATGTTGCGATGAATGGAATATTTGCAAAAAAGGGCGATTCACAATTTTGGACATTGGGAATTGGTGCTAAATACGAGTTGTCCGATGGTGCGATATTTCGTTGTAAAGTGGACAAAGATCAACAAATAGGAATAAGCTTCTGTCAAAGGCTACTAGATATGCTGAATTTCACTGTGTCCTGCAATATTGACGGTGCAAATCTGGACAGCGGTGGTCACAAGGCTGGTATCAGCATTGAATTAGAAGCTTGATTGTCATTTCCAGAAATGTAATTAACGCGCTGATCGATTCAAAAATAAATAAACCTTTAAACCGCAATTCATTATCTTTAAATAAATACATAATATATTTCATTTTACTCTTTTTTATTTCTTCAAAAAATCTGATTTATATTATTCGAATTTAAAATTTTGTCATATAGTTTTTATGTTTTTATGTTCAAAAAAATTTCCAACAATAATTAAGTTTTACAGATTTTTAAATAAAAAATTTTTTTTAAATGATGAAGAGTTAAAATTGAAATTTTATTTTGGAAAATAATGAAAATTGAAAAATAAGTTTGCGTAATGGAAAAAATAGAAAAATTTTGCTGCAATAACCTTGTGTCGAGGAACAGCCGGCATGCTGCTCGTCCTTCCACGATATTGTCTGGGAGGTGGTCCACGAGAACCAGATGCTGAGCCTGATGGACTAGTGGGACTTGGACCACCAGGACTTGCACCAGGACTCAAATGAGATGTACATGAAGCTGCTCCAGGACTTATTGCTGGCGTTCTCGTTGGACTTCTCGATGATGGTGACAAATGACCCCAAGGTCCCGCTTCAGCTTGGAGAAATCTCAAGAAAAAAAAAAATGAATATTTCATTTTATGGGAAATACGAATTGAATTTCACTCTTACCTGTGTAGATCTGGTGTTGGTCTTGCAACTGCAATACTTGAACTTCTTCTTCTGGAAGGAACAGTTGGCGATTTTGGTCCGTCTGAAGATGAATGAATTTGTGTACCGGAAAATGATGTACCATGTATTCGCACCTCGATTTCACTGCAACGTCTTTGAAATGTTTTTTTATTCCTTCGCTTATTCTTTGGGTCCGTATTTGTAAAATCTGCTTTTCTGAAATTATTTTTATTAAATTAAAAAAATTATTTCAGACATTTTCTTAAATTTCTTTCACAAAAGTAGAATTCTAAAAAGCGATACTTTAGAAGAGAAAAAACTTTTTCTTCTCCATTTTGACTCTATTATCTTTTTTCCAACATCACATTTACTATGCTAAAAATGCATTTGTGTTCCATTACTCCTTTTTTCCGCGCGGATAACTTTTACCTCAAAATGTTTTTTTTTCGCAATCAATTGCACCTTTAAAATGTTTTTAATATAAGCGTAAATTAATCTATTATATTGAATGTCATATATTTAGAAATAAAAATATTTCCATAAATAAAATTGAACGTATTCTCAAGGGACAAGTATCATATTTCATGGGGCGTGAAAAATTCGTGATCGTCTATATACGTATTTCAGTCTATAAAAATTCAGTGGCGTGATTCAATCATATTATGTGGCTCTTGCGAAAAATTATTTTTCTTTACCTCATTGTCATTACATGGGCATTGAAACAACGAGAGTGTAAACCAAACACAATTCAAGCTGAAGAACAGAAAGTTAAAACTTATTTATTTTCAAATTATGACGCTACAAATCCACCATGTGCAAATAAAACGACGGTTGATTTTTTAATTTATCCAAAAACAATAACTTTCGTAAGTGTTTGATTTTAATATTATAATTCAATATTAGACACTAATTTTCTTTTTTTTTACATAGAACGAACATTCCAACACGCTCGAGATTCACTGTCTTTCCATTACAGTGAGTATAAAATAATTTTTCACAAAAATTGAAAATAGTATAAAATAAAGTGTTTTTTTTAAATCTAATTTTTTTTTTTGAAAGAATTGGAATGACGATCGTCTTGTGTGGGACGGAGAAAAATTCAATTTGAGCGATGATAGCTTTCACGTGGCTGATACTGAAATTTGGATACCAGACATTTCAGTCCACACATCGTAAGTTGATATCGAGTTTTTATTTCTAAAAAAATTAAAATTAAATTAAAATTATTTAAAATTAATTGAAATTAAATTAAAATTTCTAAAAATTAACTACTATTTCTTTAGCGGAGATTTGAGTTTGGACCAAAGGCCTTCCGCGACATATTGCCTATTATTTCACACCGGAGTGGTTTGGTGCAAGTCGTCAGTGGTATATACTGTCATGTGCTACACTGATTATACGGCATGGCCATTTGATATTCAATACTGTGACGTTCAACTTGGTTCGTGGGCACATGACAGCACTGTTCTCAATCTGACAACCAAATGGACAAACTGGGTACAAAATGATAATAATAGAAGTATTCAAAATTTGAATTAAATAAAAAATTTCTTTGAAACGAAGATAATTATTTTTTTTAATCAAAGATAATTTGTTTGAAATGAATAAATTTTCTTTGTATCGAAGAATTTCAAAGAAATTGATTATTTTGAATCAAAAAAATCTTTTTCCTATGTATTTTTATTAATGTATTTTATAGATGTGGAGATTTTATACTCCAAATCCACAATGGGATGTGGTCTACAATAAAACTGGAATAACATATACAAAAAATAAATACAACTGGGAAAAAAAGTCATACATTCTTTGGATTCAAATGGGACTAAAAAGAAGAAGTAACATTATGCAAGTTTTTTACATTACACCTGCCATTGGTAAGTAGAAAAAATTGGAATTTTTTTTTTTGTTTTTTTAATATTTTCTTTTTCTTCCAGTTTTAATGATATTGACCCTCGCGTCTTTGTGGCTCGACAGTATATCCACTGAGAGACTTGTATTTGTATGTATTAATTTTATTTGTCATCTTCTTTGCATTCAAGATCTTCAATGGAAATTGCCATCAAACGGACAAGCTGCTCCACTTATTCGTAAGTGTTCAATTGAAAATTTTACATTCGTATTTTCATATTATTCATTTTCAATGAAATTATTTGTTTAACGATATTTTTTATCATTTTCAGTATTATATTATGAGAATTCCTTATTATTGGCGGCCTTTTCACTTTTATTAACAGTAATTCTTGCCAAATTGGAAAAATCAAATACAAAAGTTCCACAATTTTTAATGTCCATTACAAATAATATTTTGAATAGTAAAATTGGTAAACTTCTTTTTATAAATATGTTGGATCCAAAAGCTTATTCTGGATTAAAAGAAAGTGACGATTCAATTTTGTTAAATACAATAAAGAAGGAAAATTCCTGGAAATGGATTACAATTTTCATCAGTTGGATTGCATTTATAATAATTTCCATAATTTATATTATATTATTAATAATTTATTTGCCTCGTGATTTTTTGCAAATAAATGTAGATCATTTTGAAACGCGACTGAGAAAATTTTCCAAAAGCGATGATATTATCGGTGATTAATAAAAATGTATAAAAATAATTAAAAAAAAAAACCTTTCATTTTTATTTATAAAATATTTTTTGCCTCTTATTTTCATGTGAATAAAAGAAAAAAAGGACAAAATGAGAATTTTTTATTTAAAATTTTAGTCTATTGTTATGTCTGACTGAAGTTGAGGTTTACTACTGAAACTATTAATACAAGAATTTAGAAAGTATATTTCTGACTAAATATATTTTTTCTACTGATTTAAATTGAAAAGTTATAATTTAACTAAATTTCAACTTGTAAAAAGAGCAAGTTTGATCTCAAAATATTCTTTTTTGAGAGGCTTTAATGCTTTTTGATGACCAATAATAAGAATTTAATTGCATTGTCTTCCGTTTTAATCAGTAAACCTAAACACGTAACCATTTGCATTGAATTAGCATTGAGAGGATAGATTAGGTCTAGTGGGAAATCCATTTCACTTCAGTTTAATAAACTAATTATTTAACAACAATTAATTACAAAACTATGTGTTGCTTGGATCATTCATCTTTTTTTATGTAATATTTAGTAATAAAAATTGGGTCTTTGAAAAATATAAATAAAAATTGTTATTTCTAATGCATAATAAAATGTTTTAAAATATTATTAAATTTAAAAAAAAAAATTTTATACCTTGGTATAAGTTTATCCTCCAACATGCTGGGTAGATCATCAGTATCTTCAGTGAGAGCGGCAAAAAAGTCCTGAAACTTGTCAGGAAAATTAGATGGACAGGTACTTGAATTTGAAGAAACTTCGGTGGATGTTGTTGTCTCGGATGTTTCGGTACCGTTATCATGGTACCTTTGTTCTGCGGACGTTGCCATAGACACTCGTTTCACTTATTATTTTATTAGTCATCAATTTAATAACTTATCAGTTATTTGAACCTTCATTTTCCCTTGACACCAAATTTTTTTAATTCAATATTTTTAAACATTATTTCAGATAAAAGAAATAAATTTTTAATTTTATCGCACAATTTTTGCATATCAGAAGAGAAAAATATTTTCATGAAAATTAAATTTCCTTTTCAAATAAATTTATAATTTTTTTTTTTTGCAATTTATATAAAATTTCATTAAAATTAAAATTTATTGTATGAGAAAAAAATTTTCGTTTTTATTAAGAAACGTTGTGAAATGAAATAGAGCACATTTCATGGTTTCAGAGGATGTCACTAATGAACATTTAAAATTCAAATTTTGTAACAAGTTTCCTCGCTTGCCAAAGAAACAAGGACAGTCGTGATATAATTTACTTTTAATTTTCACATTAATAATTCAGTAGTTTTAAGTCCAAAAGTACATGTTAATATTTATTATAATAGACAAAATTATTGCTAATTTTTAATAATCAAATAATTTTGAATAAAATAACAATTTAATAATTAAAAAACTAATTTTGTTGTTTTTTAATAAAAATAAAAAATGTAATTCTCACGCTTGCAATCTCATTTATGTAAACAATAGTTATGACATTTTTACTTTTTCCAGGCAAATATACAATTCACAGATTTTATTGGAAAATTTGTCCTATAGATAAATTCGAAAAGAACACATTTTAATTTACATCGTGAAATTTTTTTTGCCGAGATGATGTATTATGGTAAAAATATGAAATTTGATACACAAATACTTGTAAGAGGAAACTGGATAATTGTCGCGAATACAAACAGGTATTTCGTCAGACTGAAGCACGCGCGGGTGTTATACTTGCTTTTCTAGATTCCAGAAGCTTGATTATTCAGCGCAAGCGTAACTCACCCCCATACAAATGTTATTAGCTTTTTAACGCACTTGGACGTTCATATACCAAGAAAGAAGAAATAGCAAACAAGTTCCAAAAATTACAATAACTTTTCATTTTTTTCTGAAAAAAAAGATAATTCTAACATTTTTCCGCCTGATTCAAGCTGAATTAAAAAATAACGAAAATATTTTGTAATTATTAAATAAATAAAATAAATTATAATAATTACAGTTTTTGAATTCTATTCGAGAATGTTTCCGTAGAGAATAAAATTTATTTGTTGACAATTTGAATAAAAAATACTGCTTTTGATAAAATTATATTATCGTATATATTTCAAGTTATAATCGTTAGTAAAATTCAATTTTATAGTGTACTTTGTGAATTTTTTTTTCTGAATACGTTGCTATAATTTTTTCTTTGTGAAATATTGAATCCAATTATTTGCTTCTAGGTTGATAAAAAAAGGTTTGAAAAGTTTGACTTTCGCTCTCTAATTTTCAAATTAGGATTGTACTCAATAAAATTTCGATTTGGAATAGGAAACGCGGCATTGTGAATCGATATTCGGCATGAAGCGAAGCGATTCTTTATTTTCTAAACAATCGAGGCGAAACGAATCCCATTCAAGGATTTATAGAACCTAACAAATAATTTCCATCAATAATCATTTTAATCAGGATAATGTAGATATAATATAGTATATCTACATAATTTTGTTCTAAAAATAACTTTCGTTAACATTATCTTTTTTTTTTGTATCAATATTTGCCTCAACACTTTCAAATTCTACTTTTTCTATGTTTATTTAAAAAATTTCAAAATATTTTCCTCTTCTGTATGCAAATGAATTTTTAATTTTTAATTGATGAAAAAAATTTTTTAAACAAAAATTATTTAGTTAATATCACGAATTTTGAAGCAGAGAACAAGTTTATGTATATTTATATTCATCAGCTAAAATCAATAACAAGTCAACGTCCTCATACACTATGCGAAAATATTATATTATAAATTCATTGTTTTTTTACAAAACTGGCTATTTAATTCTTTAAATCATCCATCTAAAAAATAAAATAATATAAATTAAATAAATAACATCCATTTGGGAATATAGGACAATATAATAATAGAAGAAATTAATTTTTTCGAAATTTCAACTGTTGAATTTTTATTGGTAATGCAATGGAATGAGATTATTAATGATAAAATTAGTAAAATTCAACATGTCGTATGTTTAGGATTATGATATTATAGAATCACAAGTTTTACTATATTTATATACATATATATTCTCACTGCAGAATATTATTCTCAAGGGATAAATAAAATTTTAACTTCAAAATTAAGAGAATTCTCTCTCGGGAAAAAAATTTATTTGCTCGAAAAAGCACTTGCAGTTATTATATTTTTGTTACATTAAGCAAAATAGCTTCTCTTGTGTATTTAAATAATGAAATTAAAAATACCTCGAATGGTAATTTCCATTGTCGAAAAATTAAAATTAATTTTATTTATACAAGTTATAAAATATTAATTATTTGTTAGATCAAACTGAAATATTTGAAGATACACGTTTAAAGTGATGACGTTAATTAAATCGATTTATGGATTTTGAACTGACATTGTTTGATTTTTATCAGTAAACTAATCTGAACCTTTGTTTGTACTATTTTTTAGTTGATATATTAAAAATAATATAGACTTACCTAAAAAATTTGAAGCGGAAAATTTTTAATTTCATTAATAAAAATATTTCAGTGGTTAATATTTTTGTTTGTTTGCAAATGTCTTAATAAAAAATAAATAAATGGCTCTAATATGCTTATTAAGGATCCTCCCAGACAAAGTGAAATCAGACCTCCCAAATTTGCTGAAATTAATATTTTTATTGTTAATAAATAAGAAAAACTAAATGGAAAATTAAAGAAATATTTCTTTAATATAGAGTAATTAACATACCTAAATAGTAAAAATTTTATTAATTTAACTTAATTAAATTTATGTTAATTACTCGTTAACTTTATGAAATTAATAAACATTACCGATGAGATTATCCCATGTCATAAAACAGTTTAGTTCATATTTCATGTATCCAGTATTTGGGAAAAAAATTCTTACATGTGACATATTTATATTACTATCCTCCAACTCATAAATCCTATTATATATTTACTACTATATAAATTTATATCAAAAGCAAGAAAAATTTTTTCAATAAATATTATGCAAAACTTACTTTGGGTTCAAGTAATAATAATTTGGAATAATTTTGCGATATATATCAACAAACATTTTATAAAAAACTCTATTGCATGTCTCTTCACATTGACATGGTGGTAAAACTTTGCCATTGTCAAGTGTAGTTTCTTCAAACAATTGCGTTATCTTCACTGGGAAATTTCAAAATTTTTAAGTAAATTGTGTAAGAAACAATGTTTCAAAGAATAAAAGTGAAAAACTTACTATGGTACTTTTGAATACAATTAATACTTTTAAAGTCGCATAATCCGGAAAGATTAACACCTCAAGTAAAAAATGATTAACAACATTGGATATGTTTGAAATGAAAAAGAAAAGAAAAGGAAATACTTACAAGGTGTTGCAAAATTATAAGGAATACAATCACAAGCTGCTTCAATTCTTGTCATTTTACAACCGGTTATACATGAATTATAACTGTAGCCAATATATTTCTGTAAAGTATTAAATTATGATTGTGAAATTAAATTATTTAACCCTCTTTCTGCTTTGGGGGGTTATCCTATTTCCCATATTCCCCACCAGGTGACCGAATCGAAATTGTCGATTTTTGTTCGATAACAATCGATAACAACTGGACAAGAAATGTTTGCTTACTTCATCCTTAAGGACACAATTTCTCTCAGTTTTTGACAATGCGTCAATGTCATCAGTGCCAGTAATTGTTGTTCCCGTAAGTGCAATATTAATATTATGTTCTGGTTGTGCGGTAACCACTAAAATATCAGGTTCTGGATAATCTTCAGCTGCGTGAATTATAATTGAAGCCCCAACGTATTCTCTCGTTGAACCTCTATAATCTTTTGATTTTATATCCAATTCCACTTTCAATCCTTTATTTTTTCCGGCACCCGGTGTTTTCTAAAATAAATAATATTTTAGTTCCTTCTTTAGTAAAAAAAACAAAATTAAAAAATGACTTACTAAAATTTTTCTTCTTCCAGGACACTCAGTGTCACATTTGTTTTTTGTTTTATTGTCTGTATATTTCTTATATGATTTGTCACATTGTGGGGAATATGTTCTGCAAATAACATTTTTTTAGTTATTAATTCAACAATTTAAAAAAAAGGATATGATTGTTGATTTCTTACTTGGTAGCATACAAGCGTGATACGTGATTATTAAAGCTACAACAATGACCCATAAGGGAGTAAACAGGTCTAAATAAATTGTCGCAATTGTAATCAACTCCATTCCAAGTGCAAGATTTTATCATATCATTACACGGCTGCATAAGCTATAAACATTGTTTTAAATTATAAATCAGCTATTGATACAATTTTTATAAAATACATACCCTCAATAATAAACCTTTCAATTTATTGCCCATTTTATACAACATTTCATTAAATTTTGTATAATTAACATCCTCTCTAAAAGGCCGAATTAATTGAGGAAGATTTTGAAAAAAGTCGTCAATTGTTTTATTGTCATAACCAGATGCTTGTCTGCAAAGTATTTTCAATAATGATATTTAAATATATTATAAATTTTAATTTTTACACTTACAATTTTCTTTCCATATCATAACTAGAAGGCCTATAAACCTTGTTGAAATTACATATTGTCACAGCTGGAAAATCTAATTCATGTATAGGAGCATCAATGTCAGAAATTCGAATAATAGTTCGTCTCTCTTGTACCGTTTTATAAGAAATAGTCATTAAATAAATACAAAATATGCTCAAAGTTAAACATATCTGTAAGAATAAATAATTAAAATAATTTATTATTAAGAAAATTAATGTTTTATAAAATTATCTTATTCTTACAGCTGCCCAAATTAATTTTTCAATGAAACTTAAATTTTTATCGCTTATATATCGAAATCCATGTAAAGTTGTTGTTTTACAATAAATTTTAAACAAATACTTGATTGTAATCCACAAATTTTTCAATTTTTCTAAAGTACCTAAAAAAAATAGAAATAGAATATATAATTGAAAATTTTATATAGAAAATTGTTCTTACCTTCTTTCAATTTTTTCATTTTTTTAAAATTTAATTTTATAAATTTACGAAAAATTGAAAATTAGAAAAAGAAATTGTTATTCTGTTCTCTTTGAAAACAAGAATGAAACAAAATATTGAAACGTATTCGTATTTATAAACGTTTCAATTATATTTGCATATACAAAACAATAAATTCTCATTGAATTCTTGAGAGAGTAATTCACATTCTTCAGGGAATATATCATTTTCAAGATGACCTTTTCAGATAATTTTCATTCAACACCACTGTTTCTTTTTATTTTATTTTAAACAATAAATTAAACAAAGAAAATTATTAAATAATATAAACAGAACAATTTTTATCTAGTTTATTAAAACTGCAATTGATTTTTACTACTGATTGGCTAAATACATTTTACTACTGATAAATAAATGAAATAAATAAATTCAAAAAAAAAAAAAAATTTTAGAAACATCTCTATGACGTGAAATGCGTAGGAAATAATTTAACATTTTCTGTAATAAATTTTTTTCTTGAATTTTGTATAATTTTTTCTTCCTTGGTACTGGGAATATTAAAATTATTATTTGCAATAATAAAAATACTATTTTCACGTTCTTTCCATTTGTTAAATACTTTTTTGTCCAAAGGAACACTTCGAAATAGTTTTCTAGCCGATAGAATATTGTTAAATTGATGCCAATTGGGAGTTTCATTTTTAAATTGCTTTTGTAATTGATTATTTCGCATGTAACGTTGATAAAATCGTCGAACAGGAATCAAGAAAATAATAATTATTGGCTCCAATAAACTAATTAATGATCCTCCCAAACAAATTCCCAGAAGGCCACCTAAATTTGCTAAAAGAATTATCTTTTAATTTTATAGATTCAATCATTAATAATCGAATTATGGTAAAATTTTTTACCCAAAATACCATCCCAAGTCATATAAAGACTTCTACTATATTGTGTGAAGCCATAGTCTTGAAAATATATATTTAATTTCGAAAGAGTTTCATCTGATATATTCCTAGTAAAAAAAAAAAATATTAATAAAATTAAAAATAAATATTAATAAAATTTTTTTTTCAGGTATGTAAAACTTACGATTTCCAAGGCAAAAAGTAACGTGGATGATTGAGTCGATTTTTGTCAACCATTATGCTGTACGTCGTTTTATTACATGTCTGTTGACAATTGCATTTTGGTATGAAAACTCCTTTAATTTTAGTATCCTCATATAATTTTGTTAGCAAATCTATAATTTTATTTAATTAATATTATTAATTCTAATTTATTTTTAAAAAAATTTTATCTTTACCTATATTCTGTTTAATGCACGTTATGTCTTTTATATCGCATGTTCGTGAAATATTCATACCTGAAAATGAAAAATATGTAATTCATAAAATTCTAATTGAGAATTAATAATAATACAATAAACTTACATGTGTCTGGATAATAATAAGGTATGCAATTGCAAATCTGTAAATATCTTATCATTTTACATCCAGCAACGCAAGATTGATAACTATACTCGAAATTGAACTAGAAAAAAATAGATAATTATAATAAATTTTATTAAAATATTTAATTAATTTTCTTACTTCGTCTTCAAAAATACAGGTTCTGTCAAATGGGGAATAAATTCGTATTTCATCGAGACTTTTTATTTGTGTGGCAGAAACAGCAATATTTGTTTGTTGATCCGGTTGAATAGTCGCTGTGACAATATCAGTTTCTGGAAAATCGTGCGATTCATGAATCATTACAGCGGCTCCCGCAAAATCCCTCGTTGAACCGTAATACATATCTTCTTCAACATCAATATCCACCATCAATCCTGCATCTATTCCTGAACCAGGTACTTTCTAAAATTTAACATTTTTTTCAAAATAATTTTAAATATATTATACAAAAAATTGATAACTAAAATTAAAAGAATAACCAAAATTTCATTTCTGCCTGGACAATCACACGAATTGTTGCAAGGAACAGGATTATTATCAACGTACTTTTCGTAATACTTTTCGCAATCTGAAGAATGATTTCTGAAAATAACCAAATTTTTATACTAATATTATATTTATTAAATAATTTATCTTACTCGTCAGCATATGTGTTTGCGACATGATAATTAAACGCACAACAATGTCCGTGAAAGGAATCAACAACTTTGAATATTAATTTGCAATCATATGATTTGCCAAGCCAATAACAGGATTTTAATAATTTATTGCACGGCTGCATCAACTGGAATATTTCTATTAATTAATAAATTAATTACTAAAAAAAAATAGATACACGTACCTGACGCATAAGATTCTTTAATGTACCGTCCAAATAGTAAAGCATATTGTTCATAAGATTAGGTTCAAATGCATCAAAAACAGGACGTACCAATAATGATAGATTTCGAAAAAATGAATCAATTATCTCATTTTTGTAACCTGCATTCATTCTTAAAAATATATAATTTTTAAATGAAATTATTCGAATGAAAAAATTTGTGTATAATTTACATACAATGCATTTCTCATTGGAAGAGCTGCCAATTTATAAACTTTATTATAGCTGCAAATAGTTACAGCCGGAAAGTTTATTGTATGTAAAGGGGCACTTCGATCTGCCATTTGAATTGTAGGCAATCTGCTTTGAATACTTGTATTGGAAATCAATATTAATATCACACAAAAAATTGAGGCAATTACCAGAATCTATCAACAGTTATATTTATTTATTAATTTATATTATTATTAATAATTAATCATTAATAATTAATAATTAATAATTTATTCTCACTGTAAACCAAATATATTTTTCCAAAATTGGTACATCATCCGCGATATATCTAAATCCATGCATTGCAGTTGTTCCACAATAATTAAATACAATTCGTTTCACTTTTTCTCTATTTATTTTTTTTATTTTTTTCCTTATTCCATTTTTCACTTAAATTTGTAAATTAAATTAATTATTAACATTTTCGTTAGTTTTATAAATTACCCTACCTTTATTGTTTTTGTTAACATCTTTTTTATTGTAAATTTTTTCAAACTTTTTTAAATCCCACATTTTATATAGTTGTTAATTAATGCGCAAAAAGAAAAATGAATTTCATTCTTTAACACTAAATATTTGAGAACAATTTTTCTTAAAAATTATCTTCTAATTGTAATTATCGATAATTGCGTCACTAGGGACTTAATATTAATTTACATTCCCCAGTGTCACAAAATTGGGTATAATTATTTTATAATTATAAAATTTATCTTCATCTTTATTTATCTTCATAAAGAAACAAATACACACTTTAATTACAATTTTTTATATAAATGCATTATTTTGGAAAATTAATTTTTCTGTCGACTTTAATTTATAATTTAAAAAAATTAATAATCAATTTGAAGCATAGAAATATCTCTATTAACAGAAAGTGTTTTAATTTTTTTAATTCGATCATTCAAGGGAATTTTTTTGAAAATTTTTTTATTAGATTCAATTTTGTTTTTTTGTTTTTCTCGATGAATTATTCGACAAGGAGTTACGAAAATTTGAATAATTGGTTCCAATACACTTATAAATGAACCACCTAGGCATAATCCAAGTATAGATCCCAAAATTCCTGAGAAAAATAATTATTATTTTTTATTTGAAAATTATACTGTATATTAAAATAGTTTACTGACCTATTGTCGTATACCAAGGCGAACTCAATCGTTTTTTAAATTTCGTAAAAGTGTAATCTTGAAAATAAACATAAACTTTTGCAAAACCAAAGTCCGATCCTCGTTTTGACTGAGCAAGTCTTCTGTGAACAAAAAAGTAAAGTTAAACAATTAAACATTAATTTATTGAAATTATAAAATACTCACTCAAGAAATGGATATCGTAAACCTTGATAAATAGAGGCAATTTCATCATAAATAACATATTTCGTTCTCGAGCAAACTTGTAAACATGGACATTTTTCTAGAATCTCTCCATTTTCCAGTTTCATTTTCTCATGTATATTGTATATCAATGCTGATGAAAAATACAATAATTAATTTTATTTAACTAAATTTATTAGTAATATTAATTATTTTAATTAAATTTTTAAACTTTAACTAATCAAAAACAAAAAAGAAAAATATTTCTCAAACTAAATTTAATTTACCATGATTTTTTCTAATGCATTTCATGTTACTGAAGTCACATGTCTTTGAAATATTGACACAAGTGTCAAGATAATAATATGGAACACATGAGCAAATTTTTAAAAGACGTTTTATTTTGCAACTTGCAATGCAAGATTGAAAGCTATAATCATACGGAACCTATATAAAGAATAAAAAAATTTATTATTAAATATTTTATTTCATTAATAATATCGAAAATATGTTTTACTCTCGGCGTTTCATTTTTCTTTTAATAAAATAATTTTCACAAAATTTGTACTAAAATTGCAATAATTTGCGTAATATAAAAATAAAAAAAAAATAAATAAATAAGTATAAAAAATTCAATAAAATATCTTTTTTCCAAGAAATACCTCTGAGGAAAAGACACAATCTCGTGTCTCCTGTGATAACTGATGGATTGTAATGTCATTTTCCACTTTTATCCCTGATATTATTACATTTACTTGCTTACTCTGCTGCACCACCAGTTCAGAAATATCAAGTTCAGGATAATCATGAGTTTCATGAATTATCAATGAAGCACTTGCAAAATTTTCTGTTAAACCAAAATAATTTTCCGGTTCTATATACAATCGGAAATAAAGTCCTGTATGAATTCCAGAACCACGTACTTTCTATGCATAAAAAATAATAATAATAAATAATGTATTTACGCAAATTCTTAATAAAAATTAAAATAATTAAAAATATTTACTTGAATTCTTTTTCTCCCCGGACAATCTGTTTCTTTTTTACATGTAAAATTAGAATCCAATAAATTCTTATGTAAATTGGTGCAATTCTCCAGCTTGTTACTATTTTGTTAATTTTTTATAATTATAATTTCATTAAAATTAAAAATAATTTATCTTTTTTTTCATCTATACTCACTTGTTAAAAATTATTGGTGAAACGTGATAATTAAAAGCACAACAAAATCCCTTGTACGATAAAACTGGTTTAAATAAAGATGAACAATTGACTAATATTCCCACGAATTCACATGCACCAAATAAATTTTCACAAGGATGCATTAACTACAACAAATAAAATTAAGTAATTAAATAATAATAATAAAGAGAAATAAAATAAAATATGAACGAGTATTTTAGAAATAAAATTATTTTATTTTTTTAATTAAACAAATTTTTTTTTGTCTCATTTATTGTTATACCTGTTGCATTAGTGATTTTAGAGGTATTTTTAAATCCTGGAGCATTCGATTATATAGATTACTTTTTAAAAATACATTTTCAAGGGGATTCGTCAAAATTGGTAAGTAGTGGAAAAATTCTTGAATATTATTTTCCGTGTATCCGCTATTGTTTCTGTAAAGTAAAAAATATAAAATATGGAAGAACTGAGAATTTTTTTTTTTTTTTTTTTTTTTTTTTTATTAAATATAATATATATTTACAAATATTTCATAAATTTTTCAGCACTTGGTTTGTAAATTCGATTATGATTACAAACAGTAACAGCGGGAAAATCTAATTCTTCCATGCTATTGTCAACACTTTCGAGTTCAATTAATATTGATTCATCTAACATTCTTTGCACAGCTCTTTGAATCAAGAATACGAAAATTCCAGTAGCTATCCCTAAAATCTGAAAATTATTAATATTATCATTATATTACATTCTTACTTCATTGGAAAATTTTAAATAAAAATTTTTTTACCCCAGTCCATATTAATTTTTCACTCGATGACATGCGCTTGGATGCAAGGTGTCGGAAACCATGAAAAGACGTTTTGCCACAAAAATCATGAAAATAATTTTTGATCTCAAGTCCAATTTTCATCCATATTTTCGTTAAAAATTTTTCTTAAAATATAAACTAAAGTAGGTAATTAAAATTTAAGAATAAACATAATTATATTTTTTTTTTTACTTACGAAACTGAAAATTTTTCAATTTTCTGAAAATTCGAAACTGGACCATTTTATTTTAAAAAATATTTAAATTTCAAAATTCAGTTGTATAATTTTAGTAAGTTATAGCTAATTTAAAATGTTTAGTTTAGTGTAGTTAATTTTATATAGAATGAAGTAAAACTTTTATTAAACAATTTCAAATATTCTTTTTATTATTTCTTTTAAATATTACTTTTCATTTCTCTTTGCTTGCTTCTGAGGAACTAAACTTTTCTCAACTTTCTTCCACTTATTATATTTCGTTTTATAACTCAACTTTATTGTACTCAGTTGAGGGATGATCTTTATCTAAAAATTACTAGTGAACTTTACATAACTGATAATTGAAGATCTGCTCATAAAATATTAATGAATATATAATATTTCTCAACAAAAAAATAATCTGAATGAATTTTTTTTTTTTTGACTGACTTAAAAATATTTTATTATTAATAATTATATTTAATTTTTGTGTATTATAATTTATAATTATAAAATTAATTTTGTCACTAATTATATTATAAATAATTAATATATTAATAATTAATAATTAAATTTATTTATTTTCTGATTTTATAAAAAGACGTGCGTAAAATTCTGAATAAATGAAAAATGTAAGAAAGAAAATTATTTTATAAAAACTTTGAAATGTGTATAAAGTTTAAAAATTCATATTAAGGTATGAGAGTAACTAACAAGATAAAATAAGTAAGAAAAATACTTATAAATGTTAACCATTCTAAAAGCTTGGCAAATTCACACCATATTTTTGCATTGCTCGTTTCAGAAGTTGTTGACTGAATGGATTCAACGTTATCTTCCAATTCGTAGGAAACTTTTGACTTATCATCAATTGTTATAAAAAATCGAAGAAGACGACAACTCACAATATTGGAAATCCATTTAGGTGCAGGTGCAGTGATCATTTGGAATTTTCGAAATACTATTGTCATTATTAATGCAAAAGCCGCCAAAATCAGTGAATCTCGATAAAAAATTACTGAAAAAATAATTTATTGAAAATTTCTATTATTATTATATTAATTTAACTATTTGGTCTATTTAATTAATTAAATAAATTTAAAGGCGAAAACATAAAATAAAAGTGTAAAAAATAATTACGTATGTGAGGAACAGTTAATCCATTTAATGGTACCATCCAGTGCAAATCGTAAATGCAGTAAAGATGACCAACAAAATTAACACCTGCCAGCACCAGTCGTTCCATCGATGTTGAATCTAGCCATAGAACCGTTAGTGTGAACATCAAGAAAACTGAAAATTTAATTATATTTAAAATAAATTATTTACAATTAATTGGTAGTTTTTTTTTAATTCTATCAATTAATTCGAAACTTTTCAAATTCGAAATAAATATTTTTTTTTTACTTGCTAATTAATTAATTAACAGTAATTAATACTTACTAGTTGCTGGTGTAATATATAATGCATGTGACATTCTTGAATGTCTCTTTAAATGAAATTCATATCTAATTTCCGTGTAATTTACCGTCACAGTATTAACAATTATTTTCGTAGCTTCTTGTCCTTTCAAGATCCAATCGTGATTTTCTATATAATCTTCCATTAATATCTATCAGAAAAAATGTATAATAATAAAATTCTAAATTTAAAATTAAAATTAATTAATTTAAAAATTAATTAGCTCACAGGAGGCTCTAGGAAATTGAAGTCGACCTCATGACTGTAGTAAGTGTTAGAACCACTACGAATTTTACATTTTTGTTCATCATACGGCCAATAAGTGAAATCCGAGACACAAGAAACAGTAATTTTTGTGGGAATTACACAAGTAACGTTTCCAGTATTTTTTAATATGCAAGTTGTATCAGGAAATTCGAAACGATCACCACTGAAAATTGATAAAATTTAATTAAATTGAAATTTTTAATAATATTAACTAAATAATTTAATTTAAAATATTAATTTGATCTAAAATGAAAACTTACGTATTTACAATCATCAAATCGGGTTTCCAGAGGTCTTCACTTAAAACGAAAATTGTTTCTAATTTATCAAATTCTCCAGGATTCCATGTGAGATGAGAGTCGTTCCATGTCTGTAAGATAGAGTTTTAATAAAAATATAAATTATCTATCTAAAGACATTACTTTTTAGAATTAAATTTTTATTTAATTAAATCATAATAATTATTCTAAATAATGTTCTAGTTGTTTACCAGTTTTAACCAGAAATGAAGAGTGAAGCTACTCGTTCGACTTTCCTGCAAAAAAAACCAAATGCATGTATTTTATAAATATTATTTTTTTTATAAAAAATCAAATTATATAAAAACAATTTTATTTTTTTAATAAAAATTTTTAAAATCTATTACTCTTTATCTCTTTTATTTATATCTAATTGCATTGAAAAAGAGTAATTTATAATTTTTATTTAAAAATAGTATATTAATCAATGGGAAGAAAGTTTTAACTTTAACAGAAACAAGTAAATGGAGTCTTTTCTTTAATGTTACCCCCGGGAGTAGTTAAATCTCTTAGGTAAGATTGATCGCTCTAAACGAACAAGATTTCATTCTTTTTGCCAGTATGGTAGAAGTAAAAAATATTCTAGAAAACCTGACGTTACTAAAAAATTCACATTTTTATATCTTAAAAGCGACAGAATTTAAAATTTCACAAGAAATTATTTTATTTTAATTAAATTTAATTTAGAAGTTTAATAAATTTCCAAATTACATAAAATACTTACAAATTCCATAAATTTTGGTGTTATTTGTAATAATGCTTGGATACTTTTTTTCCTCTCAACTGGCCTTTCATTTGAATCGTACGAACAGAAAAGATGATTTTTCAATCGTGAACTTGCAGTTTGCAAAGATTTATTTGGAGAACATCTTCGTATATCAATTGCCTTTAGTTCCTTAATAAAGCAAAATTTCAAAATAAATATTAAAAAAGTAAAAAGCAAAAGTTTTTTCATTTTAAACGCACAAAGCGTACAATGACCGGCTGTAAATGAACTACTTGGAATATTTTGGTTGCGGGCATGAATTTTTATCAATGATTATTATCAAAACCTAGATACAAATGACGCCCCTTATTTCGTTCATATTAAACTCCAATCAACACAATTTTTCACATTCAATCATAAAATTACGTTGACCATGAAAATGCTTGTGACATGATGATAATTTATTTTATACAGATCATACATTATATCACAAAGTAAAAATAAAATATTTCTTTAAAAAAATGTGAATAAAATTTTGTTTTATAATTAAACATTATATATATGTTCATTTATATTATAAAGTACAATATAGATAATTAAATAATTATGTAGAGAATAGTAAAAATGGAAAAAGAAACTTATTAATTATATATATATAATTTACAAAAACAATTATTAAGAATTAGAAGTAATCTTTGGATTTTTGCCATCTAAGGAAGATTAAAATATTAAGAAATTAGGCCTGATTTTTCGTAAATTTGGCACGTCTTAAATTTGTTTCTTCATTAGGCCTTTTGTGCCATTTCAATGCAATGCTGGTCAGTCTTCAATAGAGTTTAAACCCTGATTTGTATTTCATAATCTTATACGAAAAGTTCTGTAAAATATATAATATATTGAAATTCGTTTTTTAGGATAATAAAATTTTTACGATAAAATAAATATCTCGAGTATTAATAAATTATTAACAAAAATAATACTTAGAGAAATCGCTGCTTTTCTCAATAATGTGTTCAAATTCAGCAAAACTGAGAGCACCATCGTCATCTAAATCAGCTTCCTCTAATAAATATTGAAGAAGCTGTTGCATTTCTGTATCGCTTAATCTCTGTGGAACTGTTAATCTATCTACAACTTGACGTAAATCTCCTATTCCTAACATATCATCGCCATCGAAGTCTATTGAAAAAGAAAATGATTATTTTGTCCGATAATATAAATAAATTAATTTCAAATAAAGAATAACTGATTTATATAATTTACCAAATATTCGGAATGCATGTTCGGCTTTAACTGCTTTTGGCGCTGCATCACTAAATACGGACATCATGTCCAAAAAATCTTCAAAAGTACAATCGCCATCCTGACTGGAACTGAATACTTTACAAATTCGATCACCAAAAGGATTCACTCGAAGTTCTGGATATTGAAGTATTTTTGACAATGGAAGTTTTGCATTTCGATTGTGTCCCACTTTCTCCGGTGCAAGGGCTTTAAATTTCTGATGAGCACTGTAATAATTAATATAAACATTGTACGAAAAAAACTTAACAAAGGCTTTAAATTAATTTATAAAAATTACATAATCTAAACTTACTAAAGTACTTCCTTTTTTGTAAAATATGTTAAATCCTGCAAACAATACATGTATTTAATAAAAAAGTATCAAGGAAAAAATAAACAAAAACACACAGTTTAGATAACTTTATAGTAAAAAGAATTAAAAATTTGGATCAATATTCAAAGTACTATATTACTTACTTGATAATCTTGTAACTCTTCCTCACTAAACTGACTTCGTCCAGCTCCCATGTTTTAAAATCATACAGAAAAACAGCCAAATACAATAAAAATAATTTAAATATTCAGAAATATCTGCGATAAATTTTTTTTAAAATTATTTCAAAGAAGATTTTTATAAATATTCATTGTTAGGTACACTATTTATATTTTATGTTTCGTTCAAAATGTATCAAAAAGACCTCTTTTTAATGATCTATTTGTTAATTTTTAAAGAAAAAAGTTAGAAAATATTTTCCTTTGTTTTTTGACGTTTTGCAAAACTAACATGATGTTAAAGGTACATACTACAGTTGCTCGCCCCCGAACTCTCTTACTCTAATCACGCACGCGCAAAACGTAATTACGTATTTTTCCCCTTTGAAAATTATTATTGACAAATAGCTTTTTTTATGTTTATATAAATAAAAAGTATGTAAAAAAAATTTTAAAAGACGTTTAATTTTATTTTTAAACAAATTAAAATTTTTTTTTAATTTTAAATTTAAATTTTAACCATTTTATCGTATTTCTGCAAGTTTTAATCTTTATTTCGTCGAATATCCAACAATTCGATTGTTTATTTAATATAAAAGATTAATTTTAATAAGGAAATAATATAAAACGTCAAAAACTAATTGTTTACAATGATAAAATTAATGGAAAGTTAGTGGCGCCATCTGTTGATGACACCAGACGTACCTGCAAAATGACTTTTTTTGGGACTTTTTGGCGATTTTCCATTGGAAAGATAGGAAAGTTGAGTTAATTGAAATTTTTCATTTAGGAGCGCTGCTGCACCAAAATTTTATCTACCCATCCCTGGTTTGAACTTTTGATTGTAACGCTCTCATTGGTCAATTTCATATTTACGCGGGGAGTAGCAATGAATGAGGTACACGCTCATTGGTTCCTATTCGCCGCGTAAATATGAAATTGACCAATGAGAGCGTTACAATCAAAAGTTCAAACCAGGGATGGGTAGATAAAATTTTGGTGCAGCAGCGCTCCTAAATGAAAAATTTCAATTAACTCAACTTTCCTATCTTTCCAATGGAAAATCGCCAAAAAGTCCCAAAAAAAGTCATTTTGCAGGTACGTCTGGTGTCACCAACAGATGGCGCCACTAACTTTCCATTAATTTTATCATTGTAAACAATTAGTTTTTGACGTTTTATATTATTTCCTTATTAAAATTAATCTTTTATATTAAATAAACAATCGAATTGTTGGATATTCGACGAAATAAAGATTAAAACTTGCGGAAATACGATAAAATAAATAAAATTCAAATTTTTAATTAAAAAAAATTTTTTTTTTCAAATTTTAATTTGTTTAAAAATAAAATTAAACATCTTTTAAACTTTTTTAAAATAGTATTTTTTTGTGATTACTTCTTCAAAAATATCATTAGGTTGGATAATCTGTTTCAAAAGTTTGTGGTGGCGCTGGTGTGTTAACCTACAATTTATTAATTCCTTCCAGGAACTCCAAAAAAAACTTATAAATAAACAAACAATTATAATCAATATAATTAATTATAGTTTTTTAAAAAAAAAGTGAATTTTTGATCTGTGAAAAATGAGTGAATTCAGTTTTGGTTTAATGCAAATCTTTAAAAAAACTAACCTAATGATTTTGTTTACTTTTACTTGTAATTTTAAGCAAATAAACATTACATTCGCGTAAAATTTAACTGAATAATAAACACTAAATAATTTTTGAACAATTAAAAAAAAATTATATGTTACGTCTTTATTTATATTTAAATTATTTCGATTTACACAATGTAAACAAAGTGACAGATATTTTGTTTAGTTTCCAAAAAAAAAAAATGTTTGGATATGTCATTAAATTCTCTAATTAATTGACAATTAGTAAAAAAAAGAAACGTGAATATGAGTTCAAAAACTGTTTTTGTAACACAAGAAGGGCCGGCAAATGCCTTGGCTCTCGGTAAAGACAATAATCAAGTTGTTATTGCTGGTCGAAATGGTATGTTATGTTTTGCAAATTATTTAAAAATAGATTAATTAAATAATAAACATAAATAACGAAAAATATATTTTATTACAGTATTTAAAATATTTTCTTTATTGGAGGAAAAATTTGAAGAATCATGTAATTTACGAGTGGGAAAAAATTTAAACTTAAATTTTTCATGCAATGATGTTGCATGGAATCTTTTAGATGGTAATTATAAATTTAATATTTTATTTGTATTTTATTTTTGAGTTTATATATTGAAATTTATCAATTTTGTAAATTTTTTTTTTAGATCACATTTTAGCTACAGCGGCAACGAATGGTGCTGTTGTTGTTTGGAATTTAAATAAACAATCCCGATCGAAACAAGATCATGTTTTTGTCGATCACAAACGAACTGTAAATAAAGTTAGTTTTCATATTTCTGAACCAACATGTTTAATATCAGGTTCACAAGATGGTACAATGAAATGTTTTGATTTGAGAATAGCGGAAGCTACTAAAACATTTTATAGGTAAAATTATTTATTTGCTTTTGTTTAATATAATAATAATGTTTAAAAAAAAAAATTCTTTTTTATCAGCAATACGGAGTCTGTACGTGATGTACAATTTTCACCTCATCAGCCTCATACATTTGCAGCAGTTTCAGAAAATGGTCACGTTCAACAGTGGGATTTACGTCGACCTGATCGATATTTTCAGCATTTTGCTGCTCACAGTGGTCCTATTTTTTCTTGCGATTGGCATCCGGAAGTTAATTGGTTGGCTACTGCTTCTAGAGATAAAACAATAAAGGTAATAAATTTTAAGATTAAAAATTAAAAATGTTGTTTTTCAATTATTTTTTTTTTTAAATTTAGGTTTGGGATTTATCAACAAAACCAGCTTGCGAATATATGATTCACACAATAGCGTCTGTTGGTCGAATTAAATGGAGACCTCAAAGAAAATTTCACATAGCAAGTTGTGCTCTTGTTGTTGATTGCAGCATCAATATTTGGGATATTCGAAGACCCTATATTCCATTCGCGAGTTTTAATGAACACAAGGATGTTGCCACTGGAATTGCATGGAGAGGAGATCCTCAATCCTTTCTCTCAACAAGCAGGGTTCGTTTTTATTTATTTTTTTTTAATACAAATACATTTTTTTAATAAATAGAAATTTTAATTTATAATATTGACTTTTATTTTCAAAGGATTGTACGCTTTTTCATCATATTTTCAAAGACGCAACTAGACCAGCCAGTAAAGCAAATCCTCAAGGAATGGCTTTCAATCCAAAGGGTGATGTAGCCTATGCCTGCAAAGTAAATGTAAATGCTCCGACGGCTATAAAGCAACTTACAAATATTATGAGGTACATAAAAACATTATTTAATTTTAATTAATTTAATGAGGGAAGGTTTAAAAAAATTAATTAAAAAATTTGCAGGAAAACTCCAGCTAGTAATGATACTTTTTGTCTGGCATCAAGTACAATGCACAGTTTTACAATGAATGCACCTCGTGAACCAAAATGGTTTAAAGCTTGTGCCGAGGGTTATATTTTGAGTGGACGATTAAATGAAATTTGCGATCATAACGCTGCTGTTGCCAGTGAAGCCGATAGAAATGATGTAAATTTTTTTTTTCTAAATTACTTTTCACTTTTTCTAGTTGAAATTTCAATAGAATTTTTTTTAGGTAAGCACCGTTTGGCGTATTATTAAAACACTTTACGCAAATCCATTGGGAAATATTTTAAAAACTCCACCCACTGTATCAAAAGAAGACGTTGTAAATACTATGAATTTAACACAAATTACCTTGGGTAACGCTCATGATCAGACGAATACAGGTTGTTATTATTATAATAATTATTCTAATGTAATAATTTTAAGAAATTTAATTTTATTAAAAAATTTTAGTACATGAGAACGATGTGAAATCTCTTCAAGGTGAAGCACCTGGAATTATCAGCGGTGGAGATGATGAAACTGAAACTGACGAGACTCCGGATAATCCAAATTTTATTGGACCCATTTTGCCAAGGTATGACAAAAAAAAATAAGAATATTTTTAGTATTATAATTTTACTTTATTATTAAATATTCTGCTTTAGACATTTTACAGAACGTTACTATCGAAGATCATTTCCCGGCAATAAGAGACAACAAAAAGGAGATTTTTTATTTGGCGATGGTGAACTTGAACCAGTTAGTATTGAATTCACTGGTGCATTTATGGATAATATGATAAACAATGATAATGATTGGACATTACCAAAAGAGGCATTTCCATTGAGACATGAAATTCAAGACAGATCACCGCCACCGGAACAATTTCCCAATCATTCACCGGATATTAATGATGATACAGTTTCTGTTATGGTTGAAGATCAACCATGTCAATTGATAGTGACATCAGTTCGTAAGCCATCGTTTTGGGATCCATCGCATCTTGTTGAGAAAGCACTTAAACATCATGCGGCACTCAGAGATATTCAAACGACTGCTTCGGTATTAATTGCATTGGGTGATAAGCGAAAGAGTTTAAATATTGAAATTGCAGTACAAGAACATTGGCTCCTCGAGTATATCGATATGCTGGGAAGATTTCGACTTTGGGAAGTTGCTACTCAGGTATGAATTAATTTTTTTTTTTTATAGTCAATAAATTCTAAAAAAAATAATACATTTTTAGATAATACAATTGGCTTGGATTCCATCTGTTTCGCAATTAAATCAACAATCAACAACAATACACGCTTGCTGTACAAATTGTACGAAAACTTTACAAAGGGCAGGATGGTTGTGTGATCGTTGTCATACTTCGAAACACGCTCTTTGTTCTATTTGTCATCAGGTATATAAACTAATATTACTTTATTTTTTTAAAACTAACATTAAATTAATATTTTTAAAAGGTGGTTCGAGGCGTGTATTCTTGGTGTCAAGGTTGTACCCATGGAGGTCATGTGATACATATGGCAGAATGGTTCGATAAAAATCGTCAATGTCCAACTGGATGTGGACATCTTTGTGAATACACATAATTCGTTTTCATTCATCTCTTTTGTTTTTTCAATATTAAAACATATCGATTTTTGTATATATTTTCATCTTATGTTAAATTATTGAATTTAAAAATTTGTACATATAAAACGTAAGATTAAAAAAAAATCGTTACTCTCTGTTAAAGATGAATGTATTTTTTATATATATAGTATATAGAATAAATTTATGTATATTTAAAAAAGTAGAAATAAAAAATTAGATAAAAATTACATTTTTATTTACGATAAAAATACTGTTTTGTTTTTACACAATTTCTTCAATTACAATCATAAATACAATCAAAAAGAAAGTCATGAATCAAAATTCAGATCAATGAAGAACTTGAAATAAATATTTCGAATGCTATTTATTAATTAACATTTAATGTTTTTTATGCAACTTCATCGATCATTAAATTGATTTATAATTAAATATATTAAAAAACAAATTACTGAAATATAAGTCTATTATAGTCGATATTCTAAAATATTTGATAATAATTTAACAATTAGTTAATTTACAATTAAAAATAACGCGTTGATGAAACAATTATTTTCTGTATAAAATATACTATTTAAGTATAAATACAAAATTCATTCATACCCGTAAAAAAAAAACCGCCGAAAATTTTGAATTTCTTAAGCACATACTATTAAGTACAAAATAGTAATTTTTCTTTTTTCATTATTAAATTTAAAGTTCACAGGGTGAATTCAAACTTTTCGGCGGTTCTGTATCTTATATAAAATGCACCTGATCGGCATTTTTGCCGGGATATATAAAAAAAAATGAAAGTTGAAACATAGAAAGGGCTATTCCCAAAAAATTTGGCAATTGTATAAAGAAATCTTTCTGAATACATCCATAAGCAAACCACTGGCAACAGCAAATGAGAGATGAGATTATAATTGGAAATGGTAAACTATCGGCACTCTTCATTCGTATCACATAGGCCTGAAAAAATCCAAATATATTTTTTTTAAATTTCTTTCTAAATCGAATTATTAAGATAAAAAATAAAGATAATTTTTATAAAAATAAAATTGTTCTACTAACCAACATTGTTAGAGGAGATGCAAAAAATAGGATTGTCGTACTACAACTGAGAAATCCTATTCGTTGAGCAGCCAGTGCTCTATTTGGTTCAAGTATACTATACATAAATACAAAAGTCACAAAAGTTATTGACCCTATAAGTTGTTTAAGTATAGTTGACTTTTTCACGCTATATAGCATGAATATTATGACATAGAACAATTGTAGAGTTGCTCCGAAAATGTTTACCAATACTATAAACGAGTCGTATATCAATAATCCATAGCAGAACCAGTTACTGCATCTAAAATTAACGTAAATCTCTTAAAATTATGCTAACAAAAATATATTAAATAAAATAAAATAAAATAATGCTTACGACATAAAACAGCTTATGAAGGCCAAGCCAGAGGTATCTCCTGTTGTTCCATTTTTCATAAACCTTCTGCATACTAATCTGCAAACATACAAGATAAGATTTTATTGCAGGAAGTAAAGAAATTAAATCAGAAAACGATAATAATTTTTTTCTTTTTACACTAAAAAACTAAATGTTCTAAATATTTACATTATTAATTATTATATCTACTATTTAAAATTCAATATTATAAATTATATACTAAACATATGGTCTCTTTTTTTAAATTCAAAAATAAAAATAAATATACACTTGGCCGATGTTTAATTAAGAATAATAAATAACAGATGTTAATAAATAAAAATGGAGAATATAATAAAAAAAAAAAAACCTAAATTTATATTAATAAAAAAATATTTATAATATAGCCACAGTAAAATTTTCAGACAATACTTACATTCCAGCCAAAAATTGCAAAATTGTACAAAAAGATGCCGATGAAGCTAAAGCATCCTTAAAACTTGTAGTGAACATGATGACAACATTGCATTTAAATACAATTTTTAAATTGATTAACAGTCGTTTTAAAGTTTCTTTAAAATTTCAGTCATTCAAATATTATTGTACATTCATCATTTTCGTTGTGCCTATTGTTATTTACATCTTCTACAAGACTATTTTCATTTTTACATATTTAGGTTAACAACGTAGATCGTGGCGATTTATGATCAACACAATTTTGTTACTATAGAGGTATCAGTACTACCAATGTCAGCAAAAGATTTTTTCCTTAATACAACTTCCGTAATTTAAATGTGTTTGCTTTTTCAATTCTTTACATCTTTTTTTTTAAATGACATTTCATATAAAGAAAGTAATAGTTTTTTTTACAAACATGTAAAATAAAATTCATAGAAAGATAGATGTCAATTTTGACATTTATTTTCAAAACAAGTTAGTAAGGTTTGTTTTCCGGCAAAACGATGGAAAACTGTACAAAAGAGTAAATATTATATTAATTAAAGGAATTACATGTAGCAATTCCTCTATAAGGAAGCGATGAAATTAATTATTATTAATCATAAAATTGTAATTATAATATTAAGAAAAAGGATTTTCTTTGAACAAAGGAGCTATTTTGCATTTAAAATTAAAAAGGTTCAAAGGAATAAAAAGTAATTTTTGTAGCAACTTTATCATAAGGGAACTATTTTGCCATCAAAAAAAACCTTTGTCGAGATAAAGAAAAAATGAAGCATATGAAAATAAATTTTAATTAGAAAAAATGAATTCATTATTAAAAATAGTTATTATTAATGTAAATTATTTTTCATAATTGAAAAAAAAATTTTTTTAGTCGGATAACTTCATTAATCGAAATAAAAGTTATTTTAAAAAAGCAAGTTAAATTAAAATATTAATATATTCTTTTATAATTAATAAAAATATTTTTTTTATTCGGATAACTTCATTGTTCGAAATAAAGCTTATTTATAAAAGCAAGTTAAATTAAAAAATTATTATATCATCATTCATAATTAATAAAAATGATTTTTATATTCGGATAACTTCATTAATTGAAATAAAGTTTATTTAAAATTTTCTCAAATTTTAAAAATTATTACATCAGTTTTTATAATTATTTTCATAATAAAAACATTAATGATTATGTATTATGAAGTCAGGAATTTATAAATGAATTAATTTGAGAAAACAAAAATTTACAGCGAACAGCAATTAAAAGCTTTCTTCATAATTAGAATATATCTTTTAATTATAAAGTGAGGTTATGTTAGGTTAGGTCTACAGAACAATATCAATTTTCAATATAAAATTGAACTTGAATATCTTCATTATGTATAATATATAATGAAAATGTTTATTTTACAAGTTAATTAACAAAAGTGTTGTATTTTTGCTTTATTTATGAAAATACAGTTCAAAAATGTGTGAAACATTGTAAAGGTAAAATAGCCGTTTAAATGTTGTTAAAACAGCAGCGTAAATGACAATTAAAAAAGCAAACACTTACCAAATATTAAGAGTATTAGAATTAAAATCTTATACTTTAATTTGAATTACATTTATCAAATACGTTGGATGACAATGAAAAATGGGTAACGCGGCGTCTCTCCACGTGTAAAGATAAAATATCAATGTAAAAATACCAGACAACGTCTGGTATTTTTACTTTTCACACATTTCAGATTACAATTTCTTATTTTTCACACTTAAAGACTGAAAATTATTTTAAATATCAATTAACTTGTCACAAATAATGTTCACTACATTCAATTTGATGCTTCATACAAGACATGTCGTGTAGAAATGGAAAAGTCACTATTCTTTAGGGTCTTTCTCACCATTATCTTTTGTTAATTTTAAAAGCCAATCAAAACCAACCGGAAGCAACAAAACTACCATAACTGTTGCCTCATTAGTCAAAATAAGCGCGAATTTTTGAAATATCTCTTTTTAAAACTATTTCACCCAATGAGAAATAACTTTTGGGACATGCGCAATAATTCAAAATAGAAAGTTGTTTTTTGGAGGGAAAATTGATATGCATTAATAATGTAGTTTATTTTCAGTTTAATTCCAATGTCACATGCAATTTATATTCTTAAAAATAGTAAAATTTATTTACTGACCAAAAAAAATTATTTAGAAATGTGTAAATGGATAAAAAAAATTTTGTGGTGCAGTACAATTTTTTAATTTTAACCGCGAATATTTAAAAATCGTCTTACAATATTACAAAAGTGAAGACGTTTATTTTTAAATATAATTTAAATTATTGAATTTATAAATATTAAATCAAGTAGACTATTAAATATTAATATAAATAAGTACTCATTTATTTTTATATATATGTTTCAAATTAATATATATTGTTCTGGTTATTACAAAATAATAATTAGTCTGTTCATATAATAGAATCTAAACTTAAAAATAGGTTTTTTACATTCAGACTTTAAAACAATTAGTCAGCAGTTAATCGCATTTAAAAATTATTTCTTACGCTATAAAATATCATCGTGATAATGTGTCGTCATAATTATTTAAAAATCGTTTTTCTTAAAATATTTAATAACAAAAAATAATTTTATAAAATATTTCTACTTTTCCTTTGGTAAATTTAATTATTTCTAATACTTTTTTGTTAATTAATAACTTTTTATTGAATGAGATACTATTTTTTTAAAAAAAAAGTATTTATAGAATCACTTTGAAAATACTACTTATAATGTTACAATTTACACAGCCTATTTAATTTCTTAAAATCTAAATTTATAGAATTACTATAGAAAAATAGTATATATTTTTAAAACTTCTTAGTAATAAAAAATTTTTAAATCTTAACAAAATCTGAATCTTGTTATCGGATTTAAAAACCGTTCGAGAAAGCTACTTACATTTATAAAAAGAAATCTCGTATATTTTATGAGTTACATTTCTTGTTCGGCTATCATTTTCAAACGGTTATCTGAAAAAAAAAATGGTGATAAAAAATATTATTTCACATCTGTCTTGTAAATTTTAATTAATATATATTATTTTAATAATATTTATATTTAAAGCGTTTTATTAATTATAAACATTAAAAGACAATAAATTATTAAGTAAAGAGCAAAACAGTAACAGAAGAAGAAATTAAAATATATAAGTTATTGTATTGGAATAGTCAAGACAATCAATAATTAATTAATTAGAAAACAACAGAAATTTCCATTTAACAATATTCAAGTTTGATTAATGAATATTTTTATTGAACTTTCAGCCTACTACTGAAAATTATCAATAAACTTTTTTACTGATTATTATAAATTAACATCAATCTAAATAAGGGAATAGTTTAAAAAAAAATTATTAACATTCTTTTACCGATAGGAAGGAATAAATTGCTACTGGATATTGAATTCACCATGCAATGTATAATGACGTCTGTCAAGTTTTGTAATCCATTAATTCCTTAGTATAATGCCTTTTAAATCTTTGTGGTCTATAGATCGTTGGAATATCCGCAATTCTTTCTGTAATTAAAAAAATTGTCACTCATCTTTTTTTTATTTAGTATAAAAGATTTTTTTTTCTACTAAAACATAATAAAATAAAAATTTAAAATTTTCTAAAGATGAAGAAACAAATAAATAGTAAATAGTGTCAAAGGAAAGGAGAGTGCGATAGATGTACAGCTGGTGTAAAATAGAAAAAATATTTATTTATCAAAATTTATTAACAGGAAGATTTAAATATACAATATTTATATTTCATCTTCGCGTGTTCGAGTATTCATCGAATATTAATAAAAAATTAAAACGTTTATATAATAACCATCTAAACTAATTAATAAATTTTTTTTAAAATTTTTACAGAATTTAATTTCTTTTTTTGTAGTTTCTTTTTTTTAATCAACAATTTCTTTGCATCAGACTGTTATTAAATAAAAATTGCAAAATAACCAATGGTGCATTTAAAATCATTAAATTGAGATTCTATTTTCTATTTTTGATTACAGGAAAAATTTTTTAGAGTGATAATAGTATGAAGACAGGAAAAACAGTCTCGAAATTAATACTGAGGAGAAAAGATTTCTTACACCAGGTGATTAGATACAAAAAAAAAAAAAATAGGAAATAAAGAGGTGTTAAAATTCCCTCATTTGAATGAAAAGATTAGAACAAGCGCTAGTTTGAAAAATGTTAGTCATGGGAAAAATAGGAGGTTTAATAGGACGATGAGATTTACGTTTTAATGGATGAGGATTAACTTTTGTGCCTCTTTGGTTATTAGGTTCGGATAAAGCCAAAACCGGGTCTCTTGACTCGATAGAAAATGAATCCTCTAGTTTCGATTCGCTGAGCTCTTGTAAGGACTTGCCTCTTTCTGCTTTTTGTTGAATTGACTTTAAAACAGGTAAAATTGCTCCCAGCAATGGTCGTCGCGATGGTTCACCAGCCCAACATTGTTCCATCAGCTTCCAGCATTCATCATCAAAATGTGATAAACGTTCTGGTCGAATACCTACAAAAAAAAATTTAGTTATTTTTATTTTATTTTTTTTAAATCACAAATAAATATTTACCTTTTCTCACACTACTCCAGAGTTGTTCCTTATTGTGAAATTGTTCAAAAGCATAGGGTATTCTAACATTTCCAGCACAAATATACCAAAATAAAATGCCAAAAGCATAAACATCAACACTGCTGTCATAATGTCCTGATAATAATTCCGGTGCCATATGAACAGGTGTTCCAACGACACTTCCCGACATCATTGCTTCGGTAATACAAAAACCCAAATCAGTGAGTTTTGCACGATTATCCATATCCAATAAAACATTTTTCAATTTAATATCCCTATGAACAAGTCCTTGTGAATGTAAAAATCTAATTCCCTCCAATACATCAATGGCAATTTGTATTCTCTCAAGCCACGATAATCCGGCACGTATTCCACAATAGAGATCCCTCGTCATACGATCGGTAATTAATAGAACAGCCGCTCCAAAACCACAACCACCACCATATGAATGATCAATAACTGATCCTCTTAATTTCACTATTCTCTTGTGATCAGGAATTGATCTTGTATAATAAAATTCCATTGCCAAATCATTCCAATGTTTTTCATCAGGTGGTACAACTGATTTCACTGCACATGGTCCTGGTGCTCCACCCCAACCATCACATGCAAATACAACACCATATTGTCCTCTACCAATTTCTTTACCCTGATGAGGAATTCCATATCTCACCATATCGCACATTGACGTTGATTCAAGTGCCAATTTTGCCAATCTTGGCGCATGATATTTTCTAATAGCCATACGTTGTTCCTCAGTTCTTTCCAATTTTCCCGAATAATGATTCTCCAATGATTTCAATGCCTGTTGAAATGTATCATGTGATGATTTTACTTTATCTTTAAATTGTGTTGAAATTGCCCTTGCAAGTCGACTCGCCGATAGTGAATTGAGAATATCAATTGTCACTTTTTTCCTCCAATTTGCATCTAAATTTGGTGTTGGTGACCAAAGTAAAGGCATTGTTTTAAAAAGTTGTACCAATCTCTCAAGAAATGAATGTATAAGCGATGGTGAGGAATTATGTAATTCTAAATTATAAGCAGCTGAAAGAATTTGTTGAAGTGCATCGCTTGCCGATAAATTTGATTCATGTTCACAACTTTTTTCAAGACTCAACAAACATCTTTCAAGTGTACCAAAAAATGTTTCACGAAGACAATTTATCGAATTTACAAGTTCTTTAGCAACTCTATCGCCTAAACGACTGAGTACTATCCTTTGAACTTCGGTGGTTGCTGCACGAACAGTTGCCGACCATTCTTTTCTTTCTGAATCGCTTATTGATGAATTTTCATATTGTAATGTTTCAATTGACGCCACAGAAATTTCATCCTTCATTTCTTGAATAATCCCATGAATCATTTCTGTTAATTCAACTTGTTTATCGCTCACAACCTTGACGAGTGACGCATATAATTCATTTTCTTTTTTCTGAGCGTAGAGAATTCTCTTTGGAGTTATTTGAATTTCCCTTGCCATATCGAAGGCAATTAGAATAAATTTTCGAAGACTCGTCGTGTGAACTTCATTCAAATAATTGCAAGTATTTACTAAATAACTTTGAAGACTAGCGCGTATAAAGAAACTAATTTGTTCTATTCGTTTACATGATGTCATTAGTCTACTTGTATTTGCATATTCACCTCCAACAAGCCATGTGGCACGATCCACTTCATCCGATTCTTGTAATCTCAAAAAACCAAGACTCGTGAGTTGTTCAAGCCAATTGAGACCAAGTGAATTTATTTTATCATTTTGTGAAATATTTTCATCTTTTTGTTGATTAAACGAATCACTTGATTCAACGTGTAGTCTATGTTGTTCAGATTCAGTGAGTTCAGCATCAAAACCATCGGTTGTAATTCGTGACAATGATGAAATAAATAAAACCGAATTATAAGGATAGGTTTCTTTTAATTCACGTAATTCTTTCATATTATCCTCAGTAAGTGGCTCTTCACCGAGAGCATAGAGAAATATTGGTAAAATACTAAGACTTCCTTTTGAGAGTACTTTAACGCCACCAGTATCGGGAACAATAAATATTTGTACTCCATCTTTTAAATTTGGTTGATTTATTTTCACTTCAAGAACAGTTGGACAATTTGGATCTTGACTACCAGATTCATTTAAATCCTCAACGGGAAGTGTATTCCATGATTTTTCATTAGCTTCAAGATTTTCCACAACCTCATATTCTAAACCAAGTGTTAAACTGACGTGATTTGTTTGACCGTAGGCTAATTTTATCCATCGCCATGATCCAGATATTATTGGTAAAATATCAGTACCAAGAATACAATTGACTAGAGATGCTTTTGCTTTTGAATTTTGCCCAAAAATTACTATAGCCGGAGCATTTTCAAGAATATGATTGATTTTATTAAGTGTCCAGGCTGGTAATAATTCATCGATGATGTTTTCTAAAATTAAAAACATTTTATGAAAAATATTTAAAAAAAAAGAAAATCAAATTTTTCTAATAAAAATATTAATTTAAACTATTATGTTACATTAGCAGTGAAAGTGAGATATGTTATTTGGCTTCATTAATTGGTTGAGCTTTAAGATAACAATTGTAATGGTTATTTTGTTGTTCAAAGTACTTTATATATAAAAGGAGGAAAACACGTTAATCTGCAATATTGCTTTTTCTGGAATATTAAAGTCGAGTCACCAGAAAATTAAATAACACTTTATCATAAACAAAATATTATAAAAATAATCCTAATAGAAAAATAGAAAAAAAAATGATAAAGATAACATTAAAATCAAAACGACGTTTATACAATGTGAAAAACGTTTGAGAAACAATTTTAATATTTTCAATTGTAACACTTTCGTAATGAGGTTGAAAGTAAGATAAAAATGAATTGAGAGATAAATTTAACTGCAAGGAGTAAAATTAAGTCTATATTTGATTAAAGAAAATAATCGCATATGAAAATTAAATAATTTACCTCCTGGAAAAATATTTTCAAGGCTGATTACATCCAGAACTCGTTGTGTTTCCTTGAGAATATGACGAAGTTGATTTCGATTTCGTTGATATCTTCGAAATTCTTGAGGCAATTTGCTTACCATTTTTGCAAAAAAAAAAAAAAAAAAAAAAATTATTTTCTAGCTCAACACATTTCCAAATCTGAAATTTAAATGACATTTTTAAATATTTCACTTTTAATTTACTTAATACTTTACAAATGCAAAATATTAAAGCCAAAAATAGAAAAAAAAAGATTTAAATAAGAAAATGGAAATAAAATTAATTTGCACGACGAAAAAGAATTTAAAAACTTAATACAGTAATTACTATATAGAAATGAATGATTTGCAATTTTGACTTAATTATTCATTGACGAATTGAGATATAAATTATATTGAGCATGCATTGATAAGAATAGAACAAACAAGATGTTTTAATCTTATATTAATAAAAGATTATTGCACAACTATTTAAATATTTTGATTATCCCGAGTCAATGTACTGATTATAAACGAAAATGAACTTGATTTTGGACTATGATGAGTCAATTACTATCTATAAATAGATTAATTATATTAATAACCCAGGTGTTAATAATTGCAATAAACGAATTAATTTTCATTGATGTAATGCATGCATAAAAATTATATAAATTACCTATATAATTCTTCGAGATTCTTTTTAATATTATTAGTTTCTTCCTATAATATTAAAATAAATGAAATTTGCAAAATTTTCACTATTTTTTGTAATAAAATATTTATAAAGTGAACTATATAGCGAAATTAGAATCTTTACATAAGAACGTAAATTCTCATATGACAGCTGTGCTCAGTTCGACACAACTTGACAAGAAACTGCTTGCTTTGCAGAACTGAGAAAAGTGGTAGTTAATATATTCAACAAACTTTGTAATCAAAAATCAAAACCAAGAATAGAGTTCGTGAACCACCCGAGGGAGAAAATATCTCTAAATGGAAGATAAATTGTTGTTGATATGTGCTCTGGTCACATGAATTATGACTTTCCAACTTTTTCTTCAAGACGTCAGCCTAATTATTGATATCCGTTTAATATGCATAATATCATAAAGATAAAATACGTAAATGTTTCATTTTAAGTCCAATTGTGAACTAATTTTTATCAATAACACAAATATATATATGGATGTAGTGGTAATGTCACTTTTAGGTTAGAATTCATTCGCACTATTTTGATTTTAATATATACACAATTATGTAAATAGGAAAGTTTATTCTATTTTATCACAAATAGAGCTCGTTGTTAAATTATGTTTTAACAAGAAAATTCGAGTAATTAAGTTACTCATAAAAATAAAATTAATAATATTTCACTGACGAATTGACAACTGTGTGAAAAACAAACACAAATGCAAAATACTCTGAAATTGCACTGTGAATGCACTTAAGGTGCAAAACATAAAAAAAAAACCAAACTGAATTAATTATATAAGGTGAATAAAGAAATTGAAAAGAAACAATAAGTTTATAAATAACTGATAATTTAAAAAAAAATTGTAAAATATTTAAAAGATTAATAAAAACAGAATTTTTAATTACCCGCTGGAATAATCGATAGTTGCAAAAATCGATATTTTGGCGCTGTTTTGAATTTGAATTCAAAATCACTATTTTAAATATGTAAATTCTCTAAAATTTTCTTTCTCTTGTCACTCGAGATATTGATAATTTGATTATGAAATGAAATTTTACCCTCAAGAAGAAATTTGACACCAAACAATATAATCAATAAAAAGAACCATAATTCCGGAAAGGAATTATTTTTTTTTTTTTTTTTTTGTCTTAATATACAGAAGGGGAAAAAATAAAAATATTTTTTCAAATAATTTTATTTGCTTACTTTATTGAAAAAGAACAAAGAACAACATTACAAATTAAACAACTGGCAGAAAATAAAAAATATAACAGTTTCCAAAATCACATGAAATTCTTAAACATTACAATTTTGGTAAATTGTGTTAATGAGCTTTGTGAGCATTGCAATGTCTTATTAATTACATTGCAATCTACGCGCACGTAAGAATGTAATGTTCTACGTGTTTCAGGCAACTGCAAAGTGATATTTCATGAGAATACCTTAATATAGGATGTTTTTTATTTATTTTTTTTTTATATAATGTAAATTGGCAGATAAAGACAAATTTATTGTAACTGATATGCTGATATACAATTTACAAGTTAATAGCGAACTTTTTTTTTTTATTATTATTCCAAGGCTCTTTTTTTCTCCTTCATCCTATATCATAAAGTATTTTCAATCTTTATATATATTTGACAAATATATATATACATATATATGTATATAGTAATATATTTATATATATATATAACTAGCAAATATTTCAAGTCATTAATATGTAAAATGGTACGTTGATTAAAATAATATCCTTTTTAAAAGTGTATGTATGTGTATACAAATATTTATATAGTAGGTATGTATATAATAAATTTCATTTTTTTTTTTCATATAAAAAATGGAACTAAAATTTTATGAATATATATATATATATAAAGCGGAATAAACTCTTAGCTTTTTAAAACAAACAAACAAAAAAAAATGAGACCTTAGTTGCTTAGGTACTTTGCGGACTAGCTTTGACAAGCTTTGGGAGAAATACAATAATTATTATTAAAAAAAAAAAAAGGGCGAGGGGCCAAAGGTGAAAAAAAGTAGAAAGAAAAAATATCGAAAAAAAATACAATACTATGAGGAAAAGAATACAATAATATAATATATATGTGATGAAAAAAATTACGTGATGAAAAAAAAAATTTACAATATATAAAGAAAAAAATAGAATTATTAAATAAAATAATACAAGAAAGTAAGAAAACAACTATATATATATAAAAAAAAAACTAAAACACTTTTTTAACGCAAAAAAAATTGTTGAAGAAAAAAATAGTTTCTTCAAATAAAATTCGAGGAAAAAAAAACACTAATTCAAATACTCGTAATTAAACAGACGTCCTCAATAACTAACTTTGTCATAAACAGTTTAAATTTTTTTTTTTTCCATTTGAGTACGCTCCTTGGCAACACATATCATATAAAAAAATATATATTATATCCGCTTTCCAATATTACAATTACAATCTATCTTTCTTTGGTTGTACTATTTTTTGTTATGTGTCAATATGCAAAAACATTTCAAAGCTTGAATTTCTCAGGAAAAATAAAAATTAAAAATTCGAGCCTTAACATTGTTTTTGAATATAAAAAAGATAAATAAGATTTTTCATATATAGTTGACAACGAAGATTTTTCAAATATACATATATATATATAATGTATGGAAAACATGGCTTTCAAAAATCGAAAACTATGTAATTTTTACAATAAAATGTAGAAATCAGCATATTTTTTTTAAATATATATATATGTATATATAGTTCACAAAGCGTGTCAATAAAGCTCACGATTTGACTTAAAGTCATTTATTGCTGAGTTTCGGCGTCGCATTCACAGCGCATCTTATTTTTTATTTTTTTTTTTTAAATAATAATTGAAAAAAAAACTCGAGATGGAAAAAAAGGTTTTCTTCTCGAGTTTTTTCTTTTACATTTTTTTTTTCGTTGTTATTCAATAAAATTGATGCGTGGCATTTACAAATAATTTTTTTTTTTTTTTCAATACAGATTTTTCCAATCGTCGTTTCTCAGTCTAAATGAGATTTTTGTCAAACACACGGAGTGAAGGACAATGTAATACTTGGTGGAGACTACGCATATCACAGAATTTGAAAAATTATGCCTTTTCTAAAAACCTGGTATATAAAACATGCCGATGGAATGCAACTTCTTTTTCGTTTTTTTTTTCATTTTTTTTTTTTTGTTTTGTTGTTAACGTTATGGTAGTCGATTTGATATGTAAATAAAGTACTTTGGAAAGGAATGAATTGTCAAGAGATAAGGATATTCTGCTAAACAGAATCGATGTTGGCTGGTTTTCTTTTTCGAACCAGCATTTCTAATGTTACATTAAGAAAAATTAACGAAATGAAAATATAAAAAAAAAAGATTATATAAAAAAAAAATATTAACATTGAGGAATGGAACCAAGCATCTCGTTATTTGCCTCATTTGGCGTACTAACTAACGATTATTTTAAATATTTTGTACTTGAACTGACTAATTAAAGACTTAATTAAATTTTCCCTATATACTAAACTTAGAAATTTCCCGCAACAATAAAAAAAAAACGAGAAAAACAAGGGATATAATTATACTAAATATTATGAGTTACGCGAGTATGATATTAAATTGTTTGGCACTAAAAATTGCTTGTAAAAGTACAAAGAATTTTTATATTTGTTTTATAAGAAAAAAGAAAATAGATTTTTCAAATTTTTTTTTTCTGTTTCAAAAACTAGAGTAAAAAAAAAGTCTGTGATGCTTTAAAAAAAAAAAACTAAATTCTTTTTTTCCAAATTTTTTTTTCATTTTGGTTTGAAATACTGGAGAAGATTTCATCAAATGGCAGTTAAACTCCTCCTGAAAAATTGTAATATTTTGCGTCTAGAATATAAAAATGGTTAAATTAAAAAAAACTAAATTAAAAAAGAAACTAATAAAAAAAACGTAAATAAAATACAAACAAGTAACGTACTATTTTCTAAGTTACAATAAAATAAATAAAATAAAATTTTAGACTACAGTTGTGTACCTCTATAAAAAAAATGTATATATATATATATTCGTCAGACACAAGTCACGTCACAAGAAATTCATAATGCACACGTTTTTAAAATAAAAAATATTACTCGATAACTATCTCTTAAATAATGTCTCAATATTGTTACAATTAAATTTTTGGGATACGCTACTCACAAAAAACGTAAACAACACTTACAATGAATCAATAAAAAATTTCTCTCGTTTTTTTTTTTTCACAAAAATCACTCGTGGAAGAATTTTTTTTTCCGATATTCAAAATTAAAATATAATCAGAACTGAACAGAAAGTATTTTCAAAAATTTTAATACAATTAATTAATAAACTAATTTTATTCTATAATAATTAGTATACAAACATTTTTTTTCGCAAATAAAAATTTTAATTTGAAAATGTTCGTTGTTTTAAAAGAGTATAAATCTAAATACTAGTTAGTAATAATTAAAAATTGGTAAAAATCAGAAAAATAAGTTTTTTGTGAAATAAAATTTTTTTCGTCCAAATTAAGATAATTTTTTTTTTAGGTAATCTCTATATAGCTTTGATATTACGCTTTTATAAAAAATACTCTAAAATTTTAGTATTTCAGAACACATATGGTATAAACTTAAAATTAAAATATAAACAAATTTTTTTCAGAAAGAAAATAATTGAAAAAAAAAAATTTTAATTATATATCAAGTTTTAGAATGCAAATTTTTTAACAAACAAAATATTAAACTTAATTAAATAATATTAAATTTTAATAAAGCTTTGAATTTACTTTGAAAAATTGTAATACAATATTTAACAAATTTAATAAATAAAAATCTAATTTTTTTTTTTTAAAGAGAAATAATAAATAAGAATGCAATTTAAAAAAAAAAATTACAACAAATTTTGATCTCATGTCTATTATATGTTGACTTATTATTAACTATTCTAGAAATAAAATAAAGATTAGTAATAAAATTATTATTCCTTTTTTTTTTAATGCAAAAGAAACTCGAATACTTTCAAAAATTAAATGTTCAGTTCTGATTTCAACGAAGTGTTTAAAAAAAAAAAAACAAATAATTCACAAACACGTACTTTCATGGCTCTAGGAAGACTATGATTAATTGTAGGCAATGTTTAAATTACATCGTATAAATCCTACATTAATCTTGTGTTTAAAACTTTAAAATAAGAAAATTCGAGATTGTAAAAGAACAATAATTATTATCCTATAACATCTCGAAAAAGTCTATCAATTCAAAAGTCAAAAGGAAGAATTTCTGTTTCTTCTACAGTAACTTTTCGGTTATTTTCCCCCCTTTATTTTCTTTTTTTCTTTTTTTTTTTTTATTTTTGTTTATCAGAGATTAATATATATATTTATATAGATACGCTCAAAATTTGATTTTTAGTCATCACTTCAAAAAACGATTTCTTATAACACACATCACACGAGAAAAAACGAAACGCGCCGATAACAACCTTATTCGTACTATATAATATAACGTATTTCGTAAAATACACTTTTTTTCATATATAATATATTTATATATATATATATAATATGTATAAGTAAAACAGTATAAGCAGCGCATGTATATTACGCACGAAGCGATTACTTAGTTTGTCTGATAGTTGTATACACATAAAATTAAGGACCGATTAAATGTACGCGTACGCATATGTGTTGTGTATGTATGTAATTTTTTTTTTTTGTTTTTTTTTTAAATATGTAGTGTATATACACGTAAGAATGAGACCTTTGTGATTGTAAAAATCATCAAAAAATCTATCACAATTACCATATATATATGTAACAAGTGACGCATTTTTTTATCTCTCTCTCTCTCTCTCTCTCTACCGTTCTTTTCTTTGACATAGTTTTTTTTTTCGTTCTAAATATTATTGAAATTTAAATATCAAGGCAAAAAAGAGGTGAATTTCAACAGTGGCCTAAAATTAGCCAAGTAATTCTCCACAGATAAAAATATGTAAATAGAGTATATCTATACTAAAATATTCAAGTATGTCTAGGATGAGCATAACGTAATTATGAGAGGTAAAAGACCCTCATTTTTTTTTTTTTTTTTTTTTTTATCTCCTCATCTCCTTTTTATTTTATCTTCTGCACGTGATACACTATGAGTTGTTCATAAATTGGCTGGAAAAGTTTCTCTTCGTTTAATTATTATTTTTCAATAAATTTTTTTTTAAATTTTAATAATGTTTTCAATAATTTTTAATAATTATTAACTATTTTTTTCCTTTTTTTTTTTAACTCCAATTCGTTGGTTCTTTCTTTTATTATTAATAATTATTGTTGTTTTTTTTGATAATAATTATTATTTCTTTTTTCTAGTCAATTTTTCAATAATTATTATTATGGGAAAAAAATTTGTCAATATTATTGAATTTTTAAAATAATTATTTTTTTCGTTAATAATTATTTCAATTTTCAACAATAATTATTGTTTTTCTTCGTTAATAATTATTCCTTGTAATAATTTTTTTTTTTTAAATACTGTTTCCACTTGTGTGCCATTCGAAGACGATGCGTGTTCAGGTCGTTGTGCATCTGACAAAACACACTTTTTTTTTTTTGCAAGAGGCAACACCTGTATTGGATTAGATAGTTCTAATTATCTTTAACTAGTAACAACATCAGAGACTCTCGAAGAATACAACTTATGATGACGATTCTATTATCACAGGCATTATTCATAAAACTCTGCTAAACCACATCTATTAAAATTTTTTTCGTACACGTTATTTTTTTTTTTATTTTTTTTTTAAATGTTTTTTTTTTTAATCAGATTACTGTTTTTTTTATTGTTTAAAAAAAAAAAAATTTTTCTTACTTCAAACGTAAAATCAAGACCACTAGTGATATTTAGACGATTATTGGTTAACTTAGGAGTATAGATAGGCATCGCGAGATTTGCTAATTTGTCATGTACCGAGGCACATGGCCTAATATCTCGCATCCCTTTTTTTTTCCCTATGATTATTAATCGATAGTTATTTTATTTACTTGTTTTTTTTTCAATTATTACCTCGCCTAATTAAAAGCATTGCAATCAACACTAATATTCGTCGATTTGTAAAGATGTTTCAATTAAAATCCGACTCGGTATGCGATTAAAGCCCGATTAAGCTATTAAAATTTTTTTTCTTTTTAATATATGTATATGTATTGTATAATATACATATACATATAGTACACGCGTAACGTGCTAAATATATTATATAGCATTTGGTATGGCAAGAGTATGTCGGTCAGAATATTTTTTTTTGTCCGATACTATTAAATTGAGATATGAAGATACTCGTATACCGAACTACCAAATGACGAGCATACGTGTCGCTTGCATATTGCGTCTATTTTTTTTTCTTTTTTTTTTTTTTTGTTTTTTCAGTTTGAAATAATTTTATAACTACTGATGTAAACGACCCTACAAAATATGCGTATCTTCTATATTTTTGTCTCATACGGATCTTTAGTTTTAATTTATTATTTGTTTTTACGAAATATGTCAGTATTTACATAAATAGAAGTTGTTTAGCAAACATTATTTTTACATAGACAAAGTACACTCCGTATGATTCCATTAATATGTGTATGTATATATAATATATGTGTATATAATATATTTTTTTTCTTTTGAAAATGTTTTTTTTTTTTTTTTTTTTTTTAATATATAGTAACATAGTGGACCTCCTCATTGTAGAAATGTGAGAGAGAGCACCTGTTGTAATTTCATAACAAATACATTTACAAGGTAATCGGGAAATAGCGCTATGAATAAATAATTCATATGCGTATGTATTTTTTTTTCACGGTGGACCATAATAAAGCATCCTGAGTAAATATTGTGACCTTTTCGCGTCTCTTTACGACAATAGGATTCAATGGTTGTTGTAATTGGTTAAGGTTTGATTTTCAAGATCCCTTTTTTTTTGTTTTTAAGAGAAAAGGAGTGAAGAGATGCTTCAAATTGCTTTTGTTCCTTTTTTTTTTTTGGAATGTGATAAAGCGATAAAGATATTTCAGAAAAATGACGTTTAAGAATAAATACATCAGAATAAAATTGTTTTTTTTAGAATAAAAGCTCTTTTAATAATGGGATTTAAGAAAGAGGCTTTCTTTAAGAATAAAGACTTTTTTTAGGAATAAAATACGTTTTTTTTTTTTTTTGTAAAAATTCGACTTGTAATATTTAGAATTCTTCTAAATGGTGAGGATAAAATATGCGAAAAAAAATCTAAAATACTGATCGAATTTTAAAATTCGTACTTGCAGCAAGTTAATATTAGAAAGATTCTTAAAGTAGAATCGTTTTAAACGTTTCCTAAGAATGTGTATATATATATATATTTTTTTGTTTTGAATCTACCAAAATGGTAACCTTTGGTTTGAAGTTTTTTTTTTTCTTTAAATAAATTTAGTATGGCAGTATGTCCGATAGGAGCTGCACGAGTTGCTATTAAAAAATAGCATTTGGTCGGATGTTCAAATTTGCCCTTTTTTCTTTGCTAGACAAAGTTTTATACTTTCAATAAAATAAGGTTGCCTAACCGTTGAAGATAATGTCGCGCTTTTTTTAAAATAATATATTGATAGGCCCAAAAATCGAATGACCTAAGGCCAAATGACATACCCTTTTACCTTTCGTTGATGGTAAACCAATTCCGGGAGGATTTTCACATTTGGGAAGATAGAGTCCGTCTGGTTGCACCTCATACAATGTAAAGTGTGTTGAGGACCAGGACATGATGATTGTTCTTTGCTAATGTCACGATGTAGCCCTCGGAGGTGATTTTTAATCCACAACAACGTGACACCTATGAAAATACATTTTTTTTTATTATGCACTAATTTTAAATTTAAAAAAAATTACTTACTTTAACGTAAGGGCATTCAAATTCAGAAATTAAGGAACCATCTCTAGAGAAAACAGCAACATGAAAACGATTGCCGTGCGAATCTCCAATCAGAACATCACCTGCGTCGCTGATATCTATTCCATTCGGGAAGTTTGTTATATTTTCACAGCCAATGCGTCGTAAAAATTGTCCATCTTCATTGAATACAACTACACAATGGCCTTTAAAGTCGCAAACAAAATATTCTTTCCCTGAAAATAGAAAAAAAATTAATTTACAATTCTCATTCAATTTATAAAAAAAAGTAAAAAAAAAAATGATAAATTTAAAAATTTTCAAAAAAGAAATTAATATTAAAAATTTGAATACCGCTGATGGCAATATCACTTGGTTCTCTCATATAGTCACTGCAGTCGAACCATCTTAAAAGACCTCCAGCATCACTAATAACAAAAACAGTTGGCGAGACACTATCGACCGCCACAATATGTCCTTGACCAGTAACTGCCAATCCAGCAACAATATCGATGTATCGAATAGCAATTTTTTTAATGAAATGTCCATTTTTTGTAAATATTTGCATTCTAGAACGTTCATTTCCCCTATCACAAACAACGAATTTTCCACTGTTTCTCATTACCGCCACTTTTCTCGGATACCACAATTGTCCTTCTTCTTTACCCGGTATTCCAAATTGAAATTTGAAGGCTCCTGACTTTTCAAATACCTAAAAATAGAGAAAATTAATTTTAAGTTTGAAAAAAATGAGAAAACAAAATAATTTTACCTGAATTCTATGGTTATTTGTATCGGCAACAATTATATCCTCATCTGTTCCCAGGCAAAAGCCATGGGGAGAATTAAATTGACCTTTACTGGGTCCGAGCTGACCAAATTTACAACGTATTTGCATTGGCGTGGGTTTTCCGTTCGATGAACGAATGTGTGCAAAATTTCCATTTCCTGAACCGGAAACACTTCCCACTGAACTTCCTAACATTACAGGTATATTGTGCACTGAATCTCCAAGATCATCTTTAAAATGAGAAAAAAAAACCCATTAGAATTAAAAGAATAATTTAATAATTATAAAATTTTAGAATTAGAGTAAAATGTACTTTTCAATACAAGTAAAAGAGAAAAATTTCCATACCTCCTGGAGTTGGTGGCATTATTGGTGAGGTAGAAGTTGACAATGGTTGATATCCACCATTTAACATTCCATTAACTCCAAGTGTTCCTAAATTCTGTGCATCAACCATTCCCGGTGACTGTCCACGTCCTATTATAAAATGACTGCCGCCATTTAACGTCGCATTACTCACATCTGTTAAAAAATTCAAAATATGTGTCAATCTTAAATTTAAATTGTAAAAATAATTTTTATCTTTTAAATTAATTACAGATTTATAATTAAATTTAATATAGAGGAAAAATTTACCATGATTTCCAAGATTATTTCCTAATTTGGCGAGAGCTTGAAGATTATTAATGGCATGATCGCCAGTGAAGAGGTCAGCAATATTAAAGGACGGAGTGGGGCTTGGATTAGAATTTGAGCCAACGACACCAGTGTCGCCTACAATGTCAACTTTCTCAGCGAGACTTGCCAATTGTTGAAGATTATATTCTTGAATACTGGTGAAACCATGAATTGGACCTGGAGAAATTGTAACGGGAGGTTGTGGAGGAGGAACATTTTGTGGACTAGATGGTGGAGGTACTGTAAAGGAAGGTTCACCTTCAAAGGAAGATTGCATTGAAGTTGGTAATGAGATCGGTGAAGTCGTGCTAATCGAGCTTGGACAACCAATTGATGAATGAGCCATTTGTGGTATCATCGATCCTGGAACATTCGCTGCGTTTTCCAAGGCAGCATTCGATACTGTACTCTCCGTACGAAACGAGCCGAATGCTTCCTGCAAATTTTTTTGTTTAAAATTTATTATATTAAGTTTCATAATATTAAATTTTTAATTACATACTTTAACAGTCTTTTCAAAATGATCAAAATCCGTTTGAAATTCGATGGAGAACGAAACGTTGGGCTTTGGTGTGTTTCTTATTAAACTTATTAATTGATTATTTGCAAGCCGTCGGAGAGATAAAATCTCCACAGCATCTCCATGTTCAAGAAGTCTTGACGTAAAACAATAGGCGGCGTCTATTTTTTCCAAGGTTTTATCCACACTAAAATGAAAATATTAACATTAATAAATGTTCAATATTAACATTAATTTTATAATATACCTGTTAAAAGAGTCCATTATTTCAAGTTCCCTATCGGAGTGTAACAATTCAAGTTCTGATAATGAGAGATCGCGTAATTTTTCCAAAACTGCTTTATAACTTTGAAAGCTTTCATTTATCAAGTCCTTGGCTTGATCACGTTGAGCTTGTAGTTCGCTGAGTGAATTTTCCAGCTGATTCGTTGTTTGTCCACAATCCGCCATTTTAGCTTTAGTTTCGTTTAATAAATTTAACAAATCCTCTTTTAATCGTGGTTCTGCGTCAATTAAACGTTCATATTGATGATCTGGTGTTTTGTGCTCCAGTAACAAACATTCATTGCATATCGGCTCCTGTGTAAAAAAAAAAATGATTAATAATTATTATTCTATAATTTTAATAATTTTTTAATTTACAAAATGAAAATTATTCTATAAATTAAAAGTATGACCTTAATATACAATTGTCATTTTTATATGTACTTTATCTGTTTTTCTATAAAAGAAAAAAGAAAAATTACAAAACGACAAGTGATAAGATTTTCATATCGCAAAGTTTACTGATTGCAGATAAAATAAAATAGTTAAATAATGAAAAAAAAATTCAAATTTAACATAAAATTTTGTTAATTAATAATTATGGCGTGCATTGGAATATTTATAAGATACGCCTTGAATTCAATGAATCCATCTCGGAAAATTAATTTTTTTTATTTAAAATATAATTGTTAATTCGAATTATGAAATTTCAATTACCTGGCACGTATTGCAAAAGAATTTCATATTTTCAGTGGGATGATTTTCACAGAAAATAGGCTTGTGAATTGGAATCAAATCATTTGATTTTTTCAAATCTTCGAATGAAACAACTTTATGACTTTCAAAGCATCGCATAAATTGATGTGCGGTATTGCAATTTGGACACAAGAAATTTGCGCAATCTGAGCAACGTGCTACTGCATTTTCCATGGCTTTACATGATGTGCAAAGCACTGACATATTTTCAATAGCTGACATATCGAGAATATTTGTGAGAACATAGTCACTGGGCAATGATGCTGCGCCTTTTGATCCAACTGCTGTTTCTTGTTGACAAAGTGGACATTTCAAAATTGATCCAACTTTCGAGTCACCGGCCTCGTCAATTAAAATTTTGTCAAGACAAGCTTCGCAAAAAACGTGAAGACATGTGAGCACACGGGGTAAGCAAACTTTGTTGGAACACAATGGACATTTTTCCTCTTCAAGCTGTCCAGACTCGCTCGACATTTCTTCCAATGCTCCCGAAGGTTTGCCTATAAAAAACAATTTTCAAAAATCCAAATCAAAAAACAAATTCGTCATGTAAAAATACAATTGTCTCTAAAATAAAAAAGAAATCTGCTTCATGTTTTTATCTCTAATTTTCTTTATTATATTTTAAAAAATATATTAATAAAAAAAAATGTTATTCTTAAACATGTATTTTTCGAAATTAATTTTTTTCACACACTCGGGAAATGAAATCCAATCCCACATTATTAAAAAACATATTTTAATTATAATTAAAAAAAATAGATTTAAAAGGGGGCGAGTCATTTTTAAATGAAAAAAAAAAGAAAGTAGAAAAAATTCCATTGACTTTTGCTTGTTTCTTTTTTTTCAGAACTGGACTCTGTAAAGTACCTATACAAAATAAAACTTTTCTAAATCGGAATAAGCCCCCAGGGTTTTTAATCAATTAATCAATACCCAGCACACATTTCAAACATTTATGTTTTTTCAGGCATAAATTTATTCCCAGAACAATGAAATATGATTTTAATCTTTATTAAAACAAAATTCTACAAAAGAATCAATAATTTTGCAAACAAAAAGTAAAAAGTATATGCAAATTTAACATAAATATGTATAATTAAGATTTAATTATCAGAATCGTTTTCATTCAGAACACAAATTTTTTAAATTAAAATAGAAAATAAATGTAAAAAGAAATAACTTACCACTAGAGAAACTGGCGACGGAACTGATGCCTCTTTCGGTGAAAATATCTCCGCCATCAACATTATCGGAACCCTGACTGAATCCTTGAGGGGAAACTGACGACGTACCCGAAGGAACAGCAACAGTGGAAGATGCCATAATGCAATAAAAAGTCTTCTTAACTCTTTTCCAATTATTTCCCTTAACGTAATTCCTATTCCTAAATATATGTATAATAACTATACATGTGTAGAACTATTAAACTATTTCACTGAGGGCCAATATTAAAAAAAAATTGTTCTGGTTTTATTCACTTCATCGAGATACTAGAAAAAAAGTTTTTTTTTTATCCCAAAAGGGCGGTTGCATGTTGCAATTACATCAACGTGAAAAAAAAGACAAAACACTTCACTGTCGCTCAAATATAAGAGATAAAAAAAGAGGACAAACTAAAACGAGACGTCGAGACCGCGATAATGGTTCGATGATTCCGGCGCTTCGGGCAACACGATCGATTTCCCAAAGACATAAAATTACTGTTATGAAAAAGAATATATAATTTCGTTACTGTCACACATCAAATTCACATTTTTTTCCCAACTTTCACATTATTGTATTGTCGCGATTAACTTTTCTTGAATTCACTTTTCTGTTAGCATTTACGTAGGACATTCGAATCTGCCATTTTGGATATTGGATTCGGAAATTAAAAAAAGATGTAAGACCGTAATCAACTGTTTTCGTCCCTCAGATGTTTTTTTCAAATCTTTAATTGAAACTTTGATTGTAAAAACGCATTTTTAATCTTCGTTTATTATTGACACTAATATTATGTTCCGCAAGTCACATTTTTATGCTTTAAGTACATTTTTAAATTATTATTTTTTCAAATTTAATTTTGCAAAAAATTTTAGCAGGAAAGCATGAAACATAAAAATATAGAAGGGAAAGTCTGTATCCTCTCTATGTTCATGCGTAACAGCAAGGTTGGGTTAGTAAAAAAACTTTTAAGGTGTGTTCACACGTTGCAATTTCATTTTTTTTATTAATACTTTTTAAAAGATGAAATATTCAAATTAACACCACAATTAAGGTTAATTAATAAAAAAACAAGTTATTAATGTATTTTTTGTGTTTATTAAATAACAACGAAAACATTTAAAGTGCGATAGACATATTTCAAATGAAAATTTAATGTAGGATTTAAAAAATCCTGTTAATCTTAAATATTAATTTATACATAACGAATGGTAAATGTTTTATTTTTATCATACATTCATCAACATTTATTCTATCAGTTCGAAATTCATTTCATTCACTACTTAAAATTTTTTATATTATAATCTAAAAATATAAAGAAATAAAAATTTACAGAAGTTATTAATCACTGGAATTTCCGTTTTTTTTTTTGTTTTTTGGAAAAACAAACTTATGAAACAATATTTTATAAATCTCTATTTTTCATGGTAAAATAGGTATTTAAAAATCACATCATTCAATTTAAATATGTACATTACATAATTTACATAATCATTTTGTAAGTTTTCAAATTCAGAATTTTGAAAAAACAAGATACGAAATTCGTAAAATGTTAAAAAAAATAGGATAATGTTTTTCTTTTGAGTTCAAAAAAAAAAAATAAAAACAAAATGCGTATTTTTAACGAATTAAGGGCTTACTTTAATTCTTTTCTTCCTTCTTTTTCTCGTCTTGATTTTCCGTCTCCTGTTGAGTACTCTGATTGGAACTTTCTCGTTCAGAAGCCATCTGAAAATTCATTTAGTTTAATAAATTATTGAAATTTAATAATATTTAACATTTTTTAATATTTTTAAAGACTCAGTAATAATTGTCCACATATGTTAAAAGAATAACATTGAGAGACGAAAAATAATAACATCATGGTAGAAAAATTAACTATAAATAATTATCAAATTTAATATAATAGATATACCTTTTTATATGCCATTTCAAATAATTTAAGACTGGCCTGTTGAAGTTCATTTGTTTGTTTTCTGAGTTCCTCAGGATCGATTTCATCTTTCTTCAATAGACTTTCTCTCATTTTTTCAATTTTCTCCTTCAAATTGTTACACTGAAATAAAAGAAAAAAATATTAATTTCTGTATTCTGAATTATAATTAAATGGAAATAAATTTAAAAATAAATTTTTTTACATCTTCTTCTGGCAATTGTGCTTTAAATTCTTCAATTTTAGCTTCGGTATCGTGAATAATTCCTTCAGCTTGATTCACAACCTCAACTCTCTCCTTCTTTACTTTATCCTCCTTTGAGTATTGCTCAGCTTTTTTAATCATATTTTCAATTTCGTCTTTACTCAAACCACCACTCGACTGAATGACAACTGAAAAAAAAAATTAAATTTCAATTAATTGCTTCAAGACACTTATATTCTAATTTCCATATTATACAAATAACTCAGTAATGATTGTCCACATATATGTTACATTTCATAGGTAACCGTTGAGAGACGAAAAATATAAACATCATAGTAGAAAAAAATATTAATATTTAAATAATTATTATTTAAATTCAAACTTACTCTGTTGTTCTTTGCCAGTTCCTTTATCTCTAGCCGAGACATGAACAATTCCATTGGCATCAATGTCAAATGTTACTTCAACTTGTGGAACACCTCGTGGTGCTGGTGGAATTCCAACAAGTGAAAATTGTCCCAATAATTTATTGTCAGACGCCATTTCACGTTCACCTTGATGAACTTTAATTTCCACTTGAGTTTGTCCATCGGCTGCCGTCGAAAATACTTGACTCTTTTTCGTTGGAATTGTTGTATTTCGTGAAATTAATCTTGTAAAAACTCCACCAAGTGTCTCGATACCTGCATTAAAAAAAAAAATAATAAAAAACATTAATTAATTTAATAAAATTACAAAATAATAAATTCCATTTCGCAATTATATTCAGAAAATACTTTTTTTCTTCACTAGTATCAGAGAGAAGATTAGTTCTAAACATCATAAATTTTTCTGTAAAAGTAATTTAACGCTTAAAATTTTTGTTCTATAAAGAAATATAATTTTCTTTATATTTTTATAAAATATAATAATTACCAAGTGAAAGGGGAGTAACGTCGAGGAGTAAAACATCAGTAACATCACCAGCGAGAACACCACCTTGAATAGCAGCACCAATTGCAACCGCTTCATCTGGATTAACTGCTCGTGATGGTTGTCTTCCAAATAATTCCTGAACTGTTTGTTGTACTTTTGGAACTCTCGTCATTCCTCCCACTAATAATACTTCGCCAATATCAGATTTTGCAACTTCCGCATCGCTAAGAGCCTTTTGACAAGGTTGAATTGTCCTCTTAATAAGATCACCGACAAGATTCTCAAATTTACTTCTCGATAATTTAAGATTCAAATGTTTTGGACCACTGGAATCCATTGTTAAATATGGAAGATTAATATCGGTTTGCAATGAACTAGAAAGTTCAATTTTTGCCTTCTCAGCCGCTTCTTTTAAACGTTGCATTGCCATCGCATCTTTTGATATATCAAGACCTTGCTGTAAAAAAAAAACATGAATATAAAAATCAAAATTCAAAATTAATTTTCTTTTAAATACTTACATCACGTTTAAATTCAGTGACTAGAAAATTCACCAAAGCATTGTCAAAATCCTCACCGCCCAAAAATGTATCGCCATTAGTTGATTTAACTTCAAAAACACCTTTTTGTATTTCCAAAATAGAAATATCAAATGTACCACCGCCTAAATCGTACACTGCAATTCTAAAAACAATATAGAAAATAAAAAAATGTCCAAATCAAATTAATTTCAATTATTATAGAAATTGTGAAAAAAAATCACCTTACATTTTATCTTCAGTCTTATCCAAGCCATAGGCAAGAGCCGCTGCTGTTGGTTCATTTATTACACGAAGAACATTGAGACCAGCAATTTGTCCAGCATCCTTAGTTGCTTGTCTTTGTGAATCATTGAAATAAGCAGGAACAGTTACAACAGCATTTTTTGCCGGTGTATTTAAATAGGCCTCAGCTGTTTCTTTCATTTTTATCAATACAAATGCTCCAATTTGACTCGGTGAATACATTTTTCCATCTGTTCCTTGCACCCATGCATCGCCATTCGATGCTTTTACAATTTTATATGATACCGTTTTCCTGTATAAATGACAAGTTATTTATTTACTAAAATTGACGAATTTTTTTGAATAAAATTAGAAATTTCAATACATACATTTCTTTTTTTACTTCTGTATCATCGAATTTTCTACCAATAAGTCGCTTGGTTGCATAAAATGTATTCGATGAATTTGTTACAGCTTGACGTTTCGCTGGCATTCCAACTAAACGCTCTCCATCTGAAAATTAGAAAAAAAACATCTTACTGAAAAAATTGATTAAGTGGCAAATTTAAACAAAAATATTTAATTTTAAAAAAATTGAACTATTTTTAAATGTATACAAACCTTTTGTAAAAGCAACATAGGAAGGAGTTGTTCTTGAACCTTCTGCATTTTCAATAACTTTCGCTTGTTTACCCTCCATCACAGCAACACAAGAAAAAGTTGTTCCTAAATCTATTCCGATGACTGCTCCCTTCACGCCATCCGTCCTTTATTTAAATTATTTTACATAAATAAATAAATACTCATGAATAAAATATTCACACTAAAAAAATGACTATATAATAAAATCAACTAAAGTATAAAATTTATAAACGTAGTAAAAGCGTTAGTGACATAACCTCAAAAAAAAAAAATTTTTTTTTTAATTACTCACTTGTGTCGACATTGTAAATCAGAAATCTTTTCAGGTGAAATAGAAAGCACAGGACTTGTTCTCTGCAAACAAAAAGAAAAAATTTCGTTTTAAAACGTAATAGCTTGTTTCCTTGACCACGTGCCGGTTGCAATATACAATCTATACAATCAATGTTTTAACTCAAATATTTTTGGTTTTCTATTTCAATATTAAAATTCCTGTACATATTTACATTATAAAGTGAATAATTCACAATACAATAAATAAGAAGCATTTGTTTTTCAATAATTTTGAAATATAATAAAAGTCATAAAAAAAAAAAATGAAAACGGCGTGGGATACTTACATTTTTCAAAAGTGTACTAAATCGATTTCGCCTGGAAATATCCCGATTAATTCCGGAACATCCTCTGGATAATATTCGCGTTGCGGTCAACATTTTACCTAATTATTATTTATTTAATGGTAAAAATATAACTGCAAAATGACGCAATCCAAACAGAATGAACTACTCCATTGAAATGGTTCATTCATAAAAAAAAAGTTCATATAGATTGGAAAAATGGTAAAAAATAAAATCCTTTAGTATGCAGCGCCATCTCTATTAACAAGTCCAAGATTCAATGTAATTGGTGGATTATAATCATATTCCGACCAATGAAAATAGAGTAGGTTTAAACGTTTTGCCGCGAAATTACTAATTTATTATTTATTAATAATTATTGAATAAATTAGTTAACAAATTTAATTAATTAAAATTAATCTTTTCTATAATATTAAAAAAAATTTAACAAAAGAAAAGTTTAAGAATTCGATAGAAAAAATTTATTACTGAACTCTTAAATTAATCAAAAATAGTAAAAAAAAAGTATAAATAACTTTTTAAACTTAAAAAACAATTATTTTTAAAATAAGATTTAATTTTAACTGAAAAACAAGTTTTTTGGGGGGAAGCGTCTCCATTATCGATTAGACACCAAGGGTGCATGACAATGGAGTTTCAGCAACCCCTGTTAAATATAGGAAAAAAAAATTTATTTTATACAATTTTATATATTTAAAAAAATCAAGAATAATTAATAATAATCTTATAACAGGAGAATATTTTTTTTCAATTTTTAATTCGAATTTAATTTTATGAAAAGCAATTAAGAAATTAGGTATTTTTTGAACACAGTATAGAAATTCTGTCAGAAATTATACGTGGCATGTTTGGTTTTACGGTTGGCGGGCTGAGGGGCGATTTACGCGCGTACGTTTCCCGCGTGGTCAACAAAACACATATATACACACATGTGCATTTCAATGTGACAGTAAAGGATGTGTACAACAGATCAGCTGAGAACCAGCTGTGCCAGGAGCATTGGCCAATCGCAACACAGTATTGACTTGGTTTTGCGTCCTTAATTCACTGCCGGTATGCACTTCTCCATTAATGTTCCCGCGAAACGCCATCGCAATTTGCTCATTGTTTTCAAAGGATTATTCACATGATAAATTCAAGTTTTATGAACAAAGTGAATGTTTTTTAAAAGTGCTTAGTGCTTAATAAACGTAAATGTTTTTTCATTGTGTGTTTATGCATTGAGAAACGACGCAACTTGATGTCGTAGACAGTTGTTGAAACGACACTGTTGCTTGGAATGTTTTTCAATTTTATTCATTAACAATTTGGAAATTATAAGATCGAGTAATAAATTTTAACTTGTGTTGTTAGATATTTGGTTTGTTGACAACAATTAGCGATGATTTGAACATGTTTTGTGAAGTTTTATTGTAAAAAATTGTCAGTTAAGTTAAGCGTCTCCTTGGGGATGCTGTGAAGATTTTGTGGCGCGAGTGTGCACGGAAAATTATTGTTTTTTTAAGAGGATTTTTGGAAAATTTACAAAGTGAACGTTTGTGAATAAGTGAAAAATAGATTTTTGACATTTTTGAAAAAAATAATTTTTTTTTTTTTGAGGTTATGTGAATAGAGGGCGTGACCATTCGACAGTGCAAGCAGGGGTTGGTCGTTGTTTCGCGCGCTGGACTCCCGCGCTTTACTAGTTAATATCTTAATTTTTTAATAAAATTGCTTGGTTTTATTGAATTTTATACTGTTGACGGTTTTCCGAAAAATTCGGGAATATTCATTTTCATTTGTGAAGTTCAAATGATTATTTTTGAGGTATGAAATAGTGAAGCAAAGCCGAGCCCTTGATCATACATTATGGCGATCGAGTGCACGTAATCTATGGGCGCTCCCTTGCTTTTTTGGCTTTTAACTGTGCAAATTTTATTTGGATTTCATTCAAAGTGGATTGTGACCCGTGAAAAAAATTGGAGTCTCACGGGAAAAAGTTTGGACATTGCAGGAACATTCGTTTTTGGATTAGACAGCTTGAAAGATGAGCACCAAGATGCCACAAACCAGGTGAGTGACCGTCATTCTTTTCATCGTCAAATTTATTATATATTTCTTATTAAATGATACATGTTTCCCATTAAAATTTAATTAATATCAAACGTTCTATGGAAAATTCTTGTGAGATTTTTGAATTTCTAAAAAAAAATTCATGTAGTATTATAACCTGTTGCAAAGTCACACGTTTCTCGAAGGTCTCATGAAATATGGTAGGCGGTGCAAGTGAATCCCAAATTCGACAAAATGGTCGGAAAACCTTTATTTACCTCGGTCGAAATAAATTTCGAATTGAGTTTTATTATACATGTAAGAAATTATATAAAAATTATTTATTGTTTGATATTAAATTGATGGAAAGTTGACTATCTGGGACGTCCACGTTTTTCATCTTCATTCTCAATCTGAATATTTATTTATATTCTTTTATATAGATTTTATTTATTTTTCATTGGAGAAAATGCATTGTTTTTAGTTTTTCAAATTTTATTATTTAATTGCTAGTGAATTGATGGTTATTTTTACATTTTAAAGCATCTCCTTATCGGGTCGACAACCAACCTCAAAAAAAAAAATCAGCCAACGTGTTCTGCTTTTTTATTTTCTAAGTAGCAAATTACTTGTGCATCTCAAAATTCAATGAAATTTTAATTATATATTTTGAGGGAGTTAATATTGTGAATTGAATGGTTCTCATATTAATAATATTAAAAAAAAAAAAAAAGAAAGAAAAATGAAATGTAATTTCTGAAGAATTTTTGCCAAATGGTAACCTAGCGTCAATGTAATTAATTTTATCCGATAAAAATCGGATTTGCATATCTATAAATTGAGAATTATCATATTTTTTAGACTTAAAATACATTCAAGCTTTGTGGTCATTAACTTTTCAGGAAATTGATAATTATATTTTAGTTGAAATTCGTACCCAATTTATTATTTAAGAAAATTTCACTTATATGATCAAATTTATTATAATGTGTTCAAGTTTTAATTAGAATTTTATTGTTATATAATTTTTATAGAAATGATATACATTGACTTCTAAATACTCAAATAAACGAGTTTTAATTGCTTTACAAATTAGATATCTGTTTGAATAAAAATTTATTTGCAAAAATGAGATGTAATTAAAAGTTAAATTTAAAAGTATACTAATGAGTGTGTTCTAAATTTTTTCTTTTAATTATTTTTTTGATATATTAATTTTACTAGAGATACAAAAATAATTCGATTTAATTAATTCATAATCATTATTATTATTATGAATTATTATTATTTTAAAAATTTTTAATTGTTGCTTGTTAAAATGTTTATTTTTTTTGTAAATTTTTATTTCTTAACTTTATTATTTAGAGTACTTTTGTAAGTGTTGAAAAATTGCAACAATATATTATAATATGTATAAAATTTTATGTGAAACATAACCTATGTTTGTATTCCAGAACATTAATTACAGGAATGCTCAACATAATATTTGAATATTCCCGCGTTTTATATTACAGTTCCAATAACTACCGCTAGATAGCCAATCATTTTTTATTTATTATTTAAATAAATACTCAATAAACTATTAGTTTCAATTGTGTTTTTAATATAAAGAAGTTGTAAAAAATTATTTTTAATAAATCTGGGGTTTTATTTAATACAATTACAGTTGGAAAAAAAATTGTAATTTCAAAGAATAAATAATTGAAATTAAGTTGTAAATAAATATTAATTTTATAAACAGTAAATTTTTTTCATATTTTATTAATAATTTTTCAATTATTAATTGTAAATATCAGGAATATCAGAGAAATTCTGTTTTATCGACAATGCGTTTTTATCTTTTTTTTCATCGATTGCACTATTAAAATGTAACGTACAAAAATAACCGTTAAAAAAAAAGCTGTTGAATGAATGAGTTATATATATATATTTATTCATTCATTAAAATGAACCGGTTTTTATGAATTAATAATTATTATATAAATTGGAAAATTTTATTTTATGAATATTCATAAATTAATATTGTAGAAATTACATAATAAAAAAATAAATATTTTTAAAAATTTTTTAATTTTAATACAATATAATGACAATTAAAAATTAGTTATTTTTAAATAACTATTTAACTTTAAAATTTTTGATAGTAGAAAAAAAATTATTGAAAATATAATAATAGAATATTTTGCTAGGTATAAAATTTCAGGTACAATGTATAGAAATGTTGACACTTGAACGATGGCAATGTATACATATATTTATGTATCCTTTTATAAATGATTTATAGTGACAGTTATATTTAATCTTCTTCTAATTACTATAATCCTTAACTGTACCATAAATGATTTTTAAAATATTTCTCTATAACTTTGTTTTCTAAAGGGTCTTAAAGAATTCAAATTTACAATATTAGGGATGGGTTTTTCCCATTCTAATATATAACAATAGGATTCTTTTATATAGCAAAATTTTAAAAATAATAAGACAAAAATGACGTTAGTAAATTTTTAAAAATGTCGTTACAAAGTAACAAGAATTTTCCATCTAATTGTTAATTATTAAAAATATATTGTTAAAAATTACACTTAAATTTATTAATAATAAAAAAAAATTTTCAATTTGAAATTTAAATAAAATTAAAATTTTTGATTAATTAATAATAATAATTATTATTATTAATTAAAATTGATTTTTAATTAAAATGTGAAAAATTAATTGAATATTAACGAATTTTATTTATTTTAAGCTTGCAAGAGAAGCAGACGTCGAAAATTTATTCAAAAGGATCAAATCAAACACTAAAACGAAAACGACGGACAACAGAATTATCGGAAGATTCGGAAAATATATATCCACCAAATAAAGTTCCTGCTTTATCATGTTCAGAATCATGTAATAATACAACTGGCAATAATACAACGGATAATAATACGTATCTATCACATCAACAACAATCATCATCGCCACTTAAAGAACAACAAGAACCAATAAGTTGGTCTGAATTAAGAAGTTCCACATGTTTTTTAACGCCCTCAGCATCAGGAAGTGGATCCGGTAAATCAAATCCTCTACCATCATTACCATGGGCCGATGGCTCACAAGTTTGGTCAATTATGTGTTTAGGTGATCAAAAAACATTATCACAAAGGGATCCCGATATGTTTCAAAGACATCCAACATTACAACCACGAATGAGAGCTATTTTATTAGATTGGCTTATAGAAGTTTGTGAAGTCTATAAACTTCATAGAGAAACATATTATCTCGCTATGGATTATATTGACAGATATCTTTCGACACATCAAAATATTCCAAAAAGTCAATTACAACTAATTGGTATCACTTGTTTGTTTATAGCTTCTAAGGTGAGTCTATTTCTTTTTTTCTCGATGATTTTTTTTTTTTTTTTTCCTAATTAAAAGACATTTTTCATTTGCAGGTCGAAGAAATATATCCGCCGAAAATTTCTGAATTTGCCTATGTTACGGATGGCGCATGTACCGAGGAGGAAATTCTTGGCAAAGAATTAATAGTGCTCAAGGGACTTGGTTGGAATTTATCGCCAATAACACCACCTGGATGGTTAAATATTTATATGCAAGTTGAATCGGGCGATATGTCAAGGCCAATTGCTTTTATTTATCCACAATATGGTGGTCTACAATATTCTCAAGCGGCACAATTATTAGATCTCGCAACACTCGACGAGGGTAGTTTACGATTTTCCTATAGTCATTTGTCAGCGGCTGCAATATATCATACAAAAAGTCGTGAATGTGCACTAAGAACATCGTGTATTAGTTGGGAACAACTTGCCCCATGTGTACGTTGGTTAACACCATTTGCAAATACTGTCATTGAAGAAGGTGAAAATCTTCTTCGTTCAGCAAATGCGCCAACAAATGAAACAAATGCCGGTTCTGGTTTACGTGCTTCGGTTCCAAATATTGTTCTCGATGAATCACATCGAATACAGACACACGTTGTCGATTTGACAATGCTCGAAAATGCCCAACGACGATTGGCAAAAGATGTTTTATCGCTCGATTGTCTCGAGACGGAGATTAATATTGATTCAAATAGTCCTGATAATAATCAGAATAACGGTTTATTAACACCGCCGTCCAGTAGTCAAAAAAATTCACCATCACCACCTCGTCTTCCACCTCAATTACATCCATATACATAGAGTCCCCCTTTTTTTTCAATTTTCCGATCGATATCACAAGGTTTTTTTGAAAAAAAAGGCAGGATAATTTTTTTTTTCAATTAGATCTGAGATTAATGTTCACATAAAAATATGACGTATGATAATTAAATTCTCATAATTTGTATAAAAAAAATTTAACCAATTTTCATCAGTTTATAAAATTTAATTCAATTTTATTTTGCCAAATTTTTTATTCCTTTCGTATTTGAGATTTTCAAATTATAGTTATAATTTTGAAGTGAAAGTACATTATTTAAATTAAATAAATCATGCGTCTTTATTTGTAATGAAAATATTTAAAAAAATTACATGTGAACTTTGTGATATTTATCGCAATTGCTCTGAGAATATTAGTAAAAAATTTTTTCGTGTGGGATATATATATACATATATATATAAATATTATATTATTTAATCAGGGACCAACACTGATGTTGAATCAGATTTTTTTTTATTTTCTTTAAGGCACACAGCTTTGAAAGCTTTTTAAAATAGAATTTACCGAAGTTTTTGGTCTTGTTGAGTTTTTAAATAATTTTTTTTTCCTATATAAATGCATAATTTAATTCTAGTAATACATACACTTTTCTGGAAAAAGAAATGTAAAAAAAATGTTTTGTCCAAAAAACATTAATATATATATTTAGATATATATAATTTGTAGGAAAAGAGAAAGAATTTAATAATTTATAAATGAATCATTGACTCTTAATTTAACTTTGTCATATTATTTTTTCTCTTTTGATGAATATCTTAACTCTTTTTTTTAACACATAATTTATGAATCAATTATTGTTTCGACTTTTGTTCACTTAGCATGCTAATATAAATACAGTACACGGTATTTTATTTAAAAAAAAATATATATTTCATCAGTGTTAGTCCCGAAACTAAGTGCAAGCTCTTGTTAGTGAGGACGAATTAAAAAGCGTTTATATAGATACACTTTTCATCTCTTTTTCTCTCAAGATTGTAAATAGTATATAATAAAAATATATATATAGGTGAAAAACCACTTTTTAAACAAAAAAAAAAATAAATAAAATAAAAAAAACGAGTCGTATGAATATTTCCAAAAAAATCAATTTAAGAATTTACAGTGCATGTCGAATTAAATATTAAACTATTATTCGAACTGATTATTAAAATATGTAAAAAAAGAAATAGAATTTTTTTCGGGAATATTCATACGGCCCATTAAAATCTACCTGCGTGAATAATTTTTGTAATCGTTTTTAGTACTATACAATTGTTAAATAATTGCGTCACCAGTGGTGCTTTATTTTGATAATACGAGGAGAACGATATTATATGCGACTGACATAATGAAATATAATAAAAATGAATTGTATAAGTTTTTAGTAAGGAAAAAAAAGGAAAATTAGAACCTCGACTACACACATGTCAATATTTTTCGTAGCTTTTAAGGTTCATTAAAAAGAAATTCTTTTTTATCGATGAAAATTTTTGTACGATTGATTCGCCTTCTGTGATTAGATCAATATAAAAATAATTATTATATAACCATTTAATAATAATAGTTAATTATTAATTAAATTATATCAATTACTTATTATTAAGTATTTTTTTTCTTTGTTAAAAATTATTAATTAATTATTATTATTAAATTTGTTGGTTATTGATAATAATAATAATGAATTACTATATTAATTAATTAATATTAATATTATTGTTAATTAATAATTATACAATAATTCATCGCGGGTAAATATATAGACTATTTTTCAAATAATATTTAACATGCTTACGTTAAATATAGGACGACTTAACATTGTAACGAGTGCCTTGGAAAAAAAGTGCCCTTAGCTTGTTTTATGTATTGTTGAATGAATGTTGAAAAGAATGAATGACAATTTTTTTGTGATTAGTATTCTTTTTTTTAAAAAATGTGCTTTATTCTAACGCAATATGCCGTTGCAATGCGTTGTAAGGTGGTATGAGTGGTTTCTTTTTTTTATTTTATTTTTTAAATGTAAATAATGATTTATAACAAAAAATGAAATGCGAGTATCGTTTACATAAAAAAAAATAATAAACGAGTCTTATAAACTTATTTTGAAGTTTATATAGATATGTACATTTCTATGAAGAAGAATTGATAATAAAAAAAAATTAAACTTGAAAATTGACTGTATTCAAAATTTTCCGCCTCTCTGCTTTACCGACGAAATTGACCATTAGCGCCATCTTGATTGAGAGTCGTGGGAGAAGTGTTTTGATTGGTCGCTTGCTATATTTCAAGTTGTTGTCAACAGTTAAACGACATTCGACCGTTAGAAGTTAGAGTGGTGTTTTGTGTGACGAGTGCGATATTTAGCAAAGATTTGCTCTAAAAAAAAGTAACTAAAAAGTGCTAATTTTATAATATAATTAAAGTTGCTTTTGCTGCTATTCACTAGAGAAAAAAATTTCATAAATTTGACTGAGTCAAAGTCGTAAAAGTGTATAGTATATCTTTTGTTATATAGCAGTAGAAGCAAGAGTCGGCTTTTGCTTGCTAAAATAACGCGCGAAAAAGTGTATTAAAATCTACAAATATATAAGGAAAGCTGTGCTTTTTCTTTATCATTATTATAAAAAAAGAAGAGATTTTATTATATCCAAACAAAATGTCAAGTCCAAGAAAAAGTTACGGATCAAGCGAAATTCGCGAGGGAACAAGATTTGTCTTAAAGGAAATTACTGCCTCTCTTCATAATTCACAGACATCTCCTCGTACAGTAAGTGATTTCGTCATAAAATAATAATTTTAATAAATTTCTCAATGGATATTCTCTTTTGTTTAGGAACGCTTGCTTTATTTTTTGTTCATAACCTCTCTTTTTTTCATTCTTTTGAGCGGTTATATAAATTTCCAAAATCTTTATTAATTTACTATTTTGTTATGAAAAAAAAAATGATGCTTTTAAATATTAAATTATATTTCGATAATTCTGAACTTAATTTTCTATTTTAATTTTTAAAAATTTCTTTTGCTATTAAAAGGGATAAAATTCACATTATCATGTAAAATTAAATTTTTTTTAATAATCGCAATAATTTGTCGTAAAATTGAAATCAAAATGTAAATATATGTATAATGAAAAATAAACAAAATAGACACCGAACAACGATTGCGGAAGTGAATGCCATTGTTTCTTGAACTTTTGAATCTTTGTTTTCGTTTTTGATTCTTTGATAGCTGTCAGTTCAGCTGGAGTGAGTTTTCCTATAAATAAACAGCGCATCTGTTAGCTTAAAAGCATGGAACGAAAATAAATTTCCTTTCTTGCAATATAAATACAAAATGTGCAATTTTTAGGTTCATGGAATTTTTTTTATATATTTCTCATTCTTTACAGAATGAAATAGTAGAAAAATATTTATCGGAAAATTTCTATTGAGAGAAATAATTTCTCTCTTAGAAGACAAAAGTTTACTGATAAACAAAACTCTTTGGATGTTATGTTTTTTTTTTTTTGTTTGAAGATATGAAATAATTTATCAAGGGATAAATTTTTGATAATGGAATGTTGTATGTTATCACTAGATAGCGCCACATTGTAATTTTTTTTTACCATAAACACACCACGAGCTTACAATTCCATAGTTGGTGATCTTTGAATAAAATTGTTTCCCCGTACGGCGTGTGCGCGATTGAACAGTGCAGCGACACGTTCGTGTTAGTTCATATATTTTCTCCAGTTCGTGAGTCAACAGCGCAATGATTCTTATTAAGTACTATTTCAATAGTGGTAATTGTTGAAAATTTTTGAAATGACGTTCTCAAGATATTCAAAGAGAGATTTGTGGAGTGCTTGAATAATTTGTTCTGCAATTTAATAAAACTGGAGAATTCTCCAGAACAAGGTAGGAAAATAATCTTACGAGCTGGCGATTTGCTTCAACACCCACACACACCTGCGAGAAACGTTCTCACGCACAAGTGTCATACGTACATATATAGAACTTGAAAGTATATTGACTCGGAAGCGTGCTGCTCTAATATTAGAATTCAAACAAGAGAGAGAGAGAGAGAAAGATGTCTGAAATCGTAGCACACACATATTATTCGCGATGGTCCTGAACGAGAGTTTTCAATGACCTGATCATAATGAACTTGTCAAAAATCACTGAGACACACCCTTGAGACCTTGTTTTTTAACAAGTTCAACCAGATGGAGAATGAGTCATTCTTGCATTTTTCTCGTGGGTTGTAATGACACTTATTTTTAATTGACCCACAAAAACTTAAGAAGGAAAATTATTTCACTCACTTTTTGTGAATTGGATTTTTTTTTTAATTTTTCTTTTACAGTTAAAAATTAATGAGGAAATAATCAAAAGGTTTGATGACCTTTTTTCATTGTTGGAATTATTAGAGATGATGCGGGACTTGTCAATTTTTGTTTTTCTATTAAAGAAAAAGTATTTTCAATTCTCGGATTTTGTACTTTCTAATCGGATGGGATATTTCTTTCACTTTTTTTTTCTTTTTTGTAGGACAAGTGGCAGGCATTTTTTTAAAAGTGCTGATTATTATTCTAATTGTCTATATATGGAAAAAAAATTATTTCCTGTGTTTTATTATTCGACAGGATCTGATACTTTTTGTAATGAGGAACAAAAGTTCTTTTTTCTCGGAAAAATCATTATTTAATTTTTTAGGAAATTTAATTTTGTTTTTATTTTCTACTAATTTGAGGTAAATTTTCCTTTTTAATTCATATTTATTATCATACAGAGACAAAGTGTTATTAAATTAAGTAATTTTTTGTTATGAATATTCTAAATTTTTTTTTTTTATTGAATAACCTGGTAGAAACTAATTTCTACACAGTGAGGTGTATAAACATATATATTTTAAATAATCAATATCATAAGAATTGTGGATTTATTTTTATACTTTTCAAACCACATTTACTTATCTCGTCATTCATTCCTTTCTGCTATCGCAAATATTAGTTTGAATAATTTTTTCATTTACGTATTTTTAATAATTATTTAACAATTATGTTTAATTTAATAAATCTTTTTGTATTTTGTTTCTTTGAAATGTAAAACAAATTTTTAATTTTAAAATAATTTATTTTCGATAAATTCTTAATTTTTTAAAAAAAGATATAAAATCAGAATAGATTTAGTGATAATTAAACTTGGAAATTGTAATTAGAGATAACAATTGAAAAAAAAAGAAAGTTATCTTTATTGATTTTAAAGAAGTCACACGAAGTATATATTTTACTAAACCTTGTTCCCTTAAATATTACAAAAATAGCAAAAGGGATAGATCTTTATCCAATTATTTTTTGTATAGTTCTTGTATAGGCATCTATATACTATTTTTGGAGCAGATTTTTCCAGTACTTTGAACGACGACGACAACGCTTGACAACGACTGTGACTCTTTAAAAAACATAAAGATCAACGCATCTTCAAAGATCTTTTTTCGTACTCTTTTCTTTGAAACTGAAAAAAAAAGAAATTATCGCCTCATGGAAGGGGGTTGGGCCTTCGAATCATTATATAGATGTATATCGTCGAGTGTACAAAATATATTCACAGTAATTATGAATAGACCACGAAACAGTGACAAGCAAAAGTGTATTTAAGTCTCTTGTGAAAAAAAATAATGGGTAACTTGATTCAAAAAAAGGTATTAATTTTTTTTATTACCTATAAATTGACGTTTCTGATTATTTTGACAGTTCTCTATTTTAATTCTTTCTCTCTCTCCTTGTTAATAGTCACGTGGCAGTTTGAGTCGTGCGCTATTTCCACCCACAGATTTTGACAGCACTTGCAAATAATGTTGAAATTGTGTATATCACAATATTCAAGGACAACGCGTTTACTTTATCAATTATATTCGCTTTTTTGCTGTAAAAGTTCTTTCAATTATTTCATATATCAAAATTTTTCATTTGAAAAAAAAGTGGCAATTTTTTCTTTAATAAAAGCAAAAGTTTCTTCTTGTGATCGACGCATAATCGACACTGACACGTTTTCAAAGTTAAAACCCGATATTTTATAATTAGACGCTGTTGATTGCGCAATTTCAACAAAATCCCTGATTCGCGCCAACTGATTCTTCTATTTGCATTCGTTTTATAACGATCGACGAAGTTAGTTTTTAGAAAAGAGAGAAAAAAAAAATTATCACCGTTTGTGAATTATGGATTATATCAATAAACTTCTGAATCGCGCTTCTTCGAAATCACCCACAAATCGATCTGTACGTGAGGTATTTGTTCTCATCTCTTTGTTCCATTGTAGTCTTTGTTTTTTTCGCAATTGTGAATTTTGTCTTTATTTAAGGGAAAAAAAACTAATTTAAAATAAAATAAATTTCTAGTAATTTTAAATAATTAATTTTCTTTTTTTTTACAGAGTGGAAACGATTCAGCACTTCAAAAATCACCAGAACATGCGGTGAAGGTGCAATTTGCGCGGGAATTTGCGGACGTGAAAAAAACAACATCCCCAACGACAGAGAGTCTTTCATCGGCCGGTAGTTTTCAAAGTTTATCATCTACATTAAGTTCAAAAAGTAGTAGTGGCATATGTGCAGATCATTTGCCTGAGAGTCCATTAGGAAAAAGTGCAAACACATCTTATATTAATTCTGATATTCCTGGTTTAGATGATTTAATTTCTGCTTGCGCTGATATAAAAATAACAAATGAAAATGTCCCACTTGGTATTGGTGATTTAAGTCAAGATCAAACATTTTCATCGGCTTGTGGTGATCTTTCAATTATTGAAGAAAAAAGCAACGACTATTTTCAAGAAAAAGAAGAAAACAATTTTAAAATAATTAATAATGAAAGTGAATTAAAAATTCCTGATTCTTCAATTTTTTATCCGCCGGAAAATATTTCACAACAATTTTCAATAGAAAATTTCTCCTCAATTATACCAATTGTTTCATCCGATGAAAGTATTGTTAAAAGTCACGATCTAAATAATATAGATAAGAAATCATTAGTTTTTTCAACAGCTCTTGATTTTCAAAATTTACAAGGATTTACACCGAAAATTGTCATTGATGATAAACCAAATATAGAAATAAATGTCCCACAAAATGAAAGTATTGAACATGTGAATTCAATTACAGAATTTGGTTTTAATGCATCTATAGAGAGTCAAAAGAATATTTCTTTAATTGATACAAATAATATTTCTGCTTTAGATACATCTCAGTTGCCATCAGTTACGAATATTTTGAATTTAACACATCCAAGTGAAAATAATTTACCTCATTTAGAAACAATAAAAGTTGTCGAAGAAAGTCCAAAAATTTCCAACGATAGTGAAAAAATTACTATTGAAGAATTTTCAATTATTGCCGAAGAAAATATCAAAATTAACGAAGAAATTCCACTTAATTTATCAGAAAATTTTCTAATTCTTGAAAAAGTCCCAGAAGAAAGCAACATCAAAATTAACGAAGAAATTGTAATTAATTCACTCGAACAAATTAATAAAGTTGTTGATGAAATTCCAGTTGAATTAGAAAATTGTTTAAAACTTGCCGATGAAATTGTAGACAATTTAGAAAAGAATAAAGAAATTCCCATTGAATCAGAAAATTGTCTAAAACTTACAGAGGAAATTACAGTCAATTTAGAAGAGAATAAAGAAATTGAATTAGAAAATTGTCCAAAATTAATTGCCGAAGAAATTATAGACAATTTAGAACAGAATAAAGAAATTCCCATTGAATCAGAAAATTGTCTAAATATTACAAAGGAAATTATTGACAATTTAGAAGAAAATAAAGAAATTTTAAATAATTCCAAAGAAATTGTTGAAAAAATTTCCGATAATTCTGAAGAAAATGCATTAAATTCAACATTTGGAATTATAATAAATGAAGATTTAAAATCACCAATTTCAGAATTTATCAATAAAATTAACGTCACTCCAAATCATTCACTGGATGATGAAAATATTCAAAAAATTTCACATTCTGAAACTGAAAAAAAGAAATCACCAACACTACAATCAATTTTGGACAAAGTTGCCGAACAACAAAAATCATTAGACGATATTGAATTATCAAATAATAATTTGCAATTAGAAAAATCATCTGAAGAAATTTCCAATAAACGAAATTTTCATCTTTCAACAATAATTGAATCGCCACAAAATTTTCCATCTCCTCAACAAGAAAAAAATTTCCCTAATAACACAATTATCCTATCGTCTGAGAAATCACAAAAATCAAATTCTTTTGAAAAATTATTGTCAGATGCAAATAATGATACAGTTGATTCATCGTCGGAAATTGTTTTTCTAAAACAACAAACAAGTCTTGAATCAACAATTATTACAATCAATGGAAATAATAGTGCAAAATTAACACCATTATCTAATGATAAAATTATTGATGATAATTTGAAAAATTCATCTCTAATAAAGGAAAAAGAAGAAAGTCCAAAAAAAGAATTTGAATCATTGGAACAAACTGAAACACCGAAACGTCCAACAGAGAGAAGTAAAATAATTGAAACAGCTAAAAAAATACAGGAGGATATTAAAAGAACTGAAAAAAGAAAATTCGAGGAATCAAAAGACGTTTTACCGGAACTTGATTCGACAATTATTTTAGAAAATTCAGAAATTGATCTTGAAGCATCAGATATTATTATTCCTGTTCCACAAGACGATAATTACGATACATTCAAACCACAAAAACAAAGTACCGATCTTGTAAATATTCCAAATTTTTCATTATTTGATAAAGTTGAATTGGAAGCACAAGCCGTTGCTCAAGATATTTATAATAAATCACTGGAAATTGCTGATGATAACGATCACTTTATAAGTGCCACCAGTGATTGTAAGTATTTATTTCTATCTTTTTAATTTGATAATTTTATAAAAAAATAGATTTAATTTTCGTTTCAACATTTTTTAATGTTAAAAAAAATAAGATATGGAATTTTCTGCATAATAACATATAATAAAAAAACAGTCCTAGGAAATAACTAATTATCCTGTTTACATATGCATGTCATGTTATTTTCAAAGTCATTTTTATTCCATTTCGCATATTTTAAAAATAGAAGAAAAAAATTAATTTAAAATTTTTATAGCTGGTCCTATACGTGGATCTTTAATGTGAGTTTATAAATAAAAATTATATAATGCAAAATTGGTAAAAAATATTAAATAAATATTGAATTGAAAATTAATTTTTACAATTAAAAATTTTTTTTTTACAGTATTTCAAGATCCTACGAGTTTCGATTTTCTATTAAGTCAAGGATCGAATACAAAGTCACGTGACGTGAGATTTGAATCTTTATATGTCAAGTTCGATCCATTAATAAATAACAGTATGTTACCTCAAGGAAATAGTCAAACTGAAGACGAGGAACAAAATGAAAAAAATGAAACTCCAACAATGCCGAGTGTAGACACGCCAATGCGTAATCCTGCTATTGCCGCAATCGATAGACTTCTTTTCTTCAGTCCAATAACGACTGGAAATAAAACCGAAGCCACAAAGGACATAAAGGTAACGAGAATTCTTTTTTTTTTTTAAATTATAAATTATAAATTAAAAATTGAGAAAAATTTAAATTCTATTTTAAAGCAGGAGACGAGTGAAACAGCTCCACAAGAAAATCCAGTCGTTGTCGATGAGAAAATGGCAAAAGAATTGGAACACGTGAGATTATTGGTAGTGGAACATGAGGAGAAACTCGAAAAAAACCAAAAAGATCGCGAGGACGATAAAAGAAAATATCAAAAAGAAATGAAAAAGCAACAAGACGATTATCGAAATTTGGAAGAGAAATACAGAAAATTAGAGGAACAACACACACAAGAACTTGAAAGCAAAAAACAAGTGACGTAAGTTATTTTTTGTAAATAAAATTATTTTTCTTGTATTATAATTGTAAATTAAAAAAAAAAAAAATTAATTTAACAGAGTTGTGCTCGACGAGTACGAAAGATCGATAAGTAGGCTTGTCGCCGAGAGAGAAAGAGATCGAACAGAATTAGAGGAGAAAGAAAAATTAAAAGAAGAATTACAAACAGCAACACAACATCTCAGCAATACGGAAGCTGCTTTTAATGATGTTCATCAAAAATACGAGCGTGCAAAAAATGTCATTGCTGCATACAAAAGTAACGAAACAGTTCTCAAGGAAAGTCATAAAGAAAATTTAGAAACAATTGCAATGTTGGAGAAAAAATACGATACACTCAAGGGTCATGCAATGGCACAACTTGAAAAGTATGCAATTTTTCAAATTATTTAATAATTCCCTTCCATTTAATTAATAATATAATAATTTTCAATTAATTAATTTACAGAGCAAATCAAGAGCTGGAGACAATTCAAAAGCAACACGAAGCAGAAAATGTTAAATTGCAGGCAATGTTAAAAAAAGCTGAATTAAAAAGTAAATCGCTTGCAGATCAAGTGGAACAAAAGACTATAGAGAATAAAGAATTAACAAAAATTTTAGATGAAGTCATAGCCAGGGTTGGCAATAAAAATAAAGATTAAAAACATTCGAAAAAAAGACTAAAAAAAATATAATAATAATAATAATTAATAAGAAATAATAATAATAATAAGAGTGTGTCTCAAGGTGATTTAAAACCATTATTTTTTTACTCGATGGTATTTTTACCCCCGTGAAAAACATGACACCAGATGTGTAATATTATAATGTGAAAAATATTATATATTGTTTATAAATTTTTATTAATTTTTCGAGAAAAAAAAAAAGAAAGCAACTTTTTATTAATTTATACGTTTAAGTTGTAAAATAAACTATTTTATCGCTAATAAAATGTGGCTTATTAAAAAGTATTGTCCCTTTCATTTGCTTATACAATTGGAGAACATGAAAGCAGCACCATAAAAAAAAAAATTTTTTTTTGTCGCGGAAATCGCAGCGACAAAATTTTTTATATTATTTTTTTTTTATATATTTATATATAAATAACTTAAGAAAAGCATTATTATATATAGCGGAACACTATTCACAATAGTTTTTTTTTTTTTTTTTGAAAAAGTACTTATTGCTAGATTTTATTTTTTTAAATGAAAAAAAAAACAAACAAACAAAAAAACAAAACTTAATTAATGAGCAGTTGCTTTTGTATCAATTTTAAGCACTTGTTGCTTTGCTAATTTTAACATTCGATCACTTGTACTTCCTGGCTTTCGTGGAATATTTTTATTCTCCAAATCAGGCATTAATTTTTTAACAGTTCGTGCTAGTGTCGCGGCATGTTGTTTGAATTGTGGATGACTCATTGTGATTCCTTTACTTCGCAATGCTTCTGAGACTGCCCACAATAATTTCTGAAACAAAAATAAGAAGGGTAATTTTTTTCAAAATCCTTTTACAAAGATTCAAATTTTTTTCAAATAAAAAAAAAAAAACGTTTATCTTACCTTTCGATGTATAGTGCTGAGTTCGGATTTCACATAATTTTGTAAATTTTCATTTTTCGATACAATATTGCCAGTTGAATGTCGCTGTTGATTCCATGTATTTGTTGATGATCTTGAATCTAAATCACGTGTACAATCAAACGATAAACTTTTTGCCCATTTAAAACGTGGATTCTCCAATTCATCATCATTTTTACGTTTTCTTGAATCACATAAATTGTTAACATTTTTCATTGTCTCACCGTCTTCGTTGTCTTTTTTCGTTGGCGTTGGAAAGAGAGCTTTTTTAATACGCTGAGGATTTAAACCACTTATACTTGGACCAGCTTTATCATTATTTGTCGGTGGACTTTGAAAAAGTGCACGTTTTGATGTTTCTAATTTTGATTTTCTCGGCGTTGGTCCATCCATTGATAATCGTCGTACTGCCCTTTTTTTTGCCGAACTTCTTGGACTTTTACCCCTTGGACTTTTACCTCTAGGACTCTTTCCTTTGCCACGGGGACTTTTTCCTTTTTTAAGAAGTGGTTTCCTGAAAAAAAGGCAAAAATTCATTAAAAAAATTCTCTTTTTTTTTTAAGGAAAGGTAAATTGAATTAAATTTTAAAAATTAACCTGATATTAAGCACCAATTGTTTCTTTTCGCCAAGACCTTGAAGATTCGCGCTTGAAAATGTTCGTCGTCTTTTTGTTAAATAACTCAATCGTTTACCGGGACTTTGACCATTGTTACGTTTCGATAGAAGACTTCGTTTTCTCGCACTTCCTGGACATTGTTTTGTAAAAAATACATTGCAGGTTGATTGAGTTTCAGCGCCCACGTATCTTTCACACATTTTCATTGATAATTTCTCAAATTCTTCTATCGGTTTATTTCTATTGTAACTGAAAAGAAAAAAAATTAGAGTTTTTAATTGAAAAATTTGATTAATTTTTTAAAATTGTAAAACTTACTGTATTCCAAAACACTTGTGCTGATAAGCTTCCGGCCATGTCATTGAAGCAGCAACATTAACATTAACAGTATTAAACAATGATTGATCGGATGTTTTTAATGTTGTAAAAGAATTTTCATTGGGAACAATATGCGATGTGCTCGTTGCTATCGAGATACTTGATGTTTTATCAGTGAAAATGGAAGATGTATCAACTGATTCAGTGCACGATGAATCAATTTCAACAGGAGAATTTGTACTAATAGTGTGTGAAACGCTTTTTGTTTCTGAATCTCTCGATAAATCACAGGCATCAAAAGCTCCACTTAAATTTCTCGAACTATTTTTTACGCGAGTTTGAAAACTACTTGTTGTACTGGTGTTAATTAAATTTTCCTCTTTATTTACGTCATTCGGTGTTGTTGTTTTTAATTGTGAATTTGTTTCTTTCGTTTCCAATAATGGATTACACAAAAAGAGATGAGCATTTTTTTTAATATTTACAAGAAATTCACTACAATCACTTTGACAAATTGTATGTTTTGGCGGTGGTGGTACACCGCTGAGATAACGATTTATTCTACTCAAAAGATTATTATCAGATTGTACAACAAGTTCTTGTTGAGTTTTTGGTTTTGGTGAATTTGTCGTTGGTAGGGAAAATAATTTATTTCTTCCACCTTTAAAACTCGCTGATGTCTTTGAATTATCTAAATCATCATCGTCACTATCGCTATTAAACATTTCTGGACTTGATACTTCTTGTATTACATCCAATTTCGCCGATGTACTTGTATTCGATTCATCATAACAACAATCCATCGCATCTTCATTCACATAAACTAATCTCTCTCCCAATACAGTATTGTTGCAAGTTTGTTGTGGTTCATCACTTAAACTCTTGTCGGATGTACCTGATAAGTATTTTTTATTATTTACATTGGTAATAGTGTATTGTTAAATTTTTTTTTAAAAAAGTTAGGTTATGTTTTGTTTACAATACAAAAATTTGTTTACATTAAGTATAAATATTTTTTTTTTTAAACTTACCTAATGTCGATGAACTTATTGCTAAATCTTCTTCCAAAATTGAAGAACTATGCTTAGTTAGAGTAATAGTCATGTTCAAATGATTATTTCTTCAGAAATAGACTTTCTAATGAGCAGTATATATCTATATATATGTATATATATATAACGTGTTGGACACGCATATAATAAGATAAAATTATTCAACAAATAAGCAGTATTAATAAACGCATATTTATCACACGTCTATTAACTTTCCACCATTTTTATTAAAACTTAAAACACTTGTAATTTTTTTCAACATGAACTATCAAATAATTAACATTTTCAATTATTAAAAAAGAGCTGATAAGATTTTAATATACACACGTAGACAGGTTTTGTTATGGAAGATTCGTTGGAGGCTTGAGTTATTTTTTCTCTCGTTTAAAAAAAAAAAATCGTAACAGAAGAAATAAAAACAATGAATAATTTTGCTTTTTTATATGCACTGGACCAATAATTAAGATTTAAATACACTTTTCTCAACAAAAGGCACGATTTTTATTATTGACTTCTTTTAAATTATATTCTGTATACTATAGCAGCCATTATGCGATACAACGTATTCAACGTACACACCATTATATTATGAGAATGTTAGGTTATTAATTGAAATATTTCCAGAAATGATATATTACCAAAAACAAATATTGATTAAAGTTTTAAGTAAAAAACAAATATGATAATGTTAATATTTATATTTTATAATTTATTCGACGTGTATTTTTTTAAAACAATAATTAAAAGCCTTTCTATTTTTATTTTAATAATTAAAAAAGAGATAATTAATAAAAATTACAGTGAAACGTCATTGCGCATGCGTATATGAAAAGTTTCTAGAAATTTCCAAAGAAATTCTACATAACCTTACCGGAAATTTCTTAATTTTCGCGCGGGAATTTGAAATCAATATTTGAAATAAATTATTATAATTAATAAATTATATTAAAAATGAAAATATTTGAAGATTGTGTTCTTTATTCACACTATAACGGTTATGTACAAATAAAATGGAAATTATAATCCACAGCTAATTACTATATAATTATTGTTGGCTTATTTTTAAGCATATTTGTATGTAATTACAATTATACATAACATGCAAATATCATACCACAGGGCTGAGGCGAAATATACTTAAATATTATAAAAATTTATATTCCACATTTTATATTATAAGAAAATTTACTTATATAATATTAAATTCTCCGGTAAATAAAATTTCAGCAATATCGCATTATAAAAAAAAAATTAAATAACATTGATCTAATTTTTTTTTTAAATATAAATGAAATATTTCTATTCTAATAAAAAAAAAAACCCCCTTAGAAATTTAAAATCACTGAAAATATGATGGTTACAATATTTTTTAATTAACATTAAACTAATTCTTTGTTATTATTATTATAGAAAATGAAAAACAGTTTTTTTTTAATTTTTTATAATTAAAAAAAAACTGTTTTACACAAATAAAATCATCTACAAATATAGTAAATACTTAAATAATATGAATAAAATTATGCAAAATATAATTTTTGCCCTATACTCAAACAAGAATAATCACTTTTGTCAATTTTAATTAATTTTTTTAAATTTAAAAATAAACTAAAGTTGGAAAAAAATATATTATACAAAAAATATTTCAAATTATTCAAACCATTAACGATATATTATTTTCTCATTTAACTTATGTTTATAATAAGAAAATTCGTAATTTAATTTTCTTGTAATGAACAATTTTCAAAAATAAATAAATTTCTCAAAAAAAAAAATATATATATATAAATATAATAATTCCCAGCCCTGATTTTCGCGCGCAGATTTTTCTTTTTAAAATATTACAGAATCTTAATTATTAAACTGCTATCTTGCGCCTTCACCTTTTTTTTTTTTTTGAAAAAATAAAATTCGATGTAAGGTATCGTACATTAATTATTATGTTTACAAAGACTCTTTAGGTGTCGTATAGAAGTTATCAAAAGAACAAAAAATTTTTTTTTTCTTTGTCAATTATTGCAATTTGAAAACTGTTCGTAGTCATTCTGACAATATTAAATGACAAAAAAAAAAGGCAATAACAATGAAGAATTATCTCAATTTGAAAATCATTTCTTTTCCTCGTTCTAAAGAATAAGTTTTTAAAATTGAAAATAAAGTTGAGAGAAATATTTTTAAACTAATAATATAAGAAGTAAATAAAGAGAATATTTACAAAAAAAATCTACTATTTTAAGCAAATTTTTGCTCAAAGCACTTACAAATAATATATAGCTTCAATTTTTAATTTTAAATAAACATTCTTTAATGTAAATTAATTTAAATTTACATTAAAATTTCAAATTGAGACTTTACATAGAAAATTGACTATATACTGTAAATTCTTTACATTGTAATTCGCTTACAAAAAACAATTTCATCACATTTAAAGTTTTTAGAAAAAAAAACTTTCAAATTTTGGTTTGAATTTTAAATTATAATTACAAAAAGAAAATGGTTTGAATTTTTTTGAGACAAACTGTTCCAATGCAAAAAAAAAGTAAGACAATGAAATAAATTGAAATTAATAATTGAAGTTGAGCAGTTTGTTTTGCATTTACAATATTAAAAATTGAAACAAATATGTAATGTAAGAGAAATTTACATTATAATAAATTAACTGCTATTTTTCAACTATTAATTTCTTTCATCAATATTCACAAAGTGATTGACAATAAAAACTTTAATTCAGGAAATATATATTTTTTTTTTAAGATTTCACAAACTGAGAAAATTAACAAGAACAAGATAATAGATTAATTATTATTTTTTTAATTGCAAAATATTTTCCCTGAATTAAATTTTCATTTTGATTAATTTTGACTTTTTTTTCAATACAAAAAGGAAAAAATATATATTTTTGGTCAGAGGATAATAATCCCATTGAGAGCACCAGATGGAACAATATTAATTACTTTTCTTTTTTCCATCTTAGGATCACTTTTTTGTTTTTCTTCTCGATGAAGAGGAACAATTTTTTTTTTTCATCGTTCGTTTGTTTTCATAGAAAACGTGTCTCTGAAATCTCTCCCTCTTTTATTAAATTGTAAATTAAGAAGTTGTGAATATTTTCGTACCTTCGGGCAATATTACTTCCTCTCCAACATCGGCAAGTGTTACTGTCAATGGCAAAATAAGTGGCATGAGAATTTCCTGATGTTGCATAACATGTTGAGCAGTCATTGGTTCCGCTTGTCTTGCAATTGTGATTGTCTTAATATTCTGCGATTTTATCAATGGACTTTGAACAATAGTTTGATGAATTTTTTGCTGTTGTTGCTGCTGTTGATGATGTTGCTGCTGCTGTTGTTGTTGTTGATGCTGCTGCTGTTGCTGTTGTTGTATCTGTAATGTTGATTGTGGCACTTGTTGTGCAACAAGTTGAGCACGATTTTGATTTTGTAACATATTTTGCTTGCAACGTTTACTGTGCGCATAGCGACTACCATTATTATTGAATCTTCGATCACAAGTTGGACATGCATATGGCCTTTGACCAGTGTGAATGAAAACATGTTCCTTGAGTGATTTGAGTCGTCGGAAATTTTTTGGACAAAATTTACAATGATATTTCGCCTCGCCAGTGTGTGATGTTAAATGATTTGCAAGTGTATCGGCACGTGCAAATGCACGCGAACAAAATTGACAAATATAAGGTCGTTCTTGAGTGTGTGTTCGCATATGCATTTTAAGATAGGCATTTGTTGTGAATGGACGAGAGCAAACTTCGCATACATATGGTTTAATTCCATTGTGTGCACGTAAATGAGCGATTAATGTTGTTGATTGAGTAAAACTTTTCGAGCAAATTTCACAGAGAAAACGTTTTGAACTATCTGTTTCTTTATTCTTTTTGAAATTACGATCATGTTTTGAAAGATGATTTGTTAATTGTTCTTCTTTAATGAAACGTTTTGTACAACGTGTACACTTGTAGGGTTTAATCATATTGTGTTTGGCAACGTGTATCTTTAAATGTTCACGTCGATAGAATTTCTTTGGACAAATGTCGCAGAGATATTTTTTACCCTCGTGAACTTGTATATGTCGTAGGAGGCCTTTACGTGATGTATATTGTTTATTACATTCGGTACATTCGAGACCAACAATATCGGTACGACGTTTGCGTGGTATTTTTTCACCTGATTTTCTCTCCTCGGGCCTTGGTTCAATTTCACGTAGATCCTCTTCGGTTAGAATTCCCTCTGTCACATGTTTTGCACGATGTTCACGTAATATTTCATTATTTTCAAAACTATCACCACATATATTACATTTACGTACTTGATCGGGATTTTTCTCTGAACATTTATCATAATGAGCTTTCAATTTGTCTTTACGATAAAATTTCACATTACAAATGTCACATTCAAAATTTGGCTCCTCATGAAGTAATTGATGCCTAAGGAGGGATTTTTTTGTACTGTATCGTTTTTTACATGTTGGACATTCATGATTATCCATTGGCCAATCGAGACCACTTTCAAAATCATCATCACGATCATCTGTATCATCATCGTCATCGTCGAGGAATTTTTCTGTTTCTTTTTTCTCAAGTTTAATTTTATCATTTTTCTCATCTTTCACATGTAATTCCATATGTTTTGTTAATGATTGTTTCGAACTACATTTTTTATTACACGTCTCACATTCGAAGAGAAGTTTTTTATTGTACATTCTCTTTGGTGATTTTAATTCATCATGATCTTTCTTTTTACCCTCCTCATCGTAATCGCTTTCGTCTTCAATTTTTATTTTATCAATTATTTTTTGTGCTGCTTTTGCCGCGTGTCGTTTTAATCTTTTATTTGGATCATATTCTTGTCCTTGAAGAATTGTCTTGTGATTTGTTGCTATTAAATGATTACGTAATGTTAATTCATTGCCAAAAACTTTGTTACATTGTGTACATTTAAATGATTTTGGTCTTACATGATTTTCCAAATGTTTTGCTAATTGTTCACGTTTTAAAAATTCATTGCCACAAATTTTACATGTAAATTTAATTCCATGTGTTTCAATATGTTTTAATAGGGATTTTTTATATGAAAATAATAATGGACAATGGGGACATTTTAATTCATTCTTTTGATCCATTTCATCTTTGTCATCAATTATATTCCATTCCTCGGCGTCTTTACGTAAATCTTCCTCAGTTAAAACACCTTCGGTGACATGTTCAATTCGATGTTCGCTTAATTTTTCCAATGATTCGTATTCTACGTCACAAACTGAACATTTTAAATTTATATGTTTAACACCATGTTTGTGAAGTGATCGTTTATTGTTGAATTTCTCGGGACACTTGTCACATTGATAAATTTCTGATTCTTTATCATTATCCGATTCGGAATCGTTAACATCTTCGACGCTTGTTTCAAAATTATGAATGGAATTTACATTTTCGATATAATCAACAGAATCATCGTCGTCAGGAAAATTATCTTCTGTCGATGTCATAAATTCACGTTTCTTGACACCTTTCTCTTTTTCATGTTGTTTTAAATGTTTATTGAAAGAAATAATATAGAGATATTCTTTACCGCAATAGGGACATTTATTTGCCTTTTTACCAGATGGTGGCATTTTTAATGGTACCGGGGTTTTTTGTGGTGTTACAGGAACTTTTTGTGTAGACAATGATTTTTGTTGGACAATTGTTTTTGGCGATTTATTGTCAATTTTTTTCAATGATAAAGTTCTTCTCACCTCCTCGTGTGAATGCATGTGTTCCTTTAAAATTCCCTTTGATAAAAATTCCTTGTCACAAAGATAACACATAAAGAAAACTTTCTCCGATTTATCCTCCTGTGTTTTTTTTAAACGTGAACTTAAATTTAAATTTTCAAAATAATTCTCCTCATCTGAATTATGATCTGATTCAGTTGATTGACGTGTTAATTTACGTTTACTTCGTCTTGTTTCATTTTGTGGTGAATCATATTCCATTTGTTCGGCATCTTGTTCAGTTATTTCTCTTTCTTTTTCCAATGTTGAATATTCCATTGACTCTTGTGAATCGACGAATGGCTCGTCATTATTGAAATCATCATCACTTATTTGTGAGCATTCCTGTTGATCAAGATAATTTTGTTCGGAAATATTACTGTCCTGAAGATTTTCATGTTTAATACCACGTTTTTCATCCGAAAAATTGTGCATAGGTTGGGAAATTTCTTGTAATTGGAGTAATTCTTCATTTGATTGTTTAGCAAGATCATCAGCTAAATCATCATCATCATCTTGTAATTGCTCTTGTAAATGTTCCTCTTGCAAATGTTCTTCCTGAAGATTTTCCTCTTGTATTTGTTGATCTTGTAAATGTTCTTGTAATTGATGGTCTTGTAGATGATGTTCCTGTAAATGATGTTCTTGTAAATGTTGTTCTTGTAAATGTTGTTCCTGTAAATGTTGTTCCTGTAAATGTTGTTCCTGTAAATGTTGTTCCTGTAAATGTTCCTCTTGTAAATGTTCCTCCTGCAATTGCTCCTCCTCCGGCAAATCCTCTTCCTCCAATTCACCCTCATTTAATTCTTCCTGAAGTTGTTCTTGCAAATGCTCTACACCTGAACAAAAATCTTTAATTGTACATAATTAATTTGTGAAACATCTTTTGGTAAAAAAAAAGTAATTTTCAAAAATACTTATAAAAAAAATTTAATGAAATAAAATATTCACCGTGCTGTAATATGCTCTCTTGTTCGGCAATTTTTTCAACTTGTAAAAGTGCAAGATGATCCTTCAAAAGTGTATCTCTTCCATCGTCGTGTAATGATTCTGTTGCCTCGACATATTCACCATTATCATTAATTTCACGTCTTACACGCGTTCTCTCTCCTTCTAAATGTACTTCCACGTCATTAAAAAATAACTCTTCTTTTATGTTTAAAGTATCATATTTTTCTCTCAATACACTATCAGCTTGCTCTACTTGTAATTTAAAATCATAGGCAACTTCCAACTTATCAGCACAATCACAACAAACTTGTCCTGGTAGTCCATCACCAGGTAACATCTATTTTAAAAAATGAACATTATTCTTTTATCACACTTTAACTTTTTTAATTAAATTTATTTTTCATTAATTTTAACATTTTCAAATCTTAAATTAAAAAAAAAAACATATACAGTAAAATTTTGTTAAACTTTTTTCTTTTCCTCTAATTGAAAATAATAAATTTTAAATTAATTTACAATAAAAGAAGAAATAAAATATTTATAACAAATATAATGTAAACAGAAATTTGATAAAAACCAAAAGAATAGACGCCCCTGGCAAATTTGAAAGGTGAAAACATTGAGAAGTTTGTGAAACATTTTGCTTTTAACAAAAAACAATTGAGAAACAAAGGATAATATTTTTAAAAAATGTTTCTAAACAATAAATAGAACATTGAAAATTTGATTAATCATCTTAAATAAAAGTGTAATTCATCAACGTTTAGAATATTGTAACTTCGTTCAAAGTATATATTATGTCTAACCTTAATGTTGGTAAAACTCATGGCCTTAGAGGACAAAGATGCGACCCCATTATCGTGGAAAAGATCGCGCATTAATAAATTTCCAAGTAGACAAACTCTACATATTTCCATTGTAGATACAATTCCCTCTTCATTTTGCGGTGATTCCGACGTATTTATTTCAACGGCGTCCATGTTTTGTTTGGTATATGGAGGGCCAGGCCAGGCCCTCTTTGATGTGCCCTGATCTCTGATCGATGTAAAATTAGCACTTACACTATAAAGATGTCAATTTTTTTTCACTGTCATGAAATAGTTTAATAGACAACAACTTTTACACGCTAATACTTTGAAAATTGATATGAGATGGCTGTTGTTGTGAAAAAAATTTTCTTTGCACCCTTTAGCACTAATTGACAAGAATGGTGCCTCTAGTGGTGTTTGTTTTATAAATATGGCGGCTCTCGTCACATGATTGGCTATTGCTCATTGAATGTTTATAAAAATGTATTTACAATTTTTAAATTATTTTCTATTCAAATTTGTATATAAAAGCATAAAAATTACATTTATTTTAATGTACAAATATATGAGGATAATTTTTTTATAATATTTTTTATAAAATCAGCTTTAGTTTTAAAAACTGTTTCAAATGTAGCGCGATTACTAACCAATGAAATGTATAGAAATAAGGCGCAGGCGTTTATGGGAAAAAGGCTGTGATTGGTAGCACTGTGACGTCATGTGGAAATACCATATTGCGCATGTGCGATTATTATTTTAAATTTTCTAGTTTATCTGTAATTTTTGTTTATTTATTTTTTTATATTTTTTATATGAATGTTTAAAAAAAACTTTTCCTTTCTTTGGTATATTAATATAACCTATAATTAAATAACGGAAAATAGTTTTTGATTTTCAGCTGTCAATGTGAATTGTAAACAAAAAATGGCGATGTGGCACTTGACATCTGTACGCACGGTAATCGTGGCAATGTTTTAAACGCTCTCTAACCTCCAAAAGTTTCGCAGTCAGTAAAAATACTTATTCTTATTATTAAAGTAAAGAAAAATGTATTCATGTAATTAACTATATTTGTTCTTAATAGAGAAAATAGTCGTTTTAAGAAAAATTCATTTTGTTATGAATGTGCGTGAGTGTTAAAGATGAGGATATTATTAACGTCTTTTGGTGTCCTAATATTTTTAAACGTATGGACTATTTCATCGGCATGGAACAACGACGACCTGGAGGTCTTCGACGTTGTCGAGGAAGTCAATCAAAATTTTTACGAACTTATGGGCATACCGCAGGTTAATATTTTTCATCAAAATAACTAAGAAATTGTTGAACTATTTCATTAATTTTTTGCAAGAAATAATATTCTTGCTTTATATTTACATTATAGTTTTTCTTATTTTACAATTTTGTAATTAATTACAGAATGCAAATTCGTCGGATATTAAGAAAGCTTTCAGAAGATTGTCATTGCAATTGCATCCAGACAAAAATTCTGCGGAAGATGCGGAAATAAAATTTAGAAATGTAAGTTCTAACTTATTATTATTCTGTAATTTTTAATTATTATTTAAATAATAGAAATATTTTTTTCATTTAAAGACAAAAAAAAAAAATCTCGTAGATTATTTTAAGAAATCAGATATATTTTTTAATTTCACTGATTAAAGTAATTAAAATAATTATCAGATGAAAAAATGATCGAACTTTCCGATTTTAATTTGTACAATTGAAAAATATTTCTTATAAATTTTTTATCGGTCATTATAGATTTCCTATACGTCATGACTTTGTTAGAATTTTATTATCTATTGAATTTTTTTCTTTTTAAATATTTCTTGTTGTTTTTTATATTTTGTAATAAAAATTTTGAGATATCGAAAAAATGTAATTAACATTTTGTTAATTAAGAGAGATTTTTATTAATTAATAAAATGGATATAAAATATGAAATAATTTAATGATTATATTATTTTATTTTCTTAGTTAGTCTCAGTTTATGATGTGTTGAGAGATCCAGGTAAACGAGAGCGTTACGATGATGTTCTTATTAATGGATTGCCAAATTGGCGATCCGCTGTCTATTATTATCGTCATGTACGAAAAATGGGATTACTCGAAATGTCTATAATTTTATTTATCGTTATAACAATTGGCCAGTATCTTGTGGCTTGGGCTGCTTATTTTGAAAAAAGATACACCTACGTAAGTCAATCTACTTTACATTTTAAAAATATAATTTAAAGTTAATTATTTTAAAAAAAACTTGCCGTTTCAGGAACAAGTACTTGGCAGTAAATTGCAAAAAATGCAAAAAAAGAATCGAAAAGGCAAAATGGATGTTCCCGATCTTGCGGAAATTTTAGAAAAAATTCCAACACCAAGTATGTGGAATACACTTCCATTTCAATTACCAAAGTGGACTTATGCTTCCATTGTTGGTATTCCATCTACAATTAGTAGTATTTATATGTTATTTGAAGAAATGAAACGTCGGCGAAAAGAAGAGGAAGAATTATTGTGAGTAAATTAAATCTATATATTTCATATAAATTTCGAATTAAAAAAAAAATATGTTATACTTTTAGAGCTCAAGAAAATGAAGAACCGGAACCTGAACCAGTACCACGTGGTCCAAGAAGAAGAAGAGCCGTTTTTACACCTCAGGAGCGCAATGATAGTATTAATAAAAAAGAAGAGAATAAATCTGACAACAATACGACAACAAATCATATTCATGAAAAACCAAAAACAACAGGTGGTTTATGGACAGATGATGATATATTAGAATTAATTAAACTTGTAAAAAAATATCCCGGCGGTACAACTAATCGATGGGAAAAAATTGCAGAAATGATGAATCGTTCAGTTCATGAAGTCACATATATGGCGAAAAAGGTGGATAATTTAATATAATTAAGAAAGAAAAAAAAAATTTTTTAATTATACTAATAGTTTAATAATATTTATTTATAAAATGTTCAGGTAAAAGATGAGGGATTGAAACCCAGTCAAACAACAGATGAAACTCCATTAGAGGAGGAAACAAAAAAAGTTAAAACTCGCGTGGAAAGTACGGAAAATCTTTCAGAATGGACACAAGAGCAACAAAAAGCTTTAGAGGCTGCTTTGATAAAATATCCAAAAAGTGGTGCATCTGATAGATGGGAAAAAATAGCCAGTTGTATCCAAGGAAAGACGAAGGTAAATATTATATTAATTTTAATTGAAACTTATTATTATTATTAGCAATTATCCAAATTTGTTAATATAACAAATAATGCATTTTATTTAATTATAATTTCTTTTTTATATTACAGGAAGAATGTCAAGCAAGGTATCGGCAACTAGTGGAAATTGTCAAGAAAAAAGTACACACTCAATAGAAGATGGGACCCAATAGAAAAAATTATCCTATTTATATTCAGTATGTTACCAATTTTTTTTCTTTTTTTTACAAGCGTTATATTATTTTTTTAAGCATCTTCGTTTTTCTTTTTTTTTTTGTTATTTACGTGTGTTTGAAATTGAATTTTCCAAAGAAGAGTTTTCTTCATGGACAAACTAGTTCTCTTTTTTTTTGTAATGTAGAAATTTTATTGCCTAAGAAAGGAAATATTAGTTTTAATATTAAAATTTTAAGATTTTACAAACAGGTTTTTTTTATTTATTATATTATTTGTTATCTTTAACGTACAGATATCAATTCTATTGAATTGCAACTTAAAATAGAGTTTAAAATAAATACAGGTTAAAAAAATTTTTTTATTTAGAAAAATGTCAACAGGGATGTATTTATTTAATAAATTTTAAATAACAAAGAGGAAAAAAGACTGAAGAGGTATGGCCTCTTATTTTCAAAAATCAATTGTCCCATATAAATCCATAAATTTTTTAATATTTCATTAATTGAAAAATAACTATGAAAGTATATTTAAAAATTATGTTAAAATTTCCTCATAAAGTTTGCTAAATAATTACGATCGCTGTTTTTTTTTTAAATATTTTAGAATTAGTATTGTTTTATTTACGAATGTTTGCATTTATTTATTTTCACGTAATTTTTTTTGTCTTTTATCAAAGCGCAATAGTATAAAAAAAATTTAACTTTTTGACACAAATGTAAATAATTATTAAACGCCTCTTTTGTAAATACATAATATCAGTTATGAATTTTTTCAATTTCTTTACCAGTGTAATATTTAAAATATAATAGCGTCCGCAATATAAATGAAAAATAATCTAAATGTAAATATTTGATAAATTATTGGCATTTTAGAATATTTTACTTCCAAAGTAGTTTGTGTATTGGAGTTTACATTATATATATATATAGCAAAAATAATAAGAGTTTATTCGAAAATTCATTAGTTTTATTAAATAACCCTAAAATTTTAATAATTAACAGAAATTTCAAAAAATTAAATAAAATTTTCATATTGTATTTTTTTATTTCAAGAGACTTAAATTATATAATTGTGCTTTCAATGTATCGCTTAATATTATAAATAGAAAATATTTTGAGATCCAAAATGTAAAAAGATTAATGTTCAGTATACATGATGCCCCTTGAATTTGTTTCTGTAACATTATTTTGTTTGACAATTGATAAATATTCATCATTAATTTCCTCGGATGTCATTTTAAAGAAATACATTTCTCCATCTCGATGAATATAATAAGTATCAATGAAATTAAAATATAATCCAAGTACTATATTCAAAGCTGCCGTATCGTATGCATGACAACCTGAATAACGATATTGTGGTTTTTTATTAAAACGACAACCTGCTGATTGAGCTCCTAAAAAAAAATTTTTAATTAATTATTTAACAAAAATTAAATTGAAAATAAATTAAATACAAACCTATAGGACAAATACAGTCCCGTGTTAATGCGCATTGCACCCAAGGGAGCATTACTTTTTCCCTTATTTCATTGGTATTTCTAATAATTAATCGTGATGCCCTAATTAATGGAAGAAATAAAAAACTATCCCTTGTTGTGTGAAAATATTCATACATCTTTGGATGAGTGAGAGAACTAATAGCGTGCCTCGTTGGCCATGTTAAAATTCCTGATTTAGGTAAAAGATATTTTGAGACTTCTGAAGAATTCAATCGTACGTTTGAATCCATATATAATACGTTTTCTAGTGTATTTAAAGCCGTCTGCAGTTAACAAAAAAAATTATATTCATCTAAACTTTATTTTTAATTATATAATTCTTATATATATATATAATTATACCTGAATAACTAGAGGCCTATACACGTGGAGCCTGTCGTCTTCAGCGTGAGCAGGAAATGAGCTTAAATCAAATTGAACGACATTACATTTACTAGAATTGCAAACTGATCTTACAGCTTGTAATACATCGTCATTTAATCCAACACTATAAACAACAATACTGTTATTCGGCAAAAAATGACTGACATTTTTAACAAAACCATAAATATTTTGCTCATTTCCAGGTCTAAGTAAAGACACCACAGTGACGTTTTGTGATTTTGGTATTAAAGGCGTAGTATTTGTTTGACCATCAAGGCCAAGTAGTGCAAGGTATTTTGAATCTGTAACCAATCGCTTTTCTTCGACATCTTTTAAGTTCTCCTATAAAGAAAATTAAATTCCAATAACGTATTTTTTTTTTTTTATTTTAAGACGTTTATTTAAAAAATATAAATATTAACCTGGAAATTCCGTAATTGTTTGTGTGTTTCTGTGACTAATGTTTGAATAGAAGGTCTTTGATTGCTGAAAGCAATAAAAACAATACTGCTCCCTACAACGCAAATAAGGAACAATAATAAACTTCTGGCACGCATCGCTCATCATTTATTATTTAAATAATAATAATTGTCAAATTTATTAATCATAATACTGTCAAGTTACGAAAATATTTTGAGGTTATATGATATAAACACACGCGTCTGTCATTATAAAAATAGATATTTCGTATAAAAAATTTATATATATATATATGAATATGAAAACTTTCTTGATTTTAGTTGAATTTTTAAATTTTTCAAAAACTATGCGCACATAATGATAAACATGTTTAAAAAAAGTGTTTTTCTTCTTTTTGTACAAAACTGACAGATGACAGGTGACATCGTCAGCAGACGACAAATAATGTAACTATTTACCGCTAGAGGGATTTGCCGCAAAATTTAAAAAGTAAAAGAATTATTTTTTCTTTAATTTTCTATTAGTTTTCTTTATAATATTAAATATTTGAGTATTCAATATTGTTTGATAAGTTTAATAATCAATTAAATAATAATATTCTGTTATACTTTAAATGTAATTACTTTAATAAGCGAAATTTGCAGAGGCGCAAAATTTCTAACCTAACTTTATCTTTCTGACGCACTTTGACATGTCTGCGATAAAATCTGATAATAAAATTAATGAAATTTAAAGAATCAAATAAATATTTCAATTTTATCGTACATCATGATGGAGGATACATTTTTGGATGAAGGCCTTGGGGATCATTTTGAGAAAGCAACATTAGAAATGAAAAAAGAAAACGAAACGGCTAGTGGTACGTATATAAAAATTTAATTTATTATTCTTGTTTTAAAATTTTAATTTTTTTTTTAATTAATATGAAAAACTAAAATTTATCTTCATCAACGCAAAACGAATAATATTTGGTAAATGAAAAAGAAACAATTGTTTCAAAATTTTTGTGTTGTAATTCATGTTTACGTTATAATTTTATTCGATTTGAAATGTTTATAATTTTTTCTCGATAGGTACAAAACAAAGTATAGAAACGACAAGTGGATTGACAAATTCTTCGGAAGTGAAAGATGTTTCAAATATACCTTTCAGAATAATAGATGTTCATAATTATTTCTCAGACCGAGCAGAGGTTATTGAAAGAGCTTTAAAAGATTGTCAAAAGGAACTTATTCATAATGAAGAGACACTTATAGGAACCTGGCTTTTAACAGAGTAATTATAATTATTTAATAAATTAATTTTTTTCATTTATTTTTTTATTATATCCTTGATTATTATATATAAACAATTTTTTTTCAGAATAAGTTTATGGGATACTGAAAAAGAAAGACTTGTTTTGCTAACGAAAAATTTTCTCTTTTCTATAAAATACGATCTCATATCTTTGAAAATTTTGGAATTTAACAAAGTACCTGTATTGGATATTGATACGCTTATTGCTGGTGATTTAATTTATCCATCAAAATCACTTTTACCGTAAGTTTATAAAAAAAAAATTTCTTTATTTCCCATATCATTATATAAATTACAGGAATAATATTCAAAAATTGTGAAAAACGTTTATCAAATTTTGAAATCAAATTCAGAATAATTTTATTATATTTAGGAAAATTATATAATTTGAAAGTAATTGTAAATAAAATATGATTATTAGAGGATAAAAAATTTGATAATTCACAAAAAAAATGTTTCTTTGCTTTGAAATAATTTTATAGAAGATTGAATGGGTTGGCAGAAGGATTTTCTTCCGTGATTAGCTACGCTATTCGTCAAGATTGGTCGTCTTCTTTATTCGGCTTAACTCGATTTGAGTCTAGGTTCGTGATAAATTAAAAATTTTTTTTTTTTAGGTAATATCCATTTTAGGTTTTTGTTTATATATTAGCCTATGCTGAATATTATTTTTATTATAGTAATATTAGATTTCTTGTTTGTATTTTTGCCAATTATTATGTTTTTATCATTTCAAGGAATTTTTTTTTGCATGTACCTGTACAACATTTCCAGGCACTTTGTTTTACTTTTTTTGTCCTGTAATTCTTAACTAAAAAAATTCATTTATTTTTTTAATACAGAAATCGCAATATGTTTGGCCTAAGAATAATGTGGAATAAAGGACAACCGCTTCAATTGAACAAAAAGTGGAATCCATTCGCAAAAAATATTCCCTGGCTCACTTATACCAGTCATCCTCTTTATTGGCATAAAGGTATTTTTAAAAATAAATAAATAAAAACGATTCTATATTACAAATTTGAAAAATTAAAATTTCTAGGATCAGAAACTGATAAAACGAGATATGACGTAAAAGGATTACATGAAGCTCTACAATCATTGATTCCAGAACACAGCAGTAAATTAAATAGACCGATCATCGTTGAAAATTATATAGGTATTGGCTCTCTAATTCATAATAGAAATTCTTTAGGATTCTTCAAAATTCGTGGTAAAGTTAGCTTTTGATTTGGCAAATTTAAATACTTTGATGAACTTTCTAATAATTTTTTTTTTTTAGACAATTTTTGATAAATTCCCAATAATTTTGAAAAGATTTTTCAAATTTTACATATTTCTCTAAATAATTATTAAGCCATCTTTCTGCAATAATTGTAAATAGTAACGGTGAATCTTCATGATTATAAAAAAAAAAAAAAAACCGGTTTTTGTTCATCTTCAACGAACATTTAAATGATCAAATCATGCGTCGCATAATCAAATAAATCTAGTCGTTAATAATCATTTTCGATAAGTGGTAAAGAAAAAAAGAGAGAGAAAAAAAAGAGAATTTTTTTCTATTCGCGAAAAGGTATATTGTGAATAGATAAATTTTTTTACCTGAGAAACTTTATACTTATTGTGAAAACCTAATAACAATTCTAAATAGACATTTTTAAAATTTTAGAATTTAACACATATTATATACTTTAAAATAATAATGAAAAAGTTCTTCCTCACATAATTGTGAAGTAAAGGTGATAATCAATTATTTTTTTTTAGTTTTTCTGTATAAAAAAAATATTACAATTTTTATAATGATAATCTTTAAACATTTTTGATGGATCTCTAAAAATAGAATAGACTTGTAATATTCAGTAAATATTGAAAAGTAAAGTGATATTCGTAGTTTTATAAATATTTACAGTTTCGATTGAAAACTGTGAAAATATGATTATTAATTTTCTAAAGTGTTTTTTAAATATTTCATTAAACTGTTTTCTTTTTTTTGAATATATTTTAATCCAAAGATTTTTGTTGAGAAAAAAAATTACCTATATAAGTCGGCCTAAAAACGTAATATGTTTCGTCGATTGAGAATAATTAAATTCTTCTTTTATAAATGTATATTCCATAATAAAACTTCACTATATATTGATGTTAGAAATTTACTTTTTCTCATTTGTAAAATTATTCACAAAAATTGATTTTTTAGTTTACCCTTTATTAAATTTTCTTTATATGAAAAATGTAGTAATAATCTAAATATTGTTTTTAATATAATTAATTTAATTTTTATTTTGTTTATCTTTCAGTTCTATTTTAATTCTGAATTAATTTGCGATTTATATTTAAATACCTTAAATTTGACTAATATGAATAAGTTTCAAATTGTTTCAGAATTTTTAAAAATTGAAAAAAGGAGGAAAATTAATTTTTTTGTTTGTTTAGTAACAATTAAATGATTTTTATGTTACGAGTTTTATTTGATATTTCACACAAAAGAAATAAGGAATGAGTATACGTCACTGCTGAATTGAATTGACTGAAATAGTTGGTATTCATCTTCATTTCAACTTTCACTTCCATGTCTCTGTTCCCCTATATTTTGTTCGAAAAAAACGACAACCTGTTACGCACTCATGCATTATGTGCTCAATCAAAAAGTCAATAGGAGAAGGAAAATCATAATAAATTAAAAGAAAAAATATGTGATAAAAAATAAATTTTCATATAAATTGTTGACATATTTTTTTTTTTTGTCACGGATAAAATTAAAGGACGAGAAAATGAAAAAAAACATATTAATAATATGAAGAAGAAGACGAGTTTTATTTTAATAAATAAACAAATAAAATTGAAATATAAGGTTTTTATATAAAAAAAAATCTTATGGCTTTTAATTGTGGATAAAAATTTTACATCTTAATAATGTTGAAATATTATTTTCTTTGTTAAAAATGTGAGTACACCTGTTAATTAATATATTTTGCATGATTAAAAATAGCAACATTAATTGTTTCTTTAACAATGTGAATTTAAAGTTAACAATTGTGTGTTAATTATTGTTTTTATACTTATTTTTAATTATTGCAGTATAATTTTAAAATAATTTTTTTTATGGTTCATACTTAACCTCTAACAGTGTTCGTTTTTTTTTTTTATTCTTTTTTTATTTCCTTATTTGTGAGCATATGCAAGGACATACGATTTTATATTATATTTTCCTCAATCTTTTTTTATTATTATGCTGATAATTTTTATTTTATTAAATTAATTATTAAATACTATATTATTATGATATTTTTATTAATTATTATTGTTACAATAAATTAAAACTTAATTTTTTTTAATTTAAAATAAAATTATTATTTCTAAATTGTCATTTCTTTTATAAAATACCTTTATCTGTTTAGAAAGTTAATCAAATCTTTGTTTTGCCTTTTGTGAGAATTTTAATGTTGTTAAAAAATTCTTATTTGTTTAACTGTTTATGTGCCTGATAAAGCTTTTAAAAAATTAACTTCGTCACTAAGTTAAAGTCTAGTACATTCTTTAATAATCAATTTCAAATTTTTTTATTTAGTAGCTACTAATTTTTTTGTTGTATTGTTGACAACTTTTATAATAACTAAGTGAATAAATTTGTGTAGATTATTTTAATTAACATAAATTTATTTTTAAGTGAAAAATTGAAATAAAAATTAATTAAATAGTAAGTGGTATTTTTTTTTTTAATTTTCATGTTACCTTTAATCTACTTGTTAAAGAAACAATATAAATTAGTTTTACAGTGATAACAAACTTTTATCAGACAATTTAAATGCAAGGAATAATTACTAACTAGTCATTAAAATTTTTCAGATAACAATGAGAAAAGTTTCTTTTCTGAAAATTTTCACAGTACTATAAAATTAAGAATTTTTACAAATTTTTGTTACAAAAAAAAAGAAAAAAAATGACAAATATTGTGATAAAAGAGAGAATAGTTTTTCTTCTGGGATTTGGAGCCGGATTTTGCATCACTCTTTTAATATATTTAATGAAATACTCAATAATTCCATACTGTGATAATGTAATGATAACAAATCAAAGAACCAGTGTTGATTACAATAATATCATTGGATTATCCAAAGATAGTGTAAAATTTTATGTTTGGTTAAAAGAATCGTCCGAAACACTTGACGAAAATCATTCTTATGAAAAATGGCTACAAATGCAAAATACACGAATCACAGAACTTGATATGGATTCTCAAAAATATGACAATAAATCTGTGAAGCAAATAATAGAATCAAAATGGTTAATGAAAAATGTTCATGTAACATGTGTGATTTTTGTTGAAAAATTAAAATTAGCAGAAACAATTGCTAATACATGGGGTAAACATTGTAATAAATTGTTATTTTTTGGAAAAGATTTACATGATTTTAATTTACCTGTGATAAAATTTGATAATATAAAATTTACATCATCATGGCAACTATTATGTGAATCAATGAATTATATATGGAATGAGACAAAAGAAAATTTAGAATGGATTATATTTGTTAAGGACGATACAATGGTAATTCCGGAAAATTTACGATATATCGTGGCGCCATTGAATTATGAACATGATTATTATCTTGGTCATGCAGTTTCTTTATGGGGTCAAAATTATAATGTCGCCGAGGCTGGTTATGTGCTCAGTAAATCGGCGTTTGAAAAAATTGTCAAAAAATTTGATAATTCACAAAAATGCGCATCGAGTGGGAAATTTTGGAAAAAAGAAGATTTCTATTTGGGTAAACTATAATTCTTTTTTTGAAAATAGTTTTGAAATTTAAATTAAATTCATAATTTTTTGTTTTAATAATTGCTAAATGAATTTTTCTTTTTAGGTAAACATTTACGTTCCATGGGAATTAAACCGTCGGATACAAGGGATTCTTTGCAAAGAGGAACATTTCATGGTTATTCGTTGCAAATTTTGTTTTGGGGAATTGCAAAGCCAGGTCAATATTGGACAAGAGCACTTTATCCACCAGGTGATGATTGTTGTTCAACAAGATCAGTAACGTTCAATGCTGTTGATTCTAGTAAAATGTACACTTTAAATTATCTTCTCTATAATTTTAATACTTTCTTGAAACCTGGAATTCATGGAAATAAATCACCGGCAAGAGTAAAACACGATGATGAGGTAACAAAAGAAGAATGAAAAATTACTTTTTATATTAATTTTCTAATTTTATCTTTAGTTAATTTAATTTTTTTCAGATGTGAAGAATTTACTTATTTTAATTTAACTTTTAAAAGAATTAATTAATTTCCTTTTATTTTCAGGTATGGAAAAAAGTTTTAAAAGATGAATTTGGCATTGAGAATATTACGGAAATTTCGAATGAACAATATTATCAACTTTGGCGAAAAAAATATTCGGAACCGGAAACATTTATGGAAAATAAAATCTACAATCCATTATCGTCTTCTTCGAAAGATTCAACGAAACGTTAAGATAAATCTTCAAGTAAAATTTTAATAAATAATTCGTAAATTAGTTATTTTTTAACAATACTTACGAAAGGTATTAAGCTTTCAATTGTTGAATTAGATTTATTTTATATTTAAAAATGATATTTTATTGAGATGATTGCGTTCTTTTTTTTTTAAATCGCAAATTATACAAAATTATATTTACAATTTTTTAGTAGTTAAAATTTAAATTTTGTTGCCTCATGGTTGTGCAACAGAATGAACTGTTTATTATTGATAAGAAATGTCTAACATTGTTTTTTTTTATTATTAATTATTAGATAATATTTATTATTATTAATTATAAAGTACAAATCTCGATCTGATATTTATAAATAACACTGTCCGACAAAAATCCATAAAAAGAAAATTTGATGGAACAATGAAAAATAATTTTTATATCTATCGAAAGTGATAAGAATCATCCAATTATCCGGACAGTGTAATTATTATAAAAAAGACTGCAAGATTCTTTTGCACTATTACGAATTGAATACGTCCATTTCATAAAATGTATAACTTTTGATATTGTTTTTTTTTTGTAAGGATTATTTAATCTATTAGTCAAAGAATTTAACAATTTGTTAATTAATTAACTATTGTTAATTAAATTATTTAGTCTATAACTTAATAATTAATTAGTTACAAACGAATGCATTATAAAAAAAAATAATTTCCATATACGTGCCTTACTATAAAGTATATAATCTTTATAATTGGTTTTTAAATAAAAAAAAACAATCCAATATTCGTTGTTGATTATTTTTATTTCTCTTTTTTTCTTTTTAATACAGAAATTTATTTATCTAATCTATTTGACACAATTAAATTTGACAGGAAATTAAATAAAAATACATAACAATAATCCAAATACCTAATTTAGATTCTCAAATTAAAATACAATTTAAATTTAAAAAATTATTTATAGATTTTTTCTATTATTAGAGATTAAAAAGAAAAAAATATATTTCGCTAATTTGTTTCATTAATTAGTGACTTCCCGTGTAAGGTGACCTATTTTTTTTTAATCGTTAATATTTATCAAAACCGACCTACATTTATCAATTTCCCTTTTCCTTTTTGGAGTTGTTATAAATAAGATTGGAAAAATTATGTAAATCTCATTTTAATTTTGGTATCGAGAGAGACATTTAAAAACAAAATGACAGAATAAAATATTATTTAATATGTTTTTCAAGTTTATTTGTTTTTTTTGTATTCTTATTAGTTTATCACAGGGGGAATATTTCTCTGAAAATGAAAGGTGAGTTATTATATATTTTTATTTAAATAAATAATACTAATTTATGTTTTATTATTTATTTAGATTTGAGGATTTACTTTTCAATGCTCCTAATACAAAAGGAGTTAAAGGTGGTGTGAAAGGTACGAGAAAAGATGGTTATAAAAAGAAAATTAAAATTGGATGCACTTCGACACCTGAGCCACCAATTAATGGCAATATTAGTTGTACTTCTAATGGTTCTTTCTTCAGGTGAGCAATAAAAAACTATTTTTCTATTTATTTTTAATAACTTTTTTTTAAATATTATTTTAGAGATTGTCAAGCAACATGTATAGAAAATTACAAGTTTCCAAATGGAAAAACGGAACTTTTATTAATTTGTCAAGATGAAGAAAAATGGCAAGTGCAGGGAAACGAATTGAATTTTTTACCACATTGCGAACGTAATTATTTCTTTAATTTTAAATTAAATTATTATTTTTGAATGGAAATTAAATAAAATTCTTTTTTTTTAGCAATTTGCCTTCCTCAATGTCAAAATAATGGAATGTGTATTGCTCCAAATCAATGTAGCTGTACTGATAATTTTTCTGGACCACAATGTCAATATGAAAATAAACCTTGTTTCAATTTACCACCAGCTATTCTTAATGCGAAAAAACAATGCAATTCAAAGTAAGTTGATAAATTATAAAAATAAAATATTTAATTTTAATTAAAATAAATTTTATTCCTATAGACGATGTACAATTGAATGTTTGAAGAATTTTACATTTCCGGATGGATCTTCAATTACAAATCTTGTTTGTAAAGATGGAAATTGGCAACCAACACGAGCTGATTGGGTTTCTGTTCCCGATTGTATTCGTAAGTATTTGTATTTAATTATATAAATGTAAAAATTAAAAAAAAAATTATTTTTAAGATTTCTCTAATCATTTATTTTTTTTTTAGCTGTTTGCTCTCCACCTTGTAAAAACGGAGGTATTTGTCTTTCATTAAACACTTGCCAGTGTCCACCAGGTTTTCGAGGCCCTCAATGTCAATATCGTAAGTTAATTTCCTTTTATTTTTCAAATAAATTATATTAATTTTTATAGATGAAACTGGGTTTAAATTTTTATCAATAGTTTCAATTTTTTTTTTCTTTTTCTAAATTTATTTTTGAAATTGATTTTTTTACAATTACTGTATTATTATAATTTATCTAGAAAAAATTAATTTAATTTTAAATTATTAGAAACTTTTAATTAAATAATTAATTTTCTATTTTTTTTTTTTACAGTTGAAAGTACATGTAGTGTAGATAAATTGGGCTTCAATGGCGGTTATCAATGTAATGGTGATGAAAATTCATATTCCTGTGTAATTCATTGTCCGTTGGGAATTAATTTTGATTTTCCGCCCTCTGTCAAGTACACTTGTTTATATGAGAAAGGAATATTTGAACCACATCCAATTCCACAATGTCTGATGGAAAATGGAATGGATTTGCAAAAAATAGAAAAAACAATTCAAAATAATTCATCTTCAGCAATTAAAAAGGAAGCTTATCAAAATATTTTTGCAACTCATGATTTTGACAATATTATTGATGAACAAAAGGTATAATTTTTGGATTTTATTATTATTTAATAAAATGATAATGAAAAATTTAATTTTTAGAAAAATCATCATATGTATGATACAACGAAGAATAAAGTAAAATTTATCGAAAATAAAAGACCAGAGCCAAAAACTTGTTTCACATGGGGTGGAATTCATTATAAAACGTTTGATGAAGAAATTTTTAGTTTTGAGAGCGAATGTATTTATACATTAGTACAAGAATCACAAAATGGACTTTTTACAATTACTATTCAAAATAATCCTGAATGTAAAATTTCTGGATTATGTTATCGAATAATAAAAATTTTTCTCCAAGGAAAAGAATATACAATTTCGCGGAATAATCATGGAATTCCTGAATTTCGTAGTGTTAAAAAAATTTTACCAATTCCAATTCAATTGCCAAATATACGTGTTGATTGGTCAGCACATTTTGTTATTGTTAATTTGGATACAGTGGGAATTAGTTTAAAATCAGATGGTGCACTATTAGTACAAATTGAGGCAACAGAATCACTTTGGAATAAAACTATTGGACTTTGTGGCAATATGAATGGAAATATTGATGATGATTTATTAACAAAAGAGGGTAGTAGACCTAAAAGTATTGCCACTTTTGCCAGTAGTTGGAAAATAGAAAATATTGGAGGTAACTAAGTTTAAATTCTTTTAACTCTTCTTTTTAAAAATTTTATTAAAATTTTTATTTTTCTATAGAAACTTGCGATGAATATCCAAATATCGATCATTCGTGTGTATCAAATGTGAAATACGATCAGGAAGCAACGGAATTTTGTACAAAATTATTGTCTGATAGTAAATATCAGGCTTGCTCGAGAGAAATTGATTTGATGACATTACACGTGACATGTCGATGGGATTATTGTGCTTGTAAAAATTCCGATAGACGAAAATGTGCTTGCGACACAATGAGTGTTTATGTTCGACATTGTGCGCATCGTGGAATTGTAAATTTACCGGGATGGAGAAATAATAATTCATGTCGTGAGTAAATAATATTGAGAAAAAAAATTTAATATCAAAATAAAAAAATTTTTTTAAATTTTTTCATTTTAGCTCTAAATTGTACGAATGGAAAAATATACATGCCTTGTGGTCCAAAAACACATCCATCATGTGGTACAGAATTAATTTCAAAAACAGATGATGATTTTGATTGCGAGGAAGGATGTTTTTGTCCAAATGGTTCCGTTTTTCATGAGGGAAAATGCATTTCACCTGAAGAATGTCCCTGTCGATTGAGGGGAAAACTTTTTAAACCAGGAAAAAGTGTGACGAAAGATTGTAACACCTGTGTATGTTCATCGGGAAAATGGATTTGTACCCAAGCAAAATGTAAAGCAAGATGCTCGATTGTTGGCGATCCACATTATACAACGTTTGATGGAAAAAAATTTGATTTCATGGGACAGTGCTCGTATTATTTAATGAAAGCTGCAAATTATAGTATTGAAGGTGAAAATGAAGCTTGCTCGGGCGCTATTTCTGAAGTAAGTAATTTTATTTAAAAAAATATTTAAAAATTATGATTATTATTCGAAAAATTAATATGAAATTTTTCTTTTTTTTTTTTCAAGAGCATGGGATTTTCATCGCCAATTTCTGGTATGCCGTCATGTACAAAAACAGTGACAATTCGAATGAATAACAACGCTATAAAATTAAAACAAAATCGTCAGGTTTTAATTAATGGTGAAGATGTAACGAAATTTCCCCTAACAATTGCTGGAGCAAAAATACAAATTGCTAGCAGTATTTTCATTGTTGTGCGATTATTAAATAAATTGGAAGTTTGGTGGGATGGTGTGTCTCGTGTTTATATAAATGCACCGCCAGAATTTCACGGTGAGTTTTTTTTTTTTTTTTTTGAAGCAGTTTTAATGAATTATTAATAAAAATTAACAAATTTCGATTTTTTTATTTTAGGTGAAACCAAAGGCTTGTGTGGGACATTTTCCTTAAATCAAAAGGACGATTTTCTCACTCCTGATGGAGATGTGGAGCAAGCGGTGATTCCTTTTGGAAATAAATGGAAAACCAATGAAGAATGTCCTGATATTGTTAAAAAAGAATCAAATCATCCTTGTGATGCAAATCCTCAAAAGCGAAATTCTGCAGAGGCACATTGTTCCCATTTGTTGAAGAATACATTCAAAGGTGATTAATAAATTAAAAACTACGAGCTTTGAAATTTTAGAATTATTTAATTAATAATATATAATTTCTGATATTTAATATAATTAATTTAAAAAAAAACGAAATTAATTTTTTTTGTTAGAATGTCACTGGAGCGTTGATCCTGAACCATTTTATAAGGATTGTTTATACGATATGTGTGCTTGTGAAACAAATATTGACTTGTGCCTTTGTCCAACGCTTTCGGCTTATGCAAAAGAATGTGCTCATGAGGGTGTGAAAATTTTATGGCGATACGAAATTGACGAATGTCGAATTCATTGCTCAGGTGGACAAGAATATCAAATTTGTGGCAATAGTTGCGCCAGGTGAATATTCTGTCAAATTTTCATGAAAATTTCTTTTTTTTGGAGAATTTTATTATTATTATTTATAATTAAATTATTATAATTTATTATTACTTTCAAATTATTTAGAACCTGCGGGGATATATCTTTTAATCAAGAATGCCGTCAGGAGTGCGTTGAGGGTTGCAATTGTCCTGAAGGTCAAACATTGGATGACAATGGAGAATGTATTCCAATTGGAGAATGTCCCTGTCTTCATATGGGTCTTGAATTTCCAGCTGGTTATCGCGAAGTAAGACCCGGTGTAAAAGGCCAAGAATTATGCACTTGTGCAGGTTTGTTAAGAAAAATCTTTTTTCCATTTTTCTATAAATCGAAAAAAAAAAATTTTAATATAAAAATATAATATAAATAATTACTAATTAAATAATATTATTGAAATTGCTAATAAATAATCTAAATATTGAATTATTTTTTATGCAGGAGGTGTTTGGAATTGTCAATTGGCGAGTCGTGAAGAAATTGAAGAATTTCCAGCAATTGCAGACGTTAAATATTCTTGTAGTTCGAAATTAAATTTAGAAGTGACAAGTTGCAAACCATTTGAATCGAGAACTTGTCGAAATATGCATGAATTCATTGTTGAAAATTCAATAATTTGTAAACCTGGTTGTGTATGTAAATCAGGATATGTTTTAGATGCATCAAGTGGAATTTGCGTTAAAGAAGAAAATTGTCCATGTTATCATGGTGGACAAAGTTACAAAGAGGGTTCAATAATGCAAGAAGAATGCAACACTTGTAAATGTGAAACTGGCAAATGGACATGCACTGATCGTATTTGTTCAGGTAGAAAATAAATCTTTTTTAAATAAAAAAACAATTATATTTTATTAGAAATTTTAATTTTATTTTGCATTTACAGGAATTTGTTCAGTATGGGGAGATTCGCATTATAAAACTTTTGACGGTAAATTATTTGATTTCCAAGGTGTTTGTGATTATGTTCTTGTGAAAGGAAGTTTGAGTAAAGATGAAGGATTCGATGTTTCTATTCGTAATGTACCTTGTGGAACAACTGGAGTTTCGTGTTCAAAATCGATAACATTAAATGTTGGCGAAGAATTCATCACTTTAACGAGAGGAAAAAAATTACCAAAAACAAATTTAAAGAGAATTGCCATTAGACGAGCGGGTTTATTTGTATTTTTAGACGTTCCTGATTTAGGATTAGTACTACAGTGGGATCAAGGTGAATTTTTCTAATTTTATTACTAATTTAATCTTATAAATAGAAATTTTTACAATTGCGATTTGTCAATTTTTTTATCATTTTTTTTTTTTTGTGATTCAGGAACTCGAGTTTATGTGAGATTGGATCCAAAATGGAAATCACGAACAAAAGGTTTGTGTGGTGATTTTAATGATAATAGTGAAGATGATTTTAAAACACCATCGGGTGGTGTGTCGGAAGTATCAGCGAATCTTTTTGGTGATTCTTGGAAGAAAAATAGCTATTGTCCTGAGCCAAAGGACATTCATGATCCATGTAAAAAAAATCCCGAGCGTCGTGTTTGGGCAATTCAAAAATGTGGAATTTTGAAAACAGGACTTTTTAAATTATGTCATTCGGAGGTGGATGTTAATCCATATATTGAAAAATGCATTTACGATACTTGCAGTTGTGATTCAGGTGTGAATTTTTTATTTTTCCCTTTTTCGAACTTTGAGATTATTAAATTAGACTTTTTTTTAAACAAGTTTTTGAAATTTCTTTAATTTCAGGCGGTGATTGTGAGTGTCTTTGTACAGCTTTAGCGGCTTATGCACAGGAATGTAATGAAAGAGGAGTTCCTGTAAAATGGCGATCACAAAATTTATGTCCAATGCAATGTGACGAAACTTGTAGTTCTTATTCGCCGTGTATTTCAACTTGTCCACGTGAAACTTGCAATAATTTATTTACATTAAAGGATTCATTGCATTTGTGTGGTCAGGATAATTGTATCGAAGGTTGTTTAACAAAATCGTGTGAAGCTGGTCAAGTTTATGCGAATGACAGTTATTTAGAATGTGTTCCTAAGGAAATTTGCAATCCGATTTGTTTAGAAATCGATGGGGTAATATTTTATTTTTTAAATAATTTTTTATCATTGTAAATTTTAATTTAGTTAAATAAAAAAAATTTATTTTCCTTTTAGATAATTTATAAAGAAGGAGATAAGGTAAAGGGAGACGAGTGTCATAGTTGTTTTTGCAGTAGGGGAAATTTAATTTGTAAAGGCGAACCTTGCACTATTGCGCCAAAAGTAACAATTGTTCCAAATGAAGAATCACGTAAATGCATTGATGGATGGACACCGTGGCTTAATAGGGATGTTCCTCTTAAAGGGAGGAAAGTTTTTGACGTGGAACCACTACCTTCATCAATCGAATTGGTTAATATTTTTTTCTCATTCTTTATTATTTTTTTTCCTTTTTATTAAATATCGATTTTTTTTAGCTCAACATTAAAGATTCAGTTGTTTGCTCTCGGGAGGAAATGGTTGACATTAAATGTCGAACAGTTGGTACGAAAAAAAGTCCAAAAGAAACAGGATTAGATGTTGAATGTAGTTTAGAAAGAGGTCTTTTTTGTCAGTCAAAGCCTAAAGAGGTTCCTTGTGTAGATTTTGAAATTAGTGTCTTGTGCCGTTGTAATCCAGGTATTTTTTTTGTAATTTAAAAAAATATTTTTATTTTTTTATTATGTTTAATTTATAATATTTATAAAATTATTAAATTAAAAACCATAAAGAATAAAATTATTTTTTATTTCAGAAACGACTTCACAATTAATAACAACGATCGTTACATCGTCATTATCATCATGCGATGTTAATCAACCAAATCAAATGCATCCAACTGATTGCCATTTATTTTACCAATGTGTACCACAATTGAATGGAACTAAATTAGTTGAAAAAAGTTGCGGTTCCACTATGTTTTATAATCACGAGACACAAATTTGTGACTGGCCAAATAATGTTATTCTAAAAAGACCTGAATGCACTTTTAGTGTGACTACGGAAAAAATTTTCAACAAAGAAACTTTTGCAACAGTCGGTTATGGTAATTAAATCTTAATTAATTTTCTCAGTGTCAGTTTTGAATTTTTTTGAATTTATTTAATTTAAATTTTTATAGAACTTTGTAAACCAGGCGAATTTTGGAATGAGTGTGCTATACAATGTAGTAAAACTTGTGAATATTATCGATATTCTTTGGAAAAAGAAGGAATTTGTAATGCAACTAATGATTGCATTCCAGGTAATTATGCTTTTTTAATTAATAATATTAATAAATAATAATATTAATTAATAACATAATAAATTTTTTTTAATCTATGATTTCAGGTTGCACATCAATTGACAATCCATTATGCTTGATAGGTCATAAATTTTGGCGTGATAAATTCACTTGTGTGAGCATTTCCGATTGTCCTTGTATTTCGCATAATGAAGAACTGGTTAAACCTGGAATGCTTGTACAAGAATCAAAATGTGAAAAATGTCAATGTATAAATAATTTTTATACATGTGACAAATCATCTTGTGATGATAATATTATAATTGAACCTCCAATGCATTGTGATGAGGAACATTTAATTTCTCTCATTAATGGAAAAAATCCTTTACCTAATGAGGCATTCAACTCGAGTAGTATATTAAGTGAAAAATATAAACCATCGGATGCTAAATTAAATAATAAAGTTTCTGATTATTCAGCGGGTAAATGGTTTCTTTTTTTTTGGAAAATCTGTATTTTTTTTTAGTTTATTTTTTGATTAATGTATATTTTTTTATAGGTAGTTGGTCACCAAAAGACATGAATAGACAACAATGGATTTCTGTGGAATTTCCAAAATCAACACCAATTTATGGAATTATTACACAAGGAAGTCCATTATATAAAGAATTTGTTGAATCATTTTATATTTTTTATTCACCACATGGAGATAGTTTTAAATCATTGACAAGTCCGGGTCTAAAGACACCAAAACTGTTTAAAGGATTTCATAGTCCAATTGTAAAGAGTAAATTTATCTTTGAAGAGCCAATTGTTGCAAAAATTGTTAAAATTCAACCTCAGAGTTGGTCGAACGCAATTTCGATTCGTTTTGAACTTTTGGGTTGTTCGAATACTAGTCAAGTCACGTAAGTATTTTTAGAAACAATATTTTTTTATTTTTTTTTTAATTAAAAAAATTCTTATTTAATTTTTATTATTTAAGATCATTACCAACTACTGAAAAAGAAACGACTCTTATTGTAACGAGTACAGTTTCTCCGCCTAAATTTTGTGAACAAGAAAATTATATTTGGTTAACAAAAATAGTATCAAAAGATTTTCTCTCATATTCAGCGAGTAGTTCAAAAGGTTCATCATTTAAACCTGAAAATTCTGTTTTAATTGATAAATCAACAAAGGATTTACTGAATCTAAAGAGTTGGCAACCACAATATCTTGATAAGAAACAATGGTTTGTGACAATTTTTTAAATGAAATAACCTTTTTTTGTTTTCAGTTAATTAATTTAATAATTTGTTTTACAGGCTGGAAATTAAATTAGCAAAAGCAGAGCCACTTTATGGAATTATTTTACAAGGAAGTTCGTCTGATGATAAATACGTGACAAGTTATCATATAATGTATTCGGATAATGGTTTAGTATTTTCCTATATAAATGATAAAAATGGTGATCCAAATGTTTTTCAAGGACCAATTGATAAAATAAAACAAGTTCAACAAATTTTTAATCATCCAATTGAAGCTTCAATTATTCGAATAATTCCCCAGACATGGCATAAAGGAATTGCGATTCGTGCACAATTAATTGGCTGCAATGATGATAATATATCCAATTTGATGACAACTACAGAAATTATTTTCATTGAAAAAGAAATTCCTCCAGGTTGAATTTATTATTCTTCTTTTTAATTTTATGAAAATTATTAAAAATAAACATGAAATAATTTATTTTCCAGTTTGTAACGATACAATGGGATTGGATAATGGAATAATGTCTGATGAACAAATATCGTCATCGTCATCGTATGAAAAACTTTTGCCTAATTTAAAATTATCATCACCAGGAATATGGCGAGCAAAATTAGATAATCCGGAACAATTTATTGAATTTGATTTTTTGAGAGGACAAAATTTAACTGGTGTCGATACTAAAGGAGGTGATAATATTTGGACTGTGGCATATAAATTATTTTACAGTATCGATGGAAAACAATGGAATCCAGTGATTGACAATTATCATCAGGAAAAATTATTCTTGGCAAATATTGACGATAGTACAGTGAAAACAAATTATTTTACTCGTCCAATTCATGCGAGATTTCTCAGAATACAACCAATTAAATGGCATAATCACGTGGGTCTTAAAGCTGAGATTCGAGGATGCTTTACACCATATGGTGACTATTTGTACTATTTACAAAAAAAAAAAAATTATTTTCCTGTCAAATAATAATTATCTTTCTATTTTAGCTGTAGTAACAACTTCAAAACCTCTAGAAAAATTAGTGTCAAAATCACCGGACGCAAATTGCAATATTTGTCCAGGAATTAATATTTTAATTAGGGAAAATTGTAATTGTACAAATTCACTTTGGTGGAATGGAGAATCTTGCGTTGGAAATAAAGAATGTCCTTGTGTTGTTGGACATATGCCGTAAGAAAAAAATTTATTATTACATTTTTTTTTTAAATAATTCTAATAAATCTAATATAATCTAATATTTAAGATATCCAGTTGGTTCTGTTTATGAGACAGAAGATTGTCAACAATGTTTGTGTACAATGGGAGGCACTGCAAATTGTCATGAGAAAATTTGTGAACCATGTAAAGAAACGGGATTTCGATCAATTGTTACTGAATTATGTGGATGTGTCTGTAAACCATGTCCTTTTGGCACTCGACTTTGTCCTACGAGTAATATTTGTATTAACGAAACATCTTGGTGTAATGGAATTCAAGATTGTCCAGATGATGAAAAAAATTGTTCACTCACCACAACATTGAGGCCAATAGAAACGACACTTGCCATAAAAACAACAATTGGTAAAATAAATTACTAATATTTTAAATAAAAAAATAAATGAAAATTAATTTTACAATTAAATAATAAAAATTAATATTTCTTTTGTCTTTAGTTCCTCAAAATGAATGCGAGAAACCAACTTGTCCACCGGGTTATAAAGTGATTGAGAAAAAAATAAGAAAGCCTCATAAATATTCAAGTAGATATGCAGAATATCGTTATGGAGGTGGAAGTTCAGGAGTGAAGAGTACAAAAGGTGGAAATTCAGGAGTGAAGGGTACAAAAGGTGGAAATTATGGAGTTAAGGGCGGTAATAATAAAGGTGGTAATCGTGAAATTAATGGAATAAAAGGTGGAAAAGAAAATTATCAAGAGGAGAACAAAAAGTAATAATTTAATAGTTCTTTAAAAGTAAATTTTATAGTTTTAATTTTTTTTTAAATATATTTCAAAAAATAAAATTGTTAATTTTCAGATTAGAAAAAGATCTTGAGTGTCCACAATTTTCCTGTGTATCTAATCGACCACCACCTGATTTTGAGGGACAAAAACCAAAATCCTGTCCAAAAATTGAATGTCCACCTAATTATGAAATAATTTTTGAAAAAATGAGTATGTATAAATTTGAGGATTGTCCACGATATACATGTCGACCTCCGCCACCAACTGAAGTTGTTTGTAAATTCATTGGAAGAACATTTAATACTTTCGATAATATGGAATATAAATATGATATTTGTAATCATATTTTAGCGCGAGATCGTTATGCAAATCATTGGTATATTTCTGGTAAGTTTTTTTTTTAAACTCTTTAATTTATCGATTTTAATTAATAGCTAATTATAAAAAATTTTATTTTCAGTGGAGAAAAAATGTTTGGGTAATAAATGTGAGAAGGATTTGATAATTGTTATGGATAATGATTTATTTATACTCTATCCGGATATGCATGTGAATATAAATGATTTTACATTTACATCAAGTGAAATGAAACGATTTAATGATAAAAATAGTGGAATTTATAAAATATCGAGAGTTGGCGATGTATTGTATTTTATTTCCTATCGTTATGGTTTTTGGGTGATATTCGATTCAAATTCAAATGTAAAAATTGGAATTTCTGTGAAATTATTCGGTCAAGTTGATGGTTTATGTGGATTCTTTGATGGTAATTTAAATAATGATAGACAAAAACCAGATGGAACTGAGGCAAGAGGAACTTTGGATTTTGGAAATAGTTGGGTTATTGATGGAACACCAGAATGTGAATTGCAGGTGACTGATATTATTACTAAACCAAATTAAAATACAAATTTATAATTAATTAAATATTTTAATTTAATTTTTTAAATAAAATTTTGTACAAATTTTTAATTTTCAATTTTATTAGGTGTGTTCTGAAGATATTCAAGAGAGAGCTTGGAAAATGTGTAACGCCGTGAAAGATCGTTCATTGGCTGTTTGTTTGGGTGTTGTAAATTTGGATAAATTTGTTTCTCGTTGTTTAGAGACCGCTTGCACTTGTTTACAAAGTAATTCAACGTTTGACGATTGTCGATGTCGAATAATTACATCATTTGTTACTGAATGTCAAGCCAATGATCAGGATATTGATCTTTCTAATTGGCGAAATATTCACAATTGCCAAATAGAATGTAAGGCTCCACTTATTCATCACGATTGTTTCAGGTAATTAAACATTTTTAAAATTAAAAAAAAAGTTTTTTAAAAGCAAAATAAATAAAATTTCCTCTCTCTTTTTTTTGCAGACATAAATGTGAGGTGTGTTGCAATAGTTTACAAGAAGTTGAACCATGTCCAAAAATGAAAGGAGTTTGTTTCTCGGGTTGTTTTTGCCCTCCGGGAACGGTGAGAAATGGTGAGGATTGCGTTCATCCAACGGAATGTAGAGATTGTGTTTGTGATGGATTTGGAAATACAAAATTTGTAACTTTCGATAGAAAGAATTTTGTTTTCGATGGCAATTGTACTTTTGTTCTTTCACGCGATTCTATCAATAATGTTAAAAAACATTCTGGTACTCACACATATCAGGTAAATTTACAATTAATAAATATTTTATTATAGTTATAATTGATAATTAATTAAATTTTTTTAGATGTTAAATAAAAATATATTTTCTAGGTTTTAGTGACAAAACAACCGTGCGAAAGTGGAATATGTACAGAATCAATTATTGTCTTATATCAATCACACGTGATACAAATTAAAAAGAATTCCAATTTAAAGAAGGTATAATTAATTTTAAAATTAGAAAAAAATTAATTATTCAAATTTAACAATAATAATTTTTCTTTCAGTTCCTAATTTTCATTGACGAAACATTAATCAATGATTTGCCATACAATGTACAATGGTTAAATTTAAAAAAATCGCCGGCAAATGATGTGACACTATTAATACCGTCAATTCAATTGGAAATTATTTGCTTTGTACATGATTTTGCTTTTACATTGAGACTTCCGTCGCAAACTTTTGGAGACGCAATGGAGGGTCTCTGTGGTGATTGTAATGGTAATTTGGACGATGATTTTAAACAACAAAATGGAAAGGTACCTAAAAATATAGTTGAAAATAAAATGAAAACAAAGAATAGAATTTTTTTTTCAAATTTAGAGAATTAATAAAATTAATATTATTTTATTAGATAACAGATGATGTGACAGAATTTGGATTAAGTTGGAAAGCAATAGATTTGCCATCGAATTTGAAAATCAATGAAGATCATTGTGTAAGTAAACAGAAGAAATGTTCACAAATTCTCGATCATAATCCATGTAAAAAACTTTTGGATTCATTGGAATTTGGACAATGTCATCGTCTCGTTGATCCAGAGCCATTTTTACAATCTTGTGAAGAGACATTTTGTAATAATGGAAATATTTGCAATGATCTTGAGGCTTATGCAAGAACATGTCTTCATGCTGGTGTTTGTCCAAAATGGAGAAACAACGATTTATGTCCTTATTCTTGTCCTTCATGTAAGGAATACTTTTTCTTTTTTTACTTTCGTTTTTCATTAAATAATTATAGAGAAAAAAAAATAATTGTCCATGACTAAAAATAATTTCTATAGATTTTATTTTATATTAAATTTATTTTTGTAACATAGTTATGGAATACAAACCATGTGGAACCGTGTGTGTTGAGACTTGTGAAAGTATAAATAATTTGGAGTCTCAAAAATGTTCTAATGATTTAGCCGAAGGATGTTATTGTCCTGAGGGTGAAATAATGCACAATGGAACATGTATTTCAAAAAGAAAATGTCTTAGCTGCGATGATGAGGGACATGTTGAGGGTGATGTTTGGTATCCAGAAAAATGCACTAAATGTACTTGCGACAAAAAAACTGTTAGTTGCCAAAAAACCGAATGTGTTACGACAGTTTGTCAAGAAAATTACGTTTCCACTTTGGTACCAGGATCACAACATGAATGTTGTTCGAAATACATCTGCGGTATTTTTTAAAAAATTTTCTTTACTTTAATTTTTTAATTAATTAATTAATTTTATTATTTATTGTAAATATTTTTTGGTTTTTTAGAAATTACTTTTTTTACTGAATTTATTTTGATTAATTAATTGTATTAAATTTTCTTCTTTTCGTTAAATAATTAAAATTAAATACATTTTTTGTTGGAAAAATATTTCAGTTCCAAATGGTGGATCTAATTTATGTGAAGAACCACAAAAACCATCTTGTGGCTTTGGGCAAATTTTAAAAGCAAGCGTTACATCTGCCGGATGTCAGAAATTTATTTGTGGTGAGTTCTTTTTTTTTAATTATTACTAGGAGGATAATTTAATTTGAATTTTTGTAGATAAATCACAAAAAAATTGGATTTTAGTTAGTACAATTGTACATATATTTTAATTCAATTTATTTTTTTAGAATGTTTACCAAAGGAACAATGTCCCGATTTAAGTGATATTATTATATTTGACGATGAATTAGAACCCGGTTTTGTACGTATTTTGGATGAATCTGGATGTTGTCCGCAGCCTTCGAAAAAATGCAAACCAGAAACTTGTCCTCAATTTAAAGAATGTCCAAGATATTTTAAATCAGTTGAAAATAAAGGATCCTGTTGTAATTTCAATACATGTGGTAAGAATCATTTTATACTTGATAAATATTTTGAAAATATTCGACTCTTTTCTAAAAAAAAAACTGTGTTTTTGTTAGTACCCCCGGAAGACGCATGCTTAGTGTCTGATTTAAATAAAAATTCATCTACGGAAAATATTGTGCTGAAGAAAATTGGAGAAAAATGGAGAGATGGAAAATGTACGACGTGCTCCTGTGATATTATAAATTATAAGCCAATGTCACAATGCATGACGAAAGAATGTCCAAAAATTCATGATCATCCGGATTTTAATGATTTTGTCCTTGAGGAAATTGTCTTTCCATATGAATGTTGTTCTGGCTTTGAAAAAACTGCTTGTAAAGATAATAATCAAGTTTATAAAGTGAGTAATCAATTTTATTCTTTGCTATTTTTTAAAATTGACCTGCGATTATAAAGAATATTTTTCATTTATTAATGGAATATAAAAAAAAAATCTAGAGAAGGAAAGAAAAATTGCTCCAAGAAAATAATTAGTGAAACTATTTTTTAGGACGGAGATAAATGGACGCCGAATCCAGAGGATGTTTGTTTGTTAAAAAAATGTTTTAACGGAATAAATGGATTGCAAAAGGAAATTATAAATCAAGAATGTAACACAATTTGTGACAAAGGTTATGCATATCTACCATCATTAAATAAAAGTATTTCCTGTTGTGGTGAATGTGTTGCTATTGCATGCGTTGTTGATAACGATCTGAAAAATATTGGAGACAATTGGCAGTCCATTGATAATTGTGTTAATTACACTTGTCAATTGGAAAATGGTTCTGTAGGTGTTTTTTTTTTTGTATTAATTTATTTATATTTAAAAAATTTTAATTATTACTTATTTATAATTATTTTACAATTGCAGCCACAATTAAAAGCCTTCACTGAAACCTGCAAGGAAATAGATTCTTTTGATGAACAAAATTTTATTTTAGAGAAGAGACCATTATTGGGAAAATGTTGTCCTGAAATTGTGAAAACAGCCTGTAAATATGAAGGAAAAATTTATAAATCTGGAGAAAAATGGAAATCGTCGAGTGATAAATGTAAAATTGAAATGTGTACTGAAAATTCAAATGGAATTGCAATTCAACAAGAAATTATTACCTGTGTCAAGGAGTGTCCAAAAGTAAGGAAAATTTTATTTAAATAAATTTTTTTTATAATAATTATAATATAATTTATAGGGATGGGAATATATAGAACCGAAAAACGAAGAAGAATGTTGCGGTAAATGTGAGCAAAGATTTTGTGTCGTTGAAAATAAATTATATCAACCAGAAGAAAAATGGAAATCTAATGATAATTGCACAACTTTCGAATGTGTCAATCAACATCATCAGGTAAAAATTCAAATTAAAATTTGTATTTTAATTTTTTTTTTAATAAAAAATAAATTATTTCAGTTTCTAGTCACCAGTAATCCAGCTATTTGTCCGGAATTAGTAAATTGTCCTTCTGAATTTGTTTATAACGATGGATGCTGTAGTCGATGTAATTCTTCTTCTCTCAATATTGAAAGTAAAAAACATTTTGCATATTTTAAAATTTTTATTATATATTTTAATTATTTTTAATAATAATAATAATTTTTTCCATTTACAGAAATATGTATGGCTGAAGTAATTGATTTGAATGCCACAATTGGCATAGTTGTGGAACAACGTGGATCAAAATTGTGTAAAAATTTACAACCCCTGAAAGGTCTTACAGAATGTCGTGGTTCTTGTACATCATCAACTAATTTTGATCTTGGTAAGAGAATTTATAAATTCGTTTCAAATTACATTTAAAGTAGGCATTAAAATTGTAATTTTAAATGAATGAATATTTATCAAGATATTTTTGCAATTTTTTTGATACAGTGACTTGGGGTCAACAAATCACTTGTCGATGTTGTTTGCCAACAAATTATCAGGCACTTATTGTTGAATTAACATGTGAGGATGGAAAAAATTTTAGAAAACAAATAATGGTTCCTACAGCTTGTTCTTGTGATACAAAATCACAACCGATTAAAAATCGCAAGATTGGAACAAATACCAAAATGAGTCGAGACAAAATATATACAAATAATAAATATTAATATAAAACGAAATATAAGTATTAGTAAACAAAGAAAAATATTTAAAAAATGTAAAATGTACTAAAAGCAATTTAATTAAAATTAATGAATTATCGAACACTTTTATTTCAATTAATATCGTTTTCCTTTTGGAAAAATAAAGAAAAATATTTAAATATTTCGAAAATCAATTAAAGCGGTAACTAACGATTTTCTTTTTTTTTTTTAATTCAGAAAAAAACGAAATTTTAATCCTATATTTTAATTCACGGATTAAAAAAAACAATATACAAAAGAAAATGATCAAACCGGAAGTGAAATTGTCTTCGCAAAGGAAAAAAAAAATGAAGTCGCGTATCAAAATTTTCATTCTCACAATACCGAAAAGATTTTTCAAATATTAATCAGTATAATTAATAGAAGAAAATTTTGAAAAATGTTTTTAATATTTTTTAAACTTATTTCCTAAAAAAAAACTGTACATTATTTTGATAAAATAATAATAAATAATAAGACAATTAACAGTTTTCGTCTGTGGAATGGCCACTGACAGCGATTTTGACAGTTGTGAATTTGACAAAATAATGCGTCATTTTTCATCAGAAAATGGCTTAACACAATTTTCATCTCAAGATTCATCGTCATCATTTTATGAGAGAAACAAAAAATGTAATAACAAAATAAATAAATACAATTATGATCTTTTATCATCAACGAGCTCAAAATCAGGATCAGAAATTCGATTAAAAAATCCAATGATCTATCCCGAGAATTTTGAAACTGATGATAATTGCGGAGATCATTTAGGACGATTTTCCAAACATCAATTTTGTCATTCATCACGACATTCTGGATCAGAATCGAAATATGCATCAAATACTTTGACTGATGGAATATCTCTTCTCTCTATTGTATGTAATCGAATTTTATTTTACACTTTTTTTTCCACAAATTTCTTTAATTTTTTTTTTTTAATTTTATCTTTTAAATAATTAATTGAATTAATTATAAAAGTCAAATGGTGAAGATTCTTCAAGTGGCATTGACATTTCGGGTGATCATGCTCCAGGAACTTATCGTTGTCTTCCTTCAATTATATCGTCAACAAATTCTTCACATAATTCATTGGATCAACAATCAATGCCAGTGAAGAAAATTGAAAGACGTTGTAAAATTATCAGCGATTTTTCAAGTTCTTTGGAGAGTAAATCTTTTGATGATCTTCCATCGTCGAGTTCATATAAAACGAAGAATATACAAAGGTTTTTTTTTTCAAATGTTTTTTTTTCGAAATTGAGATTATTTAAATACAATTATAATTCAATTGATAATTTTTTTTATTTCAGATGTTCATTGAATGGTTTTGGAAATATTGAAAGTTCAACGACATCATTTTCAACGACTAATTTATCGGGAAGACAAAATGGAATACTCAGTTCAAGACAAATTGCTCATGAGAAATGGATGCAAGAAAAGGAACAAAGAATAATTAAATTAAAGGAAAAAAAACGTCAAGAGGAAAAAATGAGACTCAATGAAGAAGAAAGAATTAAAAGAGAAAAAGAAGAAAAAGAACGTAGGGATCAAGAAACATTTATCAAATGGATCGAAAGAAAGAAAAATGAAGAGTCTGTTAAACAAGAAATTTTGAGACGAGAATTAGAACTTCAAAAACGACTTAAAGATATTGAGGATAAGGCAGTTGTCGCAAAGACCATTTATCTTCGACAGTGGGCAAGGAAAAAGGAGGAAAATCACAAAGGTAATTTTATTTCAAATTTTCTTTTAAATGTTCATTTAAAAAATATTTTATACTTTTTCAGCGGAACAAAAAAAACAGCAATTAAAAGAACAACAGAAAGATGAGGAGAAAAAGAAGAGAACAGAAGAAAGTAACAAGGCCTATGGGGAGTGGCGAGAAAAATCGAAAATAAGACCAAAACCCGCAACTCAAGGTTTATTACGTTAGTTGAATGAAATTTGAAAAATTATTTAAAGAAAAAAAAAATAAACATTTTCACGTATTATTAAATTGAAATTTTTTACTTTACAGCCCATCAAAAAGCAAAACCAGCATTTGTGAATCCAAATCCTTGGCAGGACATAATTGAAATCAATGAGACGAATAAGGAATTAATGGAATCGAAACAAAATGAAATAATAAAATTGCATAAAACTGAGATTAAGAAAAAGGACAAATAATCGTAACGATATGAGAAAATTCCATACGATTTAATTGTATTAATTTTCTTATTGATTTGAATATTGATAGTCAAAAACGAGGAAATCGTTCCATTTAAGAGAAAATTGTTTCTTCGATCTTTAACTACTCGTTAATTAACGAGAGAATTTATTGAAACGAAAAGCAGAAAGTAATTCATTGCCAGGTATGTTTCATCGGCGATTTTTTTATCGATAAATTATTTTTAGATTTTGTTAATTTGATAAATTATCAAACATTTTTTTTTTTTATTATTAATTTTTCAAAAACTCTGAGAATAAAGAAACGATTTTGATTAATTTGGACGAAATTCGAAATTAGAAAATTAATTTTTCTTTAAGAAAGAGAAAAATGAATTTTTCATTAAAGATAATTTTCGTTAGTTAAATAAATACAAAAATTTTTTTTTTTTATATCGTCGGATTACAATATATTATATTTAGAGAATAACAACAGATATACAGATAGTTATTAATTTATATATCGATGATGATTATTCTAATATATATTTATATAAAGATTAAAATTAAATCTTTTCTTATACAGTCGTGATTTTTTTTTTAACTGTAGCTTTTTGAAATATTTCTGTCACATTTCCCTAATTTGCATTTTGAGATTAATCTATTGATCTAAAAACGACTATAAGTAATTTTTACTTGAAATTATTTGAAATAAAAAAAAGAAAATTATATACTGCAAATTATTTTTAAAGGAAACTTTACAAATTGTAATAACGGAGACAATTTAATAATATAAATGGTAGAAAATATTGAAAAAATTGTGCGAGAAAAAAATAAAGAAAAAGAATATAAATAACAAATGAAATCTTGTGATTTTAGAAAAGTTTTTTCTATATAAATAAATTCTTTGAAAATAGATATCGTTTCTTTTTGAATGGAAGATATGACGTTTTTCATTTTGAAGATTTTTCTATGTGAAAATAAACTTTTCTTATATTATATATTGCTTATGAAATATTTGTTTTTCAATATTTTTTTTTTATAGAAAAAATAACTTTTTTTTATATTTCTTGTAGTAAATTTCTCAATATTAATATTTCATAAGTTCATCCTCTTCTTCTTGAAGTTTTAGAATTTCCGACTTGTTCATGTAATAATAACTCGGCTGTCTGGATTTCTGTTAATATTTTTTTTTCGATTTATAATTTATCCAAATTAATATATTAATTCTCACGCAAAAATTTTTGCAAATAATTATTGTGAGAATAAAATAGAATAGAAAAAGAAAGAATTCTTACCAAGTCTTTTTTAACGCGCTTAGCTCCTGCTTTTATTAAAATGGTACTTAAAATTTCAATAGATGGTAAAGCCATTGCATAATGAAGAGCAATTCTATCAAGCTAAACCAAAAATTATTTTTTTAGAATAAATTATTTTATATTATAAATTTTATAAATGTAAACGAGTTTTTTTAAAGGGGATATTTTTTTTAAAAAAATTTGCTTACATTATCGCCAATTGTCAATGTTTCTGGATAAGTTTTGGCAATATATTCAACAATTTCTGCATTTTCTCGTAAAACAGCAATATGAAGTGCACAACGTCCATAGACATTTTTCCCAAATGTTATTAATTTTGCACCGTCTCCATTCATTATAAATAATTCTTTCGCCAATGCTAAATCATTTGCTCTAATCGCACTGTGTAATTCTTCTCTTCTCAACTGGAAAAACGAAAATTTATTTCTATTTGTGTGATTTTTTTTTAAATTTTGAAAAAAAAAAAATTTTTTCTCTTTTTTTACCTCAAAATTTGGAATTGATTGCAAAAATTGAACAGTTGATTCCTGGCCTTGCTTTTTTGCAACGTCAATAATATTCTCTCCTTTATCAGTAGCATCTAAAATATGATCATAGCCTTCCAAAAGTAGTTCAACTAATTTTTCCGTCTCCCCTTGAAAATATAAATATTTATATTAAAAAAAATTATCTTTTTCAAATAATAAACGAAAGAAAATAAATTAGGAAAATTTTTCCATTGAATCGAATTATAAATAATAAAAAAAGAAAGAGAGAATTTTCAACCTCGTGCAGCCAAAAAAACGACCCAACGATCAATTTCCTTCGCATTGTCAGGAACGTGTGATGTTTCGGCAATATCTCTACCGGTACGATAAAATTCATCTCTATAACCAATATTTATTTGCGATTCTTGTAAAAGATGAAATAAAGCGTCGTGTGTATGTGATCGAACTGCTGCAAAATGAAGTATACTCTGGCCATGTTCATCCTAAAATTCCAATTTTTTGTTTTTCATTAAAAAAAGAAAGAGAGAAAAAGAATAAAAAAAATATTTCTCTAATAATTTCTTATTTTATTTTCAATTAAACTCACCCTATTAGTTTGATTGAAATTCGATTCCGCGGGATTAATTTCCGGTGTCTCAGAAAGATCAGGTTCATTTTCAGGAGTTTGTGGATAGCCAAGATCATCATCATCATCATCATCCTCATCATCATCTTCAATATTATCATTTGTTTCCTCTTCACGATCATCAATAATAAGAACATTTGATTCCTGTGGAAAAAAAAATTAAACAATTCATTAAAAATCGATAACAAAAATAAAAATTTATCAATGTAACAAAAAAATCACAGCTAACATTAATCTTGTACAACTCTAATTAAAATACAATTATAATTAACTGTATAAATCGACACAGTGCAAGGATCCTAATGAATAATTGTGCAAAAAAATATTTTAAAATATCAATTCTCAAAACACACAAAAATTATATGATCCAAAACGTCATTTTCAAATTTATTATTTCGAAATTTTTAGGGTAATTAATAATAAGAGTTTTTTTTTCGAAGAATATTCGATATGAATTTTATCATATTATGAATAATTATATAACATCTGAAAAGAGAAAATAACTTGTCCTCTGTTAATGATATATGAATTTTTTTTTAATAAATTATTTTTTCTCATATCTGATGAGAGAGAAAAAAGAGGAAAAAAAGAGGAAAAAAAGTTGAAATAAAATAATTATGAAATTACATGAGTGGATTTTGGTGTTTCACTCTTGTTTGAAGAATTGTACAAGTAGGAGGCAAGATACGTTACCGGATCTTCTGGACGTGATTTAACCACTTCCGTTAATCCTTTCAATAAAGGATTTCCAAGGGCTGAAAGTAATTTTTTTAAAAATTTAATTATAATAAATTAATTTAAAGTATTGTAAAATACAATTAATTTGAATGAAATAAAACTTACAGTCAGCTAAGTAGCGTTCATCATCAGTATCAAAAACAGGAAGATCTTTTTCATTGTTTCCTGAAATAGGAAATTATGTAAATAAAATATATTTCATATTATAGTAAATATAATTTTTATGAAGCAACACAATTAATAATTAAACAAAAATTTTTTGCGTAATATTTAAAAAAAAAATTAAAAATAACACAAAAGTGATGAAAACGCTTTCTTTTTTTTTTACACACTTTTGCAAAATTCACAAAAACACGTGCAGTGTCTTTAAAACTTATTTAATTTGTGTTACATGGAAAATTTTATTGAAGACATCGATTCATAAATTTTTCATCGTAGACGATTTACAATTATTTAAAAAGTATTTATCCTAATTATAAAGAATACATTTTATTAATTATAATAATACATTTAGAGTTTATTCAGCCATAACCAGTTTCACGTATATATTCATTTCAAAATTATTTTTTTTTTGGATATCATTTAAAAATTGTTTTCAACATTTTTTTTTCTTTTTACCTGAAACTGATTTTGTGCAAAAAAACATCAAATTGGAAAGACATGTGCGTCACGATTTTTTTTATGTGTTAAAACATCAATTAATCATGCGTGACGAATATATTGAAATGATAATTAGATTTTAAAATAGATTACATAAAAGAAGATTCTTTGTGAATAATTAATATATTAATATTTGTTGTCACGTTTTAAAAAAAGAAAATTTTAATCAAGTGATGAAAAAATTTAGAAAATAATATATTTTATTTATTTTAACGTTCTAGAATTGTGACGACAAAAATTAATTTTTACATTTAGAACTTTTTTTTTCTCTACTAACCTAGTTGAGACGTCTCTCCCGGAAGATAATTCCAAAAACAAGCCATTTTAAAAGAGAGTTGTAACATATTGAATCCTGAGTTTTTATCACACATCTTTCCAACTGAACAGCCTCGTTTTCCCTTTTTTTTTTTTCTTATTTTTAATCAACGAAAATCGTTCCATATTTTATCACAGAAAAGTTTCTTTGAGATTAATACAATTCAGTTTATATTAATAAAAAAAAATCAATTAAATTAGTCTAAATTATGATTCATTACATCGATTACTCTAATTTTGTTCAATTATTCTCATTCACAATAATTCTTCAAAAATTTTTTAAATATTCCTTCAGTTTTAATTTGTCTTAATAATTTTCACAATTTTAATATTATATATCCAATGAAATTATTTTGAGATAAGATTCTTTTTTTTTTTTTTATGAAAAATATTAATGAAAAATAAATTGGCAGTTAGAGAAGAAAATTTGTTTCTTAAATTAATTCTATTATAATTATAATAATTATAAAAGCGTAAAATATTGAGCATATTTTATCCCGAGATGTGAGAACTTGATTTTCGTTTACGAAAAATACTCGAGATTACATTGGCAATTTTCATTGAATTATTATTAAGTGTCATTTCCTTCTCGACGGAAAGTACATTGAGCGCGGCACGACAAAAATCTTGTAATGTTTGAAGTTCAGTTATTGATAAACTCTGTTGATTGCTAAGAACAAAAATATTTCGTCGTATTGTCTCTTTACATTCAAGTCCACGGACAATGGAAAGATTTTTTAAATTTCCCGGATCTTTTGATAATGTGGCAAATTTTACTCCTAAATGAATTCTTAATGTATTACCAATTGATGTTGGTCGTGAACTAAGAAAACCTAATTTTTTATCACGTTTAAATATTAAACGTTGATCCATGACATTCATTAATTTTGCCATACGAACATAAATTTTACCAAGTTTTCCCGGTTTTGTTTCACTTGTCGAACAAATAACTCTAATATGATCCTGTACATTGACCCATATTGCTAAATTACCAGCGGCTGCCAAATAAACACCACGTCCATAGGGCCAATGTTTTCCATGTAAACGTTTTTCATCTAAATCTTCAATTTCAGTAATTGGTGCAAGTAATCCAGCAGCAGCTAAACGAACACGAACATCGCTTGGTCTCTCAATAACTTCAATTAATGTATAATAAGTACCGGGTTCATCTTCACTTGATCCATCGGCAAGAACACCTGATAATTCTTGTCTCATTAAAACTGATGTTATTTCCCTTTCACTATTTTCCAATTGATTGATTGTAAGATTCAATGGCAGTGGATATTTTCCCAAATTTCTACTACATTCAATAACACCTGAAATAATATATTTCCCCGATGAATCGAGATCTGAATTTTGTATTAATTTTACATTTTGATCAATATTATCCACGCGCTCCTTATCGGACATACTGAAGAAATTTGATATAGGATGATCGGGAAGTTCGCCAGTTGCTGTGAGACAATGAATTTCACGTATAAGTGGATCAAAAAATTCTTGAAAAACAATATAACTCTCATAATCGGGAGCAACAACATTTATTGCTAAATCATCATCGTGAATTGTTGACGACGGTGGTCGATGATTACTAAAATTATTCATCATTAAATCATTGGAATTTAATAATTTATTATTGTCATGTATTTTTAGAGCGGGCCAAATCACGTCTAAAAGATTGTGATCCATGCATGTCACACGGTGCTTGAGTCGTTCGAATACAGGCCGTTTTAAGCAACGACTTAATAAATTGCCAGCTTTTGCCGGTGTATTTGGTAATGAGCCACGTCTCGAACCTGCCAATATACGGAAACATCGTTCAAGTGTTGTCAGGATTTCCGGTTCGGTCACATCACGACGTGCTGAATACTTGTCACCACCAGGAACTGTGCTCGTGAGGAAAATTTTATTATCCATTGGACAATATTCGCATTTTTTGTTTTTTACACTCAGAAAAATATTTTTTTTTTAACACCAAGAAGAAAAGAATTTATTTTATTTTATTAAATGTTTTTTTTTGTAATCAAATTATTAAAAAATAAGACAAATTTATTTTCTGAGTGTAAATGTTAATTTCTTAAATTCTAAATTACAAATTTTCAATTATCGTGAAAAATTAACTTTATTCGAATTTAAATATTATACAAAAAAAAAAGATGAAAGTGGTCCAGAATTTTATTACATCTTCTTTTTAAATCTTCTTCCTGAAAATAAAAAGCATACATTCTTTTAAGAAAATATTTTTTTAGAATGTAATGTTTTTTTTTGTTTAAAGAAGAGATAAAAGAAATATCTTCCACTTTCATCTCTTTTGTTCTTGTTCGCTTTTTTTTTCTTTTACTTCAGAAGTTTTTCTTTTTTTGGATCAACAAAGCAGTTTCATAATTAAATCAATTTCAAAGTGAATAAAAATGTAAAATCATGCTACTTTGTGCGCATCTCTAGTGTTAAATTAAAAAAAAAAATTATCATTTTTATTATAGAAATCCCATGCAAAAATTATTCAATTCCAACACTTCACTCGAAAAAAAAAAAATAATTAAAAATCAATATTTTTTTTTTTAAAAAAACTTTGTTAATTCAATATTATTGTATAACAAAAATGCATTTAAAATTGTGCTTTTTTTTAAAAACAAAATACCTTTATCAGTTAACATTTCATCGGCAAGACTTTCTTGAGCTCCAAAACTGCGTAATAATTTTTTATGCGACAATTCTTCTTGATTTTGTTTATAATATTCAGCCTTATGACCCAACTAAATTTAAAATATTGAAAAAAAATTAAATTAATGGAATTTAGATTAATTTTTAATAGAAAAATTAATAACAAAAAAAAAAAATTGAAAAATTCCTTACATTATCTTGAATTTGTGGATTTGCCCCCAAATGTACGAGAAGATTAAAATAATGTCCATTGTCGGCAAGTGTTGCTGCATAATGTAATGGTGTTCTTCCATCGAGATCAACAGCATTCGCTGTCTCGGGAAATCGACCAGCAAAATATCTGCAATTTTTAGAAAAAAAAGAAGAAATTTTTACAAATTTATCTAATTTTGTAGAAAAAAAAATTCGTTTATCAAATATTATTTTTTAAATTATTAACCTAATTATGGTAGTGTGTCCAAAAATTACAGCTACGTGTAATGCAGTTGCACCTCTCGGTGATGATTCGTCCCTTGCGATTGCAAATTTACGACGATCAAGTGCACTTTGTAAGTCTCTTAAATTTCCTTCTCGTGCTGCCATATGAACCGCGTGAATTTTTCCCTAAAGAAACGAAATAGTTAATTAAAATATGAACAATAGAATAGAAAAAAAAAAAAAAAAACGTTCAGTGATAATTAATAAATGGATCATACAATATTTTCAATCAATTTTTTTTAACTGCAAAAATTTTTTGCAATTATTTTATTTTTTAATAAAATAAAAATTTAATTTGATTATTTTAAAATTGAATTCATACCATAAATGCAGGAACATTGTCAATGAATGATTGAAGTTCTGGATTGCTGGTCTGCCTTCCCATGAGTCTTCTGCCTTCGCCATTGAGTACAAGTTCAGCGAGTTGTTCCATATTTCCCGTTTGTGTTAATTGTTCAATTTCTGGATCTGTTTCTTCTTCCTCCAATCCATTTTCATTGGCATCCGATTCCTGAAGATCCTCATGCTCACCAAGAATTACCTATATGAATTGCGCGTTTGAAAATAAAACGCGCATGAACCGGAGAATCGATAAATAGTCACTATTTAATCGTACGCTGAAATCTTGATAAGTTTATCGATTCTTTTCACTTTTACGATGTTTCACCGTATTGTCTCTCAATGAATAAAGGGAAATAGAGAAAAAAAAAACATAATTTATTCAAGAGCGCTGCTCATTTAATTAAATACACCGAAAATTGAAAAATCGAAGGTCATCAAAGTTTCGAATAATAAAAGAGAATAGATTATAAAAAAAATATACATTATTTTCTTTTCTCTATAGATATTAAAAATTAATTAATTATTACAATTTTATCAAAATTTAATATCTTTTAATTAAAAAAAAAATTAGCTCTTTTTTTCTCTTAACGAAAAATGTAAATTAAATTTATTATTAAAAATAACTGAAATTTTATTTTCTTGAAAAATTTTGTAAAAATATGAAAATAACGTTCTGGTTTCGCTGTAATAATATAGTAACACTGAAGCTTGAAAAATGAACAAATACAAATTTCTTTAATTTTACAAAGAAACAAACACTTTATTTTACTTTTTATCAAAAATCAAAAAATTCAGATTTAAAAATTGACAAAATATTAATATTATTAAAAAATTTTGAAAAATCGACTTTAAATTGAAAGTTTTGTTCAATTTTTTCAGCTTTTTGATTTTAGAATAAATTTGCAGCTGGTGATAACACAATCATGCAGTTTCATTAAAAAAAAGCTTGATTTCCAAGAATTTTTTTTTAGAAATCTTTAAAAAATAATAAATAAAATAACTGCTGAATATAAGAAACCCTTTTTTTCTTTAGCACATTTTCCAGACAATTAAAATATAATTTCTTTATTCAAAGCAACTGCGCAAATAAAAAATATTTGTAAGCAATAAATTTTAAATAATTTTCCACAGTGATTAATTATATGCAAATGCTAATAATTGTTAATAACTAAACATTTTTTTTTCATACAAAAAGCCCTTCGCTAATACCGAGAAAAAAAAATTGTGTTTTATATTAATTGAACATCAAAATTTATCTAGACAAATATATTAAAAAATGAATATAATTAACTCACTTGAAAATCATCATTTGCTGGATCATCAACACCAGAATCGCCAGTACTTGCATCAGTTCTTTCCTCTTGTTCTGTATTTACAATTTCATTATTTTCTTTCTCAATATTATTAAAATCATCATTAATGTTTTCCGTATTTTCCAAATTTTCCTCATTTTCAATAATTTCATCATTTTTTTCAATTTCAATGGTACTTTCCTCATTTTCCTCTAAATTATTATCAATCTCATTTGATTCCTCATTATTTTCTGTATCATTCTCAGGTAATGGTGATCCTTGTTCTGGCGATTGAAATTCTGGAGATTTATTTATTTCCTCTTTATCTTCATCTGGTGATTTTGGTGCAGCAACTTCCTCAACCTCCTTCGTCTCGGGCTCAGTCTGTTTCACCAAATCTCTCTTATAAAAATCAATTTTATCAAAAAAAAAAAAATAAAAAAATAAAAAAATTCACTTCACTTTTTCACTTCACTCTGAACGCTGTGCTAATTTTTTTTTAAATCCTTTTGATCAACTTTAGAGTAATTGAATTAAATAAAAAAAAACTACAAAATTTTTACAAAAATAAAAAATCATATTTGGAACATCTTTGTCAAAAAAACTTGTATTTAAAAAAAGAAACAAAAAAGTTAAACGAAAATTAAAAAATTTCACAAATTTCAATTTTAAAAAAATATAAATTTAATTCTTGCAACAGAAAAATTATTACTCAAATTAATTAAAAATTAAAAAAGAGCGTTTTGTGTATTGTGAAAAAAACTCACTGAAATATTTAAATATATTGTTGAATCAAAGTCGAATTTATATAAAAATTCTGTTTTTTTTTTTAAATCCAAGAATAAAATTAATTTGCAAAAAAGAAATCTCAGAGAGTTCTTTGAAAAAATAAACTGGACCTGGTTCAACAATAAATTATAGTACAAAAGAAAGTTGAATTAACGAAAATACAAACACCAGAAAATAGAGAAAAAATATTTAAACTATTGCAATAGAATAATCAAACGTGCTCAATAAAAATAAAATTATTAACATAAAACTACTTCTTAAATAAATAAAATTAAAAAAAAACAATGACTCCTCTTTTTCAAATTTTTACACTATTTTTTTTTTATTTATTATTTTTTCGTAATTTTGTATTTCTTAATTTGAATTTTTTGTGCCTATATTTCTAATAAATTTATCTTTATTTTTTAAAAATAATAATTCATATTTAAAAGAACTAATTTTTTTTTTTTTGTAAGAACAATTAAAATTAAATTTGTCATTGTGAATTTAAAAAAACAATATTCTAATGTGCAGAAAAATTAAAAACTTATGAAATAAATTGTATCTTAAAAAAATATATTTTAACTATTATATAACACATTTAGAAAATGCGCTAAAGAACTTTTCCTTCTAATAAAATAATTTTCTTTTTCTATATTAAAAAAAATTTTAAATTTCTAAAAACGAAATATAGAAAATTTCATTTGTAAATTGATTGCATTTTTTATTTTAAGATAAAAATTTCCAAGATTCTGTCAATCACAGAATTCACATAAATATAATTTTTTTATACATTCTCATGAAAATAAGATTCTTTTCATTCTATATTTTTGTAATTATTTAAATTGAATCTAAAAAAATACTTTTCTCCACTAAAAATTAATAATATTCTACTAAATTCTTTTTCTGTGTTAATCTATTATATTTTTTTGTTTTCAAAAACTATTCTATATTTAAAATTTTGAAAAATATAAAATTTTAATATTATATTTCATTGTAAAATGTATTTTGTTAATTTTTGGTTTTTATAGAGAGCTGTGAGAGTAAAAAAATATATAATTAACAATTGTGCATTGTGATATCAAACATTTACGACAAGGAAGAGCAAAAATTCTAAAAATTAACTTCCATTATTCTATAGAGACACTAAACACACACACACACACAAATAATATGTGGTTATAACGACGAGCACAAAAAGACGTACACTATTTTTTTTTTTTTTTTTTTTTTTGTTTTCAGCTGGCACAACAAAGTGCTAACATTTACAAACAATATGTAACACGTACTTTATGTGTGCCATTTTTCATTTTTGTTGGCGATTCAACATTATCAAAGGTCTCGTCAATCTCAGCGATCTCTGCTATTTTTGACGTGGATTTTCTCATATCACGAATAACATTATCATCTGTTTCCAATATTCTCCAATCCCAATTTTTTGGATATGTCCCAGAAACACGTGGGGCATCGGGAACAATCAAAAGTGCTGACATATCAACATCGGATGGTCGATTTTTATAAAAAGCAGCGGCCTTAAATTTCTGAAATTTTTCCATTGATTGTTTCATAAATTTCGTAATTGAAATTACGAATTGCTAATTTTTGTTTTGTTTGTATAATTTTCAAATTCAAATTTCTTTCACAAACATTTTCAGATAAAATTCCTGTTTTTTTAAAAATAATTTCTAGGATCCTTGGAAATTATTGTTTGTTTTTTTTCAACCTGTTTGCTACTATTTAAATAAAGATCTCAAAAAAAAAATGTTTTTTCAATTTTTAAGAAATTTATAAATAATATATAAAGAGAATTTTGTTAAAATGGAAAAATTGAAATTAATTTTGTTAGTTAAATAATTAAAAATTCTCACATTATCGACTTTTCCCTCATCGGCTCCGAATTCCACGAGTAAATTGTACATTAATCCTTCGTCTTTTGCTGCAGCTGCATAATGTAAAGGAGTTTTTCCATCATTGTCTACCGCAAGAACTGCAGCTGGATACAAATCCAAAACTTCTTTAACTATTTCAACGTGTCCCAAACCAGCTGCCTTTAATTTAAATTAAATTAATTAATAACTTAATAAATGATAATTATTTATTTGATTATTTTTACTATGAAAAATGCGTTTAAAGGAATAAATTTACTTTATGAAGAACATTAAGTCCATTTCCATCCTTGCTACAAAGAATTATTGGTGACACTGGCTCAGCAATTTTTCTCTTGAAACCTTCGATATCATTTTTTATCGTCCTGGCGTGAATTTCTTTTATTGTTCCCTAAAATTGATAATAAAAATTATTGAAAAAGTTCAAATTTAAATAAATTATTCATTTAATTTGTTTAAAAATTAAATGTAAAAGTGTTTAGTATTTTTTTAAAAATATATTAACCATTATAAATGGTACAGCTTCCAAAAATTTCTTAACTCGAGGATTATTACTTGTTTCACATCGAAGTTTTGTACCGTGACCCTCCCATAAGACTCGTTGTAATTTTCCAATATCCTTATTGTGAATCCATATTCTTATGTTTGATGGTTTGAAATCTAAATCTGGAGGAAAAAAAAAATTAAATTAAAATAAATAACATTTAAACAAAAACTAAATTCACATTATAAAACTTTGTCAGTTTTGATGAGTCTATATTTATATAATAAAATAATCTATAATAATATATATCACATATCATTTGTAACAGGAATCTTTATATTTCTCTTGATTTTTAAGATAGATAAAAGAAATTACCTTCACCTAGAAAATGTTTTTTTTTTAATATGCATTTCTTTTATTCGAAAACTGTTTTTAAATTGAAAATACCTTTTTTTTATTATCGATTGTAATTTCAATAATTTGTATCTATCATTGATAAATGATAATTATTAATTAATTATTATTAATAATAATTTATATTGTAGATTGTTTTTCAGAGAATGAAAAACATATGTATAATACTAAGTAAATTTAAGAGAAAAAAAATTGCTTGATAGTTTATCGACTCTATGAACTTCCCTAGTTGCTTTTCCGGAAAAATATGTATTTTAAAGGCAATTTAGTAGCATGCAATGTTGGTGCGATTTTGCATTATTTAAAACGATATAGCGTGCTCATAACAACTGGTCAACAGGAAAATATCTCTCTTTACATTTCCTGTATTATATACATAACGAATAAAATCAGAAATATTGACAATATTGTTTTAATAAAGCAAAAAAAATTTAATAATAATTAAAAATCAAAAGGTAATAAAAAAAATTAAATAAAAATTAAAAAAGTTATAATCTACAAAGAAATAGAATTTTTTTTTTAAATTATTATAACATGCATTAAGTAAAATTCAATAAATTATTAAATTTTCTTAAAACAAAATTGGCGGAACTGCTAAACTCACTGTTTTTCGGAAATTCAGTTAAGGGTTGTTCATGATTGTCGGAGTTATTTTTTAAGCGGCTTCTTCGTCCTAAAATAATAATAAATGCTTTTTTTCACCAAAAAAAATCTTTTTTTTTTTTTTAATACAATAATACAATAATTTATAATTCTAATTATATTTTCATTGTTTCAAGAAAAATTCAAACGTGAAGTAAAGCAGTTCAGCCTAATTTAACAAAAATATTTATTTCTAATTTCCTGTCTATCTTTTAAAAGTAGCTTTTCAAAAAAAAATTTCTTCTTTATTATTATTATTATTATTATAATGCTATTTTCTTTTACCATATAAAGAATTTCAGTAAATATAAAAAATTTCTCATTTTCAAATAAGTTGAAAGGTAATAATTTAGTTCCTATTTTAAAAAAATTCTTATTAGTTTCGTTAAAAATTTTTTTTTAGAAATAAAATTTGTTTTTCAGTTTATTTAAAAAGAAAACGAAAGTTAACATTTTTAAAAAAAAAAGTTAATTCGCAAAATTACAACTAATAATCACGAGATAACTTTTAATTGCTTTACTATATTTTTACAATTTCCGGCATTTTTTCAAAAATCTATATATCGTAAAATAATAAAATAAATCAAATTGTTCTATAAATAAGGCATTGATTTTTTAAAAATAATTCATCTGACTTCATTTCAAAAGGTATTGAGCAGCACAGTTTACTAGATATAATAAATTAATGTCTTATTGATTATAAAGGTTCATTGCAAGCATGTTTCTGGGGCACAAAAATGATAAGTACTGTCCATAAGTCTCTGAACTATGTAGAATTCATTAACAAACGTAAACTTTTTGCCATTGAGAAATAAAATTATATATATATATATACACACTATAGACTTTAATATACAATTAAAATTATAATTTATCATATATTAATATATATTGAGTTTTATTAAACTTAATTATGTCGTATTTAAAATTCATATGTTGAAAAGAAAAGTAACTCAAGAACAAATTTAAATGAGACTTCTAATAATAATAATAAAAAAAAAAAAATGATGAATAAAAAAATTGATTAATTAGCAAAATTTCTGTGTTAGCAAAAAATAAATGACATTTTTCATTATATAATTAATTTTTTAATTAATACATAAAAAAAATCATTTCAATGTAAATTAAAAATAATTTTTTTTTTCCTTGATAAAAATCCAAAGGACTTACTTTCTTTGTGACTGGCTATCTTTCTGCTGTTCATTCTCTCGGTTTCTGGTAATTCAAGTTCAGATTGATGATCCAAATAATAAGCAGCAGGATTTCCTTTTTTATCACAAATACTTGCGTCACAATCAGCTTCTATCAATACATCCCAAACAGAATCGGGATCTCTGCAAGCTGCACAATAATGTAAAGCTGATCTTCCTTCCTGTTGAAAAAAAAAAATTCCTTGTTTTAATTAATTATAAAATTTTTTATTTTAAATTCTATCTTTTTCCTGTAAAATTCACAAAATATTTTATAATCTAATCAAACATAAGATGTATGCAATTTAAAAATATAAAATAATTAAAAATTTATTTTTTATATTAAAATATATTTATAGTTTTTTATTAGATAGATAGATATATAATAATAGATAAGATTTATTTCATTGATGCTAAATATTTAGTTTTTTTTATTATTTTTAATTTCAAAATTTAATAATTTAAAATTAAATTTAAAAATGCATAATTTTAAATTCAAATTAAAAAAAAGAAATCATCTTTTTCTATGAATTTTATCAAAAGATAATTAATTGAGCTTTGCGGGACGAACCCTTATAAAAATATCCGCGACAAAGTGTTAGGGCTTGAATGAGTTGAACACTGATAACTATCGACGGATTTCCGGCCTTTAGGGTAAGAATTTCCTCTTTCCCTTTCTCTATCTCTATCTCTTATATATATATAAATTCGAATCTTTAACACGAAGCTTTACTGCTGAAATATGTAGAGAAAAGAACAGGTGGTTTACACTCTGTGTATATATATATACGATTACTCGTGTCACGCAAATTTAAAATAAAGAGAGAATTCCCGACGATCTCATTTTAATTATTCACAAGATATTTCCAAGAATGTTTGTCAAACAACTTGAATAAATTGCGTTTCAAACAATAAGTGGAAACTATATACCTTGTTATAGTTAAATTAGAAATATTCAAATTTTTATAACTATATCCATAGTTGTTGACAATAAATTTTTAAATCAACAAATAAAGAAATAATTTTACAATTATAAAATAAAAAAAAAACTCTGTCATTTAAACAATTTTTTAAGGAGAGAAAATTTTCTAATTAATTTTTAATAATGTAATACTAAAATAATAATAAAATAAAATTTGGCAAAAATATTACTCTGTCTTTTTGATGAACAGTGGCAGGAAATTGTTGAATAAGCCACTCTACAATATCCTGATGATCATAATAAACTGCTTTGTGTAATAAAGGAGTTCCCGTTGAATCTTTCGCTAAAGGAAATTTCTTCTTTGGCTCTTCTGCTATAAGTTTTTGGCATTCTAATAATGATCCTCGAGTCACAGCATCATGCATTTGGGAAATTTTTGTCTAAAAAAATTTCACATAAAATTAACATATTAATAATAAATTATTACAATTTATATTTTAATATTAATAAATAAATAATTCAATATTTATAATATTGTTAATAATTTTATAATTTTAAAGTCTAAATTTTGTTCATAACTTTTATTGTTAATTAGACTAAGAGTGATTGACCAATATATAGAGGGGGAACAAAAATTGTAACAGCTATAATGGATAAATAAATACTATTATTATTTTATTTTTTTCGATTAATGTTAATAATAATAATTTCTCAATATTGATCTTTTTATGTATATTAACGAAGAAACTTATAAGAAAACAGTTATTAAAGACTTCATTTCAAATAACGTTTACTATTTTATTTCTTCATTCAAATATGGTAAATTACTTTACTAATTTTATTAAATATTTACATGACCCAAATAAATATTTCTCGTGTCTAAATAAATGTTTAGTTTAATTGTGTCACGAATTAAAAAAATATATTTTTGCAACTAAATATTTTTTTTCTAATTAAGAATTTAATATTGATTTACTATTATAAGTTAAATAAAATATATTTTTATGAATTAAAAAATTTATTCAAATTGTTATCAAATAATACAAATTTTTAAATGAAATAGTTACCAAGTAATTTGGTAGTCCTTTAAGAAAAACTCTTGTTCTAAGATCCGGTGAACGTTCTCCCAATAAACGTGCTCCTCTACCTTCCAAAACGACATGTTCGAGTTTTTCGATTTCACCACGATTAAGCCAATGTTTCAATGTGTTTGGGTTCATCTGCGAATCTAGAATTCAAAAAATTATTTTTTAAAACAAAATTTTTATTCCAAAATTAACAAAAAAAAAAATAAATTAACTAATAAAAATAAAAAATAATTATTGTAGAAATCAATAAAAAAAATGTATCGTCAGCAACATTAAGTTCGGTAACAATTTTTTTTTTTAATTATTTCCCGGAAAATAAGTTTTACTTGATGGAGTAAGAAAATTACATATTTGAAAAATAGATTTCCACTTGATTTAAAAAAGAAATTATCAAAAATGTACTTAGTAGAAAAGTTATTTTAAGATATTGAGTTTCATGTTAAAATCCATGAAAATTTGAGGAAATTGACAATATTAATAATGACTAGAATTAAATAATTATTTCCTTTTTTTTTTCGTGTAAATTCAAGGAGTTACACTTCTTTTTCTAAACAAAAGATATGAAAATTGAAAATACATGACTTAGGAACTACAATTTTGTAATTGACCAAATTGACAAGGTATATACATTGAAACGGTGTCAATCGATAAACACAATTTTTTTTAAAAGTAAAAATAAAATTTCTTCTTTTTTCATTTTATAAATAAAATATTGTTTTTCAATTTCAGAAAACAAGAAAGTTTCAAAAAAAAAATTCATTTTATTTATTAATAATTTTTTTCGATTGAAGACATTAAAAACAAATTCAATCTACTTGATTAATTATTAAGAATTTAAAAAAATACTAATAATTGGAATTGCAAAAAATTCATTTATTTTAAAGAAAAATTTTTTTAAATTATTGGAAAATAAATATTTTGTACCGAGTAAAAAATTATTATTATTGTAAAAAGAAACTTTACCTCATATGTGAATTGAATTACACGATAATTGTCCACTTTATGAATCATCGACTTGTTAATTTTTTTTTTGTTAAACACAAATGATTATAAAATAAAACAAAAAATTCTTAACACCCTTAATAATATCACATGTGTCACATGTGAATGTCTAACGTTAAATGATGGATTCCTTATTGTTTGTAACGCCACCTGTGTATTTGTTTATTTTTATTAAAACAATTAGGAAAAAAAAATATAAATAATTCAATAATTTGCAAAAATATGAATTATTTTAATGAAAGTTTATATAATATATATGAAAAAAATATTTAGAAAACTTGAAGGTTGAAATATGTAGAGTCATCAAAAATTGGTGTCAATGTCTAAAGCCGGTTTCTTAAATCGATATACGTTATAAACATTATATCAATTTACATAAATTATATACAAACATACTTTAGCATAAATATAAATTTTTTTTTTTCGTTAATTTCAACGAATTTATAACAACTTTTTTTTCTTAGTGAATTATTTAATTTATTAAATTTCCTTTTTGTTTAATTATTTTTCAGTTTTTTTTACAAAATGAAAAAACATTTATCGATTTATTAAAAAAAAAATAGAGGTAACAAAATTCTATTTTGAATTTCATTACAAGGAAACAAAATATTTATTTTCCAAAAGAAAAAAAAATTATTTGTTTTAAAATGTATATATATATATATATATATATAATAATCGTTTGCTTTCTTTAGAATTGGTAGATTCTGTTTTCCTTTATAATTGAATAACGACATTTAGTTTCTTTAGACAAAGTTTAAACTCATCCTTCCTGTTGGCTAGTCACGTTGCTTGCTTGTTGATACAATTTACTTATTCATTTACCCAACAATTTTAAAATCGATATTTTGCGTTACTCGCGCGGTACGTTGACTTCATGTTATTTATTATTTTTTGAAATTGTATGTAATAATTTACAAATTGGTGTAAAATTATATTAAAAATTATAGCAAAAAAAAAAAAGACTCTACTCAAAAATCCACATTTTAATTATTGAATTTACTTCTTATTAAAATCTAAATTTAATATTTAATTTAGTAATAATTAAAATTATTTAATTTAAAATAATTTCCTTTAGTAAGAATCATAACGAGTGGAAAATATATTTTACTAGTCAGGCTAATATGTCTGACTGAAATGCTTCATTTTCACTTAGAGTACATGTATTACAATTTTATTAATATTTTGATTTTTTTGAAAAATTTCTTTATATATAGTTTTTATTTTTATCTTTACATATTCACTTCATTTTAACATGCACTTATTTTTTATTCTATTATTCGCGGATGAAATAGGAAAAAGCAATTGATAAAAAACTGGAATATTAAATAATAAAAAATTAAAATTCTTTTTTTTGACAAAATCATCTTACCCGAAAATTTGGAATTCTTCAAAAAAAATCTTCTTTATTTAGAAAAGCGAAGACCATGATTTTGAATATTATTTTCCGTAGAAGACTCTCGTTGATGAATTTTGTCGTTTTACAAATAATTTGCATAACACTAAAGAAAATGATTATCAATTTTCTTTTTTTTTTTGAAGCGCACACGTGTTTTAGCGCGGAAGTTTTCAGTGGACAAACATCGTTGGATGTTTGCCGAACGCGAACTGTTTCCATCGACTGACGTTGAAAAGTTTTCCACGTGTCCTATTCCTGTCCATCGTCTATTATTCACCGGCTATCTACAAGAACAATAATCGTCTTAGGGGTCATGGCACGATATATTACAGTACTTGTTCCAAAAAAGGGAACTATATTTAGTCATATAATTAAATATTGTTTCATTTTTTTTCTGTATAAACACAAACTCCAATAATTTATTAAATTTGATTAATTATCAAAAAACAATTATATTTCTATATATTATAGAATTTCGTTAACTTTGAAAGTAATAATAAATTCATGAGAAAACCTAGGTTGATAAATATACATATAATGTAGGTTTAGGTCATAAAGTCTCAGATCAATTCAAAACTCGTTAAGTTAATTCTCGATGTTTCTTAATATTTGTAAATTTTTTTTTAATGATTTAATTTTAAATTTTCTAATTGTTTCATAATGTTAATTGAATTTTTCACAAAAATATAAAAATTTCTTTCATTTTTAATTAATAATTTATTAAAATTCTCAAAATACTTACTATGTTGAATATAGTGTATCATATAATTTTCTGCGAAATTAAATTCTATGGATTACTTTCCCAGTGTGGAAAGGTTTTAATCAAATCGTACAATTTGTTGCCTGGACATGTAGTTAATGAACCTTGTCGATGACCAATTAATTTATAATTATTAAGAATTTCACCTTTGGAAACACCATATTTTATTAAATCCTTCAATGTTTCAATTGCAATTAAATTGGGCTCTATATCTGTAAAAGTTTATATGTAAATTAAAATATCTGATTAAAAGTAACAAATAGAAATTAAAATTTTTTTTTTTGTTTAAACCTACTAGCAAAATCTCCAATGATACAGATTCCGATACTTTTGGGATTATATTTTGGACAGTGTGCTCCTCTTTTGCCCCAACCACGGCCCTCATAAACAATTCCATCCTCTCCAATCAAAAAATTATAACCAATATCACTCCATTTATTATGATCCATATGATAGTTCTGTAATTTTTTAAATTATATCTTCTTATTTTTCACCAATATAATTTAATATTAAATTTTCCAAACTAAATGAATTTTTACCTGAAAAGATCGAACTCGTGATTGACAAATTGCTTGAGAAGTACAACCTGGAGTCGCTGAATGATGTATAACAACGTAAGGAGCTGGATATTGAGGAAGATCATCAACTGGTCCTTGCGGTTTCCTTGCACCCCATTCTGCTCTACTTATAATTTTCAATTCTTCTGTATAAAAGAAAACAAAAATCGTTAGTAAAAGAAAAAAAAATTCAAAAAATTTTAATATTTTTTAAAAATTGAAATACAAACTTGAGTATTCATCAGTAACATTCATTGTTGTTGAATAAATTTCTCGATTCTCCACAACGTAAATAAAATAAAAAATTACTCCAATAATTTTGTACATTTTTAATAATTTTTTATGTATCTAAATTTTATTTTATCAATCGAATATTGAAGAGCACTACTGGTTAAAGACAAGTTCCAAGCGATCTGTGATATTTTTTTTTAAACGGATACGTATATGTGATCAAGGTTCGTTTCCTGGGGTTCCCGGCGTATGATTTTTCTCCTTCTCTTTCTAACTATCAAGTCAATAACTTCACTTATCAAATCATTTTATATATATGTATATTATATAGCGCTTTATTACTCATACTTGATACACAGATGAAATTGCGTAAGTTTTATATTTAACTAATAATTCTAATCACTCAATTACACTATTTTTATTAATCAGAAAAATATTAAAAATTAATAAATTTATAAATTAGAAATTTTTTTTTTATCATTTTCGCAATCACACAAAAATATGACTATGATAAAAAAGTAGATTATATTTACAATTTATAAGTATAAATTATTTTTTTTGTAATTTACTATTTAACAACTATAATACAATAAACATCTGCTTGTAAAAGTTATAATAAATATTTCGTAAAATATAAGACTAGATAAAGCAGTCAAAATTATATGATTATTTTTCAAGATAACAAAAAATATTTTTAGTATTTTTAAATAGAAAATTTAATTACTTAAAATTTGTCTATTTTCTCTTCTTTTACTCTCATTAATGAGATTTTTTTTTACTCATTAGTGAAATTATTTAGTGAAATTAATTCCAAATTAAAATTAATACAATTTCACTTTTTAATAATATTAAAATTTGGAATTAAATAAAAATTATTAATTATTTTTCACTAAAATTGAAATTTTCGAGAGAGTATAATAGTCATTTCTCAGTTTAATCAAACTATATTTCTATAAATATAATTATCAATTATCCTTAATTAAAAAGACTTTGAAGATGTTGATTGCTCGTTGCATTATTTTGTTGATGATCATAAATTGGATGTAGTTTATTTGTCCAGTTTGGTAATTTTTGAATATATTCATAAAAACAAGTTCCTGGACACTCGGTATCTCTCGTCTGTCGATGTCCAACTAATTTATAATCATTTTGAATTTTTCCCATCATTACACCGCATTTGATTAGTGAATTTAATGCCTTTAGAGCTGCTTCATTTGGCAGGCGATCTAGACAAATTAAAATTTTATTTTCACTTTGAAAAATGATTATCTCAAATTTACATTTGAAAAAGATATTTATTTTTTGATAATTATCAAAAATAAATAAAAAACAAATAAATAAATAAAATTTCTTTTTAAAAGTTTTTTAAAAATAAATTACCTGTATAATCGCCAATAATTGAGATACCGATACTTTGCGTATTATATCCAGGTGCATGTGCGCCAACTATATTCCATCCGCGACCTTCATACACATTTCCATCTTCCCCGATGACAAAATTATATCCAATGTCAATCCAGCCACGCTCGTCCATATGTAAATTCTGATAAGAACGCACTATCTCCGAACACGTGTCTTGAGTAAAACAATAATGTTTAATTCCCCCATGATGAACAACAACATAAGGAGTTGGTGAAAAATCCAATAATTTATAATTTGTAACAACACGAGCCTTCCATTCTTCTCGTGTTACAATTCTAGGACAAACTGAAAATAAATAAATGAAATTAATATTTTCAAAGAAAAAAAAAGGAATTTTAATAAAATTTTTTTAAAAAAGTTATTAAATGCAAATTTGAAATTTTTTGTTACTGATAAATATTTAAATTGTAGATATTTTCATTTAAAATTCCATTTTGTCAAAGTCATAACAAAAGGTGAATGCAAAATATTCGTTTACTTATAATATTCAATGGTATAAAATTTAACGAGTTCAGGGATAAATTCTTACCTTATAACTTTCAAGAAACTGTAACAAATCAAGTGAATTCTATAAATTTTAGTGTCGAAATTAATTGTTTTACAGTAATTTTGAAATAAATAAAAATAACAAATTACTTTTAAAAACGATTTTCTCAATTGATGACATAAATCTGTAAATGTAATTAATTTCCATTGCATAATAATCAGATGATATAAATAAGTTTGCAAAAATATGTTACGTAAAATTTTTATAACCAATTTATGAAATAAAAAAAAAATATACATCTTTCTGAAATCGGAAGAATTTAAAAAAAAAAATTAATTGAATATTAAAAAATAGAATTTCAAAATAATTTTGTACTTTCCTGGTATGTTAGAAATGATGTCAAATGAATCATCCTTGACATACTTTCAAATATTTCACTTCATTTAATTGTTTTATATTTTTCACTTTGAAAAAAAAATTTCAAATTCGCAGAAATAAAAAAACATATTAAAAAAAAAAAAAAAAGTCTGCATAATTTGCAATATTGACAATATTCACAGAATTACATGAAATTCTATGAAAGATAAATAAAATGCAAAATTTATAAACAAACATTTCTACGCAGAAATGCAAAGAAATTTTCCAATCATTCAGAAATTATTAAATGAAAAAATGTATTTAATATTTTCATTAATTATTTTTTAATTAAAATTTTTTTTTAATTTATATAAATATAAAAGAACATTAATAAAAATTATTTTCATTCATGTTTTTGGATTAAAATTTGAGAAATTAAAAAAAAATCTTACTGTGACTTTGTTCCACTTCATTGGTTGCGTACGGTTTGCCAAATGCTGTAGTCACATTTTGTAAAATAAACATCACACAAACTGAATACACGATATAAGATATTGAAAACATTTTTTAAAATTATGTATTTTTTTTTTTATTTTGAGGAAACTTGCAGTAACTTATAGTATTTGCAATACAAAATCGACTAAATGCAAATGATACTTGAACGCTCTTTTATAAACACGAAAAAGTATGGCAAACAGTTGGGAAGTCCCTCTCGAATCGTGTTAGGTTCGTTAAAATATTTCCTTCGTCATTCAGTAAGTGTGAACGAAAAAAATTGGCGTTATTTGTTAAGAATTGCAAGTCCTATACAATAAAATATAATTACTATCAGACCGCAAATTCCACGAATGAAAACAATTTAATGACGGAAGCAAAGCGTGTCAACAAAAAAAAAAAAACAACACATTCTTATCGTAATTTTTTGATTGTTAAAACATTTTTTTTAAACAAAGAAATTACAAAAAAAAAACCAAAAAAAGCAATACCCGATTTTCTGATTAACAAAATCTAATCTTATTTTATCTTTCAGATAATGGGGTATATTTTTCGTTCATCAAGTGACGTTAACTGATGAAATCGCGATTTAAAATTTTGTTTTTCATTCCAAAAATAAAAAAATTGTACAAATAAATTTGATTCTACTCGTAAAAAAATAGTTCCCTTCAAGTACACTTTAAAAAAATTAATAATCCACGTGACAATTTATGACAACGGAAATAAATAATTTCATTGTTAAAACAGTAATTATTTCCAATGTCATGGAAATTTTGTAAAAACTTCTACAAAGTAGAATTATCAATTATAATTTTCCTTATATGATAATATTTTACTAGATAATTTACATTTTAATGGAATTAAAAACATACTTTTTTTTATTATTTTCCTTAATAAACAAAATTAAAAGAATTAATTAATCAACTGTTGTTATAAAATTGCTCATTTTGATTTTTAAGACAATGATAATTTTAATAATTTTCTTTAACATTTGGCGATGATTAAGTGTTTTTTTTTTAAATTATTTTTTGTAAAAAAAAAATGAAATTAGAGATAAAATATTTAAATTCTATTAAACTATTTTATTCACATTTTCGCCATTATAAATACTACAAGTAACATGACAAAGTCCTGTTTGCAAATGATTACGTGCAGTAAATGGCTACAATTCACTCACTCATCATATATAAATACATGATAACAAAAGTTATTTCTTGATAGTTATCTTTTATGTTATGCATTGTATTTTTGCACTAAATTGTGAATCCATTTTATTATTTTTCAGGATTCACGTATATATTTATTTATATATTTATATAATGAAGAAAAATAATTACAGTAAGTTTACAATTGAAATTATACTTTGGATACTTTTCTTTTAAAAAAAGTTATTTTTAAAAAAAAAGTTGTAAATTTCCAGAGTAAAAGTATCATTGAATAATTTTTTATACAAGAAAAAAAAAAAAGAAAATAATTTTTTTTTTACTTGAGCATTGGAGATGACGCTAGTTTTTCAAAATGAAGAAATCGGAGAAATTAAAATAGTAATAATTTATGTGTGATTTTAGTATAAAAATAAGAGCTCTTATAAAAATGAGTTCAGTTTCGCTGTCTCTAACAAGAATTTGTAGAAAAAGTTTAGATGAAATTTGATTACTTTTTTTTTCTGATTAAATTACGATTAACGTAATTCGATTTTTTGTTTTAAACTAAAGTCTCGCCGATTCCAAAGTAGAAAAAAAAAATTCGAAGAAAGAAATACTTTTCTTTTTTCCTTTTTCAATGGAATGAAAACGGCGTTAATCTCGCGAAAAAGAGAGAAAAAAAATTCTCCATACAAGATTTCGTTGTCTGCGATCGACAAACGAGAACTATAAGTAGTTTTTATTTTATTTTTTTTTTCAAAATGAAAACGAAGATATTTTTTTTTTTTTTTTTTACTTATCCTACAAGAGCGTCGCGTCCATATTCGATAAGCCAAGAAACGGAAAATTGAGATCACGAGTTAGAATGTTGAGAAGGTGTCAATCCACCAGGATATTCAGGGCTGTGTTTTTGTTTTTTTCTTTTCTTCTCTTTTTTACGCTTCTTTCGTGCCTCCTTCTCCTCGTCGTGACGCTTTTGTTTCTTGTGTTTCTTTTCATGTGTATCCGTACCACCAATGTCGGTGGTAGTTGTTTCCTGTCCACCAGGAACCTCTCCAGGTTTATGCTTATGCTTTTTATGTTTATTTTTATGCTTCTTCTGAGGAGCTTGATTTATATATCGATACTGTTCGGGAAGCTGTAAATTTTTATAAATTATTAATTGAATTAAATACGAAAATTTGATAAATAAGTTAAAAAAATTTCTATAAATTTTACTTACTGGACCAGGATGAAGTCTAAAACCAGCGAGTTGTACACTCGTTAATGGTAAAAGTTCTTTACCACAAATTGGGGGTTTGTCTATTACAGAACGAAGCGAACTGTAAAAATTAATTAATTGTTAGATGAAAATAGAAAAAAAAATTGAGAAAAAAAACTAGATAAATTTATACCTGTTATCTTGATGGCCAGGAGTGTCGATAATACCAGGTAAATTGGGAAGAAATGAAGAGAGCTGTTCTTTGAGCTTTTTTCCGCTAAATTTACTATAAGTATGCTCGAGGCTATGATAGGCCATCAAATTCGTAGCTCCTGTGAGTTCGCTCTCCCCTTAAAAAAAAAGATTTTTTTTTCTCATAATTTTTAATTCAGCTTAATAAATACAATTAAGAAAAATAAATTTATAATCCAGTGAAGAATTGGTCTAAAGTGAGCTAACACAATATTGCTCCCATTTTTGCTTGAGAGAAAGTGAGGTTAGGACATTGAACTTATGTGTGAAAGAGTTCGATAACCCTATATTAATAAGTAAATGAAAATAAATGAAATACTTACCAGGGGGTTCTTTCATTAAATAGAAAGGCCCACTGTGGACGATGGAGGGATTTTTGCCTAGAGAAATCGTCGTTTTAAGGGTCCCAGTCGAGTCTTGACGAGAAACAACAGGGGAGCGAGCACCCCTCGGTGAAGACTTTGGTGAGTATTGCTCCACTTTGCTACGAAACTGATCGCCCATCATCATCCTCCTTCTTTTTACTTCATCTCACCGTTCACTATAATAATTTATTCCTCGATATCGAGCTCGAGTATTGTCAAACTATACACTTCGAAATTGACAGTCTTTGTTGCTGCCATTTACAAATGATGGCAACAATTGTCCGTTTTATCATTCTCGAATAATCGAAACCGCGTTAAAACACATAAAGTACTCATGGTTTATTTTCGTTTATTTGTTTGACAACAACACTTGTTTAATTAAAAATTAATAATTATTAAAATATACCTATTTATTGACGAGAAATTCGTCCGATGACGAAACATCAAAGACGCTCGATACAGCTGCTTATGATTTTGTGTTTCAATGACACTATTCAATTAAATTATACCAAAATTTTATTAGTTACACTTACTCACATTGTAATCTAAACTAATAATTAAATCACTGTCACTAACTACACATTTTACAATGTTTTATTAAATATTAAATTGTCCCATGTATTATTTACAACGTCTTTTAATCCGCCATATTTGACAATAATGCAACGGAAAAAGTGGGGAGTGGACAAGAAATTCTATTGGCTTAATTTTATCCCTCTAGAGGGCACTGTTCAATTCAAATTTTGCCGCTCTTTCAATATATATATCTCTATAGTTGTTGATTTGTCCACGTTGTGTCAATTGATTGTTGATATTTGTAATTTATTTGAAAGAAAATACATAATAAACAAATTGTTTAATTTTAATGTCATAATTCTTTTTTGAATATGCTATATAAATAGTTGCTATTGACAACGTAATACGCATAATCATCAAATAAAAACATAACCTCCAACATTCAAGGTGTCATTTTTGACATTTATAAATTAAACATTTATTATCATTGTCACGATTGTCACTAAAAAATTATTTTAGAAAAATTTAGTCAGTGATTATTATTATTATTAAAAGAAATAGATTATACTATTCAAGTAAGTGTTTCTTATTTAATAATTTATATTTTTGTTTTCTGTTGTAAACATGAAATTATAAATTAAAAATGAATGTACATCTTTCAGGTTTTTACATAAAACGATTTTGTTAATTGTTATCACATTTTCCTTTCATTTTTTTTGGTATGTGATGTCATTTGTATATTGATATCATTTTTCATTTCCTCACAAGTAAAAGTATGAATCAATGTCTCTTCAGTTAATTTGTAGACTCTGCACGGTGCGTATGGTATGTTTATAAAATATAAATTATATATTTAAGTAAACCTCATCGTAAATATTAATTTTACTTTGCCTTTTTAAAGTTTTAAATTTATATATAATAAATAAAAAATATAAATAGAAAATATATAAATTTGTCGATAATTTCTTTTATTGTACTTGATAAAAAAATTTCAAGGAATAACTTACAATAAAGTGTATTCTTTTATCATGTACAAATAAAAAGATTAAATTTTTAAATTTTAAGAATTTTTTAATCTTATATTTACGATAAGATATTCGTTACTTTTAAAAGTTTTAAATTGAATATTTTTAAATCCAAATATCGTTATATTTATTGTTATTAGATACTTTTTTTTAATAATATTCATGTAATGTAAATAATTTTCGTATTGATATTGTATTATTTTAAATCAATTTTTGGAAGACAGGTGAATAAAACATATTCACATGTCATTACATATGTGAATGTGTTTTATTCACCTGTCTTCCAAAAATCGATTTAAAATAATACAATATATATACATATGGAAGAATTAAATATATAATTTGTATTAAATTTTCGTATTGATATTATTAAATAATTACAAATTATACAAAAATAAACAAAATTTGTCATTGTGTAACTTATATATTCTAAATTATCACTTCGATTTGATAACAAAGATAACAGTATGATTCATTAATAGTATTTTGATAAACTGGTTTTTATCTGTTCAATTAGCAGACAATATTTGCTAGCCAAGTGAAATTTTAACTTATGTATTAGAGGTTTAAATGTTTAAAATAAATGTTATTATTTTAAATTTTATTAAAAATAGAATAAAATAGTTTTCTGACCATTTTTTTGAAAATTCTATTAGTGTGTAAATAGTTAAAAAGTATAAAAACGAAATTTATCTTTCATGTAAGTATAAAATTTGTATGAAGTACTATATATATTACTATTTCTAGGATAATAAAAACATAGTTTTTCAGTATTTATCGCAAATAATAAATATTCAGTTTAAAACGTGATATAAATGTAAATTTCTCTTGTACCAATCAAATTTAAACACATTCTTCAATTTATCGTTTATTTAAAAATGAAATTTTGTACACATCAATCTGATTATTGCTGTATAAAAGAAAAATTTAATTTAATTAATAATTAATAATTAATTTTAAAACAAAATAATGGTAATGAAGTTTGTGTAATTAAAATTTAATTTTTTAGTTTTGTTTTGTTTTTTAATAATAAAAAAAAAAAATTTCAGTTTCAGAGATGCAATTATAAAAAATAGAAGAATAATTATAAATAAACATGGCTAGTGGATGGAGAGTTTTTATATTGCTCTTGTGGAAAAATTTTATTGTTCGAAGACGACATTGGTTAGTTAGTTCATTAATTCAAATTGGAATTCCTTTACTTATATTTGGATTGACTCAAATCTCCCGAGACAATATTTCAAAATATACTATCAATAATAATAACCCAGGAGGAAACATCCCCGATGCCAAGGACAAATATTATCCAATATTGTCAAAAGAAGACATGATTTATACAATGAAATACAGACATACTTATTTATATTATGCACCAATAAATAATTTAACTGTAAATTTGATGAACCTTACTGCCAAATGTTTAACGTATCCTACTGAAAGTAAATGTTTATTTTTCTTTAATATTTTTGAAATTTTTTTCCTAATTTTCCAATAATTTTCAATTACTTATTACAGAAATACATGGATTTACTTCTGAAAATGAGCTGTTGAAAAAATATTTTTCATTGGTGGATGATGGTACTTTTTCAAACGTTGAGGCTATTATTTTCAAAAATTCGGATATTAATAGTAAATTATTGTCCTATACTATTAGACCAGAATATATTTATTCATGGTATGATGATAATTTTCTTACATATCAAACTTTCATACCAGAACAAATGTGTCTTGATCAATCGTTCCTACAAATTAAAATGAATAATCCATTATTGGAAACCAATGTAAGTACTTGAAAAAAATTATTTATATAAAATTAACTATAAATATAAGTAATTTAATTCTTAAAAAAAATTGTACTGTTTATTTTAATTAAATTTGAAAATTTATTTTGTTTTTTTGAACTGGTTTTTATTACTTAGATTTCTATGCAACAAATGCCTTCACCAGCACACCAAGAAGAAAAACCTGACATTGATTTTTATATGAAATTTATGTACGCGATGGTTGCAGTTGTTGCATTTTCAATTCAGCTTAATGTGGAAACAACTTACCCTGCACAAGAAAAAATGTTGGGAGTAAATGTACTGTATTAATTTTCTTTTTTATTTTCTAAAAAAAAACTAGCAAACATATCTATTATTTATTAATTTAATATAAAAATAATGTTTCAGGTTTTAATGGCAATGAATGGAGTAAAAAATTATCAAAATTTATTAAGTTGGCTAATTAGTGGATTATTATTTAGCATACTTTATATTATTCCACGTCTTATATTACTCAGTATATGCTTTGTATCATGTCAACCATTTTTGCATTATGGAAATGTTATTTTAGTGGCGATAATGCATTTTCTTAATATACTTCATATTTTGTCCTTTGGTTATCACGTTTCTTCGTATTTTTCAAAATGTAAAGTATAGAAATATTTAAATTTTCTTTTTTTTTTATTGCTTTGTAATTATAAATTTAGTAGTTTTATTGATTGTTATTATAATAAATTATTTTTTTCAGCTATCCTTAGAGCATTGGCGAAAAATTTTTTTTATTTCGGAACATTTGGACTTCAAACATATTTTATTTTTCAAAACAAATTCACTGCAATACCATATATGGGAATATTGTTTCCTAATATGATTCTATTTCGAACTTACGAGGAAATTGATATTTACGAGAAAAAATGTAAGAATTTTCAAAAAAAAAAATTGTTAATTTTTGATTATTTAGATTAATAATTAAAATTGAATTTATTTTTTTTCAGTGGAAGGAGTAAATTGGAATAATATGTTTGTGGTTGGAGATATTAATTATTCTGCTGCTGGAAGTTTAGGAGTCATGTTAATATTTTCAATTCTTGGTACAATAATTCACTTTTTCCTTGCTTTATATGTTTCTGCAATTTTCCCAGGAAAATATGGAGTTGCCAAACATCCATTTTACTTTTTGAAGGTATAATTGAATTAAAATTTAATTAATAATAATTTAAATTTTGTTAATAATATAATAATTATCAAAATTTTAGTTTTTAACGCTAAAGAAAAATTCTTCTCGGGGAAAAATTTGTGATGTCAATTATAATAGTGAAAATATACTTTTCGAACCGGTTTCAAAAGATGTTTATGTTCCTGGTATTAAAATTCGTGATTTAAAGAAAACATATATTACCAGTTGGATTAATCATGCGGTGAGTTAACTATTTTTATTATTTCTCTCATTAAAAAATAATTAAACATTATTGTTTATAAATTATTATATAATTTTATTTTCCCTACAGAAAAAACAAGCTTTAGATGGAATTTCTATAGATTTGTATGAGGGTGAAATAACAGCTTTACTTGGTCATAATGGAGCTGGAAAAACAACAATGATGTCAATTTTAACAGGTTTTTTGTCAATCAATATTTGCAATAAGTAGATTTAAAAAAAAAAACTAAAAAAATATTTTTTTTTAGGTTTATTGAGTCCAACAGAAGGAACAGTTCTTATAAAGGGAAAAAATATTGCCAATGAAATGGATAAAATTGTTACTGATTTGGGACTTTGTCCACAGGAAGATATTCTTTTTCCCGATTTGAATGTCTTTGAACAATTAGAATTCTTCTGTATGGTAAATATTTTACATTATAAATTTTAAATTGAAATACAATTAAAAAAAATAATTCAATTTTATCGTTATAAAAAAAATAGTTGAAAAGTAAAAACAAATCAAGGGCTAATATAAAAAATGAAGTTGATAGCCTAATGAAGAGTTTGAAGATTTTTGAAAAAAGAAATGAATTACCTCCTAAACTTTCTGGTGGTCAAAAGAGAAGAGTTTGCCTTGGAATGTCAATAATAGGTGATGCTTCGGTAAGTTTTTTTTTACACTAGTTAATTAATTTTACAACAAAGGAGATAAATTATTAATTATTTTCAGACATTAATTTTAGACGAACCCACATCTGGAATGGATCCAGAATCAAGAAGAGAAGTCTGGGATATCTTGTTGGTAGAGTAGAAAATTAGTTATTTTATTATTATGTCAAAGATTTTTTTTTAATACAAATGAAATTAATAAAACAAATATATAATTTTAATAGGGAATAATTTTTTTTTTTTTTTAGAAAATGAGAGGAGAGAAAACGATTTTGATAAGTACACATAATATGGAAGAGGCAGATATTCTTAGCGATAGAACTGCTATTATTGAATTAGGAAAATTAAAAAGCTACGGCACACCTTTGTTCCTGAAAAAATATTACGGTTAATTTATTTTACAATAATTACGTTAATGTGTTTTGATTTTTTATTTATTTCTTTTTTATTTCTTTTTATTAGGCGAAGGTAACATGGAAGTAACGTTGTCTACAGAAGAGGAATACGACATTGACGAAATTAAAAATCAACTACCGGAGGAAAGTCGATTAATAAATACTGATGCTGGAAAAATGGTTTTCAGTGTTCCTTTCACTAATCGATTGCCCGATGTTTTGGACAGAATTGAACAAGAAAAAGAAAATTTAGGAATTAATGGAATTAGTGTTTCGCTAATAACTTTGGAACAAGTTTTCCTTCGGTATTCATAATAAATTATTTATTTAAATATTCTTTTGAGATATTAATTATATAATTTTCTGTAATTATAAAAATTAATTTCTTTTTCTTTAATTAAAGGGCAACAAAAGAGGATAATGAAAATTTGGAAGATGAAAATTTTTCTATAGAAAAAATTGACAACGTTGAAGGATTTCAACGTTTCTGGCAATCATTCATTGCGCTTATTTTGAAAAAATTTTTATTCATGAGAAAAAACATATTTACACATTTATTCATGGTATGAATTTATTTATTTTAAAGAAAAAAATAATTATTTATTATTAGGATATTGAGATATTTTTAATTTTCACAGATTATCATTCCTATAATTAGTATTTTTACACTTCAATCGACATTCAATAGCTTTGAAGATTTGGAGAAAGTTTCCTTTCGACTCGATAGCTACAATAATCCTCAAGCTTTCTATTCTTCGAATGATGATGGTTATGGACAAAAATATAAAGAGATAGTTGAAAATTTATATGGAAAAACTACACAAATCCATGGCAATATCACTGAAGGTTCGATTTTAATTATAAACGTTTGAAATTAAAATTATTGATCTTTTTTTTTTTTTTGAATTATAATTTATGTTTAATTTGTTTTAGCTATTATGAAGTTTGGTAAAGAAAATTATAACGAATATCGAAATAATTTAATTGTTGCCGCACAGTTTAACATTGATAATAATTCTTTAATTAAAAATGCGAATGCTTTATATTCAAAATTTCACAATAAGAATGTGCCGATAGCAATGAATTTGATTTCTAACACGATTCTCAAAAAATTGCTTGGCAATGAATATCAAATTGATGTGTCAAGACAAAAACTTCCTTTAAAATATAATTATAAATTTAATCAAACGGATATTGTTCTTAATTATGTGAGAGCATTTTTGTTACTTTTTTGTCTATGTTCAACTTTTGCTCTCTATGTAATTCAACCATTAAAAGAAGCAATTACTGGATTAAAAGAACTTCAAAGAATGACAGGAGTTACGTCCTATTTATATTGGGGAAGTTTTTTCTTATTTGATATTCTTTTCTTTTTATTCACAATTATTATTTATTTAATTGGACTTTATATAATGGATGTCAATGATAATCTACAATTATTTCATGGAACTGAATTAAGTAAGTTTATAATTTATTTTATTTATTAAATTTAAATTGAATCTTTTTATTTTATTTAATATTTTATATAAAAAATAATTTATGTTTACAGGTATAATGTTTCTCTTATTGATATTATTTGCATTTAATATGCTGCCGTTTGTTTATATATTCAGTTTTTGGAAGAAAAAAACTAACATTATCATAACTATCTTAACAATTTTACCTCCATTAATCGGTGAGTATATTAAAATAATTTTTAGAATGTTCAAATTATTATAAATGATAAAAAAATTAAAAAATTAAAAATGGAACTTTAAAAATTTTTCAGTTGCATTAGAAGCAATTATTTTTGTAATTATGTTATCAACTTCTGGTGACTTGAAGAAAGCTATGGATCAACGAGTAACTGAAAAAAAGTTTTTTATGTTGATACCGTCTGTAAGCTTCTTTTATGGACAACATTCTTTCTTTGAAACTGCAAAAAAAAATGCTGACTGTCGAAAAATACCAAAATACTATTTAGATATTGTTTGCCGATCTTCTAAAAAACACGATTGTTGTGGTATGATCTTATTTTAATTGTATTTATTAATTATTAATTTATTTTTATTTATTCAATGTCGATAAATTTTTTCTTTTCATTTACAATGAAAATGTAATGTGTGTTTAAAAATTTCTTTGAATTTAAATTTTACAGCTCTCAATTGTTCGGATGGAGTTTGTGAAAAATATTTTCCGTATTTTAATAATTTCGAAAAATATGATAGTTTAGAAGAAAGTATATTATACTTGTGTCTCACTTCATTTCTTTATTTCGCCATTGTTGTCATATTGGAACATAAATTAATTCAAAAATTATTTATGATGCTTAAAAAAAAGGTGCAAGGCAATGTTAATGATAAATTAGACGATCAAGTAAAAGCAGAGGAGATTTATGTTGCTAATGAAATTAAAAAATTAAATAAGCAAGGTAAAGTATTTTTTTTTCAATTAGAAAATATAATTAGAACAAAAAATAATTTTCCTTTTTTTTTACAGGCGAAACCTTGCAAACGCAAAGAAATAATTTCTTTTTGAATGGTAATGGAGAAAATCATTCAATTTATTTGGCATACGAATTAAGTAAATCTTATGGAAATCTTGCTGCAGTGAAGAAAATTAGTTTCAGTGTAAAGAAAAGGGAATGTTTTGGATTGTTAGGCGTTAATGGTGCTGGAAAAAGTACAACATTTCGATTGCTTACTGGTGAAGAATTTCCCAACAGTGGTATTATGTATTTAAATGGAAAAGACATTTCAAAAAATAGGCGAGAGGTATATTATTTTAGAGTTAGAAAATCTTTTTTATAGAACATCATTTTCTTAAATATCTACTTTTTTTTACTTACAGTATTTATCTCAAATGGGATACTGTCCACAAAATTCTGCTCTCCTTAATTCATTGAATTCTGAAGATCATTTAAAATTATTTGCATTACTCCGAGGTGTACCAAGAAGTCTTGTATCAATTGAAGTTGCAAATTGGATAAAAAGATTGAGTAAATATTAAAAAAAAAAATAATAAATTTAAATTTTTTAAAAATATTCATTTTTTTTAGAATTAAATCGTTGTTCGAAACAACCAAGTGGAACGTACAGCGGTGGAAATAAACGTCGATTAAGTATCGCAATTGCTTTAATTGGTAATCCTAATCTTGTTTTAATGGATGAACCTACAACTGGAGTTGATCCAGCAGCACGAAGATATATGTGGCACGTGATTAAATCCTGTCAATTAGGAGGACAATCAATTATTCTCACTTCTCACAGGTAAAAAAAAAGATGTCTTCAATTATTATTATTTTTTTGTTTTAATTAAAATTAAATCAATTCTACCATTTTAGAAAATAAATTTTAAATTTTTATTTACTTTAGCATGGAAGAATGTGAAGTTCTTTGCAATCGATTGGTAATAATGGTAAACGGTCAATTTGTTTGTATTGGTCCAAGTGAACAATTAAAACAAAAATTCGGTGCTGGTTTTGATATAAATATAAAATTAAATCCAGAAAGAACTGATGAAGATGTGCAAAATATCAAAAAGGAGATTGAAAATTTATTAGAGTGTGAACATCGCGATGAACATGTTGTGAGTATTAAAAATATTTCAAATATTTTATTTGAGAAATTAAAAAAAAAATTATTTCTTAAATTTATTGAGAATTAATAACAGTTTAATGATAAAATTAATCCATCTAAGCCAAGTTATATTTCTAAAAAAGTCAAGGTTTTACAAAAGTGATTATAGTTCAAATAGAATTTAAAAATTTTATAAGCATAAAGTTCAAATGAAAGTCTCAATTTTTCAAGGAAATAGAGAAGGTCAGTGTGAGAATAATGTACATACAAAAATAATGTGGATCGTGCGCCACTAGATTTCGTGGCTCGAAATATATTTTTTGTCTATAAATTGTTCGATCACTCACAATTCTTCAGTTAATCTGACGCAACAGTGCCGATAAGATTTAATAATTTTACGTATATTCTAAATATCTTTTTACGCAGTACTTCTTAATATTTTCTGCATTATAATTAATTTTTGAAAAATATTTTTTATATAAAAATAAAACTAGTTCTGATGAGAATGGTTTAATTGTCAAAAAAAAAATAAAATAATTGAAGTGTTTTATTTCTATCTTGACTTGGATGGATTGATCTTCTTTTTCACCACAATTATATAGTTAATTAATAAATATTTTCTAACAGGGTTATATAACTTATCATATTACCAATTCAAGAACAAAATGGAAAACCATGTACAGTGTAATGCAACAATTAAAAGAAAAGTACAATTGTATTGAAGATTATTCAATACTCTCAGCAACATTAGAGCAATTATTTTTACAATTTGCTAGAGCTGACAAAAAACCATTAACTGTTCAAGTTTAAAAGTGCTTTAGATTTTCTTTATTAAAAAAATAAAGAAATTAACAATTTTTTTTATACGTAAGAAAATTTATTAAAAATAAATTTTTTTTTTTCATAATTTACTGGAAAAAATGGTAAATTCAGAATTTAACGCGTGAATAAAACAGGAAAGAAAATAAAAAATATATATATATTTATAATAAAATAATAAATCCAAAGACAATATCTAGTTAAAGAAATATTAAAGAATAATAAAATAGCACAAATAATATTTACGATTATTTTTCATCTAATACTTTTTTTTCAGTATTATTGACTTACTTAAGTATTTATTTCAAATAACTATATTTACAGAGAGATAAGATATAAAAAGTTGTGTGATATGTGTTTTAATTTTGATGACAAATACAAACAATGTTTTACAACGAAAATATAAATACTATTTTATAACTACTTTATAATAAATGAAATAAATTTATGCAAAGTTAAATAGGAAAAAAGTGCAGAATTTGATAAAGTTTTATTAAAGTCAATATTGTGCTGTAAAATGCACTTTGGTCAAAAACCTATTGTATTGTTTAAGTATTTACAAATAAATAAATAAAAAAGAGTGTAATAAGTGTAGATGTTTTATTTAAAGAAAAATAAAAAAAAAAAAAACTAAATTAAAAAAATAATAGAATATTATTTTTATACATTTTTATTTTTAGTTCTTTATATCTTTTGGAGTAGTAAAACGTGCTGATCTAGTAATTTAATATCAAAAATTCAATTTTATTTGATAGTGAAAAATGTCATATCACTGTTTTCAATGGACAATCACAATAATATTTCCTCTATTTTGTGTAATTTTTTATCTATATTCAAAATACAAACTCACCTATTGGCAAAGAAGAGGCGTAAAAGCACCATATAAATGTAATTTAATTTTTGGAAGTTTCACTGATACATTAACATTGCAAAAGCCACCGGGAAAAATGTTGCAAGATATTTATGAGAATGCCGATTATAATGAACCATTTGTGGGATTTTATATTTTTCACAAACCAATGTTGATGTTGAGAGATTTAAATTTAATTAAGCAAATAATGGTAAAGGATTTTGATATTTTTCCAAATCGACGTTTTGGCGGTGCTAAACAACGTGATTCATTGGGTTTGATAAATCTTTTGGGAATACATCAACCTGGATGGAAATATTTACGATCGAAAATGACGCCAAGTTTGACGGGATTAAAATTAAGAAATATGGTACCGTTAATGACAAATTGTACTATTCCACTTGTGAATTTTATTGAAAAAGCAAAAAATAATGATAATGGATGGAAGGAATTTGAATTGAAGGATATTTCATCGAGATACACGACTGATATTATTTCTTCAGTTGCTTTTGGAATATCGACAAATTCATTTAATGAGAATAATGACGATTTTTGGAAAGCAGGTAAATATTAATATTGAAATTAATTAATAGAGATGGATTAATAATTATTTCTTTATTTTCAGGACAAAAAATCTTAACTGGTTTAAAAAGAGGAATTACATTTTTAATTCTATTCTTTGTCCCAGATTTGTGTAGCTTAGTGCTACCATTTTGTACAGAATATAGTAAATTTTTTCGTAAAATTTTTTGGGATTCCATGAATACTCGAGAGGAACTTGGCACCAAGAGAGGAGACTTGATAGATTCGTTTTTAGCCTTAAAAAATGGAGAACAATCACCGGAATTCAGTATGTAATTTTCATTTTCTTCAATTATCAGTTTTTTTTTAAAAATAATTTTATAATTTTCAGAATTCGAGGGCGATAATTTATTGTCTCAGGCACTTTCATTTTATGTTGCGGGTCTTGAAGCAACATCAAGTACAATTGCATTTTCACTTTATGAATTATCTCGTCACATTGAATATCAATCACGTCTTTATAAAGAAATTCAAACACATCTTGAAAATGAAGAATTAACTCTTGAATCGATAAATAAAATGGAATTTTTGGATCAAATTGTAAATGAAACATTGAGATTGTATCCTCCTCTTCCAATGCTCGATAGAATTGCCAGCAAAGATTATAAAGTATTGAAACAATTTTTTCTTATTAATAAATTAATAAAAATATTTAATTAACAAATCATTATTTATCGACAGGTGCCAGGAACAAATTTAATCATCAAGAAAAACATTCCAATTTATGTATCGATAAATGGAACAAATCGTGATCCTAGATATTTTGAAAATCCTAACGAATTTAATCCATTGAGAGAGAAAAATGAAATGCAAGATATCACAAGTACTTCGCTTGCTTTTGGTCTTGGACCAAGATCATGTATAGGTAATTTCTATAAAAATGAAGAAGCTTAAGAAAAAAATGTCCATTTTTAATAAATTTTTTTTTCAGGTCAAAGAATTGGTCAAGTTATTACAAAAGTTGCGATTATCACAATTTTAAAAGAATACATCCTCTCGCATAAGACGAAAGATGAAAATTTATTAAATCCAATTAATGTGTTCACAACTGCCGCTGATGGGGTTCACGTTCAATTTAAAAAGCGAACCAATTTTTAAATATATGCGGAAAGAATTATGAAAATAAATAACCACTGTATTTTTTAATGACAAGACTAAACAATTTATTGCAAAAATGACGATATAATTTCTTCAATAAATTCGTCTTAAAAATTAGCTAACGCAATAATTTAAGCGAAAAATTTGCTTCTCGAAAAACATTTAATCGATTTTTTTTGACATCTCATATTATAAATTATGGACAGTCGAAGCATCCTGGTGATTGGACGACATTAAATATGTATATAGATATATATTTAAATATATTTTAACACAATAATTACAAAAACAACAAGCGCTTAGACAGCGGTAGTCTCAATTGACTTAATCACAGAAAGTTTTTGGCGATAATCATTATTACAGACGCATGTCTTTGAAAAAAAAATCACCTTAACTCTTTTTTCCTTTTGTATGTATATATGTAAATCTTTGTACGAAGTGCAGCAAACAATTTCCATAATAACATGGAAAATATTTTTTCTTAACATTAAATATTTTTTTGACTAATATTTATATATATATATATATGAGTATAAATGACATGCAAAAAATTTCATGCTTCATTTTTCTAATATCGCCAAAAAAAATCCTATTTATATAAAACTTAAATTAACAATACAGTTTCTTGATTCTTAGAGCGACGACGATATGTAAAAGATTTTTAACTAGAATATAATAAATACATTACCAATGATTTTATTGTGTTTGCGATTGATTATCCTGATGATCATGTGCGTTTTCATTATTTTCATTTTCTTGAGGTAGCTCAGCCTTTGTGGCTAATTTTAATACGTGCACCCATCTGTGATAATAATTTAATTAATTATTTAATTAAAATAAATTTATTTCAAATTAATTAATTACAGTAATATAATTATTTATTTAGAATTAAACTTACTTTTCTTTGTTTTCCTGCGACGATGCTTGAAGATAATAACCCTTTCGTGAATGATGGATTTTAAAAGCTTTAATTCGATCTTTAGAATTTAATGGATCATCGTCGGGCAATTCTTTTCCCTCGATTACTATAAAACCAGGCAGTGGAGTTGCAGTCATTGCCATATTTTCTGAATCCGATTTAAATGTATATAAAACAAAATCCGTGTGAAGGGAAAACCATCTTCTTGTCCAATGTTTACTTGCTTGTGTTTTTAATAATAAATAACCGGAAAAAACCGATGGTGCACTTGCTGAGACTTGAAGTAAACTTGGAACTGGCGAAGAGGGCGATTTTGTCAATGGTTGTGTCAACGCTGCATAACATAATCTACATACTCTCATATGTTTATTGTCCTCGAATAATAATTTTTGGTTTGAGCATTTGCTACAGACAATCTAAAAGTCAATTAAAAATAATTAAAAATAGAAATAAGAATTTTATTTAAAAAAAAAATTTTTAGTATCACTTACAATTCCACACGATCTACAATTGTGTCTTCGTTTCATAACAGAGAATAAAGTTTCGCACACCATGCATCTGTTAACGTCGTCAATTTTAACTAAATTATTTTTCTCTTCCCCTGTTTTTAAACTCGCTTTTCGTCTCATAATCTCGTGCATTGTCTCAAAAAGTGCATCGAGCCATGCGGCTTTATCAGCCGCTGAATGAGTATATAATTCAACATTTTTATTATCATCTCTTATATAAAATGTATTAGCAGTTTCCAAATTATCGCCCTCAATTATTTCAAGATTTTCCACTAGAAATTTTGCTCTCAAACGATACATAGGTCCCGGAATCAGTCTCAATGAACATAACAAAAGTATGTCGCTAAACTAAAAAAAAAAATAAATAAATAAATTAAAAACAGAAAAAATTAGATAGAGAAAAAAAAATTATTTTTAAATTACTTTTTAAAATGAAAAATTAGTTTTGTAATTTAAGGGGGAAAAAATTGCAAACTTACTAGAAATAAATGCCTCTCTTGATGATCTCCACTTCGGGCTGATATTTTAACGATCCGTCCCTCTTTAACCAGCTCACGTGTCGCACTAACTAGATCAGTTGAATCGTAAATGCTCTCTTGAATCTCCAAGAGTTTCTTGAATTTATCGATTTTCTTCATAGCTTCATTCGTATGATTCGCTGCCGTTGAAACTAATTCCAAAGCCTCTAAAAAAAAAAAATACAGAGAAAATTAATATTAAACTGTAATGAATGATTAATTCCATTTTAAAAAATTTTTAATTATTAAATTATTTTATTACTTTTTGTATCTTCATAATCAGGATTATCCTTAGAAAGATTCTTTAAATAATCTTTAATAAGAAGCTCATATCTTGGTAATCGTTGAATTGGACTCAACATATGATGTGACAATGTCAATTTTCCACATTCCTCAAGTTTTTGTATTTCATTTGTAATTGCCGCAAATCGTGGTACTTTCGCTTGTAAATTATTAATAAGATTCATTGCATAATCAAAATTTTTCACATATTCCGTGTACATTTTTAAAAATGGTGCAAAATTCTTCATAATATCGCCAATACGCGAATTACTATCCCATAATTTCATTCTCTCTTCAAGTTGCGGTAATAAAAAATCATTATGAAATTTATAAATAGATTTAATATTAGAAAACATATGTTGAACTGTTTCGGGTGGAAACATTGGATGTGCACGATTTTCTTGATCAACACGAAATTGAAATACTTGATCAATTAAATGAAGTATATTAACATATTTTTTTTCCGTTAAAAGTAATTCCTCAGCTACTTGATGTGCCTTTTTTTTCTTTGATTGTGAATAATTTTCCTCTTTCGTTGGCAATAATTTTTCATTTGCCAAATCATTTGGTTGATCAACAATAGCTGTGTTTTCCGTCGAGCGATTTTCATCGGATTCTTCTTCACTTTCCGATTCGCTTACTGCATAATCTTCGAGAATAAATTGATGCGAACTTCTTTCCGCTGCCTTGTATCTATTTTGAAAGGAAAGAAAAAATTGTTTTTTTCAATTTGATTTATTTTTAATGAATTAATTTCGAATATAAAATACATTTGAAATTTAGTTGAGAAATAAAAAATTCTCTCTTTAAAGTTTGATTCACAAACACATTGATGGATTGTATATATAAAGTAAGTAGATAAAAACGTGCCAGATGCTGAGTTCTTTGAAAAACTATTTTTAGCTACATTCTTAAAACCTTTGAATTTTATTTTTTGATAAGAAAATATAATTTGGCAACTCTCAAGACGATCATAATATTTTCCATCAACATAAAACGCGAATAAGCGAGAATCGACAAACATAAAACAAACATAAAATTTACCTGCTACTGTTGTATTCTAAAACACTGTGAGAGACTTTAACAAAGGAAGATTCGGAAGTGATTTTCTCCGATCGGATTTCCGTGCAAATTGACGAATTTGAAGTTGTGACGAGAAATGATTGAAATCTGGGACAACTTTGTAATCGTGAAATTCTATTATATGGATGTTTGGGAAAATTTTGTTCATCCTGAACACCGCCAGTTGAATCTGAATCCTGCGAATTGCCATCCTCACTTGCACCACTCTGTTGTTCCAAAAGATGAGAATTTCTCGTTGTTTGCGATTTATTATTCTCATTTTCACGAGACGTTTCGTCGTCATCGTCAAAGAGATCAGTGTAAAATTTACTCGTTGAACCACTTATTTTTGAACTAAACATTTTGGACGTGTCCGTTTTATTAGTCCCGATGAATGGCTCCGGACACACATGAACCATTCAGGATAAAATGTCTCTCAACTGACCTCGTAGCATCCTAAGATCAATGTGTTAATTAAACTATCAATTATCAGACTTTTTATCGATAACATCGCTAAATAATATTTAAAAATACAATCTAATGAATGTCATATTAAATGCTAGAAATTTCAAAAAATTATATAATGGAAATTAGAAATAATAGAAAAAATTATAAATATAGGAAAATATAAATTAAACCTTTATAAAAAATACAAATTGACGTGTAGTAAGTAAAAAATTAGCATAAAAATAAAGACAATTGACAATATTTGATTCAATGTAACGAGACAATTGTTAAATGATGTAATTATTAAATTACCTTGTGCGTCGTTGTCACTAAAGCACCTGAACGTCAGGAGATTAATAAACAATCTCGTTGACATAATTGACAATAATTAAAAAGTGTTTCACGTTTCAACAAATTATTAAATTTCATCAGAGATATGATTAAAACTCAAGTTCATTCGAATCCTCAATTGAAAGGAACAAAAGTTACTCATTCTTAGCTCATTGTAGATAACAAGAGAAAACAATGAATTTTATGATAAATATACAAGACAAATATAATATAATTGACAAGGTTTTAAATCTCTTACACTATAGAAAAATTCAATTTCTAAATATTATTTAAATAATATCCACGGCACTAATTGTCAAAAATTTCAATATCACAAAAAATCCCGCCCTGTCAAAAAGAAAAAAAAACTTTTCACTCAACGAACGCCCTTGTATGAATAAACGTTCCACAAGTAGATTTTTGCTTGTTATCTTATTAATACATAGTCAACTTGATTAAATTGATCTGTTGATTTGTACGTCGATGCGACGATGCGATGTTACGTCGCGTGTGGTTGAATCATAATATATACTCAGTATTTTTGCCCCTCCTCATATACAAATGTTTTATTTCTTTTTATATTCACAATACAGGTTAGGAGATTTTAATGACAGAAGCACGACGAAATGACAGCTTATGACAGTTTGACAGTTTCAAAACATAACCTCACTTATTGACACAAGTGCGCATGCGTCACATATGTCAAAATTTACACTAAATTTGATTGGTTCGTCTTGGAAAGAATTTTCAAAAAACAGGGTTGGACAGTTAAAAAACCTATTTGTTTCATGAAAAGGCACCCTAATATTTCATTGTTATGATCCAACCCTGTTCAAACAACACATATAAAAAAATAAAAAAAAAAACACTACTGTGGGAACGTCAGCTATAAAGTTGATATTTTACAAGATATTATTTATGTAAATAATACAGACTGCATTATAGTTTTAAGTATAAATATTAAAAACAGTGTTTAAATTTCTAATTATTGGAAAAAGTAATTTGAGCGTGTTTTAACATGTTAATATTGAATAGAAAGCACTAAAGGTATGTTCTGATTATAGGAGACAGTATATTTATATTTTTATTAATACCTCCCACAAAGTGTTTATCATATATACTCATTATATTCAGAACATGAAAATTAATTACACAAGAAGATGTTTTAACAGAAAAATAATATTTAGTGACAATGTTAAACACATTTTAGTTTATTCCGGCCTTGTTTATAAATCAATTATATATATACATATAATTAATTAGAAATGAAGATGAATTCAGAATGTGACATAACCTATACTTATGTATATATAGGAAACTTCAAATTATCGACGTAATTATGAAATTTTCTATCATTTATTTATAGAAAACAATTTTTAATGCATGCTTTTTCAAAAATCGTAATTATACACACACATATATATATAATTGTTATCAAATTCAATTATTGTTTTAAAACGACAAATAGTTGCTGAATCTATTAACTTTCTATATTAGAAAAAAGAGGTTTTTTTTTTTTTTTAAATTTATAGATTATACAATTTTTTCCTTTTGTGTTTATAATAAGAATTTAAATTTATTTAAAGAAGTTAACGATTTACAATGTCAAATGTTATTTTATTAATAGTTTCAAACAAACATCTGTCAGTTTAATGCGCAAAAGGATAAGTAATTTGATTATTTTGCTTTATTTGTGTTTCAACTTCAGAATGATTCAATGAATTTTTATTTTTTCGTAGTTGACACCAAAATTTTAATGTTAGAAAATAAATTATTTCCATGAATGATAAAACACTAAAACCCATAAAAAGGCCAAGTAGACCGCCAATATTAGCTGAAATTAAATTTTCATTGAAAAATTTTTATTTTTTCTCAAAAATAGTTTAAATACTCACATAGGAATTCAGTAAATCCGAAAAGTTCTTGTTTGACAAATTTTGTGAATTGAGAATCAACAAAGAATAGATGTACAACGGCCATATTTTCCCTAAATTAAAAAGTGATTAGAATTATTAGAATTTACAATCAATAATAAATAAAAAAAGAATGGAATAATAATAATATTTACGTGAAGTAACGTTGATCCTTTTTTATATAAAAATTGTCTATATTAAAATTCGGCATCAAGGCACTCTGTGATATCTCAGTGGTATAACTAACTTCAAAACATCCTGGCCAACAATTACAACTTGGACTGTAAATTTGTATATTTAGAAAAATTTTATTTTTATCATTAATCTTTTTGAATACAAAAAAAAATGGCTATTAATCTTACGTTTCTGTGATGTTCAGTTGACTATTTGTATTTTCATCATCATAAAGTTTTTGTTCCATTGCTCTTCTTGCTTGAATTGCGCATTGATCATCTTTTTTTCCACAAATCGATGTATTTAGCGATTCTGCAGGAAAACCATTTTTTTTTTGAATTAAATAAATTTCATTTTTAATTAAAAAACTTTAAATAAATAAATAAATAAAAAAAAAATTAATCTTACTCGGCATATAATATTGTACGCATTGACAAATTTGTTGAGTAAAATTTGCCTCACATTCGAGAAAACAATTTCTCTGCGTATAAGTTCTATAAAAACGTAATCGTCTCTCGGACGTGAAGAAACATTTTCTTTTTTTCTTTGGTATTTTAAGTATCGTTTTACTTGCTACCGAAATATGTGGACGTATTATAACGCGCGTTTCTTTACCCGGTGAAATGCCAAATGCAAAATCTGCTATTTTTGGAGTTTCAACTGGATTATGCAGCAACATCTGCTAATTAACAATTAAATTTTAATAATTTACTAATTTTTGTATAATTTAATTTTATTTTTCAACCTTAAATCCAACACTGGCAGTTGATGAACAATAATATTCATCGACATTTGCATCGAGAACTAATGTTAATCCAAAATATTTTCCAGCTCCATAAGGTCTCCATGGTACAGAATCTGGTGAAATATTAGAGTTGTATCCTGTTTCAGGTGTCCAGTCAATAATTGGAAATGGGTATGTGACATTTAAATCAGTTGATTCTTTTCTGAAAATTAATTTAAATATTTATAATTTAAAAAGAAGAAAATTAGATAAATTTCATTCTCATACTCACGGATTGAAGAATATAAAATTTCGATGTACAGAATTAAAATTACAACACATTCCTTCGTCAGTTAAAGTGGGATTAAATAATTTTTCGCATTCAAATTTTAAACCATGCCATTGACAATAGTGAAGCATTTCATTACAAGATTGTGATACCTACGTGAATAATAATTATATTTAAATATTTTTTATACAAAGAATAAAAAAAAAATATTGTCAAAAGATTGAATTTTATATAATTTCGAATAATTTATTTTTAAAAACAAAAAAATTTATTTAAAGATTCTTACATTTATCATAAATCGGCGAACATTGATCCATTTTGCAGATTCATCATCTATATCATTGAATGTAGTGAAATTTTCCGTGTTACAAATATCATTAAGTAAAATCTTCTCAAGTTTATCCGATCTAAAATATTTTCATTTAAATTTTTTTTTTAAATTTATTAATTTTGCAAAAATTTAATTGAAAAAATAAAATTAATTTTTATTAACTTACCCACTTTTAATTCGATCAGCTTCAGATTTTTTCGCATTATTCATATTGCATAGGGTAATTGAGGGAAATGGAAATTCTTCATATGCAACGGGCTCGGGACTCAGGGAAATGATAATAGGCGAGGAAATCCATTTTTTATAAACACCTAAAATATATAAAGATGCTGTTGCCACTGCTGCTGTGAAGGAAATTATCCAAAAGAATCTGAAAAAAACGTTAAAATATAAATAGTTTGTGATTTCTCCCTTTTTTTTATTTATTTATTTATTTTACCTTTCGAAAAGAGAAAGATTACTATCGCCAATATATCGTAAACCATGAAGTGTACTTGTTGTACAATATTGTTTGGTTATTGATGTAATATCCGATTTTTTAATACAAGATTGAATATATCGTGATTTTGATCTGAAGAATAATTAAAATAATTTTTTTTTTCTAATATCAAATGCCGTACAATTTTTGGAGAAATAAATATTCTTTACCTATTTAATTTATCATCATTTAATTCTCTATGTCTTGAGAATTTTTTATCAAATTCTGCAGTTTTACTCGATTGTTTAAATGTTAAATTTGAGGGAATTTTACGTCCAACATTCTAAAATTGTAAAATACAATTATAATTAAAATATTTATTGAATATTAATATCGTTAATAATACCTGATAATTTCGATTTCTGACAGCAAATCCTTCAAGTTTCATTGGAGCTCTATATATACTTTGTGACTCAATGGCATTAGTTGTATGGGGAAAATATGTATTGTGCTCCCGTAAATAATTTGGAATTTCTCTATTATTCATATTATAATTAATTGTATTTGAATGTAAATCTTTTTTACCTGATGGATAATTAGACATTATTTGAGAAATATGAAAAATTTCAAATTCCTTATTCTTTTCAATTGGTTTTAAAAATGTCACTTTTCTTTGTGTCCATCGTACGTGTACCAAACTTTGCAAATAATTCCACACACTCAAAATTTCAAAATTGTTCCTTTGTCCCGTTATTGCCTCATTATCCATAGTCTTTTATAAGAATCTCGATTTTTAATCGTCTTTTTTTCTTAAAGAAAAAAAAAAGTAATTTAATTAATATTTACTAATTAAATTATTTAATAAATTAATTAATTAAATTATCACTCAGTAAAAATTAATTATTCTGAAAGAATGTTAAATTTTATAAATTTGGATTGAAGAAAAATTGAAATTATTCTTCATAAAAGACTAGAAGACTACTGATAAAAATTTTGTCAAGTTCAGAAATTAAATTTCTTTTTTTTAAGCAAATATTTGAAGGCCAGAGGTGAAAGAGAGATAAATAATAAATTATAAAATATTTTTTTATAATTAAGAAATTGTTAGCCGTCGAAATTTCGAGGTCTTCGTTAATATAAATTTATGTAACAACATTTTACACTGTTTTCTTTCTGTTATCCTTACCGATAAATGAACGCAAACTGTGTTAACGTCAATGCTTACCAGCTCAATTTAAACATACATACACAAATACACCCTTTTATTTTGCCTTCAACCCCTTCTTAACATTTCATAAACTTGAACTAAAGATTTTTTTTTTAAACTCATAATTATGGTTTTAAAAAACAAAAATATTTTTTAATTAATTTATTTTTATTTATTTAAAAAAAAGGGGGAAAAACAATAAAATTCTTATTCTGTTCGCACTTGAATTGACTCCTAAAAGTCAATGTGATTAGTATCTGTCAAGAGAAATTATTAAAAAAAAAAAAAAAAAAAAATATCGTCTCTATTATTTCGTTCATTAAAGATGAATGATAATAGAGTCGTTAAAGATAAGAGTCAGTGAGTTATTAAAATAGGGTAAACCATAAATGTTTGTCTAAGAACTATATAACAATTTTAATCGTTTTAAGTCTTGTACATTTTTTGTGATAAAAAAAAAATACAATAATAATTGAAAATTTTATTAATTACGTTAAAAATATTCTAATAACTCCAATTTATCCAAGTTTAATTGGATTTCACTTATATCAATATTTATTTAAATAATCAATAATCTAAATAGTAATTTAGAAGATAAAATATAAATAATGTAATTTATACACTTTTATTTAATATAATAAAAATAAAAAAAAAGCCTTCGAAAATTTAGATTTTTAACTAAATTACATAATTTTAATTAATTAATTATTTAAATTAATTTAATAAATTAGTAAATTATTATTATTAATGGGGAAATATTTTTTACAGGAGAAGAAATGTCTGAAAACAATTGTCAAGAAAATTTTGATAAAGAACATGAAATAGATATAAATTGGGAGAAAAAATACATAATCATGGAAAAATCGAGAGATGAAATGGAATCAATGTGGGAGGTAATATTTTTTGTTCTCTTTAATTATAGAGAGAGAGAAAAAAAGAATGAAATTGAAAAATTAATTTTATTTACAGATACCACAAATCTTTCATTTTCTACAATTAACCAAGAAAGCCTTGAATATTTCTCATCTATCAATGTATGAGGTAGAAAGAATGCTTTTAATGCCAAAAGCTTCTAAACAATTAGCCAATATTATGACCTGTCTTTTGAGGTAAAGAATATTTAAAATAAAATATAATACTCTATCTATTTAATTATTCTATTAAAAAAATTGAATTAATTAATTTTTTTCAATTTTAGCTCATCTAGTTTGAAATCAAAACTCCATAAATTACCACCAATGCCCTATGAATTTTGGACGAGCGTTTTAATGCACAAAGTTCGAAGTTGGTTTAAAATTTATCAAAATAAGCACAAAAATATTATAAAGGTAACATTTTTAATAATAAAATTTATTTTAAAAAATTAAATTTAAAAAAATCAAATTTAATTTAAATTAAATTTATTTTTAGGTCTTTGAAACAATTGGTGTGGAGTCTCAATTTTGGAATCTTTTTCCGGATATTGCTTGCCTAGAAGGAAAGGATTTTGAAACGCTTACATTTAAACAAAAAGTTTGGCTTCTAAAAACTCTGTGTGACACAATTTTAGTAAGTTTCTTGTATTAATTTCAATTTTTTTTAAAAAACAACTTTATTATAACAAAAATTTGTCTTTAAATTTATATTAATTTTTTTTTTTTGAATTTAATTATTCAGCATAGTAGAAAAACAATTCAAGAAGAAGTGCTAAAACATTCGTGGGAAAATAGAATCGAAACAATTTTGGGTATTGACAGACACGGTGCAAGATATATTTATTTTCCACATTTTCTAGAAAATGATCTTAGGGTATATCGACATTGTTTAGATAATGGAATACTTTCTACTGTAAAGGTATGTATAAAATTTTATTGTTTTACGATTTAAATTAAATTTTTAACAACAAAAATTTTTACTTTTAGCCACCAATTATTAAAGAAGAGCCAAATTGGGATGTTAAAGATGTGGATACAGTAAAATTTTCCACATTAAAAACTGGTCGTAGTAAAAGAAGAAAATCACGTTGGAGAAATGGCTCTTTACCTTATAAAGGAAAAAGAAAAAAAGACAGAGAGAAAAAACGAAAAATTGAAAAATTAAGTAACTTATCGAATAATTCAGTTATTATCAAGAATTTATTAAAAAATGAAAGTGATCTAAACAGTCCCGAGAAGAATAATCAATTAACAATTGCTTCATTGGAAAAAATTCCAAATGCCTTTAAAGGATTTCAAAATAACAGTGAAGAGGAATTAAATAATATGACTGTAATTTATAACATTCTAGATGAATTAATATCGAAAATTGAAGAAAATACGATAGATTCAAAAGAAAATAATACTCTTGATGCAAGTATAGATAATGAGGATATAAAAAATTATTTAGAAAGTAATTTAACAGAAAATACTTTCGATGAAACGAATAACAGAATTAATGAAGAGACATCTAAATTTGATAAAGAAGAAAAAATAGAGAAAATTCCAGATAAAGATTTGAAGAAAAAAGAGGATGATGATGAAGAAAACGAGCATAATAATAGTAGTAGTAGTAGTAGCAATAAATTAGCATTAAAGGAAAAGAAACAAAAAGACTCGAAGGACGATGAAGAACCAACTAATGACGAAAGTGATAATGAAATTTCTTTAATTGAAATGAGAGACACTTTATTGAATGAGGCATCTTTTGATGAATTCTCCCACGTCATACAAAACACAATCAAGGAATATAATTTACAAAATATCAAATTCACTGAAAATGAATCATGGAATGTTGCCGCGAACAATTTCAATGAATTTATTACCGATTTAAGCGCATCAAATTTTAAGCTTATCGCCGACAGTGTAGAAACTTTGCGCAATCTCATCAAAAATTTCTCAAGTAAAGATAATTTAATGGAAATTAACAAAGATGTAAGTATTTCAAAAAAAATAGGAAAAAGCAATTTTTAAAAATTAAAAATAATTTGTAATTTTGCAGGATGGATTTATACCGGTGTGTGAAATAAATTTATTAAGCAAATTGACGGAATTACTTAAGTCTGTAGAAAATTTTGAAACAGCATTAAAAGATTGCACAATGAAAGCAAAATCAAAATTAAAAAACGAATGGACTAATCTTAAAAATGGGTATGTATTTTTTTTTCAATTCGCTAATTTAATTTTTGTATCTACTTTAAATAATGTAAAACTTTTGGTTTAGAATTGTAGACGATAAAGAGTCATCCAGTGAAGATGGCCAATCGTCCAATTGGTGGGTGATTGGATCTCAAAATTGTATGTTATCTCCTTGTGGTTCGTTAACTGAGCATTCTGATTGTGAATTTGGCAAACGATCTGACAATCAGAAATGTAAATTCAACGATGATGAGGAAGATAAAGAGAAAGAACATGAGGACACCGATGATGATGATAATGAATCCGAAGGTTAGTATTAATAAAAAATAATTGTATTCTTTTTTTTACTGACACTTTTTTTTATATTTAGAAACAAAAAGACAGTCAAAAAGAGTTTTACGAGCTCGTGGCATTCCCTCGTACACGGAGCAATTTCTTTCCGACAACAGTGAAACAGAAGAATTGGAAAGATGGACCGAATTTGAAGCAACTTACACATCACCGAATGCACAAATAAATTCATCGACACTTCTTCCTCATTCACAACTCGATAAACCTGATAAACGAACCGATCCGGAGGATTCAGATCAGGAATGGATTTTACCAAGTTCAAGAAAAAAAAGAAGGAAACAACAATGTAAGTAAATCTAGATTTTTGTTTCATTTCAAAAATAATTAAAATAAAAATTTAAATTTTTTTTAGCCGCAAGTCGAAGATTGAAATCATTTCAAAATAAATTGCAAAATATTAAATCGAGTTCAATTTCACCGACACGTAACGAAACAATTGATGAAAAAACAAATATTCCATTATTGAATGAAACAAATGATAAGGGGGAAAAAATTAAAGAATCTTCCGAATCATCAGAAGCATCATCGAATGTTACAAAAACACCAGTGAAAGAAAGTCTGATAAAAGTTGTGCCTTCAGCAAAAATGACTTGTAAAATTGAGTGTGCAGACAGTGTTCATTCTGAATTAGACATTAAAGACGAAGGTCCAATTATTGACAATCCTCCAAATTACAATACTAATGTCCAACAACCACAAGGCTATGTGATTGTAAAAACTGAACCACCATCAACGGCAAATTATTACGTAATGCCAAATCCTCCAATGCCCGTTCAACAACCTTATGTGCAACAAACCCCTTTTGTTCCAAACGCACCTCCACAAATGCCCGTTCATCCAACACATCCTAATTATTATGTTCAAAATCCACCGAATTATGTTGTTCACAATCATCCATATCGACATCCAATGGGTATTCAACAGCCTCATCAACCTCAACAACTGCAACAGCATCTTCAACATCATCCTCATCAAATGATTGTTCAACAACCACCGCAAATTATCGGCGGACATCAAGTCATTACACATCCAAATTACGTTCAATACAGTTACGTCAATAATCAACAGCAGCAGCAGCAACAGCAACAACAACAACAACAACAACAAAATATAATCACTTCAAATCTTCCTCGTGCACGATTACCAAATTTAAACAGTCAACGTCCAATGATGAGTCGCGGACAAATGATGAATCATTCAGTTCGTATGGGTCTACAAAATCGTATGAATATACCAAGGCAAAATTTTGCCCATCCAAATGGAGCTGTAATTCGTAGTATGCCACTTGCCAATAATGGAATCAGAAATCCCGGTCCAAGATTAAGACATCCAGGACCACGAGGACAAAATCCACGTGGTGGTGGTGCCGCCGCCGGTGCACAACGTTTACAACGATTACAAAAACCAATAAATACAAATACGACGAAAAATAGTAAAACAACATCATTAATTGTTCTCAGTGATAGTGATGATGATATTGAAATGATTATCACTGAAAAGAAACGTGATTCAACGCCAAGTGTTAGTTCGCCAAGAAAAACGACAAATTTACAACAAAGCCCACGACGAAAGCCAATTGTCACATCCGAAGTTACTGTTGCAAAATCAAAAAGTACATTACCACCACAAATAATGCAACGTATGAGTCAAGGTGGTATTTCAATAACTCCAGTTAAATCAAATCCACCACCGGCAAATAATAATCCCAATACACAATTAGTTGTTGTTGTCAATGAAACTGGAAGTCATTATGCACTTGCATTGCCAAATGGAAGTAAATTAATTCTCACACCTGAACAAGTCGCCCAAATTAGAGCTTCGAATGGTGGAAAATTGATATTGTAAAATAATGTAAAATTCGATGGAACAGGTGTGCAATTTTTATATTTATTTTTTCATAATAGTGTCGCGATTAATTCAGTTGGTGATATTTATATTACTAAAAAATAGTTACGATAGTTACAGAGTATTATATAATGTAAACAAAAATTGATTATATATAATCAATACGGATAAATATGCTTAAGATTTTTTTTTGTATATACAAACACATAATCGAGAAACCGGGTTTTTGAAATTGAACCCAAAAATAATATTTTAATTTTTCTTCTACAATCAGAAAATATTCGGCAAAGCTGAATTTTAAAAAATCGATTTTTTTTTCTTAATCTGTTTATTTTTTTTTTTCGTTCGATTATTTATGTTTATGAAAAAAAACTGCGTTTTGCTTTTTTAATTATTTCGATTTTTGCGAAAAATGTTAGATTTTTGTTTTATGGCAATTTGATAATTGTGAAACTCATTCTCGTTACTTCTTTATTCATTTTATGTCCAAAAAAATATATATATTTTTTTTATTCCTCTGGAAAACTGATAAATTATTTTAACTCTTGTTTTTACAATTAAATTTAAAAAAATTTATCGACAATTTGTTTGTTTTTATTATTAAAGAAATCGTTTTCCAAAATCACAGGTACAAAGTACAAATGTTTAAAATCTTAATTTTAATAAACAAAATTCGAATTTTTTTTTCAATTTTACTTTATTTTTTAATATTTTACATATTTTGTTTCATTATTTTTTTCTTTTTTTTTTTATAAAAAAAAAGCGTTTTCATTTATTAATTAGTTTTAAAACTATCGATCTATGGGATGCAAAGATGATAAAAAACATCCTTTATTATTAAAACTGGGAACTTTGATCATTGTAAAATTGTTTTTTTTTTCTTTTACTATATGGTCGTAGCCTAAAGTGATGTGTATTTTAAATTATATAAAAATTGTTTTTTTTTCTTTTTTTTTTTTTGTCGTAATAAACGCAATGCATTGCAAAACATAAAATTTTCGCTTAAAAATTTAAACGCGAATTTCGGCCATTTATCAAACCGAAATGATTTGCAATTTGTTTCTGAACTGTTATCTTCAATTTTGGATGCTAGCACATCAATTGTTTATCAGCTCAGGCAATGATTCATCGTCACTATCGCCTTCATCGTCAACATCACCGAGGTCTAAATTATCGAAATTTGGTTTACTATCACCAGCTCCAGTTAAACCACCCATTTGGCGCATCATCTACATTAAAAAAAAAAATTAATTACAAAAATTAATTAAAAAAAAATTGTCAAAAAGGATTTATTAATTGAAAATAAGAGAATATAATTTTTGTATTTACCTCTTCCAAATCGCGTCCTCCTGCTGCACCACCAGCTTCCTCATCTTCAGAGTCGTCTTCATCCTTCCATTTATTGAAGTCACTTTTTAACCAATGGAATTTATTATTTTCTTTGGTGAGACGTGGCCAGAAGGGTCCTTCCTCTTTTTTTGTAAGTACAAATTCAAAGCTTCTACCTTGTGATTTTTGAATTGTTTTTGTTGCATCAATTTCTTTATAAAAATTAATAGTAACTTCATGCACTTTCATGTCTGTACCACCGACACCTTTAAAATATAATTTTTCTGGTTCCACTTTGACTGTTGGATTTGCACAATCCTCAAGACAAATCGTCACAAAAAGGACACTATTCCTTTGGGCCCACATAACAGGTGGTGGTGTTACTCTAAAACAGAATTAATTTTTTTGTTTTGCTAATTCATATAAATATTTTATTTCTTGCAATTTTATAAGTTTCAAAAAAAAAATTATTAAAATTAAGCTATTATTAATCTTATTACATATTCATTAATTTTGTTTAAAGGTAAAGTAATAATAATGTAAATCAGGACAAGTTCTTCCTACATATTCTAATCTAATTATCCAATAGTCTTAAAGTGCGTTTAGACGTTTAACCTCTTGATTTATGTTAATCGTTAAAAATTCAAATTTGCGAAATACAGAATGAAATACAAAATAACAAGGGAATAATTATTACCAAATTTTATTGTTGTATTGTATAATTAAAATTTAAGCAAAAAGAAGTATTTATAATGACAAAGAATATATACTTTCGAATGACAAAAATTTGAATAATGGTTAAGTTTAATGAATAAGGTTAAAAGAGTCACGCTTTTCTTTATATATAAAGAAAAATTATTAAACAAAATTAGAAATATAAATCAAGTTAAAAGTACATAAAATTTACAATTAAATTTAATATAAAATGATTTTTTTTTAAACCCATTAATAACCACGCACGATACTAAATTTTTATTTCTAACTAGAACAACGTGTATTAATTATAAAATAATTAATAAAAAGAAAAAGTCAAGTTCAACTATTAAAAAAATTATAAAATGCAAAATATATTTAATTTTGTTTAAATTTTCATTAATTATACATCATTTTTTATGAAATAATTCTTAGTTTTCAGAAAATTCGAGAATCAATAAAAATCAAGCAGCAACATGGCGCTAGTTCTATACCTTAGCGGCTCGTGCAAATAATTTTGATAAATTTGAAATAAATATTATAAGATTAATTATAATGGAAAATTGTTTTCATATAATGCGTATATTTTTTATGAAAAAAATTATATGAATTTAAATATACTTACTGTCCTTCTTGAGTCATTTTTAGTAATATTTGATTAACAGAATACAAACACAACGCTTTTATAAACCGCAAAGCACGTCTAAAACAAGGGTCTGAAGAAAGCAGAAAGACAAATTCAATGCTTCCAACCTTATAAACAAGTGATCGTCAACTGTTACCAAAACAATTTTTTTTTTAAAGGTGTTTTCACACCTCGATTATAATTGCAAATATTAAAAAATGCTGCTCTCTTTTTTTATATATATTAATTAAATTATATTTATTCGAGTTTTCTTTATAAGGGGAAATTTAAAAATAAGAAGATATTAATTTATTATGCTTTGTGTTCGAGTTTTCCAATTCTGTATTAGCCTTAAAAGAGAGAGAGAGGGCAATAGCTTTGTCTCTCTTACTCTTGAACTTTTCGTTAGTGTAAATGTACCTTTAGGTCCATGAGGTTTTTAAATGTAAACATCCCTTTATTAAATTAAGCGGTAAACAATGGACTCAGAAGTCAGAAGAAAACAATAAACAAGATGATTATACCTCTGAAAAGGTTTGTGATACAAATTTTTAATAAATTTTATTGTTTAGATTTAAAAAAATGATTGCGCTGTTAATAAATATAATTGCAAAAAATTCTAATTAACGCAGGAGTAATAATGATGTGACAGAATGGGCAATTGTTGAACTTCATGGAGATTTAAAAGTGTCAGTAGATGCTAACGATGTCAAATTGCACATTGGAGATCTTTCTTATGATAAAAATGGCATTGCTACCTTAATTATTGGAAATTATATTTTAACTGGAAAAGAAACTTCAATTGACAAACCTATTGCAATATTGGAAAAAAAAGTGAACACTAACTCATCAGACAATATAGATTGTGACAGAGAATATTTAATTATTGCCATTGTAAAAAAGAAACTTATTTTCAAAGTAAGACCTAAACCAATTACTGTTATTGTTCAAAAATAAAATAATTAATCATGTGTATTATAAAAACAATGTTATTGCATAAATTAAATTTGTACAGTTCTTGTATCTATATATTTAGATCTTTTTGTATTGCTATTTAAATAAATATCATATAAATAGAAAAATCTTGTTTTAAATTGAACAAAAATTTATCTAATAAAAAGAAAATATTAAGGTAAAAATAAACAAAATTCGCTTAAAAACTTACGTTTATTAGAAGTAAAATAACTTAAATTACTTAACAGAAAAAAAAATACAGTGGAATTGTTTTTGGATATTATAAATTTACTGTCAATCTTTCATCTCCCCTTCTTCGTCTTCTTCTTCAACACCACGAATATACATAACATTATTACATCGAATTAGAACTTCTCCCAAATTTCCTGTACAATTTCCATCAATATGTTCCTCTGTATTAGCGAGTTGAAGATTCATATAACCATCGACAGAAACAAGATATCCTTTATATTCATGTCCCCATTTTAGTTTAACCATTACTGGCTTTCCAGTTAAACCATTGAGAAATGGTTTAGGATTTATTGGCATAGTCGCAGCCATTGTGATAAGTTTTCTGAAATAAATAAAACAGTTTTTTTTTCATTATTTTATACAATCGTTTAACCTTTTACATAAAATAAATAATAAAAAAAAACAAACATTTATAGAGAAATTACAATTTAGTTTACGATTTCAAACGTATTTTTATTTTAACGTTAAATAATTTTTTAACACAAATAATTGTTGAATATATACCAACAATAAATAGATAATTTCAAAGAACACAATAAAAAATTATTATTTCAATAAACAAACATGAAAATAACATAAATACAAAAAGTGAGGTTAGAAAAATAAACACTGGTTTTCTTTACGAGGAAAAAAGTTTTCAAGTTCCTTCTTAATAATATAATATCAAATTATAATATATAATAATTGTAAAATATACTCACAGTTTTTTTTTAATTAAAAACTAGAGAAATATGAAAAATTATTATGCTTAAAAAAGCGTGACACCGGAGGAGACAAACACTGAGAAATGCTGTACACAAAAAGGTTCTTTTTCAAAACAATATCTCATTGGTTAATCTTTAAATGATCATTTTTGATTGGCTGATGAAAATAATGTATCATTAAAATTCCCCACAGAATACATAGTGACTTTTTGTTTCTTTATAGTAATTATTACTAGAATATAACCGGCTTGATCGCAGCCATTATGTTACCATTTATCACTAGTGAAAGAGTCGTCGAGTCGCGCAAAAAATTCGCTCGTGTTTTTGTGTCTTTCGTTATAATATAAATCAACCAAATCAAGCACTGCTGTGAGTATATTACATTTGTATTTAATAGTTTATAAGAATTTTATCTATTCAATTGAAATCGCTTAATAATAACCTCATGTTACGGAATCGTTCAACTCGTCTCCCATTTTGGGATGCTCTTTGACAATTTCCTATGATATTCACCTACACACTTCTAAAATCAATACTCGTTCCTTGTTTAAATTTTTTTTTTAATTTACTATCATCATAAAGCTAGAAAATTATTATTCGTCAATTATCATTTTTGAATGATTTTAATCTATGTTACAGTCGACAGGAAACCTTTTCCGATATAATTTCTATTGTACCTTTCTGTGTTTTATAATGTGTTGATTTGAAGCAGTCAATTTAAAATCGATAATACACAAGATTGCGAAATTCTTTATTATTTAAACTTTATAAATAAGCAAATTTCAAAAGGGTTATGTTAATCCTTTTTGAAAAAATATTACTTCTATCAAAACTTGTGTGATTTAATTGTGCTCAAGGATGAATTTAGAGATTTAGCACAATATGTTTCTCATAAATTTTTATCTCAGTAGTAATTAGTACTGATTCTGATTTATTTGAAGAGTATCTTTTTTTTTTTTTGAAAGGCTTAAAATAATAAAAGTAATTTTGAACATGCCAGTGGTTTTTCATACAGCAATTTTATTGTACTTTTTAAAAATCATTCAATAGTGACAATCAGATAAAGGAAACGACAATGCATACATTGTTTTATTTTATTTCCTTTTCATATTGAATTAGATCTATTTGACAAATTTATATAAGCGACAAAAATGTGATAATTTAATAAAATAATTTCAACTTCTACATTTTTTTTTAAATTATAATTGATTGAGAAATTTTGCAGAAATTTGCATTTCTCAACAAAAAATAAAAAATATTTACAATTTTAATCTATTTTTTAAATTATGGTAATTAATATTTTTCCTACATTATCGCAACAAAAATTAATATTATTTTTAAATTTTATTTAACCCTTTTTGTAGGTACTCATTTAATGAGTATAAATTAAATTTTTCTTATTCCACATCTTTTTGAAAAGTGATTTTTGGAAATTGTTCAGTAATTTCCGTTTTTTATTGTTGACAATTTGATTTTGAATTGAAAATAACAATTCCAGTATATCAATAGTGTTTTCAGAAAAATTGTATAAAAACATAATTATTTTACAAATTACTTATTATATAAGAAAAAAAAAAGTATTCCTCCAAAAATAATTTCCGATCACTCGAGATCACCCGGTAAATTTAGAAATAGAAAAATAAAAATTAATAACAAAAACGAAAAAATGAAATTTATGTACAGATTTCAGTTTTCAAAAACCAAAAAATTATTGAAATTCATGTACAAATTTTAATTTAATTTTGCAATAGAAATATTGTTGAATGTGAAATAATTTTACACTATGAAATATAATTAAAATGATATAATTAAATCATAAAACAATTATTTTTTACAAACTGTAAAAAGATTAAAATGCTTAAATCAAATTATTTTGGAAGGATTGATTTTAAGCATAAATTAATTTTTTTTTCTTTTTACCATAATTTTTATGAAAATGACAAATAATTTTTAAAACGGCACACTTTGTAACAAAATTAAAAAAAAAGTCGTACAATTTTATTAAATAATAAAAAGACTGAAAAAAATTTATTTGTATCAAATCAATAATGTTTGTTTCAAATAAAAAAAAAAATTATTGTTTCGAATACAATTTGTTTGATTCAAATAAAAATTATTTGACGCATAAATAAATATTTAATTGATGATAGTCAAATGACTGATTATCTGAATCATAATTTTTTTTCAGTACAGAGTTATAAAAAAATTGTATAATTTTTTTTTTAAATTTGATACATTGAAAAAAACGAAGTAATTGCTAATTATATTTTAATTAATTAAAGAAGAAAACTCGTAAAATTAACGAAATTTTTGGTTAATTTGAAAACAACTTTTTTTTTATAGTCCCTATTTAAAAAATATTTCGCTCTGTATTTTTAATTAAATACAAGACTGAAAGAAATCTTTTCGGTGTTTTACGTTATACAAGACTATGCGATTAATAATAATAATTATAATAATAATATTTTATTATTATTATTATTATTATTATTATTATCCCATTAGCAAAACAAACTATTAAAAAATAATTTTTGGTTTCATTAATACGATTTAATGAAATAAAATGATAACAAAGCCTTTTTCTACTGGCACAATGATATTGATAAACTTTTTGTTCTATCAAATTAGTTTTAAGGAATTTAAAATGAATATTTTACCCATAAATGAAACTGATTTACGCAAATTATAATTTAGTTAGTCTAAATACTAACGATTCCTCTCTATTCTAGAATAAAAATGCTTTTTAATGACAGTTTTAACAGTCATTATATATATTAAAAAAAAAAATTGTTTTAAAGTAAATGCTTTTTTGAAAAATTTTTTTATATTCACAATATTTGTGAAAAAAATTTTTGATATTTTAATATTACAATTGCCCCCGTTAATTTTTTGCTAGAAATAATAATATATAATTAAAACCCTTTTTTTCTTTTAGGAACTACCTATAGATAATTTTAAATCCTATTTCATATCATAATAATAATAATTGTATTTTTTAATAATTTATTTTCACTTAGGTTGTGTTATTTATATTTAAAAAAAAGATTTACATTTAGATTGATTATATTTGTATAAAAAATCTTATTAATCGCGATGTTTATAATTAAAGAATTTTCTCTGAACATGAAATAGAACAGCAACCCTTAAAAAGTCAACGGAATGATCTAAACTATCAATCGAATGGTAGTTAATAGAACAGAGGATTCAAAATGCAAAATTGGAATCAATGGCAACTACCAGCTGCTCCTGTACCGGCAGCAACAATGCCACAACTACCGGGTGGTTATCCTGCTCCTGCTCCAGGAGCAGATCCCATGGCTATGATGCAGTCTTATATGCAATATTATAGCCAACCAGTAAGTAATCGTATATATTTTTTTTTTCATTTTAAAATTCAAAAATTAATTTCTGTATATTTAACAAATTTATATTTTTATACATAGATATTTTAGAGAGAATTTTTCTAAGTGAATTTTGTTTTGTAATTCTGAATTTTATATGTATAGTAATTTAAATTAATTATTATACTACTTTTCAATGTTTTTATTGAATTATATTTTTTAAATTTTAATTTCCCTGTTTGCTTTTTTTTCAATTTCATAGAATTTATAAATATATTTTTTTTACGATTTTCCATACCTTTAAAATTATTCTTTGTAAATTAATTTTAATTAGCCTCCAAGTGGTTATACGTCTGAACAATGGGCGGCAGCGCAACAACAAAATTGGGCTCAATGGCAACAATGGCAGCAACAATATCAACAATGGCAAGCTCAATATGGAGAAAAGGTATTATAAAAATAAAAAAAAAAAACTCCTTTCATTTTATTTTATCAAGAAAACATAAAATAAAATTCCTGATCAACTAAAAATTTAGATTTATTAATTAAATGAAAAAAAAACAAATATATCAAGAAAATGTAATTTTTTCAAATTTAAAAAGAAAAGTACGACTTGAAGATGAAATTTAAAAAAAAAAATTGAATGTTCACTTAAATTGTGTTTCAGTATCAAGAGACAATGAAGCAATATGCTTCTAATATGTCAAGTTCTACGGGACAAGCACCACCCTTGCCAGCATCTCAACCACCTTTGCCAAGAGATGAAAATTCTAAACCCCCATTACCACCTGACAATTCAAATCAATATCAATATTCATCAATACCTCCACCACATCAAAATAATTTACCATTATTCCCATCAAAAGCCGATAATTCTCAACAAAATCAAGGCACAAATCCACCATTACCTTCCCAACCACCATTACCGACACAAAACATAAGTGATTCAAATTTATTAGGTAAACAGAATAATGCTAATAATTCAAATTCCGAACCTAGTGCAAAAAAGCAAAAACTCGAAGACGAAGAATTAAGTGAAGCTGAAAAAACATTTGATTCTCAGTTTAAACAGTGGGAAGAAAAATTTAATACGTGGAAACAACAAAATGCTAATCATCCCGATAAGGTAGGTACACTACGAACTATCAATTACATCATTTACATTTTTTTTTTTCATTATATTATAAAGTAGGATATATATTTTTTTTTCTCGAAAATAACAGTAATTTTTTTTTGTTTCAGTCACAATATCAACAATACGAAGCAAAATGGACATCATGGCGTGAGAAATTAATCGAGCGTCGTGAACAAATGCGTCGAAAACGTGAACAACAAAAACAAATGGCATTAAAAGCTGAGGCTGAAAAGAAAAAAGATTTACCAGGCGGTGATAAAATATTAAATCTTCTTTCAAATACTGAAAATCAAGGATTAATTAATAATCTCTTGGGCATTGGAAAAACACTTGGTTTAACGGGAAAACAAGATGGAAGTACAGTACCACCTCCACCGCCACCAAATAAAGAGATGACAATTTCCAATCAATCGTCAACAATTACACCAGCATCGTCACAATCAATGGCAGCGCCAACAATGACTGCCGAAATGAATCAAGCCGCATGGGCAGCACAACAATGGGCCGCTCAATATAATCCAGTACCAAATTATCAATCTTATCAGCCAATGATGGGAACATCTACTGCACCTCCCGCTTCAGCTGCACCAAATCCATATTCACAACCACCGCCAAGTTTTGCGAATGCTCCACCAAATTATTCATCAGCACCGCCAAACTTTTCTGGAGCGCCACCAAATATCGGTGGTCCTATGGGTCATGGAAATATGGGAGGACCACCACCGAACATGGGAGGACCACCAAATATGGGAGGACCTAATATGAGTGGACCAAATATGAGTGGTCCAAACATGAGTGGACCAAACATGAGTGGACCTCCAAATATGAGTGGACCAAACATGAGTGGACCAAACATGAGTGGTCCAAATATGAGTGGACCAAATATGGGTGGACCTCCAAACATGAGTGGACCTCCAAATATGAGTGGACCACCAAATATGAGTGGACCACCTCCAAACATGGGTGGACCACCGCCAAATTTTTCTCAACCACCTCCAGGATTTAATGCACCCGATCAACAAATGCGACCACCGCCCAATTCATTTGGAAATTTCAACGAATCAAATAATGACAAAAACTTCTCAATGAATCGAAATCAACCTCCATTTGGTTCCCAAGGTGGTAGATTCAATTCTGACAATCGTGATTACAATGGACCCAATCGTGACACCGGGAATAATTCCTTTGGAAATGATTCTTTCAACAAAAATTACAATGACAATGACAATGATCGTTTTGGTGGTCAAAAAAATAATCGTTTTGGCAATAATGAACGATTTGGCCCTCAACGTTTTGGTTTTAATAATGATCGTTTCGATAATTCAAATGATCAATTTTCCAATGATAATCAAGATAACAATTCATTTAAGCAAAATGATAATTTTGATAATAAACGTGATAAATTTGGCATTAATAATAAAAGAGGATTCGAATCACAAGCGCCAATGCCACCTGAATTGAAAAAATTAATGGAGAAAAGAAAAGCAGCAATGGACGCATTTAAACCAAGTAGTAATTCATTTTTCACATCAAACACAAGCTTTGAAGTTGGATCACTTCGCGAGAGTTTTAAAAAAATTTCCGGCGATTCACCATTTATGAAGAAGAGACAGGATGATGATTGCGGTGATTATAATGACAACAATGATTCAAATGATCAGAAATTCCCTCCTGATTTTGGTCCCCGTGGTCAGGGTAATTTTGGTCCTCGTGGTCCTGGTAATTTTGGTCCTCGTGGTCCTGGAAATTTTGGTCCTCGTGGACCTGGTAATTTTCCACCCAGAGGTCCTGATTTTGGACCACGTGGAAGAGGATTCCCTGGTCCTGGTGGTCCATGGCAAAATCCAAGAATGCAAAATCCTGATTTCAATAAAGACGAACAACCTCCAATTGAACAATTAAAACCACCTGAAGAATTTCCTTTACATGATATCGAAAATGATTCATCTCTTCCTCCGCCAATAAATGAGAATTTACAACAAGACGATGTAATAATTATTGAGGAAAAATCAACAAAAATTATACCACCACTGGAACAACCACCCTGGATGGATAATCCGGAAATTATTCCCGATAATGAAATTTCATCGAATCAAAATGAAATTATTTTAGAAAGTGAATTGTCTAATATTGAAAATGTTAATAAATCGAATGATTTGCCATTTATGGGTGAAAATGATCCAAAACCAGAGGATTTAAATATGGAACCACCGCCGGAATTGCCAAATTTAGGTCCCATTCAATCATTTAATAATGATCAATTACCACCACCTGAATTTCCATCTGGCAATTTTCCCAATCAATTTCCACCTAGACCACCTTTATTACCATTTGGTCCAAGGGGTCCAATGTTTACGCCACGTGGTCCAAATGATATGAATTCATTCCCACCGTTTGGACCAAGAGGTCCACCGGGTGATTTTAATAATATGAGACAACCACCACCATTTGGAAATAGACCCATGGGACCTGGTGATTTTAGACCACCGCGTCCTCCATTCGATGGTGATTTTGGTCCAAGATTTACAAATTTCCCAAGAAACGATGAACAACCACCGTCATCATCAATTCCTTCATTAATGTCCATGAAATTTGAACCACCAAAAACACTTTTAAAACCAAATGAGCCAAATTCAAATTTTGATCAATCAAATATCAATCAGGGAAATTTTAATCCCGATGATACAAATCGTGATTCACCGAATTTCCCCAAAGGACCAAAATTATCAGAATGGAAACCATTTGGACAAAATATGGATCCCAATCAAAGACCAGGTTTCAATCAAGGAATAGAGTCGAATCAACAAAGAATGGGTCCACCAAGAATGGGACAATTTCAAGGAATTGGTCCAAATCAAGGAATGAATGTCGATTCGATAATATTTGATAAAAATGATAATAATCGTGAGAGAATAGAGAATAAAAATTTGCCACCAAATGAAATTGAGGCAAATAATCAAGAGATTAATGAAAATCTAAGACCTGAATTTGAAAGATCACAATCACCATTTTCTGGTCCACCTATGAATTTTAATCAAGATAAACATGTGGATATATTACCACCAAATAGAAGACCAATACCTGAATTTTGCATCGAGAGACAATTTAATTACAATCATGGTGGTCGAATGCCAGAGAAACAACCACCACCACCACCACAACAACAACCATTTATGGATTTAATTCCACCGAAAATAATTGATTATAATCACATGAAACGTACAATTGTACACGATTATTTAACACCAGTACAATCGTTTGATTATGGTCATGGTAATTTACATCCCGATGTACCCGAACACGAGATTACTGGAATTAAAGATTTCAGTAGATGGGAGGAAAATGAACAAAATCTAAAGGAATATTCAGAACAAATGAAAAATTATGAACAAGACTCACAATGGAAACGTTCAATGATAAATGATCGTTTAAGAAATGAGGAAAATTTAGAATTAGACGCAAAAAGAAATAAAGACGGTGATTATAGAAAAGATTATCGAAAAGAAAGTGATATTAAAAAAGATCGTAGAAAGGATAATGATAATTATAGAAGAGATGATTATAGAAAAGATGATCGTCGAAGAGATTCTGATTATAGAAAAGATTCCGATCGACGAAAAGATTTTGATTATAGAAAAGATTCTGATCATCGAAAAGATTCAAATGACTATAGAAGAGATTCTGATCATCGAAAAGAATCCGATCGTCGTAAGGATGATTATAGAAAAGATTCTGAACACAGACGAAGTGATTTTGATCATAGAAAAGATTCCGACTATAGAAGAGATTCTGATCATAGAAAAGAATTGGATCACAAAAAAGAAATTGATAATAAAAAAGAATTGGATCATAAAAATGAGGATAATTATAAAAAAGATTCTGATTTTAAAAAGGATTCGGATTATAGAAAAGATACTGATTATAGAAAAGACGTTGATGAGAGAATGGATATTGATGATAGATTAGATACATTTGATAAAAATATTGATGATCAAAAAATGGAAACTGAACATCAAATTGATACAACACAGGAAATACAGGACTTTACCCAGGATGTTGATTTTAGAAAAGATAATCTTGATTGGGGTGATGAAGACTGGGGTCTTGAACGAGATATCAATCCTAGTAAGTAATTTTAAAAAAAATTTAAATAATTTTTTTCCTTAAAAAAAATTGTTAACTTTAAATCAATTTATTTGTTTTAGATTTTCAGAATCATAAATTGTTAAAAAAAAAAGTTAATAAATTTTTATTTAAGAAAAGAAATAAATTATTAATCGAATTTTATTTCAAAACAGGCAAAAATCAAGACTCGGAAGATAAAAATTTAAAGGAATCTGATAAAAATGAGAGTGAGAGGTAACTATTATCGTCTTTTTTGTTTGTATATAAAATTTACATTTTTTTTTCTCATAGATATTTCCAATGTAACATTGAATGTAATTTGATACATTAAATTGATATAATTGAATGTAATTTATGCAGTTTAATTTTTTTAAGGAATTGCAATATTAAAGAAATGAAATAGAAAAAAAAAAGTTTAAAAAAAAAATTGTGTATAAAAATAGTCCTTAAAAAAAAAATCAACTGTTACTAGCGGAGATGATTGAGAATATAAAAAATTTACTGATACAGAAGATGTATATGTACAGAATGTGCATATGCATGTGTATATATATTACCTATGATAAATTATGAAAAAGGATTTTTTTGAAAAAAGTGTATACATTTTATTAGATCATCGGAGTTTAATAGCTGGCAGGACAGTCCGAGCAAGAAAACCTCAGACACTTCATTGCTAGATTCCAGGTATGCTTTTTTATTTACACCATAAAATATAAAAAAAAAAATTTTTAGGAAATTTTTTAAGCGTTGAAATTTCTTTTTGATTGATAAAAATATTAACGTTGAATTAACTGCCCAAAAAAAAAACAACAATTGAAAAATTGTACAGAGAAATGCGTATTTTTGAAATATATTTTATGCTTTAAATTAAATTACAACAGTTGTTGTGCACGACAAATATTTTTCCTGAATAAGAAAAGAAAGAAAACACATAATTGTGTTTTGAATTTTGATAATGCCCACATGTTATCCATATATTCAATATTTAGAAACAAATTTTAATCTCATTTTTACCCCACTCCATCCAATTCCGGATGTTTGATTCTAATTTTATGAAATTCATATTCGAAATACGATTTATTATAATTTAGTTGATCAGATTAATTAAGTAAATTATTATTCTACGAGTAAATAAATTTTTCTTACTATTTTCTTATTTTTTATATATAAATAATATTTACTTAAGAATGAGAAACTAAATGAAATTACATTGCTTGAAATTTTGTGAGGAATTATTTCAAGTTATCAAATTTTTGCTCTTCTTTTTAATGCAAATAACATTTGTTCTTCGAAAAATATTTAGTCAACGTTTATTTTAATTGTTCGTAAAGGAGACAATAAATTTTTTTTTAACTTTTTTAAATATTTAACTCAAAAAAAAGTTTTTATTTTTGGAAAAGTAGAAATTTATTATTGAAAATATTTTTCATGGTGTTAAAAACTCTATAAGTTTCCAAATGAAATTAGTATAAATTTTCTGAGAAAAAAAAATTAAATCGTTTCGTTAATTTAATTTTTTTTTTGTTAATTTTATGCTAAATTCATTTTGTAAACTTATTGGATTTCTAGATAAAATCGCCATAAAATAGATTTTGAAAATAAAGAATGTGTTTTTCAAAAATTAAATTAAAAAAAAAAAGATTAAAAAAAATTTTCAATTGTCTTTTTTTTCTAACAATTCAAAAAATGTATCTTAATATCTCTCAAGGATTAGAAATTATTTATATCTAAAAAGTGGCTTAAAATTGGATCAGTTAAGTAATAATTCTTCAAAAATTTCAAGTAAAAGTAGAAAAACGCGAACCTAGAGATGACAACAATTTTGTTGTAACCGAAATTTTTTGATACTCCCAAATTTCTTAAGTGCCCAAAACCTCTTCTCTCTTAATCTTAATTTCACCTGCAATTTTACTGTACATATTAGTTTAATAAATCCACATTTATAGAAATTGTCTGATGATAAATTTAGACATTTTTATTTATAATGAAAACCATATTTTAATGTGAGGAAAATATGAAATTTATTTTATTATCGTTAATAAACGATAAAATTGAACCAACAAGATAAAAAAAAAAGGTGCAATTTGTGCAAACAATATTTTACAAATATGCATTTTAATTCTTTTTCCGATGAGTAAATGGAAAAAAAAAATTAACATTAATTTGCCCCTTAATTGGCTAACAAAGACAATTGTCTATTTTTTCGTTAGCTTTGAATTCTTAATTTAATAAAACCGCGCAAAGCGCGAAATTTTTAAATACGACTGATTTAAATGAAAACAAAATTTTGACGATAAAGTCAGAAATCACTCATTTGTTATTTTATTATTAGAAATTATTGTTGTTGTTGTAAAATTTGAATTTCTACATTAGTTATTGCAATTAGAAAAAAAATGCAAGAGCATTAAAAATTTAACTTGCTCAAAAATTTTTGAGCTATTCGCGAATATATATGGTTACAAATTTTCTTGTAGTAATTTAGATTTTTTTTTTTATTTTAAAACTTGAATTTGAATACATTTTTTGTTTTTTAAAAAAACAGAATAAGTTAATTTAAAAAATTGGCATTATTTTGTTACAGCAATCAAGATGGCAAGAAAAATTCTTCAGACAATCAAAGCAAAACACTTGAGTTACCGAAAATACCAACTTTCACAATTCTTGAAGATATATTGTATCAACCTGGACGCCAGAACAGACCACCAAAAATAGTTATCATTCTGAGAGGCCCACCTGGCAGTGGAAAATCGTTTCTCGCAAAACTCATTAAGGTTATTCATTTAATTAATATATAGAATGAGAAATTATTATTATGTACTAGAAAAGAAATTATTGTAATTTATATGATTATCTTTGATTAGGATAAAGAAGTGGAACAGGGTGGTTCAGCACCTCGAATTTTAAGTATCGATGATTATTTTCTCGTTGAAAAGGAGAGAGAAATTAAAGATGATAATGGAAAGAAAATTACAATAAAGGTAAAAATATATTTTTAATTTGTTTAATTTTTAATAAAATTTGTATTTAGTAGAATTATTATTTTTAATATAATTTGTTTATTTAGGAAATGGTTTACGAATATGAAGAAGCTATGGAACCAAGTTACCTTGCATCGCTTGTGAAAGCTTTCAAAAAGAACATAACAGATGGCTATTTTAGTTTTATAATTTTAGATTCAATTAATGAAAAAATATCTGATTATGATGATATGTGGAGTTTTGCTAAAACTAAAGGTTTTAAGGTATATATTCAAATTTTTATTGAAAATTGAATTAAATTATAATTTTTAATTATTTTATTTGTTTGTTTTAAAGGTATTTGTCTGTGAAATGGAAATGGATGTTCAAATTTGCTTAAAGAGAAATATTCACAATCGTTCTGAAGATGAAGTCAATAGAATAGTGGATTATTTAGAACCAACGCCGAAACATCATCAAAAATTAGACACAAGTAGTCTCTTACAAGAAGCTGCCATTGAAGATGTTCAAATGGAAGATGTTCAAGATTTGGAAAAACCTGTTCAAGGCAGTGAGGACAGCCAGGATAGTCAAGAAGATGCTGAAGTGGTAAAAACATTTTGTTTTTATTTATTTAATAATTAATATTAATTAAAGAAATTTTTAAATTTATTAATTTTACCATTTTACAGGGAGTTAGCAAATGGGAGCGAATGGAAGCAGAAAATAAATTAGGTTACTTTTTGTTTTTATTTATTTAAAAATAATCTATTAGTGAAATTTTTTTTGTTCTGATCGGATAAAAATTATTCACTTTGGATAAAAAAAAATGATGACAAGGAATTAATTGATTTTTTTCTGTGTGCAGATCGTTTGGATGGTTTGGCCAAAAAGAAACATGAGGGAAAACCACAAACAATGGAAGATTTTCTTCAAGTACCAGATTATTATAATATGGAGGACAATTCTGGTAAAAAAAGGGTATGTAATAAATTTTTCTATGTGAGGTATTACTGTATCTTTGAATTGAAAACAAATTTTTTTTTTTATTATAGGTGAGATGGGCAGATTTAGAGGAACGTAAAGAACAAGAAAAAATGAGAGCTGTAGGATTTGTAGTTGGTCATACAAATTGGAATCGAATGATGGATCCTACGAAAGGAGAGAGTGCATTAACGAGGACAAAATACATATGACCCAAGTATCATCCTAAAAATCGTGGGAATCCGCGTTGGAATTAAATTTTGGTAGCTCATTTGAAATTGAGAAATATCAAATCGCAAATTAAAATGATATCTTTCTGAGGGATTTAGAAGAAGAAAGAAGAAAAAAAAGTATCAAGTGTTTTATAAATAATCACTGAAATTTTGTGAATAGACTATTAAAAAAAAAAACACACACACAACGGACTGACAAATTTTTTAGATCAACTGTATTTTACAGTGAGAGCAATTATAAATAGCTTCAAACATTTTGATTACTTTGAAATTAAAAATGTTTCACAATTTTTTTTTTTTAGTACTGCACTAAAAACACATCCACTTTGATAAAATAAATGCTTAGATCAATTAATAGTAATGAAAATTACTAATCTATTGTATATTGCATATAGACTTTTTTTTAAAATAAGCAAATTTTGAATATAAAATAATTATTTTTCAATTTGCTATCTCATATTCATTTTGTGAAAAAAAAACATATATACTTATTTTTCAGTATGATATTAGTTATGTATTGTTGAAGTAAAGTTATCTTTTAAATTTATTTTATAAATTGATGATGAAGTACCTACAAAAGCAATGGTTCACTACATTTACATTTTTAATTGTATAATGTGAATATTGTGTGTATTTCCACACATCAAACTTTGTAAGACATGATTGTCATTTAGACTTAATTTATAAAGTCGTTTTAAACTATTACAAAAATTTTGTTTTTTTTTTATTAAATACCTATTTATTAATATTTAATTGTAAAACTCAAAATAATTATGGATACGCAGTTTTAATTTTTGAATTTGAATTTTTTAAACGATTGTGCTGCCATCTTCGCAAAAAAGTTTTGTCGTCTGCTATTTTTAAAGCAAACAAAGTTTGAAACAAAGCATTAAATTGTTTAAATTAACAAATTTTTACTAATATTTCATGATCATTTATTATTAGAATCTATTAGAATTAATTGTGCACTATTAAGAGCTAGTGAAAATTAAAATTAATGATAATTAAAATGTAAAATTTGCTTGAAAACATTTTAATATTATCATAACCTCTACCGGTGTAAAAAAGTTGTTTGTTTATTATACGCACGAATAAGGTAAACATTACTTTTTTTTCTAATAACATTTTTATAACTAAAATTGAAAGTTTATATTTTGTTAAAATAATATAAATTATTAGATTAATTAAATTTTTATATTGAAGTTTGTTTTCTGCTTATATAGGTTATTTTTGGGATTTTTTTCAACAAATTTTCGTCACTATTATATACAAAATTAAATCATGAATAACGGACTTTGTTATGAAGATATCTTGGGTTTTACCAAACAAACCGAAACATTGATAACAGGTTTAGGAGGTACACCTGAGCTTGTAGAAGAGTTTCGAAAAAGAAATATTTCCAATGAAGAATTATCTGAATTACATGAATATGATTTAATTGCACTTGGTAAGTAAACACGTGTTTATTTTCAAAAGCCTTTTTTTTGCATTTATTGAACTTATTTAAATCTTTTTAATCTAAAATTAAGCAAAATATTTATTTTTTAAATCTAATAACTATTTATTTTCAAGGTGCCGATTATACATTCATTACAGCATTTTTGAAAGAAATGAAAAATAGATCAAAAAAATCAAGTGAATATTTACAGCCTCAATATAGGTAATGCTTTTTGATTATTTTTTTTTTCAATTTTAAGTATTATGTTCCTTATATATTTTTTTTAGATACGAGCACTTGGTGGACATTTTAAAAACTGGACGAAATCATATTAAGCATATTGGTGCATTTATTGGATATGCAAGACTTAGATTAAAGAAAGAACAAATAAATCTTTTTGTTGATCCTAATAAAGGATTACGTGCAAGTGAAACATTGAAAATTGCTTCAATAGCAACAATCAAAGAAATTAACTATATCATGGAAGAAGTGAATAATTTAGAAACATACATTTCAATGGTATATATTTTCAACTAAGTTTTAAGCTTTTTACAATAATTAAAGGTTTATCTAAATTTTAAAAATACTTTTTTTTTTCTATTCTAGACTTATGAAACACCAAAAAGGAAAAAGTATTTCAACATTTGTATGTTCATAGGTGGATTGGGATTGACGACTTGTGCATTGTTCCATTTGTGTAAAAAATGTTATATTAAGATATAATAGGTAACAATTTTTATTTTTATTTTTTTTTGTAATATAAAACTTAATTTTTATAAATTCATTTTTTCTGTAAAATAAGTATAGTATTTCAGAAGGAAATAGAAAAGAAAATTAAATTTTTAATTTACATTTAATTGAAATTAAAAACAAAAAAAATTAATTCAATGAAGCAATTTTTAAATAATTACCAAAATCATTGCAAAATTAAAGTTTCTGCCCCCTTTTCTCGAACTACAATTCCATCACGTTTTTTCAATTCTTCAGCACATTTCACTTTTGCCTCGAGAATTCTATAAATATTATTATTAAATATGAATATGAATTTTATTTATTAGAAAATCAAAACTACTTACGATGAGATATTTTTCCACTGTTGAACTTGATATTCATTTTGGGAAGCTTGTTCTGCAAGATGTTTTTCATCTTCTTTTAGTAGTTTCATTTTTTTTTCTTCAGCTTGTATTGATTCTTGTAATTCATCCCTTAAAGTTGGTTCACCGCTTTTATTTGCATAATTCTGAGGAAATGGTGAAAAATTAATTTTTCTTTACTTATGAGACAAAAATAAGTATTATAAATATATTTTTTTACCTTCTTGTCTTGTTCTAATCTTTCCTCAAGATATTTCATTCTATCCATTTCTTTATTTAATTCATTATTTTTCTCCACAGTCTTTAAAAAACGATAATTATTTCAATTTTATTTTTTTTGTTAAATTTAGTTTATTTAGTTTTTTACCTCTTTTATGGATGCTTTAAGACTTTCGACTTCTTGAGCTAATTCAGATGTTGATTCATCCATACTTGCTTGAACTGAATCATGATTCTTGACAGCCTTTTCATATTTTTCTTCAAGCTCCTGAGCTTTTTTCCTCAATGGTTTCACTTCTGAAATTATAATTAATTAATTTATCAAATTTTGAAAATAATTTTGAAAATAATTTATAAAATATATTTATAACCATCCAATAAAGGAGCCAATTCTTTTTGAAGTTTTGCAATTTCTTCCGCTAGCTTTTTATTAATTTCATTTGCAGTCTCTTTTGTAAAATTCTCAGGTAATGTCATTAATTCCGCTTCATCATTTGTTTGAATTTCCGAAAGCTAAAATCAAAAATTATTTTTTATGATTGATTTAAAAAATTTCAAATTTATTTCCAAAACACACCTGATTCTCTAAAATTTCAATTGTACGTCGAAGAACTCCATTTTCTGCTTTAAGAGCAGATAATTCAGCTTTGGATTGTTTATATAAAGTGCTTTTAGTTTTTAAACGAGCGACATATCGTTTAAATTCTTCTCCATCGGGGGCAGTTTCCTCTGAGACAAGTTTTGCTTTCTCTTTTTTCTCCTTTAATTTAGCTTCAAGTTCTGTTAAAGTCGATTCACTTTTTTCTAATTTATCTAATACATTTTTCTTGATATTTCCAATTGCAGCTGCTTGTTGCCTAAATGGGGCCATTTTATCAGATCCCATTTCAGAAGCCTGTCGATTATGAGTATTATAAACTAATATCGTTAATTAATTTTTTAAATTAAATTTAATTAATTGTCTTTAATCAAACCTTCTTTTCGACTAATTCTTGAACTTCTCGAGCTGCGGCATCTAATTTTGTTCGCAATGCGGCAATTTCATCGGTTCCAATATAAGGTGAATCAACAACAGCTGTTAATGCTTCTAATTGAAGTTTTTTATTTTTTATCTCTTCTGGTAAACGTTCATTGGCAATAACAGTTAAAACTGAGACTTCCTCGGTTAATCGTTGCAATACAGTTTGAGGTGTTAGACCTGCACCCTCATCTTTTAATATTTCTAATTCTTTTTCTGCTCTTTGAAGGGCCATCTAATAAATTTTTATCATTTTTATTTTATCTAGATAAACAAAAATTGTTTTGCCATTTTTTTTCAAATACCTCCACTGCTTCGTAAGCTTCAGCTTCTTGTGATTTTTGTAAAACTAATTCTCGTTCTCGATCTCTTTCACGTCTCAAATGTTGAGCTGCATCCAATAAATGTTTTGCTGGTTCAATTCTTATTTTCATTCTCTCAATTCTTCCAATTAGTGTCTGAATAAATTTTTTCAAATAAACAGTGAAATATACTTTAGAAATTTTACAATTTGAAACTCACTTTTTTCTCCTTTTCCATTGCTTCAACGTCAGCTTTCAATTCGGCAGCAGTTTCTCCCCCCTATATTAAATAAAAAAAAAAAAAAAACTATAAACAAATTCATAATTTTAAAAAGTAATTATTTACCTTTCGTCCAGTTTCTCTATCTTTATGAAGAGTTTTAAATTCCTCTACCATATTCAAATATTTTTCGTATATGGATCCAATGTCTGGATCTGATAAATATTCCGTTGGTATTTCCACCTTAATTACGAACAGAAAAAAAAAAATAATTAATATTTTTTGTATTCGGTAAAATTTGTTATTTTTTACCTTCACTAAAAAACGGGACAAATAAGCTCGTTGACGGGCAATATTGACGTTCGATAAAATCCATTTTAATATAGGATAAATTGTTTCTGTCTCGCCTTTTACTAAACCTTGCCTAAAAATTTTATTTTTTTAAATTTCATTATTAATTTAAATATTTTATTTATATTTACAATTAATAATTTTAATTATAATACCTAAACAAAACAGGATCTGTATCTGGTTGATATTTAAGTACTCGAAGAAGTGAAAAAATTCGAATAGAACTTTGTTCTGGATTTTCAGTTCTAATGTCAATTTTTCCATTTTCCTTTTGTTCAATTTCAGATAATACATCACTAAGTACCTAGAAACAATAACATTTTTAATCAGAAAAAATCCAATTCACAAATTTTAAATATTAAAAAATGTGACTAAAATTTTAATTTAATTTTTTTTATATTTTTAGTAACAATTATAATAAAAATTTTATTTTTCCCCTCACCTGAAGCAAATCATCAGAGCCTAATGCACTAAACGAAATTAAATTGTAATTTCGTGATAATAATTTATTTATTTCAGTTACAATAAATTTAGTGTCTTCAGCCATTGTTTAAAAAAAAGAATAATATATTTTTAATAAATTACACAGTATTTCAAAAAAGCGACAAAAGAACGATAATTTTATTCAACAGAACCATTTTGAAATATTCTTTGTTTTCATTACCGTTACCATGGTAACATTCGCACATGTCAATAAAGAACATACAAAAAAAATTATAATATAATTGTTTTTAGAAAATTCTTTTTTATTTCTCTATAAAACATTTGTACAATGTTGATATATAATTAAAAAAATATTTAAGATTCCATTTTAGAATTTACACTATTTTCTTTTACATCAGACGCTGTCACTATTAAATTTTCTTCACTTTCTTTTTCTTCTACTTTACGTTTATTATTATCGTGTTTATTTTGTTTTCGTTTTCTTTTTAAATGTGGTTTCTCGTCATTCATCCTAAAATGAAAATTTAAATTAAATGAAAAGATTTTTTAATAGAAATATTAAAATTTTTAAATAAACTCACATATTGCAAGATTTGGTCCCAGGTCCCCAATGTGATTCTGGATTTAATTGAAATCGAGCCAAACGTTTTTGACGAGAAATTGGATTTGCATGAGGATGAAGTGCAAATGAAATTGGTGTAACAGAATCTTTGGTTAAAATTGTAAGAGCCACACTTTTTTCGCCAAGTCTCTCTCGTTTTGCAGGATGATCCTGAAATTCGACATATTTTTAATTTCCTCGTTAATTATTTCTAATTTAAATACATATTTTTAAAGTAAAAAAAAAGTTTCACCTTTTCCCAAGCGCGCACAATATCCCATATAACATCATTGGGGGCATCAGTTTTTATGGAAATTTTATTTGCATGTGAATATGATACTTTGTAACCTGCGTTTAATAGCGCTGAACGAAACAAAAGCATAGAAGGTGTATCGACACGAACAATGGACATCTGTAAAAGAAAAAAGGAAGTCATCACTAGTTTAGTAAATTTCTTTTTTTTTAAATAACATACCAAACGATCGAGTGTATAATACAGAGGACAATCAAGCTCTTCTCTCACTACACTTAAAACTCCTTGTATTCTTTTACACGTTCCCAATTCCATTTCTTCGACTTTTGATAACAGTCTCGAAACAAATGTTTGATCGTGTAGAGGATCTAGCCATAAAGGACCACCAACCTTAAAATTTTATATTAATATAGAAATATTAATTCCTTAATGTTCAATTAAATATAATTTTTTTTTTCTAAATTACTCACGTGATGTTTGTTTTGACATTGTTTACAAAATTGATCGACACTTGGTACTTGCGGTAATTTAAAACCTCCATTTGGTGTTTTAATTGTCAATGGTTGTATTGTCATACTTTCACAACCAACACATTGATAGAGCATTCCTAATTTACTTGCAGTTTCTTTACATTTTTTTTGACTCGTAAAAACTCTCACAAATACTCGTATATAAAAATCTGCACTTATCGAAAGTAATGGTTGAATATAACGACCATAACGACCAGCGTGCGCTGCAATATGTTGCAATAATATTCTCAAAGCCTATATAATTTGAAAAAATAAAAAATATATTTTTTCTATTATTACATATTAGATTATTTATAGACTGAATTTTTAATTACAATTTCATGGCAGGCTTTTGATTTTAAGGATAATGCTCCATATTTAACGTGGCAAGTTTCTGGAAAATTCCCTGCTAAAAGTGCCATATCAGTCGCTGTGACTAGAAGTAATCCACCTTCCGAAAGACATTGAACACCTCCATCGAGAAATATTGTTGGACATCCATATGGATCTAAATCAACAGCATCGAAACGTGTTTTTCTATTTTGGTACATGACCATTCTGTAAATTGTCAAAGAATATTTAATGAATAATTAAAAAGAAAGATAGAGATTTCTTTTGCAGAAAAAAAAAGAATATATAAAAAATTATTTTTCATACGTTGCATCTTCGTGACTTGGTTTTACTAAATTTTCCACTCCATTGTGAGCGATATTTTTCTCAATTGATTCGATTGCTTCTTTTGAAATATCATTTGCAACAACATATTTTATGCCTTTTATTTCTTTCGCGTATCTTATACTTCTCAAACCGGTCGCAGACAACGCTTCCAATATTGTGATTCCCTCCTATAAAAAAAAACAATTTTAATTGTTTAATCCTTTTTTAAAAAAAAATTCTAAGTTTAGTTTTACATTTGTTTCCCCTTCACATGAAGTCTTATCCTCGATTATTAAAGTTTTTTTTCCCACTTTTTTATTAGTTCTCAATTCAGAATTATAATCTTCGGCAAATAATGACAAAACTGCGATACTGCAAAATATGTAAATAAATATAATTTAAAAATTATGATTACCGTTACCATTTTTAAATATTTACATACCTTAAATCTCGATTGAATTCTTGAACATGATTATAAAAAACATTTTTTCCTTCAACTAGAATTTCTGCCTTTCCTTCTCTAATTATATTTTTATCATTTTCTCTTAATTCTACAGGTTTATCCATACTTTTTATCAAAAATATACTTCGTCTGTAAATATATTTGAGGTTATGTAGTTTGTTTGTTTGTTTTTTTTTAAATTAAAATATAATAGTAAAAATTAATTTTCTTTTAGTAAAACATTTACAAGTGTTTAATTAAAGATGTTGTTTTATAAAGATATTTTTTAGAAGAGCAAGTAATAAATGATTGTAAACACATTTGACAGAATAAAACATGCGTGTTTGTACTCACATATACAAATGTCAATATACTAGCTGAACAATACACAAACCAACTTTGATTGTCTTATAAAATATTTTTGATTTATTTTAGTCTTTTTGTGTATGAGCCAAATAATAGAAAATTAAAGGTTTAAAATATAACACCCAACTTCACTGAACATAGTTTATTAAATAATAAAATTAAAGAAAATCACTCCACATGATATAATATAATAATAAAATAAAATTCAAACTATATTCACACACACGCATACGTATAAGTAAACAGTCTTTGTCAAAAATGTTGTTTATCGCTCGCACGCTAAACGAGTACTGATCATTTCTAATTAATTTACATATTTATTTTCTTTGATCGATTTCATTCGGAACTTTTCGTCGTCAAATTAGTCACGATTCTCGACATTCTGCCCCCTTTTTGAACAATTATGTTCAATAAATACATTTTTTTTTTTTTTTTTATCTCTCTATAGGAAGCGGTGATATTTTTTTTACGCCTCTATCTAATTCACCATTTTGGGTCTTTACCTTTACCACACGTATCACACCATCATCTCCTGGATATATTTGAGATACTCTACCCAAACTCCATCTTAACGGCGGCAAATTGTCATCCCTTAAAATAACCAAAGTTCCCTCTTTTATCACTTCTGGTGATCCCGAATGCCATTTTGAGCGAACATTAAGCTCATTTAAATATTCGCGCGACCAACGTTTCCATAAATCGCGTTTCATTTTTTGTAAACATTCCCATCGTGATAATCGATTTACAGGAGTTTGAGTATAGTCCCAAGCAGGAATCGTTGTCAAAGGCTCTCCTATTAAAAAATGACCTGGAGTTAATACGCTTACATCATTAGGGTCCATAGTCATCGGAGTAAGAGGTCGTGAATTTACAATTGCTTCGATTTCACACATATATGTTCCAAGCTCTTCGAATGTCAACAATGTTTCGCCAATTGTTCGCCGTAAATGATGTTTGAGCGACTTCACCGCCGCCTCCCAGATACCGCCAAAATGCGGAGTTCGCGGGGGCGAAAAATACCATTCAATATTCTGATCTGCCAATTTTCGAGATATAATTTTATTATGTTCATCTGTGTTGAGGAGACGGTAAAGATCACTCAACTCATTTCTAGCGCCTACAAAATTAGTACCATTATCCGAATACAATGCTTTAGATTTTCCTCTTCTTGCGAAGAATCGTCGTAAACTTGCTAAAAAACATTCTGTTGATAAGTCGCTTACCAATTCTATATGGATCGCTTTAGTGCTCATACACACAAATACGGCCGCGTACACTTTAATTTTATTTCGATTCCTGTACTTTTTTTCTTTAATATAAAATGGACCGCAGTAATCCATACCTGTATTTTCGAAAACGCGAGTGGCAGTCACGCGCACTGCAGGCAAATTTCCCATTTGATAAGATACTTCTTTAGGCTGAGCTCGAAAACATTTTACGCATTTATTTATGACCTTGCGCACTGCCAACCTACCATCGATTGGCCAAAATTTCATTCTCAATGCATACAGTGTTGCATTATTGCCAGCATGCATATTTTGCTCATGAATATCGCGGATGATTAATTCTGTAACAGGATGATTTTTTGGCAGCAACATAGGGTGTCGTTGATCATAGGGCAATTCTGCTCTCTTTATTCTTCCCCCCACTCTTAAAATTTTTTCGTGCATTACAGGATTAAGTCGAAGTATTTTTGACCGGCTTGATAGACATTCATTCTTTGACAGTTGATTAATTTCATTGTAGAACTCTTCCATCTGGACCAGTGAAACAATTCGATTAAATGCTGACTGAATCTCTGCTGGTGTTAATATCTCGGAAAATTTGGTTTTACCGCGTGCTCTTTCTGCTATTCGTAAACAATATGCCACTACATGGATCAATTTTCTGAGGGATGAAAATCGAGACCATAAATTAATTGATGTTTTTACATTCTTTATAGTTAGCGCCACGCTTTTTTTTCTTTCAGGCAATTCCGTTTGAATGAAGTGATGACTGGGCCAATTTTCTTCCGACAATTCCAACCACGTTGGACCATTTTTCCATAACTTGTTTGATACAAATTCTGCAGGCATTTGACCCCTAGATACAAAATCTGCGGGGTTATCCTGTGAGATGACGTGTTTCCAACATTCAGGTCTTGTAAGAGTTTGAATTTCGGCAATACGGTTGGCTATGAATGTGCTGAACTCATGAGGAGAAGATGCAATCCAATTCAATACTATAGTTGAATCCGACCAAAGGTGTATTGCATTTACATTAAATTTTATTGCATTTTTGACAGTGATTATTAACTTTGACAATAATACTGCCGCACAAAGTTCCAATCTTGGCAATGTAACTGTCTTCAATGGTGCAACCTTTGATTTCGCACATAGTAATATTGTACGATGTTTTCCCTCATTCGAACACCTGATGTAAACGCATGCGCCATACGCTTTCTGACTGGCGTCTGCAAAGCCATGGATTTGAGTCTCGTCTGATGGTTGACTTCTAACCGCTCTCTCGATTTCCCAATTGCTCAATTCACCAAGTTGACCTTGAAATTGCTCAAATTCCACTAATAATTTAGTTGGTATTGGATCGTCCCATGAATTATTAGTTTTCCAAAGTTCTTGCATTTTTATTTTTGCCACAACTGTGACTGGTGCCATTAATCCTAGCGGATCATAAAGCATCTTACCAATTTGTGAAAGCATGATTCGTTTTGTAGTGGGTTTTTGATCCAACGTTGGTTGCACGTTAAAATGCAATGTATCCTTTTGAGAGTTCCACATCACTCCAAGTGTCTTTGAACTTTGATCCACATCATTTGTTAATACTTCTGAATCCCCTGAATTTTGAGCAATTTCTTGATGATTTGACCTCCACTTGCAAATACGAAGTCCTGCTTTTGTTGTCAACTCAATTAGTCCTTCTTTTATTTGTTGTACTTCGCTTACAGTGTCGGCTCCCGTGAGGCAGTCATCCACATAAAAATCATTCTTTAATACTTCGGCAGCGATTGGAAATGCACGACCTTCATTATTTGCCAATTCTTTCAAACAACGAATTGCCAAAAATGGTGCCGCAGAAGTTCCATATGTCACGGTGTTCAGTTCGTACGTTCTGATAGGTTCATTCTCATTATATCGCCACAAAATTTTCTGGAATTTTCTATCTTGGGGATGTATAAAAAATTGGCGATACATTTTTTCAATATCTCCACTCAAGGCAATCACATGCTGTCGAAATCTCAACATTAATGCTACTATGTTATCTTGGATAGTTGGCCCTGTCATCAAGGTGTCGTTTAACGACAAACCAGTATCTGTCTGACATGATGCGTCAAAAACTACTCGAAACTTACTAATATTATCTATCATCTTCAGAACAGCTTGGTGTGGTAAATAATATCCTTCCGATTTATCCGCAATTATTTGTTTCATATGATTCAAGTGTTCGTATTCTTCCATAAAATTTGTATATTTTTGTTTTAATTTAGGGTCTTTAGATAATTTTCTTTCGAGCATAAAAAATCTTTTCCGAGCTATTTCATATGAATTTCCTAAATTATTTTTATTTTCATTAAACGGAAGTCTCACTATATATTTACCTTTATTGTCACGTGTTACATTGTTTACAAAATGTTCCTCAATTTTTTGTAAACGTAGTTTAATCTCCTCGACAGTACCCGCGTTTTCGTCAATTGAACATTTTTCAAGAAATGTATTAAATTTTGTTAATTTTGATTTGCAATTAGTACGGCTTTGTCGAGCAGTATCAACTTCGTTTACAGACATTACAAAGAAAATAATCACAAATTAATATAAAGATAAATAATAAATATATACAACGTTCTTACTTTAAGTCGATGAGTCACCTTATAATACAATAGTTTATACTTTCCAAAGCGTTGTCGATTTGAAATAACTGCCTCGTTTTCGTATATGTAGTTTTTCAGTTATTTCCTCAATGAATATTCTCATCTGCTTTTCATTCGAAATTTAAGATGAGACCTATGCATACACTGCTTCCATACAAGTAATTTTTGATTTCTATATGATGTAGATTAAGCAGCCTTGTCGAAATTGAGTACTCGATAGCTTTCTTTGTGCGAGCGATCCGGCTCGAAGGACCATGAACAATACACAAACCAACTTTGATTGTCTTATAAAATATTTTTGATTTATTTTAGTCTTTTTGTGTATGAGCCAAATAATAGAAAATTAAAGGTTTAAAATATAACACCCAACTTCACTGAACATAGTTTATTAAATAATAAAATTAAAGAAAATCACTCCACATGATATAATATAATAATAAAATAAAATTCAAACTATATTCACACACACGCATACGTATAAGTAAACAGTCTTTGTCAAAAATGTTGTTTATCGCTCGCACGCTAAACGAGTACTGATCATTTCTAATTAATTTACATATTTATTTTCTTTGATCGATTTCATTCGGAACTTTTCGTCGTCAAATTAGTCACGATTCTCGACACTAGCTATGTGTTAGTTACAACAAAAAAAATACATTTATTTACTAAAAATAAAAAAAAAATTTCAGATATTATATATAGAATTAAAATAATAAATAAATTTTTAAAGTAATTTAAACAATGTAAATAACATAAAACATTTTTAAACTAATTGTTTACAATGATAGAATTAAATTAATAGAAAATTAGTGGCGCCATCTGTTGGTGACACCAGACGTACCTGCAAAATGACTTTTTTTGGGACTTTTTGGGACTTTTTGGCGATTTTCCATTGGAAAGATAGGAAAGTTGAGTTAATTGAAATTTTTCATTTAGGAGCGCTGCTGCACCAAAATTTTATCTACCCATCCCTGGTTTGAACTTTCGATTGTAACGCTCTCATTGGTCAATTTCATATTTACGCGGGGAATAGCAATGAATGAGGTGTACGCTCATTGGTTGCTATTCCCCGCGTAAATATGAAATTGACCAATGAGAGCGTTACAATCAAAAGTTTAAACCAGGGATGGGTAGATAAAATTTTGGTGCAACAGCGCTCCTAAATGAAAAATTTCAATTAACTCAACTTTCCTATCTTTCCAATGGAAAATCGACAAAAAGTCCTAAAAAATGTCATTTTGCAGGTACGTCTGGCGCCACCAACAGATGGCGCCATTAATTTTCTATTAATTTAATTCTATCATTGTAAACAATTAGTTTCAAAACGTTTTATATTATTTACATTGTTAAAATTAATCTTTTATATTAAATAAATAATCGAATTGTGTGGATATACGACGAAATAAAGATTAAAACTTGCAGAAATACGATAAAGTGGATAAAATTCAAATTTAAAATTTTTTAAAAATTAAAAAAAAAATTTTAATTTTTAATTTGTTTTAAAAATAAAATTAAATGTCTTTTAAAATTTTTTTAAAATACTTTTTATTTATATATAAAAATGAAAAAAAACGTTTTGCGCGTGCGTGATTAGAGTAAGAGAGTTCGGGGGCTAGTAGTGTGAAGAACCTAACCTTTAATGATTCCCATGTGCGAATTTATTAAATATAAAAATAATCAGACAAGTAAATAATTTAATTTTACCTATAAAAAAAATGGCAAAAATAAAACCACGATTAGGTAGTAGAAAGAAAGCCAAAAGATGGGCAAAAGGACAAAGTTCAAGTTCTAATCCTGAAACGAAAAAATATCGTAATCAAGCACGCACGTGGTTTTTTCAACAAAATCCAGGTATGTTTTATTTTTTTTTTGTAAATATTTATCAAGTATTTACTATTTAAAATAATTTACTCATTCTATTTAATTAGAATTTAGATTATAACAATTAGTTTCTTGTAAAAATTTTTGTTTTTACCGGAAAATCAGGAACGTAATTTAATTTTGAAACTCGTTTTTAAGTTACAATAATGATTTAAGATTCATCTGGACTGACAACTGATGTTCTACGAAAACATGATGCTATTCAAGGAACAGCATCAATATCTGAAAAAATTGAAATTGACGATGAAAGTAGTGTGGGTGGAGCATCTACTTTTAAAACATTTAATACATTTGCTAGTGATTATAGCAAATGCTCCAATATGTCATTTAATCGGTAAAAAAAATATTTAGCCTTGATTATAATTTATAATTGATATAGTACTTAACTTGAATTTTACAAATATGTTTTTAGATTTTTAACTCAATATCAACCAAATTCGGTAATTCATAAAGAAATGTTAGCAATATTGGCCGCAGTTACTGATGTTATTAAACAAAACGATGGTGTTGAATCAGATACAGAATATTATGCAGCATTGGTAAAAATAGAAATATATTTTTTTTAAATTGATAAATTTTATTAACTTCATTAAGAGATATTCTATTTATTTCAAGATGACTACTTTGGAGGCAGCCGAAACTGACGAATCAATATCAGCAATTTTATCTTTACTGGGAATGATTTTGAAATCTGTTCCAAAAAATGTACTCAAATTGCAATTCAGTCAAGCGAGTCAGATTCTTTTGAATGTACTAATAAAGTACGCAACTAATGAAAATTTTCTAGTACAACGACATGTAAGTTTTATTTGTCTTGATAAAAAAAAAAAAACCAATTTTATTTGGGAAATGAATTTTTTTTGTAGTGTATTGGATGTTTACAAATATTACTTCGAGCTCAAGAGGTTGCTGTTTGGTCAGATAGCTCAACATTACAAGTGTTGGACGCTTTATTAACATTTACAATTCATACAAAGCCAAAAGTTCGAAAAGCTGCACAACACGGAATTTGTGCGATTTTAAAAGGTATCACGATTAATTTTATCAATTCTTTGAAATTTTGTTAATATTAATTTCATTTTTTTTACAGGAAGTGATATTATGAAAGTTGAAAATCCACCACCTTATCATCCGGCAGCTTCACAAGTAGCAAAACACTGTATTTCTCAATTAGAATCTGCTGGTAAACCTGGACACATGACAAATACTCTTCACATTCTTACACTTTTGAAAGAAATTTGCCATCAACTTCCAAAATCTTATTTAAAGGTAATATTTCGGAAAAATATAAATACTAAGAAATTTTTTTTAAATAACGTTTCTATTTCAGAGTATTTGCGAGGGTCTTTTGAGCATTATGACTCTAAATAATGTACTTGTAACATCTTGTTGTTTTCAAACATTCCATGGATTATTTATTTCAAAACCAAGTGAATCCGTTTTACCATCGCAATTAAATGCTCAAATAATTAATGCTCTTTATGATTATCAACCGGCACCGAGTGATACTCAACCAACTCTCGCATGGTTGACCGTAATGCAAGAAGCATACGCGAATCTTGCTTCGTAAGTAGATATTTTACAGAAAAAAAAAAAATACTTTAAAAAACTTTGTAAAAATAAATCTAAATTTTTTAGACATTCATTGGATCTTTGTGCGGCAAATCTTCCTCGCTTTATTGAGAAAGCTACGGAACTTTGGCTCTCTGATAAGACGGACGTTTTAACCGGTGCTTCGCATGCCATAAAACACGTTTTACAAGAATGTGTCAGTCTTATGTGTATAAACGAACAAATCGCTTCAAGGTAAATATAAAAGCAAATTTTATTTTTTGTTTCCTTTTTTAAAATTTTCAATATTTATAGATATAAAACAACATTAAAGAAGATTATTCAACTGTTACAAGAAGGATTAAAATATCAATATAGTGGAGCCTGGCATCATGTTCTTCATTTACTGGCCGTTTTATTTCAGGTAATCTTCATTTTTTGATTGCTTTTTTATTTCAGTTTTAGTTTGCAATTTCTAATGTTTAAAATAAACACCTTTTTTCTAAATTGTTTAATTAGATTATTGGACTTAATTGTAAAGAAGAAATGGCAAAAATTTTAATTACATTGGCAGATTTACGTGATACGCATAAATTTACATACAACAGTGAAATTGAATATGCCGTTGGCGCTGCTGTTAAATCAATGGGTCCAGAAATTGTTCTAAACACAATTCCTCTTCAGGTTTGTATTTTCTTAAAATAAATTATCAATACCAGAAATTAAAATTTTTTTCTTTTCAGAATTTAAACAGAAGTTGGCTTTTGCCTATTTTAAAAGATTGCACCTCAAATGCTCCACTATCCTATTTTATTAAATCTCTTTTACCACTTGCTGTTCATTGTCAGTAAGTTATTTTTAATTAAACTACAATTAATTATACTCATAGTGGAAAAAATTACAATTTGCATTTTTTTTTTACAGAATAAAATCGAAGTCATTGCAAGAAAATAAAGATGGAATTGGAGCACATAGTTATGAATTAATGAGATCACAAATTTGGTCCTTATTGCCCAACTTTTGTAATAATCCATCGGATAGTTTTGGGGTTTGTTTCCCTTTTTTTATATATAATTTAAAAAATTGTAGAAAAAAATTAATTCCTTATTCTTTTCTTAGTCGGATTTTGCAAAAACTCTTGGAACATTAATAGGAAGTGATAAAAGTTTGAGATTTTCTGTAATGGCCTCATTGCGAAAATTAATTGCTACCTCGGTGGAAAAAAATAATCAAGAAGATATTGAAACTTTAGCTAAATTTTCAAAGAATTATTTACCTATACTTTTCAATTTATATTCAACGAAACCTCATGGTTCTGACGAAGAAGGACAAAGAATTGCTGCCTTTGAAACAATCAAAGTAAATATATAATTTTTGGAATAAAACTATTCATTTATCAAATTTAATAATATTCTCTTTTAGGTTTATTTATCAATTACAAGCAAAGAATATTTAGATATGTTTTTTGATACGGCGATGAAAAAAATTCAAGACGAAACAATAGAAGGATTTGAAAAGGAAAGTGTATTTGATCTCTTTAGATTATTTGCACAATTTACCGATATTGAAAGATTGAAAATATTTTACGATTTTTGTGTTCCTCTTTTAATGAAAAATAATAATCAAAAGGAACAGAAAAAAGCATACAGGTGTGTAAATTTATAAATACTTTAATATTTTTATATTTTATAAATTTGATTTTATTGTACAAAAAAAATTAATTTTCTTATTTTAGATTTTTAGAAGAAATTTGCTGTAGCGAAAGTGAAATTTGTAAACAATTTGTATTTGAAAATCGACGTGGAATTCAAAGTTTGTTGAAAAAATCTCAAGAATTTGCACTTAAATTAAGTAAAGGAGTAAGTTTTCTTTTTCATCTATTTTTTTATTTAAATTGAATACTTTTAATTTTTATTAAATTCAATTTTCAGGCTCGAATTCGTATTATTATTTCCCTCGTTAAAAGTCATCCACAACTTGAAAAAACGAAATTTTTAAAAGCAATTGTTCCCGAAGCAGTCATGTGCTTAAAAGAAGTTAATGAAAAATGTCGTACATCTTCTTATCAATTGTTAAATACAATTGCAGAAAAATTTTTAAATCATGAAGAATATTTTATGGAATATATTCAGTTGCTTATATCAGGTCTTGGAGGCGTGCCAATATTTTGCAGTGCAACTTTACTTGCCCTTTCTTCAGTTCTCTATAATTATAGTGGTAAATTTAAAAAAAAATAATTAATTATTGAAAAGAAGAAGCTTCTTTTAACTCACATTCTATTTTTTTTAGGATCTTTGGGAATAGAGACTGTTAAAGAAATTTTGAATCACGCCTGCAATCTATTAACAGGACCAACGAGAGAAATTACAATATCTTGTTTAGCATTTGTTAAAGTTTATCTCAGCACTATGCCAACTCCAGTAATAGGCCCGACATTGTCTAAAATTGTAAATATACATTTTTTTTTTTAAATTTAATTATTAAAATACTTGAAAAATTATTTATAATAAAATAATTTGTTTAAGATGGAATCCTTGTCAAAAATGACGGAAGACTGTAAACGACACTGTAGATTGAAAATACGTGATATCCTTGTAAAAATGGTTCGTAAATTTGGCATTGAACCGATAATTAATATGGTACCACAGTCCGATGAAACGATGCTCAAGAGATTGAAAAATATTCGTAAAATTGAAAATAGAAAACAAAAAACGAAAGACGACAAGAAAAATAAAGAAGAGGATAGTGAAGAAGAATTTAATCTTAAACGAATGCCAAAGAGTATGGAAGAAATTTTGGCAGATAGTGATGAAGAATTTGATGATGTTGATATGAATGATGGTGGTAAAAATTCGAAACGACAGAAAAAGAAGACTTGGATTCAAGAATCGGTGGATAATATTGTTGACTTTGCTGATCCTACTGCTTCTAAAAACATTGTTGGTTCGTATATGTTTTTAATCTATTTTTATAGAAAAAAAAAAATTGACTACTCAATTCTAAAAAATTATTTTAAACTTTCAGCTACAAAACCAGGAGTTACTGTTTCTAAAGAAGCTAAAGAAAAATGTAAAGACAGTGGATTTAAAACAGCTGAGGATGGTAGATTATTAATCACAGATAATACCGATGACGAAAGTAATGATGAAGAAGAAACAAAAAAGAAGAAGAAAATTTCATTCTTAGGAATGAATGAAGACGATGATTATGGTAAATTATTTTTCTTTTTACTTAATATTAATATAAATTTGGATTACAAAAAAAAAAAATGGGTATAATTAAATTTTTACAGAAGACGACGAGGATGATGCAAAATCGGTAAAATCAGCAAAATCAATTAAGAAAAGAAAACGCGAAAATGGTAGCGTTTATTCTGAAACATTTTCAACATCTTCGAAATATAAAGGTAAGTAAATTAATTTTCTTTTTTTTTTATCAAATTCTAAATTTGTTGAATATTTTATTTATAGCTGGAGGTTCAGGTATTCATCGTCCAATTAAGGTGTCAAAATCAGAAAAAGAACCCGGTGCAGAATATCGAGCGTCGAAAGCTAAAGGCGATATGACAATAAAAGGAAAACAAACTTCTTACGCTTATTTACCGCTTACAAGATCATCTTTGAATAAAAGGTACAAAATTATAAAAAAAAGTGAAATAGAACCAATAAATTTATTTTCTTATTTTTTTGCAGGAAAAAAATGAAGAACGCTGGAAAGTTCAAAGGTATTATTTCTGGAGCTAAAAAAGGTGCACTTGCTGGCAAAAAGAATCAAAAGAAACGAAAGATGTAGAAATAGAATTTAAAAAATTATAAATGGTGAGATAATTTATACTTTCTTTTTGTATATTATATATAAGAATTGTTTTTGATTATTAAATGAGTTAATGTAAAAAAAAAAATAAAAAGTTTAATAAAAATATTAAACAAATTAAATTCTAAAGATTTTTTTAAACTTACGAAATTTTTTTTTCATTTTTCTATAGTGTGAATTCTATCTCAGAATTATCGTATAAATCTTTAATAGTTTCATATCCTCCAATTAATTCTCCATTTTGATAAACTTGAGGATAAGTCGGCCAATCCGAATATGTTTTAAAGGCAATTCTTAATTCTTCATCACATAAAACATCAAAAGTTTCGTACTTAATTCTGAGTGAAAGAAAATTTTTAATTTCAATTAAATTAGACAGTAATATTAAACGAAGAATATTTTTAGAATATTACTTTATGGAGTCAAATATTTCCATAAGTTGCCTTGTATAAATACATTTGGGTCTACTTCGAGTTCCTTTCATTACTATTACAATTGGTGCTTTATTTATTATCCTTTGAATTCTAATATAAAAATAATAAAAATGTTTAATTTCAATTTTTCATTTTAGGATAAATCACTTAAAGATTATAAATTTTAATAATTTATTAATCTACTGTTTTTTTTTATAATCAAAAAATGGTAAAAGTTTAGAATTATCATTTAAATTGTAAAAATAAAATTTCTCGATGGTCCTTTTATCTGTAAAAAGAGATATTTTCGATAATACATATAATTATGGAAATTAATTCTGTTAATGTTTAAAAATTTTTGTTTTATTGTCAAAAAAAAAAAAAATACAATTACCTCTCTTCAACGCCGGGTTTTTGAGGAAGCATTTCCTTCAATGTATCTGATTCATTCATTTCCTTAAGAATATCCAAACCACCGATGAGTTCTCCATTAATATAAACTTGAGGATAAGTTGGCCAATCACTGAATTTTTTGAGTCCTTCCCTAACGGCATTGTCTTGTAAAATATCAAAAGTTTGATAATCGGCATTGCAACTGTCAAGAAGTGCAACTATTGTCCTTGAAAATCCACAACGTGGAGTAGTTGGATCTCCTTTCATAAATAGCATGCAAGGTGCCTGATTAATGAGCCTCTTAAGTCTATCTTCCAGGGCTTCAGGACTTTTTGTCTTTGTTGGCGATGAAACTTGAGACAAATGTTTGTCAGTAATTTCTACCATTGCTGATGTATTTGCACCATCGACACGATCAACAATTCTACCATTTTTATAAAAAATTATTGTCGGCACTGCTGTGACATTATCTTTTATGGAAATTTTTGGAAAATCTTCGGCTTGTATTTTTGCAAATTTCACATTTTTATATTCATTTAATTTGATCATTTCCTCAATGGCGCCACACATTTGTTTACATTGCTCCGACCAGGGTGTGAAAAAATGAATAAGAGTCAAATCTTTTGACCTACAATGAGAAAATTGATAAGTACATATATACATTTTTTATAAATTGATAAAACATATTTTGAATGAAAAGTTTTTCTTTATATATATAAAAAATTAAAGGATTAATTATTATATTTAATAAAAAAAAAAATATTGAGAAATAATAAAAAATACTAACTTTGAATAATAAAATGTTTTAAATAATAGTTATAATTACATAAATATTGTTTTGCAAAAATCATCCTAACCTTAAAGTGTAAAAATTGGAAAAATCAATGCAAGTATTACTTACTGTATTAAATCATTGTATAATTTTTCATCCTCGATAGAAATATAATTAGGATTTGAAGTTTCCTCAGTCATTTTAGATTCCTCCAAGAGTTTTCTAATTAAAAAGCAATACAAAATATATTAACTTTCAGTAAAAAACGTGTTTTGTACTGATAAGGGGTAACAGCTGATTTAATCACTAATACGCATGCGCGCCTTTATTGCAAATTGCAAAGTACAAAACAAAATTACTTCCTTTGTATTTAAATGTTTGAAGATTGATTATTCATTTGTTTCCTTTATTAAGTAATTGTTTTAATCAACTATTTGTATATTTAATTGCAACCAATTAATATTATGTATAAAAACATTCAATGAAGCTCGATTTTAATTTGATATATTCTTCTATATTATTTATAAAAAGGTTTTTATTTATGCTAATATTTATTTATTATGTACAATAATTAATTAAATAAATATAAATAATGCAAATAGTTAAAGGAAGAAAAAGAGGTAAAAATTTGTACACGTCACATGCGGGTTCATTTCCCCTTCCATGGAAAATGCGGGAGGAGGAGACACTTGTAATAAAAAAAAAAAAAAAAATATTACTGTCTCGTCTAACAAATGGTAGGGAATAAAAGATATATATTCTTGAATGACAGGTGTTTTCCAGGATAAACAAAAAATATATAATTAATCATCGTGAGTGAATGTATAAGGAGTTGTCTTCAAAAAATAGTGTTTGTGATATAAGATTTATAATATATAAATTATAATAGATTGAAAAAGTATCACACCTCGCCCATAAAAACCACTTCATGTTGTGACACGCGCGAGAGGTTTTTTTTTTATCATCGTATTAATCAGACGATGTCCAAATTGACAAGGAGTGATGCACTAGAAGAAATTTCTAATTGGAGTAAGGATGATGTCGAAAATTTACTTCGAAAAGTAAGTATTATTTTAATAATTATTGTCTCATTTTATTTAAATTAAAATTTTTTAAACAACTAATTTGTGTATTTATTTACTTTTTTTATGATCACACAGTATATAATTATTATAATTTTCTTATGTCAATTATTTAATCAAAATATTTTGCAAATTTTCACTTATTGGGATACCTTTCATTTTGCTGCGGTGATTGACCTTTTTAAATGAGTTAAGAATACTTATAAACTGTCATCTAAATAAATAATTGATAAATATGATAATATAAACACTCGTAAAAAAATATTCAATTTGTTTGAATTGACAACAACAAAGCAAAGAATTATTTTTTAAAAGACGTCAGATTATTGTTTGCAAAATATTTTTTTTTGCAACTAACAAATTATTTGATAATTGACAATTAAATTTTTAGATAGAGTTTAAAGAATAAAAATTCAACTAGTTTTTCTATATAAAATTTAGAAAAATGTTTTTATATAATGAAAAAACTGGTTTTCATTATTTTTAAAGTTTCCGCATAATTGTTTTTTTTTGTAAACTGTTTTTTTTCCTGAAAAATATTTCTATACATTTATCTGATTTAACTTCCTGAATGCGTAATTTTTTTTAGAAAATGCTAACAATATTTATTTTTTATTATAGTAATATATTTAAAAAAAAAATTTTATAAAAGAAAATATTATTTAGTCTTTATGATTGTGTAGGCGTTAATTAAAAAGATAATCAACAATTTCCTTTGACCTATTTTCTAAATATATGCAAGAACATCTAAAGAAAATAATCAGCTAATCGGAAAAATTTGTTTATAAATTTAGATTAGTTTGCATTGATCTAAATCGTTTTCATATTACAATTTTTCTGATTGTAATGAATAATGAAGAATTCTTAATAATTTTAAACTCCATATTATTTATTAATTTAAATTTATTTCTAAAATACTAATTAATAATTGCTACTGTAATTATAATTTTTGAAACTAATATTACTTTTTTATTTTCAGAATGGTTTGGAAGAAGAATGTTGCAAAGCTATTGATAAAAGAAATATTGGAGGAGATGAACTTTTAGTGAGTTTTAATTTTTTCAATTTCGTTCTTTTTTTTTTTATTTTATTTTTGATTATTCATGTAAATGTCTCTTTAATTCAGAATCAACAGAGGAATGAAATGTAAACAAACGACAAATGGCTTTATCACAATTGTTATCTCTTTTAGATTGTTTCATTGACACACACAAAAATTAAACACGATTATTCTTTTATGACTTCAAATCACTAATCTTATACATAACATATACTTTTATCATAAAATATTATTGTTTTGAAAGAAGAAAAAAAATAATTTTTCAATAAAATAAAGTGAAAAATATTTTCAGAATGAATAATCCATTATTAATAATATTAAAAAAATTTTTAATTTTATTTTTACAAAATTTGAAATTTTTTTTGCCCCCTTACTTAGAATTTATTTGCTCTTGATTAATTTATTTTAATTAATCCAGCACTTAACGGAGGGGAAGCTTGCACTATGGAAAAGCGACCTGACTCGACCACTTATATGGTGAGAAGAAATTTTTCTTTTTCAATTTAGTTGTGACATTGAATACTTGTTTGCAGTTTTCAAATGAAAGGAAAAGAAAGTTTTGTTCATTTTGTTCAGTGACATCGAGATCATACGATGTTAAAAAACAGTTTTAAGTTAGGGGATAAATTTAAAATAATTAAAAAAAATTTTGATTTTATAATAATTAATTATTTTTTTTTCACAGGAGCCTTTGGTCATTTGTTGAGGAATTGAGAAAAAATCCCATAAAATATGTTGAGGAGAAGAGAGAAGAAAAGACTGAGGAAGAAGAAGATGCGAGTGATACAGATTCCTGGGCAACGGATTTTGATGATGAAATAGAAGAAAGTGTGGATGATAATGTGGAGACAAAAAACGTGGAAATGAGAGCTGTCGTTGTTCCAAGAAATCTTGTATTTCGTAATAGTTTGAAAGTTTTTCAAGATAATGACCAAGCAGCGAAATATGAAATTAAAGCAACTAATGTGTGAGTTTTTTTTTTATTTCAAATTTATATTTAAAAATTTTGACTATTTAAATATAAATTTAAAAAGAAATAAATATTTTCAATTAAATAGATAGTGGAGATTATGTAATTTTAATTTTTATTTAAATTAATTGTCAAGGAACAACAGGCTGAACAATAACAAAACAGTAGAGGACAACACCTACGCCAATTATGACATAGGTACGGATACAGAAACGACTTACGCTAATTGTGAAGCTTCGGCAGAAATTGAAGTGACAAAATTACAAAAAAACGAGTCTAAACTTCATTCAATTAGTAAATTGAGTTTAGCTCAACAATTAAAGGAGCAGTTAATGTTGAGGGACGTGCAAAAACCAACACTTTCAGTGAAACCAAAAGTAAATATTTCAATTCGTGAAAATTCAAAAAAAAGACAACCACAGACCTCTTTTCTTCATACAACGAAAACACAACAAAAAACAAGTGATGAAAAAGAATCACAAAGTAAGTTTGAATTTTTAATCAAAACAATTTCAAAATTTTGATTTAAAAATTAATTTCGATTTGAAAATTATTTAATTACAATCTTTTTTTAATATTGTGCAGAGAGATTGTCAGTGTCGTCATTGCCAGAATCGCTAAACGGATCGGGAAATTCTACAATTAGTGATATTAGTGTAAATAAAAATTTACCAAAACCACCTGGTTTAATAAGAAGTTTTGATCTTGTTGCAAATTTGCCAACGCGTACAGAAGAAAGTGAAGATGAATATGAACCATTTGATGAGGAAATTATTGAACAACATCAAAGACGAGAATCAATGGCGAGAGTCGACAGTAAACAATCATTAACAAGCGGACATCAAAGTTCAATTGAGAGCGTTTATCAACCACCAAGTATCACAAGTCATGAAGAGGAAAAGGAATATGAAATTTATGAATACATCACAGAATCGGTAATAATCTTATCGAAACGTATTTTTAAAATTAAATATTTTTGATTGACATATAGAATTTTTAAGAAAAATTTTCTATTTAAAAATTATATTACAGCCGGAAGAAACTAAAACAGATTCAGTTTCAACGAAAAAATCGAAAACTTCAGAAAATCCACCGCCACTGCCTGTTAAACCACCTAATACAAAACCTGATAAATTAGGTAAGTTTCCTTCTCTTTTTTTTAATTTATCATTTTTTTCGAATGAATTCGGTTTATTTATAAACTGAAATTAAAGATGAAACTGTTCCTGTTTCTATATTTAAATTACATTAGAACGTGGGAGGTATATTGAAGTCATTGAATTTTGACAATTTTTACTACATTAAGTAATTTCAAATTTCAAATATGATACTTTTATTAAAAAATATTCAAAAAATAATTATAAATTTTTATTTAAAATTGCAGGAAAAAAATATATAATTGTAAACAATTAAAATAATAACTAATTGACAATTTAAATTATATTATTTATAATATATTCGACTAATTATAAAATAATCGTAGTAATTTAAAAAAAAAAATATCAATTGCTAATTTTATGAATTCTATTAAATACTTACTTGGATTTATCCTCAGTAAGAAAACTTTGTAAAAAATTGATAAGGTAATTCAAAGTTCTGACAGCCATCATTGTGTCAAATTTTAATTTTTTATCAAACAAAAAAAAAATTGTTTCTAACCGAATTAAAAAAATTAGTTTTTTTAAATTTATTTCTAAAAATTGTTTAAACATAAAAATTGTTACGTAACACAAGAATTTTGTTATATTCAGAATTAAGGTTACTTTTTCGATATTTTTTTGAAACGATGTCACCCCATACCGAGAGACCAATGCATTGTTACTTTCGAGATTCTTTTTTTATCCCCTGCATTTCAATGCGACTCAAAATTACTACTCAGCGCTAACGCTCTTTAAATTCAGTTCTAGTTTGAATTTCAAAGTGAGCACTTTATTGTGAGCTTTCTGTTTTTTCATTTTTTTTTTTAAATTATTTTCCCTTCTTTTCAAGTGTTTACTGAAAATTGAAAATTATCGCCTCCAAAAAAATTTGTGTTATTATCCAGAAATATTGTTAAAGATTCGGAAAATATTGTTTATGCAAATTTTAATACATATAACAATAGTCAATTTTATTTAATTAGGATTTGCAATTAAATTTTTAATTAAATTAAATTAGTTTAGTATTTTTATCAAGAGAAATTAAAAAAAAAAAAAAATTCTGAAACCTTTTGTGGGATTTAAAAATAAAATAATAATTATTGCATAAACAATGGCAACGTTAATAGGAGATTTAAAGAGATCTGTTTCTTTAAACACAACAACTCGAAGGCAAGCAAGTCTTTCCGAATGTTTAACTCAGGAAACTTTGACTCAAGCCCGTCTTAATTTGACAAGTTAGTATCTAAACATACAAATTTTTATAAAAAAAAAAAAATTGACGTTTTTAAATTCTAAATAATTTTATTTTCCTTTTTTTAACTTTGGACAATAAAAATATAATTCAAATTTAAATAAAAATATAGTCAAAGAAATTGAAAAAGTGAACTAAAGAGTTTCGTAACTGTTTAATTGAATTTTATGTGTAATTTATAAAGGTGTACATAAAAAGGATGCAAACTTAGGTCATTTTACGGAAATAGAGTACAAACCTGTTTCGTTTAAATATTATGGAGCAGTACCTGATTTCCAAGATTCAAAAACATTTTTCCTCGGTAATAATATATTGAAAAATCAATTTAGATTTAACGTGCTTAAATAATAAATAATTTACTAATTATTTTTTTTTTAGTAAAATAAAAATTGTGTAAATTATTTAATTAATACGAATTGTTTACACTAAAATAATAATACATAATTATTATTTATAATAATAAATGTGAATAACTGTTTTATGCTTATTTTTAAGCTTGATTAATATTACTTTTTGGTCACACTAATTTTTTTTTTACATAAATAATTTTTAGGCAAATAATATTTTTTTTTATTTGAATTTGTTACAGAGCGATCTCCAGATAAAAAATTCGCCACTTTACCACATTCTGGTAGTAATTCTTCGTTGTCATTGTCAGAAAGAGCAACACGACCATTACCTCCTCCTCCTGATAGACAATCATACACGGATAAAATTTGGTTTCATAATGTCACAAGAGAACAAGCCATGATATTAATTAGAGAGCGTTAGTATTCAATATTATTTAATTTAAAGAATATTTGCAAATATTTTTAAATATCTTTACAATTATTTGTAATTTTTCTGTTTTTTTAATTTCAGAAAGTACTTATGGTAATAATCCTCAGGATGGATATTTCCTGGTGAGACCGTCCATATCAAATCCAAATAATCCATTAACTTTGGTTCTTTGGTATAAAGATAGAGTCTATAATGTTCCAATTCGCAAGAGAATCGACAATAGGTAAAAGAAATTTTTAATTTATTATAATTTTATAAAAAAAAAAATTTTTTTCTATTCTTTACAAATTTTTTAAAATAATTTCATTCTAACAGATTTGCATTGGGATCTGAAAAAGTAAACGAACAATCTTTTGCGAGTGTAGAAGAAATTGTGCCTTTTTATTCGAGAGAAGAATTATTTCTCTATACAGGTGGAATGCAAATGGGTAGCACAAAATTATCAGACACGCCATTGAAATAAATTAGTTTTTTTTTTTAGACAATATTAAATGATAGATAAATTAAAATTTGTAACGTTTTTGTAAAATGTAAAAAGTTTAAAATTTTTACAAATGATATTAGAAATACGTTACAATTTTTTATTAATTTTATTTTAATTCAATTTTGTACATAAAACGCTAATTGTATTGAAAACAATTTTTTTATATACTGCATTTAAGTATTTGTAAACTAAGAAAAATATCACATATTAATAAGACTGTGAAGAATAATTTTTTTGAAATTATCATCAATTGTGCCTTTAGAAATTTTGAGAATTTTAACTATTTAAAAAAACACATTTTAAAAATGTTAAGAAAATATTCTTCATATTGCATTTAAATTAGTTGATAATTTAGCAATAAGTTACAGAATTTGGTGATATAATATTTAGAAAAACAGAAATGATCTTTTGTATAAAACAAAATTTAAAAATAGAATATTATTATTTTGAGTGTAACTCAAAGAAACACGATTTTTTATACCGTATTTTATATATTCAATATAAAATGATAATAAATTATAACAAATGTTATATTTAAACATAATTTTTGTAGTACTTATTTCTTGGATTAATGGAATTCTTTTTTTATAATTGTGATTTACACAAAACAAACTTTTACCAAATTTTACATTTTATCGCTGGATTCATTGCACTGCCCTGAGGACATTTAAAAGCTTTTGAGAATTCTTCGGAATTTTGAACTACAGCAACGACTCTGTATTTATCTTCACTATGAGAGTCACCAATGAATTCATCGTATTTTGATCTGCTACTGGAACACCAGACCTGTAAAATTTACATGTAAGTTTACTCTTTAGATTCACATTAATTAAAAATCAAAGAATTTTTTCTTACATTCGCGTAAGTTAAAAAAAAGAATTGTTCATTAGATAAATCTTCAAATCCAGGAAATTGATGGCTATTTTTTTCATTTTCAATATCTTGAAGAGCATCATTCACTATTTCCAAACCCAAAGAATCTGCAATATTTTCCGCTTGCGTCCTTTTTGCATCCTCCTATATTAATAAAATTATATCTAATGAAATTTAAAAAGATCAAATCTTTTTTAAAAAAAAACTATGGTAATTTCTACAATTTACCGTCCACTCTGATTGTAATGTAAAAAAATTCCAAACATTCCTCAAAAATGAATTATCTGATTTTTTATCATTTGGTTTATTTTTATAATAAGATTCATATTGATCGATGAAACAATTAGCTCTTTCTTTATAGTCATATCTTGCATCAAATGAATATCGAATTCTTTTTCCATTAGCATCGAATTTGATTCCTATTCAAAAAATTGTTTCCATAAATTTTTTTTTAATTCAAAGAAAAATTTATTTTATTTTAAACTTCATATACCATCAACATCAAAACCGTGAGAAATTTCATGACCAAAAGTAAATCCAATACTTCCATACGACATTATTCTGCAAAAGTGAAATTTATTTTTGTTCAATTTTTCTGAAATAATTAAAATAAATTGAAAATTTATAAAATATTTACTCGGGTAGTGAGGGTGAATAAAACGAAGTTTGAAACTCGCCTGCAGGAATGGCTGAAAAGAATAATTTTTAAAAAATATATTTTTATATAATTTATAAAAATAATTTTCAATACTTACATAATGAATTAGATAAATAATTGTAGAAAGCATTTACTTGTAATGTATCATCTGCACCCCATCTAAAAATTAAAATATATATATAAAATCAGATTTATATTCTAAAAAAATTGAATTTCTTTTTTAAAAAAGAAATGCTTCTTACTCTTCATCGTTCTTAACTGGATTTCTAATTGATCGTAATTTTTTTTTCTGATCAAATTTTAAAGAACTGAATATATTTTCTAAAAATTGATTTCCAATTGACATCTGCAAAGAAATAAAATTTAATACATATTTCTGTTATTTTTTTAATTTGAAAAAGAATATACTGACGCCACGATAATAATTTTCCATAGCTGTAGCATTATTATAAAAATTTGGATAACCAATACGTGTTTTCATTGTATTAATTTTTTCTAAAACCGATTTTCGCATCTCATCATCCAACCAATCGGCTTTTAAAATATGTTTCGCCATTGCTTTTTGAATTCCTTGAAACATTTCTTGTGCCTGAAAATGAAAAAAATGTACTTACAGTATAAAAAATTGTATTTAAAAAAATTCCCTTTAATATTTACGTGTTCGTTCATATCATCGGTAAAATATTTTTTTACAAATTGATAAGATTTCGCGTGTTCCATTCCTATTTCCTTAACACATTCTTCATTTCTGAAAAAATATATATATTTGAAAATTAGAATTTTTAAAATAATAATTTTATCATCAAATTTAAAATTAATTACCTTGGAGTTTCTTCTTTTACACCAGTCATTTCTTTATAGAGATTAAATTCTAACATACGCATATGTTGTGTAGTAAAAGGCAAAAATTGTTTCAAAAAATACCAGTGAATATAATTAACTAGAAAATAAATTTGAAAATTAATTTTTGGAATTAATTTTATATATTATTAATATTTTTAAAATTACCAATAATTCGTGGCTCTGTTTTCTCTAAAATTTTCGCTATTGCCGACAAAAGATTAGAATAATTTATTTCAATTTCTTCATTTTCATTCATTTCCACATTTGCATCAGCAAAATAATCAGTTATCATTGATATCCAGTTTATCTAAAAAAAAATAATAATAAATTAATTATAGAATTTTAAATTTTAAAATAAGCTTTTATTTTTATTATTAAAGTATTAAAAAAATTGAACCTTGGATGATTTGGAAGTTGAAACATCATCATACATTTTTTGCAATTCTTTGATAGTGACTACATTGGAGTCATAATCCAATTTGTCTAATTCCTATATAGAAAAAAGAATATTCTTTTTATATTAATGATAAATATTAGAAATATTTTTTATCAGTATTTTCCATTCAAAAAAAGAGTCTTACTTTGTCTATCATTTTTTCCAATTTAATTATATTTTCAACATCAGTTGCCAATTGATTTTTCTCAACAATTGTATCTCTCTCTTTTGCAAACATAAGAGCAACTTCGGACATTAATTTTGCATATTGTCCACTTTCGTATAACATAGTTCGATTAATTTTCTTCTGCGATTTTGTAGGAAGAATTTTTGGTAAACTTGGAGATGATAGCTATTTGAAATATTAAATTAATAAAATTTAAAAAATTTGTTAATTAGAAAATATAGCTTTGAAGAATAAGAAATATAAAATCATTTACCTCCAAAATCATTGTTACATTATTAGTAATTCGACCTTCGAGCACATAATCAAGAAAATCAAAATTTCTAGTATCTTGAGTAACTCGTAATTCATAAAAAGGAGACGAGCTACTTAGTTTTAAATAATTTCTATCAATTTGTTGCCAGGGAAATTCTTGTGGATCCCATTCCGATAATTCCATTGCCATTGGCCATCCTCCATTATTTGTTAAAATTGCTTGCAGGCGTTTTATACCCATAATTTCTAGTGCATCTAAAAAAAAAAGAGAATAATTAATTTTTTAGTTCAAATAAAAAATTATTATCTTTATTTTTCCAAAACAATTAAACTTACCAATATTCATACATGATCGATAAAACTTTTTTAATTGTTTAACGGGTAAAATGTCATCGTGTTTTATTCTCTCCTCTAATAAAACTGTAAAAATAAAAATATAAGATACAAAAATAATAAAAATAAATTAATTATTAACCAATAGTTATTATACCTTTTATTCTATTTTCTATCTTCATTTCTGTCTTAGTTCGTGAATCCCAATAGGCTTTATCGGAAGGAATTGGATTATTAATTGTCCATGTACCACAAGCATATTCATAAAAATCTTCACACGGATCAACTGATTTATTCACACTTTCCCACAATTCCGCAGCTAATTAAAAAAAATTTTTTTCCATTAATATTAGAATATATTTAAATTAAATTAATAATTACATTAAAAATTGAAATTCTCACCTACTCTAAAACATTCCTTAGTACGACATACTGTATGCTTATTGTCAAAATAAACAGAATTCTCATTTTCTGATCGCAGTAAATTATTTTGATAAAAATCAGGAAACAATCCTGCTGAACAAACAATTGCAAATGTTATCGTATAAATCCTGTAAAATAAAATTTCCAATTAATAAAAAGAAAATCTGTTAAATGAGAAAAAAAAATTTAGAAAATACTCACAAGATAAATTGAATCATTCTTCAAGTGGTGATGAGAAAAAAAAATTATTATTTTATATTATAATGCAAAAGGCATTATTAATTAAAGTGTTTATATACTTATTGAAACGGAAATTTGCCTATTAATATCATATCTTTTGAATTCTTTTTACACAAATAATAGAAAACCTACGCATCTTCCTGTAACATTATGATAATTTTTATCAATCAAGGCTGAGAAAAGGTAATATATAATGTAAAATAAAATAATATTTAAATTTCTGTAAAAATTTATTTCAATTTAATAAAATTAAAAAAAATATTGTGAATATTACATTTTTTTCAATTAAAACATATTTACATCGATGCATAACTTAAAAACATAATAATGTACGTTAAAAAAATTGAAAAAAACGATAAACATTGAAGAATTTTGGCAAAATATTTCCAAATATTGTTTGGTGTTGATTTTGAGATATATTGAAGATTATTGTCATCCTCATCCTCTTCGTTATCCACAAAACATTTTGTCTCGATGTCATCCAAAACAAAAAGTCTTCCAATTTTGTATTTAAGAACATAAGCCGCTATCGAAGAAATCCATTTAGAAGAAGTTGTTATTGTATTTAATTTTCGTAAAATAATTGTCATTATCAAATTAAATGCAGATATTGACAATGAACCTTCATATAATACCACTGTAGATTTAAAAAATTAATATTTATTTTTCTATTAAAATTATATTTATATAGAAAATTAAAACTTACGCAAATACGGAATTCGATTTCCATTTTCAGTTATTTGCCATTGAAGATCAAATAAACATAATAAATGGCACAAGAAATTTAAACCGATAAAAGCAATCCTCTCCGTTGAATTAATATCCATCCACAATATTATAAGTGTAAATATCATTAAAACTAAAAAAAAAATTATAAAATTGAATATCAAGAATACAATTTCATTAATTAATTATATAATAATTTACCAATAAGAGGTATAAAATAGAGAGTAATTATCACTCTACTGTGTCGTTTTAATTGAAATTCATAAATTACTCGTGGTAAAATAAAAAGATCGAGTCTCGATGATACTGTTGTATTTACAATAGACCATTCTTGATGAGGTTGCAAACTATGCATTACCACCTGAATACAAAAATTTAATTAATAAATATAGTTTAAGAAATTTAATAATTTATAAAAAACTTCATTACTTTATCGAGTGTATAATTGAGATTAATTTCCTCATTAAAATGAAAATACGATGAAAAGATAATTTTACAAATTTGCTTTTCAAAGGGCCAATTTTCAAAATCTGATGAACAATGAACACTCGTTTCAATAAATGGTACGCAGATAATTAAACCATTATACATCACAAGACATGATGTCTTCGATGAAAAAATCATAACCGAATTAAGATCCGCCCTGTGAAAAAATTAAAAATTTAATTATCAAATAAAATTTTAAAATAATATATATATTATAATAAAATATATTCTTACGAATTCCAAACTGATAAATCAGGAATCCAAATTTCGTCATGTTGCACATGTATTTCATGTATATTGTCAAAATCATCAGGATTCCATCTTAAGTGTTCATCAGTCCAATCCTTAAAAAAAAAAAAAATTAATTATTAAGCATATTTTTATAATTATAAATAAATACAATATTACTTACCACTTGTAAATACGAATTTATAATCATTCTGTTTGAACTGGGTTCCTTAAACAATAAATTAATAATTATTACAAAAATTCGAATTGCAATTTTGATTTTAGAGTGATAAAAAAAACTTACATAATCAATTGTTTTAGGAATCATAATAATATTAACGGTGGTATTTTGTCCTTGCCTAGTCGGACGAATTGACGATTCATAATCACAAAATAAATGTTCTTTTAATTTTTGCAAAGTAGCCGCGGGTTTAAAAATGAGACATGATCTTGATTCATCTACATATAAAGTTTCAATAAAAGATACTCTCAAATTTAAAATTAAATTAATAATATTGAGAAAACCAAAAAAAGACTTCATTATTTTTACGTTCTAAAATTCGACTTGATAGATACTTAATAACAAATCCAAGTGATGAAATTATCAAACCGCCCATATGAAATTTGAAACCTCAGGAATGTAGTTAAATTTTTAGGCATTTAAAAAAATTGTGTAAATTAAAATAAAAAATAATTTTTAATAAATAATAATCTGGAAATTTTTTTTGAGAAAATCATCATGAACAAATTTTGTTATAATTAATTTATTTAAATTTAGATTGTAATTCTTATAAAAGAATTTATCATTCTTATTCGATAGTTTAAAAAAAACATTCTTTTTGAATGCAATATAGCTCCCTTATGATGAAATTGCTTAGTTGAACAATTAATTAATAGTAAATAAATAAATATAAAATATTTTATTAATTCCTCCATTGAGTACATTCTGCTTCCACAAATGCGTTCAGTAAATTTCTATAACAAACAATTAATTTTAGTGAATAAACAATAAGAAAAATATTTTATTTTACAAATCAAAATTATTATGAAAATTATCTCACTTTATAATAGTTTTTTGTTTATTACATATATAAAAAATAATTAACATAAAAATTGTTTTAAAATACTTAAAAATGATTAATTTTTTATTTATATAAGTTAAGGTTATGTTTTCTATTAAATTGTTTTAAAAATATATACATATAAAAATAAAAATGAATATACTTAAATTTATACTCACTCTTTTTAAATTTCTATTAAGATAAATAAATGTTTTTTTATTATAAACAATTCAATTTACAGAATTTATTGTACACATTCAATTTTTACTATTACTTTCATGGTACACACATACATATGTATATGTCATAACACAGCTATATACACACATACAATTTTTAAATTAGTATTAAAAATGGACGACAAGAATTAAAATCGTCTGGACTTCAACTCCAAATGTCTACATTTAATATAAACATGAGAACTGGAGGAAATTAAAAATATGTTAAAGTGCGGGTGAACTATGAAGGATCGAAAAGAGTAAGTAAAAATAATTATAACTATAGGACATAACCTCAAATTTTCTTATTGCATATACAATTTTCACGTCATCTTTTTTTAAGCAATAAAAATAAAAAAAAAATCTTCTTTTGTTCTCTTTTAATGTATTTTAGTCTACTAATTTATTAAATAATACCTAAAACTTAAACAATTAAAGTACTGTTTGAAATGTCAAAGTGACATTTCTAATTTTGACATTTCAATAACAATCATTTCATCATTATCAAAACAACTAGAGAATTTCATAATTTTGAATTTAGTTTTTTTTTAACTATTAAGCATTTGTTTCTTTAATAATTATCAATACAAAATTACGATATGGATATTAAAGTATTTACAGAATGAAAGTAAAATAAAAATGTCAGTGACATCTTTATTGTTTATAATCTTGAATAGCTTATTTTTTAATATTTAATTGTAATTTATTTAATACTTATTTTTTTATTAGCAAGCTTAAAGCTAAAACATGGGAAAGAGACAGAAGGCAACGCATGGACACATGCTACAAAACATTAGCAGAATTATTGCCTCCCCATCAGGAAGGGAGAAAACGAAACAAAGTAGAGATTCTTCTTCACGCCACAAAATATATCAGAGACCTCCATAATCGCACTGATGAATTGTTTTGCACCCGTGGTACTGCGGCACACAGTAAGTTTATTTATTGCATAATATAAATTATTTTATTTTTCTTTAGAACAAGAAAATAATTCAATTTAAATTCTAAATTTTTTTAGAAGAAGAATTGTCACGATTGAAAAAGCTGGTAACACAATTATTATCGCATATACAATTACTCTCAACTCTTTTGAAGGATGCTGGGATATCTGTACCTGCTGAACCAGCTTTAGAAAAAATCTCTCCAAAATTATGGTCTAATAAAATAACAGCTGATATAACCGAATGTTTTATTAAAGAACAAAGTAAGAAACAAAAATAAATAAAATAATTTTTAAAATCTAATTTACATTTTATTTCATATGTGTTTAGGTAAAAAATCAGAAAAAGTAAAACGAAGAAGTCCACTTAAATCAAGTTTAAAGAAAAATTCTCCTAAAAAGTCTTCCGTACGTAAAAATTTTACTGCAACCGACAAAAGTGTTAATGAAAATCAAGAAAATTGTGTAAATGGAATAACAAATAAAGATGATGATGATTCTTCTAAAGTAAACAGTAAATCCTCTCCAAGTACGACGCCAATTTCAGAACAAAATGGTATAAATTGAATTAAAATTTTAAAAAAAGATTTTAATAAAAAATTTATTATATTATAAATTTTTTATTATTTCAGATGATGTAGAAGTTACTTCACCATCATTTACAGGTAGAATATATATTTTTCTTTAAAAAAAAAAACAATAATTGTTATTAATGAGAATTTTTATTATTTTAGGTAAATCAACTAAACGGAAAACAGCTAAAAGAGCAAAAAAGGAAAAAATCGATAAGAAATCATTATCAGGTAATAATGGTTCAATTACAAATCTTCCTCCAGGAGCACTTGTTTTTTCCGGAACAAAGTTAATGCCGGTTGTGACGCCAATGTCACAAATCACGTCAAATATTGTAGTCAATCATCAATCACAAAATCCTATAATTTTAAATAATGCACAGCAAAGCCCGATGATAGTTAATCAGCATCCCACCACTAATCCAATAATCTTGAATAATACTCATCAAAATCAAATGATTGTTAATCAACATCAACACGCTAATTCGATAATTTTAAATAACGCCCAACAAAATCAAATGATTGTCGTTCATCCATTGCAAGCGAATCAAGTTCAAAATTCCGTTATTTCATTGCAAAATCAAACGACAATTAGAAATATTATACCAAGCACTTCGAAAATACCACGAATATCGAATTTAGCGAGTGTTTCAAAATTTACCGGTGTACAAAATTTACAAAAAGGTATTACAAACGATGATATTGTTAATTTAAAAAGTATTGCTGATAATTCAAAAATAGGAGGACATAAAGCAATACTGCCAAAATCAGCATTTACAAAGGCAATAACAAAAACAACAATGACATACAAAGTTCCCATTCCAGCAATTCATAAGGAGAAAACCATAGCAGAAAACAAGGAAATCGAAATAGAAGAGCGTTCAAAAGGAAAACCATCAAAGTCTTCTAAAAATCAGAAAGATCAACGAAATCGTGAAAATTCCAATTCTGATGATAAAACATCACATAAACGTAGTGCAAGTGACAATAAAACTCAAGAATCAAATAGCAAAAAACGAAAACTTACAGAAAATGATGGCGGAAAATCATCTCAAGTAAAAATTACAAGTATTGTCGAAATACCCGCAAATTGTAAAACTATTGGAAACATCAAGCAAGCAATTAAACATACAGAACATGGATCTGAGAAAAAGACAAACAAAAATTCAGACAATCCGCCAAGTGATAAAAATTGTGATTTAAAACAAATTGATACAAAGAATTCAGAATCTAATGAAATTGAAACAAATGTTGATTTGGTAGAAATTAATAAAAATAATCAAGAAAATCAATCGCAGAATTTGAAAGAACCCATAGAATCAATTTCAATTGAGACGAACGATAAGGATAAAAATTCATCTCTCTCTTTACAATCAATAAAACCAATCAACAATGAAGTTATGATATCAAGAACTAATGAAGACTGTGATATTGATACGGGCTTCGATAATCTTTTGCAACCAAACAATACTGAACCTTCAATCATAGAAGAGGAAGTAACGCCAGAGAATGATAAAATTATTCTAAATCTCGATACAAATACAACAACAACTCTGAAATTAGAATCAAATGATACAATAAATAAATCCAATGATTCGAAGCAAAACGAATCCACTGAAACTTCTAAAGAAGAATTAAAATCCCTTTCCTACAGTTCAAGTAGCAGTTTTATTCCAATAAATAATAAACCCGAAACACTTCATTCCGATCTATCAAATGATATATTTGCATCACTTCAAGTTCCTTCCAATTCTCACAATCCTGAATCAATATCACCAACAGCCGCATTTTTAATGGCTTTTCCATTAGTCTCATCCCTCAGCGGAAAAACGGAAGTTCTTGATGAAGAAATGAAAGAAGAATTTAAATATCAAAGTCAAACACCTCCAATGTTACTTCAAATCGGTGCAATTGAACCAAATAGTTTCAAAATCAAATCCTCAATTGCAAATCCAATTACAGAGAATAATTTAAAAAATGACAATCAAGAAAAATCATCCAATGAAATTAAAACACTTTCAAAAACAAATGAAACAGAAAATATTAAAGAGCCATTAAAAATTTCAACAATTGTCGATCAATTAACAACATCTACATCACTCAATGATGTTGTCAATTCATTTCCTGAAAATTCACGAAACATTACAACTGATAATAATTCTGTTACAATGATTAATGAATCATTAATTCAAGTTTCATCAGCAAATGAAAAATCTCTTAACTATGACACTCCTAAAAATGATATTTTAACAACAATTTCCACAGATTCAACAAAAAATACAATTTCTACAAAATACAATAACGGTACTGAATATTTGAAATCTCAAAATCAAACAGAAACAAAGAAAAATTCTATTCAAAATTCTCACTATGAATTCCCAAAAGTTCCCACTTCCACCGCGGCTAATTCATTCAATTCACATGAAACTGACGTATCTTTTATCAATTCAGATAATAAAACAAACTTTTCAAACACGAGCAATGAATCTGAACGTATTTGTCCAGCAGTTAAATTGCAAGAGAAAATTGACGTTAATTTGCAAAATAATTCAAATTCCGAACAAATTCATACGAAAATTCCCGAAGGAATCCAAATGAATGTCCTTGATTCTTACAATATTCGAGACTCTGATTCATTTAATAATATTTTAACTCCAAATTTACCGAGTACAATTACAAATACTGTTCAAATTGAAACCACCAATTCATCGGCAGTACAATCGAATTCACAGAATGTTAATAATAATCCAAATCCAACGAGTCATCATGAACATTGCAAAACTGTCGAAACATTTACAGCAACAAATACTGAAATTCCATTTGAAACACGTGCAATTTATCACTCGACTAGTGGAGAATTTCGAAATTCTTCTACAAATCATGGACAAAATTGTACCACAAAATTATCAACAATCGTTCAATCTGAGCAGAAAAATGAAATTTTTTCAACCAAAAAAATTGAGACAAATGAATTATCACAAAATACAATATCATACGAATGTAATGATAAAAGTAAATTGATTGACAAAAAAATTGATTCAAATGATATAAGAAATAATTATCAACGAAAACCAGTGGAAACAATTTCTTCTTACATTGTACCATTTGAGAAGAATGAAAAGAAAATTACAACATCAACTGAAAATGATAAAAATATTATTCTTAATTCTTATTCGCAACAGCAACAATTTATAACTACTTCTAATTATGAAGAAAATTCTATTTCTAGAACACAATCAACTACCACTGTTGCTCATAATACTTCGAATTTCAGTATTTTATCGTGGACTACATTTTCACCCACCAGTGGAACTAATAATAATAATAATAATAGTAATAATACTGCTGGTAATAATAATAGCAATAATAATAGTAATAATAATAATAATAATAATAGTAGTAATGTCAGTAACAATAGCAGTAGTAATCACAATAATAATCTTGTTCAATTCGATCAAGGAACTGATGCCACTCAATCAAAAACAATTGGCGAAAATTTCAATTATCTTAACATCAATAAAGAAAGTTTTACAAATATATTACCAATTTCTTCATCATATTCTTCAGATTTGCAATCTACAGGTTTTGATAAGTCGAGAACCAAGCAATCACCAGAAATGCAGAAACGATCATACATTGATAGCTCGAAAACACGAAATGTTCGTTCAATTCCTGTTCCACAAAAACAGAGTCGATCTCATACTCAAACTCAAAATCAGAATCGATCGCAAAATCAAAATTCATCGCAAAACCCACCACAAAATCATACTCAGAATCATACTCAGAATCATACGCAAAATCATCCTCAAAATCCAAATCATTTGCAAAATTCCATAACAAATGAATATAAATTTGGAAATGATGGTAAAAATAAAATAAAATACACGGAAATGGATTATATGCAGAATGATTATTCGGGTATTGATAATAGACAACAGCAACATGGATTGAAGGTTTCCACCCAATTGGCACCATCAAAACAAGATAAATCAAATTACATAATGTCTGATTATGGAATACAGACACATTATGAAACTGATTCCCAACAAATGCGTTACAATATCGAGATTTATCCGAATTCGTCAAATTTTAAATACGACAAAACACAACAACATCAACATAAATATCAATCTTCTAGTCAGGTGAATATTCTTCAACAGGAGAATACAAATTACAATTCTGCTAATAAAACCCAACAACAGCAGCAACAACAGCAACAGCAGCAGCAACAACAACAAAGTTCCGTTAAATCAAAATCTCATCAGCAAGTCCAACAACAAAATACAATTCGACCTCCCGTTAATTGGATGATGACACCAGAAATAAAACACAATTCAAATATTACCGATATTATTCTACCACCAATTGGCAAAGATTTGGATTTTTGTCAAAATAATCTTTTCTCACAAACTCCATCCTACAATCAAACAACATCAAATCAATTTTACAACAATTACGATGTGACTGCTCATGGATTTCCAAATATTCCCGTTCTTCAAACAGATCCAAAAAGAATGGATCCAACATTCTATCCCGAGGAACAACCATTCTCTTGGTCTCCAACTAAAAATATAACACAAAATGATCAAACCCAAACTCTTAAGCCAATTGATCATCAAATTGTTCCCTCAACATTACCAACACTTGTCGGTGATCTTGCTCTAGGAACAAATCTTCCCGACAAACAAAATTTCCTCTTCGGTCAAATGCCTATTCGAAGTTCAAATAACGAACCACAAAAAGATCAATCAAAAGAAAAAGAACAAAGAGATTTTCAAATGATCAATCCAAATGTTCAACACACAACACAGGGAATGTCCTTTCTATCAGTCAGTCAACTCGTCGAACATGAGAAAGCAGAAAAAAATCAACATCATCAGCAACAACAACCGCGTAAACACCAAAGAAAAAGTAATCCCAGTCCAAGAAATGCCAAACGTCAATTGGAATTACGAAAACAGACAATTAACGAAGAACAAAAATCAACGACATTTGAACAAAATTATCAACAACAGGGAAAATATCAACAAAATGAAATTCATTGGAGAAGTAGAAATTGCAAGAGTAATTATACAGCTGAGGCATTAATTAGCACAAATACAAATGACACCACCACAAATGACACAAAAAAATATACAAATTATTCTCAAAATAAATTCCCCACCGATCCAATGATGCCAATTAATTATTTTCCAAATGTTGACGATACAAGTGGATACGGTCAAGTGGTGAATCAAAATTTCAATCATTCCTACGGCTATTCATCAAATACTAATATTTATCCAACAACAAATTTCATTACAAGCATCTCAAATACGCCAACAAATTATATGATGCCACTTCATGAGAATACAGATTATTTGGAAGCAAATAATGCATTTCTATTGCCATCAACAACGTCGAATATTACAACACCAACGCTTGCGAATATAAATTCAAAAAATCATATTGCTACTAATAAACATCAGAATTGTGATAAACGTTTGTATCCATCAACACAAAAGAAAGGCAGTAAACGTAAGACTGATGTGCAAAATTTCGAATTTCCATTATCGGGTATCACTTCTCCATTAGATGACTATCATCATACATTTCTTCCACCCAATCCTTTATATCAGAATCATTCACAGGCGAATGTTTATCCAAAAACGATGAATGCATTGGCACCACCACCACCACCGCCGCCGCCTCCACCATTGCCTCCAGCATCATCAACATCGCTTCCACCGCCAATTGTCTCCGGTAGTCAAGGTATTCCATCAACATCGGGAATATCATCCTCTAATCCTATGGCTGTTGGCCATCATCCCTCGGGCACCAGTCTTATCAACTTCAATCTGAGTACCATATTTCCTGAAATGAACGATAAGGTCAGTTTTTTTCTTTTTAAAACAAAAAAATCGATTTTTTAGGCGCATGAATTTTTTTTTCATAAAAATCATTAATTAAAATTTTCAATTTCCAAATTGAACTTTGATTTTCTTTTTATACGAATTTTTACATAACAAAATTTTTACCTACCGAATTTTTATTTTACAATCATTTTCTTTACATGACTTTTTATTTTAGCGAATTTTAATTTAACAGAATTTTCATTCAATCAAATTTATCGAATTTTTAAATGGCAGAAATTCCAATTCATCGAATTTTAATTTGTACGAATATTTAATTAATAGAATTTTTAGACGCGTTTAATTCGGAGTCAAAAAAATTCTATAAGATTAAAAATTCGAACAATTAAAATTTTAATTTAGCGGAATTCTCATTCATTCGAATTTTATGTGATTCGAATTTTTAAATGGCAGAAATTCCAATTCACCGAATTTTAATTTGTATGAATTTTTAATTAATAGAATTTTAAGACGCGTTTAATTCAGAGTCGAAAAAATTCTATAAGATTAAAAATTCGAACAATTAAAATTTAAATTTAGCGGAATTCTCATTCATTTGAATTTTATGTGATTCGAATTTTTAAATGGCAGAAATTCCAATTCATCGAATTTTAATTTGTACGAATTTTTAATTAATAGAATTTTGTAGATGCGTTTAATTCGAAGTCGAAAAAATTCTATAAGATTAAAAATTCATACAAATAAAAATTCGGATAAATGAAAATTCGATGAATTGAAATTTCTGCCATTTAAAAATTCCAATCACATCAATTTCAAATGAATGAGAATTCCGCTAAATAAAAATTTATATTTATTGGATTGAATGATAATTTCGCTAAGTTAAAATTTACATTTAGGTATTGGAGTAAATTAAAATTCGTTTGAATGAGAATTCCGCTAAATTAAAATTTACATTTATTGGCTAGAAAATAAAAATTCCGCGAAACAAAAATTCGTTAGCTAAAAAATGTTAAAAATTCGTATAAAAAGAAATTCTGTCGAAAAATGAAAATTTTGTTTAAAAAATAATTATTTCTAATAAAATTTTTTTCAATTAAAAAATTTTAATTAATGATTTTTATGGGAGAATCATGCGCTCCAATTTTTTTGAAATATTTTTGTTAGTTCCATTTTTTAAAATAAAAAAAATAGAATTATTAACAAATTTTTTTTCATTTTTCAGAATTGTTACAAGTCTTCTGCAAATGAAATTCAATCTGGATTGGTGCAGTCTTCCAGTCACGCGCCTACAAGTTATCCACAACGATCCAGTTACACAAATGCTTTAGTTCACATGTCACAGGTAAATTTTACAAAATTCCTTAAAAAATGAACAGAATGAAAGTAAAAATTATATTCAACAAAATTACGGTCTTGTCAAGTTGAAAATTAAAAATTCTGAACGAATGTAAAATAAAAAAAAAAAAATAAGGGATGATGGTGGAAAAAAAAATAAATTTTTTTTTGAAATTTTTCTCAGGTTCCTGAAACAATGCAATTTACCAGTGATGTACCACGACCACCACCACCACTATCGGGCGTTGTTCATTATAAAAATCCTTGACGAACGACGCAAAAATATCGACATTGTCGAGGCAAAGAAAAGCAGAATGTCAAACCAACGACAATTACACACTCTGAAAACACAATGGTGCTCAATGATGTTTTGTATAAATGTATATAGTTCAAAAAAAAATTAATTTAATATTGTTATTATAATAGAAGTAACAATAATATTATATTTAAAAATATAAAATACCACGTATTTTAAAAACAAATTTTCGAATTTAATTTATTTTTTTTTCCATTGAATCTACGAATTTCGAAAAAAATCTGTGATTCAGTCATTTGTCATTATTAATTAAAGCAGAAATAAATCACAGACATTCCAATATTGTATATCAGTTTTCAGGGTTACTCGAATTCAAAAGGAGAAAGTGTGATTTTTTTTTTTTAATTTCTATTCCGATTTAACAATTACTTACGTTATTTGATTTTTTTATACGTTTCTTTTTTTGTCGAAAAAATTATTTTGCAATTATGGAAAAAATTCTAAATTTCAATGAAATCTGATTCACGGAAACAATTTTTCTTTGAATCAAATGACACAAACATTATGGAAAAGTTTGATGAGAGTGACAATAATCAAGCTGTTGTGATTGCTTTGACCTTTACACCAAGTTATAATTAATTTTCGAAAATTTCAATAAATTAATTAATGAACAATATCGAGGAAATAAGACTTTACTTTATGTTGTAACTATATAGGTATAACAAGAAATTAATTACACTTTCAAAATATTTGAATTAAATGATTGACAACGATAATGTGGAAATATATATTGATAAAATGAGAGATTATAGATGATAATGGAAGGGGAATACGAGAGGGAGATAATGCCAGTAGAATTGAACGAGAAAATTGCCGGGAAATAAGAGATCAGTCTACGTCGTAATATACAATAATAGAATATGTTATAAATTATTTAGATACGAAAAATTTTGTGTTTTTGTTTTTGTTTTATTGTGATTATTTTTGTTAATTGATATTTTTGATAAGACATGACAGTGAATTCCGATGATCAAAATCATCATAAGTGTTCTTCATTAAATAATCTAGTTCATGAGAAGAGTGAGTGTAAGTTAAAAGTACAAATTGCACATTTTTTACAACATTGAATTCAATTAACTTTTAAATCATAATATAATATTGAAACTAATTTTGATAAATTTTAACAACAAATTATTTTTCTATTAAAATAAATTTAGGGGGTCAAGGTTTTTTTAAGATAATAAAATTTTGTAATATAATAACAACATGGGACAATATGATAAGAAATTATTATTTGCAATAGTTTAAGTTATTTTTAGCTGAAGAACTTTTCTTTATGCAAGATTGTAATATTTTTTTTTATTGTAGTAAAAAAAGAAGATCTAATTGATGAAGATTTGAAATGCAAAATGAGCTACGATAATTTACAAGAACGTTTTCAAGTATGTATATAAATTTTATCATTTTCAATTTTTATGATAAGAGATTCTCTTTATAATGTAAAATATTTTATAAAATAGTAAATTAAAAATTATTTCAAAATTTCTTAGGATCTGAGCGATAGACTGAATGATTTAAAGAATAATTTAATAAATAAACAAATAGAAGAAACGAATTCAGAGAATATACTAAGAAAGGATTTTGCTGATTCAGATAAATATACTGACAGAAGGTAGAGAAAAAAAAATATTTAAAATTTACAGCTTAAAAAATTAAATAAATAAATATTTTTTACTCCTATAGGAAAACAAAAAAAGATGGAATTCTACCAGATAAAGAATTTCTTCCGCGAAATTCCCTTCTCACTGATTTATTTGAAGTTCAACATATCAAAACAATTTATAATATTTTCATAGTGACTCTTATAATTCTCTTTATGAGCACTGCCATTCATGACATTATGGAAACTGGAACGTAAATAAAATAATTAATAAAAATTATGATATATTAAATTAAAATTTAATTATTCAATTAATAAAACAAATTTCAGAGTACAACTTGGAATTCAAACAATAATCAAAGCTTTTGGTAAAATGCCAATTGTTATTTATATTTGGATTGGAATGACAGCGTCAACTTTTGTTCTTTATTCAATTTTTGCATTTTGGGCAAACAAACGATTAGATATTCAACCAAAATGTAAATATTCAACATTGTATAAATTTTTTTTCAATTCCATTAATTAAGTCATAATTTTAATTAATTTTTTTATTTACATATTGAATAATTGCGCGATTAAATTTTTTTCCAGCATATTCATTAAAAATTCTTGATTATGGAGCATTGATATCTTTTATTCTCTATCAAATTGCCTTTATTATTTTTCCATCAAAATCTGTTTTTGAAGAGGATCTTCCTCCTGCATCAAGTTTAATAGTAATAATGGAGCAGGTAATATTAAAAAATTAATTACTTAAATTTTACTCGTAATTGAAAATTTAGTTTCAATTAGAATTGAAATTATAATTTTAAAAAATATACAAAGACTTTATTTTCATCAGAAAATTTAATCCTTTAATATGGAATTATCGTATCTTATCAGTGTATACAATTGAAAAAAAGTGAATATTAAAAATGATAACAAAAGAAAAAGTAGTTTTATAATTATGTTAAAATTAAAAATCATTATTAGATTGAAAGTTTAAAGTTCAGGCGAATTTATATAAAAAAAAGAAAAAACTAGTCAGTCTAGCTGTCGATTAAAAAAATTAAAAGATAGACAATTTTATCGTCTTTTTATATTCCTTATAGAAATAATGTGTAATTTGTAAAATGCAAATGAAATTATCGACCACGATTGAATTAATAATTCTAATTAATTAATTCATTTTAATTTTAGGTACGCATGTTAATGAAATCTCACGCATTTGTAAGAAGTAATGCACCAAGAGTATTGTCATTTAAACCACATTCGGAAAAAGAGGGAATTTTATGTCCCGGATTTTCTAATTTTTTGTATTTTATGTTTGCACCAACTTTAGTGTATCGTGATAATTATCCCAGGTGAATTGAAAATTTTTGATTTAATAAATAATAAAAAAAAATAACTTACATATATTTTTTTTTTTCATTTCAGAACCAAAGAAATTCGATGGAAAGTCGTTGTTTGGCATTATACGGAAGTTGTACTTGTTATTTTTTATATTGCATTTCTTTGTGAACGTTTCTTAATGACTGCATTTAAACAATTTGGCGTTCAACCCGCTAATCCAGGAATACTTGTTCATAATATATTCAGCAATATGATGCCTGGAATTTTAACTTTACTCTGTGGTTTTTATTGTCTACTTCATTCTTGGATGAATGGATCCGCTGAACTTCTTCAATTTGCTGACAGAATGTTCTATAAGGTAAAGAAACAAAAAATTAATATAAATTATTTTTAAAATTAATTTTTAAAGAAAAAATAATAATTTCTTACAGGATTGGTGGAATTCGACATCATTTAGCACATATTATCGTACATGGAATATTGTCGTGCACGATTGGCTCTACACTTATATTTACAAGGATATGTACGAGATTGTTGCACGTAAAAATAAAATTCTCTCAACAATTACCGTATTTATGGTGTCGGCATTTTTTCACGAATATATATTGGCTATTGCATTTCGTTTCTTTTATCCCGTGATGCTGGTAATGTTCGGAGGATTTGGAATGTGTTTAGTATTTATTCCCAAGGAAAATACAAAATCAAATGGTAATATTTTCATGTGGTTGTCACTTTGCACTGGTTCCGGTTTAATGTTGAGTCTCTATGCAATGGAATATTATGCCCGAATCAATTGTGCTCCATATGATAATAAAATTCTTGATTTTTTTTTACCAAGAAGTTGGTTCTGTCGAAAAATAATCACATCCATCTAAATTATAAATTATATCAATTAGCGATATGTTAAGAAAACAATTTAATGTTTAAAAAAAAAAAGAAATCTATTTAATTAAAATTATATTTAAGAATGTCTTTAGTGGAATTAATTGTTAATCATAAATGTATAAATATAGAATTGAATTATTTTTTACAAAAAGAAATAAGTTTATTCAAGTCTTACATATATCATTTTTTCCTTACATCTAAACGATAAAGGTAGAACAATATAATAATTATATACAAGGATTCATATATATCTTCTCTATACAAATTAATTTATGACCTTTATGTATAAATGTATATTTGTACCTATTTAAACAAGACGATTCGAGACAATAATTAATAAAAAATTTAAAGGAAATATTTTTTGAAAAAAGATCTTGAGGTAGTTCCAAATATCCAAGGGATTGATATATAATAATAATAATAAAAGAACAATATCTATCCTTTATAATTATTTTGTTTTTCTGTAATTTTTATAAGTGAACATCGTTTCTCGAATCGTCCTGTATTTTTTGACAATTTGTCTTTTATATGGCAGAGTTAAAGGCCAATAAATGGACACTAATAATCGACTAAGAATGTTTCTTTGTTTTTTACATTCATATTTGTCGATCGATGTCCCGATGATAAGGCTGAATAGTTCCAGAATTATTAAGACACGCACTGATAAATATCATGAACGTAAAAAAGAAACATCGTTCATATTCATTTTCTAATTCGTAGTCAACAGAATTTACATGCGAAGAATTTTAATACAAAAGAAATTTCATCTAATTTAACTACACAATATTTTTTTTTTCAAATATTTAATTTTTTTAACTTAATTTAGAAAACAAAAATTTTAATTGAAAAAATGAAAATTACTTTTCGACATGAAACAGACAGTTTTCTTTTTTTTCTAAAATAATGTAGTGATAATTTGAAAGACGATATAATTAACTGTATTTTTTCCTATATGTCCTCGGCACTTGAACCTTTCCACAGCTTTATCCTGGAGACAATTTGATATTAAAATGATTGTCTAGCCGTTCGACACGACATTTATTTTGTTTTTATCTCCACAAAATGAGAAATAAAAATATTTATCTACATATTTATTAACTCTTTCGTAATTTATTTTTATCTTTGATTTCATTTTTTAAATTTGGAATTTTATAATTTAAATTTAAAACGATTAATTATTTTTCTCTTTGAAAAAATTATTACTGAATTTTTAGTGAAAAAAAAAATAAATTAGAGAAAGTCGAATAGTAATTGTAAAAAGAGTTAAATTAAAAAGAAATTTTTTTTTAAAAAAAATGTGCAATAGATAAAAATAATTATGAAAGAGTTAAATTTAATTAAACAAGAGCGTGCATTAATTTATTATTATTAACGTAATGATAAGAAAAGCTATTTCCTCTTCCAAGTTTCTGTTCTAAATGTACAAAACGAAAAAATATCAATTTTAATATAAATCAGAGTTCAACTTTGATCATTAATTTCTTTACTATTTTTTTTATGTAATTTTTTAATTTAAAAAAATTAGTTTTTCAATTTTTTTGTAAATTACATTATTTTTTCTTAAAAAAAAAGAATATAAAATCATTTTTTTCAAATATATTAAAATTCCAATATTTTAATGGAATATTCCAAAAATAGTTCTATCAGTAAATTATCAAATCTTTTTCTTATATAAATCAATAAAAAATATTTACATATAATTTCAAAATATTTTATGATTAAATTGAACCCAATTATAAAAAAATTGGTATTTAAAATTTTTTTATATAACAATAATTATTAAATGCCTATAAATTCAAAATATTATTAATTCTAATAATTTTTGAAATTCTATATTTTTTCTTAAAAAGGTTTTTTTTTATTCGATTTTAATTTTTCCAAAGAATTAATTCTAATAATTTTTGAAATTCTATATTTTTTCTTGAAAAGGTTTTTTTTTTTTATTCGATTTTGATTTTTCCAAAGAATCAAAAGAAAAATTATTTATTAAAAATATAAAAAAAAGGCTTGATAATTTTTGGAATAATTACAAGAAATAAAAATTTGAATTAAAAATGAATCATGAAACTGGGAAGAGGATTACCAAAACCGTGAACGGAAGAAATTGAGTGGCTAAATTTAAGTAATCTTCATTTGCCCATTCCCACGACCGCTTCGTCCATCAATTCGTCATCAGTGATACAGGGTGATGCTGAATGAGGCGAAGGTGGAATAACACGTGGCGATGGAGCGGGACTTTTGACAATATGAACGCTCACCGATGGACTTGGTGGAAAATTCGATGTTGACGATACTGATGCCATTGTGACGGCAGCTAAACCAGGTACTGATGATGTTAAAGGTAACAATTGTCCCTGTTGTGAAGACGATGACGACGACGTCGTTGATGATGGTGGTGGTGGAGGTGGTGGAGGCGGCGGTGGCGGAGGTGGCGGTGGAGGAGGAGGCGGTGGTGTATTCCTCACAAAAGACGATCTCTCCGAAACGATATTTGAAATTGTTCCCTTATGACTGTCTTTTGGTGCCGAGAAATCCAATAACATTTCAGCTTGTTCTTGTGAATTTGTATTACTCGTTGATGTTGACGAATCATTTTGCATTACACTCGATATTTGAAATGATGATTCTTTTTCCTCGACAAATTTCGTATACTTATTAATAGTCGCATCCAATGGTTTTGTGCTTAGATTCAAACTCTCCGAACTACTACCAACGGGACCATCACACACATTCATTGGAATTCCATATCCCTGTTTTGTTGAAGATTCGATTTTTGGTAGAACAACCATCACAACACCGGAATCATCTTTTGTATTCTCCGAACTGTTGAGAATACGATTCATTAAATCGGATTTTGTTTGATCTTCAGATTGCATTGAGAGATTTGTTGGTACATCGGTGTCGATAATCGATGATGTTGAAGTGGTTCCAAAATTTACCGGTGTATTCAAAGATTCATCGGATTTTGTACTGGTCATTGATAGAGGATTAGAACCTAATTGTGATGACCTAGTCATCTGATCGGAAGAAGCTTTGTTATCGATTCCGGTTTTTTGTTCTTTCTCAGTGGCTGTTGATGAGCGCACCGATTCGGAATTGAGACGCGCTGATAATTTTGGAATTTGAAAATTTGTATCGAGCTGTTTCATTAAACCCTCGACGCCAAGTAATTGTGGCGGTATACCAGGGAGATTTTGAAGACTTGACATTGATGCATGTGCGAGTAATTTGAACGCTCTCTCGGAATCACATTCCTCGCGAAGTGATGATGGACTTGCTTTACGTATATCACTGCTTTTTGAGCTAAATATACTTTTTTCATTGGATTTTGGAAATCTTGATTTATCACGCGATCGACTTAGATCCGTTGCGCCTGAGCTCGATGTTTTCGGTGAGCCAGTATTGGAAGACGATGAGGAAGACTTCAGTGGCGTATTTTTTGTCGCTGATGATAAATTTGATGTTGAACTTGATTTCATCATTCCGGGAAATTTTTGACTTGGTAGCATTTTATTTGTACAAGTTAATGGTGATGAGATATGAACTTTTGGTGATGTTTGCGTTGGTTTTTTTGAAGCTGGACCGGATGTTACACCGGGTTTTAAACCAGTGTGAGTTTTTGGTGAACCACTGCCGGAGCTAGATGATGATGACGATGATGATGTTGTTTTTGAGTCTTTAGTGCGAGTTTTGTTAATTGTTATTTTCATACCATCGGAACTGTGTTTAACCATATATTCGGCGGGATTTTTTGAGTCTAATGAGGGATTATTTTTATTGACACTTTTGCCTTCGATGTTGACTTTATTTGATGTGAGTCCACGTTCTTTTTGACTTGATCCACTGGAGGATCCACTTGAGGTGACGGATATTTTTGAATTACCATTTGAGGCATCGTCAGTGCAGTGTTGGGCATTTTTGAGTTTGTCAATTACGGCACTTAGTGATCCTTTTCGATTTCTTGCTTGTTGTTGAGCAGTGGCGGATTTACTTAATTCTGAAGGCGGTGTTGTGCTACCACACGCGGAACCGCTGCTTGTTTGCATTTGTTGATTGGAATCAACTGAGAGTGATTCCAATTGTTTTGGTTTGCCGCATGATGATTTTGATTTTGGACTTTGATGACCGGATGATGAGCCAAATGTTAGAGAGGCTTTTCGGTCTTTGTCGCGAGACGAATCTTTGCTGGATGATGAGGAAGAGGAGGAGGATGACGAGGATGATGATGATGAGGAGGATGATTTACATTTGGAGGGAGTGCCAATATCACTTTTGCCACTTGGTGAACTGGCGGCGGATTTTAAGGCTGACATACTTGGTTTTCCGGCGCTTCCTGAACTTCCATGCTTTGGAGATGATGTGCCATGTTTTGGACTGACACTCGCTGGCATAACTGATACGTGTTTAGGACTACTGTAAACTGGTGAATGTTTTGGACTTTGGACTGGTTTACTTGATGATTGTTTCAATGTGGGACTGGACTTACCGACGAGGGCTAGGGGGCTTGTGTGTGTGGGAGATGGACTAAATTTTCTCAATGTAGTAGCTGGAGATGATGGTCGGGAAGAACTGAGACTTCCTGGTGGTGATTCTGTTGGTTTAATACTAACAGACACGGGTTTTGAAAGAGGATCCTGCGGTTGTTTTGGTGGATATTTATCTGGTGGTCCCATGGGACTTTCTTCGCGTTTCCTCTTTTTCTTTTTTTCCAACTTACTTTTCCCATCGTCGGTACCTGACCGGTTTTTTGAACTCTTACGTTCTCGCCTATCGTCAATTGATGTTTTCGTCGTTGGTCCTGTTATTGGCGTGATTGTAATTGAACTCGGTAAATTTGTTTGCGGTGATGATGTTATTGGAATAATTTCAATTCCTGGACGTCTCTCGAGTCCCATTCCCGTCAATACGGAACTATAATTTGATTGACCGATTCCACTGCTTGTAATTGGAGTTATACTCACTGATGGTGGTACTAAATTTTTACTCTCTTCAAATGAGCTTGTTGGACTCTTTTTTTCTTCACGTTTTTTCGATTTTCTCTCTTTTTTCAAAAGATCTTCAACATTTTGTACCTCGTGAACTTCCATTACTTCATTTTCATTCTCTGCGTCGTAATCAGAACTTTTGTCAGTTCCGATAATATCTGATGATTCGATATTGGAAATTTCCAATCCACCTGATAAATTGATAGTCGAAGTTGGAGTTGGAGTTCGAGCCTCATTTGTATAGTCTCGACTGCTTGTCGGTGTGCCAAGTGGAGTTGAATCGGAACTTGAACTTTCAACTAATATTTCACCAGTATCTTCGGCTTTTCTTTTTGGACTTCTCCATGAACCATCGGCAGTTTTTCTTTTACGAGACTTTTTTGATCGTTCACTTGAAGAATTCGAGGAAGTTGACATTTTCGCTTGACCTAGAAGCGCGCCCAATTGTAGTGGATTTAACATTGCAGTAGTTGTTGTATCGGACTGGCCGGAAAAAGACGGAAATCCGATACTACTCTCCGTTCCGGCATCTAAAAAAGACTGCTGCTGTTGTTGTTGTTGATTTTGTTGCGATTGTTGTTGTTGTGACATTTGTTGTCTTCCAATTGTTCCCGATCCATTCGTTGTTCCCGATTCCTGTTTAATTTGCACATCATCACTTCCGAAATCTGGTATCCCGGGGCCATTGTGACCATTTTGATCTCGACCTGGACCACCGAGATTCATATTAAAATTTCCGTTACCACCGCCTGTTATATTGGTACCTATCGAACTTCGACCTTCCCAAATTTTAATGAGAGTTCTCATTGTCAATGGAATGCTGAGACATCGTTGTAAAACTTTTCCTGTCACTTCGGATGTTTGTTCGGTGTTTCCAAGACTCACTCCATAGAGTTTGCATTTGAGAGCGGATATATCTGTTAAATCTAATAAAGCAGTTGCCATTGTCTCTTCAAAAGGATGCTCCAAACTTACGGATATCGATTGCCAAGAAAGAGCGCTCACTTCGAAAATTGTTGTGTGTTCGGGATCCTGACGTGCCACAGATCTCACGCAACTCGAAATAAGAGTATTGAACAATGCCTGTTGACGTAAATAGACAAGAATTTGTGGTACATGAGCTGGATGCGTAAATGGAATACTACCAACTAATACACCTTCCATATCTTTGTTCTCGGTCATAAAATAGCAATGATGTTGGTCTGGTAACGACTACAAAAAAAAAAAATAGAAATTGGATTTTTGAAATTGAAGAAAAAAAAATCTAAATTCGTTAATATAATTATATTTACCACATATAAGCCGCGATTATTTTGACAGTCCAATTGACCATTACTCGTGTGTTGTACAATCATACTCAATAGAGGATGACAAGCCGAAACATCTCCACATTCAAGTTCTGTTACTTTTTGAATCTTATGTAATAATTCCAAACACATTGGCATTTTTTTAGCTAATTTCAGAACAAAACACGCTGGAAGTATCGCTGAATTTGCACTTGTTAAAATAGCATATGATGGTGTACTGAAAAATAATTTCAACATAAATATTTATTTTGAAAAAAATATTCATCTTTTTTGTAGATAAACCCACCTTTTTCCACTTGAGCTTCTACTGACTGTAATGATACTTGATGTGGGTAATTTATGAGCCGTAGAACCCTCCAAACAAACAGTGACAGAATGACCAATCTTCTTGGAAATTACGCTGTCTATGCTCAATAATTCGGAACTTCGATTTTCTTGGTCAATTAAATCATAAGGCGACACGAAATATGTTAATTTCATAGCATGACCACCTTTTCTTCTCTCCAAAATTCCTGTTTTTAAGATAAAAATTAAAAAAATTTTTTTTAAATATTTATATGATAGAAAAGCGTTACTACTCACCAACAGGACTTTTGTGTACAAGATTAAATGGTTCTTTAATGAAAGTTTGCAATTGTGCAAGAACTCCCAAGTCAGCTTCAAGTGATTGAAGAGCGCTGAACGCTTTACATTTCACTTTTTTATCGGCATTTAATTGATAAATTGAGACAAGTCCTTCTAATTGCGTTGTAAAATCGACAAAATCACCTTTTGATAAGCATGCAACGAGCTCTTCACAATTCTAAAAGAAATTATTTTTTATATTTAAATTCACAATTAAATAAATTACATTTTTAAATAATTAAAAATAATATATTCATGAAAAGATAAACTATCGCTAACCTGCTGCTCATTTTTTCCTTCATGATGAATTTTTACATTTTTAACAGCACCTGAAGGTTCGAGAATAACTTCTAGGAAAAACATGTCCGAGGATATAAATAATTCATTTCCCTGTGGTCCAGACATCATAAACTTTAAACTGCAAAAATAATATAATTAAATAAATAAAAAACTCAGTATATAACAATACAATATTAAAAATGAAAATTGAATTGTTTTATTTTACCCTAATTGTCTTGTGAGACTTTCTAAACGCTCTACCATGGATTGAAAGGAAGTTACTTTTATGGAATGTTGTAAACTGTCTAGACATTTTTGTAGTTGCAATTTTTCAACACTATCTACGACAAATCTTTTTTCCTGTAAAAAAATAAAAATCAGAATAGATTTTACAAAACTTAAAAAAAAATTAAAAATGCTATATTTTAACCTACCAAGATAGTACTTCGTAAGCTTTTTGCTGTTTCAACAAGTGATTTAAAGCTAGTTGCCTTAGAACGCAATTTTTCCATTAATAATTCCATTTGCCATTCTTTCCCTTTATCCACACTACTTTTAGTAGTGTTTCCTCCATTTTGCTGCCCACCTATTAAATAATAAACATTATATAATATCCTTTAATGCATATACACATAAGGATTTATACAAATTTACTTTGAATTTCAAATTATTCGTTAATATTTATTTTTAATATAAAAAATTATTACTAGCGAAAATTTGAATAAATAAAAAAAAAAAAATAAACAGCAAAAAAAATCTATCATATAAAAATTTTACAATATACCTAAATCAATTATACTTTGAAAAAGACAATGCACATTGAGTTGATCTTTTTCCCCAAGCTTTTTCTTTTCTAACCCCAAAAATTGCGACAATTAAAATTGGACTTTTCAAATTTTTTCTTATTCAAATAAGAAAAATGTGTGAAAAAATAATTATAAATAAAATTATATTTACCTGGGGGCACTGGGGCGTTTGTTGTATCCATGTAGCCGTTTATGGTCGTACTCATAATTGTGAATTCACTTCCTAAACATGAGCTTACATCATGACACACTAATGAAACTTGATTATTTAAAGGAAAATTCGTGAAGAATTTGTAAATTTAATCGACTTGGGAAACCTTTAACAATCACATTATTGTAAACTCATTATGCAGAGTTAACGAAGAAAATAATAAAAAAAACAATTTAATTGCATTGAAATAACGAGCGTAATGAGCACCGTGCGTCCATTTTACTTTTTGACCGCTTTTGACAGTTTAACAGCGACATCTAGTGTGTTTTTATTTGGCAACACTGGACGTCCACACCTGTTTGGGCGGTAATTTCAAATTCTAAATTTGAATTTTTATTTATAATTTTTTTCGAGTTTCCTTATTTTGGACAAATTTTCAAAAGTTTGAACAATTGGGTATTCGAATTTTTGAAAATTAGGCCAAAATAGAGCAACTTGTTAATATTTTATGTGAAAAACAAATTACATTTCTACTTTACCGATGGAATCATTATTACAAATTCTTTTCTACAGAGATCTCTGTTTTCTATGACGAGATTCCGTTCTTTGAAATAAAAATGCTTCTTTATTAAAAAAATAAAAAAAGTACTACTTTTCAGTTTTTTAAAATAAATGACATTTTTTTAACAAACTTATAAATAGTTAATCATTACAGTTAACTTTATAAAAAATTAAACAATTTTTTACTTTTTAATGTGTATTTCTTAAAATGTTTATTGTAAAAAAATAAAAATTTTAATAAAATTATTTTTAAAAATATTGAAAAAGCAGACGAATGGATTAACAATAAATGGCGATATATTGATTATTATGATTGGTCGTATCCACATTGTGAGAAACTGTGTCGACCAATGAAATTCTTTAAATACAGTCGATAAAGAAGAATGAACCAATAATAATGTGTGTTTTATAACCTCAATTGAGGATGTTGTTCAAGAAAATCAAGATGGCATCCGAAACTATAGCGAGAATGCTGTGTCAAATGAACGTGCGATGTAAATAGTGAAAATTAAAGTGCGTGTGAGTTTATTTGGAACGACAATATAGTATTGTGACGTAACGTGCACAAACATTGAAAAATCGGTACAATTTTAATCAACGTTTGGCGAAGACGCCCGACGTGACGCCCACGGTATTCACCAAGGCGTCATCGTCAGCGAACTCAGCATTAAAAAAAACTCCTGGTGATGCAGAGAAAGTTAACAACGAATTTCACGTTGTCAACTCGAATTTACATATTCTTCCTCTAAAAATTCGCGGCATGTCGCATCACAGCAACACCAAAGACACAAACAAAGCTACCAGTCTTCCTCGTGAGCCTGAGGGTAATTTTTAACAATTTGTCCCTTGGCGTTTTGGCAAACACTAATATTTCTTTATTTTTCGTTTTCTCATTCTTATTTTAAGCAAATGAATACTTAATTTTAATATAATATTTAAATACTCGAGATATTGAGAAAATTACCAGTTATTGTAATAAAAAAGACATTTTTCTTGACATTCAGTACTTTTATCTCTTGTAATTGTTGTCATTTTATATTCATCACAGGAGTAATTAAGAATTTTTACCTAATTTTTGCAATTTTATTTATTGTTAAGTTAATTATTAAATTCTGTTATGTTTTGAAATATAATTTTCCATTTTTGATAAGTGTTAATGCAATTGTAATTATAAATTAATTATGAAAAATTAAGAATTATTTTTTTAAAAAAATTTCAGAAGAAAGTAAACATCTAGAAACTGTGTCAGCTAGTTATCCATCACTGGAACATTCTACATTTTCTCATCATGTATGTATTTAAAAAAAAAAAATATTAAATTTATAATTATTGATTAAAAAATTAATATTTTTTAAATAAATCTTAGGCTCGAGAAGAGGAAAATTCAGAAACAGTATGTCAGGAGGAAGATGAAAAAGTATTCTCTGTCCATGTGAGTAAAATATGAAAATATATCAAATCATTAAAAAAAAAATTAAAATACAAAAATTTAATTTTTTCAGACTGACATTACCAACACCAGTGATATTATCTGTGAAAATAAAAAACAAGTGTTTCCGGTGATAATAGAGGAATGTGGGAATATTTCTAGTAAAAACTCACAACTTGCCGAAAGTCCACAAAGTAGTGGCGCAGTTTTAAATAGTCCTCCAAGTCCTGATTTTCCACCTCGTGTTACAAATGATCATGGCCTGGTTCCAATAAGTTCATCAACAGCTGTACCATCGACAAAAATTACAATGGATACAGCAAAATTATCATTACCCGATGTAAAAAATGAAAATTGTCCAACAATGGAGAAAATGACAAAAATCCTCGATTTGGAAGATAATAAAATGAATCCAGTGAAATTGGAAAATGAGAATATCATCGTTGAATCGAATATAATTAAAAATGAAACAGAAATAAAAATTGAATCGAACGAATGTAAATTAAATCATGTTATAACGTTACAAAAAACAGAATCAAAACATAAACACGAGTCTTCCGGTGATCAAAGTGGACAAAATAAATCACATTCATCATCGTCGTCATCGTCTTCCTCGAAGGACAAACGAAAAGAACACAGTAGACATCATTGTACACGTTGTTATAGACGTAGTAAAATAAAACGAGCAAATATTGGAATTCAATGTAAACGTGATAGAAATTCATTTTCTCAACATCATAAAATACTTTCGCCAAATCCACAAAAGGGCAATCATGATAATTTAAGGTTAAATTTACAAACAAAAATGTGTGAAACACTTGATAAAGGAAAAATTAAACACGAATCACTACAAGGACTCAAATATAAGGATTTTATTCATATAGAAACTTATCCGAATGGTGGTGCTACTGTTGTACACATGTATCAAGATGAAATTGATATTTTGTCTAATGACGAAGTCGAAGAATTGGCACAGGAATATTTTAAGGTAAGAAATTGATAATTTGAGAAATTTAAATTTTTTTCTAAATTTTTTTTCTAATTTCCAGGTTGTTTTTGGCGAAGATGAGAATGGAAATGCTCATCATGTTATGGGAATAGTTCATAATGCCGCTGCTTATTTGCCGGATCTTCTTGATCATATGGCAATGCATTATCCAACTTTGACTGTTAAAAATGGTGTTTTGGGAAGAAACAGTGATATTGAAACAACAACAATGTTACAGTATAAAGATCAAATTTGCAAATCCTATAGTAATGGTACTATACGATATGGACCATTGCATCAAATTAGTCTCGTTGGAACTGTTCATGAAGAAGTTGGTGGCTATTTTCCTGATGTTTTGAAAAAATTAGAGGAGAATGTCTTTTTAAGATTGGTAAGATATTGAAAAAGTAATGTTAAAAGATTTAAAAAAATTTTTAAATAATAATCGAAATTAAAATTGCAGACAATGCCATGGGGTCCATTATCAGCGGTGACGATGGAAAGTCCACAAGAATCAAATGACGGTCCAATACTTTGGATACGACCTGGTGAACAACTTGTACCAACTGCTGATATAAATAAAAGTCCCTGTAAACGACGTAGAACGGGAATAAATGAACTTCGTAATTTACAATATTTGCCACGATTAAGTGAAGCCCGGGAATATATGTTTGAGGATCGAACACGTGCACATGCTGATCATGTAGGACATGGTTTGGATAGAATGACAACAGCTGCTGTTGGTGTTTTAAAAGCAGTTCACGGTGGTTATCCAGCTGAATATAATCGAATAACAAAAGATGTTGTTGCATTTTATGCTGGCGATTTTCAAGAGCTTGTGGAAAAATTACAATTGGATTTACATGAACCGCCAATATCGCAATGTGTACAATGGATTGAGGACGCAAAATTAAATCAATTACGACGACAGGGAATTCGTTATGCGAGAATTAATCTCTATGATAATGATATTTATTTTTTGCCACGGAATATTATTCATCAATTTCGTACTGTTTCGGCAGTGTCGAGTATCGCGTGGCACGTGAGATTAAAACAGTATTATCCCGAGACGGCGTTTCCATCGGGTATTAAACATACGCGAACACTTAGTGAAACGGCACATATACATTATAAGGAGAAGAAACATCATGAAATTGAAGTGAACGAAGAGCAAAAGGAAAATGCTGATCGTCAACGATTGTTGGCGGCCGATCGTCGTGATTCATTGGAGGAGAAAAAGGCAAAGGAACGTGCCGCTGAATATCAGGGAAATTTGAAAAAATCCGATCATCAACATGGTAAACGTAAAGATCGGGATCGCGCGAGACATTCTTGTTCGTCAAAGGAGATTAATGAAATATCTCATTCAACATTGGAGTCGGAGAAACATGTACTTGAACGTAAAACAAGCTCAGAGAAAAATGATACGCGAAGAGAGAGAAAATCAGATGATAGACATCGAAAAAGTAGCAGTAGTAGTAAATCATCAAGTAGTCATCATCGTTCCGATGATAGGAAAAAGCATGATGATTCACGTAAATCAGAGCATCGTCATTCAAAATCATCGAGTAGTAATTCGAAAAAAGTTGAACACTCAACGTTTGATTCGAATATTTCGAAAAATGATTCAACAATATCAAAAACGGAAAATATATTGAGGGTAGATTTGCCAGCAGTTCCTCAACATGTGGAAATTTCCATTGATGGTGAAATGATATCAGCAAGGCAAGCTGCTGGCAAAACATATGCAACTGAAGTTGTCGATAAAGCTCTCGAAGTTGCAATTTACAAATCAAAAACCGATGTTGATGAAGTTTGTCAATCATTACGAAGTGGAGTCGCTATCGCTTCAAAAGAGATGCTCGAGAGAATTAGAAAGGAAAGTTTCGAAATTGCCGAACGTTTATTTGGCGAGGATAAAGTCAAGGTTGAAAAATCTTATCGATTATTGGAAATTGAAACAGTGTCGTCATTCACGGCAAAAATGGAGTGCGCAACTGAGAATGCAGTGAAGGCACTCATTGAAATGGCCGAGGAAGAAATGAAGGAAGCTGGTAAAAATGAAAAACCCGAGGAAACACAAACTGAGGATGTAAGTGAAAAACAAAAGAATTTTAGTACATCACTCTCGTCATCATTGTGTAATTCATCAGCTTCAATTTCATCATCATCGAATGAAAGTGAAAGGCGCGTTAGTGTTGATGACAATAAATCATCAACATCATCGTCATCATCATCGAGACCAACAATTAGTGAGCACAATAATGAAAATAATGAACGTAAACACAGTAAAAAGGACAATAATAAAGATGATAGGGATCGTAAGCATAAAGAAAAAAGGGATCACGAGAGACGACGCGAAAAGGATAGAGAGAGGAGTAAACATCACAGTAGACGACATGAGAAATCTGATAAAACAGAAACAACAAAAGATAAAGATGAATCGAAATCGAAACACGATGAAAAAAGAAAGGATGAAAAACGAATGGATAAACATAATAATAAAGATTCAGGACATAGTCAATCGAAAGATAAAAGTTCGAGGAAACATGATTCGTCAAGATCATCTCACAGTAGTAATTCGGGACACAAGAGGAAAACAAGTTCAAGTTCAAGTCAATCGGATCAACCACCGGAAATAAAGAGGCTTTGTACAGATGAGAAAATTCCCGAGGTACAAACAACTAACGAGCAGTCTGATCAGGTGACGAGCACGTGAATCGACGTAAGCAGTTTAAGTAATTTAGCAGAATTTTTACAAATCGGTCGATTGAACGTTCAGGAAATACATAATCATTGCAGCTAATGTCTAAGAAGGAGTGCATGAAAATTTCCCAAACAAACTTTAATATTTAAATCACAGAAATTAATCAAATTTGATTATATCGAATTTTTATTCTCAAAAATATCATTTGGGAGATTTTCATGTGCCCCAACTAAAAAAAAAAAAGAATATAAAATATTTTTCAAATAGCAGTGGAATATTTTATTTTAATTCATTTAGCTTTTAGAGTACTTATTTTCTTAAATTATTTTTTTATCAGTTTCACTGTTATTGGAAAATATTTTTAAAAAAAATTGTACAATGAAAAATTCAAGTTACTTTTTATTCTCGAGTTGATTCGTATTGTTAATTTTTTTTAAATCTATTTTTGATAAAAAAAAAACAAAAAATCTTGGATATTTTGAAAGCTGCTTTGATTTTGTATTTCGGTTTAGCTCATATCTACAGCGTGGACCAAAAAAAATCACTAAATCATCTTAACTGACTTATCGTGAATGGGATATGAAATTAAGTTGAAACTTACATCGAAAGCGGATGATGAAAATTGCTATTATTTAAATACATTAACATGAACGTTTATTTGAAAAAAACGTACTAAAAATACAGAAAAGAGATTAAATAGTTTTCATGTTGGAACCAGTAATTTTTTTTTTTTTAAATTGTTGACTCTCAAAAATGTTAATATTTTTCAAATTCAAAATTATTTTTAGTTAATTTCAAAATAAGATTTTAAAAAAATAGATAATTTCTTTATCAAATGTTATTACTTTATTTTAATCGTATTTAATTTAAGAAAGCATAAAAAAAACTAGAAAAAAGTTTTGTTCTAGTTCCTTTGTTTATTCGTTTTTTTTTTTTTTCATTAAAAATGTTCTCTTTTAACAGAATTTGAAATACTTTTTAATAATAAGGATTTTAAATATTTTTTTTTTAAATATACCACTTTTAAAAGTTGTAAAAAAATTAGTTTTAATTCTTTTGTTTTTTATTTTTCTATTTTTTAAAGGAAAAAAATAAAAATGGAAATTGTTTTGGTTCCAAAATGAAATCCTATAAATTAATAATCGCTTCCACGGAAACTTAGTGAGTTTATTAATTTTATTGTTACTTATATACATTCGTTTAGAATGGAAATGTAACAAGTGAACTGATTTTTCGTTTTAAAATTCGCAATCAGCGAAATTAAATTTTTATTTTAAGTACTAAAAAATTTTTTTTTAACAAAAAAAAAAAAACAAAAAGAGCTTTATTAAATCCGATGACAGTGAATTTATTTATAAGATAATTTGCAAACAATTTTTATTCACAAGTTATGCGCTTTGTGAATTAATTACACGTTATTGATGAGGATGTACAAAAAAAAAAAATTAAGAGTTTGAGATTTCAGCAATATCGATGACTCGATATTATTGTATATAAAAAAAGTTTTTTAAAGTCTGCTGAGTTAAAAAAATAATGTATCCTGGCGGACTGATATATTTTACTTAAGTTATTTAATTGTGTAGCTTTGTAATAAGTTATTTATACTCAGTGCAGTTTCTTAAAAAAAAAATTTTTTTTTTTTAATCAATGTACTTCAATGTAAAATACCGCTTAATTACACATCGCTGAATGAAATTAAATTTTGAATTAAACAAATTAGTTTTGAGATATAAAACTGAATTGTATTTTCAAATTCATTTAAAAAAAAAATCTGCCTAAATAGTCGCCGAAAAAAATAGTTAATTTGAAATTTTTAAAAATGATTTCAGCGAAGTGTTATATTTTTTCTCTTTTACAAAACAATTTACTTAGATTTGAAATCGCGTTGAGGCAATGCACTGTGACAATTCTGAGATAAAACTACATTTAAACCCATGACACGACATTTATAATATTGCTACATAAGATAATTTACATTTATATATTACATATATTTTTCACAATAGTATTATTTAATTTTGTCAATGCACGGTGATGAGCACATTTGCACTTTTTGTTTTATCCATTAATTGAAAATCGATCTCGAATTAATTCTTTCAGCATAAATTATTTTCCATTTAAAAAAAAAAATTTTTAAATATAATTACAAATTTTTATTTAATGAGAATTTTTAATTTTAATTCAGGTGCTGATAAACTTTTTTTTAAAAAAAGAATTTGTTAAGTAATTATTGCAAGACAAGAATATATTTGAGATCGATTTATTACAGATTAAATAGTTTGTTTTATTCGTCCCTCATTTATAAAATGAGATTAGAAGGTGTTGGTGCGTTTTCAAGTTAATCTTAAAAAAAAAAAAAAAAAATGCGTGTCTCGGTTTAAAATCTTTACAGTACACAAAAATAATTGAGTCTCATTATATAAAAGCTACCCTCGACGCAGTATTTTCCCGTTAGTTTGACTAACATAAAAAAAATATTATAAATGTAGATATAAATTATAGATGCACCTATATATATATATTATATATATATAAAAGAAGAGTTTGTTTAATGCGAAAAGTTGCCCTGAGAAAAAAAAAATGAAGAATGTGCTGGAATTGAATTACTACACTGTACATTTTTGTAAATAACTTCCATTAATACGCGAAATATATATTACAATATTATATTATATTATTATATATTGTATTGTATTGATAGAGAGCTACAGTGTTGATTATGACGTTGAAAGTCTAAAAAAAAAAATTGAAAGGCAAAAAAAGAAAGAAAAAGAAATTATTCACACTGATATTTGCCACCTGACTCTAAATATTATAAAGCATTACAATGTTCTATTATTATATATAAGAATATATTATGTTGATTACAAAAAAAAATCATAAAACATATAGAGATAAATATAAATATTGTAGTAAGTAGTTTTACATATTGTACCCGTCACACGTGTAGAGTCGCATTCCAGATAGGTTTTTAATGAAAAAAATAAAATTACTTTTATCAAAGCAGACACTGATTTTATTTTATTTAAATTAGTTTCACCCATTAAAACATTTTACATTACATTGTAATATTTTGAATTTGAAAATGCCGATGAATGCGCAGTCGCAGAAAAACTGTCCAAAATTTTGTCCACTGTGAACCCGCCTTTAACATGACATTTTTGCCACTAATTTTGTAACTCTGTTTTTATTTATTTCTTGTTTTACATGGATGTAAACAATCAGTGATAAATATGACATTTTTAATTAATAATAAAAAATATTTATTTTCTCACTTGATGTTAATTTAAAAAGAAGTGGAAAAAAAGTTTGTATCTTTACTTTTATGTTTTTTTTTCAAAAGAAATGCAAATGTGATATTTTTATTTAAATAAATTATTAAAATGTCAGACGCTTTTGAAGAAATACAAGCTATTAAAATTAAGAGAAATTGTTTACGTGAAAAATTACAAAAGCGAAAAAGAGAGAGAAATGAATTATTTACACTTACCTCGACAGCTTCATTGTCATCTTCACCGTCTTCGGAGTCACAAAATGTTATTGGTAATTATTTTTTGTTTTAAATTATGTTTTGTAATTTTTGATCTGGAAAAATGAAAGAATATTTTTTTTTTATTTGAATATTTTGCGAGAATAAAATAATTAGGGACAGTGTGGAAAATTAACCTTAAATTCGCAATCAATTTTGCGATCAGACTTTTTTGATTTAGCAATTAATATTTTACATAATTATTTTTACAGTTGAAACCACTGCATCGGTACGTTCTGATCATTCCGAATATGAACATGACGTTCTTTGTATATTACATGAATCAACTTCGCATTTACCAATAACATCAGCCGATCTTTTGGATCAATTGAGAAAAAATTTAAGCGCCGATGTTTCTTATGAAGACATGAATAAAATATTGGAAAAATTAGCCGCACAGGATGTTATAAAGTAAATAATATTTTTAATTTATTGTTTGTTTTCTTCTAATTTTCAAATTAAAAATTTCACAGAATGAAGGAAGTTACGGAAAATGGAGTTTTTGGTTATACAATATTCTCAGTGATTGAGGCGCAATCAATTCAATCGCCATATCAATCGCTCATTGTTGAGAGTCCAGATCGAACTGAATCATCAGTTTCAGAATCAAATGAAGATTGTCCACCGCCTGAGAAACAATCGAAACAAGATAAAATCGAAGATATCATGTCATTGATATCAATGCCAACAATTCGTGAAAAAGAAAGTAAAAAAGTTGGCGAACAAATTCTTGATCTTCTATCGAAACAAACGTCTAAGGAAAAATCATTAGCCGAAAGATTTCGTTCGCAAGGTGGTGCACAAGTTATGGAATTTTGTCCCCACGGAACACGTATTGATTGTGCAAAAATTAATCACGCAAGTGGTGGTAAATGTAAAAAATTACATTTCAAGAAAATTATTCAAAGTCACACTGATGAATCGTTGGGCGATTGTAGTTTTTTGAATACTTGCTTTCATATGGATACATGCAAGTGAGTAATTAATTTAATTTTTAATTAATTAAATTTAAAAAAATGTTTTTTTTAGGTATGTTCACTATGAAGTGGATAGTTCACAGCAACAGAGGGAAAATCATGTTTCACTTGACGGTGAGAATACGAGTACGACAAATATTGAGACAAATGCAAGTGCAAGTTCAAATTGTACAACGGGAAGTGAATTAACACTTTATCCACCGCAATGGATACAATGTGATCTTCGCTATTTGGATATGACAGTTTTGGGTAAATTTGCTGTTATAATGGCCGATCCACCATGGGATATTCATATGGAACTTCCCTATGGAACAATGTCTGATGATGAAATGCGACAATTGGGAATTCCTGCATTACAAGATGAGGGTTTATTGTTTCTTTGGGTAACGGGACGAGCAATGGAACTTGGACGTGAATGTTTACAATTATGGGGCTATGAGAGAGTTGATGAAATAATATGGGTGAAAACAAATCAATTGCAACGTATTATACGTACAGGACGTACGGGTCATTGGCTAAATCATGGAAAGGAACATTGTCTCGTTGGAATGAAGGGCAATCCGCGTATTAATCGTGGATTAGATAGCGATGTTATTGTCGCTGAAGTTAGAGCAACAAGTCATAAACCTGATGAAATTTATGGTATTATTGAACGTATGAGTCCTGGTACGAGAAAAATTGAATTATTCGGTCGTCCACATAATGTACAACCAAATTGGATAACTCTCGGTAATCAAGTGAATGGCATTCATTTAATTGATCCACAACTTATAAAAGCATTTAAAAAACGATATCCCGATGGAAATTCCATGAAACCTTGTAAAGTTTAGAATTTTTTAGTGCAAATTATTTCAACCCTGTAAAGAACTCGAAAAAAATATTTAAGGTGAAAACTTTTATATATATATATAAAATAATGAAAAAGTTGACTATAAAACTTAAAAGTGAAATATATACTTTTATTAAAGTAGTAAATTTATTTTTCAATACAAAAAAAAAATCCTCGTTATTTATTTATAGATATAGAAAATCTAAAAAAAACGGGATAATATACAATGGGAAGATTAAGGTATTAAACTACCTTTTTTTTACAATATTGTTACATTTAAAATTCGATAAAAAAATTTGACAATTTATTCTTTTACAAAACTTTTCATTAAAAAAGTTTTTAATTCTTAAAAATAGTTATAAAAAATAATTCCCTTACCTTCTTACTCGGAATGTAAAAAAGAGGAAAAAAAAAATAATTACGAAGATTCGATTATATTTAATTTTGGTCTCAATAAATTTCTCCTTAGTGTAAAGGAAAAATTATTCTCCCTCACCATTGCTTTTGTTCTTTTTTTTAAATCAACGTTTTGAAAGCGATTATTTTCCTTTTCAGTAACTGTCTCATTTTCTTGAAATTGAAATACTCTTTTTAATGAATCAATCCAATGTCGTTTTTGATGTTCATCGTCCACGAATAAACAATGTTTACCAACTTTAAATCCTGGTAAATTTTGACTCGTTGATTCAATATCTAAACAATGTTCTTTATTTGACACAATTGGAAAAGTAAGATTATATCTTCTTACGGTCCGTCTCACGGGTCTCGTCAACGCCATACAAGTGTCAAACAAAAAACAATGATACTTCTAAAAAAAAAAAAAAAACAGAAAAATATAATTTCTTTTTTCTAATTTAAAAATCAAATTTAAAAACAAAAAATTACCATTCCGCGTGAATCGCGAAGTTGTCCCTCGGTTATTAATTCAGCAGCGTTTTCAACGCATTTGTCAGAATCAAATTCAGATTTTGGATTAATTTTCGTCTTTGCCAATTGACATTCAGCTTCGCCCATTGCTTTATCAATTTCATTTAATAATTTCAATAAAATTTCACGCGATTCTTTGAGAGAAATTTCATCTGGATGACCCGATGGTGTATGTTTGAGAATTTCTTTAACCAAAAGTGGATATTTAACAACACGCGAACGTGGTACATCCAAATACGTCCATAAATCAACAGCGTGAGAAGTTTCCAATTTTTTTTTAATAAATTCCTGAAATCGTTTATTTGACAATTTTCTCGATTCAAGAAGATGTCGAGCCCAAATTTGCTTTCTACATCTTTCAATGTATAATGTTTCTAACTGCAAAAACTGAAAAAGAAAATTTTTATTTTCTTTGCTATACATTAATTAAAAAATTGCAAAAATAAATTTCATACCCAATTGATTATTGTCGGTCCAACGATATCAGTGAAACCAGATTGATCACGTAGTTTAACTAAATTATCCCTTAATTCGCTGTGCAATTCAATGAAACTGTCAATATTTCCAAAAAGTGTATCCAATTCGGAAGTATTGAAAATATCAAGTGAAAGAAGAGGATCGTAGTAAGATTCTCTCAAAGCTGAGAGATCATTTAAAAGAACATTTTCACCGCAATATAATTCATAAATAGCTTCTTGTCTTTTTACTTCTCTTCGACTTAAAGTTGAACCTAAATCTTTTAAATTGCTCTCAGCAATATCAACCATCCAACTACGTAATGCCACATTACCTGCTAATTCGTTTCTAGAATGAAAAAAGAAAAAATACAAGAAAATAGAAAAAAAAGAATTTTAATTTCTAAAATAAATATTTACATACTGTTTTAATGTGGTATTATGAGTGTCAACATCAGTTCCAGCAAATGATAAAAAAGATGCATCCAATTGATTATTACTTGCTCTTTTACGCTTTTTTTCCGATCCAGAAACTGATGGTAATGAAAAAAATATATTACTGGCAACTTCAGTAATTCTTCGTCGTTTCTTTTTTCCACCCACGGAATCAATGGAAATATCCATTGAACTAATACTAATGGCATCGCTTTTTGGACGCTTTCTAGATCTCTATAAATATTTTATTTTTACATTAAATATTATTCGGAAAAAAAAATTCAATCAATTTTCGCCGTATTAAATTAATATAAAAAAAATAACATTTAGCTGTTTATTACTCAGAAATTATAAATATTTTGTAAGAACGAAAATATTTGCCTACATTTGCAATTTTATTTTTAAACCAAGTTTAATTCAGTATTTAATTCAGCACCTTTCTCAAGATATCAGTGAGTATAATTTAAATAATAAAACTCAAAATATTAATTTTTTACCTGTATACAAAAAAAAGTGTTTATTTACTTACCAGCCAAAAACGTTTTTTAGGCTCTTGAAATTTTTCCAAAATTGACACGTCCCCAGTTTCATTCATTGTATTTACTCTCAAAAATTTTGCGTCAAATTTCACAAAAATGTAATGTGTAAACTATGATTATGCTATGTTTATTTGTTATCGACTAGAAATTAGCATTTTCATTATATAAATATCGAAGAAACTCGCGTAAAAAGATAAATATACTTTAATCGAAATGAATAAATGGTGAATATAAATATAAACAAAAGTATGCAAAATGCACCTTTTGTACCGGTAATTTTAAACTTTTTGAAGGTTATTGGCGTTTTTTTTTGCCTTCACTGTTTGAACATAAACAAAGAAAACAAAAGATGAGAAACAATGGTCTTTAAAATGCGTTAAAGAGACTGACGTGTAAAAACATAAACTATCCAACCCTGAACATATAATTTTGCAAAATTGTAACAATAATTGAATTATATCATCAAATGCACATTGTTTCACATATTTTTATAAAATAGTAAGTATTTATATTTTATAATCTAAAGTTTTTATCCATTTAAATAAAGAATAAACTTTTTTTTATAATATATACTGTAAAGGCTAATTCATACTTTTTTTTCGTAAAATACGTAACGAGTAAATAAAATATGCTATGTACCCATCCCTGGAGTTAACATATATAGATATAGTCAGTTAATAGAATTGAAAGTTGACATACGAGATTTTGCTTTTTATCAATTTCGTGTAGGTGTTTTTTTTTTATTACATAGCGTTTTTATTTGTTTTTCTTATATTTTTTAAGAGGTTTTACATATTTTTCATTAAATTCAATTTATACAAATAGAATATTTGTATAATTTTTCTGGAAAATACCCGGTGACCGTTACAGTTAGAAAATCAACGCGTGGTTAAAACGATATAGTTTTGTTTTGTTTTAAAAATATATTTTATTATAATCAATTATCATAGTGAAATAATATTATTGTCTCAAATATAAATAGTGAGATTGCAGGATTTCATTATTAATTATTAACAATAAAGTAAGTTATTGGGTAAATTTAAAAAATTTTTCTCAAAATAAATATTTTTGCAATATGGTCGCTTTTTTTTAATTAATTTTTTTAACGATAAAATAAACAATGTTCTTTTATTTCAATTGAATAAAAGATTTTTTCTAGATTTTAATATTATATTTACGATTTCTTTTTTTGCTGTTAAATATTGTCTTCGTAGTTTTTCTCTTTGTTTGTGATAAAGTTTTGTTTGTAAATTTTCCTGACTTTTCATTAACAATTGAAGGAGAAAAATTGTTATCGATTGATAAGAATCTATTGTTTCTTAGTTTGCTGACTTTTTATAAATATTAACATTTCTTAATTTAATTATTATTTTCAGCTTATATATATGACATATAATAATATTAAATAAAAATGGAATACACGTCGTATTCGTATTTCCATTCACGAAATAAAAATGATATGGAAGATGATACCTATTCATTTAGTGATAGTTATGATGATTCATTTGAGGATTCATCAAATATAAGTTCAGAGTCTATCGATGAATTAGTATCAGCTGAAAAAGTTTATGTTTGTGATTATGATAAAATTTATATATGCATGTATGAAGCAATTGAAAAATATAGAATTTTAAAACAATCAAAGAAAAAAAATTTAACAACCAATTGGAATGAATTGGTTGTAATTTTACAAGATGGTAAAACAACAAATATTAAAAATGCTCCCGATAAAATTTATAAAAATGTAAAAAAATCAATACCTATTGAAAAGACAAAAATTGATAATACCATTCAATCAAAACCTATTGTTACAATTAATCAAAATACAAATTTATCATCTAATAATGAAAAAATTACAATTAATGAAACGAAAAAAGAATTGCCTAAACAAATTAAACAAGAAAAAATGTCGAAAAAACAATTAAAAAAACAACGACAAAAGGAGAAAAAGGAAACACAAAAACAAAAGGATGACGAGAAAAAGAAGCAATTATTAGAAAAAAAATCGGAAAATATAAATAAAACAAATTCTAAATTAGTTAATGAGTTAAAGGAAAATTTTAAAAATGAAGAAAATAATAAAGAATCAGTTAATAATGAAACAAATACAAATGATAATATTAAAAATTTGGACAATATTATCGAAACAGAAGAAGATGACGATATTGTCGATGATCAAAATATTCTCGATGAAAATACAGCATTTGTGAGTAATGCCCTTAAGAAATCAGAAAAAAAGGATTCTGTTAAAACAAAAAAAATTGAACGCAAAGAAGTAGTAACTAAAAAAATTCCAACTAAAGTAAATATTAATATTAATAAAAAAGAAATAAAACCATCATTACCAAGTACAAGTGGTTCATCATCAACATTAAATTCCTCAATGGTAATGAATAATATTTATATTTTTAATTTTTTTTTTTTACTAAATTAAAAGAACAATTTTACTAAATTATTTTTCTTTCTAACAGAAAAAATCAGATACGGCATTTGATGTTAAAGAATCAATTTCACTTGGAAAACGTGCCATCACTCTTCTCATGGAGAATAAAATTTCAAAGGCCATACAATTTCTAAATGAAGCAATACGTTTTAATTCATTTGAATTGAGACATTTTCTAAATCGTAGCTTTTGCTATTTAAGAATAGGAGAATATAAATCGTTAGTAATTTTTTTTTTGTAAGTTAATTATTAGAAAGAAATTTTTGTTATTCTTTTTTTTTCTAGAGCTTTAAAAGATGCTGAATCTGTCATTAAAGTAACAAAGGACAATGAACAATTAGTTACAGCAAAATTTCGTGCCGGACAAGCATATTGTGGCTTACAAGTATGTGGTTTTTTTTTTTTATTGATTAATTCTCTGAATTCTTATATATGTAATTATTTTTTGCATTTCGAAACAGAATTTTAAAGAGGCTGAAAAATTTTTGGATGAGGCTTATAATTTTAGTCAAGCTAATTCGGCAATTCATCAAGAACTTTTGCGAGTGAAAATTTTACAATTATTATCAATGGGTTTTCGCGAAAGGGACATATTAGAAGTACTTCGTGATTGTCCTACCGTTGAGGTAAATTATTCATTTAAAAAAAAAAAAAATTTGAATTAAATGAAAATTTAATTTAATTTTGAATTAATAAATTTTTATATTTTACATTATTGCAGGGTGCAATTACATTGTTAGCTGATAAAACAATTACAGATGATGATGATAATGATTATATTTATAAAAATGTTGATAATGATGATGATGATGATATTTATAATTCGGATGATGAGGATAATCCCTGTTTAACAAGATTATTTCGTTCATTGTCCAATTATCAGCAAAGTTTTGTGAAAAAACCTTCTATACCATCACTCTGGTATTTTTTTTCTCATTTTTATCTGTTTTCGATTTTTTAAATTTTACTTTTTTAAAAATAATTAAATTAAATATTTAATTTTTAACTTTTATAATTTGAAAATAATAGTTAAAATTTGTTTTTTAATTTTTTAAAAATTAAAATTCGAAATTTGTTTTAGTACTTTAAAAATACCAACTCCTCAATCAATTATACAACCAAAAGTTGTAACTACCATTAATTCTAAGGTGCCAATAATTAAGGATGTTAACGATAGAGCCATTTGGGTTGGTAATACAACTTCAATTATTAGCGATCCGATGATAAAGAAATTTTTCTCCAAGTATGTACAATTTTTTTTTATTAATTTACACATTTTAAAAAATACAATTCTTTTTAATAAATTGAAAAAAATAGATTTTAATTTTCTGAAAAAGAATATTCTAATTTATTTTTTTAAAAAAATAGAAACTATTAAAATATCAATAAAAAAAAGTAACTAATCAATTATTTCAGATATGGAAAAATTGTTTCCTTATACAGAAAACCGAATGAAAATTATACGTTCATAAATTTTGAAAATGCCAAATCTGTGAGGGAATTATTAACAGGCAATTCGTACGTTGAATTAGATAATATTAAATTGCCTATTAAATCTGCAACACGCAACTTTAAATAAAAATAATAGATATTCTAATTTTGCAAAGAATAATATTTAAAAAAAAAAATATATTTGTACTTTGCAAAATTATGAGGCAAAGTTTTTCTTGCTTGCTGCAAAATTTGCGCTCTTCTTTTCTCAATACACAATAACTTATTCACAAAATATCAGTAAAAAAAGTTATGTTTTTAACTTTAATAATAAATAATTAATTAGTTTTTTTGTATTTAAATAAGTTTTCCTAACTTTTGAATAGTTAAATTCAATTACAAATGATGAAATTATTTCATTTGTTCGATATTATTCAGTATTTTTTTTTATTTGATTATTATTATCATTATTTTTTTATTATTATTAATTAATTCAGTATTGTTTGTATTAATTATAAAACTGCCGAATTTACAACCGGGGGGCATAAAATAATTATTGCAATTATATAACCGATTTATTAAATTGGATAAACTCAAATTCAGTATAAATATAAAATGCTCAAAAAAAAATTTATTGTTCGATTTTAAAACTTAAAACTTCTGACTGATTAATTGAATAGTTTTTTCCTAAATGCAAAATACAAAACTTTTTTTCTACGGGTTTGTTAATATTTGCTGTTTAGAAAAAAGTGTATGTGTGTGTGTGTGTGTGTGTGAATACAATTTCTCTGTAATATTAAAAATTCTCATTGTAAATTTGCAGGAATGAAGTGAATTTGTTTAAAAAATCGAATGTAAAAAAAAAAACATATGAAGTAAAATTATTACGCGTAGTTTTATATTTAAATAGTTTTGAAATTTTTTTATAAAACTGATGAAAATAAAATTTACTTTTTCTTCAAATTGTTGTTTCTTCTTTTCAATTTTTTTTTTTTTTTATTATCACAAAAACAAAAGAGTTAAAATAAATTTTTGTTGACACTCAAAAGGGGTTAAATTAAATTTACAAGTATGATAAAGAATAATTTTTAAATGCTGAAAAAGAACTCGCTTCCAACGCAATTGGAAATGAGAATTAGTTTGGGAGATGAACTTGCAAATGTTGTTTTTAAATTGAGTCATAAAGAAATTTCAAGGATTTTAGGAATATCACTTGCTGGTCCAGAAAAAGGACTTTATATGTCATCCAGTGATCAATTGATGGGCAAAAATTATTTAAAATCGCCAATTCACACTGATTATATTAAAGCATGTTCGCACAATGCAATTTTACGTAAGTTTTTAATTTTTTATTCATTTTTTTTGGTGAAATATTTGATTTATAATTTCGAATTAAAAAAATATATTTTTGCAGAAATTGGAGAGCAAGTTTTAGAAAAATATCGTCAAAAAACGGAGGAGAGAATAAAAATGAAATTTCTTCAAGATCTTGATAGAGAAAAAAATTTGAGTAAAGCTGAAACGAGACGAGTAGTTAAAGATGTTTTTGAAAAAACCCAAGAGCAATACGAAAATCGAATTTTAGAATTAAAATCCCATTTTACCAAAGAACTGGAGGTAAAAATTATTTTCTTCTCTTTTTCTCTAATTTATATAAATATTTTTAAGTTTAAGTTAAATTATTTTCATTTTTGACAGTATCAATTGGAGAATACAATGAATGATTGCAAATTAAAAATGCAAGAAGCAATTTTAGAAGAACGAGAAAATATTTCACGTGAAATGTTGGAGAAAATTAAAGACGAAATTGAATTTGTTACTAATTCTTTAAATAATAATTTTGAATTGAAACTTATTGCTGAGAAGGAAAAAATGATGACTGAATTTAATGAAACTACAAGGTATTGTATTGAAATGTAAAAAATTATTTATTAATTAATTTGTTTTCGCTAATTTTTCTATTTCAAAGACAACGTGATTGTTTAAAAATAAATGAGACAATGAAAGAAATAATTAAACAAAAAGAAGAGGAATTTCAAAGAAAATTTCATGAATTTGAATTACAAAAAATTGCAGATCTCACTTATATTTTATGTTCAGAAAGAATGCGTTGTTGTACTGAAAAAAATGAAATTCATCAAACTTTTCAGGTAGGGACAAAATGATTTAAAAAAATTAATTTTAATAAATCATTCAAAAAAATGTTTTCATAATTTTATTTTACAGAAACAAATTGAAATTGTACAAAATATGCTGTTGAAAGCAAATCAAGTGATTAAATTACTAAAGGAAAAATCTTTTGAAAATAATGAAAATAATAATAAAAAATGGGAAACAATAATAATTGAAATTGTAAAAGAATTTCAGAAATTTATCAATTTTGCCTTTGGCGCTGTACCTGGACAGGCAGAATTTCTCCTCTCGTTAGAAGCAATATTAGGATTTGAATTGGAAAAGAAAATTTCTGAAAATTATAAAAAATCACTCAAAGAAGAAAATAAAGAATTTCATATTATTGAAATTGTTGATAAATGTGAAAGAAAATGGAAACCTTTTCAAAAAATTGTAAATTTAAATTCAATTTTTTCAATTAATAATTTTGAAAAAATATTATTCGAACGAGCTGATGATTTTCATTCAGAAAATGAAATGAAAACAATAACTGATTTCACAGAAAATGATCGTTTTATCATTGAATTAAAATCAACGAACCGTTCTAAGGTATGTTTATATAATTTCAAATATAAAGAATAAAGTGAAGAATTAATTTCTTTTATCCCACAGAAAGAAAGTATGTGGGAAAAAATTAAAACTCACAATCAAATAATGAAAAATTCGACTCAAGTATGTAAAAAAGATAAAGAAATATTGAAAAAAATTCAAGAGAACGAAAAGGAATGTTTTCAGTCTTTTGAAGAATTCACAATTTCAAGAATGAAATCATTAAAACAAATATTTAAATTACATCCAAGTTTAAAACATATTTTAATATCACAAATATCGGTAAAATAAATTTAAAGACAAAATCATATTAAAAATATTTTTTTAATATACTCACATCTAAATTTATTGTTAAAGTTCGTTGAAATTTTTTGCATTTGTAGTTTGACACATTCTATACCAATTTGGATCGCGTGTTAAACTTGATGCATCCCGTCTATAAAATGATGTTTGTATAATCGATCGAATTCCCACTTGTGATAGAGGAATTGGTGGATAATCTTTTAAACGCCATCCAATTTCCCAACTTGAACATTCTTTATAATTAAAACGATCCACAGGTTTTTCTTTATATCTGAAAAAAATAAGTTTATTATAATAAAAGAAAAAATTAATTTCCTTAATAATTACCTTTCGCGTAAATAATTATTTGCCGCGGCATAAGATTCAACACCAGATTCGTAAAGAATATTTTTCACTTTCAAATCAATTGGCTTCATAAAACTAAAATTAATTGTATCTTTTTCCTGTTGAGATACATCTGATTTTATTGCTTTTCTTTTTATCTGAAATAGAAAAAATAAAAAAAATTTTTTTTTTTTTTTTGTACAATAAACTTAAAATCTTACGTACCTGTTTCTTTTTTTTGTCAAAACTTTTTTTTGATGAACTTTTTTTTGACGACAGCTGTTGTTTTAATTCTTGAAGTTTTTGATCCTCTAATTTAAAATTTTCCAATAATAAATCTTTATTTTTATTGTACCATTTTCTTCGCATTGCTTCTTCATTTTTAATAACTGATGTCCAAAATGCCTGACAACGAATATCACAAATTCCTCCTCTCTGAAGCATAATTTTCAATTTAGTTTGAATAATTACATTTAAATTTATTTTTCAATTTTTAAAATTTCGAGTCAAAAAATAAAAAAATTGTAGGTTGGACAGGTTGACATTTGACAATCAACAGGTTGTCCAAAAACAAAAATTTTTAAAAATAAAGGAATTAATAAATTTGCATAAAGAAAACTTTATTTATTTATTATTTTATGCTTGCTATTCTTTAATAAATACAACTGAGTTGTAAAATGTTTTTTCATCATCAAAAATATTCTTTTTAACTTAATTAAATATTTTTATAATGGTAAACTTTCCAATTGTACAAAATTATCATTATTCAAAATTTTATATCTATCACGTCGATAATTCACCAAATCGTCCAAAAATCGTTTACTACTATCGTTATGAAGTTTTGTTAAAACAGAAGGCAATGGAGTTATTTCGGCATTTTTCGCTAAATCATCATAATATTCTCCCTGTTTTGGTCCCATCATATGAAACTGTTTAGTCTGCAATCCAAGACTTATTTTTTCTTCTTTCTCGCGATTTTCTTCAACAAGCATTATCTCCTTCGATGGAAATTGTTTCTCTCCTTTCCAATATTTTATAGTGAAGCGCACCTTTTTATTTATTTATTAAAATTGATTAAAATTTTTACAAATTTTAAAATATAGAGAAAACAAAATTTATTTTTACCTGTAAATCAAACATACTAAAGGCACAGACATAAAATGGAAGACCTATAAAGGCAAGACTTGGATTTTCTATTGAAATTAAATGTTTCCATAATGGTGTAACCATATTTGATTCAACTCTTACACCGCAATTTTTTGCAAGAAATGGAAAACTGAATTTGTATCCTAAAAAAAAGAGGAAAATTAGGTCTTTTATTATTTTATTTTACAAAAAAAGTTATTACCTGTGCAGTAGAATATGATGTCGATTTTCTCTTTAGAATTATCCTTGAAAATTGCTTTGTCAATTTCAAATTCCAAGACATCGGGTTTCTGAAAAAAAAAAAATTAGAATATTTTGTAAATGAATTTCAAAATATATATTTTTTTTAAATAAAAGTTCGAACCTGAATCACATTATGTGGAAATTTCGTAAGAATAGGATCTTTCAAATGATGACTGAGTATCACTTTTTTTGCAACTGAAGATATTTCTAAAGCTAAATCCATTCCTGATGGACCAGCGCCCAAAACAATAACAGATTTATCTTTAAATAAATCAGAAACTCGATAATCGTGACTGTGTATTTTTTGTCCTAAAAATATATCATTGCCTTTAATATTTGGAATACTTGGTTCGAAATAATGTCCATTGCAAACCATCACAAAATCAAATATCTCTTCAATTATAGTCTGATTTAATAAATTTTTAACTCTAATCCTCCATTTTTGTAGATTGCAATTTTTCTCTTCTGTTTTCGGTTGAGATATTTCAAATGGTTCCACCAATTCTACATTATGATGAAACTACAATCAAATTAAAATTATTATCTAAATAAATATAAATTGTAAAAAATGATAAATAAAATAAAAATATTTTTTATTTTTAAAATTCATTATTCATTTTAAATCTCCACACGATTATCATGTTTTCTTCACTATTTTTCTTGATTGTGGTTGCGGTTTATCTGATAGAAAAATCCCACAAGATATCTTCGTTTATTTGTTCAAAATTACTCATAAAAAATAGGTCGTTCACTCTTTTTAAATTATCACAAAAAAAAGAAAATATAAATTTTTAAATCATTATCTTTTCTAATTAAAGACAAAAACATGTTTTTTTTTCTCTCTCTCTCTCTCTTAAAAAGAAGGAAACTTACAGAAATAAATTTTCGTAATTGAAAATGATCACAATAAGAATTCAAAAAATCAACAATCTCCGAACGAGTTAAGTAACTTTTTTCATTTTCCGGTATTGGATAGTCGGGATATCCCATCACTTCTTTTGGAAGATTTGTCCTATTTCAAAATATATTCAATTAAATAATTAAATTGGTAAAAGGTAATTAATAGTCAAATAATAAATAATGGAAAAGAATAAATAAAAAATAAATAAAAGAATAAATAATAAAATAAATTAAGAATTTAGTAAATTGGAAAATTGTAGAAAAAAATTAAAAATTAGATATTAACAAAATTAAATTAATTAGAAAATAATAAAATGAATTATTTTGTAGATGTTTAAAATAGTTTTTTTTTCTTTTTTTAAATGTAATACCTACCTGAGATTTTTGTACATGCTGGAATGTATTGGCAATCCAAAACGATCTACTCCAATTTCTGGAGTGTAGACCCAAGTGCCTCCAATTTTATCACTTTTTTCGAAACATTTAATTGTCATTGATGAATCATTTTCATTTTTTAATTCACTACAATTTTTAAGTGCCGCAAGTCCTGCTGAACCTGCACCGATTATTGCAATTCGCATTTTTTTGCTTCTAAAAAAAATTTACCATTTAAATTGTTCCTAAGAAATTTTAATCACTTGCCATTGAATTGTAATTAAATTATAATTATAAAAGTAAAAAATTAAAAAATTAAATTGAAAAATATTATTCTAAATTGAAATAAATAAATAAAATTTGTCCTTAATTAAATTTTTTTTAGATAAAAAAAAGTTTACTTACTATATGCACTAAATTTAGTTTCAGATGAAAGAAACTGTTGAAATAAAAGAATCGGAAGAAATGCGTTCGGCGGTTTGAATGATAGTGATAATAAAGTCTCGTACGACATTCTATTTACACTAAAAGTCCGAATACAATCAAAACTTAAATATATATATTTTTTTTTTTCAAGCATTCTGATTGTGAGTAAAATAATCATTTATGTGCATTGACCTTTACCCCCTCCAATTATACATGATCCATTTCTGGAAATTGGAAAGTTAAATTTCCAAATAAATCTAATAGTTAAAATTACGGAAATAGAATTTCTCAAGGTTTCAATTTTCCATAAAAGGTCAAAATCGAACATTCTATCCAAACAGTCTTTTTATTTCATATATGAAAAATAAACCGGCCAACTTAAGGCACGATACAATAAATCCACAAGAACTTTTTTCCATCTCAGCTATTTCATTTCGATTTTTTTTTTTTTTTTTTATGAAATCGCTCAAATTTAAAACTAGTTTACACTGTAACTTCAAGTTTTTTTTTTCAAATAAATTTCCTTTTTCAAAATCTAATTTTTACGTAACAATTGAAAAACGTAATTAGAAAAAAACGAATTAAGAAAAAGATTTAACATATTTACACAATGGGAAAAAAATTTACTTTATATTAATAATAATAATAATAATAATTTACGAAGTTTCCCTGAGACAAAGGATCTCGAGTCTAAGATCAACAATATAGAGAATTTATAATTCTTAAGAAAAATGCAGGTTAATTTTTTTGTTTGTTTTTAATATCACTAACTTGGTGAGATCGCCATCATCTTTTTGAACGTACTTCCATTTCCCATTTTTTCCTATAAATCATATACAATTGCATTGCCGATCTTGCGTCTTCAACGGAATCATGTTCACCGGTTTGTATTTCAATGCCCAATAATTCGGATGCGAGTTTTTTTAAACTCGGCGTATTGCCATTGACTACTTTTCTAAATGGTTTATAGCGCGATGTATCGCGTATACGCCATCTCGGATGTGATAAATAAAGAACTTCAAGATCATGTTTAATTGCGTGACCAATTAAAAAACGTCCCTTAAGTATTTCAGCAACTTCATTTTGTACAATTTTAAATTCCTCAGCGTCAGTTAAATGATGTGGATATATTCCGCTCACTGCCGATCTATAATCCTGGATTTTCTCCGTTGGCTTCACATATTTATCGTAAATACAATTACCATATTTATTCACCAATGAGACGCGTGCAACCATATTTTCAGTGCCATCGCCAATTCCCACCATTTCACAGTCCATTGCAATTTGTTTTGTTAAAATTGCCTCACCTTCCTTTGGTTCGTTTAAAATTTGTTTCGCCGCTTTCGATTGCATTGGAACCTGTGTAAAAATTTGTTAAAATTTGAAATGGTTTAATATTTTAAAATAGAAAAAAAAAAGAAAAAAAACAAAACAAACCTGTAAATCCTCTTGTTGATTATCGAATTTTTTAGCTCGATAACGTTTTCTCGGCGATTTATTAATTGATGATTCTGTTGATTCTTTATTAGTAGCCTTCGATTCTCCCAAAAGGCTTTTGTATTTTTCCCAATTTGAACCTGGTACACGCAATCCATTAGTTGTCATCTCATCAATTTTTGTTACCTTTTTTTCATTTGTCATTTTTTCATAAGTTTCATTCACTGAATTTGAATTCTTTCTATTAATTGTACTACAATGTGGTTGTGAAACCATCATTTTTGAAAGCATTTAATTGACATTTATATTTAAATTACAATAAATAGGTATAATTTAACCTACAATCAAACATGTGGAGTAAGCCTTGAAACAAAAATTGAAAATAGATAAACAGTAACTTGAATTTTCCCAACATCGATGTATCTGTAATGAATAAAATATTGTTTTTTTTTTTAAACAAATTTTTTAATAATTTCTTTTTAATTTAATAAAAATAAAAGAAGAAAAATGTAAAAATATGGACTTATTTTGTTTCATTTAATAATAATAGAAAACTAACCTCAAAAATTGTTGACAAGAAAAAAATTAGAAAAAACTTGCTTAACGTCTTGAAGATTTATTTTAAAATACACACATTAATTTGGCTCGATTTATTATGTCAAGTAAAGGTAACTCAGTAATTTTATTTAGAGAATATTTTAATCATAATTATAATAATTAAAATTACGTTTCACTCGTTCCGTTACACCAAGTTTTAAAACACAAATATAGAGTGCACTCTGATTAAAGCTGATTGGACAAGAAAGTTTCTAATGACCAATCAGAGTCAGTTTCAATAGAAAGGTGAATTATTCAAAATTGAATATATAGGTAAGTAAATAGTGATTAAAAATAAATTATTATAAATTAAATATAATAAATTTTCATTTTATTATTTAAATTATTAATAATATATTTTTTTAAAATTGTATTGCCGCTAAAAAGTTGAACAAGATGGCGATTATGTTTGCAAGACGTTGATTGGATGAATTTTGCCGTCAATTGTACGCGTGCGTGATCAGATATATATGTATATATGTATTTGTAACAAGTGCTTATAGGAAAGCTTCAAAACAATTCAATTTTGTGCAAAATTTTGACTGAAATGATAGAGGAACACGACGAACAAGACACAATATGCGATTCTGTAGTAAGTTGTATTTAAAATAAAAAAAACTACAAGAAAATAATGACATTCTATCATAATAGACGCTTAACATCAATGTTATACTTTTCTAACCTCACTTTTCAGAATTCACTTATAGAAGGATGTAAATTACCGGTTAAAATGCCTGGTACTGAGGATTGGCGTAAGTATTTTATTGTTTAAACATTAAAACTTGATTGAAATTAAAAAATTTTAATTAATTATAACTTTTTTTTCATTTTTCTCTATTTTGAAAGTTCAGCAAAAATAATTGTCAGTGTCAGCTATATTATCATAGTTTTTGATTTTATTTTTCTATTTCTATGGAAAATTGATATTAAAATTATGTTAATTGTTATTTTAATGCTTTAATATTTAAATAATTAATTTTTTTTATTGAAATTGAAAAGAATTGTATAATTATACAAAATGACATTTAGTGTCAGTTTGGAGGTTATGTCTAGAACGTGGTTGCATTGTTTGACATTTCAGTGTTATTTTTTCCGTGGTTTTTTAGAAAATAAAAAATAATTATTTTAATTTTTGTGTAGCACAAGCGGAAATCATCAGTATCAAGGATCTCAGAGGACTTAAATGTTATTATGTACATTATGTAGACTGTAAGTACTGAATTTAAAAATTTTATTATCTTTTTTTGTTATTTCTTTCACAATTTTATATTTTTTAAATGGTAAAAGAAAAATATTAAAATTACGAGTTTTTTTTTAAAAAAAAAGAATTTAAGAATGCTTTTTACTAACTTTTTTTCTTGAAATAATTGAAAAAATTTGTTTTGAAATGAACTTTTTTTCAGTTAATAAAAGATTAGATGAATGGGTGACGGAAGACTGTTTAGACACACGGAAAGTTCAATATCCCAATCGGGATGTTACTGCTCCGGGGACGGGTGCTGCAACGCCAAAAAAACAAACTCAAAGCAGACCGCCAAGTCCAATTATTATAAATAGTGAACCAGTAAATGGTTCGGCTGTTCTTCAAGCCGCTTTACAAAAGAAAATAGCTAGTAGAAAAAGAAAAGCGAATTTTTTGGAAAACGAAGACTCTCAAGATGCTCCATTACCTCCTCTTCTTCCAGGTGAAGCAAGTACGTAAACTAAATTTAATTTTTATTTTCTAAATTTAAATAAATATATAAAAATTAATTTTATTTATTATAATCAGGACCGAGACCGACTGGATCATTAGTTGCACATCATCATGACGATGTTGTAACACGAATGAAAAATGTAGAATTAATAGAACTCGGACGTCACAGAATAAGACCATGGTACTTTAGTCCATATCCACAGGAAATGGTCAATCTTCCTTGTATATATATTTGTGAATTTTGTTTGAAATATCGAAAAAGTAGAAAATGTTTGGAGAGACATTTAATGAAGTGCAATCTACGACATCCGCCTGGCAACGAAATTTACAGGAAGGGTTCGATATCATTTTTTGAAATTGATGGCAGAAAAAATAAAAGTTACGCTCAGAATCTCTGCCTTCTAGCAAAATTATTCTTAGATCACAAAACACTTTATTATGATACGGATCCATTTTTATTTTATGTGATGACTGAATATGATTCGCGTGGATTTCACATAGTAGGTTATTTTTCCAAAGAAAAAGAATCAACTGAAGACTATAATGTTGCTTGTATTTTAACACTGCCTCCGTATCAAAGAAAAGGTTACGGAAAATTGCTTATTGAATTTTCCTATGAATTATCAAAATTCGAGGGAAAATCAGGTTCACCTGAGAAACCACTTTCTGATTTGGGTTTATTGTCATATCGAAGTTATTGGGCGCATACAATATTGGACATTTTATTAACTGTCAAGCCATTAGTTGAAAATGAAAAGCCACAAATAACAATTAATGAAATTAGTGAGCTCACGTCAATAAAAAAGGAAGATGTTATTTCAACGTTGCAGAATTTAAGTTTAATTAATTACTACAAAGGACAATACATCGTTACTTTAAATAGGTGAGAGAACATTTTTTTTATTTTTTAATATTCCTTAATTAATCTCTGACATGACGTTCTGGAACTTTGTTTCTCGAAAAAAAAAAAGAAATTGGGTAAATTATTTATCAATAATCATAGTTAAAAGTGTTGACAAAAAAAAATAAGAAAGTAATTGTCAATTAAGAGTCACGAATTTTCGTACGTCATATATCGTTATTTATTTTTGAGTTTTATAGCATTTACAACTGGGATTTTGTCCACTTCTAAACTGTGAGTTTAACTTATATAAACATTGCGTTAATTAACTTGAATATTAAACGAAATTTTGATTTTACATTTTTTTTTCTCAATTTACGTGGAAAGAAATAAAAGACGCGAAAAAAAAATCTAACACACTAATAATGGTGTCTACTAACAGGGAAATAATCGTGAATTAGCAAAGAATTAGCTGAATTTCAGTGAAGAAAATTTTTCACAAGACCAAATTTTATAATGTAGAATTTTTATTTAAAATTTTATTTAATAGAATTCCTATTAAAAAGTAAAAATTATATTTAATCAAAATTCTATAGAAAAAAAAAATTGGTTAAAAAATGTATTTCTTTTTTTATGTTTATGAATTATTTATAGAGATTAAAGATTGATTTTTTAAAAAAATAAAAATGTTATTAGCCCCAAAGAATCGGTTCTTGAATATTTTTTTAGTTTATTTTTTTTCTACTCTTCTAAACGAAATTGTGTATCGTTGCAGAGAAACAATCGAACAGCACACAATAGCGATGGACAAGAGGCAAATTAAAATAGACCCAAAATGTTTGCACTGGACGCCCAAGGATTGGAGCATCAGAGCAAAATGGTGAAGATTTTATACAAAATATGACAATAACGTGATGCTAACAAAACCTAAACAATTATTTACAGGAATCCGGGAAGTGACCATGTACGTTTATCAAATGTACAAAATTGTACATAATATATCGACCTGAAGTCTTGTGTTTTAATAAGGCTCTCTGGATCAACGCGCGAAACTACAAAACGATATACGAATCATAATATTGAATTTTTGGGACAAAAAAATTTTGGAACCTCGAGACTTGTGGTTTTCTTTTTTTTTTTTTCTTTTTTTTTCCTTTTGCAAATTTGTCCTTTTTGAAGCAAAATGTTTTTAATACCGTGACTTAGATTTTCTTTAAGCAAAATTAACTCATTTACCTGTAAGATGATTATGATGATGCTGAATCGTCAATTTGTACAGGAAATCCATGTAGAATTGTAAATAAATGTGTTTTTATAATTTTTGTCTATTCATACATCTACGGATAAACTATTCAATTTTTTTCTATAAATAAAAAATTACTTTTTCTATGTTTTTGTAATTTGATATTAAAATTGAAAATTTTTAGAATTTTTAATAACTCGTAAAATAAAAATTGGTACTGACCGAATTTATTTCTTTATTAGAAAAATTGTAATAATTTTTTTTTGTATTTGTTTTGTGACATCGTGTAAATTTTTTTTAAATCTTTTAAAAACTAAAAAAAATATTAAAATTAAAAATTCCACTTGGTGATAAAGTGAATGAGAATAAAAAAAACTATCTATTGAAAGAAAGTTTCAGTTTATTGAGTCATTGTCGAATTCATTAACTATATAACTATTTCAATCTTAATTGTATAACCATTTCTATTTTGCTTTTTTTTTTCTTTCTGGTTTCTGTACATTATTATTTTTTTTTCGACTGATTTCTGTAAAAATATCAGCATTGCTGTTAGGAAGAGAATCATCGAACTGCTGCAAACGAATGAAATATGTCTTAAGTATGGCATATTTTTTTTTTATATATATGTATATATATGCGTGTGTGTATTTTCTGTGTATATTTCTTTTCTTTTTACATACATATACATATATAATATATATATTTAATTTTTCAACAGTAATCACAGTAGCTTCATGTACAATAAATTTCTGTCATATAGTTCCACATGTTGCCTTTTTTTTTTTGTTTTGTATTCGTTACCACGCGAATCCGACAAAGACGAGTACCAAAATCTCAGCAGAATTTTGTTTTTTTTATTATATAATAAAAGTTAAGAACACACGGTTTATCAGAAATTAATTTTTTTAAATTCGTTTTGATATTAAAAAGGATTTTTTTTCGAAAAAAAAATCAAAATATGAAAGATAATTAAAAAAATTCTACTAATCGCTATTTTATATCGTAGCTAAAAAAATTAATTTCTGATTTTTAAAATTGTGTGTTAAAAGTAACAAATTTGTAAAATATTCATTTTTTACGTCGCAAATTAATGATTAATATATATATGTATTATACAGAGGTTTTTAATCTATCTACCGATTGAATTTTACTAACAAATTCTCATGAGCTTAATAATTTAATGATTCTAAATGACTATCCACACTGATCACAGGTAGACGATAGATGACATAATTTATATTATAATATATATGCATATACAATATAGTTTCAATAGGAACAAACAAGTTTTTTTTTTTATCTCGTTCAATTTAATAATGATCGTCGCAGCAGCAGAAACAACAACAACAATGTTTTTTTTAATAACAGTGATGAAAGATGATTGATACAAGAAGAAAAAATTGAACATGTTAACAATCAATGAGCGAGAGGAACTGTGAAAATGTAATATATTTTTTTTTTCATTCGTATATTCTCTTATTTTTTATTTCTTTTTTTTTCATTTGATATTCAAAAAATTAGCTATAATATATAATATATGTATATGTATATAATTATTATCTGCAAGATGACTAGAACAATTTTAAAAGGTCCTAATATTTTAATTATAAAAACAAGTTTTGGTGTATTTTTTTTTTGTTTTTCATTTGAAAATGATCAATGATTTTCTTTTTTTTTTATATATATGATATAAACGTAAAACTACGTGGAGTTTTTAACACCCGTCGCAAGCTCTATTATCACGTGGTTCAAAATATATTATAACTTTATTTCGTTCCTCTGTCGTCGTGTGTATATTTCTAATATATTTATCATTTTCAATATATTTCTTTTTTTTACGGTCAGCTTATTAGCATATATAGTTACATGTACGGTTGAACAGTAGGCGGCAATGGCTGTACTTTTAAGTTGATCGCTTTACAAAATTTTTTCGTCATTAGAAAATCATGACAATTGAATGGCAAAAGAAAATTATTTCTTCAAAATAAAATTGAAAGAAAGTCCTATCTCCAAATTTTTAATTATCAATTAAATAAAATAATAAATTATTAGGATTTATTAATAATTAAAAAAAGTCAGTTACATTCAATTTTTAAAAATTATTCAATTATCTATAATTGTTATTAATTATTATTAAACACTAATTATTGCATTATCACAAGTAGTTAATAAAATAATAAATATTCAAATTTACTTTTCTCAATTAATGAAACAAAATTTAACTTACTTTTGATTTGATAAGAAAGTTTTTTTATTTCAAGTAAATTTATTCGAAATTTGTTTAAAAACACTGTTCTATTGTATTGGGAAAAATTAGTGACTCATTAAGGATCAACTTTTGTTCAACCTTTTGCCTGAACAATAAGACACTTAACAGTTTTTTTTTGGCGATCTCCCAGTTTTTCTTCAGGTGAATCGATAATCACTTATTTCTACATATTTATTTATATATATATATACGTCATTTCTCGCATTATTTTTAAATAAATTAACGAAAATTACACATTTGGGTTACGAAGACATATCATTTTTGGAAAATATTTTATATTTACAAAAGAAGCTGACGATTTTTATTTTCATCTTTTATTTATAATGTTCGTAAATATATATACCATATAAAATCGAAATTTAATAAAAAATATATTTAATAAATTGTTAAGTTTATTTTACAAATTTTTTTTCTAAATTAAAAAATTGTAAAATAAATTTGACAATATTTTTCGGAAGTTCAAAATATTGTATATATAAATTAATTTAAAGAAAACTAGAAAATGTTGTAAAATAAGAAGACTATTTCATTTCATTAAAGTATATAAAATGTTTTTAAAAATCGTAAATTACAATCCAAATAATATTCTCATATTTAATAAGTTTAACACACAGATCGTGTCAAAAATATTTTTTCGCTTTGAGTTTTTTTTGTTTTTGTTTTGTTTTTAACTATCTACAGACCTTTTTACGGTTCTTTTACTATATTTTAAACAAGATATATATTTTGCTTGTGTCCAGAAACATCATTAAAGGTTTATTATGGATAAAAAACACTAAGCAATATTTGGTTTCTTCCCTTTCGTGACTCAAATTTATTTATTTTCTTTTAGTAATTAAAAATAGAAAATAATTTTTTTTTAAATTTAAAAGTGGGATTTATTTTTCACAAACTCGATATGTTTATTTGTCACGTAAGAGGAAAACCAATAATATCTTTTTTTTAATGACGCGATTCTCCAGTTTTTTTTTTTTTGAGAAGCACTTTGCACTTTAAAAAACTGTGGGTTTTGCTATTATCCTTTTTTTTCCTTTTATATATTTTTAATATTTTTAGAATCTCTGACTTAGAATATTGAAGATACAAAATCTACAATAGAAAAACAGAACAGACTCCAAATATTTATTATCTCACATTCAACATCAACGCTTTCATCATACAGCATTATTATTAATTTATTATTTAATTATATAGCAATATGTATGTCTTTTTTTTAGTACATTATTAACGTTGTTTGCAATATATATTTTTTTTATAATTTATATATTGATTAGTTAATACTTTATTGTATTATTAATAATTAATAATGTCTTTTTATATCATACAGATTGTCATTTTTGGCCTTTTTTGTGTTTGTTAAAAATTTAAAAATTAATTTTGTATGAATGCTGACATTTTAAATGTCAATTTTTTAAAATTAAAATCCGGTGACGTTAAATTTTTCATTTTAAATTTGCATTTTTTAAAATTATGCATTTTTAAACATAAAATTAAAAAATTAAATATGGAAAAAACATTTTTATGGAGGACCAAGTTTCATTTTTCTCCCTTTTCATTTAACTCGTAATATATTTTTTATGTACTTATAAATTAAGATTTTACCTATTCGTGAAAAAGCGCTGATTTTCTTTTTAATGCGCATATCGGCAAAAATTTTGATAATTTTTCTTAAAATTCTTTTTTTTTTTTATCTAAACTACGCAAAAAATTGTGCATTTTTCTGCATTTTGATATCGCAATTTTTAATTTATGCACGTGGTGCATTTTAAGTTATAGGTGATTTATTGCAACCACTTATTAATTTTTTTTTTATATCAGACTTTGCTCAGCTTCACACACACCAAAAAGTTATTTTTTCCTTTTTTTCTAAAAAAAAATTTCCCTTCATTTTATTTTTATTACTTTATATTCAAGAAAAATTCTTGATTTTTAAAATTTTCTTATGTCTTTGTATTTTGGTAGATCTAACATTGTCCATTGTTATTCACTTTCCTTGTTACGAAAATTTTGAGCGCTTTTGGTTCTCGTGAACAATTTTTTTTTTTTTTTGTAATTTCTACAATTTATACAAGTTCATTATTTATAATTTAATAGAGAATTGTATATAGCACCATTCTTCATTTTGCTAATTAGAAATGAAATATAAAATTTAATGGAATGAGAAAATTTCATTTCTTTTGTTTTGTATTAACATTATGTAATTATAAATAATTTAATTGAAGGAAAAATATGTATAAAATTTTGTGGAAATTACAAAATTAATGTAGACCAAGTATTTGATTCCATGGTACAATAAATATTTTGTTTTTCTACTAACTTTTGCAATTTATGATTTTCATAATCCACAATCATAACTTTCTTGATTTTGTATCCTGTTTTGATAGGCCTCCAAATATCGGTCAACGTTTCTGTAAATTCCTGAATTTGCCTGATACATCAGTGTTTCCAAAATTCTTTCATTTTTTATTGCCTTTGAAGGCAACACTATCTGCAAAATTAAAAATAATCGAATAAATATTTTAAATTAGATAAAAAAAATTAACTGAAAATTATAAATGATAAAACAATTTCTTACTCGAATAAGTTCTTGTGGTGTTATCCTGACCAATTTTAAATCTCTGCTAAGTCGTTCCATAATACAATCGAATTCCATTTTAGCATCAATTTTATAAGATTTAGTTTCAATTCGATGCTTCGCCCAGCTGAGCATTGCCTCAAATTTTTTAATTTCCACCACTTCAAGTCCACGGCTCATAATCATTTGAACCATTGACTCGCTCAATGTTAGAAAATCTTCATTTTGAAAAAGTTGATATGCCCTTGTTTCAACAAAGGCAAGAATCATATTCACCAATTCCGAGGCTGATGTGTAACGCCAATAATAATTTTCCAATGCGCACAACATAACGCAAACAATTTCAATTCGTAAAAATTGTTTTGCATGATGAAAGCATGCTTGCAAAAGTTCCGGTAGATCATAATGCTCGGCGGCACAAATTAAGCCTGGAATATTGCTACATGTCAATGGACAAGAGCCCGTGTGAAGATAATCCAAAAGAATTCGAAATGTCTCTGGATCAAATTCGATTATATCGAACTGTAACGAAAGAAATTAAATTAAGTTTGAACATTAAAAATTCCAATTAAAAATATAATTTGTGAATAAATAAATAATTACTTCAGTTTGTGCCAATTTGGCTCGATCAACTTTTTGAGCATCAGCGCATACACTCAATCTTGGAACTGCTAACGATTGCGCCGCCTTTTCCTTTTCCTTAAGTTCTTTATCTTCTGAAAGGTAAAAAAAAAAATTTCTTTTTGACTAATTCCATTATATTTGAGTGTAATTTTTTTTTTAAATCTAAAAGTGTGATTTATTTTTCACAAAAAACGTTTTAAAAAAAATCTCACGATCGAGTATTAAAAAAATTAATAAATTTATAATTATTTAATTGAAATTGTAATGAAATTAGAATTTAAAAGTCTCTTTTCAATTAAATAATTTTCAACAAAATTCTTATTTTTTAAATTATTTATGTTTATATTATTATTTTTCAATTATTGATAAAAACTGATTAAATTTTTAAAAATTTCCCCTTTTATTTATAAAAATATCTTACTACTGCAATCCTGTGAACTGGCCCATCGTTTACGATCTTCACTTTGCAATGGATTTCCATGTTTTTTAATGCTTCTTCCCCACCCGGCAGTAATTGTTCCTAATCGTGAAAATGCCCTTTTCACCATTGGCGACGATGGAACACTTTTGGGCCTAAACATTTCAGAACCAGTATCTCACAGAAACCGCACAGCGGCACCTTGGGAATCGGAGGAATACGAGAGAAAGAGCGAAAGAGAGACAGAGGCAGAGAATTTTTATTGCAAAAGAGGAAAGGTTTATGGATCTTGATGGAACTACACAAGGGAATTTAGGAAAATTATACAGTAAATAGAAATTTCACGGGTCATTTGGGAAATAACTTAAATAATATTCTAATTATGCCAATATTAAGTACTATATAAAAGTTTATTCGAAGAGACAACAGTGAAAGCTTTCTTTTGAAATGTCAAATGTTTATAATACGTGCTTGAGCAAAAAAAAAAAAATATTGAAAAGAAAAGTTTAATTAATGTTTTTTTTTTCTTTTAAATCTGTTATTTAAAACAGGCTGTCACATCAAAAGATTATAGAAATTCAATCCGCAAATATGTTTTTATTTAATTGAGTTTCCTTTAGAAATAAATGCATGAGAAAATAAAAAGTTACAAAAAACTATTTAATTATTTTAAATAATGATAAATAAATGTTTTTTTTAAATAAAAGAATTATTTTATATAATTAAACAAAATTTGTAATGATAAATTTCTTTATAAAAATAAAGGAATAAAACGAGATATAATTGAATTAAAAAAATAATAAGAGTTTAAAAATTAATCAATTGACGTGAAAGAACCTCATTTAGAAATAAATTTTGTTTTAGAATTCATGCTATATATACGATAAGTATATTAAAATCTTTTATACAGGTACAAAGTATAAAATGATTAAAGTTAAATAAACTTTGTGATTTACTTAAATTTACTTATTTTATAATTAGTCCCATTTTATATAGTTAAGTATAGTTATGAAAGCTTAAAAACAAGTTTTAGTTAAACTTAAAGCAATTTCATCGATTAAATTTCAAGCGTAAAGAGCGACTCGCCTGACTTTGAAACAAGTTTACAGCTCTCTCTATGTATATAGAGAGAGAGAAAAGTAGTTTACATGCCAATTAAAACTACACAAGTTTTGACAAGTTTACAGTTGACACTTAATAAATACTCAAAAATCCACGATAACATATTTTCAGATTTGAAATAAATAATAATAAAAGAAAAATGAAAAAGAAACAACATATAAAAATTTCTTTTTTACTACATTAAACTTTTGTTGTCTCTTAATTTGCTTTTCAAATAAAAATAAAATTAAAAAAAAAAATTATATCAATTTGTATTGGTTTAAGAGAAATTCAAATTAAAAAAATTAATTGAAATTTATCAAAAAAATAAGAATCTGATTAGTAAATTTATTCATGCTGTGCTGTGAGGATTGGAAACACGGATGTGCCTTGAAAAAAACGACATTACATTCATTAAAGTATACAATAGTACAAGATAATACAATATTGAGATTTATATTATTTAGTGAAATAATCATTCGACATCAAATTGACAATATAGTTCTACTTCTCGAGTTATAAAATAATTTTTTTTTTCCTTCACTACTGCTAATTACAAAAGAAATGAAAAAAAAGAGAAAACGTTTATTTTTTAAATATTATTTTTCTTTAGAACTAAGTGAATGAAATTTTTGCTTACCTTGGACTTTCCATATCCGGCACTTGAAGAAAATTTGAACTCTTTGGCTTTTGCGGACTGAGCAAAGTTGGCGCCGGCCTCGCCAATAATTCCGCCACAGGAACTTGCGGACTTCCAAAACCAGCTTGGATTCCGTATAACATTTCTTGAAAAACTCTGCAAATATTATTTGAAAAATAAATTAATAAATTTTAAATATATCCATTCTATTATTATTTTTTTTTTTTAAGGAAAAAATTTATATCTAAAAAAGAACCACTAACCTGCTTCTGACACCTAAAATTGCGCGGACACCTATAAATCGAACTTTTTGTTTCTGATGTCCAGGAACCAAAAATGAAACATCAAATAGACTTGCGTTTAATGTGACATTTTCTGCACTATTCAAAAATACTTTCGTAAAATCTTTCGCTAATTGATCATAATCTTCAAATTGGTCTCGAACAGAGTCCAATAAAGGCGAAGACGGTCTCATATGACCAATCGGTCTCCAGGAACCACGTCTGTTAATAGAAAAATAGACAAATTTTTTTTAAAGTTCGCACAAAATTTTCGATTTTTTTTTTTTAAATTCAAATTAAATTATTTAGTAAATTATTCTATTTCAGGAGAGAAAAAAATACCTATAAGGTTTTGGAATCTGTCCCGTTTCAGCATGATTCGCTAAATTGGCAACAATATCCTCGAGCATTTGACTTCTTGTTCTCTCTTGCATTCTCGCGAATTTTGGCGCAGAATAACTCGCTCTCTCGCCGTTTACAATTTTTGTAAGGACCCATTCTCGAAACATTGGACCTTGCAATTTAGAAATTAATTATAAATAAAAATTTCAAGAAAAAATTAAAATTCATTGAATAATTTTTTTTAAAAAAGTAATAAATAAATTTAAATAAAAAATAGAGTGTAGATAAATTAAAATTTTTCTTCAAAAGAAAAATGAAAAAAAAAAAAAAATGAAAATATAAATGAAACTTATAATACCTTTCTCAAAAACACTTTGTTCCCAAAGATAAGGCTTGTAAGCACCGACTTCATCTCTCGTCACAACGGAAACTTCGTATCTTGAAATTTTCCTTTTTATTTTCGGACTCACTCGAACTAATATAAATGTATGAAGAAAATGTGATTTTATACATGCTGGACTAAAACTGGTATTGTCTGCTTCCAAAAAGACAACGCACACAATATCGTTACCTATATGCCTCTTTCTTTGGAGCTGAAAAGAAAAAGAAAAAAAATATTCTTCAAATTTCTGTAAAATTAAATTCTTTAAAATTCTAGTTTCTCCACGTTTTTAATTAACTTTTTTTCCGATTCGATAATTAACAAAAATGTTCTCATCTTATTGTTGAAAAATTAAATTAAATAAATTATATTATTCCAGAAAAATAAAAAGTTTAATTTTGCTGGCTACAAAAAAAAAAAAAAATCTTAGTAGCGAATTTATATGACGCCATTCTGTGAGAATATTGTGCGTTAAATTGAAGAAAAAGTGACTCCTATTTTTTATTCTGAAATCGGTTAATATTTAATGGTGCCGCAAAGCCCCTGAAGTGTCACATGAATTTTACATATGGGAAAAGAATAACTTTTTCATAAAATCGCTATAAAATTGTGAAAAATTAATGTTTATCAATGCGCAAACGATGTTTCTCTTGAGAAATGTTTAGAAAATAAAATCAAAATTTATATTAATGAAAAATGTTTTTTAAAACTTTTTTTCACACTCCAGCAAAATTAAAACATAAAAATATTTTTCCCAGTTTCTTACTTTTAGTTATTAATAAAAAAAAATATATATACACTTTACATAATTATTTTATATAATTTTATAAAGCAATGAATATTATATAATAATAAAAAAATATTTACCTTTTGTGTATCATGTTTTTCATAGGGCAGTAATGTTGAAACGTGAAACATTATTTCAATTCCTCTCCAATTGGTGTAAATGGAAAAAATGCCAGTTAAATCGTGAACAGTATCAAGGCCACCTTTGTACTTATCAAATCCTTTCAGTCTGACCTTTTCGCCAAGGATGTATAAAAATTCTTCAAATAAAAATGAGTTCTCATTGTTGTCAAGTATTTCTTCTTCGGTGTATTGTCCCTCTTGAACATAAATGACTCCCACTTTTAATTCAGATTTTATGAACACTTGGTCAAGCTTTAGCAATTCTTCTGGAGTATCAGGCAGTTGTCCCAAAGTCAATGGGGGATTAATATTGACCTCTTTTCCTAAACTTCGAACGACTTCTTCTCGATTGTATCTAAAAACATAAAATAAAATATAAAACATTATATAAATAGGGAAAAAAAAAACTTTTTATATTTAAAAAAGTATAATTTTAAATTTTTTGAAAAAAAAGTTACCATTTTTGTAAATAAATGTAATTGAATTTTTCTGCCCCAATTTCTCTTATGAAAAATTGGTTTTTTTAAAATAAAAACTAATTAAGGGTAGGATGTAAAAAAAAATGTAATCTCTCACCTATCAGCAAAAACACAACTTGCTGGTATAAGTCCGTGAACGGTATAGCTGATAGCTCTGACAAGAATTCGAAATTGATCCCTCCCATTAATAGTTTCTTGCTTAATACTCAAGATAACAGGTCCAAGATCCTCGTCATTAGTAAAGTAATTCCAATGTTCGGAGCCATAAAAATACCTTTCATATGTTTCTTGTTCAACGGATGTCAATTCAAAACCAAGATTTTTTTCCCATTGTTCTTCAATTGTGGTTTTCTTTCTTGGAATATCATCGGTATCAACTTCATTTTCCTCAAATAAACAAAAATCACGTCTCTGTTTAAATTGTTCCTGTTCACGTTCTTCAACTTGTTCAGGATCAGTGGCATCGCGATCACTTTCACTCTCATCCCAAATTGTGTCCGATGTGACTTGTTGTCGCGAGCATTCAATCCAATAACCCGGCGTTGGTATTAAATTGTGAGGAAACTCCTGACAAAATTCATCTGCGGAAAAATAGAAAAAAGGCAAAAAAAAAATTCATTAAAAAAAATAATAATAAATCCATTTGCAAAATTTAATATTTTCAATAAAAAAAAAAAAAAATGTGAAAATGACGAATAATTAATTAATTAATTTTCCTTGAAAGAGAACGATAGATTTATTATATAAATTTTGAAATTACGCGAACGTCGTGTTAAGCACGTATTTCCAATAATTAATACTGAATAAATAATAATTAGTGCATTATAATGGAATTTGAAATTATTTCTCGACGATGATGTAACCACAGTCGAATCACTGTAAGGTAGAACACCAAGCTGTTTAAAGACAGGGCTTGGTATTCGAACTTAGAGTGAATCGCTTGTGGCTGTTTCACTGTAAATTTCTTCGCACGTAGATTTATTTTTGTCTTCTCTTCTTTTCGCCGTTTATAACCACAAACAAAGTCGTAGAACTTTCTTGAGAGTGAAAAAAAAACAAGACAATAGTAGGATCTTGAAACTGAAGTGGATGAACCACCTGTGGCTCACACTCTTATGTTTTTTAATGCATTTTATATCTTGCAAAATATGTGTGAGATAAAATTGAAGTTTGAGCTTTTAAAGTACAAAAAAAAAAAAAACAATTTACCTGAACAAGCCTGTGGTGGTAGAGGGAAGATGAGGGTTGTTGAAGATTTTCTTCTAGCAACTGCGCAGCCTAAACTTTGGGGCTTGAAGCTGCGCAATTGTTGCATAAAGTCTGAGCACTCCATCAGCGCGACGTCCGCAAAATGCAGGTCGCAAAGAATTTGATTCTTGAATCTGCGAAAAAAAATTTAAACAATAAATATATTGAAGAAAATAGAAATTAAATAAATAAAATCAAAATCTGCGGGATAAATGGAAAAATTTATAAAAGAAAATAAATATTTTCATAATTATTATTAATGAAAAAAAAAAAAAAAACATTTTTTTATCACTGATTTATTTTAGAATAAATGGAAGCAAAAAAATAGTTTGTAATACCAATAATTAATTATTAATATTTCAAATGTCAAATGAGTTTCAATTAATCTGTATAAATTGATATATATTTTTGTTTCTCGTTCACGTGAAAAAAAGGAATATATAAACTTTTATTCTTGAATACTTTTTAACGAATATTTCGACTGATGAAATAATTTGGGTAATATAAAGTTTAATTGAAACAGAACACCACTATGTACTCTGGCAACAACTTTCGGCAGATAGAAATTTATCAAATGAAGGGGATGAAGGGACGGAAATTTAATATTCGATATGATTTTAAATGTAATTAAACCGAATTTGCTTGTGGTTTTACTGTTTCACTCATCGCTTACTGTAAAATAAACTGAATTTAAGTAATAAAAAATGATGTACATAAATTTTTTTTAAACCAAATATTATTTATCTCAAAGATAAATAATCTATTTCTTTGTTTCAAATAGAAAATTTTGTTGGTTAAATAAGTAAAAAATTTGAAAATTAATTTTTTCTCTCTGTGTGATAAAATAAAGTTTCTAAAAATTATTATGAGCAATATTATAATTTTTATACCTTCGTGCTCGTTTTTGATTCGGTCCTGTAAGATTGAGGCCACAGCTGTTACATCTTAGGCACTCCTCGTGATAGTGATTGTTGTCATATAATGGGGACGGTTCTGAAAAATAATATTTAATCAATTAATTTAAAATTAAAATAATTATTTAATTTCCTAAAAACTAAATACAATTAACAATAAATTTTTATCGTAGAAAAATGGAAATTATAATTGACAAAATATGATTTAAAAATTAATTTTCCAAATTTTATCTTCATTTTTTATGTCGTGTTTTGTGAAAATTTCGCTCTTTCTTTTTTGTACGAAATTGATGATTTCTATATTGGGTGTGGCCTTAAAGTCTGTCTCAGATGAGCTATAAAGAATTCCAGTACGTGCGTTCAGGAATTTTGATATGAAGGGAGAAACGTCCTGACTATATGAAGTGTTTAGCCTCAAACGGATTAATTTTGCAGCTCAAACATGGTTGAATAATTACTTAAATTATAATCACAAATCTAACATTTTTTAAAAATTAAAAACATAAATTTATAAATAAAATAATTTTAAAGAAATTTTATATTAAAAAATTTTTTATTTTATTATTTTAATTTTTAGATTTAATGTGGAAAATATATTATCAATGATAATTTTTTACTCGTGAAGAAGAAAAATTAAATTTTAAGCTTCAATTGTATACATTTTTTTTTCAGATGATTCATGGATAGCATGAATAAATTTGAAAACGACTCGTTCCTTTAAGATGTGCGAACATTTACCATCGAGACCGTTGGGTAGTGTAGAAGAAAAGGGTGAGTAATCACGAGATTCATGGCAAGTTGAAAAAAAAAAAAAAAAAAAAAACTCTTTTGCCCCCTTTTGACATTGTGCGCAGAGGTTAATGGTGAAGATATAATCTTTCCATACCTCGATGTCTAAAAAGAGGTATATCTATAAAGATTATAAATTATATAAGAAATATTAAATTTCTTTAGCAAGCAAGCGCACGATCCTTAAAAATGAGATAATGACAGGCGATATTTTATATACTATTCATCAAACATTTCTTATAAAAGGTGAAAAAAAAAATTTTTTTTTCTCTTTCTATTCAAAAGAAAATATTTCTCGCAAATTTTCCTTATTTGATATTTTATTCAATAAATTTGTAACTGAAAACAAATTTTTTTTATCTATTTAATTAATTTTAAAATTAATTAAAAAAATATATAATACATTTCAGTAGGATAAAAATTGCGATAAGAAAATAATATTTTCTTGTCAATTTTTCTATCTCTTGAAAATTTTTTAATCATAAAAATAATTAAATTTTATTTACCCCCTGAGAAAATAATAACTTGTCGCTTATATCCCTTGTCCCCTCACAAACTTGAATACAAGAAGCAAAAGACAAGAGATCAATGTATAGCCATGGCTGATTCGATAAACATTTTTCGATTAAAAGCCCATTAAATGCGCGTTACTCGGGGATTAGAGAGTAATACGATTAAATTTCGAATTCAATTTCTATTCAAGGCACATGGTAATTAAACCGACTCTAAGTCAAGGGACTTAAAAAAAAAAATTTCTTCTACAAAACTTAATTGACTCTAAAACCAATTTTTTAAAAATTAAAATCGTGACCAAATTTACAAAAAATTTTATATTTTCAAACTTCTTCTACAAAAAATGAATTTAATAAAATAAGTATAATCATTTATATTTCTCCTTTGAAAACGAAAAATAGCGATTAAGGTTTTGTGTAGACAGAAAATAAATGGAGGTTTAAAAAAAAAAACCGAGAGAAAAGAAAAGAAACGAGTGAAGAAAAAGCAATCCTGAATATTTGATTTAAAAAAGGGGTGAAAAGCTTGAGAAATATTTTGCCTCGAAGAATTTATATTCTGCCCTTTGTAGAAAGACATATATGAGACTCGATAAGACTACATTATCATTTTAAACAGACCTTCTCGGTGAAAAACAACACCTTCTTCGGATATATAAAAGCATCGTATAAACACACCTACATACTTGAATTTATTTATTTATTTATTCATACTTTATAATTACTTTGAACTTTATATACATTGCTAGAATATTCCTTTAGAATACAGTTTTAGTTATCTATTGCGAATCATATACATATATATGTATTTTTACTCATTATTAATTTCTAGGTTCTTCGCACGAGAACACGTCCCTCTTTTTTATATGCATTAAAAATTATCAACAATATATAAATTTCTATTCGAAAAAAATGTCATATTTTAATCTTTTCCACATTAACAAAAGAATTATACTGAGAATAATTGAACAATATGGAAAATTAATTAATTAATAAAAAAAAAAAAATTAATTTAAAAAAAAAAGAAAATGAAAAATAAAATTAAAAAATGGAAGTAAAAAATATTAATTAAACAGAATGTTATATTTTCCTCAAAGGGAGAAATAAATTACATAATTCGCTTAAATATTATTTTCGCAAATATTACCTCTCGGAAAAAGAATTAAAGCGACGAAAAATTCTCAAAAGATTGAATTAAGTTTAAAACATGCATGAAAAATATTCATGGAATGAAGATTGGAAAAAAAAGTGAACGATATTAAAAAGTTTAAAAAACAAAAGCACATAATATAAAATTATGTAAAATTAATATATAAATTTCAAACTAAAGATTAAATATTATATAAACAGAGAACGACATTCAGCGAGTTTTCAGAGTTCATTGAACAAACAAAAAAAAAAGTTATCTAGCTTGCGTGTATTACACACAAAACGTCGCGTGAGCTTGCAACATATGAATAATTATCAAATGAAAAATAAAATAAAAAAAAAATTTACACAGGTATAATAAAATCCCCAGGGGTTGTAAGAGAAATGCAAAAAGTTAGATGTTTCGCTAAATTAATATTTATACTTTTAAATAAATATAATTATTATTATGTTTAGGATAATAAATAAGTTTAATTTTCCCTTGATTCACAGCGTAAAAAATAAATTAATAATAAATTACAATGGTTTTTTTCAAGCGTTCGAAAATAAATGAAAGAAAAAAGAAAATACCAGTAGTTCATTATTTCGAATTATTTAAAGTCGAGAGCTTACGGATAATATGTATAAAGAGAATAAAAAAAGTTGTAATTTTTTTCTTTTCAATCAAGCTCTTACAATAATAAAGTAAATTTCAACCGCATACCTATGCAATTTAATTTTAAATTTGAAAAATCTTTAATGATTTATTCTCAACTCGGATCAACTTTTCAAAAGTTGGGAATTTATAATTCTTATTCTCTTTTTTTTCTTTTCTTTTTAAAGAATCAACTATTTCAGCAAAAATTTTCACATTTAAAATTACATAAATAATGCTTCTCTCGATGTGTCAAGAAAAAAAAATAGATTTATCTTGATTTAAACGTTTCAGAAGAAATGCGAAGAGATCTAAAAACCAACTTTCTTTTAAAAGTCTCGTTTTTCTTTTCAATACTTTATCTTTGGTTTTCTAGTGTTTGTCAACGTAAGCGAATTTAGTATAGAAAAAAAAATTAAGGAGCTATTCAAGTTTAACTTTCTTATTTCCACATTAATTAAACATTTAAATACACATTATTTAATTGAATATTTATTTGATAATAGTTAAGTAATCGATTATTTGAACTTTTTTTTATCAGTGATAACAGAAATAATAAAAAAATTATCTAAAATAAATAATTATAATAATGAATAATAATAAAATTTTCGTGTAAAAATTAAAAACGGTATAAATTTCCAATAATTGAATTAAAATTGAATCTATATAAAGATTTGGAAAATCTTTTTCAAGTATATAAAAATAGAAAAAAATACACAAAGATTCAGGGTACCAGACATTGAGTACAATTTATCTTCAGACACCCCGGAGGTCTTTAATCATACCAAGGACGTTTACGAGCATTTTGTGCTATTCTATCCAATCAAAACACTTCACTATATGTCAGCTTTCATATATTGAGAAAGAAAAAAAAAGAGAAGAGTGAAAAATATCATTTCTCGTTAATAATGCAATTTTTTTTCGCTATACAAAAGCATAAATCGCCTTTTAAAATAATAACAGATATAGATATATATAAAAAAAGCGAAACAAATATCCAACTTTATTTGAACGTATATAGAAGAAAAAAAGACAAATTTTTATTAATAGAAACCGCACGTAGGATGAGCAATGCAAAAAAAAAACTTGATGTAACGAAATGACCTATAAAGACAAAACTAAAAAAAATAAAAAATGAAAATAAAATTTTTCCAATCCAATTTATAAATAAAATTGTATATTTTCAATTATTACAAATAATTTATTTTATGGTTTACTTTTAATTTTCTTTTTTATAAAGATAAAAAATTTATATTAAATTAAAAAAATTTTTGACGATTTTAGATTTCATATTCATATATTTAAAGAAATAAAATTATTGAAAATTCATGCGAGCAATTATTTAGAATAATTAAAAACATAAAATAAAAAATAGAAATTTTTTTTTGGTTCTCTTTTTTCAAAATATATCAATATTTCTTAAATAAAAATTTGATTAACTAGAAATTTTATTAAATTTTGTCTATAAAAAATCTGGCTAAATATAAATTCCTATTTAATGAGAATTTGGCTAAATAAAAGTTGCGTTAAATAAAAAATATGTTTAACTTGAATTCTTTTTTATAAAAAAAAAATTTTCCATTTACAAATTTAGCTAAATAAATTCGATTTAATAAGAATTCGGTTAAATAACAAATTCGGTAGTTTTTATTGGTTTGTTAAATAAAAAAAGTTTTAGAAAATAGAATTTATCAATTTTTCAGTTTCGAATTTTAAAAATAGCTCATTTTTCATTTAGGATTCAAATAGAAATTTCGTTTTGTTTCAAGAAAAAAAAAATTAATTTAATTTGACTCATATAATAAAATTATTTTATCATTACTTTTTCATTGAATTAATTGGAATTTAAATTAAGCAAAAATTACCACGTAGATTCAATTAGAAGAGAAAAATTAACTAATTAAAAAGTAGTCTACAATTCTACTTATTTTTTTTTTTAAATCGATATTTTTTACTATTATCATCTTGTGCCGTTAAGAACCCTTTAGATTTTTATAATCTTAAGTGCTGAAAGGGATGATGAGAAACACACACACACACATGTATGAAAACACACAAATGTAACACACATAGTAAGTTAATTACCGATTGATCCGAGTCTCGGAGCCTTAGACGGGTTTCACATGAGATTCAAGATAGAAGTGTTTTAGTCACGAAATTCCGGTGGCCTCTTCCAACACAATTACATGTCCTCGTTTTAATATAAGAGAAAGAGTGTGTGAGAACTACCAAGAACAAGAACACTATCAAAACCGCCTTTTTTCCCCTTTCGCTTCCACAAGTGGTTGCGTCCTGCCACGATCCGGTCCCGGGGGTGTCAATTCTACTCTATTTGGTCACGCGAATCGTTGCGTTGCGTGGTTTCAAAAAAAAAAGAAGGAACACTTTCGATTTCTTCTTACGAAAAAAAAAATCTAATAAAATTTCAAGAACACTAATTCTAAAAAGAGGCCAACACCCATCGTTTTTTTTTTTTTTTTATTTTATTTATCAGTGAGAAAACATAAACAAAACAATTGCAGAATTTTTTTTCTGTCAACCAATAAAGCGGATAAATTTATTGTCAAGATTAAAAAATTAATTTACAATTGTCGAAAACGATTGACACCATTGTCGTTTTGTGATTAAAACTGACAACCTTCGAACTGACCTTCGATTGTTATTCACACCCTCGAATCACACACGTAACGCGCAAACGTCCATTATTATTATATATATAATAATAATTTCGAGTGACCATTTCGAGACAATATTATCATCTTAATTAATTCATCTAATTGATCATAGGGGATAAATTATTATCTAAATAATTCTTTAATGGAGAATTTTAATGGAATTTCAAGTTTTCATTATTTTTTTTTAATTTGAAATTCTTTTTCATTTTTTTTTTTCAGAATGAAAATTGTGAGAAAAATAGCATACAGAGAGATGTGGGGGAAAATTATTGCAAAAAAATAAAGCACGAAGGACAATTTAATATGGTTTCGATATTATAGATATACACACACGCACACAGATAGGAGACAGAAAGGTTTGGTTTCTGTTATCATGCGACGACTGATGTGCACCCCCGTGACGTTCGAAGAAAACAACGCCGGAAGGGAAGCGCCTGCGTGCTTTAAAGGATTCCGAGAAAAATGATACCTAGAGCGCTTGATCGAGAGCAAATGCCTTTATTGGAGGAAAAGTTAAAGGATCGCAGGTGGTCGTGACTCGGCGCTAGATTTTAAATAGAAAAAAAAATTCGATTTTACATCCCCTCTCTAAAAGATTTTCCAATTTTTGTTTCTCTATTCTATATTAATTTATTATTTAAAATAAATAAGAGATTTTTTTTTTAAAGAAAAGTCTGCAAATGAATTTTATAAATAAATTAATCTAATACAAAATATCATAAAACTTTAACCTTGAATAAATATGAATAACTTTCGAAATCTATAAGTCCAATTCTTGTTTTGTCAGATTTGAAATATGTTTCTCCCATTTATTTGAGACGTCCATTATTTCTCGTTTTTTTTTCTCGACTCAATTTTCCGCTATGTCAGCTTAACATGAGGGGGGTTTTTTTTTTTTGTTAAGAAAAAAATACTAACCCGAGGCAAGTGATGGGAAATAATTTACTTACCAGTCTGTGTGCTGCTGTCAAAAAAAGTGCTCGAAGTCTCGACTGTCATTGTTGCAAATGTTCCATCTGTTATCTGTGCTGAACTGTCTCTTCTGCCTCGATACCTTTGAACCTAAGGAAATAAAAAATGTAGGTAGATAAATTGAAATTTTATTTATATAACTATGATTAAAATATATATATATTAAAGAGACTGTAATAAGAAGGAAATTAAAAATATTCTTTTAATTTGGAAAATGTCAATATGAAATATTTTTATATTTAAGAAATCAATGTCTCTCGCAATTAATTGATAAAAAAAAAATAATATAAAATTGGAAAATGAGGTTTTTAATATAGAAATAATATATTAATATTACATGTTTAAGGGAAAGTGTACGAACTGTATCATCGCTTTGTGAACTCTGTCTACGAAAATTTCGACAGCGAATCATTTCCTCAGTTGTGCTTTGTCGTCTAAAACCACGTGCTATTAAAATTTCTTCTGTCGTTGATTGTCTTCTAATTATTGGAGCATGTTGAATACTTCCAGGTGCTCTTGCACATGGACTTGGATCTCTCGAAGAACACGACGAACTATCAGGAGATCTAAAATATTACAATTATATTTCAATATCTATAATAAAGAAATTTAATTTATTAATTAATTTTATTCAATATTTAAACACCTTGAAAAAAAAGAAATTTTAATTTATATATTTATTTAATAGAAAAAAAAAATAATCGACTGTAATTTATTTTTGTAAATAGTATTTGACAAAATACAAAAAGTGTTTACCAGAAAGTTTTTCTATTGGCATATATATATGTATAGAAAATGTAGAGAGAGAGAAAACTTTTCAGTAGTACGTAAAGATTTAGGTCAGACTCTCTGTCTCGCCGAGACTTTCCAGATCTACTTAATGGAGATTGTCTATTCAAGAATATATATATATACAAGTTGCAACATTATTGGGCGATTCTGTTTCCATTCTAAGTGATTAAAAATTATCAAATCGATTTCGATTCTCTAATAAATAAATAATTAAATGAATAAACAAATATTATAAAGAGAAAATGGATTACTTTTTAATGAAATAGTAGTTTTTTTCTAAAAGGTCATGCACTAAAAAAGAATTACACGAATTAAATAATTATTTTTCTATTTAAAACACGAAATTTTGGATTACCATTTTTGAAAAAAATATAACTAATCAAAAAAATTATTCAAATTTTTCGAATTTAATTTTCAAAAATTTATTTAAATTATTATTTACTATTTGGTGATTTTTACTTAGCGTTATTTAAATTATTACCGAACTTCAAAAAAAAAATACAAAAATAAATTTTAAAAAAGTTGTTTTCTGATTTTAAAGTTATATATAAAAAAAACTAATTAAAATACAAATTATATAAATCTTGTCATAAAAACTCTTTCCCCGACATCATGATGAAAATGTTCAATAAAATTGACTTGAATTGTAAAAAAATTTTTAACTAGAAACCCTTTTTTTTTCTCTGAATGACGACGTAGTTACTCTCTCAAGTTAAATTGTAAAAGTTTAAAATATTTCTTCATGGCATTTTTTTTTTTTTTGCTCTTATTTTTAGTATTTTTATTCTCTTGAATATGGTTATTACCTTGGAGCTCGACCAGCGATGGAAGTTGATTGTCTTCGAAGTCGAGCTTTTCTCTGTCTAATTGGACTAATATCTCTTTTATCCGCATTTCTGTCTGGACTCAAATGACTCTTTGAATCACGACGTCTTGGATAAGAGGCTGAATCCGGACTTAGGGAATCTCTTCGCGCTTTTCGACCTGAAAAAAAATAGAAATATTTTACAAATACCCAATTTTTCAAAATTTGTCCAAATGTTTAATGTTTCTTTAATTTTAATTAAAATTTTTTTATGCTTTAAAATAAATTTTGTTATAATTAGCTTAATAAAATTTTTAATTACATTTTTTGATAATTCAATACAAAAAGCAAATTTTTTCTTAATTTTATTACAATAATTTAACGATTAACTGAAGTTTATAATTATTATATTTACCTCCGTCATCGGGATCTGGTGATAATGTCGGTTGACTCTCTCGTCTTCCACTTGGAGGCAGAGATTCATCCATGGCAGCAGATTGTCTAGTTAATCTCGGTATTTTATTCGGAGAAACTTCTTTTCCTTTATAGTAACACTAAAAAAAAAAAACAGTTTGTTTTACCGGAAAATTAAAAAAAGAATTATTATTAATAAAAAGAATATTTATTTTTTTCGATAATAATGTAAAAACAAAAAAAATTTCAATAAGAAAAATTACCTGAGTCGTGGAATCTCTTCTGGTAGACAATAATGGATGTGTTGGTGTTGTGCTCACATTAGGTGAACCAACAGGACTAGAACTTCCGGAATTTGAATTTCCAGGAAGTGGAAGACTACTTCCGGCAATGGGCGAAATTGATGGCGGCGTTACTGAAGACATAACGATTGTCGGTGGATTAATATTTGGTTCTAAAGTCAATGTTTTACTTTCACATGATACTGATTTCATCTCAATTGTCGTCGTCGGCGTCTTCGCTTCCAAATTGTTTGTCTTCTCTGCACTTCTTTGCGTCTCCAAATGATCCCTATAATGCGAAAAAAAATAAATAAATACATTTTTCATTGTCTTTTAATTTCTATTTTTTCAAGGACCTTGATTTTTATGAAATGCTGTTTATCTTTTAATGGAAAATACATTTTTAAAATTTTCAAATAAATCTTTATCAATTTTGTTTTTTAATTTTCATTCCCTTAAAGTTTTATATTTTGACAATTTCAATTTACATGGCTTTTAATTAAAAGAACACAAAATTGTTTTAATGTAAAATAACAATAGTATTGAATTTTTTTTTTTTCATTTTCAGCTAAAATTTATATACAGCAATAAAATTGCAGAAGAATCTGTTCGTTTACGTATGTATTGGACAATTTTTAAAAGGTCACAAATTTGATATAGATACACCCGACGAGAATCACTGAATATTAGATTTATTATTCTTGTCAATCAATATTCCTGCAAAACAGAACTTTAAATTGATACACTATTCTTTGTATGAATATAATTAATTTATCGTTTATTATAAAACTTTTATTAACTATAATAATTATTATTATCATTATATAGGAATAATAAATATTATTTAAAAAAAGTTTTTTAAATATAAAATTACCACGAAAAAAAATTGTCAAGGAAGTAAAATATTTATATAAAATAAATATAATTTACACTTTTTATTATATTGTTAATTGTTTTTTCATTGAGGAAATGTTTAAAAAAATAACTAACCGAATAGCAAAACTTCCGCCGCTATCTGTACTCGATGCACTTGGCCTTTGATCATTTCTGTAATACTTTCCAGGTGGAACACCAAGATCAATAGATTGTTGAGATTGTTTACGTCTATGATGTCGACAATTGTGCTGCTTCTTTTCACCTAAATTGCCCGTTTGTCCGCCAACAATAGAATCTCTTCTCGATCTTGCACTCTCACCAGAACCTCGTCTAGAATTTCGAGATTCTCCCGATCCTTGAAAAAATAATAATAAAAAATAAATTTAAAAATAGATAAAAAAAAGAAAATTCTAAATTAATTCTAAAAAAAATAAAAAAACCTCTTCTTGGAGTTGGTGAAATAACCGTTGGTGGTTGTTGAGGTTGTGGTTGTTCCTTTTTACCCCAAAGTTTGGCAATATCATTTTTAAGGTCACTGATTGCTGAATCTCTTCGTCCTTTTGTTGATAATTGACTTCTAATGCCACTGTCAACTGAACTTTCTCGTCTTTTTCTTACACTCGCATAATGACTGGTTGGATGACAGGTATCTGTTGTTGCCGATCTTGACCATGGTAAAGATTTTGCAATATCAGCAAGTGTTTCACGTCGCGATAGCTTACTGCCCTTTCCACCTTTTGTTGAAGTACCACCTCCACCCCATTCTCTTAAAATGTCAGTCAATTGTGCCAAACTCGAACGTCTTCGACGTTGATTTGTTGGCGATGTTTCTTGAAGTTCATTTGGAGGTGAAATTGATGTTATCTGCGCTGCTGAATCACGTCTTCCAGTCCCTTGAAAATATATAAAAATAAATTAATATTTTAATAAAATATAATAATTATTCCAATAAATGATATTTTTAAAAATTATTTTTTAATAAAAGGAATAATTAAATAGTTATATAATAATTAAAAAATTAAATAGTCAAAAATATTCTTAATATATAAAAAAAATTTTTTTTCGAAAAAATTGAATTCTTACCAAGGCGTTGTTTTAGCGTCGATTCTTCGACTTGTTCCCGAACAAGATCGTCCCATCCATTTCCGCCCTGCCATATTAGACCCACTTGATGACTGAGAATCGGTAAATTGCAGACAAAACAAATCGCTGTCATGGTCCTGAAAAAAAGAAAATTTAAACAATTAATATAATGTGAATTAAAAAATTAATTTGCAAATATATAAATTTCAAAGCAAATAACTCAATAGAAGGAATGGAAAAAAAGGTGCTCTTTCAAAAAAGAAAAAAAAATTATTTTTTTTTTTTGTGAAGTACCAGGACATGCCAAAACAGCGCTATAAATTTGATTTTCTCGTTGTTCTGCACTTTCAATATATACAAAATTAATAAATTTCATTAATTAATCTAAATTATTTAAGAAAAAATTTTTTTTCTATCTTAATTCTAACTTAAATAAAATTCTACTCCACTTTTTTTTAAAAATGGTAAACGAATTGAACGAATTAATTAAATTAAACAGATTTAATAAGAACAAAAATTTATTTTGATATTGCTTATTGTTATTTGCGATTAATTTTAATAATTTTTTTTTATTATTATTCATTATATAAAATTATTATAAAATTTAATCTTTAATTATTAATTCAATAAATAATTATTTTATTCGTAATATCCATTTATTTTGCTATCAAAAATATTTTATTTCAATTTTAAAAAAATTGTGTATTTTTTGATTAATTTTTAATCTGTTAATTTAATAAATTCAAACAAGAAAATTATTTAAATATAAGAAATTATGTAATTTTAAATAAATTAGAATTTTAAAACAACGTCTGAATATCCTGTAAAATGCAAATTAGAAAAATATTTTCTACGTTTTAAAATTTAACAGCATAGAGTGTTCCAAAATCAATTAAGCGGCTGCATATTTTATAATTATGAAAAATCCAAAAACTATTTTTAAGATTTTATTTAACGATAAATAGTCATATAAAAATTATCTAAATTAAATAAATTATAAATAAATATAAAAATTATAATAATTAATATATAATATTAATATATATATAATTATATTAATTTGAAAATTTTTTGGAATTTTCATAATTTTTTATTGTACAAGAAAGCCTCGAAAATACTGCAATCGAAATCACGTTAGCGCCAAGTTGACCTCTGTGATAGCAATGATACCAAAAAAAAGAAGTATAATGATTAGAGTCATTCCAGAAATGCTAAGCTAAGATATACAATAGATGCATATATGTACACTGTTAAAATACTCCAACTCCATTGAAATGAACAAATAATTACAAAATTATTTTTAATTAATCTTAAATAAAAAATTGATTTTTTTTATTTTTTTCATATTTCAATTAAATTAATAAAAAAAAACGATTAAAAAAATTAAATTAATAAATAAACAAATTTAAAAAAAAAATCTTTTTAAATTGTTAAATAAAAAAAATTATAATTATTTAATTTAAAAAAAAATGAAAATTAAAGAAAGAGAAGCAAAAAAAAATTTTTTTTCAACAATGAACATAATTGCAGACATGAAGATGTTTTTTTTTTTGTTTTTGTTTTTTAATACAATAAGTCGTGTCACGAGAGCCGAAGAACGTCATTCCAAAAAGCATGAATGAAGAGAGCTCGAGATTGTTAGATAATTACTTAACTATTTAATAGAGCAAGATATAAAAATTCATTTTATATATAGCGAATAGATATAAAATTTTGAGTGAGAGATATAGCTGATTTTGTATTTTCGACCTGTAATGTCGAAGTCTCGGGCTCTGCAACGACATCGCATGGCAAGGGTCTGGTTGACCTGCAAAAAACACATACGTACTGTTTTTGCCAAATTTCATTTTTTTTTTATTTTTTAATTTATTAAACGAATAATTCCGCTCTCGGTACACTAGTACCTATCATTAATTTTACTCGTAAAATTAAAATTAATTAATATAATAATTAAAATCTCTTCAAATTAATGATTCGATAAAAAAAAATTTATTTTTATTAAAAAATTTTAAATAATTAAAATTATTATTTTTGTAGATCAATTAATATAGGTACCATTTTTTTTTTAACGACAGAATCATTATTTGGTTTCAATAAATATTATAATTAATAATAATAATAAAAAATCAATTACCGTTTTTTGGAGCTTATGAAAATTATTAAAAAATTTATTTTGAATAAAAAAAAATATAAATTATTATATTAACGGAAATAAAAATTATTATGAAAATTTTTTTGCTATAAATTTAGTTAAATGAAAATTGTATTTTTCGTAAAATTTATAAATTTTTGAGTAGGTTCGTACAACATTTTCGTAAAATTGGATCATTCGGAAAAATCCATAGAATAAAAGCAGGATGTTGTACATTTATAGAGAGCTTCACGCACTTTTCTAGTTTTAGCTATATGAGCATTTTATGAAGGTCCTCTCCCATAGGTCCTCTTTGAACCGAAATAAAAAAAAATTCCTAAAAGGTTTCTAAAGAGATTGCATCACAAAAATGTACAATGAAATGAAAAAAAGATTTTCATTCAAAAAAATAAAAATAAAAAAAATAACATAGGCACATAAAAAAAGTAACAAAAAAAATACAAAAAAATTGTTTTTTTTTTTAAATTTCTCTCTAGTTTTTTATTTTATTTAAATAATAAAAATTTGCAAATTAGAAAAAATATTTTTAAAAAATAATATTTGTAAAATCCTTTTTAAAAATATTTTTTTTGAATATTTTTTAAAAATATTATTTATAATATTTTCTATTCCAAATTATTTTTTATATGGAAAGATTAGAAAAAAAATTCAAGTATTAAAAAATATAAATTTAAAAATATATAGCTTTTGAGACAGAAAAAAAGGAAAATTCGAAAAAAAATTTGCATTTCGAATATTTTGTTATTGAAATTGAAAAAAAAAATGTGACACAAATTACATATATATCGCGCGCTATTGGGAGATAATTATTCAAATAGATTAACATCATCTGATGATGTTAGATCGAGCGATGTCTAATTTGCCCTAAGCTGATGTTAATTGAGGCGTAAAGAGTTTAATCCACGGTCGATAACTTTGTAAAGAAAATTCCTGCTCAGCCGAGCATATTAAACTACAGGAGGTACATATATACTATCAGTGGGCTCACTGATAAGGAAGGACGCTGCGGGAGATTCAAAACTTTCCCTCGCTCTCATCTACCCTTGAAACTTGTTTGGAACCTCTCAATTGATTTTCCGGTTTACTCTCGAAACTCACAGTTTCTCTATTATGGTAATAATGCTTAAAATCTAGAATGCAAACACAACTTTTACTATATATATATCCAAATGTATAGGTTCTATACTTGCTTTTATGCTCTTTCATCAAATAACAGTGTTATAATTCATTCAAGTATATTATACGAGATTCACTTATAGTTTTTCTCTTCAGAAGTTATATATATATATATATATATATATATTAAATATGTTGAAATCAGCAACCTGTTGCCATCAACTGTACTTTACACAAATGAAGAAAAAAAAAAATTCTTCACCAAAATATTTTCAAGTATTTTTTTTTCATTATATTAAAAAAGCAGATATACATTTTTATTTTATCTTTAATCTAATTTTTATTTAACCATTTTCATTTATATTTTACTAAAAAATTTTAATAAGACAATGAATTTTTATTTAATTAAATTTTTGTTTATTAAATCAAAATCTGATTTGGTTAAATTTTCATTTAAACAAATTTGATTTGGCGTTATTTATATTTTACCCAAATTTTCATTTAACCCAATTTGATTTGGCCTAATTTATATTTTACCCAAATTTTCATTTAACCAAATTTGATTTGGCCTTATTTATATTTTATTAAAATTTTCATTTAACCAAATTTAATTTGGTCTAATTTATATTTTACCCAAATTTTCATTTAACCAAATTTAATTTGGCCTAATTTATATTTTACCAAAATTTTCATTTAACCAAATTTGATTCGGCCTTATTTAAATATTTTACCCAAATTTTCATTTAACCCAATATGATTTGGCCTAATTTATATTTTACAAAAATTTTTATTTAACCAAATTCGATTTGGTCTAATTTATATTTTACCAAAATTTTTAAAGACAAATATTTAAATAAATTTTTATTTAATTAAAATTTTTTTGTTACAACAAATTTTGATTTGGTTTAATTTTTATTTAACCAAATTGATATGAATTTATTTATTTAAAAAAATTAACTAAAATTTTTTATTAATCAAATTTTCCAATTTGACTACAATGAATATTGTTTCCAAATATTCAAAGTTTAATTTAATTCAATTAAATTTTTATATACGAGAAATAAAAATTTTCATTTTGGTTTCAAAATTCTTACCAATATTTGATATAAAAAAAAAATTCGGTTATATATAAAAGAATTGTATCTTTAATAGGGTTTATTATTAAATTCTTCTCTCGGTTATTCAATTTCTTTTTATTTGAAGGAAAAATATCTATAGTTTCTTTCATGCAATCTTGTTAAAAGAAGAGAGTGAAAAACAAAGAGAAAATTGTGTTTGAAGAAATATTTATATCAAGGTGAAGTTTTTGTGAAAAAAAAATTTAATAAATTCCCACTTTAGAAGACTTATTAAAGGGAAAATAGCAAATAAATAATTAAAACCAAAAAAAAATAAATAATAGAGACTTTAAATTATTATTATTTTATCAATTTTTTTTCTACTTAATTGAAAAATCTTTTTTTTAATATATTTTTTTTGTTTTTTGAAAAACACTTTTATATCACAAATATTATGAAAAATAAAATATTTTAATATTTATATATTTAGAAAAAATATGTAATATTTTCAATTTATTTTAATATATTGTCAACATAAATTTTTCTAGAAAGAAAATATTTTTCTATATGGAAAAATATTTTTCACCTTATTTTATATCTTAAAGGAAAAAAATTATAAGAATTTACATATTTTCAGTCTATCGGGTTTTAAACGACCCACTTTTCAAGTGTAAAAATATTTTTCCCCTCATTTTTTTTTCTTTGTCAATGCGCGAAAAAATTGAAAGGATAATTAATTTATCATAAGTAGCAAGCTATTATTGATAATGATAATAATAATAAAAATAATAATATATTTTACTTTCAAGAAATACTTAAGAAAAAATTATGTTGTAATTATTATAATTTATATAAATAAATTATAAAATTATAATTCTATTTATATTAATTATAATAAAAATTTATTTCCTTTTTTTTATCCTTCAGTGGTTTTTTTTATATCTTTGCATTATTATTATTAATGTTATAATTTGAGAAATGTCAGAAGGAAGATTCAGTGTGCACGTCTTCCTCTTTGAAATCTGTAATGTTGATTTTAAATTCTCATGACCTGTTTATGCTTGAATGGCAAGAAGAGAGTAATCTTCTCCTTCCTTTTTTGGTGAGGAGATTTTTTTTATCGACCATTTTTATACCACACACAAGGTAAAAAGGAAGTAGATTATGACTTTGACTTGCGTTTTAGCATACTATTCAAGAGATTTTTCTTCAAGAAGAAGAAGAAGAAGAAAAAAAAATTTACTCAAAATTATTTAGCGAAATTGTTTTTTTCATTTCGTTATATAAATTGAAGCAGTATAAAAAGTATTTTTCCAATATATCTTTTTTTTTTTTGGTTGCAATTACTAGTGTTTTTTTACAAAACAAATATTTTACTTTTGAATCTCGGTTTTTCCGCAGAATATTTTTCTCCTCAATAAAGTTTTTATTTTCAGTTATTGCATGAATGAATGTTTTATATTTCACGTTATTTGAGTTTTATGTCATATATTGATACATATTCTTTTTCCAATGTATTCGGCTTAATAAAAAGTTTCGTTAAATTAAGTATATAAATAGATAACAAAAAAATTTACTTTCAGTTTAAATAAAATTTATGTCAAATATAATTTAAGTTAAATAAAAATTATGTTAAATAAAAATTTAACCAAATACCAAATGAGAAATTATGATTTTTAAATTAATGAAAATTTAATTTTAATAAATTTCAAAAAATTATGATTAATTTGTATTTGAAAAAAAAAATTAATATTTCAAGGTAGAATTTTGAAGTTCAAAGAATCCGAAAAGTTGTAGAGGAACTTTATAAAATTCTCTTCAATATTTCATATCATCAAAAACACGAAAGAAGGTATATAAAATTTTTTATGAGTTTGCTGTTAAACAAGAATTTGAAGAGCGTGTGATATATATTTATTAAAATCTACCAGAATATGGTACAAAATTCATACCATTTCATTTATAAGAAAAAAATGATTTAGTTTTTTTTTCTTTTTTTTTTTTTTTTTTTTGTTATAAACTGAGAAAAAGTATAAAAAAAAAGTTGAGAAGTTTCTGCGATAGAAACAGGGGCGCTTGTCACTCTGTTGATCTATTATAACTATGTTTGGAATTGTAAAGCATCAGTTATATGACCAACACAAACACAAGTCGTTTGCAGGAGTTGATAAGGGGAAACATTTCTCGTATTATCCACATTTAACACAATTTTCCTCTTAAACTTTGTCCATTAATCAATTACAATATATATATATATATATATATATATATTTAAAACAAAAGAAAAAAAAATTATTTCACAATTTTTTTTATAAAAAAGAAAAAAAAATGAAAACTAAAATTTTTTTATTTTTCGTAAATCTGTTTTTCTTTCGAAAAATAATTTTAATGAAATATTATAATTAATTTAACTCATTATAATAATTTCTCTCTCTCGGTATTTAAACTAAATTTTTTTCCCCTCTAATATTTACAATGTCT